TCTTCCACTGCGCACTCCATCTTCCACTGCGCACTCCATCTTCCACTGCGCACTCCATCTTCCACTGCGCGCAGCACCTTTCCATTATGCGCACAACAACCCTTTGACGCGTCTCTTGCCTTTGCGCATCAAGTCTGATCGTTACACCTCTTACACATCTTGGGCATCGAGTGTCTTCTTCTTCATCGGTCAACCATCTTCCACTTCCAACATCAGACTTCATCGACATCAAGACATCTTCTCAAACATCTTTCATACCTCATCAAGGTAAGTGTATCAGTCTTACTCACTCAGCTCTTGCTTCGTCTCACGCCATGCGTAGGCGCCTTTCTTCTGCTACCAACAAGCTGCCGCCTCTTCACTCGCACTGCGCTTTTGATTAAGCATGCCACTACACTCCCGCCACTCGTCAAGACGCAACCTCTCGTCGCTTGCTCTTCGCTTTCTTCAAAAGTGAGTTATCTTCACTTTTGCTGACTTTCTCACTCACAAAAACAGCAATCTAGGACCACCACACTCGACTTTTTCACTTCATTCTGCACATTATACCCACTCTTCCCCTTTTACTTTTACTTTTACTCCACTTCACTTCATCGCACAAGCTGCACACAACAATTCGACTTTTCGCTCCTGCCAACAACAACGACAATTTTTATCGACAGAAACTTCTTCATCATCATCACATTTTTTACGCCAACACCATTTCTTACAACAACGAATCGACATTTTCTTTTGTATCAAGCTCAATTTCTCAACAAAGATCGAGGTTTCGGCACTATCAAGGTCTGTACTTGGTAAAATCCATCTCTCAACTCATCTGACGTTCAACAGGTTCGGGTTCAGGGGTACTATCTTTTGGCACATCAGCGTTCAGCATTTTGGGTTTCTCGTCTCAAACATTCGCTACTCGGGAAAGATGTCTGCTCTCTGTCAACAACGCTCTCACCATTGTTCCAACAGCACACGTCTTGCGAACTACAGCCGTAAAGCGAGATCAGCAGTCCGCCATTCGACTTCTCAGCAACAAGCACATCACCAGCGAGGGCTCTTACTTGCGACGCACCGGCTCATCTCTCCATGCGAAGTACGCGAACCATCCGAGTACAGAAGCCACTCGTTTTCTGCAAAGCACAAAAAGTAAGTTGATCTCAATGGCTCTTGCTCTTCATCAGCACTGCAACTATGATCACTGTTCTGCTTCTTTTTCGATCGCAACCTGCACACATGGCTATCTCAGCGTTCATCTCGATGTGTTTGACTTGGAAAACTTGGGAAAAGCTCCAAAAACACATTCGAGATGGACTGCATATGAGTGCCTGGGTCAGCAGCTTTCGAAGAAGTCAGTTCAAATCAGCGTGCTTTTGTTGAGCAAAGTCAGCGATTTCTTCTGAAACACGAGCAGCCAGGAAACAGTGGCGGACGTCAAGGTTGGGGGACGAAAAAGCAAACATCCCGATTTGACGTATGCTGCTGGCAGAAATCATTTCGCTGATGGTGGTTGAGAGAGCTACAAGGTGTTGAGTTTGAGGAGAGTCTTCTGCATATGGTCACTGGCCAGCTTTGAAGTCGGGTGTTTGGGACAGAAGACTATCTCAGCTGGTTCGCTTGATCAACACTTCTTGGACATTGGTTTGATGGGTAGCGGCTGCAGAGTTGGTCTCTCTACTGGGTGGTGGTGCGCGATTCGAAAGACTTGAGGAGCTTTTTCATCTTCAGAACAAGGAAAGACATGGTTTTTGGGGCTGGCAAACAAACAGGCAAAACAAAACTCAAGGATTTGGGTACGGGCAGGGGCATCTCTTCACAACTTTGAGCATTTTTTGTACTTCAACGTCATGAAGCAGGACTTGGGAGGACAGAAAGGATATTTGAGAACCTGATAGTGCTGGAAAATAACCTCATTCAAACACACTTCTCTTCTTTTTCTTCTTGCTTGTGCATGTAATTCTTCTCCTCTTCATACTTTTCTGTCTCTCAACTCACTGATATCGTTCATGCCGTCCCAATTATAGACACAGTTTGGAATGCAGTGCTTTCGCCACTATCTCCTCATCTTGGTATGTTCATCGTAGAAATCGATCCCCTTTGAAGCTCTTATCTCAGAAAGTCACCGTGAAGATAGGTACTGGTTCGTAAATCTTTTCAAGCTAGATGAACTTATGAGGTTTGCTGGTGAGTATCTGCCTGGGCTGAGGCAGCAGGGAAGGGCCTCACCCTTGTGGACGCATTTAGAAGGATAGTGCCTGAGAATGAACTACTGTCAAGCCGCAGACAGATGCAAGTTAATATCTTCAAGAGATGAAGGAAGGATGACAAGTCTTGGTCATACTTTTTGGGAGAAAGGAAGGGACGACCGTCAGTTGAAGGCAATCATGGGACACCCTGTCATGGCTTGTGCTTTGCAGCTTCACAACGGCAGCAGTGAGTGACGCAGCACTTTGTCGCAAACATTCCTCCGAGACCAAACACACCAGAGATGGCAGACCAACAACTAGAACTAGCCAAGCGGACAAGTACCAAAGGCAAGGTGCCTACTGGTTACGCCGACGAGATTGTCATCAGTGAGACAGCCTTCCGCAACGCCCACCGAGCAGTCGAAGCAAACCACGAGCCGCCGACCAAAAAGCGCAAGAGAGAGGGGAAAGGCGACAGCAGTATCGTCTACGGTGCGGGCGCATACAAGGGACCATGGGCGCGTTATGAAGTCGAAAGACCTGACGACAGTTCAGGCAGTGAAGAGGAGGTCGAGGTCGAGTACGAGGAGGATGAGATTGCGCCGCAGCCTGCAGCTCCGTCAAAGGCTGGCACTGCATATGTTGAGTCGGATGGTTCGAAAGAGACGACCGAGTTCCATGGAAGCCAGCAGTACGACTACCAGGGCAGGACATACATGCATGTACCACAAGATCTGGACATCGATCTACGGGGCGACCTGCCAGACGACTACAAGAACTATGCGCCCAAGAAGTTGCTCCATACCTGGAAGTCACATACCAAGGCCATCACTCAATTACGCTTCTTTCCTGATGCTGGACACCTGCTGCTCTCAGCTTCTGCCGACAGCAAGGTCAAGATTTGGGATGTCTACCACCAGCGAGAGTTGCTGCGTACTTACTCTGGCCACACGAAGTCTGTGTCGGATATCTGCTTCAACTACGATGGTTCTCGCTTCATGACAGGCTCCTTCGACAGACAGATGAAGCTCTGGGACACCGAGACTGGCCAATGTATCAGCCGATTCAGCACTGGTGCCACTCCTCACGTTGTTCGCTTCCAACCTGATCAAAACTCGGCTACCGAATTCCTGGCTGGTATGAGCGACAAGAAAATCGTCCAATTCGACACGAGGACGCCTGGAGAATCACCCATCCAAGAGTACGACCACCACTTGGGTCCAGTCAACACAATCACCTTCTGCGACGAGAACCGTCGTTTCATCACCACTTCAGACGACAAGAGTTTGCGCGCATGGGAATATGGTATCCCCGTGCCCATCAAGTTTGTCGCTGAACCCTACATGTTCCCTATGGTACGCTCAAGTCCACACCCATCTGGCAAATACGTCGCCTTCCAGAGCTCAGATAACCAAATCGTCGTCTATGCATCTACAGAAAGATTCAGACAAAACAGGAAGAAGAGTTATCGTGGGCACAACAATGCCGGTTATGCCATTGATGTGGCTATCAGTCCTGATGGCGGCATGGTTATGTCTGGAGACAGCGGCGGTTACGTGTGCTTCTATGATTGGAAGACGTGCAAGATGTGGCATAAGATCAAGGCGAGTGAGTCTGCTGTTGTCGCTGCACAGTGGCAGCCCAAGGAGACATCCAAGGTTGTTACGGGTGCTTTGGATGGCTTGATCAAGTACTGGGACTAGAGAAATGGGAGAGGGCAATGAATCAATTTATCTCCTGTATCATGGCGACGGAGTCTTGCTTTGCGAGTCTTCCTACTTTCTGTTGCCCTTTTCATCGAACACTAATGGTTTTCCGTCGCACGAATTATAGTGATGCAGTGAATCGATGAATGAATTCTTGATAGGAAGAGAGTAGAACTGAAGTAAGTCAGGATAAGTTGGTCAAAAGTGACGTGCTCGGAGACAATTCTTGGAGGAGCAGCCCCACCAAGGGTCCGAGAGCCATCTGGAGCTTCGCGCGCATGCAACAAGCGACTTGTTTACACCATCCAACAACATGCCCCAGGAAGAGTCGAAACCTATAGACGCTCCTGTCAATCAGGAAGCTGTCAACGATGCCGTCCAGAACCTCAAACTGTCCGATGAACAATCCAAAGAAGGCGACAAGCTGAAAGAGGCCGCCGAGTCGAGCGGAGAAGACAACAACGACGATTCGACACAAGCGCCCGCCAAAAAATCAAAGAAGAAGAAGATCAAGGATGCCGTCTCAAATCTCACCTCCTCCTCCAAGACGCCTGCTGCTCCTACTTCCGCCGAAGACCCGCTACCCGCCTCGACTGTCGACAAACTGTCCGACTCGCAGATCAATGCTCTGGTACAAAGCAATCCTGCCCTGGCCCAGGCCATGCTCAAGGGCGGTTCATCTCTCGATGCCCGTAGCATGCGCGAACTTCTCAAGTCTGTCAGCGCTGCCGACCTGATGACAGGTATGAGCTCGGGAAAGAATGCAAAAGATATGGCCAACTACAAGTTCTGGTCCACCCAGCCCGTCCCTCGCTTCGATGAGAAGGCTGCTTCCGCTGAGAAGTCGGTCGTCGAGGGTCCTATTAAAGAAGTCGATCCTACCAAGGTCTCTACAAAGCCATCTCCTCTGGTTGCCGGTTTTGAGTGGTCTGAAGTTGATCTCTTGGATGAGGCCGAGCTGAAGGAGGTCCAAGAGCTGCTCTGCAACCACTACGTTGAAGATGATGAGGCCATGTTCCGCTTCAACTACCTCAACGAGACTCTCAACTGGGCTCTTAAGGCCCCTGGCTGGCGCAAGTCATGGCACGTTGGTGTGCGTGCCTCCAAATCACGCAAGTTGGTCGCTTTCATCTCTGGTGTGCCCGTACGACTCAATGTTCGCGGTAATGTTATCAACACAGCAGAGATCAACTTCCTCTGTGTTCACAAGAAGCTCCGCAGCAAGCGTCTTGCTCCTGTTCTTATCATGGAAATTACTCGTCGCTGCAACCTCGAAGGTATCTACCAGGCCATCTACACCGCTGGTGTTGTCTTGCCCAAGCCTGTGGCCAGCTGCCGCTACTTCCACCGTGCTCTTGACTGGGAAAAGCTCTACAACGTTGGCTTCAGCCCGCTTCCTCATGGCAGCACTAAGATGCGCCAGATCTCGAAGTACCGTCTGCCAGAGCGCACTGTAACTCCCGGCCTCCGCTTGATGCGTGCAGAAGACGCCGACCAAGTCACAGACCTGCTGCAACGTTACATGAAGCGTGTCAAGATGGCTCAAGAATTCAACAAAGAAGAAGTCCTGCACTGGTTCGTCGACAAAGAGACCGACCCAAAGAGCAGCAAGCGTGTCGTCTGGACATATGTCGTCGAAGATAACAACAAGAAGATCACCGACTTCTTCAGCTTTTACAGCCTGGAAAGCTCTGTGATTCATAACGCTAGCCACCAGAGCACAATCCGCGCTGCCTACCTCTTCTACTATGCTACCGAAAGTGCCTTTGAAAAACAAAACGACGAGGATGATGTCCTCAAGGCCCGTCTCAACTTGCTGGTCAAGGACGCCTTGATTCTCGCCAAACAGGTAAGCTACCCACTTCTCACCCCACATCTTTTCAAGACAAAATCACTAACATGTCCATCCAAAGGCCAAATTCGACGTCTTTAACGCCCTCACACTCCTCGATAACCCTCTCTTCCTTTCCGATCAAAAGTTCGGCCCTGGAGATGGTCAACTCCACTATTACCTTTTCAACTACCGTACCGCTGACTTGCCTTCTGGTGTCGACTCCAAGAACCAAGTCGATGCTAGACAGCGCGGTGGTGTGGGTGTTGTCATGCTGTAGAAGAGGATTCAAACACCTTGCTTCTTCTGCATGCCACATGCCTTTCCTCTAGCAGCAATGTATAAGAGAGACAGAAAATAAAAGACGCTTAAAACAATTCGAATCGTAACCTCTTCTCACAGGCGCAGCCTTTCATGAGTAGAACAGCTTGACATGACACCTTTTTTTTCCGATTGTTTTCTGCGCGACCCTTGTCCATTTCTTTTTTTGCGTGTCAAATGTGTCTTCTGCTTTTTGTTCTTCCCATTCTCCTAGCGAAGCTGATGTGTTTGTTAGAAGTGAACGAACTTAAGCGAGAAGAAGCAACGCAGAATTATGCTACAACACCCGAGCCCCGGGTTGACAGCAAAGTTCTTTCATTCCAACACCCCGACCAATGTTTTTTTGCTCCGCACTGCTTCTCGTCTATATGACAAATGCCTTTAGATGGCAGGCTCTTTCCTCGCCAAGACGTCTCGATCTAACATTGGTCATCAACAAACTCATACTTACTCACACTGGTCACACAACTGGAACAAAAGCACTGATAACTCGAATGTTGTCAGAGGAAAGAGAAAAAATTTCCGCTGCTCGTGTATATAAGCTCTCCATAACCCCCAGGTCCTCCCTTCCAGCCTAAGAATATCTGTAATCATGTCTCCAAAGAAAGTATTGATCCTTCGATAATAATAATGTCATCAACGCGATGTGGCATCCACCTTGTTAAGGAATGCCTAGCAAAGAGACCAATGATGAGGACATCCAAGCATCGACTGGTTTTGACATGGTCGATTGAGGTCGGTCCGTGTTCGAAACCGCGGTGTGATATCTGTGCTGAGGTCGAACGTGTCTGGGTTGTATCCTACGACTGCGGATGATAGTTGTTGACTACAAGAGACTCGTGCATCTGCAGTGAGGCAAAGAGGTATGCAGCTGTTACGTCTGCTAAGATGTATTGCAGACTTCGACTTGATCATACCTTCCCTTCGTTGGAATTGGTGACGCGCCAGTATGCAATCAACACTCGAGGTCAACCAGCTATTCGAAAGCCATCTATTCAAGCAGGAACTCAGAATGATACTCGAATATCAGACTCCTGCGCTCTTGCTATTCTGACCAGTGTCTTGACCACACGTTACGATAAGTTTGCCATCGGATGCCGTATCATGCTAAGCATTATTCTACCTCATCATTATCATCTGTTTGTCCTACAAGTCAATTATCAAGTACTTTAATTCTCCCAGCGTACACATCCCTCGAGCAGCTGGTGAACTTCCTGCTGGGCTTGAACCACGAGCAAATTACGTTTCTCGATATTTTGAACGCCATCATTCTTAGGACGAAGCAAGCTTATATTCCTACGTGATCACTTAGATCATACAATCAAAAAGCGGAGAAAAGAGTTATTACGTCTTCATCTATGCTAACCTTTCTTTCCTGACTGCAAAGCTACTAGTAGAATCTTACTGAGTTGCACAGTTTCCGAGATGAGACATTTTGCCTAGGGATTTTGTGTACAGATGTTATGGTTGTAAGCAAGACAGCAAGGAATGGTGAGTTAGAGATCTTGGATGTAGTTGTGTAGGTTATGATTATCATGCCGAAAGCATACCAACACAGCAGCGAGATAGAAAGACGACAATCCGCTTGTGAGAACATGACCAGCGAGAAGCACGATGAAATCGAGTGCGTTTCATTCTAGATATCTCATGAACCGTCTCAAAACTACAGTCCATTTGCAGAGGTACTCCGTACCAACCCTGCTCTTCTCTGCCATTCATCTCCTCTGTAAGCTATGCAGACCATTCTCGCATCGTCTTTGGCAGCGTCTGGGCCGCCATAATGGTATCTGACTTATGAAAGCTGCAATAAACACGATTAGCAAATACCACATACCAATCAGCGAGGCGACATTTCTTACCAAGGTGTTCAACGTCTTTCATACCTGACCATATACTGTCTCTTTGATCTTGTTCACTCTCTTCGATATACGATTATGCATGATACACATACAAGATCAGTATTTAGTCAGTGCTGTATGATAGAGGTGTTAAACGTCAACAGAGCTTGGTGACATAGTTTCTGTCTTGGACGTGATACTCACATGATGCGAATCGTCTTTGTGTGTCTTCAGCAACCATTTTTTCTCCTTAAAACTCCACTGACCGAGACACTGGCCGCTCTTAGTAGCGACAGCAATTCCCCTCGTCGTCTTTCTCGCGTTCCGAAGTCTTCAGACACCACCACTGCTTGGTCTAGTAGGCATCCTATCTCATGGCGCCTCTTCCTTCAAGTCCTCAAGACGTTTGACTAGCTGTCTGCCGACTTCCAGACCCTTTAGATCTGGCCTCTCTGCTTTTGTAGCTGGCTCATTTCGTTTTTTGAGTTCTTCTTCTTGCTTAGTAAGTGCCTCCTCCCACTTGCTGAGGTTGTCTCCCTGCTCGCTGAGTACGTGCCCCCACTTGCTGAGTATCTCCTCCTGCTTCTCCAGGTTGAATACCCACTGGTGCAGGAGTTTCGCGGTTTTGAGCTGGAGTTCCTCGCATTTGAGCCTTTCTTTAGAAAAGATTTGTGTGTAAGCCTTGTGCATGAACCAGATCTCTTGTGCGATGATGCTGGTAAAGGCAACTAAGTTGATGACCTTAAAGACGATTGGCCAAGACGAGTGCTTGGCTGCGAGAATGTCATATGTGTACATGAAGCCGAGGGCGGACGCCAGGATCAAAGACAAGGAGCAACCGTACATGGCATAGACATTGGTTCTGGCCAGCGTATTGATGAAGCAGAACATGAAAGCAATTGCGAGACAGCTCAGAGTATCTTCCAGCAAGGCATTGAAGCTCTCGGAGGCGGTGATGGCGTGTGGGTTTGGCATGATCGCAGTGCTTGTATGGTGTCGATGCGGGAAATTGAGTGAAAGCGATACAGCCTGGTGATGGTTAAGCGGCGCGGACAACAGAGTGAAGTTGTGGATCGTTAATCAGACTGTAGTTTTACTCTCTTTCCTCATGTGTGTCGACTCCACTTGTGCGAAGAGCTGATGCAGAATGTGTGGTTGCTGCGCAGATTCTGTGGATGGAAGGTGCGTGTTTGGTAGTTGCTTCTAGAATTGTGCTGTGAACGGAAAGTGCGTTTGCTAATGGTTGCGTTCAGAAGTGCAAACAAGGTTGTTTTAATACTTCATCGGACAATCACACAACGAAATATTTCTGGAAGGTGCAAGCAGTCAACAGATCATCCTAAAGATGAAGTAAAAAACACGGAGAGGGTGGTGCGTGGAAGAACTATGTCCTGGAGCGAATGCCCTTGATGAAGAAGCTTAAATCTTTCTTCGTCATTGGTGAGAATTGAACCTTGTGACCAGCTAGTTCACAGCTCACATATGGGTGTTTAAGACTTAAGCTTTTGTACTTAAGGCTTTCCAGGTGTGCAGCTAATCGCGACACCATTCAGAAACCTCATGAGGCAGAGTATAACTGGTGAGCGCTCAGTGACCACGAAAGAAATCAGAGTTGAAAGCCTGCCTTGATGGTTGGCAGGCACAAACAAGGAGCTGGGCTCTGGAGATCTTTCTGTGATCAAGTCGATCTAGGTAGCTCCTTCCATTGCTCTCAGCCAATACCCATAAATCAGAGCGTTAGGTCTAGACAGTCGAGAAATAAGATGATGTTTTGGTCGGTTCATTGAGATCGAGGTCCGAGGGATTTTCTTATTGAGCACCAGATACAGAAATGTAATTCGGCTTATTGATGCCAGGATTCGGCCTACCAAGACAACTTTCTGACAACATTTATCCAGGCACACAAAGCCAGATTCATGCCCAGAGACAAATGGCGCGAGTCCAATACTGGCTGCCAAGGCCGTTCCTTGTGTTGATCGCGAGTAATGTTGCCTTGCCAATCTCCTCGTCGTAGTTCGAACGTATCTGCGAGAGACATTCTTTGAGACTTTATTGTCGAGTCTTCGAGGTCAGCCCTCGTCAAGGGTATACTGTCAGCCATGGCCAATGTGTGGTCCTTTGTCAAGTCTTATTGATATACTGTTGCAACGCTAAAAAGCCAGCGAAACAACATATAAGAGACCATATCACCATCGATTGACCAATTACTCACCATTAGAGTTACTTCTACATTCTCTTTCTTCAAACCTCACGAGATTCGTCATGAAGTTCACCACCATTGCCCTCGCCGGCTTGGCCACCGTCGCCATGGCCTCCCCTGCCGCTGAGGCCAATCCTGCACCTCAGCCTGAGGCTGCTGCTGACCCAGCCTTCTCCTCTTGGGGTAAGAAGTACAACCCCCACCTCTGGAACGGATGGGGAGACGCTCCTGGACAAGTCTACCGTCGTGAGGCCAACCCCGCTTTCTCTTCTTGGGGCAAGAAGTACAACCCTCACCTTTGGAATGGCTGGGGAGACGCCCCAGGCCAGGTCTACCGCCGTGAGGCCAACCCTGCTTTCTCCTCGTGGGGCAAGAAATACAACCCCCATCTCTGGAATGGCTGGGGTGATGCTCCTGGACAAGTTTACCGCCGTGAGGCCGATCCTGCTTTCTCCTCGTGGGGCAAGAAGTACAACCCACACCTCTGGAACGGCTGGGGCGATGCTCCTGGCCAAGTCTACCGTCGTGAGGCTGAGGCTACTGGCACTGCCTCTACCACCGCAACTGCCAAGCCTGCTGAGACTGGCACTACTGAGGAGGAAGAGAAGGCCAACTTCAACGACTTTGAGCGTCGTGACCCTGCATTCTCCTCTTGGGGCAAGAAGTACAACCCTCATCTTTGGAACGGCTGGGGTGATGCTCCCGGTCAAGTCTACTAAACCTGGTCGACCAAGCTGAAAGAGTAGTGTGTTCGTGCTAGAACTTGGCTGTAGCTGGCCATTGCTGGTTTGCCTAGGCCAACGATTTTTTTTTTCTATTTCTTTTTCATATTTCGCGTTGTCGGAGGGGAATATGCTGCACCTCTGGCATGTCTTTTGAGGAAATGAAATATTCAAACGTTACTCGATATACGTACGATTTTGCTGAGATGAGATAATACTGCTCGTGTCTGACTGCTATGGGTCAATGACGATGTGAACACTTATGTGAACTTTTATTTGAATTGTTTTTGGTTGCATGAATAGAAGATGAGGTCCATATAGGGAGGTACAATTCTGTGACAGACTGCCTGGACATTAATTTGGCGATCAAGCAGGTTGAGCAGAGGCCGGACATGAATAAGATAAGCGCCGATAGGACTGTCCTCACAGAAAAGGTGTTGAAAAACTCATTGCGCAGGCATGAATCTAGTCATAGAATGTGGTGACCGGACTTCGCACAACGGGGTTGGCCGCCAGTGATACACGATGGTTGCGACACGGGTACGAAGCTGCCGGAGTGTGAGCAATCTCCGCTCAGGCCGGTACACACATTGATATGGTCAAGGAAAGAAGCAAAGAGAAGATAATGCGCAGTGCAGTATGGACGACGGGCGGGCCCAACATTCTGGCGGTCCTGCGGCTGGCGATATGGCTCAGCAGATAGATGTCACGTTATTGTAGTGGAACACGCAGAACAGACTTGAATTCATGTTGTGAATGTCGTGATGGACAGGTGAAGCAAGCTCTCAGCTCTCAGCAACAGCTCACTCGGCCCGATCACGGCGGGTAGCTCTCGCTGGAAAGGTGAAGAAAGGTGAGTCGACGTCCGATGGCCTGTGCTCAGGCTGCAGCAGCTTTGTTGGGTGGGTGCTTAGGAGGGGTTGAGGGCGCGTTCAAAAAGTCCTGCTGTCGTCCACCAACAACCTCTCTCTTCCCTTTCAACATCAACAAACCATATCACAAATGTAAGAACTACCTTCCTCCACCTTTCCGGGAACTCTAGGAGCTTGACACGGTCGTCAATTGCGGGGAATGTTCGGCCATGTCGACCATCGAGCTTCACCTCTCCGTTTCTGCCCGAAATCAATCAACACCACGGCTTGACCCTGCTATAGCCGAGGACTCTATCTTGCTTCGCTATTGAGCATCGAGCATCGATCCGGAGCTACCGCATCGTCCTCCTTTCATAAATCCCCGCGTTACCGCCCTCACAGCTTCCCGGACCCTAAACTGACCCTCCCCTCCCAGCATCATGCCTATCCAGAAGATCCACGCCCGCCAGGTCTACGACTCGCGCGGTAACCCAACTGTGGAAGTTGACCTCGGTGAGCCTGAAACGTACATTTCTGCTATTTGCGGCGCCAATTGCTGACTTTCTGGCCATCTTAGTCACCGAGAGCGGTCTTCACCGTGCCATTGTCCCCTCCGGTGCTTCTACCGGCTCCCACGAGGCCTGCGAGCTCCGTGACGGCGACAAGAGCAAGTGGGGCGGCAAGGGTGTCCTCAAGGCCGTCGCCAACGTCAACGATGTCATTGCTCCCGCCCTTATCAAGGAGAACCTCGACGTCAAGGACCAGAGCGCCATTGACGACTTCATGAACAAGCTTGATGGCACCACCAACAAGACCAAGCTCGGTGCCAACGCCATTCTCGGTGTCTCCATGGCCGTCGCTAAGGCCGCCGCTGCCGAGAAGCGTGTCCCCCTCTACGCCCACATCTCCGACCTCGCCGGCACCAAGAAGCCCTACGTCCTCCCTGTTCCCTTCATGAACGTCCTCAACGGTGGCTCCCACGCCGGTGGCCGTCTCGCTTTCCAGGAGTTCATGATCGTTCCTTCGTAAGTTCTGCCTCTTTGACATCTTCAGTCTGAATATTGGCTGACTCCTATGTCCAGGGACGCTCCTACCTTCACCGAGGCCATGCGCTGGGGTGCTGAGGTCTACCAGAAGCTGAAGGCTCTTGCCAAGAAGAAGTACGGCCAGTCTGCCGGCAACGTCGGTGACGAGGGTGGTGTTGCCCCTGATATTCAGACCGCCGAGGAGGCTCTCCAGCTCATCACCGAGGCCATTGAGCAGGCCGGCTACTCTGGCAAGATGAACATTGCCATGGACGTTGCCTCGTCCGAGTTCTACAAGGCCGACGCCAAGAAGTACGACCTCGACTTCAAGAACCCCGACTCCGACTCCTCCAAGTGGGTTACCTACGAGCAGCTTGCCGACCAGTACAAGGAGCTCGCCTCCAAGTACCCCATTGTCTCCATCGAGGACCCCTTCGCTGAGGACGACTGGGAGGCCTGGACCTACTTCTCCAAGGTCTACGAGCACCAGATTGTTGGTGACGACTTGACCGTCACCAACCCCGCTTTCATCAAGAAGGCCATTGAGACCAAGGCTTGCAACGCCCTCCTCCTCAAGGTCAACCAGATCGGTACCATCACCGAGGCCATCCAGGCTGCCAAGGACGCCTTCGGTGCCAACTGGGGTGTCATGGTTTCTCACCGCTCTGGTGAGACTGAGGATGTCACCATTGCTGACATCGTTGTCGGTCTCCGTGCCGGCCAGATCAAGACTGGTGCTCCCGCCAGATCTGAGCGTCTTGCCAAGCTCAACCAGATCCTCCGTATCGAGGAGGAGCTCGGTGACAACGCTGTCTACGCCGGATCCAAGTTCCGCACCTCTGTCAACATGTAAATTCGCATTGAATGACACAGGAGTAAAAACGGACGGCGGACAGCCAGGTTTTCTTTATTGCACAAACGTTATATCCCCTTTTTCAAAAATTTGACGACGACAAGAATCAAACACAGTTCAAACACATCTACTTGTACTTGCCTGACTGATATACGTGACATGTGGTGATCGTGAGCCAAAATTAATGAGGTGCTGCATAATTAAATTGTGCAAGTCGCGGAGTCGGCGTTTTGCTTGGCACCTGCGGCGGACTTTTGAAAGTTGACGGGCACTTGAGCACGCATGCGTGGTATAGGCAGTCCCTTTGTCGCCATGTCTGGATCAATCTGTCTGCGGTGCCTGGCCAGGCCGGCAGTAGGCACACTAGAGCAAAGCTCGCTACGAATCACAGCACAAGCGACAGCAGCATTTTCGACCAGCGCCGCTCTGGAAGCCAACTCTGCCGTCAAGAAGAAGAGCGTCGCCGTCGCCAAACCCGGCCGTGGAGCCAACGCCTCGTTTAGCAAGCAAGGAAAACTCAGAAAGGGACAAGCTGGAGGAAGAACGGGTAAACCGCCGGGAGAGGGCGAGCGCAAGGCTATGCGCAAGAGAGTTGTTCTGTCCAACACCAACGCCGTCGAGGTCCAGGGTCTAGACAACCTTTCGGCCGCCAACATCCACGATGCTGCTATTGAGGGTCAGGTCTTGGGTCTCAGCAACGAGGTCATTGATGCTCTGCGCGCAACTGAGGCTTTCAAGCCTACCCAAGGATGGAGCCTTTTCAGAAGACCGGCGACTCTGGTGCGCAAGGAGACGGCCGAACTTGCCAGGTTGATGCAGGAGATTGAGGCCAAGAAGACTTCTGTGCGTCGTGTTATGTACGGAGAGCGTGGCTCAGGAAAGAGTGTTTTGGCTCTGCAGGCCAAGGCCATGGCTCTGCTCAAGGGCTGGATCGTTGTACACATTCCCGAGGGTAAGCGCATTGCAGAAGAGAACGAAGCGGAAGAGAGATTCAGAGTATACTGACTACTTGTACAGCCAAAGAATTGATCCTCGGAAACTCGTCCTACGCACCCTCCAACGAACCCGGCGTCTACAACCAACCTCATTTCACAGCAGCCCTGCTGGCCCAAATCGCCAAAGCTAACCACACAGTCCTCTCAAAGCTGCGCCTATCACAAAAGCACGAGCTGTCCATTCCTGTCCAGCAAAACATCTCTCTCGACCGCTTCGCCATGATGGGCGCCCAAGACCCAGAAATCGCCTGCGAAATCTACAACGCGCTCTGGGCCGAATTGACCGCTCCCTCTAAAGACGGCGAGGGTCTTTCCCGTCCCCCTGTCGTTTTCACCATCGACTCTGTTGCCCACATTATGCGCGACTCAGCATACATGAACCCAGACGTCCAGCCCATCCACGCTCACGACCTGGCCATCGTAAAGCACTTCTTCAGCCTGCTGTCGGGCAAGCAGACTCTTCCCAATGGAGGTATGATCTTCGCCGCCGACTCTGGCAGCAACAGACCCTCAATCCCTGGCTTCGACCACGCCGTGGCTCGCAATGCCGCCCTCGCACAGAAGAAAGAAGTTCCCCAATGGGATCCTTGGGTCAAGGTTGACCAGCGAACCATTGACGTTTTGAACGGCGTCGATGTCTGGCAGATCAAGGGCTTGAGCAGAGAGGAGGCACGCAGCATCATGGAATACTATGCCAAGAGCGGTATGTTGCGTCAAACCGTCAACGACAACTTGGTTGCAGAGAAGTGGACATTGAGTGGCGGTGGTATCGTTGGCGAGCTCGAGAAGGGCACTGTCAAGACTCGCATCTAGGAGGATTATGATATCCTTTGGATGTAAGATGTATTTCTGTATGTATTATTCTACTTGTACAATTTGCGCAAGGCTGCAAAAAATATTGAAAGGCGTTCTTCATGATTATCCCTTCGTCCTTCTTTCCATTGGTCAAGATCACGGCTCGTCAACATCAGCTAGCAGCATCCCTGTGCCCAGATTCATGGTCATCAAAGAGACACTATTTTGACAGACTAGAATCACGTTATGAGAAACTACTTGACAAGACTCAGGTTGAAGGACATAGGTATTAGGTTGCTATGGATTCTTGATTCACAATGTTGTGTTGTGCTTCAAAACCATTATCACACTCAAGTCGAGACGTGCTGAGGATCTGGCTGTGCCTGAGCCTCAACAGGCTTTTCGATCGCACTGTGCTGAGTGGCCTCTGAGATATCGGCAGGCTTCTCAGACTTCTCGGGTACGGTCTGTTGGAGAGCTTGTGCCTGAGGTCCCGCAGGTTCTTCGTGCTTGTCGGATGAGATTGACGGAGTTTGAGTCTGACTCTTAGCAGAAATTGTAGGTTTCTCGGACTTTTCAGGTGTACTCTGCTGGTCAGCTTGTGCCTGAGGCTTTGCAGGTTCCTCGTGCTTCTCTGATGAGATTGGCGGTGGAGATTGAGTCTGACTCGTGGCGGGTATTTCAGGCTTCTCAGATGGAATGGGCTGAAGGGCCTGTGGCTGCAAGACGAGCAATACTTCAGACTTTTCGGCCGGAATGTGCTGGGGAGTCTGTTGTGTCTCGACAGGTCTTTCGACCTTCTCGGGCATCTGTGTTTGAACTTCAGCTGGCACGGTAGGCTTCTCCAGCAGTGTGTGCTGTAGAGCCTGCGCCTGAGTATCGAGATGTTCTGGAGACTTCTCAGGTGGGTCGTACTGATGAGTCTGCTGGACACTGACAGGTGTTTTGGACTTCGCAGTCAAGGGGTGTTGAGCAGTTGATACCTGGGTCTCGGGAGCATGTCCGGTTCTGACAGACGGAATGTGCTGAGGGTTCTGTGTCTGGCTCGTGGCAAGCCCTCCATGCTCTGCAAGCACGTGGTGTTGCGCAACAATTTGTTGATGCATATCAACAGGTCCTTCATGGTGCTCATATGAAACGTGCGAGAGGTTTTGTGGGTCAGTCGAGCCTCCAGCTTTCAGATGATCTCTGCTCTTCAAGTTGCTCAAGTCTTGCTTGAAATCCTCCCACCATGCTGCGCTTCGAAGCTTGGTCTTGTTATCATCTTCCTAGGATTTGCCTTCGTGATCGTAGTCGTCGTCGTTATCGTCTTCGTCAGGATCACTCTCAACGCCGTAACCGTCAATGCCAACAGTCTCGCCTCTCTTCTCACGCGCCAGGTTTTGCTGGTGCCATTTCTGGTAGCGGTGAGGTGTGTCGACATCGCGATGGTATACTCTGACGTCGTAATGTTCCGGCCATACGGGCAACTTGGCCAGCTCCTCAGCAACAGCTGTACTGCGATGACGACCTCTGACGCAGGCCACTGCGACACTGATTTCAATCATGTGAACACTGTTGTCGTGACAATCTTTCAGTAGCGCTCTTCGGGTTTCTTCAGTCTTGAAGATCTGAGGTTGAGCTTCGGCAAGTAATTCGTGAAAGACGGGATCTGCACGTAGGTTCTTGCGAAGGCCTTCGCAACGACCATCGAAGGCTTTGCGGATCTCAGATGGTGGATTGATGAGGCGGCGAGCGTTGATGTGAACGTCAGGCTTGAAATCAAGTGGTGGACCTTTGAGAGCATAGCTCATGATGCTGAGAATGGTGTTTTTTGGGTGAGTGGTATTGGTGTTAGAGAACATTGCAGAGTACGTATGAATGAAAGGATGATCAAAGTAAGAAGGATTGATAAGGTCTGACGGTGCTACTCCTGTTGATCGATGCAAAGAGGAATTGGTTTCTGTCGTATTTCAAACCCGGAGAAATAGGATTGGAGAAGTTGGAAAGCACGATGCTGGCCCGCAAACACTTACACTTGCCTTTCGATGTCATGCGGCTGTCATTGCCTTTTGGCGTGGAAGCAATACATACCCGCTGTTAGTCCAGCGTAACGACCAAGTCCCTATCATACTTAGACCGCAGCAGGCTTGTGCATCATCAGATCTCAGTCATGCTGGCCCCTATCGTCATAGTGTTCTTTGAGTAGACAAGAGAGGTCTTTTTGCATCTCAAGGCCTCTGTCGATCTTGTGGATGCCGAGGTTCTTCCTGCGACCTATCTTCCAGTGTTGATCGGGACATGTCATTCCAAGTTTCTGACAACATCAGCAGCACCAATCATGCGCCTCCAGTCAGCAAGTCACTCCTTCAGGTCTGATCGCCATGGTATGCATGGTTGCGAAGGAAGTCAAGAGAGTAAGCAATTTGAGCTGTAAGCGCTTGAAATCCGTGGCTGCCGACACTCGCTTGCCATTCGCTACCACCTCCGCTTGTTCACACAGGTCGCATGCATGCCGACTCGACTCCAGACCGCATATCTTTGTGACTTGTGCTGCCATGGGCGCTTACGCTTCTGAAGCTAATATAGCAAATTTCCGCTTCTACGAACTTGACCATTCTTAAGAAGTGCTTTTGGACACCTAAAGCGGGTTACAAATTGGCCAACAAAATGTCCTTCACCTAGCAAATCCTTGGTCAAGTCACCTTGTGCTCCATATATTGTTGGTTCAGCGTCAGCTTTCTATTCGTGAGACCTCGGGCTGTGCGGTCGATCAGATCCTAAGCGCCCATTTTAGAAACGAGTCACCACTGGCCTATCAGCATTACGAACTAGCATCTGGAAGAGGTCAGTTACCGCTCATCTTTCTTGTACTGATGTCGCACATTTGTTGGCGCTACGAGCCCGCCTCCAAATCTGACTACCTCTGTCTCCGGACGTCTAAGGTGTCAAAAGGTTGGCATCTCCTGCACCGTTCCCTTTGAGACTCCTCCCCATCATATGCTGTGTACTTTGTTGTATCTTTCTCTACTAGCACCATTCCGCCAGTCTTGTGAAGAAGCAAAAAAGGTCCTGAGCTGGGCCCTCGAGTCGTGTGTCTCTGTGATATCCTTTGGAGTCATCTCACGTCAGCCCCATTTCACATTGAAAGCATGAATACCAACGACATCCAAGCAGCTACAGACAACAGCTCTTCAAGACCACGAGCTGAATCGACGAATTCATTCGCCTCTTCCTTCAAATCTCCACGAGTGGCTCGTTTCGCCGAAGCAACGACAATCAACTCACCAATCGATCCACCTCGGTCATCATTCATCGCTGTACCAACAAATCACTTTCGCCCGCAGCCACAGCCATCTGACATCGGATTTGGTTATATCGATGACAAGCACACTTCGCACGTAACAGTCGAAATGGAAGATACAGATAACAACCATCTGCCTCGAGGTAGAAGTGAAGCACCTTTGAGCCCTCCTCTCAAGAGTGCTATGAAGACGCCCGGCATGGCACCACGGAATTTTGGTAACCTCATGAGCCCCACCTTCCAGGAAGAGCACATTCTAGAGAAGAGAGAGCTCGCTACCGAAAAGGAGCAAGCCAAGGATCTTGTGAGTATTTGTTATGAGACCTTAGTTCTGCAAATCACTAATATATATCAATCAGAAAATCAAAACACGAGTTCGTGCGGCGAAGATGTTCTTGAGAAGCATCAATTTTGCATGCTCTCTGATTGTTTTGTCTATGCTTGGAACAACATTTGCAATCTTCAATGCAACCAAGCGGCTCTCCCCCCGAAGCAATCTCCCTCCATGGGCTATGGGTACGAATCCGTGGCCCCAGATCCTTCTGCTCGTCATTGCCTGTATTTCCATGGTATTCTGCATTGCCATATTTTGGGGATACTGGCGAGGTGGGCACAAGAGAGCCGAAAAGGTCCAAACTTACTATACTGTTTTCGCTGTTGGATTCTTCGCCTTTAGCATCTTCATGTGGGGAATTGGCGCCGGTGTGTTGAACACTGCTAGGACCAACAGCAATGGACAGGATATTTGGGGCTGGTCTTGCAAAGAGAACAAGCGTAAGGAACTGTTCTCCGATGTCGTCAACTATGCCCTTGTCTGCCGCCTGCAGAACTGGTCACTGGTGTGTGCAGTGATCGAGATTGTCGTCGAGCTTTGCGCGATCGGCTGCTACTCATTCGTGTTCTACCGCATCTGGTCTAAGAGAAAGCTGCGCAAGTCTATGGCTGTCCGTGATCGCGCTCGCTCGGATCTTTACCTTGCGCAGCTGCGTTCTCAGTCTGCACCAAACACACCTGGTCTGAATGGACCTTTGAGTCCTAGGGACGGCGGTTGGAGACCGCCTGTCGACTACTACAAGGCTGGGCCATCGATTGAAGCTGGACTAGTAGAAGACGAAGGTGTCAGATACGTCGATGCTTCCCAACAGCCCACAGCTCCAAAGCCATTCGTGCTACAGCCACCTCCGACCAAGGGTTCGACTCCAAAGATCCAACAGACTGGTTTCACTCCGCTCAACTACACATCGCCAGCAGATTCGAGATCACCTTCACCAATGCAGGCACAACCTACGGAGCAACAGCAAGAACACTTTGCCGCGGCTCCTGGTGAGAGAATCTACGAGTCTGTACCAATTCCTGGATCTTATCGCAGCCCCTTGAACTCCCCGACGGTTGCACCGAAGCAGATGGGCTTTCCTCAAATAGCCAGTCAGCTGTAATCCGTATTCTTGTTCCTATGGCGATGGACCCTGGAACACTCATTTATATATCGAGATGGCATTCGGTGTTGGTTGGAAATTCTCGATCAAAGATTGGCCAATTCCATGTTATCATTCCTATCTCAAAACATACACTTAGTCTAACAAGGTACATCAACCGCATCAAGTTTTGTGTCTTGACTCGTAACTCGTGAATGTCCTAGTATGCTTGGCAACAAGAGAATAGGCAACTAGCGGAAGCTTGACTTTGCTTGTCTCTTCCTCCGGTCCTTCCGGATGACACCAATTCCAATAGGATAGGCACGGAGCACCAAATCCTGAAGTAAAAGTGAGCATCGATGCCGGCTGTGCCTAAACGATCATACTGGAACGCCAGTGAAGTAGAACTGTACAGTACATCAGCAGGTGTCGAAGATTGCTGAGGATCAATCTTGACCCCGTGCTTCGAGACATGAGCTTCAAGACGAGTTGTGATACATGGATCATCTCGAAAGGATTTTGACACTGGATGTCTCGCAAACTGATCATCAGTGAACAATCCAGTCCTTTCATGCAGATAGTAGCTACGCGAAACTTTTGTTTCCGTTGTATGGCCGGTCCGAGAAATGTAATCAATGTCTCTTCTCCACGAAATCTAAAATGGATTTTCAACCTTTTTGACGTCACCGTCACTTTCCGCGGTAGTGCCAGGGCCGAACAACTCAATTGTCACGATTGTGGCAGTGTTTGTACAGTTAGAAGGATCAAATAATGGATACATATCTCCTTGATCTGTCCTTCTCATACATTTTTGCAGATTGACGCCGCATACATCGACCTCGCTAATCTATCGCTCACGCGCTCCCCCACGTGCTCACCCAGGCCTGACTGAACTCTTGAAGTGCCGGGCAACGCGCCATAAGATCGGGTCGGATGTCTCTACCACCATGGATCTCCGGAAACAAAAGTCAGGCGCCGGCTCCTTCTCATGGCTTCTTGTCTGGCAATGGAAAGGTTCGGAACCCCAAGAAGCCCAAAGCGCGTCCTCCCAAGTCGTTGCGTGAGACTGTGCTCTTGCCGGTGAGATCGCTACCTGCATATTCCGGACCATACTCTGTAGGGACCATGGAGATTGAAGTGCCTGTTGAAAACCCCCGAACCTTTACCAACATCACGCGGAAAGGAAACCACGTACTGCAATTGAAGACTGTGCTGTTGACAATCTACTATCCGGCTTCTCCGCCGCAGAAGAAACGGCCATCGAGACAACTATGGCTGGGTCGGCCTCGAATCAGTATGGCCAAAGGCTACGGACAATTTGCAGGCGTTGGATCCTTGGGTGTGCCAATCTTTTTACCTACGATGTTTACGAAGCTTCCAGCATTTCGAAATGCTCCTCTCTCATCTGAATACCCTCCTGAATCGGGCGATAGGCAAGATGACCAGAAGTCGGGCGAGACCACAGAGGAAGAGGAATCCAAAGAGAAGGATGAACCAGAGGATGCCCCGCCAAAGTTTCCCCTCATGATCTTCAGTCATGGTTTAGGCGGCACCAAGACTGCTTACTCGAGTGTTTGCGGTGAGGTAGGCAAAGTTGAAATCCTGGCGAGCAAAGATCGTTCCTAACCTAGTACAGTTTGCGAGTTATGGATTCGTTGTTGTAGCATTGGAACATCGAGACGGGAGCGGTCCTCGAAGTTTCATAAATCAGCCCGGGACTGGTGAGGTTCGGTTTGACAAAGATGGTGAGCGCCGAGCTCCAAAACACCGTCACAGAACCCATGGCGATACGCACTATGATATAATGGTAAGTGTCGATCTTGAAGAGGCAGTAATCCCTCCTGGCTAACGCATCAACAAGGACTATCTCTTTCCCAAAGGTTTGTTCCTTTTGTCGTTGCGATCTCAAGACTAGCACTGACAAGACCAGATAATCCTATGGATACAGCTCCGAATAACGACAAAGGAGTTGACCATGAACTCAGAGAAGGTCAACTAGATCTTCGTTTGGCGGAGATCGAAGAAGCTTACAAGGTCATAAACATCATCAACTCTGGAAAGGGTGAAGAGATTGCTGCACAAAACATGCGCGAAGAAGGCTACAAGGCTTCGAGTACTCATGGTCTAGACGGCATCGATTGGAAAGCATGGACAGGGAGAGTCAACACTCAACACGTCATCGCTGCCGGGCATTCCTTCGGTGCAGCAACTGTTGTGGATATGCTGAGGCACGAGAAACGATTCGAATGGATCGCGCAAGGCATCATCTATGACATCTGGGGGTAAGCTTTGCCCGAAACATAGGGAAAACAGCTGTACTGACCATCCCCTATAGAAGCGGCACTCGACCAGCAGACAAGGAGGATCAGAAGATTCAGGCTCCGATTCTGGCCATCAACTCAGAAGCTTTCACATACTGGCCATCAAATTTCGACCTTGTGTCAGATCTGGTGAAAGAAGCTCATCCATCCCCAGCGTGGCTTCTGACTGTCCGTGGAACAATACATGTCTCACAGTCCGACTTTTCGTTGTTGTACCCCAACGTATGTTCGATTTTCTTGAAAGCAAGCGCCAATCCCGAACGAGCTCTGGACATCAACGTCAACGCATCGCTGGAGTTCTTACATATGGTCATGCCTTCAATACCACTTCGCATCAAGAAGGCATTCCCGAACGAAGAGCTGTTACTCAAGGAAACTCATCACCTAGAGGACATTGCCCAAGTAGACATGCACAAACCAAAGGACGAGAAATGGATGGCCGCCAGATTGCGCATTCCGCACGAGTTTACGTGGCGTGTTGCTCCCGGGTTGGCAAGAAAAATGGCGCGGAAGAGAATGACGGAAGGAGGCGGTTCGCCAGATGATGAGATCTGGTTGCATTGCAAGCCGGTGGAAGGCACAGTCGAGAAATACAACAGCACTTTGGACAGAAGGAAGGCGAACGACCCAAAGGAACCGAAGGCAGAACCTGGATCAGTAGGTCCAAATGAAGGAACCAAGGAAGAGCCGGGATGCAAGGAATGGAGAAATTGATGTTGATACCTAATGTACATATAATTATTAATCTGAGCGAAGCCAGCTTGTTCTTCTTCTTCTATTCTAATTTCTCGACTCGATTCCTGGATTGGTCTAGCGATATTTGCAAAGACGTGACGTGCCCGATGTGGAAGTGTCGATGATCAAAGACTTGGGAAGATGTGATTTAGGCTATTGAACAACAAGTCTACCAAGTTTGCACTAGAAGAACAGCTTAAGCAGTCTCAGCGTGCCATATCCGGATCAATTCAGATTTATATGTCTCGTCGTCAAAACAAGAAGGCGCGTTTTGTCAATTTAGAAAAGCACGATTTGTGTCACATCAGGAAGGTGCTGCCAGAATTTTCACATTCAAGATGAAGTGCTCAGAAAGCTGAGGAATGCACGCTTCTCGTCAGATGAGGAAGTTGCATGTTTTATGAGATCAGGAAGGCACACTTTTCTATCAAACTAGGAAGGCATGCTTTGTTGTCAGATCGGAAAAGGACTGAACTATATATTGATGCCGTCGATCAGTCGACTCACATCTCAGAACTGAGGTGCTTAAAGCTGAGTGGCGCAGCGGAAGGTTCGTAACATATTATTTCACCTGCTCTCTAGCAACATCAAACTAACTCCTAACAGCGCGCCGGGCTCATAACCCGGAGGACCTTGGATCGAAACCAAGCTTAGCTATCCATTCTTTTTTGCTCTAAGAGGACCATAAGGAATATCTTTTGCTCTACCAAGTTCTCGTGCGTATGTACTCCGTAATTTATATTCTAATTGAGCCTCTGTCAGACTCAGGCTAACGGGTCGAGTCACAGCAAGCTCTAATTGCCGAAAGGCATTGTTCATCTTTTTCACATTTTGATGCCGAGAATTTTTTTTTTGTTACTGGATTGGGAAAAGCGTCAACAGCGGAAGCAGCTCCGTGTGCGACTTCGCTTGGTGTCAAGTCAGGCTTCCAAACCAGCGCTCCTTCCTCTGGCGATCGCACAAGATGCATAGTCGTTATCATGAAAGTAGTGACGGACAGCGCTAGTTGATGCTGATTTGGTAGTCGTAAGGCCGTGTGTCGCTCCACGAGCTTTGGTCAGTGCATTCCGAGTAGACTGTCCATTTACATTCCTCTTCTCCCTCGTCGTCAGGGAAGCATGGTAAGTCAGAGCCTCGCACTGGCAACAACAAACAGATGAACTCTTTTACAAGCATGTCGGAGAGCCAAAGTTGTTCACATTTCCCTCGACATCTTCCAGACAGTTGTCAAAAAAAAGCATAATTTGAGTCCTCACCGAGCTCATCATCATGCGATCTAGCGTGGCTTCTCTCTGCGCCATAACAGCGCTTAGCACACTTGGACAAGCGCTCGGTCTTTGGTCCCACTCACAACCATTAAGTCTACAGGAAAGAGCGAGTATCTGGGGTCTACCTGATTGTGCTAGCACATGTGTCACTTCCAGCTTCGGTGGCTGCAACTCTATCGATGTCGAATGTATCTGCAAGAACAGAGAGTTCCTGGACAACCTCGGTTGCTGCATGTCCGAAGCTTGCGATAAGGCCGATCAAGATGGTAAGCAACTCTACACTCAACGCATATTGTATCCCCGCTAATGTCAACTAGCTGCTATTGGATTTGCAAACAACTTCTGCTCTGCATACAAAGTCACAGATCTGCCTACCGCTGCAACATGCGCGTCAACCGCGGCAGCAACAACCAGTGACAAGAATACTACACCCTCTCCAACGATCGATCCCTCATCTGCAACTTCTTTGCTGCCCGCCTTGAGTTCGGCGGCTTCGGCAGCTATCGCCAATATCTCAAATGGCACGAACATCACTGGATATATTAGTACACAGCACATCACTGTCACAGCGACGGTTACAGCCAGCAGTACTGGACAGGCTCCTCGTGTTGCGGCTGAAGTGACTGGTTGGGCTTGGGGTGTGGGAGCCGTGCTAGCTGGAGCTGCTGCCGTGGTTGTTTGAGAGTCTCGTACACGCAGAGGAAACCATACACAAGGAGCTGAGATGATTCCAAGAGAGTACCGTCGTGAGAAGTAATTTCGTTCTTGTTCTCTTCATACAACATACATTGATACTAATGCTTAATCTTCTTCCTCCACCATGACTACATACACGCCAGTTGCTTGAAACAACTCAAGTATCAAAGCAGCACAAAGGGGAGGAACATTCTCAACTTCGAGTCGAATTTGTCCCATCAATTCTGAGACAGGGTCGTGCTTTCAACCACAGTCATATTTGTGGACGGCAGCATAGCAATGAGCCAAGACACCAACACGTAGACAGCCACTGCTTAGCAATGCTGCGTGGCCGTTCGGTTCTTTATAGAGCGAGAGGATGCAACACTGTGTGTTTGACGGCGAGATCCGGCAGTAGACCATCTCAGGCACTCTTTGCTACGGAACCCATGGAGACATACCATTTAATCTGACCTACGCCATACTGATTTACTTGATAAGATGAATGAAGCACGTTCTAAGTCGTGTACAGTCAGCAGTCAGTAAGATCCTGCTACCAAGCAAATGGCTGACTATGCTAAGACTGACAATGGAGAGCTTCCTACCCAATCAGCTTAATGACGATTAAGGACTCCACTGAGTAGTCTGGGCAACTAGAGTAACATCTAGCGATGCTATAGCAAATAGTGAGCGACTAATGATGACCAAAAACAGTGGTTCGCACAATATAGCCACTTCCATCGCTCGCCAAGCAAGTAAGACATATTTGACGCATCTGGTCTTGCTTTCTTCGACGTCCGTGACGTCTGGTCTTCTCCCTAATGCCTTAGACGACTTGTGCGTTGCTTATGGTTACATCAGGTTTTTAGCAACCAGCAGGCGGTGTTTCTGTATCAAACAGCACGCCTTTGTCGTGTAAAGAAGGTCTTAGCGTTCTTGCAAGCTCAAGAGGTCCCAGATGAGTTTAAGCAAGAATCAGCGTCGGTCTCTGACAAGTCATTCTGTGTATGTGTTGTTTACCTTGCCAGTCTTGTCGAGCCTAGTAGAGTATCATTTGGGTCCACAAACCTGGCATCACAGACATCGTCCCGTAATCATCAAAGGAACCCTTGGCCATAGTGTTTTATACCAAAGAACCAAAAGTGGAAGAACTCGCTCTACAGCCTGGGCCGAGAGAGTACCGTACAACCATCACAAGTGAAAAAGAGTGGCACTCCTGCGGCCGTAGGCAGAAGTTTTCTCAGCAGAGAGGCACGTACACTGCAGTAGCAAGTACAGTAGAGAATCTGTAGATTCATAGCACTGGCAATCCTCAGTCAGGCTTGCCAGGCAAATTGTAAAAAGATCTGCACATGACAACCACTTAGACGAACAGCAGTCTTGCACCGCAGGCGGTGCATCCTACTCGTTGGATGAGATCGATGAAGTCTGCTGGTCGTTGCTGTTGTTTGGTTCTGCGGGCTGGGAGTCTTGGTCGAAACAGCACTGCATGGCCTCGTGAGCCTCTCCATTAGTCAAGGAAATGGCCAGAAAGGGCAAGTGCCGGCCGAGGCCTCGCCTTCCCCACGAAGGATCATAGCAATAGATTGAACGAGTGATCCAGTTCGCGCTCGTTGTCGTTGTAGTATACACTTGGGCTTTGTAGACGAGGCAGACAGCCTTGCGAGGATTGCAAGAAGTCGAGAAACCCTCGTCCGCAATCGCACTGCCATCAAGGTCCGACCATCGGCGCCTGGCCAGGTAAGCAGGTGGTTATCATTATCATTAGCAAATCCATTGGTCGAATTTGGTCCCCGGATTTCGGATCTCGTCTGCTCCTGCGCTTAGCGGTCACTTCCATCTTCTCTTGACCCTATACACAGGTATAGCCGTAGACATTTTTCTTAGCTGGCGGACACGTTTTCACTACAAATTCCTTCATCTCCCGGCCCTCTCGCTTTTCTCCTTTCCTCATCTTTCCTGAAAATCAACTTTCCCAGCATCGTTTGCTGTATATATCCTCTGTCTACGTTCCTAAGGCCTTATCTGCCCCGCGATAACCCCACTATCAACAATCAATTTGTCCAAACATGGCTCCCATCGCCATCCACAGTTCGACAAAGGACTCGCTCAATGCTGAGGCCGAATCTTTCAAGCCAGTCGGCAACAAGCAAGTTGACCCTTACCACTCGGCAACTTCTGCTACTGCTATCGCTGCGGAATCCGCATACGCTGCACACAACTACCACCCTCTGCCGGTCGTCTTCTCGAGGGCACAGGGTGTAGATGTTTGGGACCCAGAAGGTATGTCTTCTTCAAAAGTTGGATACTGTTACGATGCACAAACCCGGACCGGTTTGGGTCGAGTCACATGTCATGTGGATGCACTGCGCGCGACATGGACTTGACCCTCCAGAGACGGGATTGGTGCATCGGGAGGATACCATCGATCGGATAATCTGCGAGCGAGAGATTCTGACAGCACACAGGCAAGCACTACCTCGATTTCCTCTCCGCCTACAGTGCTGTGAACCAAGGTCACTGCCACCCCGAACTCGTCAAGGCTCTCGTTGCCCAGGCCTCGAGACTCACGCTGAGCTCTCGCGCATTCTACAACGATGTCTTCCCTCGCTTTGCCGAGAAGGTCACTTCGATGTTGGGTTTTGAGATGGTCCTGCCCATGAACACTGGTGCTGAGGCTGTGGAGACCGCTGTCAAGATTGCACGCAAATGGGGATACAAGGTCAAGGGCATTCCTGAGAACAAGGCCTGGGTCTTCTCCGCCCAGGAGAACTTCCACGGCAGAACAGTAAGCACACCATAAGACCGCATGTTGTTTTGTGCAAGAGCTAACACACAACGCAGTTCGCAGCCATCACCATGTCCACTGACCCCGAGTCCAGAGACAACTACGGTCCTTACCTGCCTAACATCGGCTCTTGCAACCCTACCAATGATGAGCCTATTCGCTACAACAACGTTGCTGATCTCGAGAAGGTGCTCGAGGAGCACGGAAAGAACACTGCGGCTTTCTTGGTCGAGCCCATCCAGGGTGAAGCTGGCATTGTCGTGCCGGACGAGGACTACCTCAGAAAAGTGCGTGAGCTGTGCGACAAGCACAACGTCCTGATGATCTGTGACGAGATTCAGACTGGTATTGCTCGCACTGGTAAGATGCTGTGCCACGAATGGAGCGGCATCAAGCCTGACCTTGTCCTTCTCGGTAAGGCTATCAGTGGTGGCATGTACCCTGTTTCTGCTGTTCTCGGCAAGAAGGAAGTCATGCTCACCGTCGAGCCTGGCACTCATGGTAGCACTTACGGTGGTAACCCTCTTGGTTCCGCCATTGCTATCAGAGCGCTCGAGGTCATTGAGGAGGAGAACATGGTTCAGCAGGCTCAGATCCTTGGTGAGATGTTCAGACAAGGTCTCCGTGACATTCAGGCCAAGAACTCGATGATTTCCTTGATCCGTGGTAAGGGTTTGCTTAACGCTATCGTCATCGATGAGAGCAAGACCAACGGCCACAGCGCATGGGATCTCTGCATGTTGATGAAGGAGAAGGGTCTCTTGGTAAGAAAAGCTTCGCTAACGTTGATGAAACCCAAGGCTAACGTCTCTGCAGGCCAAACCTACCCACCAAAACATTATCCGTCTGGCACCTCCTCTTGTCATCTCCAAAGAGCAAATCGAGACTTCGCTCAGAATCATTGGAGAGGCAGTGGATGAATTGCCCAACTTGAAGGGTCAAACAGAGGAGAAGGTACTTCCTCCGGGTGAGAAGAACGTGCACATTGGCGTTGACAACTGAACACGGCCGGGCTTTGATTCCAAGAGTGCGTCGCACTTATTAACGTTTCCGCCATGATGCCATGAAGCCAAACCCCAGCATGTTTTATCGATTTCTTTAGCGTTTTGAGTCAAGACTCTGCATGGATACCCCCGTTGGGAGAGACTGCATGGATGGTCGGTTTTAGCAGCACTTCCATAATCTTTCATAGAGGAGCGCAGTACTGTCAAGTCTCGCAGGCAGCCGGATATAACAAAAGTTCGTAGAAATCAGCTCAACGTAGAAGCAAGCGCAAGTGAGACAGCCGTCAATAAGCAGGCTTTTGAGGATCTCGAAGTACCTGCCGCAGGTTACGACTATCGATGAACCACAAGGACGTGTGGCATGTCGGCAACGACCCAGAGCGGTGCAGAGCAGCCTATCAGCAAGCATGTGAACGTCGCTTGATTTGATTGCGAAAAAGCAGAGTGTTTGAACGGCTACGCCCCCACAAAGGACCACAAGGTGCTGAAGCAATTCTGGGCCAAAGGTTGAGAAGCGCCCAGCCTGCTTTGCACGCTAGTCTCCGCGTAAGTTGCACCGAACCTTGGTGTTCTACCCCAGACTTGATTAGGCGGGCCGATTGAAGGATAAATTGATTGCAGGCTTGCGAAATGCGCTTGAAACCGAATCGTTCGATGTCAGTCAAACGCGGCACGTACGCAAGCATCTGCAGGACTGTTGAGGGGCCTTCTCGTGTCGTAAACCATGCTGAAATGTTCGTGAGAGATGCCAATGGAGTTTGCGTTGTCTGTCAGGTCCAGCTGAGCTTCTCACGAGCACAAGAATGCTGGCGACAAAATGGTGTCCAGCCTGTTCGTTTTGCGGCGGAGCGTAGGCCGTTGCTGCTTGGCACGAACAAGTGCGCAGATCAGGGGTAGTCTGGGTCTGGGCTCAGAATCACAACACAAGCGCTGAAAGCAGACGGGCCAAAAGACCATGCTCTCTGGAACAGCCAAAACAGCTGAAGACGGGCTGAAAGGCTTGGGATCGATGGCAAAATCAAGCCAGAACGCTAGAGTAGATTGACGTTAGCTTGGAAAAAGAAGCCTAGTGAATGGGCGTACTGTGCAAGTGCGGGCACAAGCCCTGGTGGTATCTAAACGACCGTGCAGCCCTCGCTGTTCATCGTCTCCCCGTTCCAACTTCCAACTCTCTTCTCGAACGACATTGCATCGTGACGCCTATTGCCGTAGCGGCTTTTCTTGTCCACCTCTTATACCCTCCCGGCCCCTCTCCCAGCTTTTTGCCTGGTTGCTTTTTCGGTTGTATTGCGTAAAGTGCATCGTCGTGCGCACCGTCCAACGACACATCTGCTGGCAAACGACGCAAGAGCCGCTGCACCTTCGCCTTCCTTTTCCCATCCCCTAGTCGTCTCTCTTCCACCGACATCCACTAAGTGTCCATCGCCCATCGATATCAATATCTCTGACGACCATCGACGAAACACAATCATCCAGAATGGGTGCCTCCAAGTACAACCACCTCGAAGATGAGGTGACCTTCGGTGCGACCGTCGACACACCCACCAAGACTCAAAACCACCTTGCACCCAATATCTTCGACACTCCCAAGTCATTGAGTCCCGTCGTCACCGTCGACTCCCCACCGACACCCAGCGAAGAGCGCCTGACTCCATTCTACGCCGCTCCTTCTGCCGAGGTCTCTCGCCAAACACTCCCCGTCGGTCACGACGAAGACCTCGAAGCTGCTCGCAAAGAGGGATACTTTATTACTTCAAACCCTGTTGGCTCAGACCTCAACCTTCCATCTGGCATGCTTCCCGTATCGGCCGTTCCCACTGGCTCACGATCGAGCTTTGATGGCCGTACCAAAGAATGCACAATGTGGCCGACCAAGCAGACCCTTCGCAACCAGGACAAAGCCGAGAGAGCCAAGCGCAGAGCAGCAAGAGCCTGTGGTTGCAGCAGCATCCACGCTTGGTGGTGCAGCATGAGCAAGAAGCAAAGACTGTGGTTCAAGATCCTCCTTGCTGCCGTTCTCATTGCCTTGGCTTGCGGTTTGGGCATTGGTATCAGCAAGGCCGTCGGTGCTGGCGTCTTCGCTGGCAAGGGTCAAACCAAGCCTATCGCCAACGCATAGAGACACCCTCCCCTCTTCCTCTTTTTTCTTCTTGGAGTTTCCGGTGGCTGGGTCCTAGAGCGTCTTCTTTCCTTGTGTTGCTGAGCCGGATGGCTATTTCTTCTTTTCATGTGTTTCCTTTCTCTGTTGATTACATTATGTTGCACCTGTGGCAGTGATGCATTGATGTGGCGTTGGTGGTTGGAGCCTAGAGGGCTATGGTATCGGAGTATGGGTCATGTACAGGGAGGAGCCTTATTGAGTATCCACGAGACCTGCAGCCAGGGCAGGTATTTGCCTAGCACCAAGAATATGATCTTGTATTCCGCTTGATCGTGGAGTCTTTGCAAATCCTCTTTTGGTTTTCTTGAATATGTATACCATGGCGTCGTACCTAGATGTCCCTATGTCTTGTCGTCTATTGCAGTATAGGCATACTCACATCGGCTTGTTCTTGACGTCCTGAGCATGTACATTGACCCGGTTGTACATCCACTTCAGAGAAAGAGTGCTGCAAGTCATGACGACAGCACTTCCCGCGAAGAGACCAATCCTGCCAGTAGTGCCCAGCACGTCGAAGATGGGATAAGGATACCATCCATTGTGCTTGTAGCATTCCTCAACCCAGAACCAGTACGAAACAGCAATGCCACTACTAATGCCCAAAGCCGGTAGAACGGAAACGGTGTAAGGTGGGGAAAAGAAGAGCAGATCCAGGATGAGTGCTATCGAAGGTGCAGCATGGAAAGAAAAGTCCGCACCGAATGGGATTCTGGGTGCCCAGTCTGGGAGAACGAGGCTCTCATCAACCTGCTTTTGTTAGTTGGTGCACAACTTTGATGTAGAATGTTAGGTCATACGCCTTTGAGGCCCCAGTACAAGATACTGATCAAGACTTCCATAGGTGCACTGGTGACAGAAAGGATGTTCTTAAGCTTGAAGAGGCGTGTAGACAAAGCGATATCCGCAAGCAGACCAATCAAGAAGGTCAAGGTAGCCAGACTGAGACCAAGAATGGTCAAGTGTTGGAAGTGCCGGCCATAGGAATCATTGACCGGGTTTGGGTGGGCCTCCAGCCACCAGAAGGAGTATGCAAAACTAGAAAGACCAAGGAGCTGTATTGCGGGTCAATCATCCTCACTCCTACTTCTAGACATAAAGACACTCATACGTGGAGAGCAGCACTTGTGCCTCGCGAAGGAGATTCAAGCCTCTGTTGAGGGTGGCGTAACAGTAGTTCCTGAGCAGTTTTTGTCGACATTGTTAGTTATGGTTGCATGTATGTGCAACAAGTGAAGTCTCTGACAGCCATCACGACGAGGTAAAGACAGATCTGCCAATATGGGGCATTGGTGACGTTTATTAGTGAGCATTTCTACCCTAGTCCGCTAAAATCCGGCTTCGGATGCTACAGAACCCGAAAGCATGAAGGTTCTGTCATTCTTTGCACGGAACAACGATCAGCCGCATGATGATAGATCTCTATCTAGCAGGATATCGCCTTTAGCTATGCAGACCGCTGTCTAGGTGGCTGGTCCTGATTGCTGTGCTTGAGCAATCTGGGTATGTGCATGTGGTCTCTCGCGACGCCAATTGGTCGGTATGCAGGATTCTGAAGCTTGAAAGTCGTTATGCAACCTACCTTGCCTGTTACCAATGAAGGAACTTGAAAACTCCCAAGCATTCTCAGAATCCTAGCTTTTAGACATCCTGTCCTCACACTCTAGGCGCTTTTGATATGAATTGAGGGAAATCATATTCACATGTGGACAACCCTAGCCGTTTTGCTTATCTCCGGTACATCGGAGGATTGATAAGAAAGGCTGGCCGCCGAGGTGTATTTTCTTGTCACGGCCACGAATTCGGTTAATCCTTGAGATACTGTCCAAAAATTCTTGCCACAGGTGATCTCGAGACTGTGGCATTGTATACTGCTCCAGGACGTTTCATTGTGGATTGTCCCGGAGTCGACTGGTTCTAGGATGTATACAGGAGTCTATTGATGAAAGCACGCCGAGCTCGCCCGACAGCTCAACATGCCTCAGAGCAAAACATCAGGCTCTGGAAATGAGCCAAAGAAGCGCTCTCGTACAGGGTGTCATGGTTGCAAGAACAGAAAGGTCAAATGTGACGAAGCAAAACCGCGATGCTCCAATTGTGTGAAACAAAACGAAGAGTGCGACTACTCTCTGAAGCTGCAATGGGGAGGCAGGAGCAAGAAAGAGCAGAATGCCTTTTCAGCCATGGCAAGCGCGACCTCTGGATTTTCAACAATTACGTTTGCTACTCCTGGCATACCGCCCAATGCGACTGCCTCACCATCGGTCCGGACAGCATCCACTTCCGAGCACCCGGCTCGTGGGATAGATGCATCTAGAGAAAGTGGCAGCAATGCTAACACTCAGCCGACACCTCTTGAATACAATGCTGGACTTGACTCTCAAGCCAGCTCATACACGAGTCGATCACCAGCTCAACTTGAATCAACTGGTTCGTACTCGTCCTTGCCACAGTTTGCGCTGCCAAATCCATATTCGTCCATGAACCCTCCAACAGGACCATACTATCGAAGTCCAAGTCTCACGCGACCACCTTCACCATACGAGTTCGGATGGTCCAACGACGACAAGACTAAAAGAATCAGACTAGATTCTGGCGAAGGCACAGCACGCAGCCTCCCGCCACTATTTGCTCGGCCTGGACTTCCCGAACCCAATTTCTCAGCCTTTTCACCATATGACCAAGCCTCTCCGGGAGCATCCAATTATCATTCTGCGCCTTCTCCTCTTACTCCCGGCTCATCTAGTGCTCGCGCGTCTCCCAGCTTGAGGAGGCTATCTGTGAACTATCTGCTCTCAGGCCCAGCAGGAGACAACGCGAGCCCTAGATCGTCCTATGAACACTTCAGTGGCTTTCATCCTAGACGTGAGGATGGATTCCTAGTATATGGCTTTGATTATGGTTTGCCCGATCTGGACATACCAAAAAATGATGACAACGTGGCAATTAATCCGCAGACGCCTGCAGTATCTACGACCTCACCCAGTGCGTTGTCTGACGTTGTATGGTCACCCTCGCAACTATTCGAATCGCCTATAGAGAAGCCCGCTTTCGAACGAGGCGGCTACTATGCTCGCCCTGTACCAATACGAATATCTTTGGATCTTGAGCCACTTCCTGCACAGTTGCTAGAGAATCCGATGAACCTCATCTACTTCCACCATTTCTTGAACCACACAGCTCGCATATTGGTACCACACGACTGTCCTGACAATCCTATGAAGACTACCTTGCCACGAAGTACGTACATTGTGAGAGTCCGTTGAAGCGGGTTGCTAATACAGAATCTAGTCGCTGTGCAAAATGCCAACTTACTCAATCTACTACTTGCTTACTCGGCCTCACATCGAGCACGTCTGCTCGGTCACCCAGAACCTGCTAATCGTATCGCAATATGGCTCCGTGATGTTTTTCCAGACTTGCGACGATCGCTCTCTTCGCACGAGCCCGTATCGAATGCAACACTGACGACTGCAATCATGTTGGCGTCACGAGAGTGTATCAACCCCGACAGCCTTGATGTCCCGATACCTTGGCAAAGTCACCTTGAGATTGCTCGACAAATCATCATCTCTCGAGGTGGGCTCAAGGATAGAGGTGCCAATGGTGATCCCTTTGTCAATTTCCTCGCAAGATGGTTCTGCTATCTAGATGTTATTGGCTCTTTGTCTGGCCATCGGAATCAAGCACCGCTGGACGACAAGTACATGATGTTCGACTCGAATAACCAGTCAGATGAATACGGTTTCACGATTGACTGTTTCTTCGGCTTTACCAATTGTTGCATCAGTCTGCTAGCCCGAGTCGCGAGACTAGCTCGTCAATGCGGAGCCCAGCGTATTGATGAGGACGGAAATATTGACTCTGACTGGCGGCCCTCAGAAGAGGTGCTCAAAGAAGCAGAAGTCCTAAAGCAGGAGTTGTCACACAGTAGGCATCATGTACAAAGAGGCTGCCGTCACAGTCTGGACGAAGACGAACAATCTAGCGAGAGAACACGACTAGAGCTCCAAGAGATGGTTTCGGTCAACGAATCTTTCCATCTTGCTGGATTGATACATTTGAACCGGCGGGTATTCGGTAAACCATCGACTGATCCTGAGATACAGCAATCCGTCAAGCTTGTTCTCAAGGCTTTGAAGGACGTAAGGAGAGGCGGTACTGCAGAGTCAAGTCTGCTGTTTCCAATGTTCACAGCCGGATGCGATGCGCAAGATACTGAAGACCGGGAGACGATATTGGAGAGGCTCAAGCTGGTTGAAGGGTTGGGTATGACTTATGTGAGTATTTACTTAAAGGTTTCGCTGATATCACACGACGGGAAGACTGATTGACGTGGGGTTAGGTTCGAAATGCACGACACTTGATGGAGAAATCATGGGATACTGGTAAATCATGGGAAGTTCTGGTCAATGGCGAGTTTCTGGGATAGATAACAAAAGTTGCAGTTGTTGGTCGGCAATAGCAGCCTGCCACCTTGACTATAATATCCTGGGGATCTTTTGCGATATAGGCCTATTTCTGAAAAGTGTTTTCGAGATGAGGATGTAAAGAACAGAAGAGACGACAAGACTTTTTTGTGTATGAGACACGCAGAAACCCCCGTTAGCGCAAAAGAATATCCATGCCAATATCCGGAACCATAAAACGCCATCGCTGTGCAAATCCGAGTGGAAAGGAAGAGGTGGAGGAGTGTCGCAAAGAATGGGGAGAAATCATGACTTGTTGGTTTGGTTTCTGCGCTCATTTGCGCGCATCCTTCTCTCGTTGCGCTTGACGCGCTCGACTCTCTCCTCTCTTCTCTCCTTTCTGGCGTCGTGTTCGCTGCCGTCCTTTCTTGTCTTCTTGTCGTCAACCTCGACCAGCCAGTCGTTCTCGCCGTCCTTGTTCTTGCCCTTGTAGCCGTACTTGGGGACCCATTCGCCAGTGGCCTCGTCGTAGACGAGCTTGCCGTCGCGCTTCTTGTCCTTGATGCCCTTCTTCTTGGCGAACTCTTGCCACTTGGTCATGGGCTTCTCTTCGGGGACGGGCTTCTCGCGAGGCAGTTGGGTGGTAGGAGCAGGCAGACCGAGGGTGACGCTAGTGCTGTCGTCTGATTTTGTGATGGGGCATGTGGAGAGGAGTTGGTTGATAAGAGCTTGAGCGCAGTCGCGAGCAGCGTTCTTGATGTCGTTTTCGGAAATGGCGCTGACGGTGGGCAGAGGGTTGGTGTCGTTGCAGAGAAGATTGCCCAGGTCGAAAGTGTAGGGAATGGGCTTGTTGACAGTAACAGGAAGGCGAGGCTTGGAGCCAGCAGCGACCTCAGTGTCGATTTGCATTTCGTCGATGCTCATTTTAGCGATTGAAAAAGTGATGTTGTGGTGTTGGTATGGAATTTCAAAAAATCTCCAGTCTTTGTTCTGCAGGGCTCAAGAAGTTTGCGGCGAAGTTTGGTGAAGCGCGGCGATTAGATCAAACTTTCACCCATATCTTATCAGATCAAATATAAGTGGGGCCTCAAAATAAACAGACCTACTCTTGACTTGAAACACATGACCTTGTTCACCACAAACACACCATGTCGTTCTTGTCGGGGTTCTACAATCGACTCTCAGGCACCTTCAGTCGACCGGCTGAGACTGAGGGAGACCACGTTGCTGGCGAGACAGCGGCTCAGTCAGATTCGGCCAACTCCAACGATGCATCAAGCCGCACTCTCTCACCCGAGGACGACCAGGGAGATGTCAACACTCCCGAGAAGGCTCCTGTCTCTTCGCGATTGCGCATTCCACCCACGCCCTCATTTGCGCCGCCAGCGACCCCCTTTGCAGGTCAGGCTTCGCCCGTAGTCAATCAAGCAGCAGCCGACCAACTCATGCGCGAGGCTGGCGCTTCTGCTCCGACCCCTGCACTCAAGGCCACACCGTTCTTTGGCGTCTTTGCTCCACCGCAAACGCCCGCAACTCGCAACTTGTCGCCTGTTAGAAATCAGGCCGCCGAGGAGCAGCTTAGGCGGGAAATGCTAGGCGGTGTACCAGAAACACCTGCCACTGCGCAACCGAACCTACGAGCCACTCCCATGACGCAATACAAGACACCAGCTGTATCACATGTCACGCCAACCGAACCGCTCACAGAACTGTCTGTCGCGCCGGATGCTTTGCAGACTCCTTCGCTCATGCCTTCGAAGCGCCAACATAAAGATCAATCGCCCATTCAAGAAGAGTCGGACATCATTGTCGAGGATATTGAGGAGGAGTCACAATCGTCTTCAGCAGCTGCGGCTGAAGAAAGCGAAGCAGAAGCAGAAGACTCGGAGGCTTCAGCAACGTCGTCTCCTCATGCAGCTGTTGAGATGGATCTGTCTGAAGCAGAGGAGAATGATACATCCACAACTTCGATCGAATCGAGCGACTCCGAAAAGCGTCGCGTCATGGCCATCACCACAAGCAAGAGTCGTAGGAACCAACGACGCCCCAACCAGCGCAACACATCCAAGAGCTACGATGACAGGCGGTCAAGAGTGCAAAAGACAACAAGACCAGGAATGGGTAGAAGTGTTAGTGGGAGAGAGGAACTTTTGAACAGAGCACGCAAACGCTTCTACGATGGCAAAGCAGGCAACAACAAACTCTTTTGATCTTTTTTTTACAGCAACATGGAAGCATTTTGGGCATTTTTGGCGGGTTCTGGAGCGACGCATATCTCTGGCTTATGATACCCTAAATTTATGGCTGGGCTCGTGGAAACATACATATCGTCTTTCTTTTCTTTTGTTCTATAGAGGGCTCACATATTCTTTTTGCATCATTGGCCTTTTATGAAGAGCTCGTTTCGTATATTATTCCGAACCAATATCATAAATCATCACGATTGTCCACAAGAAGATACTGCATGAATAAGCTTTGTGAATCATAGATGGACCCTGGTGGACGGACGCATGTCATTCCGTACGCCCTACGGAGCTGATCGATCGTCAATCTACACTTTTTGTTCTAACGATTTGTACCTTCTTCTTTCCACATCAATTGACTTCCTATTCCTGCTGTCTGACAATTGATATCGCCCTCAATCATGGCCACCTCTTTCCCTCCTCCTCCCGTCAACACTATTGGTATACCTCTCCATCGTCTCTGTTCTCATACCCCGCCAAAGCTAATTCAGTGAATTAATAGACTGGGACAACATTGGCTTCCAAGTTCGCGAGGGTAAGATATCCTCTACCTCTTGGATCCTCCCCCCAGGTATCTGACATGTTCTACCAGTCAACGGCCACATCGAATCCACCTACTCCAAGAAGACAGGCAAATGGACCACCCCCGAGTTCGTCACCTCTCCCTACCTCCGCATCCACGGCATGGCTCCTGGTCTCAACTACGGCCAGCAATGCTACGAAGGCCTCAAAGCCTTCCGCAGCCCCGACGACTCTGCCATCACCATCTTCCGTCCAGACATGAATGCCAAACGCATGCAACACTCTGCTTCCTTTGTCTCCATGCCCGAAGTCCCCGTCGAGCACTTTGAAGAGTGCGTCAAGGCTGCCGTCGCTTTGAACACTGAGTTTGTGCCTCCGGCTAGAACGGGTGCTGCCATGTATATTCGCCCTTTGTTGTTTGGAAGCTCGGCACAATTGGGTTTGAGTCCGCCTGAAGAGTACACTTTTGTGGTTTGGGTCCTGCCTGTGGGTGTCTACCATGGTGTGCACTCTGTTCCTGCACTTATCCTTGAGGACTTTGATCGTGCTGCTCCTCATGGTACTGGTTCCGCTAAGGTGGGTGGAAACTATGCTCCTGTACTCAGGTTCAGCGAAAGAGCTAGGAATGATGGTTATGGCATTACTTTGCACTTGGACAGCAGGACGAGATCAGAGATTGACGAGTTCAGTACCTCTGCTTTCTTGGGTGTGAAGAAGGATGGCGAGAAGATTACTTTGGTGGTGCCGGATAGCAAGAATGTCATTGAAAGTGTGACGGCAGACAGTGTGTGTCATATTGCTCGCAGCTTTGGCTGGACTGTCGAGAAGAGAGCTGTAAGTCCTTGCTTCCTTCCCTCTCTGCATACCAATCACCAACTAACATCTCACAGATCAACTATGACGAACTCAAATCCTTCGACGAGGTCTTTGCCGCAGGCACAGCAGCAGCTCTTGTCCCCATCAAGAGCATCACCATGAAGAGCCGTAACGACACATTCAACTACCTGGACTCCGACGAACCCGGCCCCGTTTGCCTCAAGCTCTTGGATAACCTCAAGGGTATCCAGACTGGTCGCTACGAGGACAAGTTTGGCTGGAACGTCAAGGTTGAGCAGAAGAGCAGAGAGACCTATGCCAAGAGTGGTGATGAGAACAAGAACGGCAATATTGATGTTATGAATGCTTGAGCGTGGTTCATGAGTAGAAAGATATTGCATGTGGCTGGAGTTTGAGATATGGTGATGGCTACGTCGTAGGAATTTGTTTAGACAAATAGAAAAGAAAGCATGTTTGACAGCAAAATATCATCTTTCATAGCTTTTCACAAGAAGGTTGGAGTTTTTACAACCAGTCAATGAGGCAAGTGATACCTAGCTACTGCTCTTTCCAGAACAATCAATCAAGTAACGTCCTTGAAGCCTGCCTAATTGGGTCTCAACGGCTTCCAACTACTCATACCCCCTTCATCTTCATCATCCAACAGATTCCTCTGTGCAGTACCTCTTCTTGGAGGTAAAGGCGGCCCACTCTCATTCTGACTCTGACTAGTCTGTCTCGACCAACTTTCAATCCCCTTTGTATTAACCTCCACCGTACTTCTTCTCGGTGGCGGAAGCATAGGCATAGAAACACTCTTCGTAACCGGCGACTGCGACTGCAATGTATTTACCCTTTGAGGAAGCTTGGGAGCAAAGCCATCGTCCCTCGTACTGACAGGAGATTCAGAGCGTAGTGTTGTTGGCTTTTTGGGTACTGGAGGTGCTGCCTTGCGACCGATTCTATTGTCAGAGGGACGCGGTGGAAGTGGTGGCTCCTCGATTGGGTCGTCTAGGAGACTATGTTGGGTAGACGAGGCTCTAGAGCTAGGAGCTGCGGAGGAAGATTGCTGATGTGGTGGCCAGACTGGAGGTAGTTTGCGACTGACTGGTGTTACCCTGCCATTTGAGTTTTGGCTCGCTGTCGAAGAATTGCGGTCGCGGATTGAGAGGCTGCGAGGAGGAGGTGGGTTTGGGCGAGGAACTTTGACCCAGTCTGGCTCGGTAGTGGCGCTGAAGGGGTTAGGTGCTCTTTGTGGGTTACGAACGTATCCTTCGGCTGGTGGTTTGACCTGCGAACGAGCTGGCATGCCATTGTCTAGCCACCACTTGCGCTTGTCTGAGCTTGCTGGTGGTAAGCCAGGTTCGATTGACTCGTAGCCTATTAGATCTTCGTCGTCGGTATCGTCAGGTCTGGCAGTAGCCGTATTGCCACCAACCACAGCGCGTCTCTGTCTATACAGTCCTTCGCTGATTTCTTGTTTCTTCTTCTCATCAATGACTGTGATCGTGCATTGGAAGGTAGCGTAGACGGGTCGGTGATCTGAGAACCTCAAGGGTGCAGTGTTGTAATGGATTTGACGTAGATTGTTTCCTTTCGTCAAGACACGATCACACCATGCAGGGATACGGGCTTTGTCGCTGCTGTCGTACTCATCTGTACCGACATCGTACTTGTATGTCGGCAGGAAGGTGATCCTGGCCTCGTTATAGTATGGGAAAGTTTTGCCATGAACCATTTGAAGGTTAAGCTGTCTTCGGTTAGTCTACGAAATCTGCGGTCCGCGACATGGCACTTTACCTGATCGTTTTCGTAGAGCTTCTCAAGATCGCCCATCTTAACGAGCTGTCTCGTCTTCTCATTGGCCATACCAATACGGTAGTTGAAATCACCAAGCCAAATAATGGTGTCATGATCTTCGATCGATCGGTTTCTCGCAAACCGAAGTCCATGGCTGATGGTGCGATAATCTTGGTTACGCTCCTCGTAGTTGGCGAATCCTGCAGCCAGATGTGCAGTGACCAAGCAGATGGATGTATTAGCATACTCCATGCGAATAGCCACCGCACCCTTGTTACCCGCCATACCTGACATGCCCGTCTTCTTCAAGGCACCTTCGACATTCTTGATATATGGTAGAATGCTCGCTTTGACAAAGACAGACAGAGAGCACCCGACAAGTTGTCCACCTCTGAGCATGACATATTCTTCCGACCCCAAAGTTTGGGCATGCTCGTTCAAGGTCGCCTTGACTGCTTCCTCCCATGCTTGTCTTCTATGTGGATCAGTCGACATGATCTGTTGAGGACTAAGGTCGACAATCTCTTGGAAGCCAACAGCCACAATCTCAGGCTGTTGCTGAGAAAGATCAACAGGCGGACAGAGCCAGGGTGAAAGATCTTCAGACAGGCCTCTAGTCTTGCCGTTAAGGTTGAACGTGCCAACATAGATGTTAATGTTATCACACGCCGAGTATTCGTTTGTCCTTTTGGTAAGTTCCGCAGAAACCCAATCGTTGATGGGATCGAAAAGATGAACAGGCACCTGGTCAACCAGGCGACCCAAGAGCATATCGATTGTATTCTGCCTGCCTTTGTCCTCGAAGTTGTTGATGTACAATCGAGTTGCACTCTTACGGAAGTCCGCAAATGCACCTGCGAGAGACGACTTCCCGTGTCTGGTGAACGAGGATTTCAATGCTCCAGTGCCTGCATAGATTCGTGATAATGCGTCACCATTGTCAGCCCAAAGAGTGCCGTGTCTGACCCAAAAGTCATTGGTCGCTTGTCTTTCACCTCGTTGGTTTAAGAATTCTTGAATAGCCATTTGACTGATCAGCGTTTGGATAAGATTTGTTCTATCCAAACAGTCAAGGCAATTAGTGCGGAACACACCTTCCTGCTGTAAGATGTTCATGTTCCTTCGCATGAGCGACTGTGGTCTGCCATTGGCGTTCTTTGGTTCCTCGTCCACTTCTTCCGAAAGGAAGTAAGCAAAGTTCTCAATCGAGTCTTGGAGGTAACGTCTGATCCCCTTTGCTGCTTCATATCCAAGTGCACGAGTTTCGGCATGGAAATCGTAATCGGTCTCCTTGATAAGTTCGTGATCCTCGACCTCTTTCTCTCCAGGCTCGCCAGAAGGCAGGTTCAGAGGGCTGTTACGGACATGATATTGATACCTGCGACTTAGCTCCAGTTCGCCCGGCTTTTCATTGCTGAGCAAATTGACTACGTGGATGTTGCCATAGCTGATTTCTAGATCAGACATATGTTTGTCGAACGCGGGTTGAGACGCTTCAGCAGATCGCGTGAGCTGAATTTTTTGTTGTCCAGGAGTGAAGCCTGCTGCTTGTTCCCAAAAGAGGGGAATACTGCCTCGTACTTGGACGTAGGAAAAGCTCATGCCTGAAGGTGTAGAAAATATTACCTCAGTCTCGACAAAGTTGGCAACGTTGCCGTCATCATCGATACCTCGAGCATTGAATCGAGTACCGGCTCTACGACAAGACAGACGCGACAGCAAGGTTAGCGTCGAGGGGAAGCCGGCAGAGGCATGGCTGATTGGCGACGAAGCAGGCGGGACTGTAAGTGTCATGGCAAATCCACGTATAGCAGATGTCAGCATGCGAGAAGCATCCAGCTCCTTCTTTTCACGCTCTGATAGTCTTGAGCGGAAGCTGACTAGTGGTTGGATCATGTACGAGTTCCAGAGGAAACCTGCGTCAAGGCTGTCAATTGCAACTGTTGCTGATAATGATGATCTACCACAGGTCAGTCCGATGTCGATCATCGAGAATCAACTGAAATACCTGTCTTGAAGACGTCTCGTCAAATCAAAGTCGGCACTGTAGTAGAAACTGCCTCCACTAAGGAGTTTCTTCATAGCCATACAAGGATGTTCCATGACCGAATCCCTGGCATGGTAATGGTCAAAGCCATCTTCCTCGATATCGTCTGTCGAGAAATTGTTGATGCGATCAAGAACCAGAGAGTCATAATCAGATTTGTTTATGCAATCTGTGCTTTGTCAGTACTGATCTCAGCAAGAGCCAAGATTAAAAAACTCACGAAATTCGACAGATGTTATTTTCAAGACGTTCTCGCCGTTTCTGACTGTAGCTGCTCTTTGGGCTCCATTGACGACGCACAGAAAGATATCGCCGTTGATGGTGATCAAGCCGAGAGTTCCGAAGACGGTGAGTGAAGTCAATGAGCGAAAATCGGTTATGTCAGTGTCCGCAGTTCGAGCAAACTCGACCATACATCTTGGCTGCAGGGTTGCACTTTGGGTGGAGTTGACGGAAAGCGATGAGGCGCCAGCAGTGGAGGGACTATGGCGGAAGGTTAAGATGTGGTCATCAGTGGCTAGTGCAACAGCACGATGAGGATGATCCCTCAGCAACACACGGATTGTCATGCCGCATGCTTTGCACTCAAGAGGATCCTAGTTCAAGTCAATTTTGATATTATTGTAAGAAGTTAAGGTAGATAGGCATATCATCACCAGGAAATGAACCAACAATGGCTTTCGAACGTCGGCTGACGCCGGGGTCATCCTACAGAACGTGACCTTTAAGAATCGATATCGACGAATGCATGAGTGTCTTAATAGACAACCGAGACATGTGGCAGGACCTTGGATTGCTACTACACTATGTCTAGTCTGTGTAGAGGGCTGGTTGTTTGCAGGATATGGAAAGGAGTCTGAGGTAAGTCTAAGATTGAGCCTTCCACATTCAATCTTCTCATCGAAAGTACGTAGCAGGTTTAGGATCATCGTTTGCGAGACATGATGCCAAACACTTGGAATGCAGAGAACATCAACGTGTATGTGCTTTGATGGGTCATGGAATAAATCATATATTGATACAAGAAGATATTGAACGCCATTAACCATGCTTCCTCTGTTGGTCGCACATGAATCAAATATGATCATGCCAATCAGAGCCTTTGTCTACAACCGAAACCTCCTTTTGTGATTTTGTACATGTGCCTGAGAGAATATAGAGGCGTTCATCAATGGCTGAGAGTGGTTCTCTTCTTCAAAAGTCTTCTCTTGATCAGGTTGCGACCGTTCCTTGAGCGGATACGAGCAAGGAAACCACTTCTTCGCTTTCTCACGCGGTGCGAGGGGTCGTATGTATCTCTCTTGGGACCTCTGGCCTGCAGAAGGGTGAGTGTGGTGGAAGCGGCTGGCAGAGTTGGGAGCTCGAGGGTCGTGTTCAGCGACAGTGTCGAGGTCGGTGTGGAGGGAAGTGTTGGACGTCTAGCTGACAGCAATGAGAATGTGCGACTGTGATCAATAGTCAGCAGATTGTAGCCGCGGGACGTGAATGGGGAGACTCGCGATTGTGCGGGTTGCGATGCGGCTAGAGGGCGAAGAGAAGACTGAAGGAGCGACGTGGTCGAGGCGAGACTGAGCGACGAGCGCAATTGAGCGACTTGTCGTATGCAGCGTAAGAGCAGCATGACGGGCGACAGGCTGTGAATTGTGAATGCGAACGTGTAGGAGACCTTGTCAATGTCTTGCGAGCATCATGGTCGCCGGGCTGGTGCTGTACGAACGACGCTCGGACCACCATGGTTGGACATTTTTCTCGACTTTCGCGAATTCAATTCCGCTCCGCAACTGCTTGCATCTTCTTGCAATTGCAGACACACATCATGGCATCCACTACTCCCTACCCGCCGCATCGCTCACATCCTTCAACTCGCATCTCCCCTGAAGATGCCCTCGCTTCGCTAAGCAAATTCATTGCTGCTTCTGAATCCACTCCTTGGCTCCACCCGGATGCCCGCATCACCCCCGATGAGATCAAATACTCGACCAACGGTGGTCCTCAGGGAGGAATCATCATGCACCATCTGCGTCGTATCGAAAAGGGCTTGAATGGCGAAACCCTTGCTCCTGAGCCTGACGACATCTTCGACCTGCCCGAAGGTGATGATACCAACCTCGACACCCTCAATGCTGGATACCAGTCTACTCTAGATGGTGGACTGAAGAAGGGCGCTTTGAAGAAGTTTGAAGACGAGGGAGAGGACCCCGAGACTTATGCACGCAACCAAGAAATTCTCGAGGGCGAGGTTGGCGACAGAGACACTAGTCATGCTCACGCCAGCATCGACGAAGATGCCATGGATGTCGATGACGAAGCATACGCCGGTGTTGGTCTGTCCAAGGCTGAGAAAGAAGCCAGAAAAGAAGCAAAGAAGAACAAGAAGAAGGCCGCTGCAAGAGAAAAGGCTGCCAAGAACAGAGCAGAGGGTTGATTCAAGCACACTCCGTCACCTACGACGACCGACTAGAGGCTCGTCCCTTTGTCACCAAGCACAAGTACGTGCTACTTGATCACGCACTGCTGAGGGGGGACGTCATTTTCAAAGGGGCGCTTGTACGCCCTCGACACGATTATATCTACGACACAGCTGTACTACAGCTCACGACCAGTGGCCTCGCCCGTCTTTTCATCCTTCACCTCCTCCTTTTCCTGGGACACTTTCTTTTCGCTGGTCCAGCCAACGGCCTTTAAGCGCTCCGTAAGGATTGGGTGTGAGTAGTGGAAGCTGGAGTACATCCAGTCTGCGTCCATGCTCGACAGGTTCTGAATCTGGAGCTTGATCAGGGAGCTGGCCAGCTCCGCCGAGTAGCCAAGCTTAAGCGAGAAGTGGTCTAAAAGAAAGCACGTCAGCATAAATTTACATAACTATACACTCATGTAACATACCAGCTTCAAACTCCATTTTTCTAGTCATGATATTCATGAGAAGCTTGATGACGGAGTCCGTAGGTGCCAGAACCTCGTTGAACAGGATGAAGCCAATCATGATCGGTCGTTCGCGAGTGAAGCCAAACGCGTTGTACAGCGACTGATTGTTGATGAAGACGGAGAACAGAGCGAACATGTAGAACAAGTGAACCTGAGAAATGAGAAGCAGCTTGGTCGTGTGTCCCATCTTCCAGTGACCCAACTCGTGGGCAAGCACGGCCTCAATCTCCTTGGTGTCAGACTTCTCGATCAGCGTATCGTAGATGACAATCTTCTTCTTCCATGGCAGGCCAGTGAAGTAGGCATTGCTGTGGGCGCTGCGCTTGCTGCCGTCAATGACTTGCAGTTCAGAGAGAGGGAAGTTGAGGCGTTGGGCAAGAGCTTCGACAGCGTCTTTGAGCGGACCGGGCTCGAGAGGGGTGAGCTTGTTGAAGAGAGGGACGATGACGATAGGGTAGATGGTGATGGCGAAGAGCTGGACACCAAGAGCGAACAACCAGAGGTAGTAGAAGAACTTGTCACCAGTCTTTTGAATGATCTTCAAGAAAGCCCAGCCAAGAGGAACACCAAAGGCCAAAGAGAGTGCCTGTCCCTTGAGCAAATCAGAGACCCATAGACCGATAGTCTGCTTGTTGAAGCCGAACTTCTCTTCGAGGACGAAGTGGTGGTAGTATGAGAGCGGCAGACTCAGGATTGTCTCGATGAAGGATGAGGCAAAGACGAAGAGCAGGGAATGAGCGATTTCTCCTTGGCAACTGGCGGGAAGATAGCGGGTAAGAGCAAGACCAGTAAGAGCCCAGAATTTGGGATAGAAATCGTAGCGGATGACGGCGAGAGACTTGAGCTGAGAGATGACACCAGAGACGAAGCCATACTTGGCTTTTGCGCGGCCGTAGGCCTAGAAGACACAAGTTTAGAGGAGACAGAAGATAGATGAACAAGTGTATAGAATTTACCTGACTCTTGTCGAAAGTGGCCTGGTCGACTTCGTTTTGCAGCTGCTTCGGCACCTTTGTTCCTTGCAGCACACGGTACTGACGGAATGCCAGCCAGTTCTCCAGGAGATACTCGCCCAAGCTGAAAGAGATGATGAGCGACTTCCAGGGGAAGCCTGGGCGATCAAGCCATCCGGCCAGACGGCTCAGAAAGTCCATGGTCGCGAATAGTATTTCCGAGATGGAAGGTGTCTTGTGAGGACAGAACAGCAAACTGAAAGTTAGCTAAGGTACATAGGAGAGTTGGCGCCATGCGTGTGCCAAGCAAGACGTTTGATCCTGCGGCCGCTGCCTTCTTTTGAAACACTTAACAGCCCCGCAGCAAGCTCTCTTCGTTGTGAAGCATTCACTGGCAGAGCTCGGGGCCACAGATGCGAACATGGGCTCCAGTCATCTAGTGAGGTTGGCAATGCTGTCGCTGTAGCACCCTAGGCGCATTGGAAGCCAATCACGGGGTCGATGATCAATGGTTGCCGCCGCCGCGAATGCATTCCCACGTCACTAGTAAGTTGGCAGCGCTTACGCTCCCCTCTAGCCTGATCTTGCAAGTTATTGCGCCTGTCCACCTTCCGTAAGCATCGCGCTCCACCAGACTGCGCATCCAGGTAGGCCATGAACACGCCCATCAACTGTCTACTCTTCCCTCATCTGGTCACCATGATTGTCCACCTCTTTTGATTGACTGTGCCCCACTATCACTACGCGACCCAGCCTCACCGCCCATACCAACCCCCTCCTCGTTACGCGAAAAAGACTGAAATCATGGACGGTGCCCACGACTCTCAGAGATCCGGCGACTTCCATCTCCAAACACGCAGAACACCTGAACCAGAAACCCCGACTGTAGGCCCTTTGCGCATCCACAAAGTAAACCATTCGACTTCGACCACCTCAACCACGTCGACTCCCTCGAGAACATCATCAGAAGAAGCCGAGGTCGACGGCACATCACAGACCAGACGCCCTAGTCCTCCATATCCTGATGATCGCTTTCGCCCTTCGCATGCTGCTGCCGGCGCACAACGTCTAGGGACTCCCGAACTAAACTCATCAGGCATGCGCCGTCAATCCTCGACTCGTGCCAAATTTGGCGCGAGCGATCCAAACCGCCCTACCATATCTGGTTACGCCGGCACTCCCCCACCCTCTCTTACTCCAGGGATCGCAGGAGACAGAAACAAGCTTGCTCCAGAAGTGCCAGGAAAGGAAGAGGTGAACGACGATGACGATGGCTTGTTCCAGAAGTCTCCGCCCAAACCTACCGCACCTGCAGTACCTATAGGTGATGAAGGAATCGCCCAGTCTACATACCAACAGTATTATCCACCTCCAGCAGCTGCCACACTTCAACCTCCCACCGCTGGAGTGAATCGGCTAAGCTCGACTGCATCTACGTCCACAACACGCGCACAGAGAGGATCTCCACCACCACCAGAGACACCTGTGATTGGAAAGCCAACAGGAGGCTTTGAATATCCCTATGCTCAAAACGCCGCGGCCTCTCGTGCCAATCAGTATGCCAATCCTGTTGCTCGTCCTTCGACCATGTCACCATCACAACAACCGATAGAAGTCCCTCGGCCTTGGACTCCAACTGAACAACCCGGTAGCTACCCACATGGGCCTCCAGTCGCCTTCCAGGGGGGTACTGAAGTTCTCCCAGCAACGAACTACCAGAGCCCTACTACTGCCGCTTATCAGAGTCCTACTCAATCAACTCAAAATCGCGGGTATCAGATTTCTCCTGGTCAGCCTGTCCAGCAATTTGTGGCGCCACCTGTTCCACAATTCGGAGTTCCTATCACTCAATCCTCTTCTCCCGCCCAGATCACTCAACCTGCTCAGTATTTGCAATCGCCCCAGAACAACCACCCTGGTTCACGCTTATCTTTCTCACCTCAAACGCATCCTTTGGAGCAGGATATGCAGCGGCTGCAGGTGGCAGACGAGCCACCACCAGCATACTCGAGCGTATCTCAGCAGAGATTGTTCTCTGGTGCGACTTCTCAAGGGTTCACGAATGAGAAACGTCTGAGTAATGCTTCCGTGCCTAGCTCTACTTCTTCGCAAGACCCAAACCTTCGTAGACACCCTGCTTTTGCCAACGATGCAGGTCAGCCTATTGTGCAACAGACCGTCCAGCAGCCTGTCGCGTCCACTCAGCCTGCAACTCTGGCACCTATTCAGGTCATATCACCAAGCCCAGGACCAAGCATAACACCAGCATCTCCTCCACCTCTTCCTGAAGGATGGATCGCTCACTTAGACCCGAACTCGGGTCAATATTACTACATCCATCTACCAACCCAATCGACACAGTGGGAGTTCCCTAAAGGTCCAACTCCATTGAGTCTCCAGGAACCGCTTTCGCCGACTGGTACGTATGCCAACTCAGTGGCCTCTCCGGCTCTGGGAGGGTTCTCGCAGCCTTTGGCATCTCCAGGTTTCGCTCCACAGAACGCTGGTTATCACCGCGATAGTATGTTGAGCATGAACAATCTCGCAAGCCCTACAATGGCTGGCTTTACTGGACCGCCTCCATCCGCGGGTGTGGACATGTACAAGGTCGCACCTACGAATGGCGTCTACTTCGGCCCGTACTTGCGCTACACCAACATAGATCTCGAAAGAGGTCTCTGGCTTGGCTCCATTCTCTTGATCACAGATGTACCTCAACCCCCAACCATCCATATTCACCAAAGCACCGACTTGTCTCCTAATCGTGAGTTGTATTGACATCTGTATAGATTGTTACTGACTGGAAACAGCTCGTCAACTGAAGGCTAACCCAATCTACCAACACCAACGTTGGACGTTCTATCGCTATGATATCGATCTGATCATGGAAGAGCAAGACACTAAGTGGACTTACGCAATCACATCGCACCTTGGTTGTACCAGATACGAATTTCTTGTCGCTGGACGCTATGAGACGAGCTGGCGTTTCATTTCTCATTCTGGTAATGACTTTGCACTGAACGTAAGTGCCAACGAAAGAGCTAAGCTCGGAGGCATTGGCCTTATGTGGAAAGACGTTTTGCAGAAGCATGTCGAGTGTGGTGGTTTTCATGCCCAGCTCGGCCTTGGTGGTCAGATCTTCGGCGATCGTCTTTGGAAAGAAGTACCCGCTCTCAGACAATGGACTGCCATGAGCGGCAAAGAGAACCGCAAGAATGAACCTTGGACTGCGAAGCTTGAGGACGATGTGTCGCATGCTTACTTCCATTATTATTCAAGCCATTTTGACCAGCCTCATGTGCGAGAAGCTTTCGCACAGATACCTCACATTTTGACGCTTGACGATAATGACATGTACGTGGCTTGGTCTCTTTCAGCAAACAATGACTGACAATGACTAGTTTCGATGGCTATGGCTCTTACCCCGACTACATGCAACAGTCCAACATGTTCAAAAACATTGGCCGCATCGGTATCGACATGTACCTTCTCTTTCAACATCACACCACGCATGAGATCCTTCGCAACGTTTCAGGTGATTTGGATCTGTTTAGCATCACGGGCAATGGCTGGCATTTTGTCAAGTATCTCGGTCCAGCAGTAGTTGTCGTTGGTCCAGACACTCGCTCCGAAAGAAATACACAACATGTCATGGCTGGCGTTACCTATCAAGGTCTGTTCCCCAAAGTCGCTACTTTGCCGCCTAGTGTGCAACACTGTATCTGGATGATTCCAGTACCTCTACTCTATCCTAGACTTGAGACCGCAGAGCAGATAGCGCATACCATGGCGACGGGCAAAAAAGCTGTCACTGGCACGTTTAATATGCTAGGTCGAGTGACGAGTTCTGTTGCTGGCGTGGTCGGCGCTAAGGGCGTCGTCGGTGATGGCTTCAGCTCAATCAAAAAGGCTGTTGGAAAGTCGGGTCTGATGAGTAGCGTGCTCAGTCCTTTTGGAGAAATCGACATGCTCGATGAGCTGCGAGACATGTGGACGCATGAATCAAAGGTAGCCGATCTCGTTCTGATCTCTTTGTTACAACGCTAACAATATACAACAGGACCTTGAACGCACATACCTGATTCGTACTCTGCAAGGCATTGCACACCAGAAGTCGCTACGCATGACCTTTTTATCGGGTAGTGTTAATGCATGCGGTGCCGGTCTTGTCCATGACCCTTCACATCCTGGAGATCATAAGACGATGTATCAACTAATAGCATCGTCAATCGTCAATGCGCCTCCCCCGTCGTACGTTCTCCGCCTACTCAACAGCAACCCCAAACAACCCATATACATACCTCAGAACGCGCAGCGCAGTGCAGGACCACATCAGCCCGTACAACCGACGGACACAAAAGAAGACATGATGGAAATTTTCGTGGCAGATGTCAATGGTGCTCCTCGTGACATGAAACGTCTCATGGGACGCAGAAACTACGTTGCCATGGTCGCTTACGACCCTGAAGTCGTGCGTGGATCCCATGGTTCCGTCGTGCCTGGCAGCGAAGGCTCAAGTCGCCTCAGTCTTGCTGCTGATTTCATGGTGCAGAACGAGGGCGCGTACGCGGCACCTGTTAAGTACGGTCCTGTCATCATCCCTAGCTTGGAATTTGGTCGGTGAGGAAGAGTGGGCATGGACGAGAGTATGCGACGCTCTGCACTGTTGTTGTAAGTTAGCTTTTTTCTATCTGCCCTCGATATCAGGGTGTCACGATTGCAATGACGGGCGTCTTTTCGTAACGTCGTTATATGAGCCTAAGCGGTATCACTGTCTTCGAAACTCAGCGTCCTTAGCAGGACATTGTCACGCGATAAGACGTTCAAATGAAACGATATATGTTAGTATGTGGCTCGAAGAGCATGACTTGGTCTGTCATGAGATTCGTCACATCAATCTATCTACAGTAACAGGACATATCTTTAATCATGTCACTATCAGCCTGACAGCATCAGTCGACACAGCGCGTCCTCTTCTCGGAGTCAACGGTGACAATAGATCGTTCGAATGATGCTTCAGAAGAGCGCTTTCCGAATTCCGCGGGCTCATCAACGAACTGGTCGATGACGCGCGAGTCCTTGTTGGAGTGTTTGGGCACAACAAATCCGGTTGCATTCGATTATGTTGTCCCGAAGGGGAGATGTTGGAGCTTCCTGAACTCATACTCCTGACTTTTTGAAGCGCTTTCGACCAACGAGTTCTTGCTCTCCACTTGGACACGATCTTGGCGATTGTTTCTGCGTTGCTGCTGGAAACCGTTTTCAAGTCATCAGAGAAGAATACAGCAGAGTCCCTCTCGGCGATTTCTGCAGATCTCTTTGGAGTTCGAATGTCGATGTCTTGGTTTTGTCGTTGTTCCTCAACTTGTCGAATTCGCGAGCGTGCTTCCTTCTTGGCCAACTTCAGTCTTGCTTGTTCTGCGTCCGCTCGACGTCGTTGTTTCGCGAGCTCGAACATGTCTCTTTCTCGAGATGCTGCATCGTGTCCTGGGGGAGTGTTAAGTATATTGATCGTCTGTAGGCGCGACAGTTTCACTAACCTTGACTGTTAGGCATTGATAGGCTGACAGGAGCGCATCCTGTATATGTGTAGCCACGCAGCTTGAAAGTACTTGCGATGTGTGAGAAGTCGACTCTGTCTAGGATCATGATGTTTTCGTGGTTGTAGTGTAGAAGTCGAAGGATTCTTTTTTTCGATCTTACATATAGAAGTAGGTACGAATATTGACCGTGCTGCTGCAAGCATTTATGAACTCTGCAACCGGAAAACCGAAACACTTCCAAGTATGCGCCTCCCTCGCGTGGTTGCAATTCCAGCCGGGATGACAAAGCCTGCTGCGCCTGCATGCATGCAGCCGACCAATTAATAAACAGGGAGGCACAGCCTTGTCTAACGGGGCTTTGATCACGGCGGCTATGTTTTGTTGCACCACGCAGCCCGAAATAGAAAGTACATGCTGCGCCAACATGCAAAGCAATATTTTCGTTGATGAGGAAGGGTCGATAGATCTCGTGCGGATCAATATCGAGAACGCAGCTACCGACCGTTTCCCAGTTTGGGATGCTTCGTACTTGCCTTTGGCATCTACACGACTCACACTGTCATGACTTGTCAAGATCCTTGCACTGAGTTTCATCGCATTCACACGCACGTCAAGTATACGTTTGGTGCTTCATCACTTGCTTGAGCAGCGGTATCCTCGAGGCATCTCGTCGGTCCTGCGACATTTCTTCTCACGGCCACATGTGTGATACGGCTTACCAGTGTCCTGCAGACAGCCTCAGTGTGATGCTGCAGTCGCGCCTCGAGTTCTATAACTGCATACCGAAGGAGCACTAACACAGCCGTCTGTATGCACGAAGATGATAGACTTCATGCGTTTACAATATACCCAGATTATTCGCCTATATCATGCAGGCTGAGGCACATGAGAATGCCTCAGTTTCACGCCTGATCTCTGTCTTTCTTGCTCGAGGGCGTCCGTCTTTCACGCTTGACGTCCCATCAGATTCATCCTTCTCTGCATTGAGGCACACACATATACCCACTGCTATCACCGATTCAGAACAACATGTCATCCATAACGGAACTCCGGCCGATGTCTCCCAATTCTGCCATAAGCTCTCCACCGACGCCGGGAATTGCCTCTGGGACACAAACTCCTGTTGGTCATCGAATGGTCGCGGCTAAGAAAGCGGATGGCTATAGATTGTTCTCAGATTTCATCTCCTCTGACCCTTTGCGATCTACAACTATCTTTCGACGATTTGATCGTCTCGCTATGCGGAATCTGCTTTATCTGGAAAGCGAATTAGCAGCATTAGAAAGCGAGGTGGAAAGGCTGGACATGGACCTGATTCCAGAGACGATGATCAACCATTTAGGAGACTGGACTATACTCAAGGCCGAAGCAGAGTATGCGGAAGAGGATACCAGCGAGAATGTTTCGGAAGAAGAAGCCAGAAAACAAGAGTTGATGATAGCACGGATGCGGCTGATCAAAAAGATTAGAGTCAAGGTGAAAGAGTATCGTAAGCGAACGGGACGAGACTTTGAGGCTTTCACTTGCTGATCTACATCTATAGATGAAGCGTTAAAATTGATGACTGAGATACTCGCTCTCGAAAGGCCCGAGCACGATGACATTGAGACGAACGGCCGAATCTTCGTTCAGCCAGACGAAGATGACTATGACCACGATCACTGGCAAGACAAGGCCGAATCACATGCTATCATACAAGGCGCCATGTCGGTGCATCTTTGCGAGGAAAATCGAAAGGACCTGTGCACTCTTGCGCCGCAGGTGGAAAGAGATCCTTTGACCCGTCTGGTCGAAAGCAAACATCAACTACGAAGTATGATAAAGGATAGAAAGACCGGCATGACCAGTGTTTCCAAGTGGAATCGATTAAACAAAGTCATCACTTGGATCAGTGTCTGTCTTGTGGTGGTCTGGCTTGTCGGTGCCATAGTCGGTCTCTACTTCTGGCAGTCGAATAAAGGCCGCTTGATCTTACTCAGCGTTCTAACGCTAGGCTTTGCGTTCTCCATCCTCTCGCTGACCACTGCAAGACGACATGACGTGTTTGCATCAACGGCAGGTTACGCTGCTGTACTTGTTGTCTTTATCGGCAGCACGCTCCAAAAAGCTGGATCTCAAAGCCAGGCAAGTTCGACGTCGAGTAAGATACGGATAACCAGAAATACTCAACCTACTCGAACGTACCTTGCCACTGGCTTGGAGACTGACTACGCTTCGGACAAGATATATGTTATCACGTTGGTGGCGGGGATGTTTCTTGTCGCTATTGTTTTGCTCTGCGCCGTTTTATCTTTGCAACTTAGGAGAAGGAGGCGGATCAGGCTATAGAAGATGCATATTCACATGGTGATTTGTCTGTAATTCGTGGGATGGGCAGATACGTCCTTCGTTCCTGCCATTTCTGGGCATGACGAATGTTTTGCACGCAACCATTTGTATGGAACAAATCCATCGTAACCATTGACCTTCGAACCACTTTTTCAAGCCTTTCATCAAGTCCTTGCATCGAGATTCACCTATCTTCATATCCCTGTACAAGATCAACGCTCTGCGCGATACAACTATGCCCGACATCAACTATCGTACCAAGTCTTGGAAGCAGCAGGCAGAACTCACCACCGATGATGCCAACGAAATTGCACGCCTACAGGGTGCTCCGGACCTCAAGTTTCAGAAAGGCCAGCAACCTGGCACGTTCGAGCCTCTGAACGAAGCAGAACAAGCGGAAAAAACACCCCCGGACGATGTCCAACAACGGAAACAGCCACAGAATAACGACGACGAATACGATAAACACGGGTTCGTCATATCCGGTACCTGGCTAGCTCGAAAGAAATTGGGCCAACAAGCAATGATCAATCCTCAAGACGATATCGAAGACGATCCCTACGATACTTTGAAGACCATCACCACCACCCACCACAGTCAACAACGTACGGCTCCCAAGTCTGATAAAAAGCACGATCCATTCCTTGAAAGATCGGCCCCCGGTAAACAACCACTCCTGGAAAGTCATGTGCATCTTCAGGGTCTGAAAGATCACCACAAGTCGCCGTAGGAAGAGAGTTAGAAACAAAGTGAAGGATGCAATCTGATATCGATATGTCATAGACGAGGGTGGAAACTCACAACAGCAAGATAGCAATAACAAGAGTATCGAAGCGATAGTTTGTAGCATTATCAAAATCAAGAGAAACACAAGAGTAATATGAGACAGAAGAATAGTTCTATTTGCATAACGCCAACATATCCAAAGTACAGAAGAACAAACAAGCAAACGCCAGACATATCATATCGCCAGCAAAAACTTCATCATCAAACTCCAGAACTCCTGCCTGAAGCAGGTTACCTACCATGTTTAGAAGCCCTAGCAGGAGAAGGAGAAGGGGGTAGAGGCTTATGGAGATTTGGCCATGACTTTTTGTCAACCCTCTGCTTGCTGGAAGGAGAGCAAATCGGAGGGATGCTCAACACTGCACGGCCGTGTTGCGGAACAAGGCTTATAATCTTAGTGCTAGCATTATCTCGAAGCGAGTTATGGCGAAGAGGCGACCCAGGAGGCGTCCAAGAAACAGGTGGAAACGGCTTTGCACCAGGAGGCAGCGGCTTACGTGGGATCTTGAAAGGCCTAAAGAGAGGTGTTCTGGGAGGTGAGCAAGAAATCTGTCGAGCAGCACCAGCAGCAAGAACATTAGATGAAGCGGATGAACTCTCATCAGCAAAGTTAGGTGTGACTGGCCTCTCGAAACCAAAAGGTGCGGAACTCAACGTTTGTCTGTTTTTGAACTTCTGAGCTCCATATTGTCCAGCAGGGTGATCTCCATACTTCTCTTTGTAAGGGTCAAATGGTGCTGTGGGGGCAATGAAGGGCAGGTAGTTGGTCGGTGGTGCAGAAGAGGATGAAGCAGTTGCGATCGAGGAGTCAGTCTCATCTCTGAAGACAGAGTAGCGATGCTGGTTGATAGCTGGAGGGAAGCGAGTAGCCTCAATGAAGACGGAAAGTCTATCAGCATTCATGTTGTCGGTTTTATGGTGTAGAAAGAGATTGAGAGGTTCAATGAAGAATCGTTCTGTAGGTCGTATTCTATGCTTTTGTCTACTGAATGTTAGAGCCTTCGATAAGTCTGTGAGTGAGTTGGGCGAACTTAGCAGTAATTATCACTTCATCCAGTGCTTTTGTCAAACAAAGAGACAAAGAATTTATTGCAGAAAAGATCTTTGTTTCTACAATGGAAACAATGCAACTATCTCGAACAAAACATACAAAGAAATGGGCATGGATGAGCTTCCAGTGCGCCAATCTTGGGTGATTCCATTTAAATTAGTCCTTCTGAGAGCTGATGTTGTTGGTCAGTAAGCAATTTTGATGTGCATGGTGTCTATCTACCTTATGTCACTTACCATTGCACTGTAGTGCTGTCTGCTTGAGTCATTGAGTGATGTATATCAAAATTTTAGTAGTGCACTCACTGCTTGAAAGCAGGCTGTTCACTCACTCACTCACCTTATATATCACCACCACCGCCACCCTTACACCTGCCACCGTCGCTTTACCGACAAGCGGTGGATTGGCCCAGCGGTCTTCCGCCAGCACAAGGTGTTGGTGACCCCCGCTGGAAGGTCACTGGTTCGATTCTTGTAGTCGGACTAAAACTTTCAGAGCCACAGAGGCTCCCACTTCTGAAATGAAACCAGTGTATCTGGTGGCTTTCTCCCCGCTGATAGGCTCTATAACACTGAGCCTTAGTAGCGGGGGTTTGTTTTGCTGGTTCGCGATTTTTGTGACAGGTTACGGTTCGTTTGATTTGTGCCTGATCTGACACAGCACGTAACTTTCTAATTTTAGTGTTGGCACAGAAACAAGGAGAAGTAAAATCAAGAATGTCTGGCAAATTTCACTCCGATCCGGCGTAGGTAAGGTACGTCAAGTAAGTAAGAATGAATAATGGATAACCATGGCACATCTCCCAAGTATCAACAGTATGGACACACCCTAAGTCCGTCACACCTCGACGATCCAGCCGTCACCATGTGAACATGCGAGGAAGTGTACCTTGTCAGGTTCCAGAGCTCTGAGCACTTCTTGAATCCACGAGCAAAGAACCTGCAGGGTGAACAACAGACCCAGGATTAGACTACACAGCTTAGTACGTGAACGTATGGAATGTACTTGGACGAGAAGATGATCTTCTTACACGATGCTGAGGAGCTGCAGGGAGGTAGTAGCCCATTGTTCGTTATGACTCGACGTTGCTTTCATGGACTGGCGCGAGCCTGATCAATCAGAGAATTAATGGCTGGTTCAGGTCCAATTCACGTCCAAGGCAGAGCTGAGGAACCTTGTGGACAATTAGTACATAGTTCAGTGTATAAAAGGATGAATATCTTACCTGAGTGTACTCGGACGCTTTAAGCAAGGCACGGGTTATGTGCAGAGCCTGATCGATGTCAGTCGAGGTAAAGCAATGGCAGTAGTCGCCGCGTACCTCCTTGTAGGTCGGATCCGGATTGGTCTTGGTAGATTCGAGGAATGCCCAGCTCATGGCACCTAGCTGAAGTCAACATGAAGCCTGTTACACGCATGGATAGGCATGTTCGACCCACCTTCACTGACACCATTTATCTGAGCGTCGGCACTGGTCTCCTCATCCCTGCAACCGGAGAACATGGTGATGGTCTTCTTCTCGTTTCCCCACTCTTGTGTGAAGTCGTCCGGTCCCAGGCCGGTCCAAGGCCGATGATGCCTCAGGCTGCGCCAGAAAGATGTCGCTCCGGCATAGAGATCTCGAGCTTGGGCTTCTCTGTCGAGACTGGAGCCGCCGATGACCAGATCCTTGGCTTCTTGGAGGAGGGCAAGTCCGGCCTGATAGCCGTCAAGTTTGTGGACGTTGCCGTCGTCGTCACTTCGGTAGACGAATGGTAATTCCAGACTAGAGCCAGAGTGGCAGCAATCCAAGATGAGGAACAGAGTACTGGTTGGAGGCAACTTGGACACAAGATGCTTATGGAGTATATCCGAATCAATCATGCCATTGTCCTTGTAATTAACGGGGACGATGGTGTCGAGCAGACCTGAGGGGCGCTTTCCACTAGGGTCGTCGATCTGGCCGCCGTGACCGGAATAGTGGAAGAAGCATGTTGTATGTTCTTCACTGACGAGCCAGTCCATGGCCGCCAGAATGTTGTGGCCTGTCGGTGCGTATTCTTCGTCCAAATCGTCGCGCAGCACAACTTGGTCCTGTGGGGTGTCTTGGTAACCTCGATACTTGAGAAATTCTGCAACATTGTCGACATCTTGGTGGCATCCATTCAACTCGTTGTCACTCCCAGTGTAGTTGATGCCGATCAACAGAGACTTTCGACGAGGTGTACAGTTTGACAGAGTTGATTGAGATGCGGATGGGAGTTGGTTTGCTGACATTCTGATGATTTTTCTTTGGTATGATAGTAGGTAGAATGTGTGTCGAGATTCATAGGTAGATGTGTGTCAGATTGTTGTCAAGAAGTCGGTGGCTGCTCGGACGAATCTGGCAGCATCGTCAGCTTTTCGTTTCGACTATCGTTCTTGCCAACATAAAGGGAACATATGGAACCTCCAGCTGGCGGCAACAGATCCGTGACGTACAGTTCCACAGTTCTTTCCATTCTCGCAATTGCATCAGACACATTGAACGATTAGTAAGCTTAGCGGTGCACGATCGTGCCTGCCTGAACCTCGTGTCCAACGGAAGCACACACAGCGGATATCCAAAGACACGAGAGCCTTCATTGTTGATAGCTTCGCGTCAACTTGCTCTTTGTCTCTTGTCTCCTGTTCCCATTGTCCTATGCTCTTGAAAAGATACGACGCTTTGTTAATTGTCTTGTGGCAGCAATGCAAGACAAAGCGTCTCGCACAATCGAACGAGACAATAGACCAGGAGTTGTGGTTGTCTGTGACAGGCTATAAGGCACAATGTTACTTGACCTTTTGCGCTTCTCAGAAACACAACTTCCTCAAATTCCGTGGTCCAGTTGATTTTGTCATCACCATGTACGCCACCGTTGCAGCCAACACTCGCGCCCTCAACACAGGCATAGTCTATTGGACCGAAGACAATACTATCCCGGCTGGACCGCACAACGCTCCTTCAACATCGCAACAACAGACACGTCCACTCAAAAAGAGCAGACTGACCAGACTTCGTAATTTTCTACGCCTTGATGTCGATACTGATGATCATGGTCGTTCGTGCAGATGTGTTAGATGCCTTCAGATTCGTGGTCAGTTGAGCATTCAAGTGATCCAGGAACCTCGTCCTTCATTCAGTCCAGCTACACCCCGTCGCGCACCGTCTCCTCCAAGACGCAGAAACTCAAGTCCACAGATGCAGAGCACGCCATTCAAAAGACCTATAGCCAAACATTATCAGACTGAAATAAGCAACAAAGTTCTTCCTCACATACCTTCTCTGACGTCTCCATCCCCTGGCGCTCCTGGATACATTCCATCTCAGCCTATTTGCAGTTCGATACGCAGAAAACCTCTGGCCCCTAGTGCCTTAGTCTTTCCCAGTCAGCCCATTCCGGTTCCAGAGCCCTCTGATTCTGTCTCACCCATTTCGCCTCCAGCTTTCAGTGCCTGCTTTGATAGCGCACCCATAAGCCCACTGTCTCCGGCAATCTCGATGACTGCTTCAGAGCCCGACTTTGACCAGACCAGAATCAATCGCATGAGTACCTACTCGTACCTTGATGGGAATACTGACTTGTCTGCCTTTGCGACCACTCCTTATGCCGAGACTTTTGCCATCAGAGATGCTACTCCAGTCTCCTTTCAGAAAGTCAAACCTGTCAGGGTCTGGGGTCCTGTAAGATCTGCTACTCCATTCAACTCACGTGGTGAACGTCCCAAACTGACTTTGCAACTCAGATCAGTGATTGTTAATCGACCCGATATCATTCGTGGTCCCAGCATCAGATCCATGGGCTGTGTTGTCGGTTCGACAGAGTACTCACCATTTTCTGCTTCAACTGGCGGTGCTTCAGACACGTCGACTGACAATGGTTCGCTAGGCACTCACGCCAGGATTCTCAAAAAGGTTTTGGTTGAGTCCTTGGAAGGTAGGTCTCTGATTAGAAATTCGTTTGTTCCCAGGTAATTGCTTGAGGTGAGTTTTACGACGTCATTCCCTCTTTTGCTGCTCCTGTTTACTTTTAGCTCAGGAAAATCTTGCTGGAGTTTTCATATTGGGAAGTGTCAAGGAGTTAGTTGAACTTTACAAATGAAAAATGCTTAGACAAAATTTGAATTATGCCCTATCTAATGTGACGTGAGAACAAAGTGTATTAGCTTGACAGTGAAGTCGAAGGAATTAAAGACAAATGTATGGCAAGGATATCATCGTGCATCGGCCCACTTGGGAGGTCTCTCTGATCTCGTAAATTGATCTTGGAAGTGCTCCTCCCACCAAGTGACAGGAGTGAACAGATAGCTGCCAATGACACAGAAGAGTGTAGCCAAAATCTGCCAGATGGGCACAATGATGGAGATCCAGGGCAGAACAAACTTGATGAATTGATCGGTCTGGTACAGGTCGTTTTGGCTGGAGATGTAGTACTTCATTTTCCCTTCGTTTTCTGGGTCTCTCTGAGGGGACAGGTGTAGGACGGTGACCAGCGAAACTTCAGCTCGGTGGGTTGGGACGGCCCAGATAGCGAAGACTTGAGTGAGGCCGACGTACAGGACGAGGTTCTTCTCATCGTAGGAGACGCTGTGGACCTTCGCAGTTATACGCGGCGACATGATCTTGTACCATCGGTATATGCGCTCGACCAGATAGCGGGAATATGCGGAAGAGCCGGTACGGCAGAAGGGGTGGGTGAAGCTCGCATTGGGCGTGAAGTACTTGTTGACGGCGGCAAGCTGTAAGGATGGAGGAGTCTCGGTCAAGAGAGCAATCACGTAGGGGATCTCGGCCACAGGGTCATCCATATTGAGGGATTGATGGGAAGCACAAAAGACATGATGGCAGTCGGCGGGTCAGGAAGTTGTTGACCTCGACTTTCACATGCTCGACCAACCGTCAACGTCATGGTGAGATGGACCCCTTCTTCGGCTTCGAGCCGGGCAACTGCTACCGAGCTGCTGCTGCCAATTCTCCGCCAAGACGAGCGCGATAAAGCCCCGATAAGGATACCGACTTTCTGCAGCTCGAACAAAATTTATTGCCGCCCAATTGCTTTGTGATCATCCACGCCGTCTTGGACGTTTCGTATAGGGACTTTTACCATCATGGCGCCGGGAGAACACCATCACCGTAGTACGACTAAACAGTCGCACAAGCCCTACAAATCAAAGCACATGAGCAAGGGCGCAATCAAGGACAAGAACAAGGGTATGTCAAAGAGACAGTTTCTTATAAATCCAGTCACCAACTTCGTGCAGGCAAGGTCGAATCAGTAGGCTTCGAGCGCGGAACTAGAAAGACCCCCCACCAGCAAATGATGTCCAAGTTGGACCGCCGCAACCAGGCTAAGCAAAAGCGCCTGGTCAAGGACGCCGAACACGATCGCCAGACCAACGTCTTCCATGGAAAGAATGCTGCTCCCAGAATTTGCGCCGTCATCCCTCTCTGCGAAGACATCTCGAGCGCAACCGCCGTCCAAAACCTCGTCCGCAGTGTCGATATTGAAGATGAAATTCCCACCTCCAACATCTGGAAAGTCGACGTCGCCCGCTTCAAGCAAAAGCTTCAGTTTGTCACCCTCGGACGCCGCGATGTCCTCGACGCCCTCGATGCCTGCCGTGTCGCCGACTTTGTCATCTTTGTACTGAGTGCCGATCAAGAGGTGGATCCTTTGGGCGAGCAGATGCTGCGTACCATCGAGAGTCAGGGTGTGTCAAATGTCATTACTCTGGTTCAAGGACTCGACAAGATCGAACCCGCAAAGAGACGCCCGCAAGTCTTGGGCTCGCTCAAGTCTTTCATCACCCACTTTTTCGCTACTCAGGAGCGCGTACACTCTCTGGATGCTCGTCAGGATTGCGCCAACGTTGTGCGCTCGCTGTGCACCACCACACCTAAGGGAATCAACTGGAGAGAAGCACGAAGCTGGATGTTGGTCGACGACCTGGCTTGGCCCGAGGATGCCTCAAACACTGTCGTTTTCACTGGAACTGTGCGTGGAAAGGGTCTCAAGGCCGACCGATTGCTTCAGGTTGGAGATTGGGGTGACTTCCAGATCGAGAAGATCGTGGCTGCTGCATCTCTGGAAACCAAGAAGAAGCATTCGGCTGACGATATGGCTATGGATGACGCTCCCCAACAAGACAACATTCTCGAACTTCCTTCCGAGGACCAAGATGATATGGCTGACCTCGCACCTGAGGAGACAGCCATGACAGATTTCGCACCTTCGGTAGCTGCTACGGAACGTAAGGGTGTTTTGCTGGATGACCACCACTACTTTGACGAGGATGAGGATCCCGAGGCTTCAAGACCGAAGAAGATGCCTAGAGGTACCTCGAAATACCAATCTGCCTGGTACGTCGACGACCTTTCAGATTCAGGCTCAGATCTGGAGAGCGTTGACGAGGAAATGGACGATGCAATGGAAGACGCCATCCCTGCTGATGGCACCGAGGGCCTTGCTCCTCGTGAACCCACAGAGTACGCACCTTCAGAATATCCACAATCGGAGATGTTCCAGGACCGATCACCAGAGGATGAGGCCGAGCAATTGGCTGCTTACCGCGAGTCACGAAAGGCTGAGGCTGAGGAAGATCTCGAGTTCCCAGACGAAATCGAATTGCACCCCAATGTGTCAGCCCGCGAAAGACTGGCTCGTTACAGAGGTCTCAAGAGTTTGCGCACCAGTGTATGGGAGCAAGACGAGGACAAGCCGCACGAGCCTGCAGAGTGGTCGCGCCTGCTCGAGATTGCCAACTACAAGGCAGCACAGCACCGTATGATCAGCGAAGCCCTGGTTGGCGGCGTTGCTCCTGGAACTCGTGTCCACGTCTACGTTCGCCTCGGCGACTCTTCCCCTGAGACTCTCAAGACTCTTCCAACACCGACAGGTATCTTCTCGTTGCTGCGTCACGAGCACAAGCGTACATCGGTGAACCACAGTATCACACTCAGCAGTGACTATCCTGCACCCCTCAAGTCCAAGGACGAGCTGATCATGCAATGCGGTCCTCGTCGCTTGATTATCAACCCCCTGTTCTCTCAAGCAGGCAACACTCCCAACAACGTGCACAAGTTCGACCGCTACCTGCACCCCGGGCAAACAGGCATGGCTTCGTTCATTGGTCCTCTCACATGGGGCAACGTGCCTTGCCTGTACATGAAGCGTACCTCCACCATTCCTCCTCCCGCAGTCGACTCAGACAACGAAGACGACGACGCAATGGACGACGACTCTGTCAGCAAACCCCTCTACACACTTATCGCCACCGGTACCTCAGTCGCCCCCAGTACGAACCGCATCATCGCCAAACGCGCCATCCTTACTGGTCATCCTTACAAGATCCACAAGAAGCTCGTTACCATTCGCTACATGTTCTTCAACGAGGAAGACGTTGCTTGGTTCAAGGCCATCCAGCTCTGGACCAAGCGTGGCCGCAGCGGTTACATCAAGGAGTCCTTGGGTACACATGGTTACTTCAAGGCTACCTTTGACGGCAAGATCAACCCTATGGACGCTGTGGGTATGAGTTTGTACAAGCGCATGTGGCCTAGATGGGCAAGAGAGTGGAGACCTGGTATGGAGACCGCTACTCTGGACAACGAGAAGGGTGACATGATTGCTTAAGAGATGTCCTTGGGTTTTGCATATTACATATGATATGGATGGGTTTGTCGATATTTATAGGCGCTTCTAGGGATCATGAAATGGAATAAAAAGCTTGCTTCCTTCTTCTACTATGATTTTGATTGACCTTGAAATGATCTTTGCAGATGTGGCGGTGCATCTTTGTAATGGTTGCTCTTGTCTTCTTAACAGACTGATGTGCTGTGCTCTGTGATGTTCATAGCCCAAATGTCCTTCCAAAAACAAGCTCCTGCACCTCAGATGCCAGTTCCATACATCCGCTCTCCATTGCAGAATCTGAGTGCCCGTTGTTGACCTTCATGCGCAATCGAAGAGAAATTCTACAACAGACAGTCTGTGACTTTGCCTGCTTCTCTTGCCGGACGGATGCGAGGGTCTCAGCCCAGTATTTCGCAGCTGAAAAGAGAAAATAGAAGACCCAGAATTCGGGGTATCGCGGTGCTTGCCTCGAAGCCGAGTTCCAGCATGAGATTCGTGTATGTTCTCTGCTTGTGCTGGTGTGGTGGTCGCGCTCCTTCTCTCGCGGGAAGGCGTGGCTAGGAGCTGAGCCAAAGGGTCGTCGGCTCGTCTTGCGCCATGTTTACTTGTTCGAGTAGTGCCCTTGGGCTATACCCGTCTTTTTAAATGCTCGGAGTCTTGTTGTGCGAAGGTGTGTCGTCCTTGTCCTCTCTTTGTCTCTTCGGTGCTTGTGACTCGCCGTGATGCGGTCGCGTACCTCTCCTTCCTTGTCCTCAACCTCTTCTCTTTGATCCCATCCTTGTCAGAGATTTCGTTATTCCCCTCTTCAAGCAGCAGCAGGCAAATCTTCAACCTCATAAATCACCCGAATCATCAACGAACAACTCGGACAAACAGCAATCTCCTCGCCATCCCTCAGATCCTCAATGTTGATTTCAAAGCGATCGCCACAGGGGCATGGATAGGTGTAGAGTTGGGTGGCGGGATCGTAGGTCATGTCTTCGATTTCGATCTCGTCGTAGATTCTTTCTTGGGATGTGTCGACCATTTTTGCGGTGGGTTCGAAAGTGGGTGCTGGATTTGTAATCGGCAGTGTTTGAGAGTGAGGGATGATGGAGCGAGAGTTATGTACAGCGAATGCAGCTGCGTCCTTGTGGGTTGTTTGTTTATGTGGAAAGAAGAGTCAAAAAAAATTGTTGATGCTCGTCCTCAAAGGGTGGCGTGGGGAAGCGCCGCCCGAGCATCGGCCAAGTCGACACCCTTAGAACGACTAATCCATCATCAAGGACTTTTGGTGACCTGACTTTATTCGTTCGTGCCTTCACTTCACACAACTTTCCAGACTTTGCTCGCGAGTTTCATGTAATGTGGATCGTTGAAGTGGAGCTTCTCAGTGCGTTCTTCCTCCTCAGCAACCTCGAATTGAAGCCAAATTCGCTACAGCCATACACAATTATGCTGGGTATCGTGACCATGTTCAGAAAAGAAACTTGAATTCCACCACGCCTCATCCAAACTCCTACTACCAAAGAAGTTTGCCTTATGCAATCTCGAGTAAGGATTTGATGTTCTCAAGTCCTGCCATCCTCGCCCCTCCACACACCCTGATCTGCCAGCATTTTGCTAGGATGGTCTCTCGAGCTCTCCACCTGCAGTGCGAGTCGAGAGTCGTTGTTCAGACTATCGATCTCACGACGAGCATCGCCGTTACCACCTTCAGGATCATCTGTGTAGCGCTGGGCGGGATATTCGATGACTCTGTTCGCTGCATCGGTCTCTTCTTCAAGTACGCGGTGAGGAAGGCGCATGCTCTCGTGAGCCCATGTCGGATGCAATGCTGGAGTCACGAGGATTACAGCCTATCGACAGGGTTAGTGTGAGTGGAATAAATGGGTGTGAAAAGGTCTACGCACCATCCAGACAAAAACGCCCACTGCAACGCCAATCATAAGACCAGCCACTGTTCTCTCCTTATCTCTCCAGGCACTCTCGCAGCCGATGTGACGATCGAAACGCTGCGAACATGTATCGACGGCGACTCCATGACCAGGAAATGGGAAGGGCATGTCTCGTACACTTCTGAGACCACAGCAATCAAAAGCATCTTGGATTCTCCTGATCTTACGACCATTCTTGTCATGGAACATGCCCTGCCATTTCTCTCTCAATGCGCAGCCTAGGCCACCAATAGGCGAGACGTGTGTACCGCTAAGTGTTGCGACTACCGTGATGTAGACCAGCAAGCCAAGGATAGTCAAGGTCGAGGGCAACAGGACGGCAGGAAAGTTGCGTGCGTGACGGTGTCGAAGATTTGGGTGTTGAGCTAGCGAGGATGCAAGTGCAGTACTGGTCTCCATACACAGGCCTGCAAATGGTGGAAGTGCGAGTGCGAGAGTTGTGAGAGACGAGGGAATAGGCAGTGAGAGCGTTGAGGTTTGGTGTACGGCATATCTGTATGTTGGCTGATCAGTTTATGAAGGCAGCGACCATGCAAAAGATACAACTTACGCTGCCATTGCAGTCAGGGCTCCAAGATACTATATCGCGTCAGTAAGGGACGGCTCGAAGTATTAAATTCAGCTTACAAGGACGCTCAAGATGACCGATACCTGGCGTCTAGTGAGCGACGCCATCTCGGAATGTGATGTTCAAAAGGTTCTATGTTGAATGCTTTTGGGAGGAACGATAAGAGAGGGTGGCTCTGGTTGTGGTGTGATAGATAAGGGTAGTTGCAATCAAGTTGCAAGTGTGATGTACAAACAGAAAGTGAATCAAGGTGGAAAGAGCTTAAGAAACCCCTTACTCTGTTTGTCCCTGCCAACATGAAACAAGGAAGCAGCCATGGAACAAGATGCTCATGGCGTGAGTGCCAAACAGATAGACGAGCTGTTGTTGATGCATCAAATCGTCATCTTCTCCGCATTTGTTGATCGCTCGGAAGGAAGGTCACTCCTCCATCACGATCAGAGGCACTTTCCAACTAACCACATCGCATGCTCTCATGATAATTCACGCAGAATAGAAGCCTGATGATTTGCTGACTGCCAAAGATGGTGTGTAGTATCTCGGTTGATATATTGTTTCGCGCTTTACAAAGTGGTACTTTGCATGTGAAAGACGGTCACGCGCCATTGTGCCTCGCCATGATCTTCTATCCCAACGCACATATTCTCGACGAGGAGGTAATCTCACCATCATTACATACTCCAAGCAGATCTCTCAGCTATTTTCAGCTCACAAGATGCCTGACAACAAATCTACTACAAAGTCCACCTCGGCATTAGTCTCTGCGACTATTCGTGAACATACCGCGCCGCTGACCCAACGAACTGAAGCCATCGTCTCGGCTTCACAATCGATAGATGCGCAAAAACGAACTCTGGTTCAAGGCACGCAAAAACTTTCGCGACAAGCAGAAGAGCTCGAGAAGACCATAGGTCAAAGCGTTGGTCAGCTGAAGGAGATGGGTGATCTTCAGAACTGGGCCGAAGTTGTGTTTCGAGACATCTCTGTGCTTGAGGAAACTTTGAGAATGGTTGAAGAAGAGGAAGTCGGCGACGATCAGAGAGTCAACGATGCCGGTACAGGCACCACCTAGGCGTTCATACACTGAGCATAGGGGCTCTGTTCGTAACATCATGGAGCGATTAGTGCCATTTCTAGCTCAGCCCTCTTTCTGGGCTTCTCTGCCACGTTGACTGTGCTTCAAACTCTTCATGCTCAGTCTGGGTCTGCTCTTTCGTGTATTGGCTAGGGGAGCCTTCTTGCCGCCAAGCAACGAAGCAATCATAGGAGGTCTGACGGCTATGAACTTGCCCTTGGGTGAAAATACTTCAACTTGTGGGAAAGCGCTCTGTACGATTTGCTCCTCTGGTGTGAACAACGGCTTCCAGGTTGTGGTCTCGGAGACTTCTGAGGCAGGCGATGCGTTGATGTTTTCAGGCTCGCTAGGAGAGATTGGAGTAGATTTGTTCTGAGCTGACTTTCGTACTTGAGCAACAAGTTCAACCCAGCCAACACCTTCAATCAAGATATCTGCTGAGTAGACCTTAAAGGGCAGCTGCTCAGGCTTCAATTTGGCAGCAGATTTTGAGGTCAATGGGCCTGCGCGCTGCCTCGTAACGTCCCATTCGAGCTTGAAAGTACCCGCTGATGCCATCTCTGTGCGAGCCTCCTTCGTCATGATCGTGTGTAGTCCAGTGGCTCGCTCGCCGCTTGCAATAGCCACAGCCTTCTCGGTAGAGGTGATGTGAGGGTGTAATGGCAGAAAAGTATAGGACAAGAAGACCAAATCCGGCGTTGTAGGAGTGATGCGAATGAGACCACCTCCTAGCACCAACGACTGACCAGGCTTTATGGACATCTGCTCGGGTACTACGCGCGATCGCATAACAAGGTCCTGGTGATGTTCCGGTAACACAAACTCATCAAGGTTGGATCGCGCAACGCCAGGCAGATCGATAAGCTCGCCTTTGCCATTTCCAAATGGCACGCGGATGGGCGAAGCTGTGGTTCCAGGTAGAGACGAGATGACGGGCATGACAGGATAAGGAGTTTCGACTTGAGCAGGGGGAAGCAAGGAACCCTCTTCCACGTCAAACACGTCTGGCTCATCCTGGTCAACAGTTTCTGGCTGAGAGTTCGTTGCAGCATGATCAGAAGCACTACTTGTCGAATCAGCAGTATCCACGGCTGTATCCTGGACTCCAGGCAAGTCGGACAAAGACTCGGTTGAAGCTCCGGGAGCTGAAAGATCGTCTGGCTCTAGACGGGCATGCATAGGTTGAGACTTTGGCACGGCTTCTTGTGCTCTGCCCTTGGGGAAAGCGACTTCGAACAAATTGCTCTTGCCCACATTGACCTTGCCAACCATCCAAGCAGCGCCACCTCTTTCCCAAATGTCTTCCTTGACCTGCTTTGTCCACCAACCTCGCTTTGCGCTCACACATCGCATGTTTCCCAGTCTGACGTTCTTTCCAGTACGACCAAGAGCGTCACGAAGCGTCTCACGGAGATATGGCATCAGACTGTCGACCTGTTCCTTGTTTGGAGCGAGGAGATCGGAACGAGTAACAATGAAAGAGACATCGGCGACGCGATCGCGAACGTATTTCTTGTGCTTGGAGCGACGATTTTGAGTGCGTAGAGAAGGAAGATCTAGGCGGTTCATGAGATTGGGTATCAGCGACATGGGAAAGTCTGCAGCATCGAGGATGTGGTAGATGTGGTTGTTCTTGTGAGGAGAGTCTTCGATTATGCTACGGATGCTGTCGATTGAGGGGTGGAAGATGGGGACGCCGGTGTGATGGTGCAAGAGGTTGTGGCATCGGTCGCAAATTGGAGTCTGCTTTTGCGGTTGTTCTTTGGCAGTAAGAGCTCCACTGCCTAAACCCAGCTCTTGCAGGACCTTGCTATCCACCTTGTCCAGAGTTGCTTGGAAGACGAGGTCCTCCTTTTTGGCATCATCTTGGACGAATTTCCTGACAGCAGACCTACTCAAGTTGTAGAAGCCAGCTTCTTCGGGAGCGACTGTTTGACTAGGAGCGCCACATCCTGGACATGAGAGAGGCAGCTTGCGAGTCTTTTGCTTGAGCTCGAGCTGTCGGCGCTGAATCAAGTCATGTTGGTCCTGTGCAGATGAAAGCGGCTCGGTTGAAGAGAGGCGTTTCGCACCAACATTTGACAAGCGTAACAGTGGTTGTGAGGAGAGTATAGACGGCCGTACAGAAGACCAAGTGGACGGCTTCCTTAGCCAGGCATTGCGCGAGCGAACGGTCACTCTACTAAACATCTGGATGTTATGGCAGCTGTCAAGAAAGTTTCTGGTCGAGCATGGAATGATGATTTGACACGATGGAGCGGCCAAAAAGGTCGGCCCGAGCACCTTCCGCCGCCGCCGCCATGATAGTCACTCATGCGCCACCATTTCCATTCCCTCAATTGCTCTGTACAGTCCAAGTCCACCTTCGTCCACTCGATACTGCACTCCGTCCAACATGTCATCACTCAATCTCGCCCGTCTCGCTGTTCGCTCATACTACTCTCCTGCTGCTCGCCGCGCCATCAGCACTTCGCCAGCCTTCAGATCATCATGGTCGCCCGGCCCTTCGCCGCCACGCCTTCCCAAGGAAGAGCAGGAAATCTTTGACAAGCTCATGAAGCAGTCTACTGGTGCCTTCAGTACCCCTCAGAAAGCCCCCGAAGAAGCCGTCGCCGAAGCTACTGTTTCCAAGCCCCAAGTCAACCAATCGCCTCAGATCAACCAGTCCCCTGCTCTCAAGGCCGACGGCAAGGGTGAAGAACTACACCCCAATGTCCGCCGCGGTGCTCCCCCAGAGTTTGAAGGCGATGTGAACCCTCAGACCGGCGAGGTCGGTGGTCCCAAGAACAACCCTCTGCGATGGGGTCACGGAAGCGATTGGAGTTACAATGGCCGTGTTACCGACTTCTGAGTCCAATCTACCCACCTCGTTCCAATCGCCCGACCTCCTCCTTCACCCTAGAGATTTCGCTCCGCATCCGTGTTATCTCCTCGACTGCCTCCCGCAGTCCTGAAACTCCTTCCAAGCGCTCCAGCCACTGCTCGCGATCTCTGAGTCTCCTGCGCAGTCCTGCACTCTGTGCATCCAACTCTCCCTTCTTGCGCATGAGTTGCTCTTCTGCTCTTCCGTCGTACACTTGTCCCGCCACCGTCTTTCTTGCCACTAGCAATCGCTTCTCAAGGCCTTGTGCGACTGTCGCAAGGTGTTCGGCTCGCGCTCGACTGTGTCGTGCTATACTGCCATGCATTACCTGCTCCAATATCCGAATGGCTGTTTGCAGCAGTTGAGCGTTCGTCTTGAGAAGTTGAGTCAGCGTGCTCGCCAGCTCAATGCGTTTGACACCCAGTTGCCATTTCGCTTCTTCCACATCTGCCTGTAGAGCCTGAACTTGTGCTGGAAGTGTCGAAGGGTCTGCCCGCTGCTGTGTGGGATCTGTTTTTGTACAAATATGAAATTAGCATAGCTTCATCTTTTCAATGATACCCTCCCTTTCTTCTGCCTTTTCGTCAACACATACCTAGTATTTGACAAAGCAGCATAACATTTTGCTCCATGTGTGTTTCCACCGCTGCTCTCACGGTCTCGATGTTGGCCATGAACTCCTCAACCTCGACTTGAACAATATCCTTATCTTGAGGATCTAGCTTGCCATCCAACTGTGCAGAAACAATCTGCGCCGTCTCTCTCAACTGCCACAAAAGTCAGTATCTCCCTGTTCAATGCAACCCAACCATAAACAAATACACACCTCACCACTCAGTCCCCCTTCTCCCTCGCCAAAAGCAACAGCCCTCACCGCATCTTTAAGCACTTCTCTCTTCGCCAATTCTATTCTCTTGGTCCTGAGTATTTCTCTGGTTTTTAGGGTTTCTTTGTCTGTAGTGAGAGACTTGGAGACTCCTTCTCTGGTCATTTTGTTGGTTGTTAGGTCTTTCCATAACAGTGCGAATTGCGGGTTTCGGGATAGTGTTTCTGCGTCGGGTTGAGGGAGCATGGCTTCTGTCTTGTATGCTGACTGAATTTTGATTCGATTTTGGGCGTGAATTTTGTTGCAAGAGAGAAGATGCGTTGCTCCTGTATCTGACTTTTTGTTTTGGTGATATGGTTGCTGGGGAGTGTATGTACACAAGGGAGGTCGGAGGTTTGCTTTGAGCTCTCCGCAATGACAATCTAATTCACGTTGGCAACAAGGCACAAAGGGACGCGATTCACAACCTGTCCGAGTTCGAGAAACTAACATCTACGACTTCATATTTGCTGATACACATGTCTAGAACAAGACCTGTATGACACTTTCGAGACCACAAAAGCACTGAGAAACGAAGAACTATCTCTAAGAAGGAGTGGGTGCGATAAACAGTTCTTGTCTCGGAACCTGTTGCCATCGATGCTGAAGACTACTGAATTATAGAGACAAGAAAGGGAAAAGGCTATGGTACAAGAATTTTAAAAGGGGGAGAGGCCTCTGCCTTGACACCTCATCATCGTCAAACTCCAGCAAGAAACGGCCTGGCCTCCTGCAATCCTTCCTTCCTATTGGGTATCTCTTTTTGTAGGGGAGTAGATGGCGGGTTGCGAGAAAAGAAATGCATTCCTTGAGCAAGCATGTGTTCTTGGTGAACGGATGGGTTGAGGTGATATTAACGGATAAGTCGTGTGCTGTCATTCATCATCATGTTCGCCAGCTGCTTTGCTCGCGTCCCATGCTTTCTGGCCTTTGGTCTCGTAATCGTCCATCGCAAACAATGAGGGGTATAGTTCCGCAGCTGAGCATTTGAGCCCAGAGTGGGCAATCGAAATGATCAAAGAGGAGTATGAATCTACTCTTCTTCACTGCTCTCGCTGTCTTCATCATCACTAGAATCGGCGCGGTGAGCAGCGGAGGAAGCTGCACCACCACCAGCAACGGAATTGACATCACCAGACATAGCAGCCATCTGCTCCTTGAGCTGTCTAATGCGGTCCTCTTGCTCGTGCTTCTTCATGGGCTTATGCTTCTTCTTTGCAGCTCCGCCAGAACGTGCTGACGGCTTCTCGGGCTCGTAGTCGTCATCGATCGCATTGGCGTCCATTTCGACCGGCTCAGCCTTGGGGAAAATGCTGCGCACGTAACGGAGTAGCTTGTGTTGTACCTCATTTGGCAGATCATCGATCTCAAGCTCAACATCATCGCCAGCCATATCCTTGTACTTAGCAACATTCTCCGTGATGATGTTGGTCAGCTTCTCCACCTGCTCGGCACTCATGTGTTCTGTGGCGCTGCTAATTTCCTGCTTCTCATCATATGTGACCAGGCGTTGTTTCTTAGGCTTAGATCCGGTCTTGATAGTAGGACGTGAGAGGCCGGAGCTGCCGCCAGCCTTCTTGCTGGGCTTGCTGGCGCCGGTGCTGCCACTCTTGTTCTTCTTCTTACTACCAGATGCCTTTGGAGATGCGCGTTTGCCACCAGAAATCGATGCAACCATGTTCTGCATTGCGGCCAGTTGCTCTCTGAGCAAGGAGATAGTGGCTTCATTGCTGTCATGCTCGTCGTCTTCCTCGTGGCCATCGTCAGAGTCATCGCCATCAGAAACATCTGACACGGGACTAGCGCGCTGAGACTGAGGCGTGTGTCTCTTGATCCAGCTATCCTTCTTGGACCACTCTCTGTGGAATTCTGTCTGGAAGTCTTTGCCCATTTCGTGCACAATGTTTCCGGCAGGGTTGAACTTGAAGCAGTTTGAGAACATCAACTCGAAATCGTTTCTGAACTCTTCCGCGGATGCATACTGTCCTCCCTTGAGCCTCTGGGTGATTGTGGAGATGTCCATGGGGTGCTTGATGATGCTGAAGTACTGGGGAATGTTGAGAGCGACAGGATCAACCGGAACGCGGAATGGAGCGGCGTAGCGGTCGTGCTTTGGCTTGCGGAACTCTTCCAGAATATGCTCGCAGAATTTCAGGCCGGTCTGGGCTTCCTTTCTCTTGGGCTTTGATGTTGAGTAAGGCAGATCGCGTGGAGCTGGAGGAATAACAGCCCGCTTGGGCCTGCCTGCAGTTGAGTCTCTGCGAATCATTGGTGTTCCATCGGGCAAAAGAGCAAATGTATCGCCAGAGGGTGACTTGGCAGGTGCAGCGGGCTTGGCTGGCTCAGGGCGGGGTAGAGCGGCGGGCTTGGGCGATGCCTTCTTAGCGACATGCGACTTTGCCTTGGGCAGCGCAGCTTCTCCAGTGGGGCACATTTGCATCTGCTTCATGAAATAGGCTCTGAGGTTTTGTGCCGAGACAGAAGCGGCGTGGTTAATGCCGTTAAAGGTAAAGCAGTTTGTGACCATGAGCTCGAAGTCGGACACAAGATCGTCGACCGAAGAGTATTGGTCGTTCTTGAGTTTTTGCTCGATTGTGGTAAGGTCCATGGGCTGTTTGATGATAGTGGGGTAATGGGGAATATTCATAGCCACATAATCAACGGGTTTGGTGAACCAGAAGGCAGACTTGACTTTCTTGGTGTTCTTCATCTTTTCAATCAAGAAAGCCTTTTGGTTTTTGGTGATAGGGCCAGAACTGATGCGGGGTGTGTTTTGAGGGCGAACGACAGGAACGGCGGTACCGTTAGTTCCACCATTCGAAGTGACAGGGGCAGCCTGAGCAGTGCTTTCAAATTCAGCTTGCGTTTCGCCATTAACATCATCTGTTGTCTTTGTGCGCTTTGCTGAAGGCTCGCCAGTCGCATCATCTTCTTCGCGGGCGCGAACAGTTCCTGCCGAGGGTGCATCTGACATTTCTTGGTCGACTGATGTGTCTGTCGGAAGCGCGGCAGGTGCCATACCAGCGGAGGCTTCCATAGTGGGTGCTGCTGCAGCCGGCGCAGTAGAATCAGGGATGGAGCCGTTAGTGAGAGAAAGATCTGATTCGGGTTTTACGTCTTCAGTTTTTGACTGGTCAGCAACACCGTTAGAAAGATCTGTGGCTAGGAGTTGATTTGATTCGGAGTTGGCGGCAACAACACCATCAGTGACAGCAGGTTTTGACTCTTCAATCACCTGAGGTTCCGGCAGAGTGGCGGAGTGAGTCTCAGCTACAGTGGCAAGTGAAGGTGCATCAGTGATCTCAGTGTCCTCAGTGATGTGCGCTTCTCCGTCACCAAGGGGCTCTGATGGTGAGACGACGGGCTGGTCGAGGTTCGCGTCAGACGGAATGAATTTGGCAACGCCTTCAATGCCAGAAGACGGTTCTGTCACTGGAGCGGCGTCGGATGTAGGCGCGTCAACAGTTTGTGAGTCAGCAGGAGTAGGCGGACCATTGGCTGACAGGTCAGTCGTGGCCGGCGCCGGCTTTAAGGCGTCGGCAGCATCGATAACATTGTCGACAGGTGCCTTGGCAACATTGTCGACAGACTCTCCATGAGGCTCCTCGCCGAAAAGATCATCACTTTGTTCAGCGGCGACAGGCAGGTCTTCATTAGGTCTGTAACAAATTCTCAATATTTACATTCAATAATCGATGATGGAATGGAGAGGAGAAAGTATGCAAGGTGATGATGAGGGTACAACAAAGTGGAACGACGATGATGATATAAGGAACAGCAGAGGTAATAAAGAATGAGACTCACCGGTCGACGTTTGCCATCTCCGGTTGTAGTCCTGTTTCTGCTGACATCTGAGATGGAAAAGAGTTGTGCAGCGTTGTGGTAGATGAATATGGCACGTGAACGGCCGAACAGAGAACGAGAAACGACTATCAAGCGACGATCAAGAGAAAGAACGCGACGGGACTACTGTTGTATTGGACAGGACAAGTGGGCAGGAATTATGCGCGCGTAGCACAAATGATAAAAAAATCCTGAATCCGAGATGGAAAGTAGTGGTGGTGTAGTTGTGGTCGGCGAAAAGTTGGGAGAACGTGTCGCGCGAATCGGAAAGCCGGACGTGGACGTGGAGCGTGTTTCGACGCGATTGGAACTCGCAAAAGGATGCAAGTTTGGAAAGTCTGGGAGATTTATGATGCTGCCCCTAGCGCCCGTTGCACGTGATCAAGCTTGAGAAAACGCCGTGCGGCTGTGTGTCGCCACAAGGCTGCCGAGTCGAGCAGGAGCAAACGCAGGGGGTTTGGGATGAGCAAGATTTTTCAAGGTGGCACGACACTATGATAGCCAGATGAGGGGAGTCAAAAGGCAAAACAACAGCGAATGAGATGGAAGTCGCTCACGAGCATGCGATTACCTTGAACAGCGCAAAGGCTGGGCTTGGTGGAAGGAGCGAATTGCTCTTGCCAGATGTCCTCGTACTTGCCAGAAGTCTTGGTTGGGAGCAGTCGCTCTCAAACCTTCAAACGGATACGGATGCCTACGGAGAACGCGCAAGGCAGCAGCGTGGGAGCAAGAGGACTGGCTTTTGCAGAAGACAAAGTTTTCTCTATCGCACTTGCTGAGCTGCAAGGCGACACGACCATGTCCGGTTCATTCTTTGGCGGAGAAGAGAGTGAAGAAAAAGAGGCACAGGCACTCTCCAGCCAAAAGCGGCGGATAGTCGGAGACTAAAGCACAGACGTCAAACTTCTGGCGTAGCCTTGTAATTTTTTATCTCAGCTGCAAAGGATCAAAGTCCAAGTAGCACACGACGGACTAGTCCATATAACATTCCACCATGAGCACAGCAAAACGATCACGGGCAAGGCAAGCAGAGGCAGGAGCCGCACCCTCGCTGCCCCCATCGAAAAAGGCAAAGACTTCACAGCAGGCTAGCTCTGGACTGGCCTTCCTGACCGACGAGAATCAACGAGCTGGAAAGAAGCTGCGCGCAAACTACACCAATGGCATCAAAGACTCAAGAGCAGAACGTGTCGACGAGTCCAAGGCTCAAGTCGAACAACACGAGGCAGAGGCACCAGAGGTAGTCGAGATTTCGAGTGGAGACGAATCGAGCGTATACAATAGCTCCGACGACGAGGCCGATGACAACAAGCCCATCACCAACGGCCACCACGATGCCGACGCTGTCATGGCTGATGCCGATGAGGATATGGAAGATGGCGCAGAAGGCCAGTCGTTTGGCGACATGCTGCAGGCAGCGCATCCCGAGACGATCGATGTCCAGTCCGCCTTCGCCGACCGTGAAGAAGGCACCCAAGCTCTCGTACCCGTGAACCAGGACCGCTCTCTCGCCCTCCCTACAGCCACCTCTCTCGGAACCGTCCTTACCCAAGCTCTGCGCACCAACGACCGCGACCTCCTCGAGACTTGTTTCCAGATGACCGACCTCCCCAGTATTCGTTCGACCATCCAGAGACTGCAATCGCCGCTTGTCGCTTCCCTCCTCCAACGCTTGGCTGAAAGACTACACAAACGCCCTGGTCGTGCTGGAAACCTCATGGTCTGGGTTCAATGGTCGCTAGTCTCGCACGGTGGCTACCTTGCCAGTCAGCCCGATGTTCTCAAGAAGCTCAAGACTTTGTCGCGTGTCATCAAGGAGCGTGCCAACGGTCTCCAGTCTCTCGTCACACTCAAGGGCAAGCTTGACATGCTCAATGCTCAAATCGAGCTCCGCAAGAGCGTTCAAGAGACAAGAGATGGAAGATTCGACGATGGCGACAACGTGGACGACGATGTCATCTACGTCGAGGGTCAAGACGATCTATCATCCGACGACGAGAACGACCTCATCAGCAACGCTGGCGACCTCTCCATGGTCAACGGCGCCGACCAAGCGTCATCCGACGTTGAGGAAGAAGAGGCCGAAGAAGGCATGTTCGATGAGGAAGCTGAGGAGACTTCTGATGACGAGGGTGAAGAGCTTTCTGACGAGGACGAGGAGAGCGACGAGGTTGAGGAGGAAGAGGACGACGAATCATCCGACGATGACGAGGCCCCAGCACCTGTCGTCAAGCCCTCAAGGACACAGCAACGCGCCGCCGGACGAAGAAAATAAGTGGCCACTCAAATGCCGATTGTCTTCTAGATACATCTTTCTCGAGAACAGGTGTCAGCAACAGCCACGACCGCTGCAAAGATGGAATCGTGTCCGAGCTATCGAGCTTTTCGAGCCATCTGGCTGGTTGCCATGCGCATAAGGAGATGAGTGTACATGCATCCAAACTGCGACGGAGTCTTTAAGGGGTGGGTTCTGAATGTGGAGCAGGCGGCGTTCAAAGATGTCTTTTTTTCTTCCAATTTTTTTACTGTTGGATCTTCTTGCCCTTTTATGCATGGCGTGTACACTCGGTCCTCTAGATGGATATTGAAATGGCATCATTCTACAACTTTGTTCTCGCCTTGTGGGTTGTTGTGTTTTCGAGTAAGACCCAAACCTGCCGCTCGAATAGGAAACCTTCAAGGATTCTGTGCACAGTATTTTAATACGCTGTTACCGTCGATATCGACACACCTCTTGCAATGAGGCTCGTTGTTAATCATGATCTAATGAACATGATGATCTGGTCAATGTGCTACCCAAACATCACTTGGTGCTTGGTGGTTTCCCAAATTAGAAACACAAAATATCCAAGAAAGCATGTTTCGACCCTCAACGTCAACCTGAACGAATCAGTACATGCTCAGCGTATAAAAATTGTGACCAAGGGCTACTCATCATCAAGAGAAGAGTCAATAGCCAGCGCATTTTGTCAAATTAGAATTTTGCTTTCCGAAGATGTTGCTGTGGCTATGACCCTGACATGAAGCACATTACGAGGACGTGATGTGTATGAGTATCTCAAATTGATCGCTTTGATCTTTATGCATGAAATTGTTAAAGACGATGACCACTTAGACTTCTCAAAAATGCCAATGCACGTTCCTCGTATCAAAGTAATAATGTCAGTAAAGGTTAAAAATGCAAGTATGCCGAGCAACTTTCACCCTCCCAGGACCCCAAGAGATGCCATGCGTATAATGAGTAGAGAACCAAACCACATGATGATCACCCGTTTTCTGTTAGAGAATTTATCACCACCATCGATCAACAGCAGCCCTCGCTTCTGCGATCAATCTCTCAACCTCCGCCTTCTGCGCCTCCAGATTGTCACGAACCCAGCTCGAGATGGGATCGTGAACCTTCTTGTTGGCCTCAACATCGAGGATCGAGTTCAGCAGTTGCACACTATCGTGCTCCAATAAGCGGACCAAAAAGTCGCCATCGACGTGCATGTCGCTGGGTCTGTGCCTTCTGCGCCTCAAGACACCGATGTCACCGTCATTCGGAGTCTCGAAGCCAGGAGGCGGCAGTACTACTGGTATAGCCTTGACAGACCCGTTTCGTGTGACCGTCGGCGGTGTGCTGTACGTGAAGGGGCAAATATCAGGGTTGCGCTGACACAGCCTCTGCAACCATCGCAGACGGTTCGTAGTCTTTTCGTCGAGGATGGCAAAGCCATATACCGTGCCATCTGTGGTGATGCCTACAAGGTCATCCTTGAGTACGCCACAATCTCTGTGTACAGGCTTCCAAGGCGGGCGGATTTTGGCTTCAACAATGCGCATAACCGAGCGACTGAGCTTTGCAGTGAAGAGAGTGTCATGTGTAGCGATCCTGGGCGGTTGGCTGGGATCTGGGACGCTCAAGCCGACCAGCTCTCCATTCAGTGTACTGGTCAGGTTGAAAGTCGACGTTGTGTGATCGGCGTGCGAGACGTTGACAGTGGTGTGGCTCGTCGATTGTCTTGCTCCATCACCCCTAGCGACATTTCGCAGGAGTTTCGAGTTTGGGCTGCTTGGATTGTCTATCAGTTGAAGCGTGAGTGTCGAGTCACGTTCGGTTGTAATGTGTATGTGCGGCGGTGCTGTCGTAATGCGAATACCCGGACTATGCATGACAAAATTGCATGTTTCGTCGAATCTAGATATACGGTCAGTTGAGCATCCCAAGACATACATACAGAAAACGCACCTTGATGTTTCGGTATCATAGTGTAGGAAGTATACCTTTGAGCCGGAGCAAGCCACGATATCCGTGTCACCATAGGTAGCAATTGCCGTCACCGGCGCGTCATACTGCTTAATCTGCGAGGCTTGTATGTCGCACCTTCCGCTCATGGCTGTAGGTCGAAGCAAGTAGATCCTACCGTTCTTCGATCTGGTAGCTCGACCCACGGCAGCCGCGATCCAGACGTGTGGGGCAGCATCGGGCGTTCGTCTGAAAGACCATTCAGCCATCGAATGGACCTTCCAGCCGATGTCCGTCTCCCAGATGCACCTCAAATTGCTCGAGGTGAATTGAACCACATCTCTCACAGCCCTAGTCGTTGGAGAACGTTTCCATACATACGAAGATGCGCTGACCATGCAGTTGAATGGCCTAGATTCGATCAATGTATGAGGTGATCCATGCACCTTGTTCCCGTTTGGAACGATATGTCGCCTCCCGGACACCGCTGTAACGAAGCAGGAGTCTCCCGAGATGACAATAAGAGCCTCAGACAAGGTCGAGGTATCAGTATATGGAACCATTGTCATAGCTGCAATAGACTCTTGCTGGAAGCTACGCGGGTAATCTGTTAGGTAAACATCAGAAATGTCTATGGCGTCTAGTCTAGCATCTTTCATGGCGACGCTGAAGAACCCATCGCCACAAGTTGCAAAGGCTGACAAAGGACTCTTTCCAGAACTGAGCTTGACTGTAGTTAAGCCCAGATTGAAGTGTCGTTGAGATTTAGTTTGTAGTGTAGCTGTTCGAGTCATAAGTAGGAAGATCGTTCGAGGCGTCGACTACTAGGCTTACCGTCAAGACCGACTTGTAGTTCAAGTGCGTAAGTCGAACCGCCTCGCAAGCCACAAAGAACCACAAGATCGGCAGGCTTCTCCGATGACATCTGCTCGCCAAGGACAAGAATATCTTCGCAGGCGTTCAAGGCCTCGAGGTTGTCCAAGTGATCAGAGTTTTGAGCAATCTCGTGCTCCATATAAGGTTCAAGACCGTTCCTGGGGTTGATTCTGAAAATGTGTAGTGTTCCGCTGGAGTCACCAGCGACGACGAACGTCAACATCCGGGTGGAGTGGATGGCCAATGATATGATCTCGCGCTCTGTCTGTACAGGTCTGCCAAGCTCTGAAACAGATACTGTTTCGTCGTCGGCATCATCGATTGTGAGTAACCGAATTTCTGACTTGCCCTCCCGTCTTAGTGCGATGACTGCACATGGAATGTCGACTTCGATCGCTGCCGCAACAGCTTTGAATCCTGCGGGCCAAATCTCGGTGTGTAAACTGTCCTGACCATTACGACTGAACGAGACTGCAGACTCCGTAATTTGAAAGACACAATTCTTTGCGATCATGGCCACGGCGAGAGTCGAAGATTGCATGTCGAGACCATTGCTTTCCATGGCATGTAGATCATGTAGATCGTCTCCTTCAGATGACTGCGGTATCGACAAAATATGTGTCTGTCCTGGGCTGGAAAGAATGACGAAGAAAGCTTCCGCTTCTGGAACATGAAGAGCCCACGCATGCGACACGATACTGAACGGAGCGTGACCTTCGATGTGAGCGCCAATGCGTGCTTCAAGACCCATCCGTAGCTCTGTGATGTGGCCATAAGGCTGTCGACCACTAGGTGCAAATAAAGCGTCCCTCGAATACAGCGGCAATCTCTTTCGTGATGTTGGTTTAGCTACCAGATCCAGATTTTCCGACCAGTTCTGTAAAGAAGAAACGGCGAAGCCGTGCATGCCGCCATTTGGCTCTGCATCAGAGGATGGAGCTTGACGGCACTCGGTCTAGAATTCTGTCAGCCTCATTTCAACGCATCTATGACCGCGCGCATCACTCACCATCCAGACACAACCTGTGCTTGACGCACCTTGGACCACCAGGACATCGCCTTGGTCTGATTTTCCGAATGGCGCGCATGCCGAGTCTACGTGACATTTTAGACGTCCGACATAATTGATGACGACACCTTCACGAGGTGACTCCTGTTCAAAAACCAGATAGTAGACATTGCCGTCCTCGGAAATCAAGTAGATGTAATCGTCCTCATCGTATTGACTTTCTCTTCTGGGTCGTACCCATTTGGACCAAAGTGGGTGAAACGAAGAGGGTGGATAGTGCTGTGGTGGATCCTCACGATCAATGATTAATTTAGTGGTAACCGCGGATGTGGTCAAGATGTTCTCAAAGATCCAAATTTCTCTCGTGGTAGCGAGGACGAAGGCTGCATTGCCTCTAAGAGGTATCATCATATTCGGCATTTCACCCGCTGATCTGAATTAGCATAGCCACGATATCTTGATATATTGTTACTCACACAGGAAGATTTTGTGACCCTGCTTGATGACCGCATGTTTGGGCTCCTCAAACTTTGACCACTCGACCCATACCGGTAGTACGACGCCTTCATGCAAGATAATCATGAGGAGTATGAGCCGATCTGGATCGTTTCTTGGAGGATACAGAAAGTCCATCAGCAGGATGGTGCCAGGAACTTCTTTGATAGTCTGAGAGCTAGAGACAGGAATGTATCCATCATCCCATTTTTGTTGCCCAGCGCTTAGTAGTTCTGCTTGTTCAGCATAACATACGAAAACCTTCTGGTCACCAATCGCCACAGCCAGAGCTCGAGAATAGGGGTCTACCGCTATAGCGTTTCCGTGTACTTGCGGCGGGTTGATGAATATAGGCATAGGTACGCTCAACACTCTGAATGCAACATCACCATCTTCAGTTTCCGAAGCTGCAAGGAAGAACAGCTGCTCGGTGTTGATCAGGGTGAAGGCCAGTAATTGTGGGCCAATGGGGCTTTCGGATGAATCGCTCGTGTTCTCGGGATATTTCCTAAGTTCGCTCTCGTACGGATCGAAGTAGCCAAAGACATTGGCAGAACCAATCTCTCCATCGAAGTCACTCTTTGTCGTAACGTGGGTGATGTTGGCTTCGGCATCAATCTCAAAGAGTTGGATGAAGTCCCGGCCTATACAGATATAGTCATCTTTCGTCGGCGATCGGATTCGTGCTGGAATTATGGATCGTATGGTCGGTGTCGGCACTAATGTTCTCGAAAGTAAACCGATCTGCTGATGGATTCTCTGTTGTGCAGGATCCTGTAAGGGTTGTTGCGGACTCATGGAGGGCGGAATATGTGCTGTGTATAGCGATGCAAATGGAAGACAAGAGAGAGAGAGAGAGAGCAAAGCTTTGAAGTCCTTTCAGAGCGGCGTCGAGACAAAATTTATGTCGAAAGCCAACACATAGGAGCTGCAAAACAACAAGATATGAAATTACTGCCTGCAACGCAAGGACGCAAGGATGCGACCTGTCACCAAAGACATCAAGATCAAAAGACTATTGAAGCTGCAAAACGAGAAGCTGCATCGGGTGCTCACTGCATGCAATTGGGCACGGCTTCGGACGCGTAGCCTACATGATGGATCGAGTGAGCAAGTGAACTGATACGCATGAACTAGTTGTTTGACTAGTCGTAGCTGGGGAGAGGACTAACAAGGTAGGTAGAGGTCAAGGTTGATGTTGGTCAGTCATGATCCACGACCGGCAGAAGTTGGGCTCGGCTCGGTCTTCCTTGCGCTCGCTTCCTTGCGCTCGGAGCCGCCGTTGGCGATTGGCTTGACAACTACCAACCAACACGCCAGCATTCCCTCTTGTGCCACGGAAAAATACCCTTTGATGGCCAGCCTCCAACCGACACAGATTTTTGATCGTTAGTCAGAGCCTACCATCTTCAAATCGCTGCATTACGGAAGGAATTGTCTTTGCACATACACCAAAAGAACCGCGCGCGGACTGCGCTACTGCATGCGAACTGCAAGACCCGCAAACCTGGATCTGTAGACTCCATCAACGACCACTCCTTTTGAAAGCAACCCAAAGACATAATGGAAGACGGATCTCAAAATTTCAATGAAAAGTACGGTGTTGCGGCGGCCGACCACGACGCTCCGAGCTCTGGCCAACCCGTCTCTAATTCATGGCGAGACGAGCCCCTGACAGCTGCCGAATCATCAAAAGTCACCGAGATTCTCCAAGCATGCAAGAACGGCGACAGAGAGCAAATAGCAGCGCTTGCCACGTCCTTGGGCGGTCTCATTGAGGACCATGTCAGACGTATCGCCTGTACGTAATGACCCTATACTCACGCGACCTTTCGTCACCAACACTGTTGCCAGGGCCCATACTGCTGGGCAACTCTTCTGCCGATGCCGGTCATACGGATGATTGGCAAAACCTGCCTGTACATCGAGATGAAGAGCAAGTCAAGCTTGATGTTCACCGCGCTTTTGTGTACTATCCCACTGGTAATGCACGACAAACACGGCCGATAGCCGATGTGATCTGCTAACGCACGACAGGCGAATCAGAGAAGCAGATCGAAGGCCGTAAACACGAACTCTCGGACCTTATCACTGGTCTACTACGCCGGCATCCGTGCCTGCATTACTTCCAGGGCTTCCACGACATTGCGCAAGTGCTTTTGCTTGTGCTTGGCGCTGACCAGGCTGCACCTCTCCTGGCCCGCCTGTCTCTTCTGAGAATCCGAGACTACATGCTTCCAACCTTTTCTGCCAGTGAATCACATGTGCAGCTTCTGCCGGCAATAGTCTATGCTACTGATCCGAAACTTTGCCAGCATCTGGCTAGACTGCAGCCATATTTTGCCATTGCTGCAACTCTGACCCTTTATGCACACGACATCGAAGAATATGGCGGTATCTCTCGGCTGTTCGACTTTCTTCTGGCACACGAAGCTGTGATATCAGTCTACATGTACGCGACAGTAAGTCTACGCCCCTTCTTACCGCCAGAAGCGGGACGACCCTCCCGGCCGATCATCCTGGCTGACCATGTTCTAGATCATTATGACCCGGAAAAAGGAGCTTATGGAGTTCGAGGCTGACGACGAAGACATGATGTACGCAATCTTGTCCAAGTTACCCAAGCCGCTGGACATCGAAGCCCTCATCACAAGAACGACTTCACTATTTGCGAAACACCCGCCAGAGACACTCCCGTTCAAGGCATGGCGTAAAGTGTCAAGCTACAGCGTTTTGAAGACCACACGTGACCCCAACGCACTTTCCAAGCAGACGCTTCAGGAAGGTGAACTTCTTCATGCCAAACATGCAGCACAGATCAAGCGTCAGGAAACACTTCAGAAGATGACTGCTCAGTCGCGCTTGTTGGCCTATCGATACCGCAAGCCTGCTGGAGCATTCACGGTCGCGATTGTCATCGGAGTCCTCTCGCTATGGCTAGGCAGAAGCGGAAATGGTTCTTCCGCATCATCATTGGCTATGGTACTTGACGCTAAGGACAAACTATTGTGGGTCTTCAGTAAGACTTGGACAGGTCTCCGGCTGTGAGTGGTCGATGTCTTCTCAAAAGCAATATCAAGGGAATGGGTTTATGCCGTACGAAATACACGATGTTCATGACCAATTGAATTGTGTAAGTAGTGACAAGCCCGACGAGGTGTTTCTACGTTTGCGGTTGAAACGAGTCAAGTTGCTGTATTACAGCGTGTATCAGCTGTGAGCGAATTCGAGTCATAAAAAGCTTGTGAAACGCTTTGGCCCAGGGGCGTGTCCGACAATCCATCATGAGGACTGAGTTTTCCCACAGCCGTCTAACGAGACGATTTGCCGAGCTGTCAGAGAAACTTCCGAGACACTACCATAACGCTCTCGGACCCTGTAACCCATGGAGAAAACGACCTTCAGCAACGTCAATCCTGACAGTGCACCGAGCCCTGGCCTCCGAGGTCAGCCAGTCAGCCTGCCAGGAAGCACCAAGTAGCTTGTGTCTGGTCTTCATAGCGGCTACAACAAACTCTCTTGACTCGTTAGGGTTTCAAGGTGATCTACCCATTTCCACACGCGGACGTTGTCACATGCCCTGCTTTGGCGTCTGCGAAAAGATTTTTGTCCAAGCAGAGAGTGAATGACAAATCACATCACCCTTCTTGAATCATGCCACAAAGTATGATCGTACAGAAGGACATGTTTCAGCTCTTGTCAGCTTCTGAAGGACGATATGCAAGAGAGACCCGTCTGGCTTTACTCAAGAAAAGATGGGGCGTTGATTACGTGCCTAGCTACGGAAGAGTCCGTCATTTAGATTTCTATATCCGCTTAAGCATCACAAGGACCAGTGTGATACCATAGTTTTTGTGGAGAAGAACTTTGCTTCTGCAAAACCTCTTCCCTTCGCCAGTGGTGCCTCCTTGGAACACCAAACTCAACCATTGCTCGGCGTTTGTACCCGGCATGGGATTCATCTCCGACATCTGCGGTGCATAAGCATGCAACAGGTGACGTTAGCGTTGCTGCACGCTATTCTCTCAAGGCCTCCCCCTTGCTGGCCCTCTCACAAACCTGTTTGAGAACTTCGCCAGCCCACTGCCAGTCATCCGTAGTGAGGTAGATCTGCGCGCTGAGCCGCACCCACCAAGCGCCGCCATAGAAAATGATAGCGATGAAGGTGTTGTATTCGTCAACCAGCGTGGCCGAGATCCACTGGGCGATTCTCACTGCTTTGCTCGTCTCACCACCTGCTAGGGTGGTGGGATCAAGGGGCAGCCTTACGTTCGAAAAGTTGCATCTGCCCAGGGTACCTTCCTCGTTCTCCATTATTTCGGTAGACAGGATCTCGGCAACCAGCTTGCCTGCCTCGCGTGCTTGCTGCTGCGTATAACCGATGATCGCATCTTCACCGCTCTTGCCTTGCCATGTTATGGACTCCCTGAATTTGAGAGCAGCAGGTAGGCACAGGTATGGTGCATTATCTATCGTCCCGACGAACTCGAAGTTGACCACGAAGGCGCTCTTTGGGCTGGGGGGCAAAGGATTATTGATCTTTGGGGACCCACTCTTGGGCAAGGGGATGAATCCGTGAGAGGTCGGGAGCGATGATCTTATGAGACCCTGGTTGCGCTTAGGGACACAAAGTAGTGCACAACCTCTTGGCGTGAACAACCACTTATGGGCGTTGGAGATGAAGGAATCTGCATCAAGTTGTGCAAGATCCAGGGGAATCTGACCAATGCCATGGGCTCCGTCAACGAGAGACAGAATGCTGTGGGAGCGGCATAGAGAGACCAAGCGCTCGAAAGGGACACGAACACCTGGAAGCGAGGCAATTGAGTCGAAAATGGCTACTTTAGGCTGCTTGCCGGAGGATTTGACCCGAGCAACAGCTCTCTCAAAAGCGTCGCAGAGTGCATCGTCAGATACAGGGTAGACATGATCATCGATCCTGGATGACTCAGCAGGGGTGGTCTCTGTTAAATATGTGACTGTCTTTTCACATGCTCCATAGATCGTAGCGAAGTACAGAATCACATCTCCTTCTGCATAAACCAGACTACGCAAGACTGTATTCACGCCGGTCGTTGCGTTGGGCACGAAAACGCAAGTGTCAACTGGGGCATTGACCAACTTCGCGACAGCCTCTCTCGATACGTCTAACGCTTTCGGATAGGCGTAGCGAATGAAGGCATCAGGTCTTGCCTCGCACTCGTCTTGATACTGTCTTAATGCGTCTCTCACCACACGAGGAAAAGTGCCGAAGCTGCCTACGAATGTAGATGGTTAGCATCGCTCGGCCACATGGAAATTGTCCTTTGGAGGTTGGTTCGCAACGGGTGTGAGTGGAGCTGCCAGCGGAAGCGTTTTTGGTTTCAAGAAGCAAAAGCATTGATGCTTGTGAAGGAGGGCATGATCCTCTCACCATGGTTCAAATTTCTGTAGCCAGGATCGAAGAGGAATTGGCGTTTCAGCAGCTGGCTTCCGCATTCAAAAGAGGCTATAGGTCCAGACATGATGTCGATCTTGATGTATGAAATTCTTTTCTGAAGTGACTAGAAACGATGTGAGATGGACCAATGGTATATGTGAAGTCTGGATGGTTTAAATGATGCGCTATTAAAGTTGGCGCGCGCTTATCATGAGTCGCAGCGCTTGTGCTGATGACTGTTTTGAGTGCGTTGTGACTCCTTTGGATGAATCACAATGGCGGCAGTTGGCAACATGACTCATTGTCAGCTGTCAGCAACAGATTGGCAAACGTTGCCCACAAAGTGCCCTGATGGCTTCCTGATGCCAACACGTCAAGCTTGCTCACGCAGTCATGTCTCCTCTGTTCGCTGAAAATCATCAGCATGGTCTTCTTTTTCGTCGAATATGTCCAATCTTTAACAAGGTCGGTCGGGAGTGTTGTTCTGAAGAGTTTGACCTGACTTTGCATGGAGGTTAATGTTTACCGAAGTTCGAGAAGGCCTCCTGACAAACAGCGATCGAGGTGCGTCTTGCTTGACTGCACAAAGGTCAGTCTGCCAGTCCAATATCATCGCTGTCGAATTTTTTCTTCAAAGAGCTTTCGTAACGGTGTTTGTTGAGCGAGTCAGTCACACATACCGGAATGGACTCCTGCCAACGGCTGACCGACTGCTTCTTGCGTTCACGATTTGTATGGCAAATACTGTGATGCAGTCATGCCATTACTTCGTTTTTGAACGGAGGATATCTTGCACAACAGACATGGGAGCGCCCACCTATGATTCAACTATATCGTCCAGACTTGTTCGTTGACCGCTAAGTAATATAAGTCGGATGTTTCGTTTCCTGAATGAGTTCAGGGTGTCTGGCCTCGCGGGAGTCTACTCGAGTACTACTTTCTAGATTCGAGCCGACTTCGGGGAACATCACGATTGTTTGCACTCGATTGGAGTTTTGTTCAATCCTAAGACGATGGGCAGACGTCCCCACCTGGCGTCGTGATAGTAAATATATCCCTGGCTATATCGTCTGAGCACCACGACCTTGTGCCATGGCTCAACAGCAGAGCTGGGTATGAGATGCGCAGTAATTTACTTCCATAGGCGATGCCCTGTGCCGCCTGCGTCATCCCCATTCCCTTTGCACGAGCGCTCGCCGTTGACGCATGGCACATGAGCTTATTTTGTTCTCCAGAGCTTGCACCCAGTTCATCACCTTGGACAAAACATAGATGAGATTGAGATAGCTCAACCTCGAGAGCAGCAGCCATTGCTTGAATGCTCGAATATCGACAGCATAGCATCACAATCATCCTAATCGATGCACCTCCAGGTATCCTCCTGCCGTCATCGTGTCCAACTCTGTTTCCACCTCCGGCAAAGGCCCGATTCGACAGGGCTCGTGCAAACGTGCGGGGAGGCACCCAACTCCAACTTCGTCTCCAGATCGACAATTTTAGCTGCAATCCCTTGAGTTTCGAGGATACTGCAAACACGCGTAGGTTCGCCCTCTGAATTCGAGCCTGTAAAGCATGGCATCGATTTTCGAAGGTCCCTGTTTGTGAGCAGTGTCATGGCATGAGTCCAGCTACTCTCATATGATCGTGCAACAATGATTTGCACGTTTCAACAACTTCTCTATATCCAGTTCTTGACTGGACCGTTAGGTACAAGAAGAGCCACACGCGACGTCATGGTCGGAAGGATTGTCTGTGCCCCAAACCCAAGGCACACGACCCATGGAGAATCGAACATGCTCTTTTGTAAGAGGCTGATCAGGTAGGTGAAGGTCTGGCATATAAGGATCTGACTTTACCCCTCGTCGACATGCATTACTTCCAACATTTTCTCCGCATCGCCTCTCCACACTTCGATCACTTGACAGCAAGATGTCTAAGAAGACAACGGCAAAACCGAAATACTTCGGTATGACTGGAACATGGTTGACAGTGTGGGTTACTGTCGCTTGTGCTACGGATATGACGCTTTTTGGATATGACCAGGTGTGTCCTTCAAACGTCAACTCAGCCAGTGGGACATGGCTGACTTTTATCTAAAGGGAGTGTTTGGCGGCGTGGTTGTCACCCAGGATTATATCAAACAACTCAACCTCGCCAACAACAACAGTCTGCTATCAACCATTACTGCCATCTACGACGTCGGATGCTTTTTTGGAGCCATTGCCGCAGTCATGATCGGTGAACCACTTGGACGCAAAAACTCAATCCTGGTGGGCACTACAATCATGTCCATTGGAGCACTCCTCCAATGTACAGCGTTCGGAGTTCCTCAAATGATCGTTGGTCGTGTCGTTGCAGGTATTGGAAACGGCATCAACACCTCGACAGCGCCAGTCTGGCAAGGTGAAACCTCGAAGGCATCGTGGCGTGGGAAACTGGTCATCATCGAGATGATCATGAACATTGCTGGTTTCAGTCTCAGCAATTGGGTCACTTATGGCTTCTCGTATATTGATGGAGGCGTCGCCTGGCGTGTACCCCTGGCTCTGCAGTTCCTCTTCATTTTCATTCTCTTTGGCACTGTACCGTGGTTGCCTGAATCACCTCGCTGGCTCATCAGCAAAGGTCGCGTCGAGGAGGCCAACCACATTCTTGCAGCTCTTGAGTCGACTACCCACGACGATCCAAACATCATTGCTGCAAGCAACGAAATTCAGTATGCTGTCGACTATGAGCGCCAAAATTCACCTTCTTGGGGCGAGCTCCTGAGAGGCAAGACTGGCAAGGAGGGTGGTACCTGTACGATGCGTCGTCTCTTCTTGGGAATGGGTGCTCAAGCAATGCAACAACTCGGTGGAATCAACGTCACTTCCTACTAGTAAGTTCTCCACTGTTCTGTTCAAGGATTACACTAATTTATTTTCTGCCTTTAGTCTGCCCACGGTTTTGATTCAATCTGTCGGTCTTAGTGAGAAACTGGCCCGTCTCCTGGCAGCTTGCAATTCCGTCTCATACTTGCTGTTCTCATTCATTTCGATCCCCAATATTGAGAAATGGGGCCGTCGTAACATGATGCTGTACGCTTCGCTCGGCCAAGGATGTTGCTACCTGCTGATCACTATCCTCTTGCGATTCAATGAGATGGACGGCTACGCTCACAAAAACGAGGTTGCTTCCGCCTCAATTGCCTTTTTCTTCCTCTACTACGTTTTCTTCGGTATTGGCTGGCAAGGAGTGCCATGGCTCTATCCAACCGAGGTTAATTCTCTGTCGATGCGTACCAAGGGTGCTGCTCTGGGTACTGCAACTAACTGGATCATGAATTTCATGGTTGTTGAGATCACTCCCATCGGTATCAACAGCATCCACTGGAGATTCTACATCATCTGGACAGTCTTGAACTTCAGTTTCATTCCTATTGTGTACGCACTATATCCTGAAACGGCGGATAGAACTCTTGAGGATATGGATAGGTTCTTCCGCGAGAACCACGATCCTCTTGTGTTCCGCCACAAGGATGCCATCAGCACCAAGCGTCCTCTGGCTTACATTGAGCACGAGCAAGAAGAGATCAGACGTACTTCATCTGTCCATGCTGGCATGGCAATGGAGGCAGCTCGCAACAAGAGCAATGCTACCGAGTACAACGAGAAGAGGGACGGCAGAAACCCCATGCACAGTAGCGACGGAAGCCATGACGAGTTCAAGGAGGATGTCTAAGAGGTTTTCATTCTATTCATTTGCTTTCAGGGGGGTCATATGGCTCCCATAACGAGGATTTGGGCTCAGCATTAGGCGCAATTGCTCTGAATTATATTTGATCTTACCATCTCAGATGAACACGCGTTTCTTCGTTATTGTGTACAACTTTGTGTATGCGCGAAACATCATCAAGTGCTTAGTAGACCATCCATCACCGCACTAGGGGAACTGCTGCTTTTGACACTGGTGAACGGGAGGAAGAAGAGCATGGACGGGATGGTCGGAACAGGGTGACCTTTCGGATGCTCTTGGCGGACATTGCGCCAGCAAGCTGGAGAAGCTCCACCACAACCCAGCTACTTGTACATTACACACCAAACCACACAACAAAATGACAGATCAATTATTAGCTCCGCCGACGCACCTGTCGCCGACCGAGTCCCTGCGATTGTCGCAATTGGCGCCCAAATGGCTCCGTAGCCAAGCACCCAGCAACCTCCCTTATCCACTGTCACTCCTCACGACTTCTGAATCCGCCGAACAATGGCAAGCCAATGAGAACCTCATGGTCGCTTGTTTACGGACCAGCGACGATGAGACTGCTTCTATCTGTCTGGATAAATTGTCTCAACGTTTTGGATCCGACAACGAGCGCGTACAGGCATTACGTGGACTGTACGAAGAAGCGACCGCGACGGACGAGCAAGCACTGTTGAAGGTGTTAAAGAGCTATGACGAGATACTAGTGGAGAAGCCCGCGAACGTACCGGTTATGAAGAGAAAGGTTGCGCTGTTGAGGGGATTGGGCAAGCTGGACGAGGCGATAAAGACATTGACTGAACTGCTGGATAGCTCGCCGATTGACGCTGAAGCCTGGGCAGAGTTGGCCGAGCTATACTTCTCGCAGAGCATGCATTCGCAGGCTGTCTTTTGCTTAGAGGAAGTCCTGCTCATCATGCCAAATGCTTGGAACGTGCGTTCGATTTTCACAGGAACCCTCCATAGTTCGCTTTGCTGACAGTAGCATAGATTCACGCTCGTCTTGGTGAGACGCTATTTGTGTCCGCTAATGCCGCCGAGGACGCTGGTGGCAAGCTTAAGCTTCTCGCAGATGCCCAGCGCAGCTTCTGCCGTAGTATTGAGTTGTGCGACGACTACCTCCGTGGCTACTACGGTCTCAAACTCGTAAGTCCTCTACATCCTGGCTTCTCTTTTGCTTTTGGCTAACACGGCAACACACAGACATCACAACGCCTCCTGGAAGTCTTGCCAAAAGCAGGCAGCAAACCTCCAAAAGCGCAATCATCAGATGCCACAGTTGGCGACCTACCGCCGCCTTCTGTGGCCTCTGTGGAAAAGCTGCGCGAACTTTCGACAAAGAAGCTCTCGGAGATTGTCAGACGTAGCATGAGTGGTGAGCGAGGCTGGGATGGGTACGACCAAGCCGAATTGATCGCCGCCAGAGAACTTCTGGACAGAGATGCACAGTCTGTGCAGCGATGATCTGTCAATTCTTTCAATCTGTCAGAATTCGTGTACAGAAGCAAGCAAGATACCCAGTCCCAACAATAGACACAAGCAATGTACGTGAAGTAAAATGGTCCATTAGGGGTATTGCATGAATCGTGACCATCCTCTCTAAAACAATAAAACAATAGACGACCCAGATCCAAGTAACCAGTCATAAGCTTCATTAGTCTACCACCACTCAGCTTATGGCATGAGCGAACACCTTGGTTGCCAGCTCGCTGAGCAGGCGCATCTTCGCTGGCTGATCCAATTCTTGATAGACAGCGTAGACGCTTTTACCTCTGCTGTCTCTGACAGCACCCAGTCTGTTGCCAGCTACGGTACCTGCAATGGCACCGGGTACGTTGGCAATGATGAAGCCCATGGCACCTCCACTGACTGCGCCGATCAAAGACCAGAACTTGCCTGTAGGATGGTTGTTCTGACCCTCCGCCATGCCTTCCTCCCTGTATAATTGTCAGATTTTGAATAGCGACAGGTTCTAGACAGCGGAAGCAGCACATACCTGAGCATCTCCTCGAAGACACTGCCGAACTGTTCGCTGCTGAACTTGTTGGCATCCTCCTCGTTCTTTGCCTGTCCGCCGAAACCAAAGGCGCTCCATGGGAAGCTGAAACCTCCTCCTTGCTGGGTACTTGGCTCTGGTCGTGGAATCTCCTCTTCTGGGTCACTGTAGCCACCTGGGGCTGTGTTTGAGCCGGAGCCAAATCCACCGAACCCAGAGCCGAACCCATGATAGCGTCTTGTGGCGTCGTAGTCCCTTCGTCTGGTTGGGTCTGAAAGAGTGTAGTAGGCGTCGTTGATCTGCTGGAACTTTCTGGTACGGGAGGCACGTTCTGGCGAGTCGGCAGGTACACGGTCGGGATGATGCTTCAGTGCTTGCCTGAAGGCTTGTTAGGTGGTGTGATTGCTGGCGAGATTCAAGAAACGTACTTCTTGTAGGCAGTGCGGATCTGCTCCTGTGTTGCCTTGGAGTCAACCTCTAGGGCGGCGTAGTAGTCCACTGGCGGTGCTGATGTCTTGTCAGCATATCTTTTTACAACCAACCCTGGGTCTCATACCTGACATGACTGTGTTTGAACGTGGTAATGTGTATCACTAGGAAAGATGTGTCCTGTCGCAACGCAGTGCTTTCTCCAGGTTCGCAGGGTTGAAAGGTACAAAGCGCTACGTCACAGCGACGCACACGAATCAGGGATCGACCACCCCTCCACGCGACAACTTCGACGAGCCTCCAAACTATCAAACCTTCTCGACTCTGCTCACTTCAGTCCCTCCGCACTAACTTATCGTAATCGTACTCAGACGCTATTATTCAAGGGCATCACTTTCGAGGGGTCATGAATCGTAGTGTATCTACTCTATCGAACGTGCGGCAACACTCGCTGACCAGCCATCTCCCCCGAGCTCGTCCTTTTCATGTATGCCTGCTGCAAGGCGCGCCATGGCTTTTCTACGGCGTATCCCTTTAAGTATTGACGTGTCACTCACCTTCTTCAATAATGCACTCTTGCGGTTGTCCTTTGCTTTGCAAGCCTCACTGCTCGAACAACTGTCTGACTGCATGCACTGGCATCATTCGATTCTGCCGCCTTAGGTTCGGAGATTGCATCTCGTATACTTTCAGCCTTTTATCTTCTGGCCAGAGATCTGAGTAATAAAAACTCGTGGTTCAAGTCTCTGTATAAGGAGGATAGTCTCGTACGCACGTAAAAACTGTGGTGTGTCGGGGCTGGGATTGCCCGACGAGCCTCGAAGCTTCTGCTAGGCCACCGTCCAGATTGTCTCGTTGATTAATAGCAGACTATTGTTGTTTGCATTAATCGTTGAGTATTGGATAATAAGGATGCGCAAAAAGGCACTATCCAGACGCTTGAGTAAATTGATTGATATCGAACACATCATATACATCCCGAGACCTGGTCTTGACACGGTAATGAAGATGGGCGCGCTACTGCAATGCCGGCATAGTACTTTGTGGGAACTGAAGGCTGGTGAAATGGTTCTCCCTGTGCCTCAACGGTGGGCGGCCCTTTGCAAGCCCTTGCCGTAGTCAACCACAGTGTAGCAGAGTACCTAAGTCGCAAATCGACCCAGAACCCCGAATGAAGTAACGTCGTGGCTGTCATCGGGAAGAGTTGCGCCATATTGCTGGGGCGTAAGTGTTTGAAGTAAGATTGTCTCAGATTGGTGTGTGCCTGCAGGTTTCAGTTGAGATGCATCGGTCAGGTCAGCCGTGGCGAACATGGCTTGGAAGATGGAAGGTATGAGGCACGACGATTTGCTTCATGACAAGATACAAAATGAGTGATTCATGGCATTAATCGTAAACAGAGGTCCTCGAGCATGTCTTCTGTGGATCCTGGCACGAGATTGAGGTATGGCGCAACGGTCTGGAGGCATCCGATTCGTTCCCGGGCAGCCAAAAAGGTTTTCGGTACGCTCATTCGGTACAGACTAAGAGGCCCGAACCCAGCCTAGTGGCGGTTCTCTATCATGAACCAAGACGATGGCGGGCGATCCAGGTCCCAGTTGATCAAGGCTTGGACGCGCTGTTCAATTGCTCCTTCCTGTCTTTTTCTCCACTCTACGTGAACAAGTGTCGCGATTGATCTCGTGTCTGCCTGTGAAGTCAAGGCTCCAACTCGCTCCTGCCTCGCTCAGCGCCCGAATCCCATCATCCCGAGTCACTCGCTTCTCGCGCTCCCGCCGCTGAACATTCCTCTGTCCAACGAGTCCAAGGCCAGACTCATCCATCGCGCTTGTATACACTTACGCAACCGACTTGACGACACATCCTTCGCTACACCTGCCAGACCCACACGCTGCCACACACTCCCTCCTGAGCAGCACGCATTCTGAAACGCACGGCCGCTGCAACGTGGGCGCTTTTTCTCCAGTTGGTGTAACGCGCGCGACTGCCATCTTGTCGATGCGCTCGTCTTGACACACAAAAGGCACTTTTTCTCTGCGCTGCAGCTTTCACTGGAACATCCTACATTTCGTCGTGTGCGAGTTCTCGGAAAGGTCCAGCCTTGCTCAAGTCTCACTCGTGGCTTGAACCTTCTCCAAGCTCTAGAGCCCGCGCTGCCGAGCTTCAATTGGTAGCCTATCCTGCACCACGGAGACTCTTGATCAATTCACCGTTTGGCTACCACCAATATGGCTCAGACACAGAATCTCCCGCCCGTATACGGCGGTCATCCTGGCTATCCCACAGCCCCTCACCCTCAGTATGATCACAATCGACAAGTGCCACTGCAAGCAAACGGCCAGGCAATGCAGGCAGCGCCCGTGTCCCAAACTGCTAAGACATTATCCGTCGTCAGGGACGGCTTGAGATTCTCGTTGGTCGTTGTGCAGCAGCCCGTCCGAGCGCGCATGTGTGGCTTTGGTGACAAGGTGAGCATTAGATCGCGTGGCACAGGATTTGACCCATCTGAGACATTCGTAGGACCGCAGACCTATTACTCCTCCGCCGTGCGTGCGGCTTGTTGTTACCGATGAACAGACAGGACAGGAGGTACCGGCTGAGTAAGTGGTATCCTATCCACGCGAGTCGCATTGATTCTCACATGTGGCAGCCAACTAGATGCCAGCTTCTTCATCCTTCAGGTTGATTTGTGGGACGAGCATGGACAGGTCGAGAAGAACATCGTCAAAGCAGCCACCAACTCTCCCGCTACATCCATTTCGACAGCCACAACCACCTCATATCCGCCTCCACCAGAGCGCCCAGCTCTTTATGCCCCTCAAGTACCTTACGCAGATCCTCGCACTGGCCAATTCGCCGGCTACGGCCCTGCACCCACCTACCCTCCTGGACCTTGGGGATACCCGCAACCACCTATGCCTCAGATGTACATGCCAGGTGCTCCTCCTCCTGCTGGCCACTACGCTCAACCTCCCATGCCTCCAGGCTATGGACAGTATCCCGGATCTCAGCCACAAATGTATCCGCCTCAATATCAACCCCCTATGCCGCAGCAACAGCCAAGTAGCGGCATGTTCACCCGTAACCTTATCGGTAGTTTGACCGTCAACGCCAACCAATTGCGCGATCCTTCGGGGAAGGAAGGGCACTGGTTCGTTCTGCAAGATCTGTCTGTTCGTACTGAGGCTGTATTCCGTCTCAAGATGAGCTTCTTCGATGTCGGTGCCGGAAGCAGCGAGGGAGGTTCGAAACTCTCGACTGGTAAACGCCCTGTTCTGGCTACCGTCTTCTCTGATCCCTTCCAAGTCTTCTCGGCCAAGAAATTCCCTGGTGTTATCGAAAGCACCGAGCTCAGCAAATGCTTCGCAGGCCAGGGTATCAAGATTCCTATCAGAAAGGATGGCGGCAAGCACGAGGGCAAAGATGAGGACGATGATTAGAGTTCTTCGTTTGAAGCGGAAATCATCATCACCGCCTGATACGTGGCAGAAGAGGAGGAGAGAAGAGGCGACCGTCTCCGCAACTCAGGCTGAGTTTATGCTCTGGATGAGAAGGCTCACATACTGCTGCCAATGAGCACCAATACACCTAGCCTGGGCATATGCCAATATGCGACTGAGCGTCTGTCATCGACAACATCGATTCAAGAACGGACAAATCAGCAGTAACATCACCATTAGCTCGCCCCGACAAGCAATTGGTCACATCCTACCGATCAAGGACATGTCTGTTTATTTATCAGCCCAACCTCGAATTGGTCTTCCACAAAAAATTCACTCATCAGCTATGACCTCACTTTACCGCCCAGGCGCCGGTATGCGCTCTCTTCTCTAGTACTTGTCTGGGGGAGGGGTATTCTCTTTTACTACGTCTCTGAACAAGCGCTCTCTTCCATCACGTCTCGGGGGTGGGTGTTCTCTTTTATTACGTCTCTTGGACAGGCTCCTGATCGCGACGCTTTCCACGGTTCTTGAACAGAGAGACGAACCACATCTTTTGGCTGTCATGGCTCCTGGTGATGCTGAGACCCCTTGTCTCAACCTTTCTACAACCCTTCCGGCATTTTCTTTTTGTTATTTTTGTACTTCGCGCTTCTCTCTTCGACATCAGGCCTTCATACAATGAAGGAGGCCTTAGCAGAAACCGAGTACATTGGTCGAGACGATACACATGAGCTATATACCCCTTTGACCAAAACGAGAGAAATAATTTTAATCCTTTGACTTCCCAGCTCCCTACTGTATCTTCATATGAAAGTCTGAGTCTAGAGCTTTTCAATCATGACTTTAGACGTTTCCCTAGATTGAGCTCTTAGATCCAAAGATGGCGAATGTTGCACTGGGTCTTGTACGGCCAGCTGGATGATTCTTGGTATCGATCATCTGACAGCCTTTTGCATGAATTTGAGAGCAAATTCTTCGCTCCCAGGCCTTGCTCTCTTGTGCTTCACTCGTATTTTTTTTTTTTTAGATGGTGACAAGTCCAGAAGGAAAAGCACCCGCTACCGCAGCAGGAAGTAGATTTATACGATAGTCTTTTCCAGCTTCCAAGGGCAATTTTTGTTTGGCGACGAGGGCCTCTAATCTCATGAGTCGTGCCTATGATGCGGTATGCCTAAGTGAGGCACTATTGATATTTGATAGTGCGCTTGTAGCTCAAGAACAGGCATACTGCAGTCAAGGCGCCATCTGAGTAAGGCATCATCAATGTTCTAGAGTGCTGTCATTCCCGAGCTGTTGATCGACCAGCAGAACCATTTAAGCTATTGCTCATCTTGAGCAATCGGCAACCGATGAAGTAGAGAGATAATGTATCTTGTCTTGTCCGGCATTTGCAGTCCACGTGTGACAAAGACTTTGGGATCCAGATGAAGGGATGCTTTTGTCTTGATCTGTCGAACATGCTTTGTCAACCGGACGCGTGTCGATATCTGAACCGATATATTGGTTGAAATGACATGTGAGCGCTGAGATACGACATGGATGAAGAGCATCCATCGGATCTGAGTTGTGATTGCATGGATGAAGAGCATCCATCGGATCTGAGTTGTGATTGCATGTACCAGGCATCCAGGATCTTTATGGGCGTTCCTAGGGGTTGACTGCTGCGCAACTCTGTACCCTGTGTTCTTCTCGAGTGACAGCGTACACTGAGCGATGAAATGATATCTCACAGCAGAAAGCAACTAAGAAGCTTGTTGGGGGTGCGTAGAACAAACGCATAATCATCGCACATCCCACTCCTCAATCACCCAACAAGAGAAACTACCTCCAACTTTGATCAATGCACCCGCTTCTCCACAAACACCTCGAGATAAGACAAGCGTTCAAGGTAGCACACCCATGCAAGTACGAGCAGAGGGGTAAATGCTGCCTAGATGGTACATCTTCGAGTCTCGCAAGCCCCGTAAGGTCATTGGAGCAAAGAGTGTCGCGTGGTGAACTGTCGCTGATGGCGAACGCTATGCATCTTGTGGCGGAATAGGATTGAGAGTGGGTATGCATGAGGTGTTTACTATCTGTCGGGGTTCTTCTCTTGTGATGTGTTGGGTGGTTGGTCGATGTGGACGATGATATGTTTGCACATGATATCCGATGAAAGACACAGGGGTAGTGTTCTCGGCTAACCCGGGCAAATGCTCTTAGAGTTACTCGATTTGCGGTCGTTGAGATTACATACATCGAGTAATCGACGGAGGGTTGATGCTGATGATGAGCTTCCCATGCTATTGGTAGTCAATGGGCTGAAGACGGCCGATGATCGATATCTGGAGTGGCAAAAAACAATAAGAGGGCTTCCATCGGCTAAATCAGTGCTCGATGTGAGATGAAAGAGTGTTGTTTGTGATTGTGTGATTGAGAAGAAAGCTGATGGAAGTAGACGCAGATGATGTGTGATAGCTGATGCAACCGGAAAGAACAATCATTGATAATTCGGCAGGAGCGACACAACGGATTTGCAAGACGAGACGAAAATTGAAGGAAGTTACGATTCATATCCTGGAGCAGGGCGACTGCCAGCTCAATCAAGCAGCTGACGTATCCGCCTGCTCATCGAAATTGATCTGTCTCTTCTTCTTTCGCTTGGTTTTAACCGTAGCTGGCTCGCCACCAGCACTAGTATTTTCTCCCGCACCTTCCGCATTTTCCTCCTTGGTCTTCTTCTTTTTCTTCTTTCTGACCACCGTGGTATCTGCTGCTCCATCGTCCTGTGTCTTTTCTGACTCTAAGGGTTTCTCCTCTTCGGTCTTCGTTTTCGTCTTCTTCTTTTTACGCTTGACTACGGTGCCTTCTTCGGGTATATGACTTGCTTCCACTCTCTCCTGTGCTCGCTGCATTTCCAAACGTGCACGTTCGACTTCCTTGATTGCTTTCGCCATCTCTTCTTCCTCTTGTTGTCGGCGCTCGAAGTCTAGTTGTGTTTCACGGGCCGAAGCATCTTCTGATAGAGAAAGGGACGAAAGCCCACTACTGTCAACGTGCAACAGTGACTTTTTGGGTCTACTGAGAAGAGATGGCTTTGTGGGTGCCGTCACAGGTGCTGGCAAGTCGTCGCCGATAGTCTCATCTTGGGCAATCTCAACACGTTTGTTGCGTGATTTCTTCGACGCCTTGGACTTGCGAAGGCGATCTGCCTCGGCTGCGGTGTTGTTACTGTCGAGTTGCAGGTCCATGATAGGGATCGAGTCGATGTCCAGATCTTCGCCATTACTGCTCTTGAGGATGTTGTGTAAGGGCGTTGAGGTTCCGGATCCGCGCTCGGAGTCAATGTAGAATGGATCATCACGATAACGTTCACGTCTCTCGGCTTTCTTTCTGGCAATGTCCTTTGGATCAATATTGCGGTCTTCGGACTGATAAGATCTGGTCTGTTGTGCTTCTTGGGGCTCAAGATAATCAGCTGCTGCTGTGGGCTGAACGGACAATGCCGAAGGCTTCTCGAAGTAGAATTTGGAGACATTGTCTTCAATTGGATAAGACATGTCATCGTAATCTGCTTGCGACAGAAGTATTTGTAAGTTATCATTGATAGGTGTGTCAAGATCCAGTCCTTCGGTAAGCGGTACTCTGCTGAGAGCACCGAAAGCAACAGGATTGAGCTCCTGCCCCATAAATAGCGATGGGATGGCCTGAGTAAGCAAAAGCGGAGCGTCAACAAATCCATCGTCTTCGCCCTCAACAGCATGAGCCTGAATTGCCTCAGAAGTGACACGCATCAACTCGAGATATTCGACAGCTCGTTCTTGGACTTCAAGATTAGGATGTTGTACAAGTGGTTCCAAAAAGTGGATAATTCTAGCCATTAGCAGATCAGATTGTGACTTTCGAGAGGCGGTCCATGATCGTTCTTGGCTGGATGTTAGACGAGCGAAGACTTTGGGTATAGCTTGGACATAAATGGCAAGAATATTGGCAGGGAGTTGGGCGCTCGAAGAATGAAGAAGCGAATTCAGGACAGCCTGCGGATCGGGAAGCAGATCAGGGTACTCGCCGACCATCCAGGCTACAGAAGCAAGAACAGCCTGTGCGCCGTTACCGGAAGCAGGGAACATGTCTATTCTCCGTTCGACTATGATGAGCGATTGAGCCGCGGCCACTGCTTCTGGTCGCACACTTTTCACGCGAACAGCAACGTTCTGTAGCTCGAGGCCAATGTTGTGGGCGACATCCTTGGAGGATCTCGCCGAGTTGTCCGAGGTCTGAGTGCCCATGGTTGGACAATGACCGACAAGGTCAACTAGGATGCCAACATACCACTCAAAGTCAGTGATGTTGGAATACGTATCTCTTGAGCACATGTCGAGTATCTTCTCAATGACACTCTGGCGGTAGTCTTCAGGTAGTGGCGGCGCTTCTGAAGAGCGCGCCTCTCGCCTTCGCAATGACTCGGTTGCCTCTTCGTCATCTGAATCCCCTGAAGGCACCACACCAGCGTGCATGCCTCTGTCGTTTGTTGGGTCATCAGCAGCCGAGGCTGGAGTAGCCTCTCTAAGCTGTCGAAGAAGACGCTCAACAATAGGCATAAGGTTGCTAGAATCGACCATTCCGGAGACCAGATCCAAGGCTCTTGTGCGAATCGAGATATCAGGATCATCAATACATTCAACAACAACGTCAGAATGCAATGCGACGAGTTGAGGATGAGAAGTAACGATCTTGTTGAAAGCAAGCAGAGCAACGTATTTCAAGTTAGGGTCGCCCTCAACCACAAGCATGCCACGGAGCTTGCTCACGCAGAGACGAGCAATTTCATCACCCTCAACAGTGCCTTCTGCGCCATCCAGAATACCACCCTGGATAATGCCGTTGATACACTCATAAAGTAGACTCATTGCAGGGGTTGTCTTGATCAAAGTGGTGAGCGGAGGTAGCAGCTTCTTGATTAACCTAGGCTCGAGAGGGACCAAAGTAGCAAAAAGCTTGATGATCTTGATTGCCATCCAGTTGTTGGAGCCTTGGACCAGTAGTTCGAACAAACGAGGAGCCAGAGGCAAGAAATCGTGTGGTCTCCTCCAGCCCAGCTCGCACACAACATTGATGATGGCAGCTGTAACGCTTGAATCCTCATTCTCGTCAAGCAAACGCTCTTTGATCTTTGGCCATGCCGGGCGGAGGGTTTCGGGGTATACTAGGGCCAGACGGTATAGAGTGACAATGGTCTTCTTGCGGATGGCGGGCGAGGAGTGGGTAAGGCGGGGGAGGAGATCGGTCAGGAGTGAGTTGGCCATGGACGGGTTGACGACGTGAGGAATGGTAACCAGTGGAAGACTTATGGTAGGAAGTTGCGGAGAGTTCAGATCCTTCTTGAGCAGGTTCTCGGCCAGCATCAGGACCTCAGTGTCGGGACGGAAGGTCTGGACAGCAGCGAGGTAGCCGACGCGCTTTTGCAGATATTTCTGGCTAGACATGACTTCGAGGACGTTGAACGAGGCCCATGACATGTCGTGGCCAAACATCTCGAGGTAGACGAGCTTGAGCAGGGCAGTGGCCTTGTTGTCCATGTCGGGACTGCGGACTTCGCGGCGGCATTCCTTCAGACTGTTCTGGATGTATTCCTTCTCATTACCCTTGTGGTTCCTCATGCCCCGGATAAGGGCGTAGAGGTCTTTTTCGAACCTGCTCGTGGTAAGTCGTCGTCGCTATACCCATAGTCGCATGGTTACGAAGCCTACATGATTGCGCTGCGGGCCTAGACGGCGTCACACGAGGTTGAGTTCGGTCGCGAAGGTGGGGGTATGGTCCTATATCGATACCAGCATTATATCTGCAGCATAGCGAGTGTGCGTCGAGAGCGATCTCGAGAGGAAGAAGGTGCCTTGTGTTTGCTAATCAACATCGGCTTGAGCACTTTGGAGTGTCTCGGTCGTCGAGGCAGGCGTCATCGCGCATAATTCAACAATTAGAGTTGTGTCGGCTTATGCAACCGCTCTTACCTGAAGCTCTCCGTACAGAGTGGGCAGTCGCGACCATCACTCAGCACCTGCCTGCCTCTCACCCCCGACACCATGTCGGTCGAATCATTGCGCTCGCTAGAGCAGGTGCGCCAGCGCCTGAACACTCTTGCCAACACCATCGGCAAACTGCTGCACGATCTAGACACCAACGATCCGCTTCCCTCGTGGTATGCGACAAAGCCATCTTCGTACCCATCCAACTGCTCACTAATGCCCGAGCCCTTGAATTCAGGCCTTCACTGCAAAATTCTGCCAACCTACTCTATCACAACCTCGATTCACTGAACAAGATCCTCGCTGGTGCTCAGCCACTCCTCACGAACGCTCATGTCTACCCTCTACCCTCGTATCCAGGCCGCACCCAGGAAGACTTGCTCACCCAACTCTTGCGCAAAAAGTTACAGCCACAAGTTGAAGACTGGATCGCCAATGGAGAGCGACATGCTGCGAGCAGCGGTATTGAACCACCTCAGACCAATGGCACCTCAACAAACGGACCACAATCTATGAACACAGCCCAGTTGAGTGATCTCTGGGAATGGGCCGGTCGTGAAGGCAATAGAATTGCTCGCGTAATGGGTGCTGATTCCTTTGACGACGTCTTCACTCTCGAAGAACACGAGCTTGGCATCGAGAATGTCGTTACTGGCTTGCGCCGCAAGTTGTGGGATAGCGACGATGAGGACGAAGACGACGAAGGCGGTGCACAAGCCAAGAAGCCAGAAGACAAACAGCTCGATATGGATGTGGACATGGTAGACTCTATCCCCGAGCCTGTCAAAAGACTACAACGACACAATGTCGACCCCACCAAGCGGCCAATGAGCATCGAACACATATTGAGATTCGCTCTGACCGCCAGAGAGCCCCCGAACGTCGTGTAATTACCACTCTATCCTACGACTTCACTATCTATCATGGACATCCATTCCGTACAAATCGTCCTGCTATTTGGAAGCAGAGACTCGTCAGGAGGTTCAAACCCCAAGGAAACACGACACGAAGGTGTTGCGGACATAATTTTAGACATTGAGTGAAGTCAAGCTTGATTCTGCATACGTCAAATGATCTTGTCAGAAAACGTGACTTGGACCGCAGTGCCTGACCCCTCACTTTGTGTCAGCTCGCTACCCTATTTCAAATCGCAAATTCAGGAACCCGTCGCACAATAGAGGTTTGACTCGCATGTAGTTCATGCCCTTTCCCGCCTCTCCTGCTCCTATCTTCCTCGTGTCCTCCGAATCTTTCCGTCTTCACACCTCATGCTCCTTTGTTGACAAACAAATATCTTCGTCGTGAAAAGCGCAGAAACGATATCCAATCAGGAACTTTCAGAAATCAAAACGCGTGATCAAGGTGGTAGTTGCTGTGCGAGTATCATAACTTGAATCGTCTCATCTTCGTGCGGTGGTCGAAATCTTCTTGTGAGGCTCAACTGGGCGAATCTCTGAGTCACGCTTCAAGATCTCGTTGTCGGTGCAAGAACCGAGGGCATAGGTGACACAATTTGCAGTCGACGTAAGTTGATGTGTTGTGGTCCAGCAAGTTTGAAATGTGCAGGGGTGTCCGTGAGGAGTGTCAGAATGTACTTTTCTTATTCTCTTTGATGCCGGTTTCTATATGCTGACGATGCTTCATCGCCACGTACGAGCAGGGCGGGCGTCTCGAGAGGAGGGCTCTGGAGATCCGTATTTAACGCCAGGACCGTACTGGTGAATCACAACACCCTTGGAGCTGGTTACAGATGGTCTGCCCCCAGACGAATTTGATGAGGGGGTGTTGTTGCCGAAGGATTGAGACGAAGAAGTGTTTTGTGGCATGATTGCGTTTACTGCAGAGGTGTCGATTGGTTGCGTGGTTGTTCGATTCTGGTTGATGTCTGTGATAGTATTTGGTAAACAACAGGCAGATGGATGATAGATGGTAGAGGGAGGGAAGGTCAATCCGTTTGGGCACGGGCAAGGCTTTTTATACGTGAGAAGAACAAGGAACAAGGGAAACAACCAGGAAGTAAGTGGCTATGCCACCGAGGCACTTCAACATCTCTACGACAAGACGTACCACAATGATGAAATGGAAAAAGTTGACGCAAGCAAACCTCGGCCGCGGCCGTTTCGTTCGCACATTGGTGAGGGATGGGGGCCAAAACCAACCAAGGCAACGACATCGACATCGTGACCCTTGCTCGGCCACCGACCTACCAGAACACAGCCCCCAAGAGTGAAGAGTCATACTCTCAAGGCGCCAGTCTTGGACAACGAGGCCGAAAGACCGATTGCGCGATGCTGGAGTGCAGTAATTGAGAACTAGAGCATTGAAGACTCGAATTTCGACCGTGTCACACGGTTCCAGAGGGTACCTGCAGTACTCCAGGCACAGCTTGACGGTCGGGGCATGATGCAAGGAACGAGCAGGTCCGTAAGAGAGCCAGGTTTAGGCTGCCATCAATCCGCCCTCATGCTAGTGGCTGCCTGGGTACGTTTGTAATTGTACCTTTTTTGAGGATACAACGGCAAGATGCGATGGCAGCATCATCATCGAAAACTTCAATGATGTCGTTCGATGAAGGCGGTGCTACAATCAAGCGGCGCAGTCGAGGTGAAGCTGCCAAAACTGGAGTCGAAGTCTGTTGGTGGCCGTGCGCAGGAGCACGCGGCCCTCACGAATGAGGCCTGCCCTGTTTCAAACAACCTTCTCTAACAAGACGGATTGATCAGAATAGAACGGGGTGAATGTGCCTTTCCACTCGGGACTCGAGAACGCGTTACACTGAGCAGGCCATGCGTGTCTGTGTATAGATGCATCTGGTATCTCGTGCCCGCCGTCGCAAAAATTCCTGCGTCATGCTTTCACGTGCAAGTCGACGCGAATCCTTTCATCAGGTACAAGGCAATGTCATCGCTATTCGATATGTCACATGGAGATGCTCTTGGTCTGTTGGCGAATGGACGGAGACCTTTCCAACCCGCGCTGCCAAAGCAATCAGACAGACAGGTTTAGGCACCCTGGCTCACGTGCCTACGAAGCATCTTCTTTCACGTCACCAATGTGTCGCCCTCTCAGAAGACACCACCCTCACTACTCTCCGTCTCTCCTCGAGATTCCTTCGCACACCCGCATCACCTTGATTTTATCACTTCGCCTGCCCTCTCACTCGCAATCTTCGACTCATCACATAGGATTGCAAAGTCGTACAAGAGATATCAAATCGAGTGTTTCATTGATCAAGATCAAAATTCCTGAATTTGGCTAGCGGCTGTTGTACACGTATCGCATGCTGGCAAAATCATCGTTAGATCCTGAGTGCTGCCAATACTTCTCCCGGATCCTGGTTAAGTTCGTCTCTAAGGATCTTAATCTGCTTCTTGAGTTGTTGCCATAATGGAAGCTTGTCTAAGTCAGTGTCACGATGGCCTTCCTCCTTGTCGCGAGTAGCAAGAGCTAGTAGAGATGCCACAAAGGCTTCTTGCATGTATGCGAAGGAGAAGCCATCTGTGATTGACGATACTGCCTCGCAGAGCTTGTCTGGAAATTCGATATCTTTGTTGTCTTTGAGCTTTTTTTGCCAGAACTGTGCGTACATGATACGCTGCGCGTGGTTTGGGTTGGGGAAGAGATATTTGCGATCAAAGCGAGAAGGACGCTTTGAGATACCAGGATCCAGGCGGTCGAGATGGCTAGATGGACAAAGTCAGCAAGATTTCGTCTATGAAGGGCTTCCAAAGAGCGTTATCCAAGGGCTGTGCTCGCGACAAACGAGTTGCTGTATAGCCCTTTCCTAATTGATACCAGCTTAATTATCTCTGCTTTACATACTTTGTGGACCCAACCATAAAGATGCCGTCATTCGAAGTGAGACCGTCGACCTCGTTCAAGAAGTAACTGCGGGTTTGATCGGTAATGATGGCATCCAGATCCTCGAAAATGAGGAAGCAGGGAGCGTATCGCCGAGCTTGCCCAAAAATAGTAGCGAGCGAGGCTTCGGGACCACCATAACTGCGCATTATCAGCTTCGTGATACTCCTGGCGGAGACATGAGCTTACCCAGCAAGTGATCTAACGTAGAGAGTTGGAACCGGGTCTTTGCGCTTGTATAGTGAGTGCATCAAGGCCTTGATACTGATGGTTTTTCCATTCCCAGGTGGCCCGAAAAAAATCTCGCCGCGCCGCCAAGGTACCTTGAGCTTCTTGTAAGTGTCTTGGTTGTTAAAGAAATTGTCGACGTCGCTGATCAAGTCTTTCTTCATGTCTTCGTCCAAGATAACATTACTCCACTCTGCATCCTGGATACTTTCCCACAGATCACGACTCTTCTGCCAGTAGCCCTTGTCGTAGACAAGCACTGCACCCTCCACGCTGTTGGTGAAACGGCCAGCCTCGAGCAATAGCTTCTCGGTAGCCTGTACAGAAGATGACAGAATGTACTGGTTTCGAATCGACGGATAAGATTCTTGGCCATCGCGGCCTTCAGCAACGTAGACGACATATTCCTTGCCGGCCCAGTCAAATAGGAATTTGCCAAATTTGACGTCCTCTACGAGACGGCCGGTGTCTCCATTCAGGCGTTTGGCTGGTGGTGAGAAGTGCTGTACATATAACCGGTCGTTCTCTTTATCAATGGGTGCAGCAGCAGCTTTACCAGAAGCGGCGAACGCCAGGAGGTTGCATGAATATGTCGGTGACACGGTCAAGTGTAATTGGGGGTATTCGCGGCGAATGGCTTCAATCAAAACAGCACTGGTGTCGACGCGACGGGCAGAAGCGTGTTCAAAATAGACATTAGACGTCTCATTGTTGAAATTCGGGTTGGAAACGAAATTATCCCCCGTCATGCTGAATGGGCTTTGATGACTGCGTCAACGCTTTGAGAGTTGCTCCGTCTTCGAGTCGGATGATGGTTCTTAGATGCTGAGAGCGACTGTTTCCTTGTTCGCAGTTTGGGCAATCGATGTTTCTGCAGAGATGCAAGAAGTTCCGTATCTGAACAGAGAGGAAAGTGTGTTGAGGAAGAAGGGATCCGGACAGTTGATAAGAAGTGGCAGCCTCGGGCGGGGTACTGAAGGAAGGAGCTATCGAAGGATGAAGCTCAACGACGATGCGCAGGAGATCGCCCTGTCTGAGTTTAGACCCTGCAATTCCGCTCTATTTTCGTCTCATTTGCCAGGCACCAGCTCACGTCGCTTTTCTGCCTCACAGAAGAGCCTCATGATCGATGATCACAAGTCGCTTTGCAGGAGATTGATCCTGCCAGGGTCACCATGCTAGCCAGATCTCATATGACGTCACTTGCTGACTGCTCAGACATGCGATAGAGTGTCCCTGGCGCACACGAACATTACACAGGATACTATGCTGCCGAAGATAAAGAGGCCACTTCAAATATTGCTTCTTTGCTTTCATATCTTTGGGAGAAGAGTTGTCAATTGCGTGCCCGCAGGTCGAAATGGCGTCGAACAAGGCAAGATTGCGGGGACTTTCCACACCCTTCGAAAGCGCTGCTGCGTAATGCTCAAGTCCATTACACATGACTACTGCCTCGAACCAAGGCCCATCCATACTCATACTCATACCACAACTCGCCAGTCTCACGAATTTCAGACAAGCCGACGAGAAAAGTAACGATACGAGCACCACCTACAATTTCCTGCGGACGTCCCGATCATGTCACCTGTGCTGTCACTCGAAGGAAAGACCGCCATCGTCACTGGAGGTGCTGGAGGGTTAGGACTTGCTATCACAGACCTCTTCCTGGAAGCAGGAGCGAGCGTAATTGCTGTTGATATCAACACGGATCTGGTGCAGAAATTTGAAGCTACCCACGACAAGTCAAAAGCGATTGCCGTTGAAGCAAACGTGACTTTGGAGGATGACCTACAAGATCTGTTCAAAATGGCAGTCAAGCGCTTTGATCATATCGATATTATTGTCAACAATGCAGGACTTACTGATCGCCTTGGTACGTCTGTCTAGACCAGAGTGGCTATACTGTTTTGCGCTCCCCTAGAGACAGCCTCGTCGGAACATAGTCCATACAACGGCTTGTTAGCTGCGTAGCCGAGACTGCCTTGATTTCTCATGAACTGGCCATTGCTGACTTTATGCCTTTGTAGATCCGGTAGGCACCCTAGAGAAGGATCTCTGGGATCGTATTATTGCAGTCAATTTGACTGCACCTATGATGGTCACAAAATTCGGAGTGAATCACATGTTGGAAAAGCAGATTAAGGGCTCAATCATCAACATTGGATCCGTGGCCGCCCTGCGCGGATTTGCAGCTGGTAAGCGCTCGTTTTTTGATGGCCCAGTCGAAGCTTGTGCTAATGCGCTTCTCTCCAGGTGCTGCTTATACTTCCTCCAAGCATGGTCTTGTGGGATTAACAAAGAACACAGCTTCCTTTTACACGGACAAGGGTATTCGATGTAATGCTGTGCTCCCGTCAGGGATGGAGACCAATATCTCCAAGACCATTACGAGCATCAACGACGAGGGCTACGAACACCTAATGAAGGGACCTGTAACCATGGTAAATCCCAAGGAAGTTGCTCAGACTGTTTTGTTCCTGGCCTCAGATGCCTCGAACACAATCAGTGGATCCTGCATCGCTACGGACCTTGGCTACGCAGCTTCTTGAAGCAGGCACAAACGACGGATCAAGGCTACATTTATTACAACCCCGACGAGTGCAACATAGGCTAGGTGTTAGTCCCACGACCGAAACATGCATCCCGAGTCTGGGTCAAGGATTTGATTGCGTGAGTGATCTAGAACTCGAGACGATACCACGTGCAGATAGCCAAAAGGCTGCTGAAGGACAAAAACCCGAGCAACACACAGTGTTCGACATCCAAACAAGCTGAACGTCGGCGAATATGCTCACGTCTTTTCAAAGTTGAGGAGCAATTTAAGAAGATCTGCGCACACCCAATCAGAAATCTTCTAAGAGTGGCTGCAAAGTTATCAGTACTATCCGCCCTCTATGCTATTCTCGTTTGAGTCCTTCGGTGGTTTTTTGATTGGTTTCTGTTTACCCACGAGAAGGCTCTCATCCTTCCGCGCTCGCTAGCTGTGCCACAAACCTGTGAATGAAGACAAGTCGCGCAGAAGATAATCCATGTCAACTTCATACTACACATATGCATGTGTTGTTTCATGATTGATGAAAAGGAGCCGTAGGATTCAGGCCCACGTAAGTGCGGGATTGAAACCAAGACAGAGCGCTGCTTTTTTGGGGCTTACATTCTTCATCAAAATGTTCTAGCATGAGCTTCCAGAAGCACAGTACGACATGCGCCAGCGTCTGCGTTGGTGGCCCAGCACTACCAAATCGTTCACCGGTAACGGCAATCTGTCGAGTTTGTAATTCACGGCATCTCGGATAACGCACGAGGGGCGAGAACTCGCTGTTGATCCACGGCCGTGCGCACTACCCACGAGACCTCCGCTCCGCCGGCCCATTGTCGATCCATGCCACTGAGAATTACCAAATGGGAGTGACCAGTGCAGAGTGGAGGGTTTGAAACAACGTTCAGCGCCCAAGTTGGGAGCATCTGGAAGGTGTTCACAACAGCAAGAAAGACATGCGCCAGACCCCTTCCACAAAGAGGTCCTGCGGCTCCGATTTACCTTCTGCATGACCGGCTGGCGGCTATTGATCGACGGACAATCGTTCACAGAAGGAGAAGATCGGTCGGAGTGGTACAGCGAGTGATTAGCCGAGACGACCCCAGAGAGCAATTTGGTGAAGGTCTGCGAGCCGGCGCAATATGTTGTGCACAGAATTTTGCTGACCGCTCTGATCGAGCGAAGCTTCAGTTTGTTGAGATGAAGCCTTTTCACGCACAGATGGCGTTGCTTGGTACTCGAGAGGCAGGCAGATTGCCCACGTTTGGTGGCGTTTTTCGATTTTTGTTCTGCGACGCCTGAGAGTCAGACTCTAAAGATCTGTCATCCAGCTGTGAAGTCAGCGGCACAAGAGGACACGCCTTCTCCATGGCGCACGTCAAGACTGATGAGGAGCAATGGAACCTAAAAGCATCACGCGCGGAGAAGTTGTGCGATACCGCCGACCGCGGCAATGCAGATCGTCTGGAATGACATCGTTGGCAACAGATGTCCCAGGACATATGCAATCCGTTTCGAGGGCCATAGTGTCGGCTGCCTCGAACGTGCCCACGACACCCAGCGACATGGCTCATGCAGGGAATGCGAGGACCCAGCAGAGACGGCGGCTTGTCGGACACATGTTGAAATCCTTCAGAGCACAGTTACCGAGAGCACGTTCTACTATGAGCCTATTCCATGTCATACTAAGAAAGTCCAAGGGCAAGTCTCAGAGAAACTTCCTACAGATCCGGACATCGGACCACTTGACCTCCAGGTTGACAAAGCAATTGTGGTGGGAACAAGACAGCCAACGGCGTGTGCTCGATTAAGCGGCTCAGGACGTTCGGCACTAAGCACATGAGCTAAACAAACTCCATGCGGGGAGCACGGTAACCACCCCACACCCCGTACAAAAACAACCTCGTCATCAAACTAGTAGCAAATATATTATGTAGCGTAGGGCGTCCCCTGGCCGTTCGTTCGATTTTTTCCATCTCTCCACTTTATAACCAGCCCTCCCCTTGCTTCACCAGACCTGTCCGAAGCAACTCATCCTACCTCAACTTCTTCTCATATCAACAACCTTCCACTATGTCTACTGCACAGGAGCAGAACGCCGTTAACGCCGAGGGCTACGGCATCGACAAGGAGATGAACGGTCTCAATGGTGTCAATGGCTACGACCATGCGACAGCCAGCATGGGCGCCATGCCGCCCGTCAAGCAGCGCAAGCCTTACGACTATGGCGGTAACCCTCTGGCACACATCAACACTGGCGAGTCTGTCCGTCTCCCTGCCTTCGGTGGTGAATTCCAGCCTGGTCTTTACAAGCCCATCGCCGACCGCAAGTTCGCCAACCCTGCCCCTCTCGGTCTGAGCGCTTTCGCACTCACCACCTTCGTCCTCTCTCTGATCAACCTTGGTACCCGCGGTATCACTGAGCCCAACATTGTTGTTGGTGCTGCTTTCGCATACGGTGGTCTGGTCCAGCTTCTTGCCGGCATGTGGTATGTATTCAGAGTATCATCGTGACTTGTGGTAATAGCAGCTAACCAAGTTCCAGGGAAATGGCCATCGGAAACACCTTTGGTGCTACTGCTCTCTCGTCTTACGGTGGTTTCTGGATTGGCACTGCTATCATCCTCACTCCTGGTGGTTTTGAAATCACTGCTGCTTACAGCGGCAATGGATTCGACGACGTCTTCGGTTTCTACTTGATGGTAAGCACGATATGCGCTTCAGCTGATCATTGAATTGTGCTAATCATCGGATAGGGCTGGTTCATCTTCACCTTCCTCATGCTCATCTGTACACTCCGCTCGACCGTCGCCTTCTTCTTCCTCTTCTTCACTCTCGATCTTGCCTTCCTCTGCCTGGGTCTGTCGTACCTTTACCACGGAAACGTCGCCCTTCTCAGAGCTGGTGGTGCTTTCGGTATCCTCGCTGCTTTCGCTGCCTGGTACAACGCCCTTGCCGGTATCGCCGACACCAGCAACTCCTTCTTCATCATCCCTGTCGCCCACTTCCCCTGGTCTGACAAGGGCCGTGAAAAGCGTGAGAAGGTTGACAACTCCGCTGCTCGTGCTGCCGAGTCTGTCTAAATGATATTCCTCACGATCAATGTTATGGATTTTTCGATGCACATGCCACGTTAGAATGATACCGCATGACTTCGGAATCAGGATGAATACTTTTCGTATGTTTTTGTTACTATTTGCAGGATACCCAGGCTTCACCAAGGATCGAGGGGAGGCCTCGTAAGGAGGATCTGATACAGATCTTCTCATACCATTTCAGTTAAACCTCTTAATAATTGATTCCAACAATTTGTCCGTCCATTTCGCTACACTGTCACACCTGTCTTTCTCTCATTCAAAGATCTTGTGATCGCGAATTTATGTAGATCGCGGGATAGGTCGCGATGCGATCCTTTGTTCGAGATACGTTCACGCAAGAATAGCATGGGTGGAGGTCGAAATTGGCAGCCACACAGTCCCGCCACGGCTGACTCCACACAACGAACCCCGCAGAGAGAGTTCACCTGTCCATTTCTTGTTTACTAGTCAGTCAGCCTCGTGGTTGCACTTCCTTCGTTCGGTAGATTTGATTGTGGAATGTTGTTGGCCTGGCACCTCAAACCTCGCAATTTAGTTGTTCTGGGGTCGGACGTCCGGACCAGAAACGACCTCGCTAGCGCTGTATTGACAATAACAACCACCTTACTGCCCCGAAATTGGAAATAGGCTAATTAACAGCGAGCCCTAAGATCATGCTTGGGGTAGGTACCACCTCTCGCTAATCTATAAGCCGCCCACTACCTATCTTCCGATTAGACGATAGCAACACCATCCTTGGTGCCTGCAGTGATCCTCCGTACGGCGGATAAATGTGCAGGAAGGCTTTTACCCTGAATATACTTCGTGCCACCACGAGGCGTGCTTACAGCATGAAGCTATTTATTACTCGAAGGATTCTGCGGGATGTCTTTCTATCGTACGAGTAAATCTAGCAATTGTCGAGGTACGGTTTATCCAAACGACTTGCGTGAAATATCGTTGTAATATATTGGCAGTTCGTTTGTATGTAGCTACCGTGCTCTTTCCCAACAGTGCTAGGCGTAATGATGCGCTCGGTATGCTTCTCACAAGGCGATTCATAGTCTTGGGAGTCTTCACTGCTTTCCCTCCTTCCTGAGTCTATCCCGGACTCGCATCTGAGCCACACCAAGCACGTTCGAGCCCCATTTACTCTCATGCTCTGCAGCTTCGTCTCCACGGAATCCGATACCCCAGTTGCGATCGTTTGGGTTACTTTCGGCAAGGACTCTATCACCCGTCGCCAACAAGGCCTCGCGGCATTCAGCGACTTGGGAAAACTTCAGCCAACATCCATCCATCGCAACATTAATCCAATACTTGCGCCACATCATGCCATCGAAGTTTTTCACTTCTCTACCGAGTGCTTGAGCTTCTGAGGGCGTAGCAGCCACGAGAATCTTTTTCGCTGTCTCATGGTCCTCGAAGCACATGGCTTTGCGCCACATTATGTAGTGCTCCATTGTCTGGAAGCGAATGCTTGGGTCCTCGGGGTCTACAAAAGATGAAGGATACCAGTTCTGAAGTCTAGCTTCTGGCAGTTGTAGTTCGTAGCCGTAAGTGAACAGATGCTTGTCGGTGTACCAGACTGAAGGTCCGTAGGGAACATCTTCGTTCTTGCCGTCGTTTGAAGTGAGTGTCTTCGTGACTCTGAAAGACATTTTTGTGGATGTTGTAGTTATGCCCAGCTTCGAGATAGGTTGAGTTCTGATGTTCCGAAGACGCCAAAGAGCTCGGCTCATGTGTTGAATGCAGAAGACTTATGGACTTTGAGATTTAGTGCTGAATATAAACAAAAGATCAACCTTCTTCAGCTGAGAAGTTTTCCTTCTGACAAGTGCGGTGTCTATCTTTGGCAAGTGAGGTGTGACGGCTTGACCGTCCTCGGTCGACAGTGGACCTTGCCTTGGTGTGCCCAGACTCCATAATTTCTGGAGTCTGAATCTGGTTAGCGCGCGCTAGGCCAGGACATGGTAGCATTCCTTGCCAAGATGTTTGAGCGCTCAGAATCGCCCAGCGAGAACTTATTATCGATCTACAGGCCTCTAGCAAAGATTGTGATCACTCATTTCTCATTCCGCAAAACACAACCACTCCAAACCTCAATCTATCTCTACTTGCAGATCATACGGTGCAAGCCGCACATCTCAAGATGTACGCAAGCCTGCGCTCGATGGCCAAGTGTTGGCAAAAGTTCTAGAACACCTCATGGGTTCACAGCTGGATGAGTATGGTCAATTGCTCATTGCCCGTATCGTAACAGAAACAGCTACCATGGATCCGCAAGATTATGAGCGCACGATTGTGCCCTTCTTGAAAGGCATTATTACGCGACTAATTGGTGGAAGGGACGAAGTCGCCATGTACGAGGATCTGTTTCAAACATGTCTGTCGCAGTACATCTCCCGATTTGTTGGCCAGGAGCCTGTCCAGATCAATTGGTCAAGGAATCTAGTGAGATGCAATTGCCGTGACTGCATGGATCTGAACGCATTTCTGCGCAGCCCTGTATATCGTGTCGAAGGAGTCCGTGTGCCGAAACAGCGCCGACACCATCTAGATACTCAGCTGGATGCATACACAGATTGCACCCACCTTACAGAACGCGGTTACACTCAAGGCTTGGACAAGCAGAGTCAAGTCAGCATTGGCAGCACTTCGCTCTCTCGAAGATCAGGAGGCCACATCGAGCTCTCCGAGTCAACTCAGAAGACTGCTCAGCAACCAGTACGCCGATGGTATGGCGCTGAGGACAGTGAGAATCATGACCGCCACTCAACAGCAATCAAAACGATCAACACAGAGGGCTGGCGCAACATCTTCGAGCGCCTTGAATGCAGCCACTGCTGGAGTGTCGACGTCTACTGCAACACAACCCGACTTACATCAAGTCGCTGGGCGGAAACGAAAGGCGTTGTGATTGACCTTACCGTTGATTGAGCTCATGATGGTTGTCATACCACCCCTGCTGCATGTATCTTATGTATGTCCAACGCAAGAGACTCGTGATATGACACTCTGCTATGCATCAGGAATATATTGCGGTATGACGATAGACCGTCATGAAGCCAAATGCAGCCATCCTAATAAGTACAATCTAGATTATTGTCACGCGGCCATACCGCCAACTACATCTGCTCTCCGGACGAGCTATTCGTTCTGGACCCGCGAGACGTGGAGTATGATCTCAGGAAGAGCAACAATCTTGGTCGCTTACATGCCTTTGCGTTTCAGATTGATGTTCGGGTCACTTTTCATGCATTCATGCGCTGCTGAGCATATCGAACCCATAGATCTAGGGCCTAGCCGGTGGTCCGATGTGCGAAGACGCGTCCATGGAATCTGGTCAACATTGTTCTGCTCGTTATGTACTGCGCATCAAGGCGGACTTGTGGGGAGGGGATTGGCAAATCACACCATGCCAGCGTTAAGGCATCGGAAAGTAGGAGGGTTTCTTTAGGGCTTCGCAACGGTATACATACTCGATGGCTTTCACCGTGGACCGTCCTCCAGGCAGAGATTGTTTTGTTTTCAAGTCTTTAGTCTCTACACTTACCAGCAACAATGTGTACGTTCGAACTAGTCAAATCGTTGAAGTGCGGCCATTTGGTAAAGCGATACTATCTCGAATGTCATACTGCGAAGACAACTGGACGAAGATGCGAATTGTGGCCTGCGCAGAAAGAAAGACCATTGATGGTGAAGGATAGGGGACCGATCGCTGTACCGGACTATTGCGATGGATGCAAGACCGATGGATTTCTGGCCTGGTTCTGAATGAGATTCTCCGGTTCACAAAAGGACTTAGAAGTTCGTAATTCGACGATCCAATTTACTCTGACACGAGGCCGGACTTTGGCATCGATGGCGCTACTGCCGTGCAGAAGTTGAGATAGCAAGTCGACGGAGCAACAATATAGCCGATCACAAGTCAGGTCAAGATCGGTGTCAGTATCGACACCCCCATTTACCGCGCCATTTCCATGGCTCATCGCGCAACGGCGCGGGGGGCTTCATCACTGGGTCCGGAGCAGGTCTTCCGTTATGTCCGCGCACTCCCAGGTTACATGTGAGGGATGGTGGATGGGGAGCGGTCGAATATAAGGCCGCGTGCAAGAGAAAGAATATATATTTGTATCACAATTGCTCCTCGACTTCCAACATCATGGATAACTAATTTTCGGCATACAATCCTTAGCACTGGGCAATTTCGAACAGAGACATCAAAATGGATTATATGTCTATCCTCAATTTCCTCTACTCGCAACTCTTCGTTACACCCCAGTACCCAGAGCAGTCATGCAAAGGACAGGTTTTCATCGTGACTGGAGCGAACGTCGGGCTTGGGTTCGAAGCATCTCGTCATCTGGTACGCCTTGGAGCAGAGAAGGTCATCCTCGCATGTAGAAATCTTGAGAAGGGTGAAGCAGCGGTCAAGGATATCGAAAAGAGTACCAAAAGAATTGGCGTTGCAGAGGTGTGGTTGCTAGACCTGTCCTCCTTCGAAAGTGTCGAGGAGTTTGCCAAGAAGGTCGATACCTTGCCTCGCATCGATGCTATAGTCGAGAATGCTGGCAAGTATTATAACTCTACTGAGTCGTTACACATAGCCTAATTACACTCCAGGCATCAACACCAAGGACTTTAAGCTGTTCGAGGGCAACGAGTCCACAATCACAGTGAACGTGATCTCGACCTTCCTTTTGGCTCTTCTTGTTCTGCCTGCACTGAAGCGATCATCCCAAAAGCACAACATTCAACCTACGCTCACAATTGTCGCCTCCGAAGTTCATCATTGGACGAATCTACCAGAAAGGAACAAGGGCGATTCGATCTTCGACGCTTTGGCAACTCCTGAGCTTTCTGAGATGCGCGAAAGATACGAAGTCAGCAAGCTGATGGATGTCTTCTGTACTCGAGCCTTGGTTGAGAAAACTTCTCCATCATATCCAGTAACCATCAACACCATGAATCCTGGCTTCTGCTACAGCGAGTTGTCTAGAGAATACAACGGATTTGCCTTCCGGTTGTTGTACAAGCTTCTGGCTAGGACAACCGAAGTGGGTAGCAGAACACTTGTCGCAGCCGCACTTGCTTCACACGATACTCACGGTCAATACATGAGCGACTGTATGGTTGAGGAGCCTGCCAAGTTTGTTAGGAGCGACGAGGGCAAAAGAACACAGGAGAGAGTGTGGGCAGAGTTGAGTGCTAAGCTGGAAGCCATCCAGCCTGGCATCCTCAAAAACATCTAAGGTCTCTCTAGTGGCAGTGCAGCTCATTAGAACACGATAGCATCAGAATTGACTTCAGTATATGTTGTATCCAGGAAAAGTTGAAGAGCCAGAGAATCGATGATCCTTGCACATTTGATGGAGATCTGTCTCTCGCCTTCCTCGTTGCGTCGCTGAATCATCTCGATGCTTCCTTCCACATCTGTTTTGGAACTGTGGTTGATTCTGTCCCCAAGCAAGTTCATCGCACCTTCCTCAAAATGAATGCCCGCACAAGACTATATCATCTCGTTATACGGGGTAACAAACAAGCGCGAGCAAGTCGTCAGATCATTTAGATGTAATTTATCGATGTTCTATTGAGACTTTGGACTGCAACTGCAGCCGTGTTAAAATACCCGACATTTAACGCCATGCTAAATTTCAATGCCCACATCTAGATTTGCATTTTTCAAAACCCGCAGAAAAAGGGAAGGAGCAGAAGAAAGGACATTACTCCTTCTTCTTGCTCTGGAAAGGCTTCTTGATAACCCCAACCAAGCTACCCAAGGCACCAAAGAGCTTGCCAAAGCCAAAGCTCCAGCCCTTGATACGGACAGTGTAGATGAAGAAGTAGACCAGAACCCAGTTGGAGACAACAAAGATGCAGAAGATACCGAGATCTCTCCATGCCTGGCTGGCCTTGATGTTGAGGGTGGAGAGGTAGCCATTGCCGGACTGATAGGGACAGTACTGGCAATCGGCGGTAGCATCAGGGTTGAGGAGGTAACCGCCTGACGAGGCTGCAAAGGCACCGGCATATGACTGGCAGGTTTGGCCACCAGGAACATTGAACATGGCTGTTTCGCTAGGCGTGCATTCGACGCGGATGCCATCGAGAGTTTTGGCGAGGACACCACTGATCCAGTATGTGGAGGGATTAAGGTAGTACCTTGAATCATGGTTAGCAATGAGTCCATGTTAACGCAATGACATTAAACCTACATCCAGTAGCGCCAAAAGACAGGGAGCGAGGCGTAGGGTCGTACGACACCGTTGAAAAGCGAGAACATGACGAAGAAGAAGGGTAAAACATTCGAGATGACGGTGAAACTGGGTGCGAACGCGCAAATCCACTGGCCTGCATATTTGTTAGCTGACGAACAAGAGTCAAACCGCGATATCGAACTCACCCCACGATGCCTGGAACCAAAAGAACAAGAGTACCATGAAGAAGACATAACCAGCAGTAGAACTGTCAGTTGGCAGTCCAGATGGCCAGTACCATAGAACCCAGTATATGACAGCACTGACGACCGCGATAGGGATTTCGGCAACAACCATGGCAGTACTGAAAGCGAACCAACCGTAGATACGCGATGGTAATTCTCTGGCCATCCAGAGTGCCATGTTTTGATAGAACTTCGGGACGACAGCATTGACGATGGTGGGAGGGATGGTCAAGATGAGGAAAGCCGTGAACATGCGGTTCTGCATATCTTGGATGGAGTTGCCGAGCTGCCAGAAGGTGAAACCGTTAAAGATACCGATAATGACTGCGACAAACAGTTTGCCATAGAGGTATGAAGGGTCGCGCCAGTATTGGGTGAAGACACGCTTGGTGAGCATGGTAGTTTGCAGCCAAACGGGAGCGGCGAACTCGGTAGCTTCGTCTTCTGATTGCGATTCGTGGACTGACTTGCTCCTCATACGCTTGAGTCCATCGATTTCATCAATGACTGCCTGAGCCTCCTTGCTGTTGCGCCATTCTTCATTCCAGTCGATCTTTGTTCCGTCTGCTCGCTTTTTAGGCTTGATGGCGGTTTCGAGAAGGAACTCTGCTACGTTCTTTGCTGGAGGGCACTTTACGCCACGAGCACCAAAGTACTCAATAACGTCCTTTCCGTTCTCTCCGATAGGACCAAAGTAGAACGTGTTGCCTCCGGGGTTGAGAGCGAGAACCATGTCGAATTGCTGGATCAGGACAGACGAGGGCTGATGGATGGTACAGACAATAGCTTGACCAGCGGCAGTCAATTTCTTCAAGAAACGAATAATGCTGTATGCACTTTGCGAATCAAGACCAGATGTGGGCTCGTCGAGGAAGAGGACTTTGAATGGATGTTAGCGTTATTTGAATATTCAGGAAGCAAGGGTTGATACTTACGTAGCGAGGGTTTGGCAGCAAGTTCGACACCAATAGTCAGACGCTTACGTTGCTCGACGCCAAGGGAAGAGATGATGGCATCCTGCATGTCATTGAGTTCAAGCAAGTCGATAACCTTGTCGACGTATGCAATCTTCTCAGCACGAGGCACCTTACGATCCTGACGGAGAATAGCAGAGAACTCGAGTGCTTCTCTGATGGTGGCAGTGCCGTCGTGAAGATCCATCTGTTCACAAAATCCGGTGTTACGCTGGAACTCTTTACCGAGAGGTCTGCCGTCAACGAACATTTCACCCTGGACGACACCCATCTTCTGTCTCTGACTGAGAGTGTTGAGCAGAGTTGTCTTTCCAGCACCAGAAGCACCCATCAAGGCAATCATGAGACCAGGTTTAGCATATCCGTTGACCTTGTTGAGCAGCTTACGCTCGCCACCGTTGTACGGGACTGTGTATTCGACGTCTCTCCAGGTGAAAATACTTTCACTCTTCGCAATAGAGTCCAAAGCTTCTTGTTCTTCCTTTTCGCCAGTTGATCCGCCAACAGCAGTATCACTATCGGATTCGATCTTCTCCTCGTCCGCGGGACTTGCTGCCTTGACCTGCTGCTTCGCCTTTCTAGACTTCTTGAAAACCAGAGCACCACCACCACCACCGACGAAGCTGAAAAGTTCAGTAGCGGCGATGGTGACGAGCAAGTAAAGAACGGTATAGGCAATGACGACACCAAAGTTACGCCAGAGGTGGGCGCGCGTATAGGTGTATTGCTGTTCGAGATAGGCGGAACCACTGACAGTGTGAGCGTTGACTGCTGCACCAGTCAAGGTACATCCCTGGAACGCAGGATCAATACCGGGGCCTTGAGGGACCAAATTACTCGGGGCACATTGCATAGTGCGGCCGGAAAACTCGTTGGTCAACACAGCCTCGAAGGAGTATGCAATGGGATTGATGTAGTAGATCCAACCGAACCAGATGTAATCGCCGAGCAATTGAGTCTTAGGGATAACATAACCAGTGTAGATGATGAGCAAGTTGAGGGCGATACCAGAGAAACGAACAGCATCATCAATAGTCGGTGACAAACTTGCGAACATACGATAAAGTGCGGTGATACAGATAGTGTTGACGTAGACGAAGAGGAAGTAGATCCAGAACTTGCCAGCATTAACGTCCAGGCCAGTCATGAAATACATGATGATTGTAAAAAGACAGACTTGAACCAGAATGACTGGTAGATCAGCAACCACACGGGCAGCACTGACAGCAGAGGGGCGGTAGAAAGCGTATTCCTTCTGGCGAGCGACAACGGCACGTCCACTGACTGCCTTCATCAATTCAGTGAGTTGCAGCCAGCCAAGGAAGAGGATAGAGAAGAAGATGGCACCTCCGCGAGAGAAAGCGCCGCTGGTGTTCAAGGATTCTCCATAGAAGAGAGAACCGACGATAAGACCGTTCGAAATGATAATGAACACCTTGGTCCACAGGGTGGTCGGGTCTCCCCATAGAAGCCAAAACTCACGCTTGGTGCAAGCAAGCACTTGGCGAATGAAACTGACAGTGTATGGCGATTTCTTGGTGACAGTCTTGGATTTACCGGCCTGGACGGTCTCCTCAAACTCTTTAGCGTCTTGGTGGTTGGTTTGCTCGAGGTGTTGTTCATAAGCTTCAACATCTTGCAGGTTCCGGGTGTAGAATGATGATTCACGGAAAGCACGTTCGAGTTCCACAGGAGTCTTGGGCGTACTGGCCTCACAGCCTGGTCTGAATTTTCTCTCCACAGGGTCAGTGATGGCAGTCAAGAAGTCGGCAGTAGTTTGTCTCTCAGGACATTCGAAACCTAAATCAATGAAATACTGCTTGGCAGCTGCAGCAGGGCCAGTGAAGATACAGCGACCTTGGTCAATGACCAAGACCTTGTCCATCAGATCGTAAATCCCTTGACCTGCCTGGTAAAGGGTCACCAATGTGGTTCTGTTGCTGACATCGGTCATGATGCGAAGAGACTTGGCGTAATCCAAAGCCGTCGAAGCATCGAGACCGCGAGTTGAATTGTCCCAACAGACAACAGTACTCTTTGATGCAAGGGTTTCGGCAATCGAAACACGCTTTCGCTCACCTCCTGAGACACCTCTCGTGTACTCATCTCCAACCAGCGTGCGAGCAGTGTGGCTGATTCCGAACATCTTCATCAGAGCTTCAGCGATGAGAGGAATGTCTCCGCTAGCCTTCTTTTTGGTTTTTGTGAGGAGAGCGAACATGAATGTTTGCCACACGGTAAGGGAAGCGAAATGAATGTCGTCCTCCATGTTGTAGTTGACCTCTCCACGATAAATTTTCCTCTGCTTTTCTGCTGGGATGCCACCGTACGAAACTTCACCGTCGACTTGTGCATAGCCTTCGCGGTTGTTGGCAATAGTCTTGAGGAAGGTCGTGCAGCCGGCACCAGGCCTGCCTAGAACCAGCATCATCTCTCCGTCTCTTACCACACCCGAGAAGTCGTTGATCAGTGTCTTCAGGTCGCCGTTCTTGCGGCGGAGGAAGGGAATGAATCTGGAGAGTATGTGGTAAAGATCCGGTCCGAATGTACCCAAGATGGCGTCAGGCAAGGTGCGGACGAAGGTTGCGCCAGCTCCAACACCCTTGACGGTCAGGTTCTTGTATACAACACCAACCTTCTTGGCTGACTTGTCGCCCTTGCGCTGACCGAGATGGCCCTCTCTCATGAACTCATCGAGTTCGAAGTCATCCTCGTCCTTGCCCTGAGCCTCGGTGTTTCCTCCAACTTCGGATTCTTCGTCATCAGCATCATTGACCGTGCTCTGTCTCCTGGATGATTGTTTTCGGCCTAGTGATTGACGTCCGCTGGCTTTCGATCGGTTGGTGAGCTCTCTTCTCAGAGCTCTGAAATCCTCCATAGCCATAACTTCATTAGGGATGCCTGCATCGTGTTCGCCCCAGGTACCGCTGCGGTCTACGTCTTCTGAGCTGGATGAATGGGTGTCCGCATCTTGGTGCAATCGTTCAGCGCGAGGCTCGGCGGGATTGTGCCAGGCATTTTGTCCTCCTTGACTGTCAAGGCGAACGATGCGCGGGTCGTCAACTACACCGCTGCCCCACATATTGGCGTTGATGTTTGGCGTTCAGAAAGGAATGAATGGTTGCAGCCCGAATTAAGATGTTGATGTATTGATCAAAACACCGTCCTGAATGAGGGACCAGGTCTGCGGTGTCCAAGAATGGCGACCGATGGTTTCTTGGGTCACGAACCTCGCGTCACAGAAAGATAGAAAGAACCAAACGGGATGGAGTCGCGAGCGGAAGCTCGTTTACAAAAGAAATTTGGTACGCACGGCAATCATACACGGAGGGCTCGGATTTAGCATAGGACGCCGCTGATGAATAATGCGCGAGCAGATCTTACACATTTTGATATCGACGTCAGAGCCAACCAATTCAACGAACGTTGAGCCGTGCCCGTCGGCCGAAGTCGGGTAGCGTGTATGTAGATCAAATTGGAGCTTATTCAGACCTACAGTAGCGGTGATGGTTTTGCTGAAGAATGCCGTCACGAAATTGTATCCGCGGCTGCCTGCCCAACTAGCTGGTTGCTTCATCAAGGCTACAAATCAATCAGCAATCTTCTTGTGTCCTTTCCATGGTTTGTGCACGAATTGATGTATGTTTGCAGAAGTTGTACAAGGGGTTTCTGTTGACGGGCACTGAATAAGGTTCGAGCGGCTGGTCAGACAACGGGTGAGTGGTAGAAAGAGGCGTCCGCGCTAAGATGATTTTCGTGTCTTATTCAAGCGTCGCACGCCTCTCTCCATATCTGAATCGCGAGTCTCCAAGGTCCATCTGAGTTGTGGAGGACTGCCAACTGCACCTGCATAAAAGTATTGCTACAATCATCTCTATAGGCTCAGAAGAACGGTGCAAATTCAGCTCTAGCTGATATCATGAATTTACAGCTCGATGTCGTACATCTTACACGTTACAAAAAGAAAGTGCTTGGCGAGCGTTGGTCAAACAAACAGCGTGCATGCACTTGCCGAAAAGACATAGGTCCTCGTATCAAAGCTCAGCCCAATTTTCGCGAAAGAGATTGATAGGATTCCGGCCCATAATTTACTCAAGAGAACATTCGAGGAGATAACTGATAACAGAAGCTGTCAAAGAAGACAACAGAAGATTCTGACTCTGTCCTCCACAATGATGTTCAATCGGTCTGCTATCTTCTGCATCTGACTGGCTTGTCCTCTCGCCGTCTGAACAGATACCAAGAAGGCAGTAGTGCAACTGCGGTGTGCTTCGAGCATTTATAAGCAGCAACAAGTCTTATCGAACTTTGCATGTGGAGCTTGAGGCTCTGCAGGATTCAGGAAGCCCGAAGGCTTAAGTATTCCAACGGAGATAAGCGTTGCTGCGCCGGATTTCCACAAGTAGAAAATCGCGTGCTCTCAAACACCTGCGGAGCTTGGTGGAGATCTGCTTCAAGCGGATTCAGGTTCCGACCTCAACAGAAGATCCTGCTATTGTCGATTCCATTCACATCCGACTTGGCAGCTACCAGATTATGTGAGCAGTTCTTGCTTACAAAGTGATCGCCCAACGCTTCGTGTTCGTTCAGGCACATCAAGGTGTCGTTTTGCGGGGACAAGGGCAGGGATGGTACAAGTCATGATTCGAAGGAGCAGCTGTCATTGAAAGTCTACCCCATCAGTCAAAGGAAATCTTCTTGCCTTCGAAGGCCGCCGTGACCTTCTTTGCCTCCTTGGCCTTCTTCGCGGCTTCCCATGAGGGATGCAACGAGCCCTGGTCATCTCTGTGTTTCTTTCTGGGAGGTTCGGCGGCGTTGTTTCTAACACGGTCCTGACCAGGCCTTTCAAAGCGGCCTCTTGGTGCACCACGAGCACCACGTGGACCCGTTCTATCTGTCGCTCCGCGTTTGGCATCCCATCCAGCATTTCTATCATTCTTGCCTGCTTTTTCCTGGTTCTGCAGATGCTTTGCATTCTTGCCAAACTTCTTCTCCGCAATAGCTTGACGTGCTCGTTGACCTCTACGGTTCTTCTTTTGTGGTGCATCTTCGAAATCCTCGGCTTCTGATTCAGAACCAGACCAGTACCCGCCCATGGTAAGAGAAGGTACAAACGCTGATGTGCCAGGTTTGGTCTTTCTAGCTTCCGGAGAGTCTGATTCGGGAGAGGGTGAACGCGAAGGTGATGGCGAAGGAGAAACGGATGCTGATTGGGAAATGTCACCAAGAGCAGCTCGTAATGCTGCCGCACGTGATGCCTTGCCTTTCTTGAGGGCTATATCGTTGTCATCCTCTTCTTCGTCTTCGCTGTCAGATGAACCAGCAAGTCTGTCGTCGAACTCTGCAAATTCGTCCTCACTGCCACTACCCAGTTGACGATGTGTGAGTTCCGGGGCGTCGTTTTCGTCGTCGGATTCTCCCATGCTCACATCGCCAGACTCGGGCTCCGCAGGAGGTTGTGGTTTCTTGGTTGGTTGTTTTGCTTGTTCCTCCTGTTTCTGCTTCTCAATGTCTTTGGCTCTCAGCCTCTTCTTTCCTTCTTTAACATCTTTGGGCTCGATCCCAAGGGCGCGTTGAATGTCCTTGAGTAAGGGAGGGAGAGCTTCTTTGACAGGGTTTGAGTTGCAGAGTCGGGCAATGACGTTGGCTTTGGCGGTGTCGTTGATAGGAGGAGGAGGGGACAATACGGCCTTGGGCAAATCGGGCGAATCGGCAACTGCCTTGAACTTGATCAAAGACTTGTAGAGGTAGTTGCGCGCGGTAGCGGAGAGGTCCAGCGTCTGTAGGTAACGTAGCAATGAGTATGTTGCGGTACGTAATGGAAACTAGAGGAGCGTGCATAGTTCTCCCATGTGTGCTGCTCCCACGCTCGTGGCCGAAGAATGTGAGCTGTATACACAGGCAGTTCTTTCTAGACTAGCTGGGATTGACTTGGGATCAAGTATATCAAGAGTCACTCTCGACGCTAGCCGTTTCGAAAGCACTGTGCATTCTACAGCTGGAACGTGACAGGTTTGAGCACATGGAGAGAAAGGGACGAGAAGCAAGAGAGGGAAACGGAAAGAGATACGTCATGAACAACCCACCTTCAGAGCAGCAGTCTCGGCTTCTATGCGCGCGACGTCTTTGTCGTCGCTCTTTGCAGTGGCAGTCTTGCGCCGTCTTCCAGACTTTTGCGCCTCAAAGCCCTTTGCCGTTTTGAAGGCACGCGCGAGTTGCTTATGGGCATAGTCGAGCTTGTGTTGCACTCTGTGCTGACGAATGCCGACAGCGCCATCTACACCGTCTGCATCACTGGCGGGCGCCTCAAACCCATCTCTTTTCCTTTTGGGCATGGTGAAAGTGCATACGTACAAAAAAAAATGTTGTTGTCAAGAAAGAAGAACAAAAAACTTGTCCGAGCACGCGCGCCGGCCCGGCCACGAGACGGACATGCCAAGAGCAGCGCCGATCCGACTCGCATCGTCTTACCATCACCTCTTCAACGTCAAGTGACTGCCACGCTGTCCAACTCTCAACCGTCCATCCAGATGATGAGAAGCCTCGCACTTGGACGTGTCGTTTTCTTGCCTGCTGGCGCTGCCGTACTTCGGCATTGTCCGCAATTCGCATCCGACTGCATATATCAGGCCTAGGGTGGAGCCTGCTGCTCTGGAGCCGCTACGACGCACATCTGCATGTCTGGTAGCATGCATCCATTGGTCATGACTTAGCCGCTGCCGACCATCCTTGACTGCTGTCTGGCATCCTTTGTTCGTTCCTGTGCTTCCTGCCTCCTTATTCGTGCCCTCCAATCTCTCGTCACCTTGTGTGCAAATGATAACTCTGTTTTCCTTCGTCGCTTTCCCTGACCAAAGGTGGAGACCTTTCTGCAGGGAGCCTTTTCCTGCCGCCAAACACTGCACTTGCATAGTCGATGCTTCGTGCACCCACATTTCCCCCTGACCCAGCCTGTCATGCGCCTATCTCACACCCTCACAGTCAGGTTTCAGAACTTGTTGCCCAAGGCTTGTTCTTCAACCTGGTAGGCGGTCGCGAATGTTCTCTCCACACAGCCTAAAAGCTTGTTTGCACCGTAGCATGCAGCTATGCGAATCGTACAGCAAACCATATCACTTTGCAAAGGACTACGATTTGTTCGAGTACGCCACGTGTGACGCCTTGTTGGAACGGCATTAGCAATCTAGCATGGCTCTAGAAGGGCACTCTCTCCTGTTTGTCCCTCACTTTAGCCTTGTGTTTCAAGTGTGATCGTATGCATGTGATACCCTTCACTATAGATACTCTTTACTTTTCCCTCACTTCACTTCTACCAAGTGCAACGTTTGCTTGGTATTTCTCAGAGTCTTCTACTCAGTCACTCCTTTACATTCGTTCTTCTTTCTCCCTTCCTTTCTCTTCAAACTCTTTCAAAAAAAAACTCTCATTACACTCTATCTTGTTGATCAAGATGCGCCCATCACTCTCTCTTAGCCTTTTGCTTCTCGCTGGCCTGGTGTCAGCTAACAAGTACAACCTTGTCAAGGACTACTCGGGCAACAACTTCTACGATCAGTTCGACTTCTTCACTGGCGCCGATCCCACCCAGGGCTTTGTCAACTACGTGTCGCACGACCAGGCTGTCGAGTACGGTCTCATCTGGAACAAGAGCGTTCCCACCTGGGGCGTCGATTCCTTCACCCACCTCAATGCCGATGGCTCCAGTGGTGGTCGCACTTCCGTGCGCATGACCAGCAAGGACACCTTCACTCACGGTCTCTTCATCGCCGACATTCAGCACATGCCTCAGAGCTCTTGCGGCGTCTGGCCCGCCTTCTGGACCTTTGGTCAGACTGGCAACTGGCCTCAGTCTGGCGAGATTGACATTATCGAATTCGCCAACCTCGCCAATCAGAACAAGGTCTCTGGTCACACCATGCCTGGCTGTTCCATCTCTGGCACTTCGCAGAGTGGCAGAATCCAAGGCACTGATTGCTCGGTACGATTCTTTCTTGCATTCTCGGTTTGATCAAAGGCTAACGAAACACAGTCCGCAGGCGACGGCGCTGGCTGTGCATTCCTCTCTCCTTCAAGCACAACCGCTGGCTCCGGTTTCAACAGCATTGGCGGTGGCGTCTACGCCATGGAATGGACTTCTCAGCACATCAACGTCTGGTTCTTCCCCCGCAACAACATTCCCTCATCCATCCAGTCCGGCAAGCCCGATGTCACCAAGTTCGGCCAACCCATGGCCAACTTCCGTGGCTGCGACCTTGACAACTACTTCTACAACCACGCCATTGTCTTCGACACCACCTTCTGCGGCACCTGGGCTGGCGAGACCTTCAGCAACGATGGTTGCTCTGCTTCGTCGTGTGTTGAGTTTGTCGCTGGCAACCCTTCTGCATTCAAGGATGCGTATTGGTCTGTCAACTCGCTCAAGGTGTACCAGCAGAGTGGTTCTTCCAAGGCTAAGCGCGACTTCCTCCGTCGCCACGCCAGACAGACCCACCGCAACCACGTCCTGGTTTGATGAAGTCTAACGCTCCGCATGACAGCCTGATTTTGCTTTCGTTTTCGCACATCCATCAGCATGCAGGACATGTCTTCACCCACACTCTCTTTCTCACAGCATCAGCAATGGCGTTTGTTTTCCTTCTGGCGACTTTTCACCTTCGCTTCTTTGTGATTGGTTTTACCCAAGCTTTCACTTCATGTTTTCACTTTTTCTTGACGATGAGGACGGCTTTTAACGACTTTTGGCATCAGGGACCGGGGTTCTGGGTTGCTTTTAGGTTGTTGTTGTTGTTGTTGCTTTTCGGATTTCAGCGGCGTAAATACTCTACATTCGCTCAAGAATACAAATGGACGTATGTTACCTGCTCTTTGATATGCGGATGAAGGCTTTTTGTTTGTTTGCTTGGTAGTGGTTGGTTGCTCTGACGAGTATCAACATCTCTACCTTGTACACAGATCTCATGTGGCATAGAATTCCATCAATATTCCAGTCCAAAAGGATTCAGACAAGGTAACAATAGATGTCATAACAATCTTTTGATTTGTGCTGATATTCTTTACATCCATAACTACATAACAGATTTTACAGTGTTGCTTTATGCAAGGCCCTTGAGGACACAAGCCTCGGCGTTGAGAATAGAGGATCCAGCAGCACCAATGACAGCTGGAAGGTAAAATCAGTATTATATCTCGAGGATTTTCAGGCGAAGTATGCTTACTGTTGTGGCTCAAAGCAACAAACTTGATATCGAAGATGCCACTCTCATCCTCACGAACTCTGCCCACACTGACGGCGTAACCTCTGTCGGTCTCTCTGTCGAGTCTGGGTTGCGGGCGGTCAGGCTCCTCCATAACGACGATAGCCTTCTCAGGTGCAGAAGGGCAGCCAAGCTTCTGAGCATCCGAGACGTAGTCGCGCATGGCCTGCTTGACCTCCTCGGCGCTGGGAGCGGGTCTTCTCTCGAAGCGGAGCGAGACGCAAGCGGTGTGGCCGTCCAGAACGGGGACTCTGTTGCAAGCAGCCGAGACTCTGAGATCGCTTTGGTCTGAGAAACCAGTCACGTCCGAGTTGACCTGGCCGAGAATCTTCTGGGCCTCAGTCTCGAGCTTGTCTTCTTCACCCGAGATGAAGGGGACGACGTTGTCGATAATGTCCATGCTGCTGACACCAGGGTAACCAGCTCCTGAGACAGCTTGCATTGTGACGACCGAAACCTGGTTGATGGGACCAAACTTGGCTTGCAGGGCAGCGAAGGGAATGACAATACCAATGACAGCGCAGTTGGAGTTGCAGACGAGGAAACCCTTGTTGAGACCGTAGTGCTTTCTTTGGTGGTGGACGACATCCAAGTGAGGCAGGTTGACGGTGGGCACAACCAGAGGCACGAGGGGATCGCGGCGGTAGTTCTTTGCGTTGGAGAAGACGGCAAGTTCGGACTTGAGGAAGGCCATCTCGACATCGCCAGCAACGTCGCTGTCCAGACCAGAGAAGACCATGTCGCAGTCGGCGAACTCCTCGGGAGTACACTTTCTCACGACCAGCTCGCCCAGCTCCTTGGACATGGGCAATGACTGCTTCCACTTGACGGCATCCTTGTATTTCTTGCCTGCCGAGCGCTCAGAGGCACCGACAGCATGGAGGGTGAAGTGGGGGTGAAGGGCGAGCAGGAGAATGAATCGTTGGCCGACAGAGCCAGTGGCTCCCAACACACCTAGCAACCACAATGTCAGCTTGGTCCTGAGCCAATCGAGCATGCAAAGCACCAACCGCACTTCTTCTTGGGGAAGTCGCGAGCCTTCTCTGTAAATGTTGTCACGTCCATCTTTGTTCAATTGGTATATTGTTAAAGGAAACAGCTCAACAAACACCTGCCCTCGCAATGACTCTACTCCAAAAATTCGACCGATGACGCGCGATGCGACAGCCACCCTCTCCGAAACCGCTCGCCGACCATCGCGTCGCGCCATTGCCTGTTCCTCGAACCATCACCTTGATCATTTTGTGAGCAACACACAAGCCATGCCTGAGCTGTTGATGAGTAGTCAAAGCTGTTTCAAATCTGTCCGAATGTGAGTCCGATGTTCTGCTGCACTCACTTGGTTCATAAGGTGCGTGTTTGATGTGCGCTTTCGCAGGGCTCAGTATGGCAGTGGGTCAGGGTCACCCTCTCTGCCTCTGTCTCAGTCCAGCATCTCGTTCTCTACGCACTTGCGCTTAGGTTTGAAGACTCTCGATGGCATCAACGGAAAAGTTATACTCATACTACGCGCTATGTAGTTGCAATTCGTGCTGCAAGCGACGCTTGACCGAAAAATCCATGGTTTTGTGTTCTCAAAAAGAAGCTTCCGTCAAATCGGCCATGGGACCATCGGTATCGCAGCGACCTATACTCCTGTTGCAGACCAATTTTTCAAAGCGATCTTGCCCAGACTTAGAAGAGTAGTAAAGAAGCCTCACGAACCAAGCCTCTCTTATATATGTCGACAACTAGGTCGTTTCTTTGTTTATAACCACATCCGGCGGTAGCAATCGGGAGATACGTCATACCACGAAGGAGATCAAGATTCCTTTATTCTTGAAAAGAACTTGTCCTTACATATACCCACAATCAAGTGTTGTTATCGCCAGAGGTTTACTCGAGGCTTCGATTCCTAGACTTTCCCAGTAGGATCCCGGCTGATTGAGGGTTGAACATCATTTTTTAGCAAATCCAAGCACAAAGACATCAACGACCATTTGGCCGAGTGGTTATGGCGCCAGATTCAAGCGAGTTAAAGCTTCTCAGTTCACTGAGTTTCCTGGTAACGAAAGTTGCGTGGGTTCGAGTCCCACAGTGGTCATCATATCTTTTGTCTGTAGATACCATTTAATGGTATATTTTTTTTTGTTTGGTTAGTCTCGTGCGCGATTCTGTTTGGGGCTTTGTTCTTCCGAAGCCTGACTAACAACGAAAAAGCTTCACATGTCGTAACTTCCCAAACACAAGAACACGAATGAGCCAACGGCACTGATGCTCGAGTAGCCTCTATGCTGGAGACGTGAACATGGTTGACCACGAGTAAGGGTGGCTGAAGTCTATCATTTTATAACTACTACTACATGGAATATCAGACGTGATCATTTTACACATCAGCCGAAGCAGTAGCGGCAGCAGACCTCTTCGAGTTCTTCTTTGCCTTCTTCTTAGGCGCCAGTTTCTCTGCCTCTGCAGGTTCAGTATAATCCTCTTCATCGTCTACAACACCACTTTTCCTTTTCTTCTTAGCCTCACGCGCCATACGGTCAAGCGCACTTCCCATACGCTTACTACCTTGCTCAATCCTCTTTCGAGGCGCATAAGCACCAGCACCAATTCCACCATCAAAGAATGCAGTAATGTTGGCTTGAGTACCTTCCTCTTGTCTGCGATTCATATCTTTGATGACGGGGACGAGGACTTCATCTGTTCGCTCAGAACTCCATCCAATGGTGGCCATGAGGAAACTGCGAAGGGCACTCAGATCAGGAACGCCCCATTGGAAGGCAGAGGGATCACTATCGACTTCTGGCTGTAGATATGCCATCTCCACTCTAGGGTCCGGGAAATTGGTTGGTAGGAAGAGTTTTGTTGCTTGACGGCGGAACTTCTTGCGGAAGGGATTTGCTGCATCCTCTGATTTTGGGATCTGGTTCATCTGAACTGCGTTGTACCAGTCGCGGAAGTCGTTGAGGTTGGGGAACTCGGAAAGGATTTCGAGAGCAGTAACGGGACCGACACCTGGCAGACCTTCTGTGTAATCTGAGCCGAGGAGTTGAGCAATGCCAATCATCTTCTGTCGAGTCAAATCAAACTCCTTCTCAAAGTCGGATGTCAAGTAGCACTCCACGAACTTGGCTTGGTTGAACATGTTCTTGTAGATGCGGGTACCACCGAAGAGGAAACAATCCGAATCATCAGTCACAATGCCGTCGACCAGACCAAGACTGACAAGTTCTGCGCATTGGGCTTCAGCTTCCATTGGTGCAGTGATGTACGGCAAACCAAAGAGTTTCAGTAATTGCTGACATTCTTGAATCATGACATGTGTGACTTCATCGGCATCACGCCTGTCTTTCTTTTGCTGGGAGCGAAGCTGCTTCAACTCGCACTCGTACTCTTCAATATTCTGTTGCTGTGTTTTGTGATTGAGAGATGAAGCAAATCGCGCATGTTCTTCGGTTTCAGTGGCAAGTTGACGAAGTAGCTCATCATCCTCAGAATCTGAATAGTATCCAAACTCATCGACTTCAGCCTCTGCTGGGAGATTCTGATCCGCAGTACCAGTTACAGGAGCCGGGATATCAGCAGGGGACTCTATCGCAGGTTGATCCTCCAATCTCGCCGACTGCGCTTCTTCAGGTCGATCTGGAATGTCTACGTTCTCGAAATCTGGTGATGGCGACTTTGTAGGCTCTCTTGGAGGCTCTGGAATAGGTTGTTTTGCAAGCTTTGGCGACGGTTCTTTTGCTTGAGGCTGAATCGTCACGGATGGCTCTTTCTCGAGATTGGTTTGTTGATTCTCGACCTGCTCCCACACCATCTCCTCATCATCTTCATCGTCTTCTGCGAATGGATTGTTCTTTGGAGGAGCAGAACCCTGCTTGGGCTGCTCTACAACCTCAGAAGTTGCAACTTGCGAGGTCGCCTCTGCATCTTTGCGACTTATAACTGGTGTATCTGATGTTTCGACTTTTTCCTTTTCAGAATTGCTCAGAGTAGGGGGTGCAGCTTTAACGCGATCTGCTAGGTCGCCCATAGCAGGCTGCTCTGTTGCACTCGTTTCTGTAGCTTCTGGAGAAATCGGCTTCTCCTCTTCCTCGTCCGAAATATCGATGACTTGTTGACTCGTATCTCTAGGTTGTGATTCCTCGAGGTCAAGATCAATAATCTCACGGGACGAGCGACGACCCAGAGGTGGAGCCTCGGCGAATTGAAACTCTTCATTGTATGCTTTAGTTCTTTGCCAATCATCACGTTCAAGAGCCTTTTGCTTAGAAATGTTGGCATCAAGGTCTCCATCAAACCATGGAGGTAGAGGTTCAGACTTGTCCTTCTTCGCTGGACCGGTGTCGTCTCTTTCGAATCCTCCCGCCAGATCTTCTTGTGTCTTCTGCATCTTTTTCTTGCCGAGAAGGGAAGAGCCCAGATCTAGCTTTTCGAAGGGTAGAGGTCCTGAGAAGCCAGGAGCGTTTTTAGGTGCTGGAGCAGGTTTAGCTGGGGCTGATTGTGCAAGTGGTCCAGGTCGCGTTTTTGGCGGCTGTTTAGACTGGTACTTTGACTTGCGCGATTCAGCGAGTGCGGCCTGGAAATCCATGTCATCCTCACTGTCGTCACTTTCTTCGCCAAAAGCGTTGGGTTTGGGCGCAGTCTCGTTGCGAGATTTTGTAGTATCAGGCTGCAGGTTCGTGTCTTGGATGGCATCGTTGAATGTTGATGCAGCTGGGACAGCTTTACCTGCTCGGCTGTTGACGATATGCGCGATTGCCAACCCACCACCACGCGGGATAGGACGAGCTTCATCGGCACGAGTCTGCTGAAACTTGTCGAACCAGTCTTCTTTCTGCTCATCCTCCTGCGTCTGTTCTTGTTCAGGCTCGGCATCCTCGCTTTGCATAGACATGGCAATAGCTCGCTGGAGCTCTTCATCCTCAGAAGCATCGCCATCCTCGTTGTCAACTTCTATGGCGGCATTGTGGTCATCGTCTACGAACAAGCCATCGTTTTCCGATGGTCTACGCTGTTGAGGTGCCTTGGTTCGCTTGCGAGGAGCGCTTCGCTTAGACCTGTAGAAAGCTTGCCTTCGTCTGGCCATTTCAGTGCCTAATGTCTTCTCTTTCGGAGCTGTCGTTGCTTTGGGTAGACGATTCAGACCTTCAATCGGAACATCCTCGAAATCGTCTTCATCCTCGTCTTGTTCTTCGTTGGCTTCCTGGTCGGCTGCATCGACGTCGATGGGTTTGTTCTCCACACCATCGTTCTTGCCCGTGACAACACCCAAGGCCCAACCACCCTCGACACCATCGTTCTTGACCAATACGTACTCTCTACCTCTCTCACCAGCAACTCTTCCAGGAGCATCTAGACCGTACATGAGGTCATCGTTCATGCCATTCAGGTTCATCAGACGTTGTGTCAAGTCGTTGCGCTCTGTTACTCGTTCAATCTGAAACTTGGAAAAAGCCATACGATCGGGAAACATTGTATCCAACTGATCCTTGGAGTAGCCCATTCTGAGTCTACTTCTCAGTCTGGCTGCATTGAGGATGTTGTACCGTTCACTAGGTGGGAGACTGAGAAAGAATGGACCGTCAAAGTCAATCTTGGAAAAGTCGTAGACGTTGATGTCTTCACCAGTATCGAATTGACGAGCGTAGTTCTCGAGCTCCTCGAGAGACATAATTCTGGGGTCGTTTGGAGCACCCATCTCGGAGAGGGGGACGCCTAGATCAGGGAGATGGTATTGGTCTTTCTTCCTGAAAGTCTTATTCTGCTGGCGTTCTTGTGGGTTCATAAGAACCTCGTCGGCATAGACGAGGTTTTCAGGCAGCGGCTCTTCCTCATCTTGTGGAGCAGCATGTGTGGCTCGTTTGCGGTTGTTCTCCTCTTCCTCAGCAATGCGTTGCATCTGGAGGGCAAGTAGCTTGCCAGCGGTACGAGTAGCATCCTCTCTTCTTCCTTCTCTTCTCTGTTTGCGAGCGTTGATAGTGGCGCGCTTGAGGGCAGGGGCACCACCATCGAATACGAAAACAGGCTTGATACCGAAGTAGAGGAGCTTGCAGATGCGGCGGAAGAAGCCAACGACATGACTGTTTCGTAGGGCGTTGCCGTCTTTGTCACGAACGGCCTTCAAGAATTGGTAGATCCAGATGGAGGCATCGACGGCGAGTCGTTTCTTGTTCAGCGTTTCGATCTTGATCGGTCGGGCACAGGGCTGGACAACGGTCCACAGGCCAGTGACACCCATGACAGAAACAGCCTGATGAAAAGCATGTGAGTAGGTATTTGACTGAGCTCGTTCGCGTAATGAATCGAATCAAAGAAAGTCGAGCACAAGGTTAGTGACGTACACAGTTGCTGGTTGTCTGTGCTTCGGCAGACAGGTGCGCTTGGACCACTTTCACATGTCGGCATGCTCGAGCTGGTTGGATCGAGGGTCCAGCAGAGCAAAGCAACGCACTAAAAGATTGCGGCTCTGCGCTCAACACGCGAATAGTCTCTCATATGGAAGTCAGTTTCTGCATGCATGTGATGCTCAACGCATTCCCCTGTAGCCGCCGCCATGTCTTTATATCTAGGAAGGTGGCCTCAGTCCTGCTATCGCTGTCTCCCTTCCGTCTGTCCTGTTTTGTTCAACAAGAATGGCGCCCGCCTCACCTGTGCTTCACTCGACTGACCAAGAAAATACCTCCATCATCTATGCCGTGCTACCACCGCTGATCAAGAAGTCGATGCCCAGAGTGCCATCTTTGCGCCGTTCGCTGTCGGGCTATAACCGTGCAGCTGCATTAGTCGGTCACGTTCGAGCCTTGAGCACAGAGACCCCAAGACCTGGCTCAGCAACTCCTCCTCCACCCTACCAAGAACCTATCGCTTCTCTGACCTCTGTTCTGTCTGATGTTGACTTCCAAGAAACTCCGCCGACGTCACCCACATCTCTACCTGCCGATACTGCCATTTTCGTCAGCGACGAACGAGCAGGTATACGATGGGAGTTTGCACGTCAAGGTAAATATTACGCAGCGTTTTCGTTGCTCGCAATCTCATGATTCTCTCTTTAGGCCAAAGTCTTCTTCAAGGCTCGTCATGTCTTTCTTCAAATTCCGACTTCAGTCGCCAATTGTACATTGACGGCGTCAGTTACCTTCTCCGAGGTCTGCCACAGAACCTCTCGTCTGAAGAGACAATACGCCTTCAAGCTGCCATGCCGTCTGAGATGATGCTACCGCAGCAGCCTGTGGACAGAGTCATAGTACGGGATCAGGCCAATGACAACCAGGTCACGCAACAAGAAGAGGACCCAACGCTACTCCATCGTGTAGTGGCAATGATAGTGCTTCAAGTCTTCCTTCTCTTGTCGTTTCTCTGGCCTTACGTCCAGACGACGTGCCGAGGTGTATACCAGTATGAACGAGAACACCATATCTCGGAAAAACTACTGAACCAATCCTGGACGACTGCAAACGTATTGAGCAAGAACACCATGGCCATCGCCAAAACTGTGTGTAGCTGGAACGACGGCCAGGTCGGTATCGCATTAGAAGACATGGTATTTTGGTGGATTCATGGTGTTACTGGCGGTTTGCGAGACGGGGTCAGGGATGGGATGGAAGTGTTTGGCGTCAAGGGCATAGACCGCCGCCAAAGGAGACACTCTAGAGCTTGATGATTATACGAACGAAATGACTTTGATGAGAATTGGATTAGAGTATATACTCGCTGTAATAGGATTTGCCATGATCATGATCTTGTGCTATGGGATCCTCTTCGAGTGAAGAAAAAATGAAGAAAAAATCAGGCCAGGGTGGCCGATGCAGAGTTGGTGGGGAAAGGGCTCATGTCCGGTGCGGCTTCCTGCAGCCGACAGCCCCTCGGCGCGTCAGCGAGCATCATCTTGACCTTGAGCTTTTTGTTCAATCACGATAAGATCCACCCTCTCAGCAGCAAAAGGAGATGAGAGCCCAACGATGAATCAGCGGACGAGCCCGCTCCTCCCCATCAGTCTGGTACCGATACATTCCTCGCATCAGCGGAATTGAATTGTCACCACCGACACTGCTGTACGATACATACATGATCTTGTGAGACATGGTAATGATCCAAATCCCCTGGCACGTCAGAAGAAGAAGCAGGCGACGAGGAACAACCAGATCCAAGCCGACAGAATGAGCATCACTCCTCGAGGACAACGCCATGTCACTCCACAAATAGGTGTAGCAACCAACAGTCCTTTTGCTCGATCAAACACCATTTCTGCCTCGAGTGGGCCTCGTTCACCAATCAAGCCCACCGGCCGCGAACGTCAAGAGCTAGGTCTGCGTCTTGAACGCGTCATTGGCACCACATGTCAGACTGTCTTCTGCTTCGACCATCTGCCTGAAACAAAAAGGTTTGCCTATACCGCAGGCGCCGCTGCTGTTGTCGCCTCTGTACACCCTGATGGTTCCATATCACAACGCTTCTTCAGAGCCAACCCGTCACACCCTCAACAGAGGTCCAATCTTCCACCTGCCATATCTGCCTCACCCGCCGACTCGAGGCTTCGTTCTCCGCTGCCTCCAACAGACCGTTCCGAATGGAGTGATTCTCCCGCAGGAACTAAGAGCAGTGCTGTCCGCGAACGTGTAAAGGCTGCCACTGCAGTAAGCTTCAGTCCGAACGGCCGTTTGCTTGCCGTCGGCGAGACTGGCTACAAACCTCGAGTTCTGGTTTTCTCGCTCGCTGACAAGTCGTCCGCCGATTCACCTGTATCCTCCATATGCGAGCATACTTTTGGCGTCCAATCCGTGAGTTTTGGCCCGGACTCTCGCTACCTTGCATCCCTTGGTACCGTGAATGACGGCTTCTTGTACATTTGGAGTATCGATGAAAGAGGAGGCACACCCACCCTGATTGCTGCAAATAAATGTACAACAAGCGTGCGCCATATGACCTGGATGGGCTGCAACCTGGTCACGGTAGGATTACGATTCATCAAGGTCTGGAGACCAAATGACCTTCCAGCTAGCGTCAATGAGAACTCGGAACGAGGCTATGGCTTATATAATCGTCAACACAAGCCGCTGGCTGGCCGAAACACTCTGCTAGGTGATCTGCTCGACGCAACCTTCACATGCGTGGCATCATTCTCCGAGACCAAGGCCATTGTCTGCACTGATGGCGGAGATGTGTGTATTCTTGACGATGAGGATAAAGCTCAGCGACTCATCAGGGTCACCAACGTCGATTTCAGTATTACAGCTGCGTGCCTCGGGCCTGATAATAAGGTTGTCGTCACAGGGCTAGATGGTAGTATTGAGGTTCTGGATCTTGTCGACCTCACCAGAACATTCATCTCACCGAACACGCCGCCAGGGTCTAAAGCATCCTCAAAGCCGTCAACTTCGGGCTTTGTCGCTGCCGGGTCTGTTGGAAATTCCATAGTGACTGTGGACAATAGCCATGGCATTCAACTACGAGACATCTCGCCAAAATCTCGAGACGACACTCCTGACCATGCAGTACTACAGAAGCTCCCAGCACATTCAGATGCAGTTCTCGGAGTCCGCGCTGTTGCGGCGCCGAACGAGCAGGACATTGCGTTCATCAGTTGGTCTGCAAATGGCTCCGTTATCTTCTGGTCGTCTGAGTGCGAGGCGAAGGCAATGATATCGGTCTCGATGGATCAGTCTGTTGATATGTACAATGTCGTCAACGAACTCAAGACAGTTGTGGCGTTCTCAAATGTTTCTCACGCAGTATCTGGAGACAAGTACGGCGTGTTGAGGTGAGTAAAAAAATGTTTCGTGAGAATGCGCGCGAGAGAGCGCTGACCGAACTGCAGAATCTCAAATGTCAATACCGGAGAAGATGTCTCGCGGGTGAGAGCTCACGCAGGAGAGGTCACCGACATTGCGATTCACGAAGATGCAACATACACGCTCATAGCTTCAAGCAGCCGGGACCGTACGATTCAATTATTGACATGGAACTCAGGGCAGCTGGACCTTTTGCAGACGCTGGACGAGCACGCAGGATCAGTGACGTGTGTTCTATTTGCTAAGAAAGGCGAACAGTTACTGTCATGCTCGGCGGACAGGTCTATAGTGGTTCGAGAGGCCGCAAGACAACAAGGGACTGGTCCTCCCCTTTTCATCATCACCAGGACAATTACGCTCAAGAGCTCACCCACTTGTCTGAGGATGTCTCTGTTTGCCGACACTCTTCTTGTCTCTGCAACTGATCGCACGATCCAGCTCGTCAGCACGAGGACTGGTCGCGTCATCTCCTGTTTCAAGGCTGGTGACACGGATGGCGGAGATGCCGTTATCATGTCGAGTCTGGTTCATCTACCCTCGACTGCAGGATCACCGATTGTCGCAGGTGTAGCAGGGAGTGACAAATCTGTGCGCATGTATACAGAAGACGGCACCCTACTCGCGCGAGATTGGGGCCATACAGAAGGGGTCACTGACATTGCGCTACTCAAGTCACACGCAGCGCCTGACGATCTGGCAGCGATGAAACTCGTAACTGTCGCTGCGGATGGTACGATATTTATATGGGCGACAGTGCCTGAAAGACCCCGATCAAGGGAGTCTTCAGATGCAGCCCCATCGTTCGCAAGCACCGCTCCCGGCATCGTCTCTGCCGAACAGCCTTTACGAAAAGTCATCTCTCACAGCGAGCTTGCTAGATTCCAACGAGCCAGGTCCAGCGAAACAGAACATTCAGACGCTACAGGTGCAACAGCGAGCACAGGACTGAAGAAGAAACCTAGCAGGTTGAGCATCCGCCCACCGCCACCACCGCTAAGGTTAGAGCCTTCGCCGCTGGGGACTATGCGCAATGGTCTAACGGTCAGAAATAGACAACGAAGTCCAAGTCCAAGTCCTACGCCGCCTAGTCCCAGTCCGAGATTACCGCCTAGTCCGCGAGCACATCCAAGGAGCGCGCCAGGAAGACATCGGCTTTCTGTGGGTGCTGTGCCACCAATGCTTGCCAATGCATCAACAGAAAAAGGGAGTAAAGATAGCAAGACAGACTCTAGCACAACTGGTTTTGGTAGTATTGCGGCATCGACGGAACAGCTTTCACGGATGTTGCGCGCATACAGACAGAAATTGGAAGGCAACTGCACTGGCTTGACAGGCGAGAAGCTCAGAGAATTGCAAAAAGAGCTAGAGAAAACAACTCAGATGGTTCAACAGAAGTTGGCAGAGCAAAAAGATCGGAAAGGATCTCAGGACACGAGTAGCGCTGGAGAGGATAGTGGGACGTCGAGGACAGCATCGTCTTCACAAGACGCTTCGTTCATATCTGCACAGACGCAAATAGAGGAAGAGACGGTTAGTGGTGCTGAAACCACAGCATCTTAGATTATATCTGATGAACACCATCCGTTACCACTGTATTTGAGCCTTTCGTCGTGACTGACCGCCAGTACGATATGGAGATCCCACTAGCAACACAAGACTTCCCATACACTAGTGATATATCCAATCATCACGAGATTGCGTTTGCACCGTGCTTCTGCCATGGAGACGCTAAGACTGAGATCGGCATTGACTTTGTTGACTCCATTCCTTCCCATATCAATAACGAAACACTCCATTCGTCTCTAAACACACACCACACTCCTACTCCGAGTACCGTCATGCTCTGCTCAATTCTGAAGTAATACCGGGTCACACTATTTTCTTTATTTGCAGTCTTCTTCCTCTTCATCTCTTGAAATCGTCGTTGATCCGAGAACATGGCGAACAACTCGATTCTCACGTATCTGCCAAATGGTTGGACAGAAGAGAGATACAAGAACGCAACTGATGACGACTGGGAGACTCTCTCAGAAGAGGTGAGATGATTCACAAGATAAAACTTGTCCCAACCATACGCATCATGGGCTAACAACGAACTCAAGGAAGCTGAATTACTCTGGGAAAGAGAAAAGGAAGCTGCCTCAAAAGCAACACATCAAGCCTTCAAAAACACCATCATGGCAGAAGCGGGAACTGCTGGTGCGCCACCGTCGCAGTTCCTGTCAGAAGTCGAGCCACCGCAGCATGCTCTGATCAATTTGGTAGAAGAGAACAACTGGGAAGACTTTGGATTCGTCGTCTTCCGCACTTGCTTTGGCGATGAACAGCTTTGGGAGGCGTTTCGCGAGTTGTGGGATCCGCTTCTTCAGCATGGGTTTGATGTTGCTCCTACTTCCAAGGGGTTCGATCGTGTGCGCGATAAGCTTCTGATGAAAGTCGTCGATGATGAGATGACAGAAAATGCAAAGGCAGAAGGTGTTGCTGCTGCATACAGATTGTTCACAAAGGATGAAGATGAACTGGACGAAGATGAGATACTCGAGCCAGGGCTCAAAACGAGAATGTGCTTGTTCGTGGATGAAGAGTGTATGCATTCTGTAACGACACCAAAACCTGGCATACCTCCGTTCGTCAAGGCTGTGGATGTTGATTTGGGCTCGAAGACGCAGCAGAGACCTGGTGCTGTATTCAGAGTTGCCATTAAGGATTTGGCTACACATTTCTATCCTGCATTGTGGCTGCCTGATATAGTGGATGCTGCAGATCTTCGTCCTTTGAGAGAAGATCAGGTCTGGACTCGCCTGTCCCTCAGTGTGTATGGAAGCATAGAGCAGGAAAAGCTAGACAGAACTTTAGATACAGAGCATTGAACGCCTCAAACTGACTACAGACTCGCAAACAGAGAAACCTGTGACAGCATCAGTGACGAGAGCGGGCTGATACAAAGGCAGCTGCATGTCTGGCGTATATCAATTGGTGAACAATCAGTCTGGAGCAATGCGCTTTTTGTTTATAAACAAATGTGTTTGTATGTCTATGTTGAATGTAGTTATGCTTGGCCATGCTTGTTAAAATCCAGGGGTATCTTTCAGAGAAATGCAGTCAACAATCCCAACCAACGCCATGATATGTCTCGGTGCAAAAAGATTTCAAGCAACAATCTCACCACGGAGCTCAGCACTCAACTCGTCAAGACTTCCCTCACCCAAATTGTCAAAGCCACTGAACCCCTCTTCGACAACCCACTTCTGGTGGCCCTTCTCCAAAACTTCACATGCAAGGCCAACAACAAGAAGACCAGGTGGTCTTGAGCCCTCTTCTTCCACTGCGGCACAGACGTATTCGAGTGTGCTGCGGATGACTCTTTGATCGGTGCAGCTTGCGCGCTCGATGACTGCGCAAGGTGTGGTCTTGGGGTAGTTCTTGCCCTCGGCAACGAGGCTGTCGATGAGAGCGCCAAGTCTGTGAAGAGACATGAGGAAGACGCAAGTCTGGTTTGGAAGGTAGACAGGCGGGTCAGGAGCGGCTCCCTTGCGACCAGTACCAGTGCAGATCAAGACTTGATCGCTCACGGCACGGTGAGTGACGGGAATCTTGGCGAAGAGAGGAGCACTAAGAGCAGAGGTGATGCCGGGTAAGACGCTGACTTCGTAGCCTTCACGGCGGAAGAAGTCGTACTCCTCAGCACCACGGCCGTAAAGGTAAGGGTCTCCCTGCTTCAAGCGGAGGACAGTCTGGCCCTTCTTTGCTGCAGCGAGACCGAGAGAAAGCAGCTCTTCCTGAGCGGCTTCGGCATTTCCAGGGAACTTTCTTGCAATGTGGACAGGCGTGCGTCTGGGGATCAAGTCAAGGACAGGTGCTGGGACGAGCTTGTCTGCGAGAATAACGTCGGCGCCGCGGATAGCCTTGAGTGTCAATCCAGTCAGCAGATCCGGGTGACCAGGACCTGAACCAGCTAGGATGATGCGACCTCTGCGGCTTCTAGAATCGAGAGTTCCGGGGCTGAGCAGAGGAGTGCTGGCTTCGATAGCAGCTTCTTGGCTGTATGAAGCCAGTACAGCGTCGACATCAGCATCTGTAATGGCAGCCAGACGACGAAGGGGCCAGTACTCGCAGATCTGCGAGAGCCAACGCATACGTCTTGTCCTTGCAGCCTCCAGATCGGTAGGTGTAATGAGCTTGTTGAACTGAGCATTTTGCCCAGCGTCCTCCTCTTCAGCTTCCAGGTCCATGGACAATTCGGTTGCGTGGTCCTCCTCCCAGATGCGACGGCGGATCGTACCGAGTCTTTCGACAGCAGTACCGAGTTCGGACGGGAGAGCAGCGGCAATCTCACGTCGGATGCGAGAGGCCAATTTACAGCCTTTGCCGGACGTTGTGACACCAATCTGTAGGGGGCCCGAAGAGTGTGTGGATAGGAGGGTGAAGGTGCAAAGGTTCGGAGCGTCTGCCACGTTGACGGGAATTCGGAGTCTGCGGCAAAGAGTAGAGATGTGTGTGCCTGGTGTACCAATCAGTCCTGGTCTTAAGATTGAACGAGCCATGTCAACTTACTCAAAGCACCTTTGCCTGCCGTCGTCACAAAGACGGCATCCACGACGTTGTCGACCTCGTCTCTTCCCAGACTCGTCAAGTCTGCATCCTGGAACTCTCTCTTGATCCATTCCACCTTGCCTTCCTCAATCTTCTTTGCCAGTCCATAGTGTATTTGGGCGTCTTCGGGAGCGATGATCTTTGGCACTGCACCGACTTCGAGAGCTCGATTACAACGTGCACCAGCCAGAGGGTTGGATCCAACAATCAAGTGGACGTGGTTGATCGAGTCAACAGCAGTAAGCAATGCCGGTGTGGCCATGTTGACAGCAATCGCCTCCTATTGTTCTAAGCTTTGGCTCAATATATAAAGTCGAGTAGAGGTGTAGGAAGTAAGTTGTCTCAGAAGCAATGAAATAGCGAGAACCAAAGGAGTGGCAAGTAGTCGGCAGTACAAGGCAGGTATATCAATTATTTCCAAGGAGAAAGATAACACAAGACACGAGACTCATATCTCTTGGTTGTTGGTACTTTTTCTCTCGGCCTTCAAAAGCCAAAGCCCGATAACGCGACAGCCGCGATAACGCAATTGCCTCCGTCCAATGGCCATGCTGTTATTGGTCGCCCCACCACTTTTACCCGCAGACCTCTTTCGCGAACGTAACCATGCATTTTCATCACAGTTCAGTCGTCTGGCTTTCGAGCGATACAGAGTGACAAGATAAGGTCGAAATAAGAGGATAAGAAATCACTGATATTTGATGCTTGTTCGAGTCGCATGGGACGAACACTAGACATCACGATGTTAGACCCTCGGAAGTATAGATGTTAGTAACAGACGTTCTGTAGCCTCCCCCACCAGATCCCCGCCAAGGGATCGCGAATCAATGCGATGGTGGCCGGCCGCGGAGAAGATACCAAAGTCAACAACTTCCTCAGCGGAGAAAGCGCTTCGGCCACTTCTCGCATACTTGATTCTTGTCACGAAAACCAACAGGAGCTGTTTCGTTCTGTCATTGCATAACATCAAAGTATATACAAGAGAACCCGTCCCGCCATACACATACGAGGGAAGCATCTCTTCGCCGACTTACTTATGCCAACAGTTCTCGCCAAATGCTATTGATAAAACTAATGCCTTCTTGACGGAATCTATCTGCCTCGACATGACTAGCAGTGGCATTCAAAACAAGATTCGTAGGCGCCCCGATGCTATATTGAGGCCAGTAAGGCAGACCAGTACCATTCATTGCATTGATCCCATTCGGATTGTGTGTGCCCACAAAATTGGCATATAGCTTGCCAATATCAGTACTCAAGGTTCTATAAAACTGATACTGTGGCAGTGGCCCCATAGCCCCTGAGATATTCTGGAAGCTGAACATTACATTGTCGAAATGTTTTACTGATCCAGGTACTGTGGCGTTGTACAAAGGTGTGTCGAAACGGTAGGAGAAGACTTTCTGGCCAGCTTTTGCGTACAGCTCTGCCATCTTGCGTCGTTGTGCTATCATGACAAGATCGCCTCCAATTGCAGCAGAGCGTCGCCATTGCTGTCCGAATTCAGGGTAGGTGACATTTGCATGATTAGAATATGGTGGCTCCAAGGCGGGCTTGTTAGGGTAGAGCTGCAACAGTCTGCGAATACTTGGAGGAGACAAGGCATAGTTGCGCCAGTAGAAAAGAGAGTCGTAGAGATCAGTCGTAGTGTTGAGATTCTGGACGCTGAAACTGACGCCTTCGTCCGTGTTTGCACCTGTAATCAACGGTACACGAATGAATTTGCCTTGTGCTACGAGAGATGAAGGGTAGTTTGTCAAAAAGTCACCATCAATGATGGGATTCCAGACAACAGTATAGTTCGAAGCAAACAGTGCTGCTGAGCTGAGGTTACGGAGACAGGCAAGCTGAGACGGGTCCGTCCAAGTTCTGGGACATCCCACCGTCCTCGTCAGATTGTCCGTGGCAGCAGAATAGAACGGCATTGTGTTCAGACTCGCACCTTCTGGCCCGCCAGACTCCAGGATAGCAGCGTGGAAGAGATTGTCGTTGCGGCCGCCATAGCTGACTAGGTGCAAGCCAATACTTTGCGCTCCAGCGCTTTCTGCCCACACCGTCACTCGCGTAGGATCTCCACCAAATGAGGCTATGTTCTCCTGAACCCATCGAAGCGCAAGTCTTTGGTCAAGTAGGCCGGCGTTGGAAGAGCCCTCAGTATGAACGACTGGAGTGTTGAGAAAGCCCCATACACCGAGTCTGTAGTTCATGCTAACCGCAATGAATGGATTGTCGGTCAGAGTCGAGGTTTCAACGATGCCGCTTAGATTGTACTGGGGATCGGCGGTACTTCCTAGAGTCAGGCCTCCACCATAGATCCAGACCAGAACCGGTAGTCTCTTGTCTTCGTAGCCCGAAGGACGTACAACTGGAAGGGTTAGCTGGAGTCAAGAGGGAAGAGATAACACAGTATACCGTTGATGGTCAGACAGTCTTCGCTAAGATTGAAATTGCTTCCATATTGATAGCAACTGTAACCATAACGAGAAGCATCAAAAACCCCTTGAAAGGACGTGTTTATGGGTTGAGGCCATCTGAATCGCAGATCACCAAGAGGAGGTTGGGCGTAAGGGATGCCTAGGAAGAAATCCTGATTCCATTCAGAAGAGTGACGGCCCTGGACAGTGCCATTCTTGATGGTGACTATAGGTGGAGATGCAGAAACAAATGAAGGCACTAAGATTGCCAGGGAGAAAATTAATGACAAGGATAGCATGGTGAGAGGGCTGAACAGACAGAAAAGAGAGTATGAATAGCACAGTCTTGAGGCTTCATATTCAGAAACCAAGCCTACCTAGCGTTTGGACCTATATTTTGACCCGAGGACTTACGTTCTGATCAGACAACAAGACGAGTGGATGGAAAAACTACGAGGCTAAATCGATAGTCGATCTCGTCCATGAAGTCTTGGCCTGTGAAACGGCAGATCTACTGCATAAGACGCGGAGAAACTGGGGGGAAGAGCGGGGTGAGCGACAAGATGTGACGCATGACATACTCGGATGGCGGAGAGAAGTGCTGATCTACATTGTGTAGTCAAGCAGAAGTAAAAAAAAGGAGCTGGTTGTGAAGTATGCAATTCGAGCTGTATGATATTGGTATAGAAGCTTGAGAGGGAAGAGTCGAAGGAAGTGGAGATCGGCGCGACTTTTGGACTTGGCAAAATATTATGTATACGTCATCGGTTACTTTCGCATCTGATGCGACAAGGACGATTCTGTTTCTCACAAGAACGAAGCATCTCGACATATAGTCGAAAAGAAGAACGCAGGCAGAGGAAGAGATGCTTCCGTCATGCCGCAGAGGCGCTTTCACCGCTGCCCTGTCACGACCTGCATACGGTAGCAGAGTGCCGTATAGATTATCGCCCTCATGGACTCGAGGGCCAGTCACCAAACAGATTAAGAGACAGCAGTCTCAATTTCAACCTTTAGTTCCGCCGTCGCCTGAATCGTTAGGGAAGCCTGTCGCAGCCAAGCAGTACCGTCGCACAAGAGCCATTCTCAAGCGATTGATTCAGTTGGGTCTCCTCACAGCCACTGTCCTGGCAGTCGACAGCTACTTCTTCGATGCCGTTGTTACACGCTCTGCCCGCACATTCAAGACCGGTCTTGTTGTTGCTCTCGACTACAAGATCAACTTTCGCGCAAACCCTCCTTTCGCCGATTCTGTCGCCGATGTCCACCACCGCAGTGCTGAACGCCTCTTTCACCTTCTTCGCAACAATGGCGGCCTCTACCTGAAGATCGGTCAAGCTATTGCTATGCAGAGCGCCATCCTACCCCCAGAGTTTCAGAAAATGTTCGCTTCCATGTTCGACGACGCCCCTCAGAACTCCTGGAAGGATGTGGAGCAGGTCGTTAGGGAAGACTTTGGAAAAAGTGTCGAGGAAGTGTTTGGCGTGAGCTTCGACGGTGCACAAGATAAAGGTATCATGGAAAGAACAGCCAGAGCTAGTGCCAGTGTCGCTCAAGTCCACTGGGCTCGTCTGCCTGATGGAAGAGAAGTTGCCATCAAGATCCAGAAGCGAGAGATCGAGAGACAAGTCGACTGGGATCTGTGGACTTTCAAGGTCGTCTCCAAGATATACACATGGTGGTTTGACATTCCTCTATACTCTCTGGTACCTTACATCTCCGAAAGGCTGATGCTGGAAACCGATTTCCTCAACGAAGCAAACAACGCCAACGAGATGCGAGAGCTCGTTGAGAATGAGCCTCGTCTTCGCGGCAAGGTGTACATTCCCAAAGTCTACCGCGAACTCAGTTCTCGACGTGTTATGACGGCAGAGTGGATCGAGGGTGTGAGGCTCTGGGACAAAGAAGGAATTGAGGCAACATGGCACGGTGGCTGGCGTAAAGGTAGCCCTGGTGCTGGCGGCGAGCTTCTTCCTCCTCCCACGAACGTCCGACCTTCGTCAGACCCCAACAACGAGAAATTGAAGCCTAGTCGCGATGAGTGGCGCGGTGCAAGCGGTAAAGGCGGTCTGGGCCTCAACTACAAGCCCGTCATGGAAACCATGGTCTCCCTCTTCTCTGCTCAAATGTTCCTCTGGGGTCTTGTCCACTGTGATCCTCACCCAGGCAACATCTTCATCCGCCGACTACCCAACGGCAAGCCCGAACTCGTCTTGATCGATCACGGCCTCTACATCCGCATGTCTCCTGAATTCCGCCACGACTACGCTTTGTTTTGGAAATCCCTCATGACCTTTGACAACGCTACCATCGGCCGCATCGTCAAGGGTTGGGGCATCAACTCTCCCGACCTTTTCGCCTCGGCAACCCTGATGCGTCCATACACTGGCGGCGACAACAGCACGAGCGAAAGCATCAAAAAGCTCACTAAATCAGAGCAGAAACAACGTGCCTACGAGATGCAGATGCAAATGCGCAATGGCATTCGTCAAATCCTCGGTGACGAGAAGAAGTGGCCGCAAGAACTCATTTTCATCGGTCGCAACCTACGTATTGTCCAGGGCAACAACCAATTCTTGGGCTCACCTGTCAATCGTGTCAAGATTACTGGGTTGTGGGCGTCCAGGGCGTTGACCGAACAACCTCACCTCACCTTCTCCCAGCGTTGGAAGTACTATGCCAACCATCTAGTGTTTAGAGCTGTGTTGGTGGGCACAGATGTATGGTTCTGGTATGCCAAGATCAAGCAGTGGCTTGGATTGGGCAAAGGCATGGATGCAGACATTGAAGAGCAAATGAGGGCAGTTGCTGGAGACATGGGCATTGAGCTCAATCATGGCATTTTTGAAGGGTAAGGAAAGTAGAGGTATTACACCATATAGACACGTTTTTCATCACCTTTTCTCTCATAATGTATAGTCATTTCTTCTATGCGCATTGATAACGCTACAACACTTGATCAAATCTTCCAGATTCACTCTTTGTAGCTGTCTCGCTAAACTCCTGCACGATGCACATGAACGTTAATCACACGCTTGCAATCAACACTTCACACCAGATCAAGCACGAATGTAATGTTGAAAGATGAAGCTGTTGACTGTTGACCTTGTCAGATTCGTTGCAAACGTGTGTATGTAAATCATAAGGCTAGCAACAAAGGAAACCATATCATGGTGCAGAGGGCATATACAATAGCCAGGCAAAGTGGCTTTGTGCAGAAACTTCGTGAGAGCGAGTAAATCAGAACGTAGATTTGGTCATAACAGATATGAGAAAAGGGCGTAAATTAAATAGCAAGGCCGAACAAAAAAAAGGGGTATGGGGTATAGTAATGTTTGTGCAAGAAGAGAAGACGTGACTGCAAGGAAAGGCGAGGCGAGATCTTGCGAAAAGGGTGTGGCACTGGAGGTATTAAGGCGAGTCTTCACATGACGGAGCAGCTGCTCTGCTTGTCGCCCTTGACATTCTTGACTTGAAGGGCGACGCGGGCAGCCTCGGTGAAGGCTTCATTGACCCCACGATTTTTCATGGCCGAGCATTCTACACGCTCTGTCAGCATTTCTTCCTGACTTTTGTGCTCTGTGTATAAAACGTACCAAGGTATCTGAGAGCCTTAATCTTCTCGGCTACAGCAAGACCACGCTTATAGTCAATCATGGGACGTTTTGGTTCGGTGGACTCTTCATCATCATTCGCTTGTTCTCGCAAATCGCACTTCAAGGCGACAAGGACGAGCTTGACGCCAGGGCAGTTTTCAGCAATTTCAGCAACCCATTTAGATTCGACGTTCTCGAGTGAGTCTGGCGAGTCGACCTGTAATTGGCTTGTTAGCCAAAGGTATTGAGCTTCGGGTGTTTTCAATGGTCGGTACGTACGCTGAAGCAAAGCATGATGGCGTGAGTATCATCGTAGGACAGGGAGCGTAGACGGTCGAATTCTTCTTGGCCAGCGGTATCCCAGAGAGAGAGTTCTACATGGACATTGTCGATGAAGATGTCGTGGACATAATTTTCTGGGTCACGTCAGTGCTGCGACAATTTCGAGTGTGTTGGAGAGGCGGTACCAAAGACTGTTGGTTCACTGAGGGAGGAGGAACGAGTTAGCGATCCGCGGGTGGGCACGAGGTTGCGAGTCGTCTTACTAGACTGTTGGGAAATATCTGGTCGCGTGTTAGCAAGGAACAAGTGGTAGCATTATGGGTCAATGGTACCCTCTGGTGAAGACGTTTAGCAGAGAAGTCTTTCCGCAAGCACCGTCGCCTCTGGACAGGATATTTTGTTAGTATAGTGGTCGGCGGGAGAGGGGACCGAGACTTTGTTTCACGCACAGCAGGACCAGCTTGCGCTGAACCGTCTTTGTTCCGCCGCAGAGAGGCATGTCGAAGCTTGAGTTGTATTTGGTCGAGGAATTGGTTGGGTAGAGAGCAGCGAGGTTGGCGCGTCGTGTGGGATCTTGGGCGGGCGGTTCTAGTGCGTCGTGGAGGCTGGGGACGATTGCGTAGAGTTTGGCTTAGGATCCGAGACTGACGTAGAAGTGGACTTGACGATTGCACTCTGTCCGAGGTTGCTCGAGTAGTGTGATTGGAGTATGATGGCAGGATCGACAGATGGCAGTGAGCAGTCAAGCTGGAAGGAAAGACGAAGCTCGAGACTCGACGTCGGACACGACGTTGTTACAGCGTTTGGTCTTGTCTCTGGTTGCTACGAGAGAGCGCTCCCGTTTATGGAAGCGTCACGGCGGCTTCAAAGCTTCGCACAGGCCATCGACATGTACCCCATCTTCTTGTGTCCAACCGCTCCGCAATAATGCTCTAGGTATCTTTCACCATCTCTGTCTCTGCCGCTGCCGCTGCCTTTGCCTCTACCTCTGTAGACCAGCAAGAACTTCCATCCCGACTCTGAGGGCTCAGCCTTCAATGACTCTACAAGTAGTGGGAATCCAACCTTTTCTGCTGTACTAGTGCTCGAACAATGGCTCCAACAAATCTGCTGTCCTGCCTACCTAGCATGTGTTCAGGCATATATTTGCTACGAGCTTTGTGCTGCTCTTGTATATCTGCTCTTGAGCATTCAGCTAAGCATAAGAAGATACTGTAGCCCTAAAACAAACTGTCAAGATTGGAAAGTGCAAAGGAAGAATTGACCGGCTGAAAGTCCAGCGCCAAGGCTCTTAACGCCGGGCGACAGACAACAACGCCGTCATCAGAAGTGAAGCTCTCCGACCATCACTTGTCACTTGTTTGCCTTGTGCAGAGAACCGCCCACCAGGTTCTGACTTTCTGTGTAGCCCTTCCCATTCACCGCATTTCGTGTGCCACCTTCCACCGAACCTCGCACACAAGAAAAGACCTGTTCATTTTCCTACACCGCACTTCAACACCGCACTTCAACACCGCACTTCAACACCGCCACAATGTCCGACGACGACGATTTCATGCAGGACTCTGATCAGGAGGAGTAGGGGACATGCGCTACAGCTTATGCGTAACCTGCCAGAGCGCTGACAATGTTCCAGCTACGATTTCGAGTATGAAGACGAAGACGAGGACCAGGGCGGCGATGTCGACATCGAGAACAAGTACTACAATGCCAAGCAGATGAAGGCCGACAGCCCAGAGGAGGCTATTGATGAATTCCTGGGTGTTCCTGCTCTTGAAGAAGAGAAGGGAGACTGGTGCGCACCCTTGCCCTTATAGTCTGACACTCTGGACTGACACCAGCTAGGGGTTTCAAAGGCTTGAAGCAGGCCATCAAACTCGAATTCAAGCTGCGCCGTTACGATCAAGCCGTCCAACACTACCAGGAGCTGCTCACCTATGTCAAGTCCGCCGTCACTCGCAACTATTCAGAAAAATCCATCAACAACATGCTCGACTTCATCGAGAAGAATGCAGAGGATGAGGCTGCCAACAAGTGCATGGAGCAGTTCTACTCCAAGACGCTTGACTCGTTCCAGAGCACAAACAACGAGCGTCTCTGGCTCAAGACAAACACAAAGTTGGCTCGTCTCTGGCTTGATCAGAAGGACTACCGTCGCCTGACCGACAAGGTGCGCGAGCTTCACAAAGCCTGTCAATTGGACGATGGTTCCGACGATCCAAGCAAGGGCACATACTCGCTCGAAGTCTACGCGCTGGAAATCCTCATGTATGCCGAAACTCGTAACAACAAACGTCTCAAGGTCCGTCACGACATCTCCTGATTCTGATTGACGCCTGAGCCACGAGCTAATCTTACCATACCATCTTTAGGCCCTCTATCAACGCGCTCTCAAGGTCAGATCGGCCGTGCCACATCCCAAGATTATGGGCATCATCCGAGAATGTGGAGGCAAGATGCACATGAGTGAAGGTTCGGGAACGCCACGCTTTGCGCCTGTTTAGATCCCCTCAATGCTGACCCGTCCGCTGCAGAGAACTGGAAGGAGGCTCAATCAGATTTCTTCGAGTCATTCCGCAATTACGATGAGGCTGGCTCATTGCAGAGAATCCAAGTGCTCAAATATCTGGTTCTGACGACCATGCTTATGGGCTCCGATATCAACCCCTTTGATTCGCAGGAGACCAAGCCATACAAGAACGATCCTCGTATTGCTGCCATGACTGAGCTGGTCGATGCTTACCAGCGAGACGACATTCACCGGTACGAGTCGATCCTGCAGAAGAACAAGGATCTGTTGGCCGACCCTTTCATTGCCGAAAACATTGACGAGGTCACGCGAAACATGCGCACAAAGGCCGTTGTCAAGCTAGTCGCCCCGTATACGCGGTTCCGTCTTTCCTTCATCGCCAAGCAGCTGAACATTTCCATCCCAGAAGTCCAAGACATTGTGGGCTTCTTGATCATGGATCAAAAACTTCATGGCAAGATCAACCAAGAAGCCGGTACTGTCGACATCGAAAATAGGGCAGATTTGGATCGCATGCACGCAGTCGCCGACTGGACTTCAGCCGTACGATCTCTGGCTGCATTTGTCTTGAACGACGGCGAGGGCTTCAAAGGTGACGATGGCGCGCCATCCATGGCAAACCCTGAGGCGTACTTCACTCCCTCCTCGCATCGCACAAACATGCCTTCTGGGAAGCGCAGGCTTCAATCCCGGGTCCCAGGTTGAATTCATCTCGCCATGACTTGCATGCATCTCGGGTGTCATCCAATCACGGCCCTTTGCTTTGCGTCCACACCACACCTCCACAATGTTGCCACAAATCTGCAACGGATGGCGTACCTGGCGATACCCGGAACGTTATTTGGAAGAACTATTATGCGCCTCTTCGCTTGCGCATGCTGCTGACACGGAGCGGTCTATGTCCCTCCCCTCCCGACCTCCCTCTGGGCGTTTTTGTACTCCCGTCAGCGATTGATAGACATCGCTCGCAGACCTCTCATTTCATTAATACGATACTGACGCTCAAGGGCACAAACGGCTTTTTTCTTTTTTTCGCTCTGAGGTAACACGAACATCGATTTCAAGACCAGCACGGACAAGTCGCATCTCTGAGGGTGGGGCAGCAGGTGCTGGCTGTGTAGCTCAAGCAACGTGGATAGAGGGCCAACAAAATAACGAATTACAATGATTAGTTTACTGCAAACCCGACGCAAAGGTTGGATAGATTAAAGCAGCAGGCGATAGATGTTGCATGGGATCATCCCGTGCTCGTAAGCTTGCAGTCAAAGAACAGGTCTTGCCGACGAGAGACAGGTAAAGAGCTTGCATGCTGCATTGTCGTGTAGTCAAGTCTTTGTGCTACGCAAGTAATATATGAACACATCGCTCCCCGCTCTTTCGGAGCCGCCCAATGATCTTCTGCGGCCCGGACGCTCCTGATCGGTTAGTTGGCATCAAACCCAGCCTACCGTCGACGAACCCTGTGCGCTCAGATTAGTTACCCACTCTGTCGGGTCGTCGAGCACCCACTTCGTTCAGTCTCCCGACCTGTCGCATTTTGCACCTAAAAGACACTGTTCAAAGTTTGGTTCCCACTCGGCGTGCTAGATCATCTCAATCTCAAATCATAGTGTGGCAGCCATGATTATTGCCCTACCTTTTTGAATCGTCAAAGTCCTGTCAGGTTTGCTTGTGTCAGGGCTTGGAGACTGCGAGCGGACCCTCGAGTCGAGTTGTCTCATAGACAATCCATTCTACTTTGTCCTACGTAAATCAGCCTCTGTTTCACAGTACAAGTGTGGTGATAGTTTGATGTGCATGAGGCGCCGAGTCTAGTGGTTTTCTAGATTGGCTCCCATCTGTGCAGCAGTCCCAGTCGATTGCCACGCTCCATCTTCGTGACCCGATCGGATATGTATGCTTTGATACATTTTTCCCGGCACGCGCTTTTGGTTCCTGGCAGGAGTCAAGCCGCATGACCTATACTCATCCGCGTCTCTTCATATAGTGCCCCCTGTATCCTCTTGTTCTACTGCAGCAAGGGAACCGAACATTTGCTCAACCTTTCCCAGACTTACGGATCCCTTTCTTTTCTGCTCCCACCGTCGTGCCAGTACCTCCCCGGCTGCCTGCACCTCAATCTATCACATAGGGGACAAGGCTATTGTGTGAAAAAGCCCTTCCACCCCTCACGCCCCAAACCTGCGTGATAGACCTTCTGCTACCTCGGTGTTTGCTTCTTGTTTCGTATTTTGCGCATCTCCCATCATCATTCTTTGCTTTTCAAGCGGCTCGCCTGCCTACCTACCTGCCTACCTCCGTTCCTCTCGCTCTCGTTTGACACGGTCGGCATTGCTCAGGACAACACATTCGATCGCTTGACCAAGACCCGACTGCTGCTGCCATGTATACGTACGTGGGAGTGCCCTACTATCAAGGCGATCGAATGTATCCCTATGGCGATTTTTCGTCATACACCACGTCGTACCGACCAGCAGAGATGCAGATGCCAATGCGGCCATCGGTGCTTGGAATGCCCGAGCTTCATCACCAGCAACAGCACCATCACCAACCTTTGGTCGACCACTCTGCATACATTCACTCTCATCCACAACAACACCATCATCACCATCAACCCTCACCGCCTCAACACACGCCTGCAGTCATGGCATACTCGCAGTCGGAAGACGAAATGGCTCAGCTTCAGAAGTTGTCAGTTGAGTTCCAGCCTGAAGTGACAGTGAGCTTGCTCCCTTCCCCGCATCCGCCCGTGTCAAGCTTTCGGGCCCCGTTGACTGACTTGTGTTCACCAGGGACCTTTAGTCGGTGAGAAACAGCTGACTAGTGTTCTCATCGAAGAGTATGCTGCTGCCGATCCAGTTTATCGTACAAAGACTTCGGTGAGGATTCATCACTCGTTCTCTATCGTCGCTCGTCACTGATGTCTCGGCTTAGGCACTTCCCAACAAGTACTCTCACTATCGTACAACTCGTGGTGATGGAAGATGTGGTTGGAGAGGTAAGCAACCATATAGCTCTGGATTGTCATCCATGAATATGCTGGCTAACATGCAGAAGCCGTTGCCTTTGGTTACTTCGAGAACCTTTTCCGTGTAGGTGACAGAACCAAGTTCTTGGAGGAGGAAACTCGTCTCAAGTCCTTAGGCAATGTCATCAACATGGCTGGCTACAGTCAGTTCATCTGGGAAGACTTCGCTGACGAGATCTACGCTCTGCTACGCAAGTGCATGTCGGCCGACTCATCCAACTCTGAGGCTTTTTTACTCGAGCATTTCAACAACGAGGAAATCCAGAACCAGATTATCACATATCTCAAGGTACGTGACAAGAGTTTCAGCTTGCAGATTCGTTTACTCACTCTGGCAGACTCTTACCTCGGCCTGGATGAAGACTCGTCCCAATGACTACGCTCCCTTTGTGCTCCCTCATACTGTTCCCAGCTACTGCGACGCCAACATCGACCCTCATCAGATTGAGATTGATCATCCTGGAATGCAGGCTCTCACTGACGTCTTGCTCAAGCCTGCTGGTATTGCTCTGGACGTCATCTATCTCGACCGTAGCGCCGGCACTGAAGTCAACGCGCATCAATTCGCACCTAGCCTGACGCATGCCAACACTATTCGTCTTCTTTATAGACCGTGAGTCGTATGTGTTGCTTCAGCTTGAAATTATCACTGACTTGACATTCAGTGGCCACTATGACATACTGTATCAACCAGAGCAGATCTTCTCACAGCCTCCACCAAGCCAGCCTATTGCCGTGCCGACATATCTGCAGTCCTCTCTTCACCACTATGAGGAGCCCGTCATGGACCTTGGCATGTCCGACTTCATGACGATGATTCCTGGCATGTCATTGCTGTCCAACCAGTCTAATTGGATGTCCAACCAGTTCTATGGCGTTTCTGACTATGCTGCGCCCACTGCTGCAGTTCCGCCTCCACCTGTTTCAGCTCCTGCACCAATGCCTGTTCAGCACCACGCACCCCCACCGGTCGTCCCCGTCGCCACCCCAGCCTATGTGCCTGCCACTCAAACCCCCTCGCCCACCTCGACAACCGACTACACCTTCTCTCCTGTGTCTCAAACTACATTCTTCAACTACGATCAGCTTAGCTACGGCGGCAAAGGAAATTTCAGGCCATCCACCCACATGTTTGAGCAGAATGGTCAGAACGTCGCAGATGCAACTGCTCAGAACTCTGTCTGTCAAACAGCTCAATTTAAGCAGTAAGTCACAGTTGTATGCTGGTCGAATGTCGAGAGACTAACATGTCAGTTCTCACTTCAATCGTACCCACTTTCTCAATCCTGATTTTCACCCTGATGAGTGGGATCCAAGCAAAGAATACACCGCACCCAATCCGCGCAGCAAGAGCAAACCAAGCCGTTGATTATGCACGTTTCTAACTTGCACACGACATTCCAATCGTCCATAAAACGCTGGGCGCAACCAGTTTGCACCTGTCACTCTTTCTCAATCGACAGTCACAACACACCACAGTATGACGACGTAACGACATAAGACATAACTCAGGGTCACCCCGTCTTTTCCTAATCTTTGCTTTCTTTCTGTTAGAACTCAGGTTATTCAAGTCGCAAACAAGTATCATTTAGCGAAGGCGTTCTCAGTGCGTCTTTATTGCATCTCTTCAAGACATTCTCCTTTCTTGTTTCTCTGGGCACTACTAAGGGATGGCGTTCGAAGGGGTTCATGCGAAGGTTACCACAACGATATATCTTAACGCCTGCGGTATCTCGAGGGAGTTGCGAGTTACAAAATCAGCGGAGTTTCAAGTTTCGGAAAAGTCTCATGAGAAAGCCGTCACTTCTTCTTTCGGACACGCAGGATCAGGGGTCGATATGATGGTGTTTTCCTTTCTCATAGGTAGTCTCCAAATCCCACGATCAATCCTCTCCACTCGATCTGTCACAAGAAAACTTGCCCACCAACATTTCTTGACTTCGATATTGCCGTTTAGGAGCAATCGCGGTCAATTTTATGTTATTCTCGGACAAGAAGCACCTCATTGCGTGTTTGAGGCTATTGAAAGTATGGACCACCTACCGTGCACCCTGGCTGTCATCCATTGCTCGGACCGCTCCGTACCCGTAGTCTTTACAGAAGTAACAGCCACTTGACACAATGACAGCTCATCAATTTAATCATGGCCAAATTGTTTTCAGAGCGCTGTACGACTTTGAAATGAACTGCAAGCGTCCAAAATTTCGCAATGGAAGCCGACTTTGGGCGTCACTGACGATTTTGTTCTTGGCGTATCGTCGCGATCTTTTCCAAATACTTGCACTTGGTTCAATTCCTTGCATAGCTAGATCGATGGATCTCATGATTCAGTAGTACGTACAGTAGTCAGCGAGACAAGAAAAGGTAAATAGAGTGGGAGTGGCTGGGTTTCCAAGAAAGATTGACAAGCTCAAAAAAGAACGGGACGGATCGCGGCTCAACCCTTGCAGCTCCCCGAAGATGTGTTTTCCTTTTCCTGATCACTCATCAGAAGCCAGCCTTTCTCCATCAATTGTAGCCTAGGTGGACAGATCTCGAACTTCGTCACTCTCCTTTACATGTGGATCTTTTCATTTGTTCTGATTTGAGAAGAGGTCGGACGTCCAACAATGTCATCATTTAGGGAAGTTATCAGTCAAGTGGGTCGTCCGGTACTCGTACGTCGTTCCTCCTCGACATCGGAACATCGTTACAGCTTGTGCCTTTTCAGGTACCCCTCGAGGCCCAAATTCTAGCTTCTTGTGCGGTCCATTCAGGCGCATGTAAATCTGGATTTTTGCAATTCAAGCTTGAGTGCAGAGATAGGTCTGGTCTCTCCCTCATCTCTGGGTTGTCCGAACCCTGCTCTATCGTTCAAAGAGCTTTCCAAGAGTTGCGGGTCGGCCCCCTTACCTAGTCCCGACACAAAAAATGGCGCCAATGCAAGTAATCTATTGCGCAAGCTTCAAGCATCGAGGGCTTCTTACTACAGCAGTCCACAGTTCCCCCCGTCGATCAGCCATCTAAATGGTCATTCTTGTTGGTTTTCCGCGGATCCATGACCGAGGATCTCAATGTCTCTTTCCCGCGCGCCAAAATATCAGAGACAGTCAAGGACCATGATTGAAGGGTCCGCCGAGTATCCCCCCGGCGCAAAGAAAATATTATCTGGTGGCTGCTCATGCAATGCACCTCTTGCGCTAAAGGTTACGCTGCGACAAGTCCTGGCTCGTTCTCGCTCTTATCCGGTCTCAGATGCTCTGTACCACGCGGTGATTTCACCACTCGGAGAGTCTCATGATCGCCTTGGCTGTTTCTTGACAAGTCATCACTTCTTGAAGGATCACCTCGGCACCGGACCTTTCCTCTGGGACAATATCCCGGCGACATTGATTCTGTGCCTCTGATGTCTCGCCGCCAAATATGGAGAGTCGGATCATTGTCCCAGCAGTCCTGAGTCATCATCCCACCGTCTCGGAAAGCTCGATGATCAGGATTTCTGCATGTCGACCAACACAGAGACCTCGAAGTTACCAGGGTCCACATCCCATTGTTGATTCATCGATCCCTTGCTTCGGGCTCAAGAGTCGATGTTTGCACCTGAGACACGTGTTTGCTGGAAAGACCATCTCACGCGTCTTTGCCGCAAGGGACCCTGATGCCGCATGCAACCTGCCGTCCATGCCGAGGTTATCGAAATATCAATCGGAATCCCCTCTGACCGGTTCTGTCAGTGTTGATCTGACGTTTCAGAAACCGACGAGTAAGTTGATGACTTGGAAGGATGAAGTCAAAGCTGCTGGTATCCGCTGCGAACAGGAAAGCGGAGCGACTTGCTTGCAAACAGATGTTGCTTCTTCATCCGAGCTCCAGTGATCTTTGCTCCGCGTCTGCGAGGAGTCCTTTGTTTCCGATCTCTCTCGCTAATGCAACGTGCACGATGCAAGATTGACAGGTCTGCATCGTAAGCCTCAGTCTATGTCCGAGGTCGAAACGCCTATAACACTAGTCACAACACGATGTGCTGAAACAGGTCTTCGTCGAAAGTAGACCAATATACTAGCTACGGATCAGCAAAGTCGGATCGAGAATCCCTAAATGACCCATGTTAGAAGATGATTGCTGGAAGACTGCAAGATCGTAAACTCTGACGAGTCATAGTCTCATAGACAACCACCAGCTATTCATAGTCTTTTGAACGTCATCGCCACTCATCGCATGTTCTGGCCAAGTAATTCCTCTTGAGCATCAACCAGGCAGCCGGTTCACCAGAGTCTCACTCAAACGCCATTCAATCTGAGGATTGTACGCCATACCTGCTCCTATTCTTAGTCACCAGAATACCAGACTGACAATGTAGTTCGTCACACTAGAGCTTCGTGTATATCCCGTGGTCGTAAAATGGTGGCTTCAGAGAGGATTCCTCGTACTTCGTACCGCGCTTTCCTCCAGTTCTCAAACATTCGATACCTTTACAATCCCATTGACCTGCTGCAACAAAGCACTACTTTTTAATCTAGCCTCATGGCTGACTCCCAGAAATCAAATTGCATCGAAACGGTAGTGTCAAAGGTTTCAGACTGTGTATCCAGTCTGTTCGTCTTCTGACGCCCTCGTAATCTGATCTGGTTTGCCTATTTCATACTTCCGAGTTCTTTTCTATCTCTGTTGATCAGCTGTTATTCGTAGGTATTCGACTAACCCACCTCTTAAGTGGCGTTTCTTCTTTATTACATTCTTCTTTCCATCAGTTGTTCTTTCCATTAGAGTGAATCGTCGCTTCCTCTCGGTCATAATCGCTCCTGCTTGTTGTGGTTGTTCGTGTCTTCCCCTTACATTCAGGCGTTCGCTCTTGCCTTTCAAGCTTGATCGCACCTTCCTTCTGATCGCTTCTTCCTTCTGATCGTACCTTCCTTCTATACTCGATCACTCCTTCCTCTTACGCTTCGCCGTTCCTTCCTCTTGCTTGCTCCTTCCTCCTGTGCTTGGTCGTCATTTCCTCTATTGGTTAATTCTAGCCTGCTTTTTTTCGAGACCCATATGTGTATTGACTCCCCTCCGTTCGATGCTCTACCGACATTTCAAGCTGAATGGTTCGGAGTCCACCCTTGCCTATTATCGATACGCAGTCAGAGAATTTCACGAGATGCTGGTTTCTCTATCTCCGCACTTACGCCTTGGACAGGATATGGTCCTCTGGGCTGGGTTTTTGGTAAGACTTTGCTGTGAAAGGTTCACTGATAAGTTGATTGCTGTTGTCTTCTACAGAGATGTTCTGTCTGGGTTCTTTTAGACGCTGTTCCTTGCTCTCCGGATATGTTCTACTGTTTTTCTCGTGTATTGATTTGGGTCTTCGTGCTCGATCTAAGTCTATCCTGTTGCTTCGGTAGGTATTGCCTGCTTTGTTTTTCTTTTGGCTAATCGGAGCCTTCTGGAAGGAAATGAATATGAACATGGCTGTGGAAATTGGCATATATATTGATGCCTTGACTGGGTAGTACTACTAAGATTGCTGTTTTGCCTGGTACATCTAGACTTTCTTGTGTCTAAGTTCTATGTATCTTCGACCTTTGATGAACATTTGTCCGAAGTCACTTCATCTCTTATGGTTAAGTAGAGCATCTCAACCTTGGGCTTGCCTATAGCTAAACTCGTTTCACATCGTGATTGTTAGAAATTAACTTGGGGAATGTGAACAGAATGGAGTATAAAGCAATGGCGGTTCTGTTCATAATGATCTATGGCTCTGTTGCAGGAAAATAGAACCGAAGTGGCTTTTTCTATTGTGCACCACTCTTTGTCAGATCATGAATCTATGCTATATTCAAGATTGACTTGGATGACATAGCATTGTAAGATTTTAAAATTTATGGTAAGACTTGGTCGCATACATCATAAGTAGACAGAGATCCTCATGTCTGTTGAGTCAAATCATGACATCTCTCCGGGATAGATAAGTAGATAAGCGATGGACTGCACATAGTGCAAGAACTACTTGAGCTCAGGAATAGCCAAGCGATATTGATTGAGGGTAGTCTAGATAAAGATTTGGCGACATGATTCGCGGTTGATTAGTGTATGTAAGAGGCAATGCTACTTCGAGTGTGTTTGTAGGAATCTGAAGAGCGATGTTGAATCATGTCAACCCTTTCCACAGCTAGACCAAAATGTTCCTTATTCGTGACTGTGATCATACTCCCAAAGATTCATCGGATTATTGATGGATCGAAAAGAAGAAGGTAGTCATAAGGGATGAGTCTGACTTGTGAATTGTTCGATGTCATGCCAGAGTATATATACTCTGAAGGAAGTCCGTCTACCATCAATCAGCAGCCAGTTCACACAGTGAACTAGATCATCAGACCTGCCGGGGTAGCTCAATCGGTAGAGCGTGTGGCTCTTATCATTCGATAAAGTACAACCTCAAGGTCGCGGGTTCGAGCCCCGCCTTCGGCTATTCCTAAACATCGCTGATTGTTTCTTTTTGTTTTTGTTTCGGCTGGTGGTGTGAAGAGTGACAAGGATGGAATTTTTTTGATGCCAAGATTTCGTGAAGCCTCGGAAGCTCGGAGGTGGCTTCGGCTTCTTTTGTGGGGTGGGCACGCGCGAAGCAAGAAAAAAAATCTTGGCAAGATATTGGCGGGACGAATTGAAAAAATGGCTGACCTTAATGAAGGATGTGATGTCGTGCCGGTTTGTGCATTGGTCCGTAGCAAATTGTAGCGAGGTAACAATAGAGTAAAAGCCAGTATCTCAATTGGCCATCATCGGGCCTTTGTCATTCCCGTTGGTCCACGTCTTTGGAAAGTTTGTCAGTGTTTCAAGAACCTTACCCTTGTTTACTACCTGCAATTGCACCAGCAAAAGCAATTCCCTTACGGGCAAAAGAAGGGTCTCGCCGGGAATCGAACCCGGGACCACTCGCAATTGGCTTAGAGTTTTCAAGTCGCTGTGAAGCAACTCCCTAAGCGAGTATCATACCGCTAGACCACGAGACCTGATCAGATGTACTGAATTGATGAGAGAGAGATCGTCTGATAGGTAAATAAAATTGCAATACAGCTCCTCTCAAGGTCGAGACAGAAAGCGAAGGCAATAGAGACCAGTGTTCGCTCGTCAGATGTCGCTTACCCGCCGAATGCGCGATGATCTAGAGGAGTGTATGGCGGTCCCACATAAGCAGAGTTCGTGTTCGAAAGAGATGAAACTCGAGAGGATCCAATCAGGTCATTTCAAGGTAGACCATCCGCCGTACTAATTCAAGGATCTCTGTGACCGAGATCGTATTCAAGAGCCGATCGTATCGTTGTTATCGCGCTTCGTTTCGATACTCTACGATGCCTTGGACGAGTTTTTGTGTTGAGCAGAGTGTATTTCAGCGGCACGTATTTCATGGATCCAAGGTTGCATCGACCACGAACATAATGTCCGTCAAGCATAGGCACCGACTGCGCTTTCTCATTCAAGCCCAGATTGCTGTGTGGCGCTACATGACGATACAATGTGCGATGAGTCGTAGAGAGGTATCAACAGAGCCTTGGGAGTCATCGACTGGACTCATTGTTGTTTACATTCTGACCGCCAGCGAGGCTGATCGGTGTCAAACATGGGTCACTGCCTTGTAGGATGCTGACTTCCTTGGTCCAGATAGAGTGTTATGAGAAGTGTAGATCCATACTGTCCTGAGAAGGTCGGCAAATGGTGTGACTAGCGAGACAGGCGGCCGCAACTCTTTGACGGCAATTGTAGTCAATTTCTGGAGTGAGGGCCTCTCGCAGAGGCTCGGTTCGTTTCCATCATGACAGCTGAGCAATACCGCCGCGACAAAGACTGGGGATTGTCCATTCATCTCCTAATTCAGAAAAGCCAATCTGTGTCCAATCGACGAAACGAAGGCAGAGCGAGGATTTCTGGAGGCAAATTGGACTGCCTCACTGCATGAGTCGGATATAAGATCAGTTCCAGCTCGAGAGCGTGCACTGTCCGGAAAGCTCATGGTTGCATAGAACAACTGTCTTCGCTGTTACAGCTTCAGCCTGGCAATTTGCTGATATCTCCCAATGTTTCTGCTATGAGGAGGTTGCTGGTCAGCACCACAGATGGATTGTTTACTTGAGCAGTGGTGATGATGACAATCACATCTCCACAGCCGTGATGTCGGTGCTTGCACTGAGTGGGGGTAGAAGTTAGAGTTGCCAAGGACATGAGTGTTTTCAAGACGATGAAGTCGAGGTCAGGAGGTTATCTTGTTATGTCGATCTCGAAGAAGCAAACACATGTCCGACCACGAACATGGTCGGCTGCTTATCACTTGAATGACGCATGGCAGACCTCGGAGTATGTGAGCAAGACGCAATTGACGGGAGCTGTCATCGTTGTGAGAATCATGTGATAATATATGCAAATGGGGAAGGTGTCTTTGATGGAAAATGATATTGAAAGGTTTATGAGAGTAGATGATAGTGACTGATGGGGTTGCCGGGTCAAAGGCGTTCATCGGCGAAGAGGGGTTCTTCGCCACTTTGCAATGCGACTGCGCGAAGAAGAAAATCGAAGCACAGTCTAGAGCAGCGAAGTAGGTCCAAGAAGCCGATAGACAAGATATCTAGAAGTGAAAAGAAGCACATGACATGTTACTCAATAGTGAAGTGATGCTGGTCAGAGGCAAAGCACGGATGAACTGCGGTTAGTAAGCGGATGCCAAGGCTTTAGCCCGCCCACAGCAGGCAAATTCAGCGGGAGCTTTATCCTCGCCCTTGCCCCGACTCTTTTGACCTGTCGACCGCGAGCCTACCTGCGATTCAGCACAGCCAATACATCAACCACTTACGCAGAGACTTTTTCACACAAACCTCGTCAATCAAACACCGTCAAGATGGTAAGACCGACTCGACCGGACCTCTGAGACGCGCGCTGGATCGAGAGACGACGGGTGGCAAATTTCGACCGAAGAAACAAGAAAAGGCACACGACATGAGCGACAACCATCAATCTACCATCGAATTCCATCAATATCGCATTCAATCTATCGATCCAGCCTCAGAACGAAGTGCTGTCAGGCATTCAAACATGTCGTCACCCGCCACCCGTCCTCCACCATCCAGCGTCGCATCTCAGAAGAATGGACACACAACCACAATCGCAAAGAGATGGACTGACTGAGTGCCTTTTAGGTTCTCGCAGTCGATCTCCTCAACCCCACCCCTCAGGCCGAGGCCCGTAAGCACAAGCTGAAGGTGCGTAACTCTGGACTTACTTCTAACCACACAAAACATCGTCTGACTCTTAGCAGATGCTTGTCCCCGGCCCCCGCTCCTTCTTCATGGACGTCAAGTGCCCCGGTTGCTTCACCATCACCACCGTCTTCTCGCACGCCCAGACCGTCGTTGTCTGCGCCGGCTGCTCCCAGGTCCTTTGCCAGCCTACCGGTGGCAAGGCCCGCCTGACCGAGGGCTGCTCTTTCCGCAGAAAGTAAACGCCTCGTTGAACCAAAAGAAAAAGAAAAGCATGTCTTTGGTTTTCGTAACGAGAAGTGGATGATGGATGAGGGTTGGACGGACGCAAATTATCAATCAAGCGGAATGGAATCCAATCAAGATGCACACACAACCAACAATGGTCAGCCGCGCGCATTGTGGATAGAAGAGGGAAACGCTCTCGCCCCCAAAAAAAGCAACATGTTTCATGACCCAAAAACTCGACGACCATCGTCACAAAAAGGGAGTTCCGGATATCCAAAGGCCTAAGCCACGGCTCTTTTTTCGTTTTTCCCTTTTTACAGGTCTCTGCTATTGTCAATGGAGTTTTCTACTTCTTTAATCTGCTGTTCTTCTGTACATGATGCATGGGAAGACGAGATGGCATCTCCTGCCTGCCTGTCTTCTAACGTTGGTTTACGTTGAGGAGCGAGGAGTTTGTATGCTATTGAGGAAGACTACCCTTGCTTGCCTGGTTCTAGCTATGCGAATTGATTTGTCTATTGCTTGATATATTTCGGTGACGACGATGAGACTAGTCATAAAGTGCCACGTGAAAAGCGTAAAGATAAGCCCTACGGGTCTAAAATAGAGTGATGGCAGGTTGCATCACCGTGCTTGATTGACGGTGTAGATTGTTTCTGTCTCAGACACGACCCTTGTTCATCTTTTGTACTTGTCCAAACCTCGACCATGTTTTGTGTCGAGAGCATCTTGATTTCGATCAAATCAGGTGGCATTAACGAGGCAGGTTAGGATGGCATGACTGCATAAATCGGGCGTAGCACATGCGCAATGACTAGCGCAGTCGTTTGGGCGGCTACAAGAGCGAAAAGGAGAAGACGGCACCACTGACCTCACCAACCATTATACAGCATCGCCAGCATGATTACGACGAGATACACAGAATCGGAATGGCGCGCCATGATCTCAGGTGTTGCGCGCGAGCTCGAGGTGTACGAGCAGGACTACTGTCCTGACCTGGACAAAATCGACATTGCACGTACCATTGACCACACGCTGCTCAAATTGGATGCGACGCCTAAGCAGATAGACGAGCTGTGCGCAGAGGCCAGAGTTGCCAACTTTGCTGTAAGCACCTTCTTTGCTTCGATCCTTCTTTCACAGACTCACTAACGCCATGCTTTGTAGAGCGTTTGCGTCCGGCCCAACTATGTCGCCCAAGCACATGCAAATCTTAAAGGCAGTACCGTCCTGATCGCAAGCGTCATCGGTTTCCACCAAGGCACACAAGACACATACTACAAGTTACAAGAAACTCGAAAGGCTCTGACTGCCGGCGCACACGAACTCGACGTTGTCATCAATTGGCCTCTGCTCAAACAACAAGAGTACAGCGAGATCTACCACGAACTAGCCCTCATACGCTCCATGGCTCCCCAGCCTACCGTCCTCAAGCTCATCTTCGAGACCTCTCAACTCGCTTCAAGGGATATCGTCGCTGCCTGTACCATTGCTTCGGCTGCAAACTTTGACTTTGTCAAGACATCAACAGGCTTCCTCGGACATGGCGCAAAAGTTGAAGATGTCAGGCTTATGCGTGCGGCTTGCGACTACCTGGCAGACAAACGCACCGACCGACACAGGATGCAGGTCAAGGCTAGTGGAGGTGTAAGGACTGTCGAAGATGCTATCACCATGCTGAAAGCCGGTGCCACTAGATTGGGCACTAGTGGTGGTATGTGGATTGTCAAAGAGAGCAAGGAACAAAGAGTCAGAAAGTCAAGCCCTGTGCAGAGCGAGAGAAGAGGTTCGAGGCCTACTTTGACCACGAGGCTCTTTACTGACTACTAAAGATGGTTTCAGGGGTAAGTAAATGTTGACACGAATTAACGATCTTCTATTTTTTTTTTTTTTCATTGTCTTGCTCTCCATGATTATCTCTGCCCCTCTGAACATCTGACCTTGCCTTCCATACCCTATCATCTCTGCTCAGAAAACCCATCGGAAGACTCGAGAGCTGCTCGAGCCGGATCCGCATTGCCCCGTATTCGCCCTCTAAGCCAGCCTGATCCTCAAACGACCGCCTTGATGATCTTTTTTACCGCCCCTTCAGCGAACCAGTGGAGTCGGCGCACTTGGTAGTATCCCTGTTCCATTACACGACATGGATATTGGTTAGAGACCAGATGCTCAGTCCCATTTCCGCCTCAGGAAGCATGCGCCTCAATCAAACCTTTATATACGACTAAATTTGGGACCTTCTCAGCCGGCAACTCTTCCACTGTTTGGTGCACTAGAGGGACGCCTCTGGTGTAGTTGGTTGGGAAGCTCACCAAAAAAATAACACTATCGCCACGTGCTACGCTCTTAGTAATACGCGAACCAAACACGACGTATGAAAGCGCTGGGATGGGGTTTTTCTGTGTATCAGTTTCTTTTGCTACTTGAGTGTCGTACTGTGTATCTTCTTTTTCTTGTGGCTGTTCGTCCAGAGAACAGTAGTTAGTGTGATTCGAGGTGGTGGTGTTTGAGAAGGGGTTGACCCAGAGCTGGTCTGAAGTTCTCGGTTATTTTGTTTACACTGTATGGAATGCCAGTCCTTGGTTCGAGCCTCGAACGTAGCGCGACTTTCGTCAAATGTCTCTCTCCAAGGTCGAATGTCTTGTGCGTAGAAGTGGGTTTTGCACAATAGCTAGCACGCTAGTCTGTCTCTTGTATTCTTGCCCTTATAGATGGTCTTCGAAGTGTGCTACGTCGTCTTCGTAATCTACATCAGACATCTTTTCTACCATCTGTGTCTCGTGTCAAATCCTCTTTGCTCTCGTTCCTTAGCAAGTACATTTCGCACTCTCCCTTTATATTTTGATCTGGATATTGTAGTTGTTGGTGTGACCCTGACTTATGATTCATCGAGCATCGACATCGTCGCTATAGTACATGCACAGCCAAATGTACCTTTTCTCGAGCTAAAGAAGGGCGTAGACACTCAAAACAAATTCTGTGAAAGAAAAGATCTTCAACAAACAAATGCCCGAGAAAATCGTATGTTGTTGTCAAAGGTACAATTTCATAATGTAAATCGTGAGCGAAGCTGTTTCCAGCAAAGATGAGACAGAAGAACAAGATGGATGCGAAAATGCACCACAGACAGGCCTTCCAGCGAAAGAAGAAGACAAGACCCCAGCCATGGTGATAAAGAAAAGCGGGTATCCTTCCAACGCCGCAAGCTTAAAGAATCAGAAGACATCCAGACTCAAATCATGATGATTTACGCAGTCTTGCTCCACTGTGCCGTCAGACCGATCAGGGAACTGACGCAACCAGCCAGACCGACAATGCCATCGTCGACCTTGATGTAGCCGAGAGCTGAAAGAGGGACAAATAGATCGCAAAGATCCGAGATGAGCTGTGTCTGAGCAGCACTTCTCTCACTGTAGAAGATCAGCAAACTTGTCAGCATAGAAAGAGAAAGTGGACGAAACATACCGCTGCAACTTCTTAACCTCGACTGTCTTCTCAGCAGCGGCGGCCTTATCCGTCTGTGCAGCCTCCTCGCTCCTGCTCTTGTAAATGGTGTAAACACCGTTCAAGACACTAAAGCACAACCCAGTCAACCACCCCTTGTATGCCTGGACCTGCAACTTCTTGGCGGTAGCACTGGGCCTCACACCCGAGGCATCAAGGTAGGTCAATGTGTCAGTGAGCATGTAAGCTCCGTATCCAAGCTGTCTTCCAGTGGTGCAGAAGCGGATGACTGGATCCAGGGTCTTTGAATCGTAGGCAGTTGCTGCGGCGCGGAAGTGCTCGACAAACTTGCCAATACGCATGGCTTTACGGACGAGGCCGAGATTGGCTTTGAGCTTGGCCCATTGCACAACTGTCAATTGAGGGCTGTTGGTGCGGAGGGTGTACCAAGCGAGGAAGCGAGAGAGGTATTGAACGAAACGAAGGGCCTTGTCGCGACCAACTAAGTGGAAGTTGTTAGCTATGGAAACTCATGTATGCAATGCATATCGCAAAGTCGGGGCTCTGAACGCACCAGTCGTTGCGACGAACTTGTTGTAGTGCGCGACAGTAGGGTGATAGATTAGTGCATCGGCGACCATTGTGTGCTGCAGAAACGATTCTATTCCAGTGACTTCCAGGTTTTGGTTTATGCGATTACTCGTTGACGAGAGATGGATTTGTCTTTCGCAATGCTCAATAGGATGTTATCACAAGATGGTAGGGAATCAGAAGGAACTGTAGCTTGCACCTACCTCGGTCGTGCGGCTATGATAACAGAAGCGTCATGCCCACTCTATCGTGCCTAAACTTCGGTCTATCTATCTAAATTCCGACAAGAACCTTGTCTCCTTTCCCCCTTGGCTCCACTCGGTTACTGAAAGCATATCAAAGCTTCGAGTCAAATGCAGTTGGAGCTGCTTTGATTTTTGTTAACTATCAAGTTGTAGACGATGTTGTGCTCATTGTCGCTCTACTGAACCTGACGCCAACACGGAGTACATTCGCCCGAGCTTCAATTGCCGAGGCAAAAGACTCCAGCATGTGAATTTGCTTCTCTGAACAACCTATCTCAGAAACATCATCCTTCTCCGTGAAACCTTGACTTTGCTAAGGCGATGAGAGGCTTGCAATCAGAAGCGGTACCTAAGTAGTCTTGCGCTTACGCATGTTCCACAGCTTATAAGCAGCGAACATGACACAAGCAGCAACGACTCCCTGAACAATACCAGCGACAAGGAAGGGGCTATAATCATCCATCATGGAGCTCTGAAGAGCACTGAACATTGCACTGACTCCGAAGGCCGACTGGGCAGCAACAGTGATCGGTTCTGTCCAGCATTAGTCGACACTGTGCAACAGATGAATACTAAGGTTGTCTTACCTGGTGCAGGTCCAGCGCTGTTGAAGCCTGAGGACTCCAGGAAAGGAGTGGTAACAAAGGTAATGATGCTGACCACGATGGCGAGTGCGATGGTTGCGGTACGACCAGTCTGAGTCTTGAAGGTCTCCCTGAACAGCAAAGTGAAGGTCTCCAAGTTCAACTGGCGATCTCTGGCAACGTCAGCGAGATGGCTAAAGTCGTCGAGGGTGGGTTTCTTGACAGCGTTGACGAGATTGCGGAATCTGAGCTGCTTGACGAGAGTCCAGATGTCCTCGGAGACATTGTCCTGTTCGTGGAGCTTGATTTCGGACATGACTATAGACTTTGAAGATGCCATGATGACGACCCTATTGGCGGTGCGTATGAGGGGATCGATGAGAAGGTAAGAAGGTTGCTGAGAGAGAGGTGTTATTGAAGCAGTAGAGAGAAATCTATAAGTCTCTCACAGAGCACACTCCAGTGATAGTAAGCGCAGGACGAGTGAAGGGTTACCAAGCCGATAGACTGTAATAAGTGAAAGTCACCAGCTTCAAGCTTCAGTGTTCAGCAGAGTAGCCATATCCTTTGTGTGAGCCTGCTTCCACCACAATGCACTATGCAGCAAACCCCTCCCAAATGTCCCTGCTCAACGTCACATTCCTCTCACTCACAGCCGCAATATCTTCAAACCGCCTAACCATTAAATCACTGACCATCCTCCCAAACACTACACTCCCCCACGCATTGAGATGCGTGTAATCAGTCGGATTCAGATTGTACCTCCAAGCAGCTTCAGGACCAATGGCATTGCAGTATTCCGTCGATGCAATGTTGAGATCAATGTATCTCGAATGTGTTCTGCGTGCCGCAGCAATGGTGAGATTGCGTTGAACAGCCAAGTCTTGGATTATGGTCGGTGTGGTTGTATTGGTATATTTGCGGCGAGTCAAGGGGGTAACGAGGATCTACAACTAGCTGTTAAGACATATGGGCAGAGATGCACTAGAAGGAGGCAGTTACAGGGATGGCGCCAATGAAAGAGACTTCTCTAGCAAATGCTTCAAGGTTATCGCTGTATTGTGTAAGGTTGACTCCCGAGGTGGGCTTCTGATCGTTGTGACTGAACTGGATGGTCACGTAGACAGTATAGTCGGCTATCTTTGTCTTTGCCTCGTTGATCAAGTGGTTCCAATCACCGCCTTTTCGAAAGCTCTTGGTCGTGGCTCCGTTGTGTCCATAGTTGCGACCTGAGCAGCCTGTTCTTAAGGTGAAGTTCAAGAAGCCATCACCCCAGCCGCCTCCATCTACGCTCTGTGTTGCTGTAGTGCTGTCGCCAGCCAGAAGAAAGTAGGCAGATTTGAAGACAGAGAAGTGGCGCGGAGGCGGGAGACAAGTTGCAATGAGTGGAAGAGGGGATAGCAGCAAGGCAAGGAGATGAACGAAATAAATCATGACGAGAATGTAGTGTTGTGAAGAGGATGTTGACCTTGCCTTGGAAATTCTAGGTATCGTTGCATCCTCAGAAATCTAGTCAAATGCACAAAGCATCATCTGAAAAGGAGGAGGGGACTTCTGTTGATATTGAGTTGTTCCTCCAATCATACTCTACAGCTCGGGGTAGCTATATACCGAACTACATTGGAAGAAAAGTGGAGTCCAAGACGAGGAGAAAAACTGATGAAGTGTGGCGTTGATGTAAAGATCGCAACCGCTGGCGAGGATGATCTCATCCTGCAGAGGTTGTTTGCCCCGAGAGCGGGGAGGACTTGGAGGATCTGTGTTCATCGTCACGCTTCGTTTTGGGGGTTGGAAACTTCATGAGCGCCGATAGTTTGCAGGCATCATCTACCTTTGGGCACTACCAGAATGTTACCCTGCGTCGTGGTATGCGAGTACCGTGCAAGCTTGTCGCTTCACGCTCTATCACGAGAGCATAGAGGAAATTGTGCCGTGCGAAACTCCCCTGCCTATTTTTCAAATCCAGGCGCAGATCCACACTTTGGAGTATCGGTAGCCTGACGGGAAACGGTAGGATTTCTGAAGAGTATGTGATAACCAAGATGGCCACTGAACCCAAGTGTCAGAAATCTAACCTCTACGTCTGGATCTGACCGACGGAGGGGTACTCTGAGTACCAGTAATCTCAATCGTCTTTCTGCCATCGGCGTACAGACCACGTTGGATTTCAATCTCGGGCTCTTGTGTCTTTTCCTCGGCAGCCTTCTCTTTCTTCTCTGGGCGCTTTGTGCCAAAAGGTGGGTCGAAACGCTTGCGAAGAGCCTCGATCATTTTGGCAAACCAGTAAAAGTTGAGCACGTTAAGCACAACGTTGGAAGCCAGATAACTGAGAGCGAGCCAAGCAGGGATGGTACGAGAGCCGGCAAAGCGCATGATGTCTTCTGAGCCAGTGTAGGGCTGGCTCTGAGGAGTAACAGCGGACATGGACTGGTCGAGACCGTACTTGAGGCCGAGGTTTTCATCAAGGCCAACAACACCACCGTTCTGCATGGCAGTATAGACATCTTTGAAGACAAGGACTGAGTTGATGGAGCCCCAGATAAGGCGACAGAAGAAGAAAGTTGTGATAAGAATGATTCCGTTGATTAACTGATAGATGCTGCCTGTCATGTTCAGCTTGTCCATGAACCAGTGCATGTTGAGGGCGGGAGACGAGAGTTCGTAGAGGATGAAGACGGGGCCATAGTAGTTGAGGAAGGGACGCTTTGAGTCGTCAGTCAGCTGGGCTCGGGAGCAAAGGCAGACACGAAAAGGAAAAAGAGCTTACGAAACCAAAGAAGAAGACGGTGCAAGCTGAGATGGCGTGTGCAAGCATGCCGGGACCGAAGATAGCGATGTGGTATGTACAGATGAAGAGATCCCAAATAAAGTAGCCACCAGCCAGACTCTGGAGAAAGCCCAGAGCACCATCATAGCCCCAGATCTTGCCGGCCCAGTTCATGTTGCTGCGCTCCTTGTCGTAGAACATGATCCAAAGAGCAGTCGTGTTGACGAGCAAGCTCTGGACCATCGAGACGATGTGCACATCCCAGTTGATGCGGGTGCGTCGGTTGAATGAGCTGTAGACCTGAGGGAAGAAGCGGCGGGACAGGGCAGGCGCGATGACGGCGTTGATGGTCTGGTAGAGGACAACGGCGAGTAGGACCTCGTGGATGTGCATAGGCAGCGTGGGTAGCGACAGCTTGTCCGCCAGTGGACGTGTCGCCTCGGCGAGCCACTGCGGCGCTGGGAAAGGGAATGGGTCGCGCATAGTTTCTGGTGTCAAATGTCCATGTAGCTTAAGAAAGAAGGAAGGGAGGAAGGAGCAAAGGAGTCGGTGTAGATAACGTTATTAGCTGCAGCGACGCTGTCAAAGGCCTCGGCCGCATCATCAAGCCACGCACGCGGCGTCGCTCACTTGCACATGAATGCCATCACGCCGCAATCCATTTCTTTGTCACACGATCTTCTTGGTTCTGTATTATGACTATCTGATTCAGTCGTCGAACCCTTCAAACTCGCTCTCCTGCTCGCCTCTTGCCCGTACTGCCTCAATCATGGCTTGCAGTTCGGCTTCCTTCTTCTTCTCTTCTGGCGTGAGCTTCTTCTGCCTCTCGTGTTCGCGCCGTGCCAGCTTGATCTCACGACGCTGCTCCTTTGTCGCCTTTGCATCCTTTTGTGCTGTCCATGCCCTGTCTTTCCGCCTCTCTTCCTTTGTCTTGCCATCACCTGCCCTCTTGTTTGCCGGCCCTCCATTAGCCTTTAGCTTTTCCAACTCGTCAAGTCTGTGCTCTTCCCGCTTCTTGTCGTTGTACGCAAATGTGTCCCAATCAATGTTCTGTCCGAGCAATTTGTCGCCTTGATATTTCTTCAGCTCGGGCATCCTAGGTAGTCGGAGAAGACCCCAGCTATGCCCCAGCTCATCCCAGTCCAAATCTTGCACTCGGAAAATACTGCTCGCCGAATGTTTGCTGTATGCTTGCACCCAACTCACAAAAGCTCTCTGTGCCTTGTCATGTAACGCTCGATCCGACTTGAGCACCTCTCGGATCTTCCGTGTCGTCTCATTAGCCTCCTCTTCTGTTGGTTCAATAGCAGGAGTTGTCAGTGGTGAGATAGGTGTCTTTCGGATGCGCAGAAATTCAACATAATCCTCCTCTTTGCCTTTGCTCAAAAATGTCACAGCCAATCCTCGTCTTCCTGCTCTTCCTGCACGTCCGCATCGGTGAAGGAATGTTTTCGGGTCACTGGGTGGGTCTAGTTGTACTACGAGATCGACTGAAGGGATATCCAGACCTCGCGCTGCCACATCGGTAGTGAGAAGGATCGACGGCTCAATCGAGTTGACAAATTTGCCAAAGTTCTTGGTGCGCACGTTTGGCGGGTGTTTGCCATGGAGGGGCACGATCTTGAATTGTTTTGGGAGGACTTCGGAAAGTATGTGTTGGTAGTGATCGACAGTTGCGCATGTCGAGACATATAAGACTGTCTTTTGAGGTGTCGAGGGCAGCTGGACGAGTAAGCGGTTCAAAGCAGGTAGCTTCATACGGGGACTCGTCGTCAGATATGACATTTGCAGACTGGCGGGTGTGCGCTTGTCGTGAGCGCCGGAGGCACTCTTGACTTTGACTGCAATTCTGACGGGGTTTCTTAAGCCTACGCGGACAAGCTGATCCAAAGCTTCAGATACACTAGCACTGAAAAGACCCGTTCTCCTCTGCTTCGGCAATCTCGAGAGAATCTTCTGTAGAGTATCACTGAAACCAAGATCAAGCAGTCTATCGGCTTCATCCATGATCAAGAGCTCGAAAGAGGACTGCGGACAGTGTACGTGGGGTGAAGAGAGCAGTTCCAGCAGGCGCCCGGGAGTAGCGATCAGAAGGTTTGGTGAGGTACGGAGGAAAGCAGACAAATCTTGGGCGGGCGTTGTAGTGCCTCCGAGTAACAGTTGTGGCACAACCTTGGGAGTCGAGGAGGGAAAGGTAGGTTTCGGGGGAGCGTTCTCGTCGGTCATTTCTTCATCGTCGTCGTCGATGCCTTTCGGTCGGACAGCAGCGGACGGAGGATGGAACTGTAGTAATGATACGAGGACGGAATGGATCTGGGTTGCGAGTTCTCTGGTCGGCGAGATGATGATGGCGCCGACATGGTGCTTCTTGATGGGTTCGTCGACTCGTAAGAGACGCTCGACGGCGGGAATTAGGAAGGATAGAGTCTTGCCACTACCAGTGACAGCTTCAACGACGACATCCTTGTGACCCATGAAGAGCGGAATTGTACTCGCTTGCACAGGCGTCATGCGCTGGAAGCCCATGCTGGAGATGGCGTCCAGCATCCAGTCTGACAGTGCGGGTGTGAGTCCATCCCATGCTCTTGCTGACGACTTGTCTGTCGTCTTTTGCTCTGCGGCCTTCTTCTCTGCTGCCATGTTGGACGATGAACGGGGTTGCGACAAAAAAGTAGTCGTAGTAGGCGGACCTTTGCGCCTCGATTACAATAATTTTTGGCAAACATGATGCAAACTCGACCCTCGCTCGGCTGCACTTGCCTTGGTGGTTGCGGCCTTCTCATCTTCACCCCCGAGACATTTTTATTCGACCTTGCACTCTTATCATCAGGTAGAATGTCGAGTCCAGACGCCTTGTCTCTAGCCGGAGATGTTCGACATGCCCTGATATCGCTATCTCCAGAAGATCCTATTCATGAGTGTGGTAGTGCGCCACTCCAAATCATCCAACAACGCCCTGAAGACGTGCTAGCTCTGGCTCACCAGAAATTGCACACCTGGAAGTTTGATAGTGTCCCACTCTGTTGGCGTCGCTTGTATGAGGAAGCCAGCCTGTATCAGGCAATCCTTATCCTCAATGACCATGGCGCCCGTGGTCAGAAGCGAAAGCGCCATGCTTCACCATCGTCTGAGCATGACTACATTACCCGTCTAGTTCATTTGCTCGACATGGCAATCATTCTGACCGGTGCTCCTCGTCATCGCCAACTTATACTAAGTATCTTTGACTCGTTGCAACATTTCCTTGATCCAGACGAACACAAAGACATTGCTAAGACCTTTCCTGTTGCACAAATACCTCAATCCCAAATTGACACTTTCACTCGTGTCCAACGCCTAGACTTTCTACAGTTCCAACAACATCTTGACACCAAGACAACACCAATTATCATCAAAGGTGTGATCGATGAGTGGCCTGCAATAGATACCACAGATCGATGTTGGAATGATCCGTCCTATCTACTCAAGGCTACGCTCGGAGGGCGACGCTTGGTACCAGTGGAGTTGGGTAGGAGCTATACAGACGATGGCTGGTCTCAGCGCATCATGACATTTGCCGAATATATGAAGAGCCATCTCCTACAACCCAAGCAAGAACTAACCGGTTATCTTGCTCAGCACGACCTTTTCTCTCAAGTGCCGTGCCTGAGCGCAGACACAAATACTCCAGACTATTGTTATACAGATCCACCTCCGGCCAAATCCTTCTCTTCGACCGTCGAGGTCGAGACTCTGCATGAGCCTCTTCGCAATGCCTGGCTTGGACCAGCAGGTACCATCAGTCCGTTGCACACAGATCCCTACCACAATATACTGTGTCAAGTCGTGGGCTACAAGTACGTCCGCCTGTACGCACCTACACAGACAGAAAAGCTGTATCCTCGTGGTATTGATGAGACCGGCGTCAACATGGAGAACACATCACATGTCGATATTTCTCTAGTGAAGAAGTTGTACGCACCGGGTGAGCAAGATCACGTAGATGGGACGAAAGAGCAATTCGAGGAACAATTTCCATTGTTTGGAGACGCAGAGTGCATCGAGGGCGTACTGGGGCCAGGCGAGTGTCTGTACATTCCTGTAGGATGGTGGCACTATGTAGAAAGTCTCAGCACGAGCTTCAGCATGAGTTTCTGGTGGAATTGAGAGATTTTCCAAAATCTTCTTATCATACAAAGCGCCACCTCTTCGGAAATGAATTAAGCTTGAACCAAAGCCTTTGTGGCTTGCAATGGGGTATCGATGCAAAGAAGTGATGAAAACAACAAGAACGAAACCACCCACCACTTTCCTGCTACCGTATTTTGCTGCAATTGCTCGACCGAATCAATGTCCTTCTGACTGCGTGACTCCAACCATTAGTCCAATCTTGAGTTTTCGCCGACTCTTAGTTTGCTCTACGCCAGCTAGAGCCAAAATCTCTGACGGGTACAGGCTTCTCCTTGTCAGTCAGGTTTTGCTCTCTGACAACCTTTCTGTTAGGTCTCTCTCTAGCCATGTTGACCTTCAGCTTGTTTCCTGTTGAAGTTGTGGCTCCATTCACTGCGTTGGCAGCCGCTTGCGCCTCCTCGGTGGTAGCAAAGTCAACAAAGCAGTAGTGATGGTCACCAGGCATGGTTGCAGTAGATTCATGGGGTAAGATCAGCTTGCTGACAGCCTCGACCGTGTAGTCGCTGAACAAAGCCTTCATCTCCTCATTGACAATTTCTTGGCCATCAATGCGAGGCAAACCACCAACATAAAGTCTGCGGCCAGTCTCCACAGGTGCAGTCCAATGAGATGAAGCGTCATTGCGCTCCCAGCGGTTGAAAGCATAAGAATCCCTTTCGCCGGTCTTGGAAGGAGTCTCGGCACCATTGGCCGCAGGTGAGCTCCGCCATGTGCGCTCAGTAGAGAAGGGAGATCTGGTCGAGGAACGCATAGGAGTGTTTGTGCCATTTGCGCCGCGAGTCTTCGGTGTATGCACATTGACTCTAAGAGGACGGCCCATGAAGCTTGCACCAGGAAGCGAGCTGATGGCTCTCTGGGCCTCCTCTACCGAAAATAACTCGGCAAAACAGTATGATGGGTTTCTTCCAGTAAAAGGGTCGGTAGACATGTCCAGGCGTTCAATCTGGAATCCAGCTTCCTCCAAGTATTGTTCCACATCCTCGGCTTGTGCTGCGTAAGGAAGGTTTCCAATGTAAATGCGCTTGCTGGGCTGCGATTGCTCCGAGATCTGTTGATGTTCCATATTGATTTTCGAATCTGAAAAGTAATAATATTGTTGATATTGACGAGGTGTTGATGGCTGTTAAAAAATTTGGTTAAAAAGTTGCAAAAAGTCGTTTCGGGAAGGCTTCGAGAAGGCAGAAAGCTTGGGGAAGCTCTTGTGTGCTCCTTCCGCAAACAAAACAAACGCGTCGCGATCCGGGAGATCTAGACCCACTGCCGCGGCAGGCACAGATTGGGCTAGGGTTGCCCGTTGCGAACAAGCTGACCCAGTGAGTTTCAGCATGCCTTCAACTCTGAGCAGGGAAGACTTTCAAACGTCTTGCGCGCAGGGCTGGCATCTCTAAATATTTTCGTCCCGGAAGTGGCGGATCACCTCGACATACCTCGACAAATTGTGCTCCCTACAGCGCACACACGCGAGCAGCTCATTTCTCAACTAACCTGCTGGACCGGATGTTCACGGCTACGATTCATTGACGCGCAGCGGCTGTATTCGAGCGTACGCTACATGAAATATACGACAGCGTCTCGCAGACTGGAATCTCGATATGCCTTCTGCCATGTTTGAGCCATCAGGCTCAGCAGCAACTGATGCACATCTTCGATTGGTGCAGAATGTCGATTGGGCCACAACATCAATAGGTGCTATTGATGACTGGCCTTCAGAACTCTTGTTATTGTTCCATCTAATCATTCTCGATCCACAACCTAGGTTACTTATTCTCGGACCGGATCAATTGCTTCTGTACAACGAACCTTACGGCGAACTCGTCGGCGAGCGGCACCCAGCAGCTATTGGACGACCCCTACAGATAGTTTTTCCTGAAACTTACGATTATGCCGCGGAAATTCTGGAAGAAGTCTCTACCACTGGCAGGGCTTCCATCGAGAAGAACTTTTGCATGCCGTTGATGAGAAATGGTCGTCTTCTAGAAATCTACATGTCCTGGGTCTTTGTACCATTTCCCAAGAAAAGCTCACTGATGGGAGCTTCGGTCATTCTTCGCGATGAAACGGAGAAACGTTTGTCGGATAGAAGGCATATCACATGTCATAACCTGGGCCTTGCCCTCAATCTGGCCACGGACATGTCTATGTTATGGGATAATATACTCGGGAGCTTGTCTGAGAGGTACGTACAATTGGGCTGAGCAAGTTGATAATTTAAAGACTGGCTCTGAAGTTTCGGCCATCTCGTACTTACATATGACCTGTTGCTGACATGAACGACCCTTCAGAGAACATGATTGCCCATTTGCTCTTCTCTACGCGCCTGAAGTTGATGCTAGAGGTGATGATGAGCTGGTGTTTCAGCTAAGAGGCTCGGTTGGAGATTTTGCGAACAATTCAGTGGTCACACATGTTCTCAATCTGAACGGCACCAGCAGCGATCCTCTCAACAAACATCTGAGCTTAGCCTTGACTACGGAAGATCCAGTACTGCTGACCACAGAAGACGGTAGCCTTCCGGAATCTTGGTCAAAGGCAGCGAAAATCCGCGGATGGGAAGATACTTGTACAGAAGCCGTCATTCTTCCTTTGCAATCCAACCGGCACCACAAAGTCAGAGCTATGCTAGTCTTAGGAGTCTCTACACGATCAAACTACGATACCGCGTACAAAAGCTGGAACGAAGAGTTAAGAAGAATAACTGGAAGCACCATTCATTACCTCAGGCGAAAAGAGCTTGCGGCGCTGGAGATTGCTCGAGGAGAAAATAAGGCCAAGACTATTAGCCGTCAGTACAGTCATCTCGTCAAGGTTATGGAGCTTAGTGATGTCGGCATCTTCAGTTGCGACAGGAATGGCAACTTACTTGAAGCCAATGAGTCTTGGTATCGGCTTTCGACTGTTCCCAAGCAGAACGAACCAGTCCCTGCGTTCTCTTGGTTGGAATCGGTTTACGATGAGGACAAAGATCTAGTCATGTCTAACTGGCATAGCATGCTCCAGGGAAAACCGGTCACCGTACGTCACAGTCAAGTCTGAAGTCGCTTTCGAAAGGTGCTGACCTCAAATAGTACCAGATGAGATGGAAGCATCCTGACCGATCAGAAGGAAGATGGATCCTGGCTGTATGTCTCCCTGTGATGGACGAACATGGCAAGATCATCAGCATTGGTAAATTCCTTAAAAGCTTTTTGTGTACTCGAGTCAGACTGATGTTTTCATAGCTGGATGCACAACTGATATTGACGCTCAGAAGCGGGTCGAGAAAGATGCTCTGCAAGCATTGCAAGCCCTTGAGCGAGCGAGCGCCAGTGAGCAAAGATTTCTTCGTTTCACCGCAAGCTCTCCAGTAGCCGTGCATATCATAGAGATGCCCAGCAAAGTGATAAGCTTTTGCAATAGTGCTTGGTTCGAAATGTTGGGCATCACTCCTGTGCCTATCAGTCAGCTAGACTCTTCGTGGACGGACGGAATTCTGGAACAGGACTTGCCATTGCTACAAGACACGGTCCAACGTATTTTGGCTACACGCGAACCTCAGACGACCCAGTTCAGATTCCGTCGCATGTTCATCAGTGGTGACGGACATCGGTACCAATCTTGGGGTTCATCAATGTCACACGCAGAATTGGACGAGCATGGAGCAGTCAAGGCAATCATGACGACCACGACCGATATCTCGCATTTGAAATGGGCTGAAGAAATTCAGAAATCAAGAGTTGAAGAAGCCCTGGAGGCCAAGCGCCAAAACGAGGTGTTCATTGATATGACTTCGCAGTAAGTAAAACCTGGATTCATTATACGGTGATTTACTGACCTTTGTGCTTCTAGTGAGGTATTATTTCGAGCCATGATGAAGATGCCTTTCAGATTACTGACTCCTATGCAGATTAGAAATCCCCTCGGCGCGGTCGTACATTGTGCAGATGCCATAGACGAATCTCTGGAAGAGATGAGATCTACCATGGAGAAACTACAGTTTTCTGACGAAAAAGCAGGCCAGCGTCTACGTGAGTTGGTTGAAAGCAGTGCAGAAGCTGTCCAAACCATCACGTCGTGTTCGAGCCATCAGAAAAGGTATGCTGTCGAGATACTTGAATCTGACGACTCATAAAAAGCACGCTGACTTTGACTTGCCAGAATCGTCGATGATCTTTTGACCTTGTCTAAGCTCGACAGCAACCTTTTACAGATAAACCAATCTCCAGTTCGTGCCGCAAGTATCCTGGATGACATGCAACGCATATTCGAGATCGAGGCCGGACGCGCTCATATTGAATTACGGATCCAAGCCGATCCTTCAATCAAAGCCATGAGCGTCGACAATGTCATGCTCGACACTGGCAGAGTGCATCAGATTCTGATCAACTTGATCACTAATGCGTTGAAGTTGTGAGTATTACTGGTGGTTAAGCTAGATCCCAATATTGACTTGGTCCCAGCACAAAAGATCGACCGAAACGATGCGTCACCATAACCATGGGCGCTTCTAAGATGCGACCTTCCGATGGTGCGTTGTTGTCAACCATCGACTTTGCACTGCCACATACTCTAAGCGATACCGTTCGTGAGTCCGAAGCGCTATGTACAGGTCCAGAAACGTTTTTCATCTGGTTTACCGTGTCAGACACGGGAAGAGGTATCAAGCCAGAGGAAAAGACCAAGCTCTTTTCGCGCTTTCAACAGGCATCGCCACGCACCTATGCAAAGTATGGTGGCTCAGGGCTTGGCCTGTTCATCAGCAGAGAACTCGCAGAACTTCAAGGTGGCGAGATAGGCATCGCTACCGAACTTGATGTTGGCTCAACCTTTGCATTCTTCGTCAAGACACGGCCGGCCGCGGCACCAGCAGAACAACGCCTCAAGGACGAACTTGCATTCCGTCCTCGTAGTGGATCTACTCAGACAAGCTTCAGCAACGAATCAGCACAAATCCATGTCCTAGTGGCCGAGGACAATCAAGTCAATCAGAAAGTACTCAAACGCCAGCTCACAAATAAAGGCTACGTGGTCTGGACAGCAGACAATGGTCAGGAGGCCATCGACTTCTTGCGCCAAACCCGTTATTGGAACAGGCCTGACAAAGGACAAGGACAGGAAAAAGACCTCCACGTCATCCTCATGGACACCGAAATGCCCATCATGGATGGCCTTACCGCTGCGAAGAAGATTCGCGACATGCAAAGGTCGGGTGAATTGAAAGGGCACGTGCCTATTCTTAGTGTCTCAGCGAATGCGAGACCTGAACAGACCAGTATGGCGATAGCGGCTGGAATGGATGACTCCATCAGCAAACCATTCAGGATTGCGGACTTGACCCCGAAGATCGATCGACTTGCTGATCTAGCTCATGCTAGCTAGTTCGAATCGACTTGCTAGTCTAGCTCATGCGAGTCAATCTGCATTGTGTTTTGAGTTTTTCTTTTCTTAGTCTAGCCTTACTCGTTTTGATGAAGATGATCTGGATGGAAGGGATTTTGATGATTGGTGGCATATGGATGGAGGGTGGAGTGGCTGATTCATTAACGTGTTGTATCACGTGGGCAAGGTCACACTGATTTGTCATGATTGTATATTACAGGAATTACAGGAAAGAACTATTTTGATGGAGACGCTGGACTATGACATTATATTTACAAAAAAAAGTGACGAGGACCTGAAAGTCCTGGGGGGTATATGGAGAAGCAGAGAAAGAAAGGACCAAAAGAACTGATCGTGTTGGCATCGCCATAAAACGTGTCTCGTGTTACAGCCTGTAGTTCAGAATGATTGTCAGCATACATTCGTTCAAGGCTAGCATCGAGGACTTTGAGGTCAGAGGACTTACCAAGTTCATCAGATATCTCTCAGGTTGAGATGGAAGACCCTCGTAACATCATGTCTGTTTCTATGGACTTGACAGCCTCGTTTACATCATCGAACTGTTTGAGATGTCGAAGTATCACTTCGGTGTCTGGAGGTGATGCTCTCCGCAGCATGAACACAACCGATCGGTATGCCTTGAGCTCTTCTCGAGAGGCTTGTTGTTGTGTTTTGCCTTCTTCAACCGAGTAGGCGCATGGAGTCGCTTTGTCTAGGCAGGTGTTGCATCGCGGTCGGGCACCGTCACACTGAAAGTCATGTGTCAGATGATTGTTATTATTATATATTTTGAAACACGAAAAGAGTGTTTTTGAATTTAATTTTTTTCTTTGTGTGAACACACCCTTGATTTACGTTTCCGACACGGGCGACATGCGGCTAGTGTTTGTCTGCGCCTCGGCTTTGAAGAATCATTTGGTGTGTCTGGAGTCTGAGATTGTGTTGTTGTTCTCAGTGGTGGTGAGTTGGGAGTTGTTGTGGCCGACGACGATGACAAAGATGAAGTCGAATGATAAAGACCCGGCGGGCTGTCTGGTAATGAGAGCGCTTCTACATTGCCGGGAAAGGAAGGATAACCCATGGCAGGCTGTTGATCGTATTGAAGCCTCGGTTGCTCGTTATAAAGCATGTTAATTGCAATAATATTATCCGCAGCTGACAGGTCAGGATGCGCTGGGTTTGTTTGGATCGCAGATGAAGGAAGAGATCAGAAAACAGCAGAGGGAAGTCAGGCAGATTATTGTGGCATGAGGCTCAAATGCGATATTTGTAAGAACGGATTAATGTCAGGTGCAGAGCTTAGCTCGGACGCAAACCCGAGGCTCGCTGGTTGGGCCAGACCTTTGGCTGATCCGACTAAGCTTTCGTGTAACTCAAGATCGGGCAGCGGCAGCATCCACAACACTCGAGCGAGACCCAACTCCGCGATCAACCGACATGCAGATCATAGGCCCTTCAACGTTAAAATACATACCGTGCTTACCATCCGTCTCCTGCAACTTGCAAGCACACACAGCCTCGTCGTCTAATCCCACCTCGCTATTGTGCCGAACTCCCGTACCAAGACCCTCCAAAAGGGTCAACGACGTCTTTGATGTCTGCTTGTGTACATTCGAGCGGGTGATCGGCAAGATTATTTCCAGCGGACAAGGTGTCCGGTCGGTCCTTCGCTCCGCCGCCGAACACGCACAAGCAAAAGTCACAGCCACAAGCCATTGCAGCCCCATAGCAGACGTTTGCCATGCCGTTCCGCTGCTGACATGGCCAAGCCCAACGAAAACCTTGGAATATGCTGACTCCGTTACCTCATCGATGACCTCTATGGCGCTTCGAACTTGTGATAATTGCGTGGTAGATAGAATAATCAAGCGAGCGCGTGGACGCTTGCGGAATATGCTCCGGAACAAATCAGACGCAGTCAGGGACTCAGGGGAAATTTGTGCCGTGCGTGGTTCGCGATCACCACCCCGAATGAGCCAAGCCAACATTCGAGGCCCTTGAATCGCGATGCAGGGCATTGAAGGGTCATTTATGCCTAAACAGTACTTATTGATCGTTGCGCTAGTCGACGACTGGAAGGTGCATCTTCCTGTCCTGGGCTTTGAAGCAGGGCTGGCACGGTATAACAGCGACATGTTATTGCAGGTCTATGCAGCTATAACACAAGATGAAACAGACCCTCTTCTCTACATGATCCTTGATCTGGTTGCCGTGATCAAAACAGACACACAACACAGCCTCGAACCTGAGATCCTGACTAGGAGTTGTGCTATACAGAAAAATCATTCCGTGTACATCAGGCTGGGTTGTGTGTCTCGCAACTCACGTTGATGGATGGGACAAGCGCATATTTCCATAAAAGGCTAACAGTCCAGACCAAGGATCTGAGAGCCGAGCATAGCCAGATATCAGTAATCAACTCGGAACATCGGCCGCAAGACTTGCGATTGGCTAACTGAGAATCTGCACAACTATTATGCTTCACGTCACGCGACCATCACGTGAGCATCATCTTAGCCAAGCATCATTATGGTCAGACATCATTCTGAGTTTACGACAAGAGTGTGACTTCCGATGTGCACCTTCCGAAGCTTTCGACACTCTAGGAGAATCAGCGGCATGCAGTGCAGCACGTTTATCTAACCTCGACAGTTCCTGACGCAAGTATGTCATTAATACCTCGAAGCGGTCTCTTCTGCCGACTCGGTTTCGGAAGTAGCACTGCCCCATGGTGAGATGCCGAGATGAAGGTATACGTCACTATCATCCACATACTTACACTCTCTACCATGGGGTAGGCGGGGAGACGACAACCATTGCGATACTATCACGATTACCGCGGAAGATTGCGTTGTACGCTTTCCGAGCCCTAAACCATATATCTCGAGAAGGAGCTCCCCAGACGTTCCTGCATGTTTTGTTTCCATCAATTGCAACAATCTTCTCCACTTCTTGGCCTCGGATAACCGAACATATAACAAGCGGCAGTCGCTCACCAATTCATTAAGAAGCAACTTGTCCTTCATCCTACACAACGATCAGGATGGCAGGCTCAAAGCCACTTGGTAAAATTGCCATTGTTGGTGGTGGCATCAGCGGTGTCACCCTTGCAATCGCTCTTCTCGAACGTGGACTCGATATCAATGTTTACGAACAAGCTGCCCACTTTGGCGAGATTGGAGCGGGTGTGGCATTCAATCCCGCCGCTGCTAGAGCAATGAAGATCTGTTCTCAAAACATCTACGCGGCATTCGAGAAAGTGGTGACCAAGAACCAGAGCGAAGACAAGCAATCAGTATGGTTTGACTGGGTGGACGGCTATCACGATACCGAAGTTGGAAAGGAGGAGTATGCTTTCAGCATCGGCAACGAAGCTGGAGCCAACGCTGTGCACCGAGCACATTTCCTGGACGAACTGGTCAAACATGTGCCTGAAGGAGTCACACATTTCGGAAAGCATCTGGACACTATCGACGAGCTTCAAGATGGAAAGTTGAAGCTGAAGTTCCACGACGGAACTGATGCCACAGCAGATGCAGGTACTTGTTACTCTGTGAACGACTTTTCCTTGGACGAGAAAAGCTGACAAAAACAGTCATCGGATGTGATGGCATCAAGTCCAAGGTGCGAGCTTGGATGATGGGTCCCGACAGCCCATGCACTCCTCCAGTCTATACGCACAAGTACGCCTATCGCGGCTTGATCCCGATGGACAGAGCGAGGAAGGAACTCGGTGATGATCTAGCACAAAATGCAAAAATGCACATGGGTCAGGATGGCCATGTTCTGACTTTCCCGGGTAATCATTTCCCCAATTATGATTGCACAAGGAGCAGAGCGAGCTGACAAGAGATAGTCAACAAAGGAGCTACTATGAATGTGGTTGCTTTCAAGGTCGACCCTGGCGAATGGCCGTCGAACACCAAGCTCACCTTACCATCAGAGAAATCGCATGCCTTCAGAGACTTCAAGGATTTCGGCGCCACAATCCACAAGATCATAGAAATGCTAGAGCCTAACCTTGACTGCTGGGCCATCTATGACCTTGGTGACAATCCGATGCCGTATTACAACAAAGGTCGCGTCGTGGTTCTCGGTGACGCTGGCCATGCCACCTCTCCTCATCATGGTTTGTATGACCCGTCCTTCGTATAGAACCATTCGCTAACCTTTTCTCCTTCACTAGGTGCTGGTGCCGGTATGTGCATCGAAGATGCGGCAGTCATGGCAGAACTCTTGATAGATCCTAGAGTCGCCGAAGCTGGCCACAAAGGTTTCGATGCCGCCTTCCAAGCTTACAATGAGCAACGACTGGAGAGGACACAATGGCTTGTCCAAAGCTCGCGACGTACAGCTGATCTTTACGAGTGGAGAGCAGAAGGCGTTGGTAAAGATTTCAAGAAGATTGAAGCAGAGTGTCGCGAGCGAGACGAGTATTTGTGGAACGGCCAGGTCAAGGAATATATCGAGGAGGCAAAAACATTGTTGGGCAAATACCTTAAACAGTAGTTTGTCCGAGGATAGAAAGCTCTCCAATTGGAAAAGTGAATATAAATGCTGTGTATTGATTGAAGTGTACTTGATAGAAAATGTAGCGATGGAAAGAGTGCAGTGAATAGCGAACGCTCTCGAATCAATGTTCGCTATGACATCCTCACACGTCAGCACTTCAGGCTGCGACTTTCTGTAGCGACAACCCTGACTGATCATGAATGCTTCAAAACGAGTGTTCAATCAGGCTACTACAAAAGCTCTTTCTTCCAAAATGGCGAAGATAGCAGTGACTCCTTTGCCCTCACGGAACCCGGACCCAGTGGATCTTCCGGCGCACTGGACCAATAATCCGCCAACATCATTCAAGAATCCTTGGCCCAGCTTCGCAAAACAACATGGACCGCTGGATGCTTTGAAGGTACGCTTCAGCACCAACAGAAACTTTGTGCCCGTGCCAGAGACCAGGGACGAGTTGGTTAAAGTCCGCAAGCCAGATTGGGGCAGAGGCTCAGATGGATGGCAACAACAGCTGAAAGCGACATGGCTGGGTCATGCTGGATTCTTGGTAGAGACGGCTTGCTCAGCCTCCACAACAGGACCTGAAGTCTCGGCCGAGGATGGCAAGGAAACTACCAGAGGCATTCGAATCTTATTCGATGCGGTGTTTAGCGAGCGAACAAGTCCGGTGGGTTGGTTAGGACCTAAACGATACACGCCTACACCTTGCACACTGGATGAGTTACCAGAGGTCGATTTGGTAATCATCTCGCATAACCACTATGATCATTTGGATATTGCGATCATCTCGCATGTTTACAGGAAGTCGAAAGCGGCAGGCAAGAATATACATTTCTTTGCTGCGCTAGGCAACAAACACTGGTTTCTGAATGCAGGCATTGGGATCACCGCGGACGAGGTCACAGAATGCGATTGGTGGGACAGCCAAAAGGTCGATGTTCAAGGAGTAGGCAGTATCAATCTCACATGCACGCCGACACAGCACTTCTCTGGACGAACTCCATTTGATGCTGGGCACACTCTGTGGTCTTCATGGGTTGTTGAAGACGTGCAATCGAACAAGAAACTCTACTTTTCGGGCGACACGGCATACAAAGCCACCTCTGCAAAGACGGCATGCCCAGCATTCAAGCAGATAGGCCAAGTCTTTGGTGGATTTGATTTGGCCATGGTACCTATCGGTCTGTACTCGCCCGAGTGGTTCATGAGCAATGTTCACTGTTGCCCTGAAGACAGCCTTGAGATTCACAAGGACATTTGCAGCAAGAAGACTATTGGTATGCACTATGGAACGGTGCGAGGAGGGCTCAGCGCGCAATATGAAGACGTCAGAGAGCCGCCAAGGCGTTGGCAAGAGTGCTGCGCAAAAGAAGGGAAATGGCAGACGGAATGTTGGTTGTGTGATGTGGGTGAGACGGTGACAGCTGCTTGATGGCACGAGAGACGTAATCATAATATTCGCTCATTCAGAAGCGTGAGATGAGATGAGACTTATTGCGACATGCTGTGTCTGTCATCAAGTGTGTTACAAGAAGGCGTACCGAGTTTTGAAAGATGTGGAGAAAGTCTTCATGTTTCAGCGAGGATGACGTGCTTCATAGTGTCAGAGAAGCACATGGCGGAGAGGCAAGACTGCAAGGACAAAGATTGAGCGTATTGCAAGGCATCAAAAGACAGCCAAGGAATGATTGCGTAGTCTTGTTAATGGGGATTGCAGTCATGCAGCGGCGGCAACAGAAATGGGGGACGCGTATTCGTCAATGTCGATGCTTATGTCGCCAAGGACAAGATGGCCAAGCGCTTTACAGTGGTCCGAGGCGGCAGTGCGGTGAGGCTTCACGCCTTGGGGCCATGGCCGTGACGGCTGGTCACAAATAGCATCTCATAGCCTTGAAGGAGTTACCAAAGCGAAAAATAGGAACGAGAAGGAAACAAGTCGAGATATACAGACAAAGTGAGCGAGATGAGGAGTTGGAAGTAAATGGGTATCCATAAATAGAGCAGAATAGGTAATGAATGTGTCGGAGTTTAGATTGCAATACGACGGAGTTTTGCTAGCGTTGGAGAAAGAGCAGGGTCCAGCGTGGGCAGTGAGAGGCTCTCGAGGCAGTTGGTTGCTAGGCCAAGGGAGCTGCCAATGCCATGAGCCATGGCGCTTCGGCCGACCGAGTCGACATTGTGCTCGTATCAACCATGTCGCTGACTTAGGCTGTCGCTCTCGCTCGTTGTTTCATACCATTCGCTCCTCTCGGCTTCTGTCTGACTGCCATCAACAAGTCTGTCTGTAAACAAAGACGCAGGGCAGAAACGCTCCACTGTATACGACGCCCGCATCCTGAATAGGACGCTAGACCGTCCCGCCACCACGCGCGTCCATGGCCGCGACTGCCTTTCGCTTCTGTCTACTCACAGTCCTTTTCGCTGCTTTGGTCGCTGCCAGCTCGACAACACGCAACCCTCTACGTGCCATATCCACAGTCCAAAATGCCACCATCCACACACATAGCCATCGTGTGACCGCTCTCCATAACTTTGACCTGTCCTTCGTGTTGCGCCCAGATCTTCATGTCAAACTCTCTCTCGAGCCCAATCATGAACTTCTCCCAGACACTGGCTTGGTCGTCTCATATTTAAACCCCGATGGATCCGTCTCTAGGACCGAGGACCTTGACCGTCTGGCCCACAAGGTCTTCCGAGGAAGTGCTTGGTACCGCCAGGAAAACGTCGACGACGAATGGATAAGAGCAGGATGGGCAAGAATCACCGTCGTCAAGGATGGTCTGCAACCTCTGTTCCAGGGTGCCTTTGCCTTGAACCACGACAACCACCACATTCAATTGGCTCCTCACTTCGCCCACACGCGCCACCACCTCGATCCCCATGTTGATACCGCAGACGAGAACTCCATGGTTGTATACCGCGACTCTGACATCCTGCGGGACCAGGATGTCGACTATATGCAAGAGTTGAAAAGAAGCCTGGAATACGATGATGGTCTCACATGCCACTCAGACAATCTAGGCTTCAACGGCCAACCCGATCATCCTGTTTACACCGCCATGCAGCGACGATCTGATTCTGTCCTGGGAAGCGAGACTTTGAGTAACCTCTTTGGCAAACGCCAGGTGGATAGCAGCACTTCTGGCAACTCGGCAGGCGTCGACCTCACTTCCACTATTGGCCAGACTCGAGGTTGTCCCAATACCAGACAGGTCGCCCTCGTTGGAGTCGCTACTGACTGCACATACACCGCGCAATTCAACTCGACCGAGTCTGTGCGCATGAATGTCATTGACCAAATGAACACAGCATCTAGCATATACGAACAGACTTTCAACATCTCGCTTGGTCTGGCTAACCTGACCATCTCCGACTCGAATTGTCCCGGCACCCCAAACTCTGCAAGTGCTTGGAACCAGGCCTGTAGCGATAGCGTCGACATTCAAGATCGCCTCAACTTATTCAGTGCATGGAGAGGCAATCAGCAAGATAGCAACAGTCATTGGACACTGCTTAGTACTTGCAATACCGGAAGCGCCGTCGGTCTTGCCTGGCTTGGCCAAGCATGTGTCCAGACCGCCTTTTCTACCAACAGCAGCACTACCGGAAATGGTCAATCTTCTAGCAGTGGCTCAGAGACCGTCACAGGCGCAAACGTTGTCGTGAGAACTCAAGGAGCTTCGGAATGGCAGATCATTGCCCACGAGACTGGTCACACTTTCGGTGCCGTCCATGATTGTACAGAACAGACTTGTGCGCAATCTTCGACCGTCGGCAGTCAACAGTGCTGTCCACTGAGCTCTTCCACCTGTAATGCAGGTGCACAGTACATCATGAACCCTTCGACCACTTCTGGTATCAAGAACTTCAGTCCCTGCAGTATTGGCAACATTTGCAGCGCTCTTGGGCGCAACAGCGTCAAGTCCACTTGTCTAACTGCCAACAGAAACATCAAGACCATCGGTACGCAGGAATGTGGCAATGGAATTGTCGAAGAAGGTGAAGACTGTGACTGCGGCGGCGAGTCAGGATGTGGAAACAACTCATGCTGTGATGCAAAGACTTGCAAGTTCAAGAACAATGCCGTCTGTGATGACAGCAACGAAGGCTGCTGCAACAACTGCCAATTCGCCTCCAACGGAACTGTTTGTCGCGCTTCTACAGGCCCGTGTGATCCTGCAGAAACCTGTCCAGGTACTTCAGGTACCTGCCCACAAGATGCCAACGCGCCTGACGGTCAAAAATGCGGCAATGGCCTCCAGTGTGCCAGCGGTCAATGCACAAGTCGTGATCAGCAGTGCAGGAGCGTCCTGGGCGGCTATCAAGATGTTGGAAACAACACTTCGGCTTGCGACAGCTCGACTTGCCAGATTAAATGTACGGGCGGTAGATCTTCTGTGTTTGGAAACAATGCCTGTTTCGAGGTGCAACAGAACTTCCTCGATGGCACACCTTGTGGCGGCGGAGGCAGATGTGACAATGTAAGTTTTGACAATGTCGGCGAAAGACGAGGAGCAATTACTAAGAACCCTTCAGGGACGCTGCAAAGGCACAAACGCTGGAGGCCAGATTCGCTCATGGATCGACGACCACAAAGGCATTGTAATTGGCGTTTGTTGCGGTGTAGGAGGCCTTCTTCTCTTCGCAATCTTCGGCTGCTGTGCTCGCGCCTGCCGAAGACGCAGAGTCAAGCCTGTCAAAATGCAATCACCACCACCTGGTTGGGGCACTCAGATGCGTCCTATGCCGCCAGTCAACTCATATCCACCACCGCCGCAACACTATGGTCAGGGGTACAACCAAGGATATGGACAATGGGCACCACCGCAAGGGCCGCCTCCACCAGCATATACGCCGCAAACGAGGTATGCTTAAAGGGCATCATCCTTGGCTCTGTCGCTGTTTCGTGTAATGGGAGATACGTTGGCGTTTTTCTTTGTTGGCATCTTAGTGATTTGCTTGAACATACTATACTTCCAGACATCACTTGTACATAATCTAATGGAAGGAACTGCTTGTATGATTTCATTTTCAAGACTGTTTATGTGCTCGCTCAACATGGGCTGAATTCTGATGTGTGTATGTGGTATCTGACCGGTCCAATGCTTTGTCTAATTGAATCTCCTAGGAGAGGGCCGATAGCATACTGCCACGGATTTCTGGATTCAATGGATATTGAGGCCAGCTGCTGCGACAGCCAGGCGTCAGAATCTTGGACTGTCAAAAGCTATCCTGAGGAGAAGCCAATCAGCGGAAGATCAAGGGTATTCCAAAGCAACTCTTCACATTGCCTGCATGCATCGACTTACACATTACAATGGTGACGTTCATGCCGAAGCCTGATCGTGACATCGTCATCGTCATCGTCCACCTCTCGTGAACACTGGAAACAAAAAGACCCCATGAGCCTTTCAGCTCTGGTATTCCTCCTGAGTGGCTCCTCCTCCTCCTCCTCCTCGTCCTCCTTGTCCCATCCGAGCGGAAAACATCCCTTGCGCTCTTCAGCCGCTACTTTCCTGAAGAGCTGTGCCATCATCTTGTGTGCCAAAGCATAATTTCTGAGGCCAGACCACTGATCTAGAGGAGTCCATGGTTCCCCCTCTTTTTCCGGGTTCTTGTGTTTAGCCTTACACTCAAGGTGTTCAAATTCAACTTGATGGTTTGAAAGTTCGAGACCAAGTCGACAGGTATCGGCAAACCCTACATAGTCTTCTGCATTCATAAAGCTGAGGATTCTGTAGATGATTTCACGCGGAAGCTTGGTGAAGAGGTCTGGTTGCTGGTGTGTGAGCATCAACGGCGGCGAATCGAGATCGACATTAGAATCGTAATCGTCCCAAACACCTAACATGCAGGGTCTTTCCCGTTCCCATTCAGACTGTCTATAGAACTCAGGTATGGTAGCATAATTTCTTCGATCAGGGTCCCGCTCCAGATACGACATTGGTCCCTTTGATGGATCATCATTGATATGATATTTTTTGGTTGAGAGTTCAGGAAACTCTGATATAACCTGGTTGTTCGAAAGTTCGAGTGCAAGGGGCGATACTTCAGCAAAGTCTATGTAATCCTCTGGGTCCATGAAGCTTAGGATTCGATATATGATCTCCGGCGGAAGCTTGGTGAGAAACTTCGGTTGTATTGACGTTTGGTATGCGTAACGATCTTCCAATGTAAGGGCGAAGATATCATCTAGCCTGAGGCCTGCGAATATGTTCTCCAGTGGGGTGTTGGGTCCGTCATTTCTTATCCAGGGATAGTAATTGCGTACGGCATTCCGGGTGTTGCCTTCCGGGACTGTATCCAAGGCCTTTCGAAGGCCAACGCAGTAGCTGGACAGGGGATACCCATGTGAGGTTGTTGTGAGATTTGATCTGGGGTCCATCATCATCTTGCTTGATTGTCTTCAGCTTATTCCCTTCGATGGTAAGTATTAGCTAGACAGACATCTCAAGATCTGTATCAAGTGCGACAGGAATAGGTGCCTGGAGTTCGCTCTTGGCATCTGCTGACTCATTTAGCATGCCTAATCTTAATTAATCTAGTATTCGATCCTTCGCCGCTTGGTGTTTTTGCTCGTGCGTTCAAGATGCGCGGCGTGTCGAAAATGTTGAAAGAATGACATGTTTCTTGATACGCACATACTGAGTAGAAGGGAAGAGCGAGGCGTGGAGAAAATTGCCAGGAGAAAGCCGGAGAAAAGAACAAGAGGCAATAGAGGGACGAAAGATAGGCAATAGAAAGTAAGAGCTTGCCAGAAGGGCATTGATTTCTGGTCAGAGTGATGGGTGTTGTGTGTTATGAGAGCAAAGGGTAGAACGGTCTATCTTCAATGGGAATGTGTTTTGTGCATAGAATCATGTCCGCAAGTCCTCGTTACCGCGAAGTACGGAAGAAAACGCTCAGTCGAACGAGCAAAGAAAGCCTCTTGAAAACGCCGTTGACTCCGCCGCCGTGATAGAACCCTTTTGTAAACCGAAAGCAAGAAACCACAGAAAAGAAGGCCGTTTTGACCAACCTATCGATCCTCTAGTCGACGGGAGCGTGCTTGAAGAGGAACGAAACAGACTCGCCGTTGTGGGTACGGCGGCAAGCTTCGGCCAGCTACGGTGCAGATTGTCAGTAAAATGTATAGTTGTCTGGTAGCTCCTCGGTGAAACTCACAGTGGGAGAGATGTCAATGGTCTCAATGCGGTCGCACAGAGCCTTCTTCTCCTCGTGGGGGACAGTATTGGTGACAACGAGCTTGGTCAACTTGGACTTGTTGAGCTGTTCAATAGCGTTGCCAGACAGAATACCGTGGGTGACAATGGCAATAGCACTGCTGGCACCGTGGTCGATGACGACCTCAGCGGCCTTGCAGAGGGTGCCGCAAGTGTCAGCCATGTCGTCGACGATGATGGCAACCTTGCCGCGAACATCACCGACCAAAACCATACGGGAGACCTCATTAGGACGAGCGCGCTCCTTGTGGATGAGGGCAAAGCCAAGGTCGAGGCCGTCGGCGATTGAAGTGGCTCTCTTGGCACCGCCAGCGTCGGGGGAGACGATGACACAGTCCTGAACCTTCAGGTTGTCACGAATCCAACGAAGGGTGCTGGGTTCGGCGTAGAGGTTGTCGACGGGAACGTTGAAGAATCCCTGGATCTGCGAAGCGTGGAGGTCCATGGTGATGACGTGGTTGCAGCCAGCAGTTTGAAGCATGTTAGCCATCAAACGGGCGGTAATGGGGGCACGCGATTTGTCCTTCTTGTCCTGGCGAGCGTAGGGGAAGTTGGGAAGGACGGCGGTGATGCGACGGGCAGAAGCGGTCTTGCAAGCGTTAATCATAATGAGCAGCTCCATGACTCCGTCGTTGATGTCGCCGGGGGCAGTTGATTGCAGCACGAAGACTGGGCGCAGCAGTCAGCTTTGTGCACCTTCTTCTCGTTGGGCTCTGAGCGTCTCGAATGTGTCATACCATCTTCGTCACGAACCGACTCTCCGATGCTGATGCTCGACTCGTTGTTGGAGTACTGGAGGACCATGATCTTGGCCAGCTCGATTCCCAGACTGTTGCACGCATTTTGTCAGTCCTTTGCGCATCGTGTCGGGCCATGTGCATGCGGTGAAGGATGATCAAAAGTTTTTTGTTTGCGCGCGCGCGGGGTGAACATGTTCAAAGCAGACAGAACAAGGAAGGACCTACCGGCTAGCGACCAGCTCAGCCAGCTGAGGGTGGCTGCTGCCAGTCAGGAGCTTTATCGAGTTGGTACTCATGATCTAGATGGTGTCAACTTTGTTGCTTTTGGAAGGCGCAATGAGCTCTCTGCCAACCGAACCTACGAGTGGAGGACGAGGAAGCGACATCGCGGAGTTAGGGCTGCGTTATGCGCGGGATGCGAAGTTTAGCCGAGTACCGAAGGCGGTGATGAGATGGCAGAAAATGTGCGGAAGATGCGTGCTTCAGTAGCCTGTTGTATGCTTGGCGTTCGCTCCGTTTGACATCCAATGTTCTCACCACAGTGCCAAGGCCATTCCCTCCTGCTCCATGTCTCGCTCTGCACATTGACTAGAATAAACGGCTTCTCTGATCTTCTAACAATCCCTGTCTTAGAACGTAGGAGCAACTGTCAAAGTCAAGTGTATCATTGTTCCCAACATGTCTATCTATACCATGCATCTGTATCGTACAATCTCACCCAAATCCTCCTTATGCTATCTTACACAATTACCCTGCGAACTTTTTGTTTTGAAACAGAGAGTATCTATCGGCTCGGCTCATCAGGTCTGACTCTAGCACCAGTTTCGTCGATGGCGTTACTGGAGCCCAGACCAAAGCCATAGCCAGGCTTCTTCGTGCGAGCTCTTTTCTCGCCGTATTGTTCGTCGAACTTGCGAATGGCACTTAGCGTTGCCATATCCTCAGATACCGACGCTGAGATCTCCTGTAGAGCCTTCTCAAAGTGTGAAGGTGCGAGCGTACGACGTTCTGGTAACTTGAACTCTGTGTCACCCTTGGCGCGAGCAGCTTCCAGAGCGTTGTTCTCATCGCGCACCGCGGCAAGCGCGGCAGCCACACACAAGTTCTTAAGATCTGAACCAGAGTAGAGAGGTGTGTTCTTGGCCAGGTCGGATAGTGAGACAGCTGGGTCAAGGGTCTCACCCTTCAAGTGGATGTTGAGAATACCTTCACGATCTTTGGCGAGGGGAAGGTCAACCAACAAGCGACGAGGCAGGCGACGCAGTACAGCATCATCTAGATCGAAGGGGCGGTTGGTGGCTACCATCATGAATACGCTATGGTCATCCATGCCATCCCATCCACGAAGGAATTGGTTAATAATTTCGCGGTGTGTGGTGCGATTGTTGGCACCACCACGAGAGCCGAAGAGAGCATCAGCCTCGTCAATGAAGACTACACAAGGTGATAACTTCTTGGCGAGCGAAAAGACTGCGTTGACCATCTTCTCGCCCTCGCCAACATATTTTTCATAGACTTGTGCACCGCTGACCTCAAGCACAGTGGCAGATGACTCCTTAGCAACAGCTTTAGCGAGCAGAGTCTTACCGGTACCTGGAGGCCCGTACAGAAGAAGACCAGGTAGGCGATCAGCCGCGAGCACACCGTAGCTGAAAGCTTCCGGGCGAAGCAATGTTAGTGAAGTCAAAGTCTTGAGTGAATCGATGGTATTCGGGTCAGCATGCACATCGTTGAATGTGGTTCGCAGATTTGCAGGGTCGACGACACCTGACAAGAGGCGTGTCTCATGCTTCGAGCACGACTTTTTCAGCTTCTCCATATCCAATTTGGGAGAGGTGGAGTCATTGGAGCTATCAGATTCATCTCGAGATTCTCCGCGCTCACGAGCTTGAGGAATCATAGTGTTGAACGAGATGTTACCGGGCGGAGGTTTCAGCGCATTGTCAACAGTGTTGACCAGCATGGCGGCAAGCGCGATGTGTGAGGTTTCCAGAGAAGGGCTGGTGGTGTAAAGTGACCGCAAGCTGTCTGCGCAGAGGACAATCCTTTGGATCTCGTCTTGAGGTAAAGTCCTGTCTCCTAATTTAGAGGTGCCTGGGATGTTAAGGTGTGCGCGGGTATGTCCCGAGAAGAAATTGTCAGAGGTTGGTAAGCCTAGATGACGAACCATGGTGTGAATATGGCGCATGTTGATCTCAAACACTCTCTGAAGAGCAGGTTCAGCCACACTGCGCTCTAGCTCTTGTTGAGTTTGAGACGCGAACATCAACTGGCTTGCGATATTTTGGGTTGGAGATGATGCTGAAGGGTATCTCAAGTATCGGAAATAAAGCTCGTCGTCATCCTGGCCAGGAGGCGGAGGAGCTTGGCTGGAGTTTGCTGTAGTACCAACGATGACAATTTGTTCACCATCCTTCCTTCGACGCTGCACAGCACTGACTAGGAGGTTGATAATAGTTTCTCCCTGAGGCGCATTTCGTATGTGATCCATATCACGGACATGGACGATGGTTCGTTGCTGTGGCTGACTGGACTGTGATGGAGCGGAGTCTTTCTTGAAGCTCCAATCCATCTTGTGTGCCTGTGTAGCGGAATCGATACGCTTTGCAAGGAAGTCGGTCAAGAAACGTTCAAGGCCGTCTTTTGTGGGTGGGGAGGAGGTGATCGTGTCTGGCTTGGAAGGGATGGCTTCGTAGAAGAAATCACGAGCTGCGTTCTCAGTAGACGAGTTTTTCCTAATTTGAACGCTGTCCAAGACAGTATCGAGAAGGTTGGATAGTTTCAGCTCGGCCCATGGACTGATGTCCGCGGCACGAGAGCGGGCCTCTTCTGAAGATTGGGTGTTACTTTTTGGCAGATCAGCCATAGCAAGGACAGCGGCTCCATGCTTTTGAGCTTTGGCGAGCACGCTCGGATTGTCCCTGAGAAAATCAACGAGATCGCCAATATGGCCGCCCATCATAGGGGAACTGCCCATGTCAAAATCGGGCATGTCATGAGCGTGTTCAGATTCACCATCATCGTGGCTGTCGTCTCTGGGCGGTTCGCCAATAATGTTGATCTGAATGTCAGGCTTCTTGGTAGCGAGACCTTTGAAAGTGTCGTAAGCTAAAGACGAGATTGAGCCAGGTGCAAGATCTCCTCTCTCGACATAGTCCTGTGACAGCTCTGCAATATCGTTTGCATCGAGATGAATCACGTCAGCTTGGACGAGACCAGCGATCTGCTGTACGTAAACATCAAGCTCCTTATGAACAGAATCTTTGGTATTCAAATCGATGTTTGATTTAGTGTAACGAGCGGCCGAAGGGCCTGTTTGAGAGAAGGCGGCATGAAGAAGGAGTTGCAGTTGGAGCGAGAGTAGGGTACGTGGATCCGCAGTTTGAAGAGGAGAAGGAGCAGAGAGGTGATTTGAGACAGCACGAGCAACATCGTCTTGTACAGCATCCTCCTCTTGGGACGGGGAGATGGACTCCTTGTTCTCTTCTTGTTTAGATTGTTCCGAGGACGTAAAGACATCGTCCAACTGGTCGGAGGGGTTGGCGGTGAACGGGAGGGTCAGAACAGTGTGGCCCGAGTCGCGATCCACCAGAGTCCAGCAGCGAGATTCCTTGTTGGAAGTAGCGTCTTCGGACGGAGCATGGAGGCGGACATTGTACCGCAAGAACCAGTCCGGAACAGTAAATGGAGTGACTTCCTTGGGACGACGTTGAGCTAGTCTGCCACGACGTGTGGAGGGTGCGGGTTTGGTTGCAGTTTCCGGGAGTGCATTTTCGAGATTGGCGGTTTCCTGATTGGGATTTGGATGGGCGTCAAGTTGACGAGTGAAGGAGTGGAAGGCACGACGACGCTGAAAGGGCAAGCGCTGACCTCGCAGTGAGAGGCGAGTGAGTTGCTTGCGCCATACGTGAGTGCGCATAATTCGTTGATAAGAAAGTGAAGATCCAGAGAAGAAGGCGAGTGACTGCCACTTGAAACATGTGAATGCGCCTTCTTGGCTGACGCTCCGCAAAGTGTTTGCTGCTTGGCCAAACACGCCCTTGCACGCGCTCATTCAACCCAGCCATCTACCTTTACTCTCCATCACTACCCCCACCAGCCTCTCCGCCTCTCTTTGGACTCGATCGCCGACTTCAACATGGACTACGACTACCGGGGGATGGATGCCGATGACTCGGGTCCACGCATTAACATCAGCGAAACTACGCCCATCTCGACCAAGTTCGTCCTGAGCAACACAACCTTGTCGCTGGCCAACAGCATTCGTCGCACTATGCACGCTGAAGTTCCTACCCTCGCTATCGATCTTGTCGAAGTCGAATCAAACACGTCTGTCTTGGCCGATGAGTTCCTCGCTCATCGCTTGGGTCTCATTCCGCTGTCGGCCAAGAACATTGATGATCTCTTATACACTCGCGATTGCGACTGCGACCAGTACTGCGAAAACTGCGCCGTAGTTCTGCGCCTTAGCGCTGTCAACCGTAATTCGGACGAGACTGTCAAGGTCTTTGCCAAGGACCTCTATATCGATGCATCTTTCAGCCAGTACCGCCCTAATGTTGACACCGATGGCCCCCAGCGCGGTGCCCCTGTCATCATGGATCCCGACGGCAACGGTCCTCTGATCTGCAAGCTGCGCCGCAATCAAGAACTCAAGCTACGCTGTATCGCAAAGAAGGGAATCGCCAAAGAACACGCAAAGTGGATGCCAACAGCAGCCATCGCATTCGAGTACGATCCACACAACGCCCTGCGCCACGCCGACTTGTGGTATGAGAGTGACAAGTTGGAGGAGTGGCCACCAAGCAAGAACGCTGAGTGGGAGGAACCGCCGCAGGAGGGCGATGTCTTTGACTATGATAAGGAGCCTGATCGTTTCTACGTCAATATTGAGGGAACTGGTGTCATGCCCCCGGATACTATCTTCCACACTGCGATCAAGGTCCTCCAACAAAAACTCGCCACAGTCATCCAGGAGCTATCTCCCAACCTTCAGCAAGCACACCAACAAGATCTTGCCCAACCACCACAAAGTCCGGACATGATGGATATGACTGGTGCTGCCACAGCATACAACAACACAACTGCTTACGGCGCTGGCTCAGTCTACGGAGGTGGTTTCGGCGGCGGCAATACCAGTGCTTGGGGTGGTGGTGCTGGAAATGCTGTGCCCGGCGGTACTACACCTTATGGCGCAACACCTTATGGTCAAAATGGCTGGTAGAAATGAAGGCTTCCATCTTGCAATTTTTCTTGCAACATCACAAAAGTCCAGCGGGGATATATTTCACCGGTTTGGCGGGCGTTTAGGAGCAGGCGAAACAAAGGGAGGAGGTTTTTTGAGCCCTTCAACGGGCTATGCATTTTTATTACCCGGGAGATGATACATTGAAAAATCGAGCGCAAACTTGCATGCAACGAGGGGTTTCTTTGAAGCAACGACCATTGGCGTTCTAGTCGAAGCCAACCAGGATCAGCAAATAGAAAGACAACACAAACAAGCAGATGAAGCACAATCCTTTCTACCCGTGTATCGAAGTCTGTAACCTCCACCGTACTCCGACTGAAAGTAAGAGCAAACTGCAGACTATAAAAAGGCACAACTGTTTTTGAGAAGCAGAGGCATGTTCACGGAAAGTACCAACTTGCTACCTCTCAATGGATACCGTCTTGTTTCCTATTACTATTATGCATTTTTATAGCTATAGTCAGATACTTCAGTACACGGGGAGGTTCGAAGTTCGCTAATTATTCCATTCATGTGTCACATGCGCAATCATACATCTCATGCACCTGCAGATACCGGCGCTCTAACCTTTGTCATGTGATGACTGTCTGATGCAAATCTTCTGTCACGCATTGAGAAGCAATTCGTCAAACATGGAAAGAGCTCTCAACGAGAGATCAAAACGAATTTGGAAAGTGCAAGATAAGAGAGGGAAAAAAGGAAGGAAGATTCACAGTCGAAAAAAATGTTGAAATGAACAGCAGCATCCATTTATAAGTATATGAAAAATCCAGAAAACAAAACCAACCCTTTAAAAGACCCATATGAATGCCAACCAAAGGCTAATTAAGCAACACCACCAAGATGTATGTATAAGAGAAGTAGAAGAGATATACGAAAATGTGTTTTTGTTGCCTTTCTTAGAAGAAAATGTCAACGGCTAGGCAAGATGCTTAGAGGACGAGGGCGGCAGCACCGAAAACGGCGGCCAAGGCACCGGCAGCCTTGACGTTGGAGGCAGCGCCAGTGTAGATGGCCATCTGGGAGCTGGTAGGGGTGTAGACGGCCATGATCGAGCTGCTGGAAGCAGGGGCGGAGGTCATGGCAGGGCAGTTGCCGTTGCAGACAGTGACGGTCTGGGTGTTAGCACCGTTGCCGTTGTTCATGTTGGCAGTGGGGTGAGCGCAGGCAGGGCAAACAGTAGTAGTAAGAGCAGTGCCAGTGGCGGACTTCGGGGTTATTAGCTTTTGTATCCAATGTCTTGATGGCTTAACTTACAGGGCAGGCGTAAACAGTGGTTGCAACAGGGACAACGTTGTTTCCAGACTGAGAGAAGACAGTTGCGGTAGAAGCGGCGTAGGGGCAGTCGGTGCAAGCAACAGGAGCAGCAGGGATGACTGTGGCAGTGGGGCAGATGTACTCTGTGCTCGAGACGGCAACAACCTGGGTGACCACGGCTCCTTCACCGTTTCTCAGAGGGCAGTTGGTGACGGTAGGGGCACAGCTCTGGATAGTGACAACGTTGGTGGAGTAGATGGTCGAGGTAGCAACACCACCAGCAGAGATGGTGACCTCGCCATTGCCAGCAGATCCATCGCCGTTTCCGCTGGCGACGCGCTGAGCGAACTGGGTGCCCTGCTGAGTGTAGGCAGCCTGGACATCGCTGAAGAGAGTGCAAGTGCGAGCATTGGTGTCGAAAGCGGTACTGAGATCTTGGTTAGTGGAGTTCCATCATAAATTTGATCGAAAATGGCTTACCCGACACAAGTGCTGGTGGCATCACACAAGTTCATGCAGTCGTCAAGGCTGGAGGGAACAGCACGTCTGGTGAGGTTGGCCTGGATGTCAATAATGACACCGAAATGGTTGCTAAATCGATCAGTTTTGAAGCTATTGTTGCTGATATTGGGCATTCTTACGTGTCACACTGGATCTGGAAAGTGAAACCAGAGTTGTCGATGTAGAGGTCGAGGTCGAGACCAGGGCAGAACTTGCCGTCAATGGGGGCAATGGAAGAACCAGTGCCGGTGCTCATGGGGCGCATAGAGCTGGAGCTGGGACGGCCAGATCCAGTAGGGCCAGCAGAAGCAGTTCCGTTGGCAAAGTTGTACTGGGGAATGGCAGAGGCCATGCCAGAGAAGGCCAAGATGGCGGCGGCGGAGATGGCAGTGAAGGAAGGCATTTTGATTTTTTGGTATTGGTGGTGGTGGATTAGTTGATTGGTGGTCGGGTTGGTATTAGTAAAGAGTGTTGTAAAGAGTGGACGGCTGAGCCAAAGACTGGAAGATGCTGCTGAAGAAGCTGTTGCTGTTGCTGGATGATGAGACTACAAGCAGAGATGGACAATGGTATATATATGCCTTTCTATCAGGTTGAAGCCTTTCATTGACTCGTTGTTTGGTTAATTCGCCTCTTTGGAGCGTTACACCTGTCGTGCGGATCTCAATCTCCATTGTTACTCCTCCTGCATGACGGACACGAGAGGTGGATTAGCGATATGATTTTGCGTCAGAATCGTTGTCGTTGAGTTGGAGATAAGATTACTTGCTAACACAAAATAGCAAAAGCCGGTGACAAGACAACGAGACCGCTCGAAGGGGGCGGCTCGACCAAGCAAGCTTGACAGCAGACGTTTCGAACGGCCAATTGCCATCATGCGTGTTCGCTGCAGGCACGCATGCGTATCGAAGATGGTGGAGATAGCATGCAAAGGAAGAAAGAAACAATCTAGCCCCTCACGTGCTGCAGATCAACATCGCCAAGTAGATCAATTAGAGGTCCAGAATGCCTACAACCAAGTTTGCTATCCTGAATGGAGGACCGGTGACAGCTGTTGCAAGTCCTTGGGGAAGCCGTTGTGTGTTATGGGGGAAACTCACGGGAGGCGAAATCAAAACACACTCTATCACTACGACATGGTTGAGATTAGAGTATAGGCAGGATCCGAATTAACATGGCTTCGATAAAGCAACGTCTTGATAGTCTAATTACAGTGAGCCAATTGGTATGCTGTGGCCGAATGCCAGTTGCGTGTTGAAAGCTCAGAAAGCAGCAGCGGTTGTCTCCCCTATGTGCACGGTCTTCGCGAAGGATGCAAGCCTGGCTAAGGGGAGGGACAAGGGGTCCATAGCAACATGCCGCGTCGATCGATCGGACAACTCAATTGACTTGTAGGCAAAACAATTGCGATGCAAACGAGACTGTCGAAAGTCCCCAGCGATTTGGCGAAGGAGAGGACTCAAGCAATCACGGTCGGCAAGGATGAGCTGAGGTCGGCGTCGGGGACTGATCGGGTGCGGGCGCGTGAGTTGCGAGAGCGCACGGTTTGCGGCAAACTCTGAAGCTCGACGACGTCCGTCCTTGGCTTCCGCAAAGGACGGCCGCACCAATCGCCAATCAGAACACATTCTTCATGCATACTATTCTCTTGTCCTTCATATCGTGACTGCTGCGATTACATAGACCGTGTATAACCGACCATGGATTACTTTGACTTCGAGTCAGCCATGCGACGACCAGACCAGCATCCGGTCAATTCGGCGAATCAGTTGGTCTTTCTCTTCCTGTTACGAGAGAATTTGCACTGATGCGAAACCAGTCAATCGGGACTGCCATCAGAGGAACATCATAATCAGTCAAATCCACCACAAGTTCAGCCCCAATATGGCACAACTTATCCATGGACATCCGAAAATCAGGCACCGCTCAGCGAGCCTTTGACGGGTGTGGGATTGTGGGACAGTTCCTTGGAAGCCACATCTAACCCATATTTCCCTAATGCCATGGACATGTCAGCTTTCCGTCCATCAGCCATGCAAGACTACCAGGGGTCATATATGAATTCGCCGGCGGTCACTCCAGGGCTTGCTTACGAGCAACCATTGTCCGCAGGACCAACATCACCTTACCAAGATCAATCAGCCAATGCTGCAATGACTGCAAATAGTCAGGAGATGCAGGACTGGTTCGCACAGTCAGTAAGACGTGACAGCAGATCTAGAAAAGGCTTCCCTCGCCGGAGGTCATTGTACTCAAGAAACTCGGGCGTACCAATTTCAATCCCTAAACAGCAACACACCGATTGGTCAGCCTTGAACCCATTACAACGCTGGCAAAATAGCCCACCTGAGAACGAACCAGCATCATTATCTGCTATCAACCACGCAGTAGCTTCGACCGATCTCGATCGCCATCTCACTGTGAGCTCTGCAAACAGTAGTAGAGTCAGCACACCAGGCATCGAAACTCAAGGCTTTGGCTACGCCGCCCGTCGAACATCAAGGCCTGCTTCGATAAGCAGTCTCGAAAGTGGTACCTCAAATGGCTCGATGGACTCTATATTATCAGGTCGATCGGGTAACTCTCGTATTTCTACAAGCTCGAATCATCGTAACAATGCTCGTGGTAAAGTCACCAAATCTCGAGCACGACCAGGAACTGGTAATGATGACCGGCCTTTTCAATGCACGTTCTGCTGTGACACATTCAAGAACAAGTTTGATTGGTGTCGTCATGAGAAATCATTACACCTGAATCCTGAGCAATGGGTTTGCACCCCTGATGGCGAGACAGTCACTTGCCCATCATCAGGCGGTGTTCTTTGCGCTTATTGCTTAATTCCTCAACCAAGCAAAGAACACTTAGAAAGCCACAATTCTACTGCTTGTGCATACAAGAGTATAGAGTCAAGAAGCTTCAAGCGAAAGGATCATCTCATACAACATCTCAGGTTGGTTCACAAGGTTGATACCATTCCAACGATTGGAGAATGGAAGCCTCCGGAGCTCCCCATTAAATCTCGCTGTGGATTCTGCAGCACCGAGTTGAGCGAGTGGAAAGCCCGAGCTGATCACCTGAGCAAGCATTTCCGAGAAGGAAAGAAGATGGTGGATTGGAGAGGGACTCATGGCTTCGAACCACACGTCGCTCAACAAGTTACAAACTCGATGCCTCCTTTTCTAATTGGCTCCGAGTCAAAGACGCCGGTTCCATTCTCTGCAACTAAGCCTGGACATTCGGAACTTCTTGCGCAAATTTCCTCAAGAGCTGCACTGAGAGATGCAGCAAACAATGGCAACAACATCGTGGCAGATCCATCACCTTCGCCTGACAATCGTCCAGTCGAGAACAACCAGCAATTCAAGACAGCTTGGGAGATCCTGACCTTTCATCTTGGTCGTTTTGCTCAGGAGAAAATGAAGGCTGGCATCGTGCCTACAGATGAGATGTTTCAGCAAGAATCTCGCCGGCTGTGGTTTGACAGCGACGATCCTTGGAACCAGACGTTCGCTGACGACACGCAATGGATGGAAATTTTCCGACAAGAACATGGTCTCAATGGTAGCGGCAATACTCCTGACACTACTTGAAGTCATAAATTCTGGTAGAATCGTTCTGTTCTGTTCTTGAGGCATTTCGAAATTCACACATCAGATTTGCTTCGCACCGTCAACTCCGACGCTACTGGTTGATGACTGATAGACCCCGTTGTATCCCTCCACCTCTCGCTCCATCTGCTCCAAAACAAGCTGTGCCAATTTTGCATCCTTATACAGAACAAGCCCACAAGGGTTCTTGACCTCTAAAAGTGCACCCATCGCACCTTCATACCCAGCATCCACAACGCCAGCCTGTAGACCTACACCACTCCTCCATAAGCTCGATCGAGGAAACACGCTGCCCATGCAATTTCTCGGTATCTTGACAGTCTCGTTGAAATCGACCAGATATGCTCCAGCTTGTAGGGTGACAGTATTTGTTTTGGGGCAAAAGGGAATGATGGATGTTCTGGCAGCTTGACGGTGTGTGTTGTCAAAGTCGATTGTGGCTGGAGAGGTCCATCTGGATATACAGCGAAGAGTGAGGTCTACGCCACAAGGTTGTTGTTGGTGGGATGCATTGAGGAGGTTTCGCACAATTTGGCGACTGACGATATCAACGCCGCCGATGATCATTGTGGTCTGGAATTGTTGTTGGTTGCGAGAGGTCGTAGTATGTGAAGCATGGTAACAGCTGGTGATATATATATGCAGCATCTGTGCAAACTTGGCCCTCACTTTATGCCAGCACAAACTCAAGTCTGTGCACAACGAAGCCTCGGATTTTCTTCTTGTCTTTGACATCGAAAAAAATTATCAATCTAGATTGCTCAGATCAACAAAAATGATCACGCCAGGGGTCGAACCTGGAATCTCTTGATTCGTAGTCAAGCGCCTTGCCATTGGGCCACGCAACCAGCTATATTAGTTGCGATTGCAAACCAGAATATGAAGCGTTTTTCGGGCCCCGTGAGAAACTGAATGACTTGTCAGCTAGTTTGAAAGCTCTTCATGTGTCATAAAGACCATATACAAACAGATCATGGTCCGAAAAAGTCCCACGCTGCTTTCATAAAGTGTTCTGTTCAAGTGCCGCAACGTTCTAACCGATGTGAATACAATTGTGTAAGCCGAAAGAACAACAAGATCTGAGCCGTAAACAAGGTCCGATGCTAACACTGACACTATTGATTGATACTGAGCATGAAAATTGAACATTCTTGCTAGTATGAGACTGCTTTTGATGGAAGTGCTTGTTGCTGTGGTCAAAATTTCATGAGCTAGTGTTGGCAAGGGCGACCCTGTCAAGATTGGCACTTTACGCGCCTTCGCGCAAAGTCGCGTCATCTCGAAATCGACAGCTCGCAGCCATCCACGCCGGACACACACTGCATCAACCACACCTACCATGGCTCTTCTCGTAGACAAACATCGCCCGCGCTCTCTGGAAACATTGACGTACCACCATGATCTGTCTGAACGCCTACGATCACTGGTAATCCGCGCCCTACTCACAGTGCTGCCCAAATAGAACTGACGTCTTCACAGGCGCAAAGCGGAGACTTCCCCCATCTTCTGATCTATGGACCTTCAGGAGCCGGCAAAAAGACAAGAATCACAGCCACTCTTCGCGCACTCTATGGTCCTGGTGTGGAAAAGATAAAGATCGACAGTCGAGTCTTCCAGACAACGAGCAACCGCAAGCTCGAGTTCAACATCGTCTCATCCAACTACCATCTCGAGATAACACCTAGCGATGTGGGCAACTATGACCGTGTTGTCGTACAAGACCTTCTCAAGGAGGTTGCTCAGACGCAGCAAGTCGATGTGGCAGCCAAGCAGCGCTTCAAGGTTGTCGTCATCAACGAGGCCGACCATCTCACCAGAGACGCTCAAGCTGCCCTGAGAAGAACAATGGAGAAATACAGTCCCAATCTGCGCTTGATCCTTCTGGCCAACAGTACGAGCAATATCATTGCTCCTATTCGAAGTCGTACCTTGCTCGTCAGAGTCGCTGCACCCACCGAAGACGAGATCTGCACAGTCCTGGCCCAGGTCGGAAAGAAGGAGGGTTACACACGTTGTGAGGGTCTCGAAAAGAGAATCGCCAAGGAGAGCTATCGCAACCTGCGTCGTGCTCTGCTCATGTTTGAGGCTGTTCATGCTCAAAAGTATCAAGCCCACTAAACATGCCACTACGCTCCATGCTGACTCTCCATAGCGACCAAGTCACCGAGAAGACGCTGATCCCACCTCCTGATTGGGAGGCTCTGATCGCCCAAGTTGCCGACGAAATTCTTGCCGAGCGCAGCCCTGCCCGCATCCTGCAAGTCAGGGCCAAGCTCTATGATCTCCTTACTCATTGCATTCCAGCTAGTACCATTCTGAAGGTAGCCTCGTCGACCATCGTTTCCGCACGTGCACATGCTGATCTCCACAGACCCTGACCTTCAAATTGATACCAAAGATTGACGACGCTCTCAAGACCGAAATCATCAAATGGTCGGCTTTCTACGAGCACCGTATCCAGATGGGCACAGTAAGCGACACCGCTACCTCTGGCATGCATCCTCATTACTGACGTGAGAAAGAAATACATCTTCCACCTGGAAGCCTTTGTTGCCAAGGTCATGCGCATCGTCGAAAGGTACGCGATCATGACAGACTTGCTATCACACTAAGATCGCTGTTGCTGACTCAATCCGTAGTCACCTCATGGGCATGGACTTCGATGACTGATTCCCGCATGTCCGATCGGAAAACACGACCTTTTTCAGCCCACTGTGGCTCTTTGACATGCAAAAAGGCCCACCTGCTCCAAGATACCCTCATACCTGACTCGACCCCGTTACAATACACATGCCAACACAAAGTTGTTTCGGCCTTTTTAGGGAGTATCGCATAGGAAGAACGCCCCGATATCGCATGACTCAAAACGAATCGCATTGCTCTTTACCAACCGAGACCTGGAGGCGGTGGTGGCTTCTGCTCGTCTGACTCTTAGAAGAAGCACAGAACATGGCTCTTAAATAGCTCGGTGTACATGTTCGTAGCAATGAAATGATGACATTAATTAACTAAGATAGGCTGCATGATGTCGGAAGTTCTTCAGGTTTCACCCCGGTTGCCGGAGACTCTACAGATGAATTTCACACAGCACCGCACACCCGGGTCGCGCGTTATTACTGAATATCTTAGTCGATCGCTGCTATCTCAAGTTTCATCGCTCCGAGACTTCAGCATCCAAAGAAGGAAGATCTGCCCATGACACGTGAGATCCCTCGCGTGTCTGCGTGAAACCGGGAAGGATTCGCACCTTATTTTTACGAAAAGCCTCAAGACAATAGGCAAGCGCCACCGAGCCTCGCAGCGCTTGCTAGAAGATGAATCCAGAGAACTCTGCCCTTATCGCGTGCATGCTCCATTGCCTTGACTTTCCGAAATTCGCAATTCAGGGCCTCGGTGACCGAGAAAGGATTTGGATGGTTTGCAGATCACCTGGGACTGTGCATACGAAGTGATGCGCCAGCGTTGAGTTGTGATTGCTGCCGACAGAAAGCACATGCGTGCGACTCATTCATGCTGCTCGGTTTCCGATTGCCGGAATAGAACAACGATGTCCGCGCTCTGGCGTCGATAATAGGGCTCGTGGCTGGTCTTTCACTTATGGACCTCTGGCTTCGGCGTTCGAGGTCTCAGACTCTCAGGAGAGACGGAAGCTTCTGTTCTGCCGTGCTTATCTCATCATCCGCAACCAATGGGACACATTGCTACCATCATCTTCTTTCAGCCGCGTGTCCCATGGCTTGCGGGAATTCATGATTGGCAGTAGAAGTTCGTAATCTCGCCTAAAGAACATGATTGGCGTTTTGCTGAGTCTTCTCGAATGGCCTTAGCAAAAACCTAATTGGCGAACAAACTGCATCCTACAGACTTCAAAGCTCCACCAACTCTGATCCACATGGCGGCTTTTTGCTGGGGGCACGGTTCTTTTTGGCATGGGTGCTATTCCGCGAGTTCCTGGGGTGAAGCTTCGGTGCATACTTGTAGGGTCTGATCCCCGAAGGATGTGCCCTGGTTCTGCTCATCTATACAACTGAGACTAAACAGAAGAATGATCTTTCTATCACTTTAGCTTCCATCTACAGGGTCCAAACTAGCATGATCTCTCCGCAAGAGTGCTCGACCTAACTCCAGGTTTTCTTAAGCATATTTACAACTGCCGCTGTCATTGTACGAGCTCGGTCCTGGAGAACGAAATTCTTACCTAACCAACACCGGAGCCCGCCGACACCCCTCATACTACTACCCAAACATGGGAGCCTTTTCTCTGGGGTTTCAACATGACTTACAAAGAGAATCATGGGCATTATACGCACTGGGTATAGTGGTTATTGCACTCCGCATGTTCGTCCCCCATATCAAATCTGCTCAGACCAATGCTTATTGTTTCGATTCAGGTATGCCAGAATCCGCAAGCTTGGTGTCCGGCATCTGGAATTCGATGACTACCTAATCCTGGTGGCTGCTATCTTCTACACGCTCCTGATTGTGACGTTGAACTTGACGGCCCAAGGCGGTGGCTCCGCACTTGCTATGCCTGGAGAAGATGTTTCCGCACTCACAAACAAAGAAGTCAAAGTCAGGGAGAAGGGAGCCAAAATTGACTTGGTTGCGGAACAAGCTATGCTCAATACCATTTGGATCTTGAAAGTATGCACTTTGAAGTTATACGGCCGTCTCACGTAAGTGCAATCGATCCCGGACCCATTGTTGATACTGACCATATGCAGAATGGGCCTGAAACAACAAATAGCGGTCAAAATTCTTGCTGTCTACACTGCAGTTGGCTATGTAGCTTGTCAACTGGCATACTTTCTCGAGTGCCGGCCATTCTCTTCGTACTGGCAGATCTCTCCTTCACCACCATTGAACTGCATGGTCCTGTACGACTATGCAATTGTTCAGGCCACCTTCAACATCTCTTCGGACATCTTCATGCTCATGATTCCTTTCCCGCTTATCATGCAAGTCTCGATTAGGTTCAAACAAAAGCTTGTCCTCTTGGTCAGTACTTTTCAGATGTACAACCGTCGACATCGCTAACATTGCAAAAGTGCGTTTTCTCGATGGGCATCTTTGTCATCATTGCAGCCACTCTCACAAAAGCCGAGTTCTTTATATCCGTCTATTCGGCGGATTACATGTTCTGGTATACAAGAGAAGCCTCAGTAGCCATCTACGTCTCGAATTTACCTTGCGTTTGGCCTCTTTTGCGCGAAGCACTACCAGCACTTAAGAGTTGGACACCGGGCTTTGTCAGCAGCTCAGCCTATATCAGACGACGTCACGCCAGCACAACAGCCCTCACAGCCCGCAGCCGCACACGCAACACACAAAAGAGCAACTTGGGACTGTCCAGAAGATCAATGGACGATTTCAACGCCATCATCGAGCCCACACGGCCAAAAGAGGCCAAGACGACGACAGATGTGCGCACGAGGGAGATATTGCCTTACTCCCATCACATACGCAGCACAAATCGGGGCAGCAGTAGTGAATCCAGCATGGACGATTTGCCTATGCATGGCATCATGACATCAACGACGATTGAGATGTCGGTTATGACTTCTGATCGCAAAGACGACGATCGTGATGATGCCTCTCAATCTTCGACTCGTGCGTTTGCTCATGACCTTGAGCAAGGACTACCGCATGCACGCTAAAACACACCTCGCTCGCCTCTCTTAATCTATTCTTTCTTGATTCTCCTCCAATACAGACAGATCATACACCAGCTACGCAGCGACGACGACAGATCCGGCGGGCCAGGCACTTAAGATTTCTGTTCACTTCATATAGATATATACCCCTTTCTTCTTCTCTTGCACCTGTGGTGCCTTTCTCTTGTAGATACTTCCTTCTCATATACTGTTGTACAATGTAACCAATATCTCAACACCTTCGTATATCTTGTTACACAGTAATTGTCTTTAATATGCAACATGCACATCCTCACTATCATACCATCAACACACAAAGAACATCACAACAGAAGATAAAAAAACAAAATCTTGCCTCAGCATTAGCAAAAAAAACCATGCCAGCATTTACAGCTAGTCTGGAAAAACCTTCTCCTACTACTGCAAAGTATTCCATCTTTACAGAAGACAACTCCGAGGATCGAATCAAGGACTTCTAAGGGTTTTATCGCAAAGGGGATGATTTAAGCGTTGGGCCATGCTACTGATCGCTGAACGAAGAGGTACTTGAGGAAAACAATAAAGTCGACAGTGAGGAGAGAAGTGAGAGGAAGGGAGAGGTGAAGTTGGATGAGTGAGTGGGCTGCATCAATAGGAAAGCACGAACAATATCCTCTGACACATGCTTCTTGCTTAAGATAATTCAAGAAGGGCGACCAGAATCGCTGCTTCCCCTGAGTTCAACTTTTGATTCAAACGCCTGAGCATGACGCTTTCGTGACACAATGCCGCTACCTCTATCCTATCAACGCCCTTGCATCGGCACAAGCCGTCCTGGCTATCCTCTTCAATTGCGCTTTATGCTCCGCCTCTCTATACATATCCCAATGATCTAGTCCTTCCTTGGCCTCAATACTCAACGTCTCATACCCATCCTTGATAATCTTCTGCACTTCCCTAGGACTCAAGTTCTTGGTTTTGCCCTTTTGACCAGCAATCAAGTCACTGTAGTGCTTTGACACATGCACCAAGATGTTCATCGCAGCTGCCGTTTCGCCTTGTTGTAAAGCATAGGCGTCGCGGAAGGAGAGCAGTGAAGGACCGAACTCAACGAGCTTGTAAGAAATGTCGTCGTAGCTGGCTGTGTCGGGGAGGAAGGTTTCACCGTTGGTTAGGGAGAGTGAGAGGAGGTTGACCAAGGTGTGGATCACAACGTCTATGCGGTAGAGAGACCGCAGGTCATCGGCGTATACAGTGAGGAAACGGACAAAAGACAGGAGTGAGCGCCAGAGCTCTGGCCAGTGATATGCTGTGTTTTAGGTCAGCCTAAATGTTTGTATATGACATTGCAGGTAAAAGTGTTCTTACTGAGACGTATCCTCGCCTTACCGAGAAATGTGATGAGACGCAGGAGGATGCCGACGTTGAGCATGTACAGCTCTACATCTAACTTCTTCCTTAGATTGTGGTTGATGCTATCAATCATGATATCAATCACGTTTGCAGCAAGTGAACGGTCTGTAGTGACCAGAGGTAGTTGAGGTGGTCGTTGACGGCTCAGCCGTACTGATACAGTCGTCTCGCACAACTTCCTGACGATGTCGAGATCTTCGACAAGGTTTTGGATTGTGAACAAGGTGAGGTGTGCATATTGCGTAGCCCGTTGTGATCGGTAGGCGTGTTGATATAGGTATGAGCAGAAGGAGAGATATTGAGCTATGGGTGAGTTTTGTGTTTTGTCCACGGTGTTTGTGCGGACAAAGTCTGCGCTGAATGCTTTGTTGGCAACGACAAAATCATATATTGTAAGCAGCGTTCCTGCTTGTGGTTGTGGTCTATTCGAGATGAGTAAACAATATTTTCCACGTGTAAAGAGTGTACTCACTGTTCAGCAAATTTCGCCTTCATCTCGTCCTCGGTTGGTGCGGGTACTACAGGCTTTGCACCAGCAAGAGCTCCCAGACCAATGTAACTCAAGGTGCCTCCAATGCTCCAAGCTTCAGGGACATCATCCTGAATTGCGACATACTGATCTCGCAAGAAGGTACAGGTGCTTTCGATCGATTTGCAGATTTGAACGATCGTTTCGTGGTTGACAAAATCTGCAAATCGCGCATGGTACGGATTATAAGTCTCAAACTTATTGTAGTTCGCCAGGAGTCCTGCTAAGAGAAGTGGTTGTACCGCGTCCAGGGGATCTTCTAGGTCACGAATATACTTGATGGGTCAGCAAAGATCACAGCTGACGTGCTCATTAACTTACTCTCATCAGAGAAGGGAAAAAGTCACGTTGCGTAAAGTATGTCAGTAATCCAGTGTGGAAGGCTCCGGAGGCCACGCAAAGAGCTACTTGGACGGCTTTCTTCTGTATGCGAACTATTTATGATTAGGAGTTGTACACAAGCATCGACGGAGATAGTTTACCTGTCTTTCCAGAACTTATTGTTGTGTCCAGTACTGTCACAAGGTCGTTGAAAACAGTATCGACATGATCAAGTCCGGCTAGCACTTCAATGATATCTGAGCTGGGATTTGTGTACCTCTTCGAGAACACTTTTGAGAGAAACACTGTCAGATTCTGACTCGTAAGTTGAAGTGATCGTGGAAGTCAAAGATGTTACATACATCAAGAGCATTCTCATCTGAAGGTGATGTTCCCGATTTAGCATACATGATGGCATGCGAGACAAATTGTTCACAATGATGCTATCAGAGGTCAACTAGAGGTCCCGAAATGAAAAGCGACAGGATTATACCGAAGCGTGCAGTAGATCAATGGCTTCGAGATCATCCAGTAATTGTCCAAGTCGTGCGTTATCTGGCTTTAGGAGAAAGAACTCTCGCCAAAAGCCTTCTGGCTTCTCATCTTCATTACGATCCTGCACATTGGATCAGTAGGAATTTTGGAGTTCTTGTGAATAGAATGCATACTTTAAACAATTGACGATATAGTTGTGCGACCTTTGGTTCAAAAGTCTCAGGGCGTGATTGTTGTGTTAACGGTGATTGCTCCATCCTGGCTCCTGACCTGATTTCGAGACTCTGCTTTTTGGAAAGTCGCACAACAAGCCACGCGCGCAATAAAATATCGCTAAACCAGAACAAAGTAGGAAATCAAGACAGCATTGTTGACAGAACGAAGTGTTTATTGTAATCTCAAACCGCCTAGCTCGCGCCAAGGCCCACGTCAGCAGCTTCGTCCACACTGCACTCAAGGCCGACGACTTGTCAATCTCGGCTTCAACATTATTATCAGGCATCAATGAGCGAAGCACGGAACAAGGCAGTGCTGATAGGGGTGAGCGGTGTGTCGTCGTCGGGGAAGACGACACTCGCCCGGCTGCTGAGAGACATAATCCCGAACACATTCATTCTGCACGAAGACGACTTTTACAAGACAGATCAGGAGATACCTGCCAACAAAGATGGATTGCAAGACTGGGACTGCCTTGAATCACTTGATTTGGAAGCATTAGACAAAGCACTCGACTTCATCAAGACTCATGGATATCTACCGCCGAATCTAGAGTCCAAGGAGGACAAGAATGCAGTGGGTGAATCTGGAGTGGACAGGGAAAGAGTGGCAGAACTCAAGGAAGCAGCGCATAAGATGTTGAGTGCAAGCTCTGATGTGCCAGTCTTCATTATCGACGGGTTCCTGCTTTTCTCACAAGAAATGCAACACATTCGAGAATTGTTCGACGTCAAACTGTTCCTCCGAGCAGACCACCAGACGGTGAAGCAGCGAAGAGAGGCCAGAACAGGTTATGTCACGTTGGAAGGGTTCTGGGAGGATCCGCCTGGTTATGTCGACTCTGTGGTTTGGGCAAACTATGCCAAGGATCATGCATTTTTGTTTGAGGATGGAGATGTGGAGGGGAAATTGAAAGACGGCGTCTGCGAAGAGCTGAAGATCGACACGGCACCTCTGACAGTCCAAGGCAATATGACTGCCTGCATGGACTGGGCTTATGAGAAAATATCGGGTCACTTGTCGAGCAGAGCAGCTCAATGATGGGCAGGCTTCGAGAGGCGACAGGAAAAGCGCTGCATGATCATTGAGACCAGGTTGAAACTTTCTGATACAAGGACACAGACAGGAGTCTAGATAGAAGCTTCCTTGTATCATGCCTCCTAATCGTATAAGTTGTAGAAAGCACAATGAGAAAGCGGGACACTGCAGTGAACGCTCGGAAGCAGAGGAAGGAATAGTTGCCGGATTGGGAAGTAGCGTCGCGTGGCCAAGGCTTCGGCTTCTTCTCTTCAGTAGTGACGATTTCTTCCTTCCGTCTCCCACCTTCGCCAACTCGTCCTTCCTCGAGCTCATCTTGAGCTCATCCCGCCTCGAGCCTTTGCGCGCGCCTTCCCGACAGCCGAAGCCTTCCATACATAGCCCGATTCTCGACGCGACTGAAGGTTGCGACAGCATGGCCGGTCAAGCCGACATCTCCAGCATCCTGGCCGCACTGGGTACTTGTCTCAGTTCCCTCGACTCGAGTACAGCTCCACTAACAATACTCGCAGCTCAGCGCCCTGCCTCTAACCCCGCCCAACCCCAGCAACAGGGCCCTCCTGGTGCTATGCCCCAAGGCTATACTCAAAACATTCCCGCTCAAATTCCTACCCCCTCACTTGGCGGCTTCCCTCTACCGCAGCCCTCCAGCTCTGGCAGCGTCGACCTGAGCGCAATCCGTCCTGTTAACACCGGCTCCGTCAGCATCGCCGAAGCCATCGCAAAGGCGAAGAGTATTGCTGCCGACCGCGGCATTTCCTACGACAACCGTCCTCAACAGCAGATTCACCAACAGGCCCCACGCGCTGACCCTCGTCTCGCTGGCAGAGCCCCATACCAACAGTCCAGATCCCGCTCGCGTTCACCTCCTCGCCGCGACAACTTCCGCGGTAACTTCAACCCCTACCGCGATGAGCGCCGTGATGCAGACCGCAGAGACCGTGGCTACAACAACCGCGACAGATCCCACTCCCCTGGTCCTCGTGGAGGAAGAGGAAACTTCTCGCCCGGTCCCGGTGGCCGTGGCCCCCGCTCGCCTACTTCGCGCGGCACTCCCGCCGACAGTGACACAATCTCGGTCAAATCCGCTCTTGTTGGTCTGATCATTGGTCGCAATGGAGAAAATCTGCGACGCGTCGAGTCCGAGAGCGGTGCTCGCGTCCAATTTATCCCAGCCAAGGAGCCCAATGCAGTCAACCGTCAATGCACCATTACTGGACCTCCGCAGGCCCGCGAAATAGCAAAGCAAGAAATCTTCCGTGTCATGGATGAGAACGGTGGTAGCGTGCCTCCAGAGCGCGGCGCCGCTATGGGCCGCCCTCAACAGAACATGATGCAACAGAGAGATCAACAACCTGCCTTGCGCGAAGGCGAGAACAGTGTTCAGATTATGGTTCCTGACAAGACCGTCGGTCTCATTATTGGCCGCGGTGGTGAGACCATCCGTGACTTGCAGGAACGTAGTGGCTGTCACGTCAACATTGTCAGCGAAAACAAGAGCATCAACGGTATGCGTCCCGTCAACTTGATTGGCTCGCCCGAAGCTGCTCGCATCGCCAAAGAGATGATTCTCGAAATTGTCGAGAGCGATGTCCGCCCTCCCCCCGGCCATCCCGGCCACCAATCCGCTCACCAGGACTCCCGAGGACCTGCATCTTTCGACCCTTACCGTGGAGGTATGGGCAACGACCGTGGTGGAAACGATAAGATCACCGAAGAAATCTACGTGCCGTCTGAGGCAGTCGGTATGATCATCGGCAAAGGAGGTGAAACTATTAAGGATATGCAAGCCACTACTGGATGCAAAATCAACGTCGGCCAACCTGAACAGCCCGACGTTCAGCGCCGCATAGGTTTGGTAGGTAGCCGCTCTGCCATCGACGAGGCAAAGCGCGCTATTTGGGACAAGGTTGACACTGTGGTAAGATTCAAATGCAAGTTGTAGGTATGCAGACCGCTAACCATCGTCTCCAGCAACAACGTGATCGCAATGGTGGTGCAAGAGAACAACGTGCTCCTCGTAATGACTATGGTAACAACCAATACTCACAACAGCCTCAGCAGCAAGGTTATGGACAGATGCCTATGGGTGGTGCTGCTCAAGCCATCTCTGCATTGCAGGGCATGTCTTCCACACCTCAGCAGGCACCTCCAGCTGACTCCAATGCCGCTGATCCATATGCCCCTTATGGTGGCTACCAAGCTTATTGTGCTATGTGTAAGTTGATCGAATGCATAATTTGTATGAACTATACTAATCATACTTTCACTACAGGGTATGCTGCTCTTGCCCAGAATGGCCAGGGCGGACAAGGTCAACCCCAAATGCCGCCTCAATAGAGCGGCTCGTTGTTTTGACACCGTGATCGTGTGACGGTTCTGATCTCTTTGCCCGGAACATTCATGACCATGACCTTGACCATGATCCTGACAACGACAACCGACGACTGCATCTCTTGCTTATAGGTCTGCTTGATGTCGTTTCGATGCTGGTAGACATGCGTGACACGCTGCGCTTCCCATGCCTGGTTTTGATGTCGTCTGATCCTGTCTCCTGGATTTGACCCACCTTCCACATCTTCGAGTGCTTGACATAAGCGTGGATCTGTGACAGACTCAGTGGCAAACTTGCGTGCTTTCACGACTTCTCATAGCCCATGCTTTCATCCATCGTGGTTGATCTCCATTATGGAACCATGATTCTGGATCTGGATTGTGGACTGTCAAAATGACCTGCACTCGTACCCAAATATGTGCCATGGACATGCATGATATTTTCATCTGAGCTCGCTCTGAGCTATGACCCCACTATATCGTTGGACCGCCTGGACATCATATGCCATCGTTGTCCGCTCTGGTTGATACGCAATCAATTATGGTGACATGACATTGTCTACTATGCCCATCCATGCATGAAGTTTTTCGCGTCCATGGAGTGTACAGTCTGCTCCAGCGTGCATCAGTTGCGATCCTCTTGATATTCGGGTTTTGCCTTTCTTGATTATTCCCCTTTGTTCTGTATTCTAGTTAGCATATCAATGATACCATTCGTACGCCTCGTCCTTGATGGGTTCCAATAATGTTTTTCCTGTTCGTGATGGTATCGATGTGCGTGCATCTAAAGCCATACTAAGCCGCCGCTGTCGATCGTTTGCTCTTGTGAGTGGACGTATGATACGACAGCTCTTACAAAGTCCCAAGATGAATTTCCAGTAATAGCGTGTATCTTACTTTATGTCTAATCTATGTCCCTGTGCCACATATCTCGGTTTAGATTCTGTCTAACAAAGGTGCAAAGTGATCTACCTGCTGGGACTATCTTCTAAAGCAGCCACTGTCTGATGCTCGATATGCATATGTATATGTGAATGATACAGGGTCACACCCCCACCATCATATATCCTGGATTCAAAATCTTTCTTCCTTCGTCTCAGGTAGACGTTTGCTTTGAAAGTTCTTCTTTCAGTCTATCCTATCCTCCGAGGTCGAATTCTTTATCAAAAAAAATGGGGCGAAAGATGCGTCCTCTTTGAGTCACATCAGACTCGCAGGACGCAAGACGCAGGGCATGTTCAAACTTCGAAGCCCTGCTTCCAAGAACCTTTCAGGGTCCAAGGCGACCGAAACCACGGTTCAACAAGCGAGAGGGCGTTGCGACCAGTCCCACAGATCTGGGACAGCTACGATATTACGATAAGCAGGAAATCAATCCAACCAAGGCAGGCTTGTGGGTCGTCCTGCATTGCTATACTACATTATTGCTAGCTATAGAATCCTTCTCAGAGCAAGGTGTTTCGAGCATCCGCCGTCGTCTGATGGTGCTCGGGGTTTCGAAAAGCATTCGGGAAGGATTCTCAAAGCTCGGGACGATAAGGCGTGGTGGCTTCGCTTGGCGACGATTGAGGAAGGAGGATTTACTGGTCTTTGATAACTGGAACAAGTAATGTGTGATAGTATTTCATCATGTCTCTGATCTACCTGCGTGGTATCTCCAGGATCTCAGGAATAAGGATGGAGGGGGCGTTGCAGATGGACATCATTGCAACATGGCACGCATGCTTCTGCAAAGAAGGACATCCAGAAGCGTCGAGGCTGCCAGAGACCTTGGCGATCGTCGTTACTGTACCTGCTGCCAAGTTGGCTATTATTACCGAAGCAAAACCCGCGAAATTCCTTGGAATTGCTTGTCCGATGCTTGGATTGCTTGTCAGATGGTCAATTCAACCTCAAATGTCATTCTGAGATTTCATTCAGAAGAATTAAACTACAACAAGATGCAAGATGATGTTGGTCTCGAAATGTTCTTGTTGCATACCGTTCCCGTCGCTTCTGGCCTGCCGCTCCACGTGAAAAGCATACTTAGGGTTCATGGCCCGTGTACGTAAAGAAAACCGAAGATCCGCTTTGACCTGGTGGGCGGCCGCGCGCGCTCAACAGCTTCTGCGGCAAGTGCTCGCGTGGGAGAAGAAAGTGGTCGACTCCGAAATCCGCAAGTACGACAGTACAGATGAACACCACACTGTTCAGCTGTTCTCGATGGAGATCAATGTATGATTGGATGCATGTCACCTTATCGCGGAGGCAAAGCAGATTGGTAGGCTCTCCCCGCCAGGAATAAGCACACACAACCTTGCTCGCTTCAGACTGAGCCGGACCACGCCGTCTTATCAAAGCTCGTGTCTAGACACGCACGGAAGATCTTGAACCGGAGGTAAACGTGAGCGTTTTTGTCGCCAAAATTGGGGGCGCGCTTCCACTTATCTAGCCGGCCCTCGGGCACACAATCATTTTTTCCTCATCGGCGAGCTGCGAAACTCTTACTTATATCCCGTAGGACCTCTCCGACAGTTTGTCACAGAAATCCCAGTTTTGCTGCGAACCCCAATTTCTTTTACTTGACCGTTCGCCTTCTCATCTCGCCATCTCGCGACTTTGCGGTGAACAGCGCGATCCTTCCCCAGCTTCTTCGGTCAAGTCCTACACGCACTATAGGGAACATGTCGCACGTTCACGATCTGGAGAAGAACCCCGTGGAGGCGGGTGTTGGCAGTATTCCTTCGTCGGCAGAGTATGCCTACGAAGATGCTGCTGTCCCAGGGGAGAGCTTCGAGTATGGCGATGGCTACTATGCCAAGTTGCAGCGCTTGGCTGGCAAGTTCAACATCGAGCAGCGTGGTATTGAGCGCGTACCCGAGAGCGAGAGAACCGAGACTGGTATCAAGGCTTTGTTGAACGTCATGACAATGGTAAGAATTCGAGGCATCCGCTGAAACGAGCGAACCTCTTGCTGACGATACCTTTCAGTGGCTCTCAGCAAACATGGTCGTTTCGTCGTTCGCCATTGGTATCCTTGGACCTTCTCTGTTCTATACTGGCTTCGCCGATGGTATCTTGTGTATCCTTTTCTTCAACATCATCGGTATCATTCCTGTGTCCTTCTTCTCTGCACTGGGTCCCAAGTTTGGTCTTCGCCAGGTTCGTATCACGTGACATGGTAATCTGCGGCTCAAATACTGATTTGCATTCAGATGGTTCTTTCGAGATTCTGGTTCGGTTGGTGGGGCGTGAAGCTCATTGCCATTTTCAACGTGATTGCCTGCATTGGTTGGTCTTCGGTCAACTCGATTGTCGGTGCCCAGCTTCTTAACGCTGTCAACAACGACGTGCCTGGATGGGCTGGTGTCCTGGTCATTGCTTTCTGCACCTTCGCCATCACCCTCTTCGGCTACAAGATCGTTCACGTCTACGAGTTCTGGTCATGGATTCCTACTTTCATTGTTTTCCTGATCGTCATTGGTGTCTTTGCTCACACTGGCGATTTCTACAACATTCCATGGGAGACTGGCAAGGCTGAGCTGGGTGCTGTCCTCAGTTTCGGAGCTACCATCTACGGTTTCGCTACCGGTTGGACCTCGTACGCTGCTGATTACACCGTCTACCAGCCTAGCAGCCAGAAGCGCTGGAAGGTCTTCCTCTTCACCTTCATTGGTCTGCTCTTCCCTCTTTTGTTCACTCAGATGCTCGGTCTGGCCGTCATGACTGCCACAACCATCAACAACGGTGACAACATCTACAACACTGGTTACAAGCAGTCAGGCACCGGTGGTCTTCTCGGTGCTGTTCTGATCCCTCACACTGGTGCATTCGGAAAGTTCTGCCTTGTCATCCTTTCTCTTTCCATTATTGCCAACAACTGCCCCAACATTTACTCGGTCGGTCTTACCGTCCAGGTGTTCGGCAAGTGGATCCAGCGCCTGCCTCGCTTCATCCTCACCATTGTCGCTACCGGTGCATACATCGCCATTGCCATTCCTGGTTACAGCCACTTCGAGACCGTTCTTGAGAACTTCATGAACTTCATCGGATACTGGCTCGCCATTTACACCGGCATTGCCTTCGCCGACCACTTCGTTTTCAAGAGATCTCTTGATGCCTATGTCATCTCCAACTACGATAAGCCTCAGAACCTCGCCATCGGCATTGCCGCTGTTGTTGCTTTCTGCTTCGGTGTTGCTGGTATGGTCACTGGTATGTCGCAAACGTGGTTCGTTGGCCCTATTGCTCTTCACGCTGGCAAAGCTCCCTACGGTGGTGATGTTGGTAGTGCCCTTGGCTTTGCCTTCGGCTTCACATCATATCTCTTCTTGAGACCTCTTGAGCTCAAGTTCATCGGAAGGTAGTGAGTTACCTTGCCGAGGTGTCTTTGTTTTCGTGTTTTGCTTTTATTTGTTTAAAAAGGATTTATGATGGGTTGGTTTAAGATGATATCCGAGTCTTTTTTGACGGAAAAGCTCTTTGTTTGTACATAGCTAAGATGATGTGAATACTACTTTATGACGAACTACTCCTGCTCATATGCAGTCGATGTAGGATTGAACTTCCAAACAACCATCTCTTCTTTCTCCCATGTGCTGTTCTCGTAATATCATAATGACGCATGGCAGTGTTCTCAGCTACAATGAGCCGCGAGTCTCGGCATCATCAACTGCCCAGTTTGGAAGTCCAACCAACCAGGCTCCATCACTCTGATCGAGGCAAGAACAACCCGAACAAACCGAGTATGCACATAGGTTTCCTGATGCATTGCAGGAAACAGTCTCAATCAATTCGTGTCCAGTGGTAGTCTACCAAGAATTCGATGGCCTTTGATGCACTCTACCAAAATCGTTCAATTTCGTTGCTTTGGAATGTATTCCAAAAGATGCCCATTTCGTGACATGCAGGATCAAGGATTATAGCTTCCAGCACTTCCGAAACTCTGTCCAAGGTTGCTACTGTATCGTCTTGAAATTGTTCGGTTCTCCATCCCAATGGGAGCAGACATCTTCCTTGAAGGGCGACGCGACAGACGGTTGCTACCTGATGCACGCCTATCTGTGACCTGTGGCGACCTCGTGATGTCACGAACAGTATCATCAGAGTTATAAGCATCCTCGGAGATTGCGTCCGAGGCATTGGTATCGGTTCGACTGAGTAGAGGGCCGGGGTTACCATACTCCGCTTCTTGCTCGTCGTCCTGGATAATGTTGTCCTCGTCGTCCTCGACATCATCGGCATCACCACCAAAGCCTTCGCCTTCCACAACCCAGAAGGAGGGTATGGCTGCGACCACGGCTATAAGGGAGAGCACCCACCATGGCAAGATGACATAACCAATCTCAACACCGTAAGTGAAGGTTGAGCCTCCGATTGCTGGACCAATTGCTCGTCCCACGGCGCCGGCGCTCGTAGCAATTCCATTTAGAGTGCCCAGGATACGTAGACTGCTGGCGGAATTCGTAAGGAGGATGGTCGAACAAGGGAAGGCAAATGTGGAGACTGTAAGCACGTTAGAAGCATGTTTGGGAAAAGGAGGACCAGAGCGACGTACAAAAGCCCTTGATGATCATCAAGATAAAGATAGCCACTTGCTGACTGGTCTTGTCGGGTAGGAGAGCAGTAAAGGGGACGAAGAAGTATATGATCGGCATGCAGATGGCGCAGACACGAAGGCATCTAACCACACCATACTTCCGTGCAACTGGTGGGAAGATGAGGAACTGGACAAACATCCCTGAGATGCCGTAGAGCGTAAATATGAATCCGATACTGCCAGAATCGAGTCCAAATCCCCCAGCGAACTTGAAAGGAGGCTCAAAGTCAGGGTTTTCGGCCGAATGGTCCTGCACAGGGTGGTGCATGAAGATGGGTATCAACTGGTCGAATGCGATGTTATGAAGAGCAAGGAGGGTATATACGATCAAATTGATGATGGTCTGATAATGAAGCACTTCGGTAAAGCTGGGTGGAGGAAGCGCTGGTTTTGGCGCTGCTTGTGCTCCTGCTTCTTCATCCGGACCTGAGGAAGGTGCGAACTGTGGCTTAAGAAGCGGCTCTCGCTCCGATGTTTCTTGATCATCTGCAGGAACGAATATGTGCTTGGTCCTTCTGAACACATAAACTGTGTAGTATTTTAGTCTCAATCCTACTTCAAGCCCGTAGTCACGACGATCTTTTTTCGCTGCAAGTGTTTCCTGTGATTGTCAGCATCTCATGGCAGAATTCAATCGAGACCACATCTTACCTCCAAGAACAGTATTCCTATAGTTATCCCTAACAGGAACAGAATTACAGCAAGCATATTCGGCAGCGCGTACGGAAAGCGCTCAAAAAATGCAGGTTTGTTCGAGAGAGGCTGACCAGGCTTGACATGATACGGGTTCGCAAGAGCACCTCCAAGTGTTGGACCAAAGATACTGCCGATATTCCAAACTAGGGGCATGACGCTAAATGCACGAGGTTGAAGCTCTTTCCAAGGTACCATTTCAGCAACGGCAGTCCTGATGATACCAACAGTGCCGTTGGCGGCTCCTGCAAGTGCTCGCACAGCGATTGCCATACCAAGACTACTTGAGAATCCCCAGAGAAGAGACGTGATCATGGTGCAAGTCAACGAGATCAAGATGACTGGTTTTCTGCCATAACGATCGCTAGCACGGCCCCAGGATACAGCAGTCAAGAACTGAGCCAAAGGAAACATCGAAACACAAATACCTGCCCATCTCGCAACCTCAGCTTCTGGTACACCTAGACTTTCAATCATCTCTGGCAAATATGGGAAGACTGATGTGAACGCGATTGGCTCTGATATTCGACAAAGAGCCTGTCAGAATTGTGTTAGCCATACTTGTACGTGGCGAACCGGAGAGCAAACGCATTACATTGCTTACTTACCAGTACACACATCTGCTGCACTGGCAGACGGCGCTCAGGCTGCCCCTTATTGGACGCTGCCATTATTATTGCTGCTCAGGACCAAAACCCGTAGATAAACTCTAGTCTAGGAACATAAAAAAGCAGTGGCACTTTTTGTAGCTTGAGAGCGAACGGACAAAGACAGTGTGCACGCGATCATGAAGAACTATGGTGCAAAGAGACTTCCCACCTTGTAGGATCACAGGGTTTCATCTCGGTGCAAAGATAGGCCAATGCTCGCCGAGATATCCTTAGTCGCCGGATGTCGGCCCGTTCGAGATGAGGGGTCGGTCCAAGACTCACCACCTTTCAAATGTTGCGCGCATACCTCTACTCAGCGACAGACCAAGCACCTTCGGTGGTCACTTCGGTGGGGGACGAGACACAGAGGTCATGCCAATCCTGTGAAGGTTGCCAGAAAAGACATATTGCTGACTGCCATGGCAATTTGTGATCCTACGGGTTGCTCCACAATCACGCGATCTTAGCACCAGAAGGTAGGATATAAAAGCAGGTTATGTCTCCATCTTTCGAAGTCCAGCAACAGAAATCTTGCACCTCGTTTGTGATTCGTTCAGAAGGGTCAGCATGGCATCACGTCAGTTCTTCGATCCGGTGATTCTTTTGCGAGTCGCTCCACTCATCACCTCCTCTGCAACACTCTCGTACTGCTGGGCGCAGAACGTTTTCATCAGCATTTTCACTCGACCACGAAATCGCGAGAAGAGCAACCCGCTCCTGCCAACTTACATTGGAGACTGGTTCTATGGTTACACCGGTCAGCTTATTGCAGTCTATACGACAACCATCTTGACTGCAAGTGCAAATTGTTACTTTCATCGTCAGATACTTGCTGCATCAAACTCAGCGAAATGGTATGCCGCGGGGGCAGTATTCAGTGCTGCCCACTTCGCGTTCGTTCCCGCCGTTGCTTGGAAATTCACAACTATTATGAACGACGAGACCAAGGGAAACAGCGTCAAAGTGCTTGATGAGTGGCTCAAGGTTCATCGTATCCGATCTCTGACGGTAGACATCATCAGCTGGGGGTGCATTCTCCTGGGAGTCTTGAGAGCTTTAGATGCTTAGTATGGATCTTGCTCATAGCAATATTGTCGAGGTAGTCGTTGGGGGTAGATTATTTGGCACAAACGATGGCATCGCAATCCCTGAGGATCCAGACTATCTCCTTGGCTTGTTGAATGCCTTCACTGTTACAATTCGATCCGAGTATTGTCAGGATTGCAGAAACGGATGCTCTGTCGTACGAGAGTCTCTCAAGTTGGTATTGGGTATGGAAACGTCCACCGCTTGGTGGTCATAATGCCGTGGTTCATTGTCTCGGGAGGATGAGACATCTAATAAGGCTGTGAACATGTCTTCCAGTGATCTGGATATACGATTCCGATGCAAGCCACTTCGATTCTTTTATGTCTGTGTGTTAAGTCTAGAGCCTCAAACCAGGTGGGCCGGTGGGTTGCCTTTATCACATCCAGACAAAAGCGGGACAGAGAGATTGGACCACTTTTCTCAACCGCCAGTCATCGAGTCATGGACATGACTTGGGCGATAGTCTCTTTGGTCGTGACCCCATCTTGGAATGAGCATACTTGTAGGGCAGACCCGAGTTGGCAACGAATTTGAAAGCCCTAAGTAACATTCGCCTCGAGTTATACTGTTCACTTGAAATGAAGGCACATCGTGTCGTCCTCTCTCTTTGTGGGCCATGAACCGGAAATAGGTATAGTGCGATGGTTCATGCCATATTGTTCACATACTAGTGAGCCTATCCACTGCAACGAGATAGTGAGGTTGCCAGACAGCCAAACTATGCATACATAGCATGCGTGTGGTAGATCCGATACTGGCATGATGATAGATAGAGGAGAGCCAAGGCCGTTGGTGCTGGTAAACGCTGAAGCTATTAAAATTAAACGGTCAGAAACGACGAATCCTTCTAGAAAACGATCACTCTCTCGAGAGTCCAGGCCGATATTGGCAAACTATTTGCGTACCGCGTGCGAGGATGCCCGAGTCATGAAGGAAAGGAGGAGGCTGGGAGGAAGTTGGATGATGGATTGGCTGTGAGCACATACAGAGCTTTGGTGCTGAGACCCCCACCAAGCATGACTGGCCCGATGTGATATGATCAAATCGAATTGATCATGATTCAAGGACATCGCGATATGGGAGTAGCCCTGCGCTGTATCTCAAGCGAGATATTCGGAATACCATCCGCAGTGTCAGAGTCATGCTCTCGGTTGCGCGGCAGCATTCTTACCGTTGTTTATACATATACCAAGGGCGTCAATACCAATCATATCGGACACACCCTGCATACGACCGACGTCCGAGGGAATCCTTCTGCAACGTGCCTGCCTGCTTCCTTGGTCATCTACCAATATTGTAACTTCCATCATGCTGGTATGATTGAAAATACCTCAATCGAGGATGCTTCGATCACGGTGCGAGTGATCACGTCTACCGAGTATTTTGTGGACAGAGACACAACCACGACATGATCCCATAATTCGTCACGACAAGTCGAGTGTGTATAGGGCAGAACATGTATAAGAACAAGACCGTTGTCACCGTATGGTTTGTGTTTCCGGTTGTACCTTCCCGGCTGCGACAGACCGAACTTTTGTCTCTCTTTTACTCCGAAAAAGGCCATCCTAGTCACCAACGTCTCAAGCTCTTATGCCCTACCTTTTCTCGGCACAGGATCACCTTGTAGCCGTTGGAGGCTATTGCTTTGCCGGCCTCCACTTGGTATACTATACCATAGTAAGCACGTATGGTGACCACATAATTCTAGTGTAAACGTCGCGCTATCAAGCAAACCTGCTTTCACGATGGGCTATGATCGAGGAAGCACCGGCTTGATAGAAAAGCCTCTCCCTGCCAACCCATTTGCTTAGACGCTCAAGGTGATTTCTCGAACTTCTCAACAAGAAGGAAACGAGTTGCAGCTCATTCCATCAACGTTCTCAAACTACACTCATTTGTATCCGACCTTGGGCTCTGGTAGCTTGAAGAGATCATCATGCAGCTTCTTTCCTTAATCACTGCAGCTTTGCTGTCGACACTCACTATTGCATCTCCCCTATCCAACGCCGATCGAGAAAGCGTGAATGTCATCCCTAGAGCATCAGGTATGTTCATGCGGCCGCATTCATGGAATGACTTTCAGATGCTTATTAAAACTACAGCTTGCGTTGTATCTCATCTAGAAATCTTTAACGAGGACATCAAGTATGGCCTCCCGTTCTGCCAATACTATGTGGCAACGTAAGTCTGTTCTACGTCCATTCCATGCCATTTCTGAGCTTACATGACAAAGTCCTCGAACCCAGAGCCCGATTCCCGGCCTGAACACACAACAAGTCTACGATGTTTGCCAATGCATCATCGATGGTCACTTCCAGCCTGCAGCACGAATTGGCGCTGACTGGACACCAATCTCGACATTCAAGGTCGCTACTAGAACTATTGTTCAATATTCCACCGTCACGGTTGCAAGATCGACGGTCGCTCTGACTACAGTCCGATCTGTACCCATCCTGACCACTGGTGTTTCAACGATCACCGAGAAGCACACTATCTTTAGCACGGTGACGGCCAAGGCTTCAAATGCTGCCGAGTCTACCAAGACCATTGCCAGAACGACCGTGACTCAGAAAGTCACCATTGCAAAGACCACAATCACTGCAAAGGCCTCAGGATCGAGCAGTCCTAGTGGAAAATCTGTCGTGACCATAGCCAAGACTACGATTACTCTCAAGCCTACGGCCACCTTGACGGTTGCTAAAACGACCATCACAGCGAACAACCAGACCCCCAGACCAACCACTGTGTTCAAAACCACGACTTTGAGCGCAGTTGGATCTTCCCAGAAGACCGTCACCAGCGTGAAGACGGTCGACTCTCCTCAGAAAACCATCACTGTCGCTCAAACTACCGTGACTGTTCGAGCTTCAAGCACCGTCAGAGCATCGAGTGAAGCGCAGATCGTATCGATCAGAACTGTGACCAGTGTGAAGACGGTTGGCGCTCAGGCTACTGCCACTCGCGTGGTCACAGTCTACACTTCGGCTTCTGCGTCTAAAGCAGGCTCGAGTTCAGGTGCTTCAACTCAAACCTCACACGCCTCCAATGGTGTCACCGCTTCCTCGACCTCCACTGAAACTGCCTCGACCTGTTCTCGTGCTCCGTCCAACACACCATCTGCCACCATCACTGTGGCTGACACTGAATATACACGTTTCTACCGAGGTTGTGGCTACACCGAAAACCCCAACAACCCTGGAAATGCCTACTACTCAGAAAACTTCCCTCCTGTCACTACAAACCTCACCGGCACACTCACTGCCGATCAAGCCGTTCAGCAATGTGCCGAAGACGCATACTACCGCTACGAAGATCCAAATGAGTATCTCTCATTCGATCTGCACTTTATCAGCACCAGCGACGAAGGCCTGGCTGGTGAAGGCGATGGAGTTTGGCAGTGTGTCCAGTACTTCTCTGAGCAGAGTGATACCGATACTTCTGGCTACTTCGACGTCGCCAATCCTGCTGTGCTCGTTGCTTATGGATATTCTTCTGGTCTCTACTCTGATGCTGCTGCAGCGGCTGCAAAGACTAACTCTAAGAGAGCTGTGGCCGATCGTGTTGGAGTGTCGGAGAGTAGCCAGTTCTATCCTGCTGCAAGAGGCCAGAGGCTCAATTATGGATTCAGCAACTTTACGCGTGCTGGATATTAATCTCTCCTCTGTTTAGATCGTCAGTTTCTTTTAGTTCAGATACCACTATCTTGTCTTGTGTATATTGTCTATAATGGATAGAAGAAAAGTTCTTTTTGCTCACCTACTTTGCACGGCCCTCCCTTGTGCGCACTTGAACGAGGTATGGAAGCATTTACTATGCAAGAAAGGATCCACAGAGTACATGAGGAAGAAACGAATTCGGAGCAAAATTCGGAAGCAACGTCTTGTTTACTTCATGCAAGGAAGGCGCGATTGATTGCGAGCTGCAGAAAAGGAAGGCACGACCTGAGCGAGTTTTGTGCACAAACAAAGACAGAAGTTGAAGGATAGATTGATTGTTTGATAAATCATTTGAACTGTTGAGATCATAAGACGCCTTGGAAACCTGATTCCAATAACCTAACTCCCCAAGAAAAAGAAGAGACAATCGCGACATCAACACCTAACACATCTAAATGCTTAGGAAGAAACTCTTTTCGCCCTCCTGAGGCACGACCATGGATCTCTTGATGATAGGGTCCGCACACGACAGTCTGATCCTCTCCACTGTTGCAGGCGAGTGCAACTCAAGTACCTCTTCCTCGCCCCACTGCTTTCTAGCCGCTTTGAGCGCATCTCTGATAGCGAAGAAGACAGCGCTGCCCATGAACAGCGGTGGCTCACCCACACCTCTGGATCTCTGAATCGTGCGCAGATTCTCCCAGTTCACGTCTTTGAGAAGCGAGACATTAAATTCTTGGGGGATATCGCGGAAGCCAGGAATCTTGTAGGCACCAGGGCCGCGCGTGAAGATCTGGCCAGATGCACGGTGCCAAAGTGATTCTTCCATGGTGAAGAGACCCATGCCTTGCACGAAAGCGCCTTCGATCTGACCATAGTCGATGGCTGGGTTGATACTGCGGCCAACGTCCATCTTGATGTCAGCGCGGCGGCAAGTCCATTCTCCTGTCAAGGTGTCAATTTCGACTTCGGCTGCTGCCACACCTTGGGTGAAGTAGAAGAACATCTGGCCAGTGTTGGGACCCCAGACGTAGCCGATATCAGGAGTCTTGTAGTGACCTTGGGCTGAAAGGTTGACACGGTCGAAGTAGGCGGCGTGAGCGAGCTCTTTCATGGTAGCCTTGGGGCCGAGTTTCTCCCTGTATGGAGCGAGGCGCTCGTTGAGTTGTGCACAGGCATTGTGAATGGCGTAGCCGTTGAGATCAGAAGATGCTGAGGCGGCGGTGGACGATGTGTTAGGAACAGTATTGGTGGCAGTTTCGGAGATGAAGACATCTTCCATGGCGACGCCGAGATCTTCGGCGGCGATAGAGATCATCTTGGTGTTCAGACCTTGACCCATTTCTGTTCCTCCATGCGCGAGGAGAACGGATCCATCATGGTAAATGTGCACCAATGCACCTGCCTGATTCAAGAAAAGTGCGGTGAACGAGATACCGAACTTGGTAGGAATCAGCGAGATACCGCGCTTGAAGTACTTGCTCTTTTCGTTGTAAGCAGCAACTTCCTTCTTTCTCTCCTCGTAGTTGGATTCTTCCTTGACTTGCTTGTACATTAGAGGCACGTAATAGTCCTTGAGCTCCTGAAGGAAGTGGGTCTTGTCGCCGGGCTGGTACATGTTGATCTCGCGAAGATGATCGACGTCCATGCCGAGCTTGTCTGCGATTTCTGACATGAAAGTTTCGGTGATGAACATGCCCTGAGGACCACCAAATCCACGGAAAGCAGTGTTAGACACCGTGTTGGTTTTAGCAACGCGTCCGCGAACGAATACGTTAGGGATCTTGTAAACGTTGTCGCAGTGAGAAAGAGCGCGATCAACGACAGCGCCACTGAGGTCTTGACTCCATCCTCCGTTGTTGAAAACATCGGCATCCAATGCTTGAAGCTTGCCGTCTTTGTTGACTGCAACCTTCCAGCGAGCAAGGAAGGGATGTCTTTGACCTGAAGTCAAAATATCCTCATCACGGTTGAGCATGCAACGAACTGGTCGGCCAATCTTCTTGGCAGCTGTAGCAACGATGCCTGCAAGTTGAATGGAACGTGTTTCTTTGCCACCAAAGCCACCACCCAGGCGCTTGACACGGCAGACAACCTTGTTGGCTGCAACTCCTGTCACCTGAGCAACATATGTCTGTGTCTCAGAAGGATTTTGTGTGCTGCTGAAGATCTCCATCTCGCCATCTTCAGGCTTGGGGACAGCAACACAAGCATTGGTCTCCAAGTAGAAGTGTTCCTGACCGCCCATGCGAGCAACACCAGAGAATACGTGGTCAGCTTCAGCAAAAGCTTTGTCGACATCACCATTCTGGATGTATCTGTAATGGTTGAAGTAACTTCCTTTCAGGATAGCCTCCTCGATGGTGAAGATGGCCGGCAATTCTTCATATTCAACCTTGACTGCACGGGCACCCGCCTCGGCGAGTTTTGCTGAGTTGGCCAAGATCATACCGATTGGCTGACCTGCACAGAAGACTTCATCCACAGCGAAGAAGACCTCATCGCAGGTTGGTGCACCCCACCAGTTCGCCTCGGGATTGGGCAGGTCTCTGTGGTCGACCCACTCGATAACACCAGGAATCTCCAATGCAGCCTCGTAGTCCACACTCAGAATCTTGGCATGTGCCTTGGTCGACAAGACCATGTATCCGTAAAGCTCATTCTTTTGCACAGGGATATCGTCTGTGTACTGTGCCTCTCCAGTGCTCTGCTTCATGGCTGCCACATGTGGTTGCTCCTTGCCGAGAATCTTCTGTTCATATGCTTCTCCAGCCTTGTGATCCTTCTTGCCAAAGGAGATGATACGCTCGATTTCTCCGAGGGCGTCGTGGTCAATGTTGGCATCGGTGACAGGAAGCTCGGACAGAATCTCATGGTAGAAGCGATAGAAGAAGCCAAGAGCTAAAGACTTGCGGTAAGAAGCCATACCACCAGGGACACCGAATCTGAGATCAAAGTCTTTCTCCAATCCGTTCATGACAGCTTCCAGCGTCTTGGGATCAGTGAACTTCTTGCCAGTGAGAGCTTTTACTGCTTCCTTGGCGGATATGGTGACAGGAGCCATGCCACCATAGACCAAACTGCAGTCTTCGACATCGTTTGAATCACTCAAGACCACGCGAAGAGCAGCGTTGACGATAGCGATATCGTCATCCTTTCTCTTGGACACCTTGTATGCCCGCATGTATTCATTCTTCTCCTTGAAAACGGGGATCTTGATGCTTGCGATAATGGCGTCCGCAGGCAGAGCAGTCAATCTGTATGCCTTGAAGAAGTCGGACATGGGGATTTCAATAGTCTGTTCCAGTGATTTGGCGACAATGATAGCGTTGGTAGCCATAAAGACAGGGTTCAGATCTGAGATGGGTGAAGCTGTTGCCAGATTTCCTGCCGGCGTACCAACATTTCTGATTTGACGTCCAGCAAAGTACTTGAGCTGTTTGAGGATGGCTTTGAAAGGCTGTCCCTTAGAAGGCCCGTACTTTTCGATTGCATCGCGAGCAATCTGTTCGAGGTCGGTCAAAACAACGTTTCCACCAATCTCTAGGTAATCGTCGTGGAACTCGTATTGACGCAACTCTGCAATATCGCCAACAAATACGGAAGCAGTATATTGCATGCCCTTGAACTTGACCTCGATCTGTGTCTCTGATGAACCACCAATGATCTTTGCTGAAGGGTAGACACTCTTAATCTCTAGTAGTTGTTGGAGTGTGACTGGTCTGAACCACTTCTTTTTCTTGTTTCCGAAGGCTAGCGGCTTCAGCTCGTGCTTCTTGAGCGCTGGAGGGAAAATGAGTTGTGTATCTGGGTTGTATTCGATGAAGCCAGGGGGCGTGAAACGCTTGATGGGTTGATCATCAGAGAATCCTTTACCGTCCTGACAGCATCCTCCTACTCTTCCACAGCCATTTGAGGGTGGTGTGATTTTTGTGGCATTGCCATTTGACTTGCAGCATCCTCCTTCGGTGGACTCGGCCGAGCCATTGTCTTTGCAGCAGGCACTGCCGTTCGAGGACTTCTTAAACGTTTGGGCGGCATCGAGGATGGGTCTGTATCCTGTGCATCTACAGAGGTTGCCGTCGCATCCTTCTTCGATTTCGTGTTCTGTCGGTTCGGGCGTGTTTCGTAATAGGGCGTAAAGACTCTATGAAGCTGTGTTAGCTCTGTAGGTCGGGCGTAATAGAAGCACTCGTACCATAACTATGCCAGGGGTACAGAAACCGCACTGACTTCCATTTCCTTTGGCGATTCTCTCTTGCACAGGGTGTGGGTTCTTGACGCTACCAATACCCTCGACGGTAATGACATGCTTGCCGTCGACACTGACCAGAGGAGCCAGACATGCATTGACTGAAGCATGGTATATCTTTTTTGTTGTTGGGTTGAACTGCGACACGACGACTGTGCATGCACCGCAGCCTCCCTCAGCACAACCGAGCTTTGTTCCTGTCAAGCCAATACCACGGAGGTATTCGAGCAGTGTGACTTCGGGGTCTGCTGTGTCGAGCACCACCTTTGTGCCGTTCAGGTAGAATCTCAGAGTGTCGTCGTATTCCTCGGTGATGGACGAAAGAGTACGCACTGCCGTCTGCGAGACGGCAGGTTCAGGGTCGACCAATCCAGGTGCCATGTTGGACAATGATGGTTCGATCTCGGGCTCAGTTCATGTATAGACCACAACTAGGTATGGAGCGGAGTGTGGCGAAGAAGAAGTGTCTTTAGGAATCTAGCTCGTCAAACAGCTACCAAAGAGCAAAGGAGTCAAATCACCAAACGGGGAAGGTCCATGAAGGCATATGGGATTACCCTTCTGTGTCTTATCAGTGGCCGCCGCTCACGCCGTCCATCTTTCAGCGCATCCCAAACAACGCGGGGCACAGCGTCCAACAGTCCCTGAGCCTCTTGCCCACCAAGAGCATTCATTGCCGTTGTACAACCCCAGCCGTGCGCCTCATTCACACAGATACGGCAGTTCGCGAATCTGTTTGTCATTGCTCCTTGCCGACCTCTCAAGTAATCGCTCGAATATCGGTCTGTCATGTCTTCTGTGAGGTGTCGGCGGCGTCCGACGGGCTAGATGCTCGACAGTTGTCTGACCGGCGATATCGGCTTTAGGCATGAGCAAGCTCGTACCATCTCTGGTTAGACTCAGGATGACTGAACATATTGAGTAATCATCAAGCATTTCTCATCATGTGACACCAATACTAGCACAGCTAGTTCATCTTCATTGGTCTAGTGGTCATGATTTCCGCTTGTCAAGATTAAAATCTCGTCAAGCGCGGGAGACCAGGGTTCGATTCCCTGATGGAGAGCTTCACTTTTTGTCCTTTTGCCTCACTCACATAATTTTCCTCGGTTTGCGTGTTCTCTCGTCTAGCGATAGCTGTCAGATTGCAGTTATGAAAAGGTACGGTATCGTCAAAAAGAATGATACTTTCCAGTGAGAGTGGTTTACAAATGTCTCTCTGTGGACGAACTCCTGATATCAATTACGATTTTGCATTTTTATAGTATGCAAGACTGTTTCGTGTCGTTGGAGGAGAGCTCAGCTTGAATCCTTCCTATGCAATGCATAAACAGATTTCAACTATAGGAATGCAAGATCATGTTCACATCGAGAACATGCCTAGAGAGAACCTTTGGGCTGATACATCTCAAAAGACACTGCTCTCTCTCACGATAACATTATGCGTTTGGTTCGATTAGCATGAGAGAGTCTAAGTACGCTGAAGACTTGATGAAATATTGGGCAATTTTCTTTCTGCATTGTGGTAATCTAACAAAAACAAAACGCTCCGATCGAGAGGGGTATCTTTCTTTTAATGCACAACCGAGTCCCTATAGACAATCGACCTCCAGACGCCACCCAAAACCCCTCGCTATGCAATGCCTTCATGCTTGACGCCAGAAGAAAAAACACAAAAGCCAACCAACGAGCACAGAGAACCTACTGGCCGAGAGGAACATCGACCTCCTCCTCGTAGGTCTCGTACTCGTCGGCGGCAAAGTACTTTGCCACGGCCTCCTTCTCGGCACGAGCGCGCTCAGCAGAGAGCATGAAACGGACGGTGCCGTCTTTGCCACGCTCGCCCACTCTGCTGCGCGCACCCGTGGCCGAGGTCGGGCCCATTGCAGGAGGGGAGTTGGGGCTCTGGTTGGTTGCGCCAGGGAGAGCCGGGGAGACTGGCGAGTGCTTGGAGGCACCATTGGCTGCACCATTGAGGTCCGACTTGGGGGCGTCGATGGTCTCGGTGTAGCGAGGGAGGTTGAGGGCGGTGGCCTCCTTGTTCAGAGTGATGCGCACCGCGATGTAGTTGTCGATGGAGAATTGGTTGCCGACAATGGTGGCATGGCGGTGGTGGGTGAAGAGGTCAAGCAGGTCCAGCAGAGTCTCTGTGGTTTTGGTCAGTTTTGCTTGACGGGTTGCAGGAAGTCAGCACGTACCCATGATCTCGCCGCGGGTAGTGGACCATTTCTCCAGGTTAAGACCTTCAGGGCCGACGATTGCGTCCATGTTGAAGTCTGTGGTCAGATTCAAGAGGCGTGCGGTCAGTTCGATACAGGCAATTGCCATGGTCTGAGCGGTCTGCTTCAGAGGAGCGAATGTGCGGTAAATGTCGATAGACATGTTGTAAGCGGTTCTGCCCAGTGTGTCCTTGGGCCAGCCCGAGTCTCTGACGATCTTGACAACAGTTTCCTGAGGATGTCTGGTTCTGAAATCGAAACCAGCAGATTCGAGCATGAGACGTTCTATGCCGACTACGGTCTTTGATGGCTGCTCAAAAACCTGACGAAGATCAGTATACAAATGTCTTGGTATGACCAAATCAGGACTTACGGGATCATCAGGGCTCAGGTGCTCTGATGAGGGAAGCTTGAGGTTCCAGGCGGCGCAAAGAACTTCACGCGACTTCTTGAGAGTGTCCTCAATCTTGCAGGCAGTGAAAAGTGCGGCAGCGGCGGCGTCCTATCAAAAGTTAGCAAGGATAGCAATTCAAGCTTGATAAGAAGTATGTTACTTACTGCCCACATGTACTCGCTGTCGGCATGGACTAAGCGGAATTTGTGATAGTAGACAACAGCAGTGTTGAAGGTGCGAACAGGTCTGTATTGAAAAGCAAAAGTTAGAAATTCTAACATGTAAAAAGATAAGGATTGTCTTACAACTGCAGAGCCTTTCTGACACTGTCGATGTAGTGGACGCCCTGGAGACGGATGCTGTCTTCCTTGTGTTCAGTTGCGCCAAGAGCATTCAAAGAGTTCTGCAACTGCTGCTGGAAGATGTATGGATTGGCGACTTGGATGAATGAGGGGTGTGGACCAACAACGCCATTGTCGCTGGGAGCAGCGCCGTTCTGAGACATCTCTCTTGAGTGGCTCATGTTGCGCAATGGAGAGTTGGTTGATGTAAAGATGTGAGGGCGCGATGGTGATGGAGATGGACGTGCTCTCATGATGTCCGTGCGTTCGAAGTCGCGCTCGAACCTCGAGCGACGACGCTGGTTCTCTCTCTCGTTGACGACCATCCTTCTCGGCATGACGACTGGCAGTTTATTTTCCTTGTCGTCTTCCTCTTCTGCCTCGTTGTAAGCCTCCTCTTCAATTCTGGCCAATCTGGAGATTTCTGGAGGAGATGTCATCAGCAATCTTGTAGGTTGACCAAGCCGGACCAAGCATACCGTCTTCGCTGTCGCTGTCACTGTCACTCCTACTCATGCTCATGGGAGCACTGCCAGCCGAGACTTCCTCTTGGTCTTCCCATACTGTGATGTCCTGCTCCAGTCCAGTAGCTATAGCAATGTCAGACAGAATTCTCCAGTAAGTTCGGGTCATGATTGCAACACACCAGCGTCGGTGGAAGCTGTAGCTCTCCAAGCATTAGACGTGTCATTCTGGTATCCAACACCCATTGGTGTACTTTCACCTATGCTTCCGTCAACACGCCGTCTCAATGCTCGGGCTTGAGAAGGCAAAGAGGCAACTTACGAGATGTACTGGTCTGCCTTCCTCCAGCAGGGTTGGCCCTAGACCAACGCTGTGGACTGCTTCTAGGACTCCCCCAAGTGCTCTGACCAGCGTCATCTTGAGCACTCTGACCGTCTTGCTCATACTCCTGAGTCGATGTCAAAGAAGCAGGAAGCACAATCTCCTGCAGAGGCTGTCTGTCTCTGTGGACAGCATGGTTGCCAAACTCCCAGCGAGTATCAGAAGAACGAGTTTGGGGGACAAACGCCTCAGCAAGCATGGGTTGCGCAGTCACGCTAGGATCAGCATGGCGGAAGTCGCACTGGATACTGCTCAGGTGGCAGCGGCCCATCTGCCACATGCGACATACAGGCCTGCTGCTTCTCTGCCGCATCACGCGGGACTCCATCTTGCTATCATTACCCATCAGTAAGATCGTGTGCAGGACTGGCGATGTAAGGCTACACTAGATGTGCCATTGGACATCGCCTAGAGGATGTATGCTTACCTTTCTGGAGAGATAGTTAAAACCAGGAGGATCTAGAAACAGAGACAACTCCTCTGGATGATGGAAAGAACTTTGTGGGCAATTTGCAAGACACGGCGTTGTCACTTTGCTTGTTTAGATGGCTGCGACTCCGACTCCGTCACTGCTTGCTATGAAATTGCCGCGAGTAATGTGTGGTGGTTGGTATGGGCTTCTTCGCTACCCAGTGCACGTCCCTGACTCGTGACCAGTATCTCTTGGACACCAGCGCTTGGACGGAATCTTCTACGCTAGAGCACGAAGGGTGTCCTGGCCCTTTGATATATCTACTTCAGCTTTGGCTTCGACAGGAGCCAGTGTGCCTTTGATCTTGTCAAGCTGAAAGGGCATATGATGTAGGATCCTCCATGCCTAGCTGTATGCTAGGATGGCCATCTTCTATTGCAAAGACATGATAGATCAAAGAGAATGAGAGTAAAAAACTAGATGGTTCCATATGTATCTAACACGACATGCTTGTCTCCAACAAAAGTGGGTATATGCTCTATCAATGCAATGCACCTTCAAAACATCCTATGCTAATGCCCTGATCTCTTTCAACCGAACAATGCGATTAATCAAAGCCTCTTTGAGGGCTCATCAGATGGCTTGCCACAACAGCCAGGTCCTCCTGGGAAGGAACAGCACCTAACCAACTCTCACCACCAGAAATCTCGAGCTTATCCTTCAGCTCCTTTGTGACTTCCTTCATCTCATCTTCAACATTGAGGTACCAACGCAAAAACTCGCCAACCTCGGTATTCTCGTGGTTTCCGTGCAGCTTCTTTGAGGCATGACGGTTGGAAGAGTAGATGTTTACATCAACGGCACTGTGACCGTGAGTGCTCCAACCAGTCTGACTGCGCTTGCTGATGATCTGAGACATGGTCCATGGGCTCAAGACTGGGTGCTCGATCAGGTAATCGATCTCTTCGCGAGTCACGTCCTTGATGCCCAAGTTGTCGTTGATAAGCTTAGTGAGATACTTGGGAAGGTCGGCCTTGGAGGGCTTGGAAGCTGACAGGTGGGAGAAGTACAGACGGGCAGTGTGCTCGGCACTGTGAGTTGCGTTGGCGAGAACGCCAGGGTACCAGAGATATTCGGGGTAGTCAACGTTCAACTCTGGGTTGTTCATTAGCAAGATTGAAAATGAGAAAGGACATGGAGAGACATACGTCTAGCAGTAGCCAGGCCACCAGTCTCATGGTCACTGGTAGCAACCATAAGACCCTCAGTGTCATCTTCCTCAAGGAAGTCGAGAACAGCCTGCATGGCTCTGTCATAAGCAAGAACCTCGTGAACCTGTGCGGCGGGGTCGTTGTTATGACCAGCATGGTCGATTCTGCTTCCCTCAATCATGATGAAGAAGCCTTGTTCACTGTCTTTTGTGGCATCGCTGAGAGCACGAAGTGCAGTCTTTGTCATTTCTTCAAGCGATGGGTAGTCATCGTCGACGTGTCTGCGATCGATTTCGAAAGGAATATCGGTGGGTGCGAACAGACCAAGCAGAGGAAGCTCGACGGAAGAACCAAGGTTGTCAAAATCCTCACGAGAGGAGATGTAGTTCCAATCGTGCTCATCCGCATTGGCGATCAAGTCTCTACCGTCGGCTCTGCAGCCTCCAGCAGTGGTGTTGGGCAAAAAGTGGCATCTTCCTCCACCGAAAATCAAATCGACGTTTCTGCCCAGGGGACCATTACCAATGAGTTGTTCGGCAATCTGGTCCTCCATAGCGCGGGTTCTGACGTGCGAGGCGAAGCATGCAGGGGTAGCATCGGTAATGCGAGTGGTGACAACAAGACCAGTGGTGTATCCAGCTCTCTTTGCAGCTTCCATGACACTACCGCAGGGAGTGTGATCGGGCGTGACGCTGATGGCGCCATTGTAAGACTTGTGACCACAACTGAAGGCAGTGGCTCCAGCAGCACTGTCGGTGACGAGACTGCTGCTGCTTCGCGTACGACTGTTTCCGATGAAGTGCTTATCGAGGACCAGAGTGTCGTCCCATGGCAGGGCGTTGACATACTGTTTGAAGCCGCGGGTCAAGGCCAACGAGGTTGGACCCATGCCGTCGCTCACCTGTGTAGGTTAGTGACTGAATTGAGACAGTAGAGCAGAATACTCACCATGAAGACGAGGTTTCTCTTTCCAGTGGGCCGGTCGCCATGTCTGTCAGGAGTCGTCTTGGACGATTGATGCTGGTAAACAACGGCGAGAATGATGACGGCGGCAGTGGCTATGAGACCCCAGACGAAGAGGGCAATCTCACGGTATCTGGCCCATCGTGAGGTGGATGATTGGCGGATCGGTCTCTGTCCTGTCAAAAGAGCATCTTCTTCGGTTGCTCGCTCGTCGTTGTGCGATGACGGACGACGCGTCAACAGGGGTTCTTGTCCTCGAGGCATTGTGTTCTTGCGGAGGAAGAGAGAAGGAAATCTCTCAAACAAACGAAACACCCAAGAACTTGGTCATTGCTGAGTACTCGATGGTCCTCATGACCGCATGCTATGACGCTAGAAATTCTTGGCGCCATACGAGATGGCTTATCTGCTGATAGCTACCCGTCCACTAGTTGTTACTCCTGTCTTTCCTATACCATCTTCTCATCCGTCAATGCTACCGTTTCAAGCATGCAGTAGGCCTCCGTCCGTCACCGTCCAAATTTGATCAAGGCATCCAGCACAAACACCAACACAAATCAGCTCTGGTTACAGTAATGTCCCTCTCTCTTTCCTCTCTGCGCAGCCTGTCGTGTCAAGGAAAGCTCAGGCTTGTCGATCAATTCAGCGTCATTCTCAATTTTCCACTTTGCGCACTAGGTCTGTAAAAGACCACTGCATACGATATGAATACAGGTGCTGTCAGAAACCATTCAAAAAGGCAGCCTGAGCTTTAGGCGTAAGTAATTCCAGCTCTTCATCTTCGTTACTGCCTGTCCTTGTCACAAACAGGATGATTATGAGAGTCAACGTGAACACAGCTACGACAATTCGGTCACCCTATGAAGGCTTTCATGGTCGTATTGGCCATTCAGCCAAGTGTAGCTCAAGGCAGATGCGCAAGGCTTGGATACTGACTAAGGCATTGTCGGGGCCAAGTCATCAGTCTGCAACAAGTCTCATTGAAACATGCGCGCTAACAAGGAAGGCATTCTGGTTTATGTGAGATCTCTAAGCAAATGCCATTTATCTGATATACTGGTCTCTACTCAACTTCACCTATCAGAGTCGAATGCCTGCGTCCAGTGCTGTTGGTGTCATGAAATCAGGCGAATGATGCACGACCAACAAGTCTGGTCCTAAGCGTGATCAAGACATGTCAAGCGTTGTCGACCCACTTGTAGATGTTGTGGATGCCGCTTTCCTTTGCAACTCGAGTATCCAGACATAAAACCCAGCAAGTTTCATCTGGAATCTATGAATACCGACCCTGGCTACCTTTTCTGGTCATCTCGTGTTCGCTAGTCCTGACAAGTCTCAGGACTCATCCTGACTCCATCTGCCGGAAGTATCTGCCTTGATGTCGTCCTGAAAACATCCGACTTTCCGCAAAAGTCAACCAACATATCCGCGAGTCTCCATAGCCCCACATTTACGCACCCCGCATCTCCTCGAGAGTGGATCCACTTGCCGCAACCTTGCACCGACCGCCTCTCCTATCTTCTCTTTCCTTTTTGCCTGTTACCCCACGGCAGTGGCTGACAGATCCACGGATGGCACTTGGGATCCACTTGTCGATGGGTGCTCCACCTGAAAGACGGTGCGGAGCAGCGAGCTGGGAAGGAGAGTTCGGCAACATGGACAGTGTACGGTTTGGCTCCACTGTCCGGTGCGTGTTCCGCGCTGTATATAAAAGAGGGATCATCGTCTTCTTGCTTTCCGTAACGGTTCTCTGTCTCTAGGTTTCGTTCCTGCATTGCATTGATCTCTGTCCTGATTCATAACACTCTTCTATCTTTCCTATCTTGCCTACTCGGAGTACTCTACACTACAAACGTGTATCCTGCTCTGCTAGGTGTTAAACACCAACACCATCAACCATGTCTGCAATCCCCAATGTTCCAGAAAACGACCACCACCATGGCACCCGTGAACAAGACCTCGACAACATCGCTACCAATGCCATTCCTCAACTGGCAACGAAGCGCGTAGATTCACCCACCAACACAAGCTACAACAACGCAACTTCTACATTCACCCTCCACGATACAGTCATCGAGAACCAAAGACCCATCAAGGTCATAGTCGTGGGAGCAGGTTACTCGGGCATCTACCACGGCATCCGCATCCCTGAACGCCTGCGCAATGTCGAATTAACCATCTATGACAAGAACGCTGGAGTAGGAGGAACATGGTATGAGAACAGGTATCCTGGCTGTGCTTGCGATATCCCCTGTAAGTTTATTCCCCCTGCGACGAAGGAGACAGATATTGATAGAGTCAAACAGCACACTCCTACCAATACTCCTTCAACCCAAACCCAAATTGGTCGTCTATGTACTCTCCAGCCGCAGAAATCCAAGCATACCTCGAGTCAACAGTGAAAAAGTACTCAGTCGATCGCTTCATAAAGCTACGCCATGAAATCAAGTCCTGCCGCTGGGACGCCGCAGCCTCGAAATGGTCCATCCAGATTGAGGACTTGGAGGCAAAGAGGACATTCGAAGATAGCAGTGATGTTTTGATCATGGCAAGAGGAGGTTTGAATCACATAGCCTGGCCACAGATTGAAGGGTTGAGGAGTTTTGGAGGAGAGATTATGCATTCGGCTGCTTGGAATCAAGAGTATGTTGTCTCCTATTCATCTCTAACTAAGGTGTGTATCTCTTACTGACAATCTCTCCTTACAGTTACGACTTCACAAACAAACGCATTGGAGTAATCGGCAGTGGCAGTTCGGCAATCCAAATCATACCTTCTCTGCAACGTCTCTCAGGCACACACCTATCCTGCTTCATCCGCAGCCGCACCTGGATCTCTCCACCCTTTGGTCAAGCCATCCAAGACAAACTAAAAATGGACGGTTTCAAATTCACCGAGGAGCAAAAGAAACACTTCCGCGACGACCCAGAAGCCTTTTTCAAGTTCCGCATGGAGATTGAAGAAGGCGGAAATGAAATCCACGAATTGACTATTATGGGCACAGACATGCAAAAGGGAGCTCAGAAACACTTTGAGGAGAACATGAAGACGAGGTTGCAGAAGAAACCTGAAATCTACGATTGGCTAAAACCTAGTTTTGCGCCTGGCTGCAGACGATTGACGCCAGGACCTGGTTTTTTGGAAGCTCTGGTTGAGGATAACGTCGACTTCATCCGCACACCAATCACAAAGATCGAACCGAAAGGCATAGTGACTGAAGATGGAGCCCTCCATGAAATTGACGTCTTGGTCTGCGCGACGGGCTTCCACACTGGTGCACCACCTCCCTTCCCCGTGACTGGTGTCGACGGTATCGCCTTGCCGGATCATTGGGAGCAACGTGCAACATCATATCTCTCCCTCGCAACAGACAAGTTCCCAAATATGTACATGATGCTAGGTCCCAACTCAGCAATTGGATCTGGATCCCTGACGATGATGATTGAGAGTGTCGGTGACTATGTGATAAAATGCGTTCGCAAGCTCCAAAAGGAAAACATCAAATCCATGACTGTCAAAGCCGCCCGAGTACGCGACTTCCTGGCATACTCAGATGCGTACTTCAAGAACACGGTCTTCATGGACGATTGCAAGAGTTGGTACCGCAAAGGTGACACAGTGGTCGGGTTGTGGCCGGGATCGACATTGCATTGTATAGAGGCTCTAAGGAGTCCGCGATGGGAGGATTTCGATTGCGAATACGACGAGGAAAATCAGATGGCGTGGTTGGGTAATGGATGGAGTACTAATCAGATCGAAGGGAGGGACCTTGCGTATTACTTGCTGCCGCAGTTCCAGCAAGTGCCGGTGGCGCCATTGCCAGAAGAGAATTCCGAGTTCAAGATACGAGCATACTCGCAGTAAAAGATAACGTTAATGAAGGATTGTACGAACAGATGGTTGTGAGTCTTTCGTTGTTGTTGTTGTTAACTTGTCAATCTTGCTGGCTGCATCGATGGCTAAAGAGACCAAGATCTGTTCGTGTCAGTCAAGACTCCCCTTCCAGCGTGATGCGTTTCCGATCAATTCCTCAGCTAGTCAACAACTTACCACTCGCCATTATCCACCACCAGAATGAAATACCATGGAAAGGAGTCCAAGAAGGGATGCATGTGATTTGCAATCTAAGCGATGGCACGATTTCCCCTTGCCAACAGCTCTTGTATTATGATACGAGCTGCTCTGTAAACGTAGATAGTCAACAAGATGAGCGTAAAAACGACGATGGACAAGTGTGCGTATGCCAGCCATGATAGCTTCTCGCCCCAGGGTGCGTGCCAGAGAAAAGATGCGAAAAGTAGCCATGCGTACACAGCTCCGCAGAAGAATGGGATAAGCATAAGATCCATGATGAAAGGATAATCCTGGTTGTGTGCAAGATTGAAGGACAGAGGGAGGAAGTCTGGAAAATCAACAACAGAGCAAAGAAACAGCTGGACACATTTTGGAAAGGCAGGAGCAATCGTCCTTTAAGCACGGGCACGATTCGCCATTGCCAACGTCACCTGTACAAGGAAACAAGCTGTTTCGATGATGAGCTTGCCCAAGAAAATGAGCATAAAAATGATGACGGACACGTGTGCGAATGCCAACCATGATGGCATGTTGCGCAGCGGTTCCCACCAGAGCAGCAAAGAGAAGAAAGATAGCCATGCGAATACAGCTCCGCAGAACAATGGAATAAGCATAGGATCCATGCTGAAAGAATAGACCTGGATGTGTGTAAGCTTGAAGGCCAGAGAGAGGAAGCCTGGAATTGACAACAGAGTAAGGGAACAGCTGGACACATTTTGAAAAGGCATGAGCAAACGTCCATGAAACTTATCAAGGTTGCGATTACCACGTGCTGTGAGAGGATTTGAGCACACCAGAAAGCGAAACTTATATGTGAGCTACCACATTCACCGCGTAAGTTCTTGAAAAGGTTGGAGAAGGACGACGTTTTAAATCAAGACCGCCATAAATTCTTCTTTTCTGTTGCTACAAGGCGAGGAGGGGAAAATCGTAGTCAAATATTTACAGGGTGTCTCTGAGGAGCTTGTTCATCTTGGCGATCTTGGATGAGACGCTGAGGTCGATGGTGCGGTCGCCAATCTCGACGATGAGTCCACCACGGATGTCGGGGTTAACCTATGTCAAATCATCAGAGAAATTGCACATGTCAATAGCGAGAACACAATACGCACCTTGGAGACAACCTTGAGCTTCTTACCCTGACCAACGTATGAGGACTTGGAGACGGAGCTCTCGAGCTGGCGGAGGACCTTGGCGTCGAGGGGCTGTAATTCGGCATGTCAGCAAACAATTGCTGTTATATGAGTCTTCTCTTTCTTCTTCATGTACGTACAGCAGCGCTGACAACAGTCATCTCAACCTCACCGCGGGCGGCGCTCATAAGAGTGCCGAACTTCTCGGCAACACCCTCAAGCTGGTTGAGTCTGTTGTTCTCTGCCAAAGCCTCGAGGAAGTTCTTGATGGTGTTGTTCTTGTCCTGGACACCAATGGACTTCTGGATCTCGGCAATGATCTGCGACTTGTCGGCGTTGCTGAGGGTGGGGGCCTCAAGGATGGTCTTGAGGGCGGCGTCCTTCTTGAAAGTGGCAGCGAGGTTCTCGAGGCCCTTGGCGGTGGAATCCAGAGACTCGGTCTTGACAGCGGCAGTGTAGAGGGCGCTGGCGTAGGTGCCGTCGAGGCCAAAGAGAGCGACCGGAGGCTTGGAAGCGGCAGACGAGCCCGAGGCGGCGGCGGCGTAGGATCTGACGGCAATGGGAGCGCGAGGAGCGGCCACGCGGGTGGCGCGAGCAGCAATGCGACCGGACAACATTTTGCAGGCGATGGCGAGATACAATGAGCGGAGATGGGAGTCAACCTTTAGCACAACGCAGCTCTTGCACTCCCAAAGCCCGGCCGTCGTTGCGGAAGCGGAAAGCACGGCCCACACGTGACTTTCAACATGGCTTTTCATCCGTATCCGTACGTCCTCGCTGTTTCCTTGGTCACTTCTTGCACTCCTCGTAATACGTGATTGATCAATGGATTCAAAAGTACAAGTCGCTTTACTGTCAGAATCATTGTGCAATCAGTGACAATCAAAGACTTGATATACTGCGGTATGGTATAAACACAGGCGCTATCTACAACAAGGAAAAGAAAAAAAGAAAATCAGTCAACCACATCCACTCTTCGGCTCCAATTATGCGTCAATCAGGTTCTCGCTCTCTTGTCTGTCCTGGTTGTCGCGGGTGTCCTTGTTGGCTTGCTTGTCTGAAGGACGGCGTGTGTACCACTCGTCCAGAGTCTTCTTGGGGATACGGTTGAGAAGCTCCTTGGGGTAGATGCGGAGCAATTCCCATGCAGTGTCGAGCGACTCGAAAATGCTGCGCTTCTCATATGCACCCTGGTTGATGAAGGTTTTCTCGAACTTGTCCAAGAACTCGAGCGAAAGCTTGTCCTCGCTTGACAAAGCCTCCTCACCAACGACTGCCTTCATGGCTGCTGCATCACGACCAATGGCGTACTTGGCGTACAGCTGGTTCGAGACATCCGAGTGATCCTTACGGGTCATACCCTCACCAATGGCAGACTTCATGAGACGCGAGAGCGAAGGAAGCACGTTGATCGGAGGGTAGATACCCTTGTTCATAAGCTGACGGTCAACGAAGATCTGACCCTCAGTAATGTAACCAGTCAAATCGGGGATGGGGTGGGTGATATCTGCAGGCCCATTAGCACGATTTACAGTGATTGGTGATTGAGAATGTGAACATACCATCGTTAGGCATGGTCAAAATGGGGATCTGAGTAATGGATCCGTTTCTGCCAGCAACACGACCAGCGCGCTCGTAGATGGTAGACAAATCAGTGTACATGTAACCGGGGTAACCACGACGACCGGGAACTTCTTCTCTGGCGGCAGAGACCTCACGAAGAGCGTCACAGTAAGACGAAAGGTCGGTAAGAATGACCAAGACGTGCTTCTCGAGCTGGTAGGCGTAGTATTCGGCGGTGGTGAGGGCAAGACGAGGAGTGATGATACGTTCGATACTGGTAGAAGTTCAGTAGAGGGCGCAAAAGAAACATGACGAGATGGACATACGTAGGGTCGTTTGCCAAGTTCAAGAACAAGGTAACTCTTTCCATACTGCCGTTCTCCTCGAAATCGCGAGTGAAGAATCTGCTGGTCTCCAAGTTGACACCCATGGCACCGAAGACGATGGAGAAATTGTCCGAGTGGTCATCGTGAACGCCCTTGGTGGGCTTGACCAAACTGGCCTGTCTACAAATCTGGGCAGCGATTTCGTTGTGGGGCAGACCAGCGGCAGAGAAGATGGGAATCTTCTGACCACGAGCAATTGAGTTCATGGTATCAATGGTTGAGATACCAGTCGAAATCATCTCCTCGGGGTATTCCTGCGAATGTCAATATACCGCAACTGCACGGCATGACTTGATGGTGACTGACTCTTGCGTAGGGGTTGATAGGTTGACCGTTGATGTCGAGGTAGTCCTCAGCCAGGACCTTGGGACCCTTGTCGATGGCGCGACCAGAACCGTCGAAGACACGACCAAGCATGTCCTCAGACACACCGAGCTTGAGCGAGTGGCCGCTGAACTCGACTTTGGTCTACTGCACATCAGCACCACTGTCTGGACCCTTTTTGGTTGATTCGCCGCACCTTCTTGACATCGATACCAGAAGTTCCCTCAAAGACCTGTTGTGTTTTGTAAGTCCCATGCTCTTGGAATTGCGATTCGGTAGTCGCAGTCATGTCGCGATAGTGGAAGGGCGTACCTGGACGACGGCACGGTTGCCTGTACGAGATTGTGTCAGTATGCGGTTCTCGGGCGGTGGTGAGGATGGCAAAGCATACCGCGAGCTTCGAGGACCTGACCAGATCTCTCAGTGCCATCGGGCAGTGTGAGCGAGACAATCTCGTTGAATCTAGGGAACTTGACATTGTCCAGGATGACCAGAGGACCGTTGATACCGCCAATGGTGTTGTAGCGGATGCGAGGCTGGACGTGCATCATCCTGGGGTCGACGGTGAAATCCTCTCCGGCCATGATTACGGTGGCGATGAACTGAGTCGGGAAAGAGGATAGTAGGGTGAAAGGTGGTATTGACTGCCGTACACAGCAGACTGGTCGAGCTGGGTGGTTGAACTCTCCGACCTGGCAAGAGACGTTGGTCTCCCCGTACGTCAGGCCCGTCTCCCAAGATGGCCTGTGCACCATTTACTAGGTATCTTCCCATTGCTTGTTCGAAGTTACAGCAACTGTTTCTACTACAACTAATAGAGAATGCCTATCATGCAACATCAAGAACTAGTCTCTGATGAGGTGTATAGGCCAGACATTCAAGCCGCCACTCTGGTGCAACCAACCTTCGTGTCAATATATGACTAGAAATCTACTGAGAGTTTCCTCCTTGACCTGGTCCATGATCCAAAAGTTTCCGCTTTCTCCAAGACGCCTCTAGAATGCTTCAGGCCAAAACCAGTCATTGTGAATCTATCAAACCATCTGGTGACAGTGTTGGACAAGAAAGAGGCCTGCAAGATAACTCTTTCTGGGTCTCTCACATGAATGTTGTGCAAGCGCACAAAGCGTGTACAAGCACAGCAATGACTTCAGCCAAGACTGGGGTAGCGAGGGTGGATTTCAAGCTCTCTCTCATTCAGGCCGAGAGTGAAGTTCTCGGAGCTGCTCCCTCAGTCTTTCCTTAGCAATTGCCCAACCATGCATCTCGACGACAGCGCGTCCGAAGAACTCAAGGCTTGGGTCGTCAAGCGTCTAGAGGACATCTCGGATGCAGACTCGGACGTTCTCGCCGACTATGTCATCGCTCTGATCAAGTCCGACGAGTCTGACGACCAAGTCAAGCAAAACTGTCAAGACAACTTGCTCGACTTTTTGCACGACAGCACTACCCAGTTTGTTAACGACGTCTTCGCCCACCTCTCCAATTCCGATTCCAAGCCCCTGCAGCCCACCGCGACCGCTTTCCAACCTACTGCCCCTGCTTTCCAGCCTAGCGAACCCGCCTTCAACCCTCCCTCAGGCCCCTCAAAGAAGCGCGACTTCAACGATAGCAATGCATTCGATGGCCACGCTCAAGGCTACCAGCAAGATCGTCCCATGAAGCAAATGCGACGGGGCGGACGTGGTGGTCAAAGAGGAGGTTTCATGGGACAAATGCCTGCCGCCTCTCAGTCTCTGCCTCCGTTCGACCCAAACAACCCAATGGCCGCTCTCATGGCAATGCAGCAGGCTATGGGTCTACCTGTCATGCCCGGTATGCCTGGAATGCCACAAATGCCCTTCCCTGCCTCGCCTGGTGCTTTTGGCAACTCTGCGCAAACCCCGCGCTCTGGACAGAGATGTCACGACTACGACACAAAAGGTTTTTGCGCGCTTGGTGCTTCGTGTCCCCACGAGCACGGCAACGATCCTGTTCTGGTGCCTCAGCAGCAAGCAGACGAGTACGATCCTACAAACGCTTCGATATCCCAAGGCCGTCCGTTCTCCGATAGAGGTCGTGGCCGTGGGCGCGGCAGAGGCGATAGAGGTGCTTTCCGCGGTGGTCGTGGAGGTCGCGCCGATTTTTCGTCTGCTGGTCCAAACCACGATCGCTCTATTACACAGGTTGTTGTTGAACAGATCCCCGAGGAGAACTTTAACGAGCAATCTGTCCGCGACTTCTTTTCCGAATTTGGAACCATCGAGTCGGTCGAGTTGCAGAATTACAAGCGTCTAGCCATCATCAAGTTTGAGGACTACGATAGTGCGAAGAAGGCATACGATAGTCCCAAGGTCATTTTCGATAACAGATTCGTCAAAGTTTACTGGTACAAGCCCGAAAGAATGCAACGGGAGCGCCACCAGAATGGCTTCGGTCAGAGCGAAGGTGATGTCGACATGCAAGAAGAGGAAAAGATTGATCCTGTCGAGTTCGCCAAGAAGCAGGAAGAAGCACAACGGGCCCATGAAGAGAAGCAAAAGAAGATCAACGAGGCAGAGGCACAGCGACAAGAACTGGAGCAGAAGATGAAGGCACAGGCTGAAGAGCGCAGCAAACTGCTCGCCAAACTCGCTGCTAAAGAGAGAGGAAAGTCAGGTACTCCGGATCAAGCTGCTGCTACCGGTCAGAATGGCGCCGCTAATGGTGCTGATGGCAATGGTACACCCTCGCAGACCGATGCTTTGAAAGCCAAACTCGCAGAGTTGGAAAGAGAAGCTGTAAGCATGGGCATAAATCCGAATGAAGATCAGCCATGGCAAGGCTTCGCGCCGCGTGGTCGTGGTGGCTACAGAGGTCGCGGAGGCTTCCAGCCCCGAGGCGCATGGCGAGGAGGAAGAGGTGGTTTTGCTCCTCGTGGAGGTGCTGTCAGAAGGCTAGACAACAGACCTAGAACTGTTGCAGTCGTCTTCCCGGATAACGAGCAGATGGACTCTCAAAAAGATGAGGCGCTAAGGCAATATCTGCTATTCGTAAGTGATCGCGAAAGATCATCTGTATTGGGACAACAACGTACTAATAACTTGCAGAGCGATCTCATGGAGTCTACACAGATCAGCCCTCATCCCTCACGCTCAGACGCGGCTATGCTGGCATTCTCCGAGCGCTATCAAGCTGAGAAGTTCCTCAATCATGGCTCTGACATCCCTCATCTTGGCAAGGTCGAGCTTTCGTGGATGGCGAATCCTGCTCCCAGCACTCCTGTCGCATCCACCCAAACAGCCCCTGAGACGTCCAAGGACATCAACATGGACGAACCTCAAGACCTCGGACCTCCTAGACCGGCAGCCGAGATGGATTACGATGTAGCCGACGATGACGACAATTGGTTGGTTGAATAATTTAAGAAAGAGCGAGGTTAGATGCATCAGGCTTTTATGTTGCTCCAGCATTCCAGGTTATATATCCCACGTTCTGTTGCAAGTTGGTCGGAAGAAAGAAAAATTCTGCCACGATTCGCATTTTCTGTACATTAGATAAAACACAGCAAGCTCATTTTCTGATTTTTGATGTCAATTGTTTGACATCTTTGCGACCATTATCTTTCTCCAGGTGTCAACAGGTGACCCTGTCTTTTTGAATGTCAAGCCACACAGCACGACTCGCTAAGCCTGACTTCTTCTCCCACATCTCACATGCTTCTAGACACGACAAAGCACACCGATGTCGCCTATCGCAGAGACCCAGGCTTAAAAACTGCTTAACGGTAGAAATACGCGATGTGAAAGTAGGCTTTGCTCGATTGGGCAGGTAGGCGCTGATAAAAGCAGAGTAAGGCCGTAAGAACACTTTGACCATATACTCAATCCAGACCAGCTTCACTATACGATGTGGCTTGGAAAACGAGATACGGTGAAGAATCCACCAGATGAAGGATCCTGCTGCGGTCGTCTTCATGGTCCAAATGACTGGGTGAGAGTATAGATAGGTAATGACTGGGTCCTTCCCACCTGTCTTAGACATACAAACATTTCCTCAGCAATATCGCGTTTCCAACACAAAGCAATACATCTCAAATTCTTCAACTACGACGCAAATCGATTAGGTCTACTTCACCTGATAAGCGATCCATACAACACTCAGCAACTTCAACAAAACCAAAGCAACAAAAAGGGCACCTCAGATAAAGTCAACAGCAACAACCATGTCCCTCCACCCCACCAACTTGACAACAAACACCACAACACCCTCCTGCCCAGAATCTATAGTCTTTCCCCTAGGCATCACTGGCCACTACTGCGCCGTCCCTGTCTGCAAAAACACCACCGCCATTTTGCAATCCTGCTGTCACGGCAATCCTACTGTTCAATATACATACCCAGGCATCAATGAAGGCAACAAGACATACCAAGGGTTGTATTGTTTCTTGAATGGGACTTTGGATGGTAATTTGACTTCTGAGAGTTTTATCGATTGTGTGAATGGATTGGGATATGGAGGTGTTATGGGATGTGATGAGGGGAATGGCATTGAGAAGAAGGGTAATGGGCAGAGGGTGGAGGTAAGATGGATGGGTATTGTGGTGATGGGATTGTTAGTTTCTGGGTTTGTGAGTCTGTGAGTGAGTACGCTGACCGAGATTTGGGTCAACGCTTTGTGCCAGAAGGATGTGGAGAGGGATCGGGGGTCACTGAAGCAGAGACCGAAGGGTCGGTATCCGATATCCCTAGAGAGGTCTCAACATCTACATAGACTCTCGTTCATGAGGATTCAGGTTTCCAAAGCATACAGCCAAATGCGAGTAGTAGCATACTCGCTCTCAAATAATTTCAAGACATCATTAATTCACTGCTACGTCCAATGGCTCTTGACAGCCATATCATGACACATATATTGCAAACATCCATCTAAAAGAGGGAGAAAGGTTGAGTGAGCGGTATCAGGAGGTTCTGAAAGCAGGAGCTCGAATCGCACTTGTAGCATCGGACGAACTTCGGCGTTTCTGAAGCATCTTTGTCTACAGTACCACCCTGTCCATATTTATGAAAGTCATTGCAGACTGCTATGGTGGCATTGGCGACGATAGTAGGCTTTTGAAATGTGACCCTGATATGTGGCATTTTTGTGTACAGATTCAACTTGGAAGAGAGTGCTGGTCACAGTTTCTTGTCACCCGATGGTTTTGAAACAGAAGGCCTGAATGAAAGCATCAAGGTGGGCTTCAAGCGCTAGCGAGACAGACAGCAAGAACGATCGAATCAGCGACCCATCTGCTCTACCAAGGGGAATGGAAGGCAGGTAATAATGAGAGAACAGAATCACTCCACACTTGCTTGATACTGTCATAGACTAACTATTGAAATGCATCATAGTTTCGCAAAGAATATTGTTTCCACGAAGAGGATTTTCTGAGAGGTTATCCCTATGGCCACACACGTCTCAAGAGAGCGACTGTACATTTTGATAGCATACAATGAAAACCCTTATACCTCAGCATGAGATATAAGTTAGTTATTCAGTTGCGACCTGGCTACAGTCTTTAGCACACGAGGAGGTTGAGAATCACCATGACAAGACGAAGCGTATAGGGAAATTGAACATTGAACATTTTGCGCTTTTTGGTATCTCTACATCTAAAGAACATCCTCTAAATGTTCGAGAAGAAGAAGGTAGGGTTTCTAGACATGATCGTTAGCAGTTGATTTTATCACATGGAAATTTGGAGGAGGAACTTACGCAGGGACGGCATTCTCAGCCTGAGGCGGCAACTCGGGCAACTCAGTACCCTTGGCAGCGGCAGCTTCACCCATGCTGGCAACAACCTTGCCGGCCTTACCACCTTGCTCGACCGAAATGACTTCGACGCAAACACATCTTTGCACTGTGCTCATCAAGCCAGGGACCATCTGGGCGAGCACATCAACCTCGTTGTAGGCAAGCTTGCGCTCGAAGACAGTGTTCGAGTCAATGCCACCCTCGAGGCTCTTCTTGAGGGTTTGGATGAAAGGCATGGCCTTCTTGCTGTCGGCCTTGTCGACCTTCTTGCTGATTGCCTTCATATCGATGGTCAAGCCATCAAAGGCCTCGCGGACCAAGTCGATGACCTTGGATTGCCAAGTGGGGTACTCAGTTGCCATGAAGATGGTCAACTTCTTGGGCTGCTTGGGGTCGTAGTTGGTGGCCTTGCCCTTGGTCATACGCTTCAACTGAGCGCCCTCTGCAGAAGTGATGTTACCGCTAGTTTGGCGGACGTACTCACGAGCGGCAGTAAGCTCGGGCTTGGTGGCGGGAACTTGAGGGAAGAGCTCGTTCTGGACAGTGCTGGACTTTCCAAGGACCTCGAGCCAAATATATTCTGCCCAGTGGGGTGCAACGACGGTGATCATCAGGGCTTGCAGCTCGACGTACTTGCGGACAAGGTCCTGGTGCATACCGATACCTGAAGACTTGGTGATCTCACGGTAAAAGTCACGGGCGCTGGTGAAGTCGTAGAAACCGGACTTGAGAGCAGACTTGTAGTTAGTGGCAGAGTAGTGCTCTCTTGTCTCACGGACCAAGCCATTGAGCTCGTTCTCGAAAATGTCATCCCAGAAGGATCTCTCGCCAGTGCGCTGGACGCAGTCGTTGTTCTTGAGACGCTCGTTCTTGTTAACCTCGAGGTAGTTTTCGCCGTCCTTGAGGATGCGAGCTCCCTGAACAGTCTCCTCACACCACTTCCTCAACTCAAAGAGCTTGAGAATGATGGCATTGGCGACGGTCTCCTCGAAGTTGGCATCCTCAATTGAGTCTCCAGCATCGGCAAGAGACACACGGGTGGCATCTGCACCGAACTTCTTGGTCGCATCGTACAGGGTAAGGAAGTTACCGGTACTCTTGCTCATCTTCTCGCCGTTCAGGAGCAGATGGCCGTTGGCACGAATAGCACGAGGCCAGTACTCGCGGGGAAATAGAGCGACGTGAATGTAGAGGAAGAAGGTCAAATGGTTCTGGATGAGATCCTTACCAGAAACACGGATATCCAGGGGGTACCAGTACTCGAACTCTCTGCGCATGGCCTCGAGAGTTTCCTTAGGGATGTCGCTCTCGACGTCTTCGCGTCTGCAGAATACGTAATCCCATACCTCATCAGTCATCTGTGCAGCAGAGACCTTACCAATACCTTGTGTTTCTCCGTAGATGTCACCATGGAGGTAATGACTAATGGTGTAGTAAGCCATGTATACAGTTGAGTCACTGAGGGACTCCACCAAGAATTGTTGATCCCAAGGAAGCTTGGAGCCAAGACCGTAAGAACGAGCGCAAGCCCACTGACCCAGCCAGTCAAGAGTTTGTTGGAAGGCGTTCTTGGCCTCAGTGGAGAAGGTGTTAAGCTCGCCGTTGACGTGGCCAAGAACCTCCTGTTGCCAGGCTTCATCGCCATTCTTGCCGTAGTTCAAGTACCACTGATCCAGATGTCCAGCAACACACGAGTCACCAGAACGAGACATGACCTCGCCATCGGGTTCAGCGTAGTTGAAGGCGTTGCCGGCGTCAATGAGGGTCTGTCTAACCAGAGGCTTGGCCTCCTCGACAGACTTGCCCTTGTGCTCACCGTAGCACATGGTACCCTTGTAGAAGCCCTCCTTGTAAGCAAGGTCCTTGGCCTCAGCAAGCTGCTTGGTATCCTTGGGTGAGGCGATCTTCATGTCCTCGCACAACTTCTTGGCAGTCAGATTTCCATAAGTGGGGGTCTCAATTATGGGAAGAGGTTCAAGGTCAGCCCACTCTTTCTTGATTTTATAGTAGTCAGCCTTCTTGACCAGATCTTGGATGGTGATGTAGTCGTCAGGCGAGTCAGAGGGAACACAAGTTACAACGCCGGTACCCTTTGACGCCTTGACGGTCTCCATGGGCAGAATGCGGACGTTCTCGTACACTGACAGAGGAGCATTGATGAGAGTACCGATAACGTCAGAACCCTGCAAATCGGCGACCTTAGGGAAAACTCCCCATTCAGGGAAGATGCCCTGGAAGGCCATGTTACGAGCAGCTCTTTCTGTGACAAAGTAGTACTCAGTCTCAGAGACCTTATAGATGCCGTATTCGATCTTGGGAGACACAAAGCAGCAGGTCTGCCCATACATAGTCTCAGGTCGAAGGGTAGCAGGGACAAAGTAGACGTTGGCGTTCTCGGGGAGCTTGCCAGCGAGGATCTTCTGTGCGGGCTCGGCCCATTCCTGGACCTTAAGCTTCAGAGCAGTGTACTCTTGAACGCCAACACCCTCACCGGAACTTCTGTCGTGGTCCATACATGCTTGTTTATCCTTAGGCGAATAGACAGTGTAACGCTTGCCAAACTTGATCTTGCCCAACTCCTTCAGGCGGTTCATTTGCCAGCGAACGAAAGCGTCATAGTAAGGGTTCCTGTCGGTTGTAACCATACTTCTTCTCCAGTCGACTCTGGCACCAATGTTTGTGAGATCGCGCTCGCAGAGAGCAGGGAAGTGATCGAGCCAGTGGTTTGGGTCAGCGAATTTGTGGATCTCCTCCTTTTGAAGGCCGAGGGCACCCATGATCTGGAATTGGTACTTCATCGAAACAGCCTTGGCTGCGGCCTTGCTCTTCTTTGCGCTGAACTTTGTGATGTCGGCCTTGGTAGTCTCTTGGGTAGGAGCGGGCACGGCATCTTCCTCGGCGTCCTCCTCTTTGTAGTTTTCGAAGTTCTTGCCGAACATTTCCATTTCGCGTGCGAGCTTGTCAGCGCAAGACTTGATGGGCATGCCGGTACAGTGGTATCCTTGGGGGAACAAGGCTCTCTTGCCCTCCATACGTGCCCATCCAGTAGCGAACTCGACCTTGGAAGCGGTGAATGCGTGACCTGCGTGCAAGATGCCGTTCTACACCACAGTTAGCATACTTCTTGTATTGACAGAGGAACGGTGAAGCCCGTGCCATGTAAGGGTATGCCATAGTCCCCATCTAATGTTTTGATTAGCATGTTTCTATGCAGTTAAGGTACTTTGACTGCATACAAACTTGGGTTGTTGCTCGCGAAGCTCGGCGGGGGTGATAGAGTGGAAGGGAACATCTTGAAGCGAAGGAGCGTTCGATTGGAATACACCGTCTTGCTTCCACTGTTGCTGGTACTTCTTTTCGGTAGCAATGAGGGTGTCACGCTTGTCGGTCTGTTGAATTGCTGGTCAGCATCGAGCAAAGTACAGGCTTCATGAATTCTCGTGACTCACGTTCTCAATCTTGAGAGTACCCTGAGTATCCTGAGGGGTGGCCATGGTGAACGAGCGGTATTGAAGTGGCCTCGAAGACAATACCCGCAGATTGCGCAAAGAAAAACTGAGCAACGACGTGGTGGGCAAAGAAAGGTCGCTTTGCTCAAAGGTCGGAAAGAGTTGCTGTGCGATGGCGGCGCTGCGCTGCGCTTGCCAAAAGTTTCCCCGGATGACTTTTGTTTCGGACGCCCGCCAGTTTGCCTTGTTTGACACCGCATTACCGCCCTCGAATCTGCCCACGAGGGTGCATCTTTTGTTCTGTAGAACATCCGGCCATGTTTTTCCCGACGTTACTACGGAGGGCAGCCGCTCTGCCCAAGTTCGACTTTGCGAGGAACCCGTACAAAGCAAAACGCACATGGCCTCCAGACTTTACAAAACTCTCGCAGAAGCATCAGTTCCGCCTCGAACGCCGGTACCGTAGGAGGGCAAAGCTGAAGTGGGCAAGACCGACATGGACAAAGTTCGTCAAGCTGTCCACCTGGGCTACTATCTCGTGTATGTACACATTCAAGTCATGCGACCCAGACATGCTAACTTCATACTCAGTCGTCGTTGTCTATGGTCTACTGTTCATGGACATTGAGGAAGGCACCGTCTTTGGCACTGTATGTCGACTATTCTCACCTACTTTACCAATTCGAGCTGACATGTTTGACAAGATCCGAGACTTCTACGAGAGAACAACCAACGACATGTTCGGCACAGCTAGACGAGCTCCTCCTATCAAGCCTCGTGCTACCACCGAACAAGATCAGTCCGCGTCATGACCTGCTGTCAAAAGAGACTATAACACAACATGACCTGTCAAAGCCTCTGCTGTCCCCACCTGCCAACGTATGTGGGTAGCCAATTCGCGCCGTACAGACACAAGAGTGGGAGTGACAAATGGAGCACAAGCTCTGTGCAAGACTGTACTTAAGCACATGCTCATGCCGGAAGCCTAGTCTGCGAACTCGAGGATGCCTGCAGTAGAAGCAGACGATGGAAGATTGAAAATGGCAGAGTGCTGAACTGCTTGAGGTCGATGCTTTCAGAGTTTGGATTATTAGCTACAAAGCAGCCCTCGGGTCAACCAAGAGGGCGTAATTAGTGTATACATGCCGCCAAGCTTCGGCATATTGTGTATGAACATCCAGCAATTTATCGGAGTCGAAGCCGTTCGTCTCGTTGCTGTGCGTTACTGTAGAGAACCTGTCTGAAACATTCTCGACAGATGGTGGCGGTTTCAGGCTGCCTCTGGAATGCAATCCATGCCTTTTGCGTTCACGTGGCTGGTGATGGTGATGAGATATGGATCCGTTCTTGAATTTGCTTGGCAGAATCAAGATGCATGTCTTTGTCAGAGAGATGATCATCTGCCCGCCCAGATACCAGGTCCAAGACCACCAGTGCGACTGCCTTCGTTGACAGGCCGCTTAGCGACCTTTCCTTGTGCCTTCACTCCTTGTACCACCCTGTGAAACATTAGAAACGAGCACAGAAAATTGTTCTCAAAGACGTACTTGTCCAAGCCTGTCTCAATCACGACACCACCAACGATCATTTCGCCCAGGACTGCATGTAGCGTTTCGAAGTTGAAGATGAGATCCAGTTCGCAAACGTTCTCGAAGAGCCTGTCCAGTGACTCAACAAAGACTTGGATCAGATCGAGCAGAGCCAAAGGAGACTCGGTGCTAGTGCTGATGACGATGAAGTAAAGAGTGGCATAATGGCGATAAGTGACCAGAGATGGAACGTCGTTGTGAGAATCCGATACTGCCTCTGCCGACTGAGCCGGAGCGAGAAGAGGTGGCAGTGGTAGGAAGTTGCATGCTGATGATGGCCGGGCAGAAACCAGGGTAAAGATTTCAGAAATCAGACGTTGCTGAACAGCAGTATCCTACAGGAATTGTTCAGAAAATATGCTGGTAAAATGGTATCTGTATGTCATCGCACCAGTTGTGTGTAGAATTTGGTCAGACGCGGTTGGCCATTGTTATTGAAAACCAGGACGGCGTTGATCATTGCTGCTACTCTTGTTCAAGTATCTGTGTCGCCGGAGAAGGATGGATTTGAGTCAAGTTAATGTTCGAATTTTGGCCCTGCACGTGGTTGTATGGTTCAGGAACAAGCACCAGGATGCGAGACGCTGTTCAGGATCCACAGGCCCACCTCCACATGTGCCAAAGTTTGTCACATTTGTTCTTCTACGTTTCGCAACGAGAGATGCGCCGAGTATGAGGATTTGATATGAGATGGACGAAATCGCCTTCAGCCAGTGTACTCAGTGTAGCTTTCTCCTATGTATATCTTCATGATTCTTAGTAGCCCACAATCTCATGAGCATGTTATGTGATATGGATGAAATAAGAGGTATGGGTCTGGACCCCGCATTGGTCAAGCTCATCGTCATTGCTCTGCTGGAGCTTCGGTCTGTCGCAAACAAGTTCACCTCACCTCGTCTCTTACACCTCAAGGCACTGTCCATTGATCACTACAATCATCTCCATCAAAACGCCCTCCCATCGTCTCCTACTACTTCAGCCTCACAATTGCAATCATGTCGGCCCCTAGATCAGTCCGTTGCTTGCGCCAGGCAGTCCGCAGCCTTTCGACTCGTCCTGTAGCTCCCAGATATCTACCCAGACAAGCTCTCTGCGCATCACAAGTCGCCCCTCGCTGCTTCGCCAGCTCCTCGCGTACCTTCAAGGGCATCCTGCCTGACACCGACGAGCCCACACTCAAGGAGAGTGAACCTCTGCATGAGATCAACGACCCTACACCCATTCCCGTTGAAGAATACCACGAGAGAGCAGACCACTACCTCGAGGAACTCGTCTCCAGAGCCGAGGAGCTTGCAGAGGAGAAGGAAGGTGTCGACGTCGAGTTTTCGGTAAGCATTGGTCCTCGCCATAACTCACTGCGTATGCTGACCAACCACCAAGGCTGGTGTCCTCTCCATCACTTACCCTCCCAACGGCACCTACGTTGTCAACAAGCAACCCCCAACCAAGCAAATCTGGCTGAGCTCCCCCATCAGCGGTCCCAAGAGATTCGACTGGGTCGTCTTGGGCGAGTCGCAGCAACAGAAGGAGGGTGCTGCATCAGGCGACTGGATCTATCTAAGAGATAAGACCAGCCTGACCACTTTGTTGAGAAAGGAGCTGGGCATAACCGTCGGCGAAGAGTCGACTCGTCCTTAGCCGAACACTAGCCGAATCACAACCTTCCAATTGCACGACGGCATCCCAAACAGACAATCTCCGAGCAAATGCATCCACCTCCCTTTGCAGACATTCACCAACTCCTTCACAATTCTGTGCGACTCTTTGACCTACAGTTCGACTGCCCGGATGCGTGGGAGATGAAGAGCATGGGTGCCTGCAACTGTCGCGGATGTCTTCCGTACAGTCGTATTATAGGGTTCGCATGTTACCAGCCTAGAAGCAAGGACAATAATGTCCGGCCAGATACGATATCAATGTAAGGACTGATTTGCTTTAAACGTACCTACAGTGAGGAAATCACCTTTGGTCCTCCTATATCCGCCGTTGCCACGTCGCAACTGTTTTGACCACTCCTTCTATTCCAATCACTGCCTGCGGTTCATGTTTGTTTGCTCTGCGAACGGTAATGAAACCGGTTTACAGCGGCCACAGGTTTCAGAACCTAAGGATCCCTTGCCGGGCGTTTATTGTGCGTCCACATTTGGGCTGTCCAAACTCTCCCATTGACAGGTAGCTCAATCTCATAAACGAGTTATAGCGTTGTGTCACTCCTGCACTCCGCACTTTCTCACCTTCGTATCCAAGATTCTTGTCCCCTCGCCTCCTCATCCTGCAGCTACAACGCATCACCATGAGTTTGGGTTGCTCCCTCACGATCGCCCGGTCTTACAGGTAGTTTTGCAATGTACCCTTGAATCAGCCGATACAGTGCCTCTTTCGCATATGCAGGTTTAGGCAATTCCGGAAGTTCGAGGAGTCGAGGTAAGTTGAGGCTTGAAAGGTTGTTGCGGGGACAGTTGTTCGCTGCAATGACCTCGGAGAAGCACCAACGGTCTCACACCGTATTGCCCCAGCGGCCTCACATGCTGTAAACAACAACTACTCATCATCAACTGAGACATCTCATCCTCAGAACGGGATTACGAGCTGACGACCAAGTCATACTCATGCCGGCATTGACCATGTGACTCTGATTGTATTGGCCCAACCATTTATGACATGCTCACCCCAGCCACCTCACTGCTCAATGCTGAAGATCCCTCTGACCATCATCTTTCGTTTCCTTGCTGTTTCTTGCGCATAGATCTACTACCTGCAGGCCATCTAAATGTACACTGTACCTCATCTCGCAAGCCGGTGACGGAGGGCATGCAGCACAGGCGCCACCATGGCATCACGCAGGACGTTCATATCCATGCGACCGTTGGACGTTGGGCGGTGGGAGATCAGAACGAGCTCACTAGAAATCGTGCTTGGATGCCGGCTAGCCGTAACGTCTCTGATTCTGATTCAAAACCGCTCAGGAACAGAAACACACAAGCAAAGTAACATACGATGCAACGAAGGAATCGGGATGGACCGAGAACCAAATCGTGTGATTCGTAGTGGCTACGAGTCTGCCACAGAGACAACAACCGCGGAGGGTCTGGTATGAAGCATCGAAAGCAGATAGGCTTTTGTCATGATGCGTCGATCACCTCTGCCGATGGCACGGGTCTATTCGTTTTTGGTCAAGCACGGTCAAGCCGTGCCATACAGCACGGAAACCTTACTCCTCTTTACCTTGCGCTCCGCCTCCAGGCCAGATGCTTGATGGCTAGATTTGAGTTGCGAATGCTGCACGTGAGTAGACCTATGTCACTAGCTCGTCACGGCAAATCATGAAACGAGCACAAATTCATCCATGATCCATGGTATGCAGCTTGAAGCTCACAGAAAGTCGTCGTGTTCGAGTGGGGCGGTGGGATGTGTCGTTCCCTTGCCGGGCTTGGCCCGTAAATCCCTCCCGCAGAGCGCAACCCTAACATGGGCCCATCAATAATTCTCATCGGCTTCATCGAGCACGTCGTTGCCTCGGCGAACATCTTGTTGCATCTTGGCCCAGCAAGCAAGGGAAACATAATCTCCCAGATCATTGTGCAACGATTCTCCTGCAGAACAAATCTCCAAAACAATGCCTCGACTAACAGCTGAAAGCTGTTGAACCTTTCTTGCCCAAAACGTCCTGCCAATTCCTGCCAATTCCAACAAGGCTGAATGGCCTTAATTCGCGCGTGGGGGAGGCGCTATACGTGCGTGCCACTTTGCGGAGAGGAGGATACTTTTCCCAGAGAAACCCCGCTCTATGCATCAATGCTCTCGATGCACTGCAAGATGGGTGATCGAAAACGCGAGTATGAAGAAATGGCTGGGCAGTGGGTGCGGCACATGTTATGCGAGTATACGAATGCAGTGGTCATGGAAAGTCGCCAAAGGAGGTTGCTTGGGTTTCTATTTTGGTCATTGACTTGACTTTCCAAGAAAGGATTTACGGTTCGGAGGTTGGAGGTTAATGATCGTCACTCTTCAACGAGAGTTTACGAGTCGATGTTGTCAAAAGCCCGAAGCATCGAGACGTCACGGAGAGATGGCTGGAGTCAGGATACTTCTTCGGTGCTTCTTCTCACAAGTGAGGGTCCGCATGTGCTTGAGGGTTGCTGATGAGACGACTGGAAACAAAGACATGCAGGTTGCTGCCGCTCGCCTGCGGGTGTGATTGGGTGCGCTTGCATGCTTCCCGCCTGTCTCTCCCCGCCACAGTTCAGTAGATCCTGGGTTCGTCACGCAGTACGACCACTAAGAGCCGCAATGCTTGTCGGTCACTGTTTGGATGGACGTAGGTTTGAGCAATTGACCGGTTTCGTCCTTCATCTCCAGATCACTGGTACGACTTGGGGCCGCCGAGCCGGTTTCTTTGCCAAAAGCCTGCTCAGTCAGCCGCTAACCTTACGAAGTACGTCCGTTTCCAACCTCTGCCCGTTGATCGCAAGCGGCCAACGGTAGGTACGTAAGTGCAGAGCGCTAACAGGCCGTGTTCGTGAGCCAAGCGCTGGAACCATAATCCGGTGGAGAGGACTAACGCCGCCTGGCCCAACCACCCCTCTCTGGCATTCCACGGGATAATGAGCTTGGGATATAAGAGGTAGGCACATTCCTCCCATTGTTGCTGCTGTTTACACATCAACTCGACTCGACTACCTTAAGAAGTCACTCTACAGTTCGACCATCGTACCTTCCTCTGGTTACAGAACTCACTTTCGCTCTTCGACCTTCATCTCTGTCACCCACACCTGTCGTTAACATCAACATCCATACTACTTGCACATAATCACCACTACATCTTCTCAACACCTTATCACCATCAATATGAAGTCCTTCGCCATTGCTGCTGCTTTCGCTGGTGCCGCTGTCGCCTTCCCTCAGGGTGTTACTCAGGCCATCTCCCCCAAGTCCGGTCCTCCTGCAGGCTGCTCGGAGAACCACGCCAGCCCCTTCAGCATTTCTATTACCAATGTTACCACCAACGGCAAGCGTGACCTCGAGGCCCGCAAGGTCTTGACTATCACTCTTAAGGACGGTACCTTGACCGATGACGAGGGCCGCACTGGTTACATCGCTGCCAACAACCAGTTCCAGTTCGACAAGCCCGCTCAGACCGGTGCCATCTACACTTCTGGTTTCTCCGTCTGCAGCAACGGCACCCTTGCCATTGGTGACTCTGCCATCTTCTACCAGTGCTTGAGCGGTGACTTCTACAACCTCTACGACAAGTCCACCGGTGCTCAGTGCTCGCCTATCTACATCAACGTCCTCGACACTGGTGCTGCTGCCTCTAGCGGTGCTGCCACCCAGATTGGCGACGGTCAACTCCAGGCCCCCACCTCTACCGCTGCTCCCGTCACTCAGATTTCTGACGGCCAGATCCAGGCCACTACTGGCGCTGTCACCCAGATCTCCGACGGCCAGATTCAGGCTCCTACTTCGACCGCTGCTCCCGTCACCCAGATCTCCGACGGCCAGATCCAGGCCCCCACTGGCAAGCCCGTCACTCAGATCTCCGACGGTCAGATCCAGGCTCCCACCACCGGCAAGCCTGTCACCCAGATCTCCGACGGTCAGATCCAGGCCCCTACCTCTGCTGCTGGTAAGCCCGTTACTCAGATCTCCGACGGTCAGATCCAGGCTCCTACTGGTGGTGCCACCAAGGCTGCCAACGGCACTGTTGTTGCTGGCGCTGCCACTGCTTCCTCAAGCATTGCTGCTTACACTGGTGCTGCTGCCGTCCCCACCTTCGCTGGTGAGATGCTCCTCGCTGCCGGTGCCTTGGCTGTTGCCTTCCTGTAAGCGTCTTAACGTTTGCATGAGCACTTTCTTTCTACATCCGCTCTCACGACCTATTCATGTTAATAATAGGCACATTGGGCTCGTCTACCTCTACTAATGTTTGATCTGGGTGGAATGAGATGCTTCCGAAAGGAAGGTAATAAAGACGATCAACGTCTTGGAAAACATTTCTTATTTGCATTTTCTGGCTGGCATGATACCTTCTCTTGCATACCGGAGCCTGCTTCTTTCTGTCCTTCTTTGTGCATATAGCCTTTACTCTTTTTTCTCGGATAGATAATTGGTCTATCAATGGATTCATTTTTCAAATTCAATCAGCTCTCTCTTGCTTTTTTACTGTGACCTATCTCTGACTATCTCCAAGTTGCCTGCATCGACACCCTCGCCTTGGCCTTCGCATTGACGAAGTAAAGAGAAGCGACTTTGATCCAGAGACGCGTCGTCATGCTTCTCTAGTGGAGCACTTAGTGAACCCTCAGCAAGCCCTGATACAATACCTTCCAAAGGAAGTGTAGCTCGCTCTCTTGCTGCAGCCAACCGCGCCGTTGATCCTCATTCAATGAATACGCTGCCCAGCACGCGCTCTCGTCGCGATCTCGGAGTTTCTTTGTTTGTACCCAGTCCACAGACCACGTATCATTATTCGCAAGACTTACTCATCCTCGACCTTATCATCTCTGGAAATCACCGATTAGGTTTTGTCATACAGCACTGTATTTGTATGCATGGTCCCCTTTATGCAGGAACCCATCACCATGTTCGGAATCTTGAGCTTGGCAAGCGACGTCTGACTTTCATGCCGAGGGCTTCTGTGTCCGGCGCGTCCCAACAGAAAGCCAAAGTCGCGTTTCTGGGGAATGGGCAGAGACATGGCCGGGTTTACGGCGTTCCCGCTGTCGCTGTCTGTCGCTCGCTGCTGGGGTATGGTGCGACACTGCGATGAAGCGGGAGCTTGGATGTTGCGATTGCGCGATCACGGCAGGATCTTCGGCAGCATAGATTGAAATGGTGGCAGAACAAGGACAGAGTTTAAAAGTTGAGGTTTGACTTGAAGGGGAAGAGCGATACGAAACATACGAGGTTGTCGAGGACGCGGCATGGGATAGGGGATATTGTGCTTTATGCTGAGCATAGCCATCTCGAGGCTGAAGCGAGTATGTGCTATCGTGTTGGCCTCAGTCTCGACGAAAATGACAGTAGGTACAGGCCATGAGGATATTATGATGACTGTCGCCTCCAGAAGCATTTACATGACTTTTCATAACTAGACCTTTGATCGAGGAAGCTCTGATTGTCCTTAAGTGGTCACGAACGATGGTGTCGCAAAGGAGAGCAGGGTGACCGTCAAAACAACATTTTTGCTGCACGTAGAAGACAAAGCAGGAGGTCCTGCAAGGAAGCCGGACGGGATTCTAGTCTTTTCTAGCTTCCACTGATCATGTCTATCTTGCATGACTAGCTGGTTTGAAGTATATAGAAGAGATACCAATATGGTGAGATGCAGAGCGAGTGCGTTGTTTACAAAAATCTAACCTAGTGCTTTCCCAGCAGATGCGCATGTCGGCGGAAGATACCTGGGCGGTCAACTGTGTTTTGTTGGCTTGTTGACACACATCTGCTTGGTTGACTGGGTAAGAGGAAATTGGAGAGTATGCAGGGTGAAAGAGCTGATAGTGTCACGAATCGGGAAATGAGTGCTGCAAGGCATATCAGATTGGAGATCATGCTGCAGGTGCGTTGCTCCGGATCAGCCTGAAAGGATTCCTTCTCGTGCTCATCCATCCGTTGCATCGTATAACCGTAGCCTACTCTTGACGATAAACATGTGATTCCAGGGCGCAAGCTTTACACATGGGAGACAACCGTTGAAGCAGTTCAGATAATGTTTTGAGAACGAAAGTATGATGATAGATTGATTTGATATGAACTTGATGCTATATAAAGATTGCAAAGCTTGATTGATCTGTGTCTTTGAGATGGTCAGTAAAGGTTCTGGTTCAAGAAACAAGACCAAAGTGTAAGGTTTAGAAAGGAAAATCAGACATCCAAGGAAGATATTGCGCTCAACGACCGTCTAAGATAGGTTCTAGGCGACGGCTAGCGTGAAAACTGCGAATGTGGTATGGGTTTCATCATAAAGGGGTGGTGTTGTGTTGACAGGCAGGTAAAGAGAGTGAAGCGACTAACCATAGTTGTTGACGGGTGTCGACGAGCGCTCTCGACAGGCCATCGACACCCTGTCGTATCCCAGATATCCCTTCTCTTTATCATGGTTGATATGCGATGCGAACCCTGTACTTTGGCGCATGTTAGCACGAAGATCTGCGAAGGCATAATGCGAAACAACAAAGTTTTGGTTGTGGGTGTCAGACAAAAATATACTGGCAAGTATACAGGCTGCCAGCGACGGCTGCCCGAACAGATAGTCTTCGTCAAGGTCGAATCTGTTGGGAAAAGAAGACATGATTGTAAAGTTGTCATCATTCGGAGTGATGATGGGAAGAAATGAGTGCGCAAAGATGGACGAGATACTCACAGATGCTACAGGAGCCGCCGAATGTCGCGCAGAAAGGCATAGCAGATGCGCGAAATTCTGGCAGCGACGAACGACGGCGAAATCTGGTGATGAAAGGATTGCTGCAGGGAAGAAAGATTCAGCTTGATCACAAATAAATACTGTCGTCGATCAATGCGCCCGGCAAAACTTCGCGCCTGCCAAGACCAAAATGTCCATGCTTTGCTTGCTATCGGCCTGTCCCATTAGGTAGTCGCAAAGAGGGATCTAGTTTGGACCATGGACCTAGTCAGAACAGCACGACCCGCGATACATATTTCAAATCAGATATCCGTTGACGGAATGATGGTCAGCTTCGAGTACTGATGGTGTCGATCCATGTGCATACATACGGACGAGAGGACAGAGTCGACTTGGGCAGTAGGCTTGGCAAGGTGTTGGATAACAAGCGCAAAGTGCTCATTAGTCGTGCACGAGCCTGGTCAGCGGACAAATCACAACCACGGGGACTGAATGAGGTGAGCGTCGAGTGAGACGAGCGACGATTGACTGGCAAGGCATTTTGTGATAGGCCGAGTTTGCGTTCGCATACCATCGTGCAACTTTGAAACAGTGTGCGCAAAAGTTCTATCAAGACGGGCTTCAGGCGTGTGCATGAATCAGTGGGTACTTTTGGTGAGAAGTGGTAACTGCTGGACCCAACGTTGGCCGACAAGCGCCATATTCGAGACTCGGCCGCTGCGAAGCTCGTAGAGCCGGTCGGAGAGGACGCGCCCGTTCACTACTACAACTCTACTGTCGCTCGCTCTCCCAGTGCCTGCCTGTCTCAAGCAGACCCCGGTTCCCTTGACCAGTGACCACCTCAATTCTGGTACTTGTCCTTCGCTCGCGTCTTTTTGGTCTTCGCAACCATCGTCGCGGCCTTGACGACCCTTGTCGCCCACGCACACGGCACTGCCCTGTACAGTCCGCTGTCGCTGTCGCTTGTCCAGGCCCGAAGGCGCGTCTTCCACCCACCACCAACTCCACCTCTGCGCATCCAGAGCGACAGCATCTTCGACCAATCTCGTGTTCATACATGCATCTGAGCGCATCTTTCATCGCGCTCTCTCCAATTCACACACCCCATCGCGCGTCGTCGACTTGACCAGCTTTCGTCTCTGTCGTCGTTGATTTCACGCGTTCGCTTGCTCCCCTCCAACCATTATGATGCAAGGCATGTCTTTTCCTCCGCACCCGGCGGGCATGCAACCAGGTGTGCCCCACGGTCATCCAGGAATGCCTCCTAATGCTCAGCATATGGGCCAGCCGATGCAGATGCCTGGTGTCTCGGGCCCTGGTGCTCCTCATATGGGTCAACCAGCTATGATGGGTATGCAACCCGGCCAGCAGAACATGCCTCCTGGTATGGGTCCCGGCCCGGGTGGTGGCATGATGCCGCAACAGTCCATGGGTGGTCCCGGTGCAAACGCCATGGCCATGAGCCACCTCAACCCCCAAAGCCACATGATGCAGCAGCATCACCAGATGCAGCAAGCAAGTATGTCTTGATTCTGATAACCATTGCTATCAAATTGATGCTAACAATCCTCGTCGTAGTGGCCAGCAACCCTCAATTGATGATGCAGCAGCAACAACACCTCGCTCGTCAACGGCAGATGATGGCAGCGCAACAAGCCCAGCAACAACAACAACAACAGCAGCAGCAACAGCAGCAGCAGATGAATGGCATGGGTATGGGTATGGGCATGAACGGCCATCCAGGCATGAGTCCTCAGCAGTTTGCACAGATGCAGGGAAACCCTGCCTTCCAGAATGCACAAATAGCCAATCTACCGCCCCAGCACATAATGCAGCTCCAACAGATGCGACAGATTCAGGCTGCTCAAGCACAGCAACACGCGCAACAACAGCAGCAACAGACGCCGCATCCTCAGGGTCCTCAGGCTCCCGCAACGCCTCAGATGCAGCAACAGTCAATGGCCCAACACATGGCAATGCAGCATGCTTCGTCTCAGGCTTCGCACCAGAGCGCCCCTCAGAACAGTCAGGCTCCACCACAGCAGCCGCCGCCAGCTCAGATGAGGAGTCAGTCGCAGATTCCATCTGGTCCTGAAGGTCAAGGACAGGCATCACAGCACGCTCAACCTCCTCAGCCTCAGCAGCCACAACAACCTCAAGGGCAACCTCAGCAACAGCAGCAGCAGCAGCCCCAGCAGCCGCCTCAACAGCAGCCTCCGCCTCCACAGCCTCCAAGCGCCCAACCCACACCACAAATGCAGGCACAACCGCTACCTCCACAACCCCCCTCCTCCCAACCTCAGCAGTCTAATCAGCAAACTCCCCAGCAACCGGGCTCTGGTCAGTCTCAGAATCAGCCGCAAAATGCTCAACAGCAACAGCAGGCGCAGCAACAAGCTCAGCAAGCACAGCAGCAGCAACAGATGACTGCTCAGCAACAGCAGCAGCGCCAGCAGATGATGAACATGAACAATATGAACATGATGCGTCAGCAGCAAGCAATGGCTGCTCAACAGCAGCAGCAACAGCAGCAGCAACAGCAGCAGCAGCCGAGTCGCACAAGCAATGGCCAGTTCATTCTCAAGCTGATTCAGTTCTCGGACCATCTCAGCGCCTACAACTCAACTGTAAGTCAAACTTCACGAGTCGAAACATTCAAGACATCTGACCAGTGATACAGTCGCGTGAGACGAACTCATCAGAGCACTGGGCGAACTTCGTGAATCAGTTCTGGACACCAGACGGCCGGCTCGTACAACATCTCCTTGACAACACGAATTCGTCGACCAAACAATTCATGATCAGTGCCTCTTCGCTAGCACGATACTACTGGACGTGGTTCGACAGTGGTGTGCAAAACATTCAACTCCAGCTCGAGGGTGTGAGGGAGATTCCTGCCCCCAACAATGCTCATTGGGTGACTTGCACTCGTGCTCGCTACATTTTCTGGTTTACAAACCACACCCAAGTATATCGTCTCGCTCAATCCTGCATGAACATGAACTAACTCATCTCGCAGTTGATCTGGCAAGGCAAGCTGACGGCCTCGTTTCCTGCCGGCTTGGACAAGTTCGAATCGCTCGAGTTCGAAGTGTCCAAGACTGAGGAATTTGTCCCTCGCATCGAAATTACGAAGATTCTCTCCCAGGGATCCCCCCTGATGAATAAAAGTCCCAAGTTAAGCAGAACACCGGCTAAGAAGGCAATGCAAAAGGCACAAGGCACTCTTCAGATCGAAGATTTCCCATCCGCCCCTGTCAATGAATACGCCGTCACTCCCGCTGTTATGCAATACCTTGAGGTAGATGTGCTTGTTCCAGAGTTCCAGCTGTACGACCACCTGAACTGACCAGGTCCAGGTTGCGGAAACCATCTTCTTCATGAAGGATTTGATGGAATACTCTCAGAAGAACGAACTCCGTCCCCACGACGCCATGAACCAAATGGTCGCTCAGATCGAGGAGCAGCAACAATTCGGCCAGCCTCAAAACATGGTCCCGAACCCGATGCAGCCGAATCACGCCCAGATGGCTTTGCAAAGAAACGGCATTGTTCAGCCATTGCCTCAGGGTGCTGGCACGCCCAGCCAGGCCCACATGCAGTTGCCTGGCCAAACGCCCAACTTCTCCTCGCCGTCAGTTCCCCATATGAATTTGCCGATGCAGCACCTGAACGGGCAACAGATGATGGCTATGAATGGCTCACCTCACATTGCACACCCGGGCTTGCCCGGTGGCTCTTTGATGGCCCCCAACCACATGATGGGACAGATGCATCACTCCCCGAGCCCGAATATGGGCCCGCCAATGATGGTGCCGCAGCACTCGCAGCAGGGCAACAATCCAAACAGTGCGCATCCGTCCGCATCGACAAGCCCAAACTTGAGCAGTAAGCGTCGACGCTCTCAAGTCAAACTCGAAGGCGACGATATGGGACTAGAAGGTCCACCTTCACAACGCATGAAGCCTAGTCCAGGCCTCAAGAAGAAGTGAAAACGACCATGTTTAGCTCAGCCACGGTCCGACTGAAATGTGCATTCCATTCTTGATAATCTACTTTACAGCTTGTTGCTCTTTCGAGATCTCACACGGCCAGCGGAACTGGAGGAACGAGGGGGTTTACGGCGTTCAATTTTTCTCGATCTTATCACATCTATTCTGCGACACAAAACTGGGGGAGTGGTTCGGCTCGAGAGACCACGAGAGGGAGGCGTTCACATACTTCATCTCTCCATCTTTCTGTTATACACTGTGCACCTTTCTCTCACACTTTCATATTGTCCGTCTCCTTTCTTTCTTTCCTATCTTGTCATTTTGTTCTGCGTTTTCTGTTGAAAATGAAAGGAAGAAAGCTACGGCGCAGCAGGGCGTACATACTTTCTTCGTCTTCGACTTGGGCGGTTTTGTGCTTAGTCTTCTGGGAACCATTCAACGAGAATAAGACGTCGATCATGGGTGCTTGCAATACGCTTATATATATGCCCTTTTTTTTTTTCCCCTCTTGTTCCTGGGAAGGGTGTGTGAATTGTACATTACTTGGCTCTACCCTTACCAATTTCTCTCCATCTTTGCAATATCATAACTTGTTATTTCATGCATTTTGTAAGCCGGGGTGTTGTTGAGGGTTTCATAGCGAGGATCTTGCTGTATACGGCTCCTGTCAGTCAGCAAAAAGGTTCAGAGACGTGTTTAGGCTGGAGTGGTATGCAATGAGGATCACGTCGGTTGAGTACAGTACTCAATGTAAAGAGCACATAGTAGAAGGACTCGTAAAGTAAGGCCACTGTCTCATGTTCGCAAGGCCGATGTAACTTTATGTTGGCATAGTCCACGAGACGAATAGATCTATCACTAGATCCATGTGTCTTGTTACAACGGAAACTACACGACAAAGTGCCTTGCATCGTAGGAAGAACACAATATATTGCCTGCGAAGAATGCCTCTCAATGATCATTAACATTATTAGACTTTCATCAACATTCGTAACAATCTCGTCATCGTGGAACAAAACCTCTACCATCTCTGCGGCGACTCCATCCTTCGGCTCCGCCTCTCCTTTTTGCCTTCCCTCTGCTTAGCCTCCCATTTCTCCTTTGCATCCCTCTGTTCCTCCTGCCTATCTTCTCTGTAGATTCTAACCCTGTTCTCCAAGATGTTGGCTCCGATGCCACCAAGGATGGCCCCCAGCGCCGTACCGCGCTTCTGGTGACGATCGCTGGTCTCGCGGCCAATGTAGCCACCGATGAGCGCGCCTGCAATACCTGCTCCCAAGCCCAAAGGTCTACTGTCAAACGCCATCAAGGGACTATCGTGGAAGTCACGACTTGAGGAACGAGAGCGCGAGGACGAAGACCGGGAGCGGCGGCGTTGTCGTCGCCGTTGTGAGCGGGAGCGCGATGGTGAGCGATCCTTGGGTCTGGAGTATCTGGCCATTTCGTTGTTTACCACAGCCCTGTTCGAGGATGTTGGCGGGTAGTCCTCGCGAAATGACGGGCGTGGTGAGCTTTCGTAGTACTGAGCTCCTTGTTGATATGGTATGTACGGAGGCGGATCTGCAACGCGAGGATGGTAGCTTTGTCCTGGAGGAGAGAGTCGACGTTGGGGCTCAATGTCTCGATTATCGAATCGTCGTGGTCTCCTGTCATCGCGATCATCTCGTGCGTATGATCTTCGTCTTCGTCTCTGGTCGTAACTATCCTCCGAGCCACTGTCATAGCCACCATCACGTCCGCGTGCGTCGTTCATGTTGCTTTGGCTGCTATTGTCTTCGCGACCGCTCCGGTGTCGATGTCGATAGTTGTGTAATTTGTCGTATCCTTTATCAAAGTATTTATCGGTGGTTTTGTCAAAGCCTTCTAAGCCAAGTTCCTTTTCCAGACAGCGTCAGAATGTAGGATTCGCGTGAATATGTTCGTCTGCCCAATATGGATATGCGACTTCAAGGTAGGAAAGAGAAACGACGACAGAGGAAAGATTGCAAGAGACCTACAACAAAGTCGGACATGATGGACGCCTGGTCATGAGAGGGTAATACGACCAAGCCTCAGCAAATGCGCCTCTACGTAATGAGTGCCTTGGCCCAAAGATACCGGAATATTTTAAGCTTCTTGTGTAAAGTGACAAGGATGGTCAAAAGGTTGCAAAGAATGCCGATCACAGGATTAGAAACATGGAAGGACGATGGAAGGAGAAAAGATATAAGGACGGCACAGACACATCCTTCACGTCCTCCGCGAACCTCACCTCCTCCAACGCATGACGCAGTCTGATGGTTGAAAATGCCAGCGGGTCGCGACTCGCGAGAGTGCTCAATCTTGGTGGGAGTTGAGCGAGGAGCCTTGTGACGTCTTGGAGATGCAGGGATCTTTCGGCACGCGGAAGCTGTCTGGCCGGAGAACTTGCCCGACTCTCTTGATCTCACGCCAGCAAGTGCAGTTGTGCACACTGCGCCATGGAATTGAGGTGCCATGTTGTACAAATCATGGCCATGTAGCTTGTCTGGAATGCGAGTCTCATAACGTAAGGTGGTTGCTTACTGAACGTCGAGCCCAGCCAGGGTGTTGAGCTTCAGACTTCTAAGGACGCTGTACAGCTCGCTCTGATCAACACATCGATTGAGATGACGGTCCCCGAGCACATCTTACAAATCGAGCAGGAGCAAGCAAGTGTCTTTCCTGGAGAGGCTCATCGTAACAGAATCGAAGGGTTGTTCCTTCTGCCTGCCGCACACCCTAGAAAGCTGTGACAGTTGAGGTGACAGGCATCAAACTCTGGAAAGAAGCGATTCTTTCTCAGTGCGCATGCTTTTCAAGTGCAGAGCATTAGCCTTGATGAGGTGCTACACACGAGATTCTATGCATCTCAGTGGATGCATATGACACTCTTAGCACACAAGAACATTATGGGATATGGTGAAAGACATATACTGTGCCAACTCATCTCATCTGGAATGATCTGATCTACTATGCGAGAAGAAATAAGGCCAATCAGATAGACGAGAATGCAAACCTGGCGAAGAATGTAGAGCACGTGAAGACGAGGGTTTGATATTGCCCAAGTAGGAAAGAACGACTGGGAGCAGGTCGGTGCACGGACCACACCAGACTCATTCGCTAAACTTTTCGACAGCGACGCAGCAGCAGCAGCAAGGCCCGACGACGAGACGGCAACCACTTGCATACCACCACACACACACCTGTCAACATGTCGAACCAACCAGGACGCACCGACTGGGCTGAGGACGACGAGCCCGATCTCGCCACCGCCCTTCCCCCGCCTCAGCACACAAAGAACAAGGACGGCACCGAGACCATCGTCACCATTTTCCTTAACGAGGACGGCAAGAAGGTCAAGCGCACACAACGCATCCGCAAGGTCACCAAGCGCACATATGAAAAGGCCGGTGTCGCAGAGCGCCGCGCCTGGCCCAAGATGGGTCTCGAGGCAGGCCGTCCTGCTGGCCCCCAACCCGATACCACCACTCTCGGAGAGAACATCATCTTCCGCCCCCAGGTCGGCTTCAAGTCTGGCGCCGCAGAGCAACCTACCGCCGAGGAGGACCAGAAGGCACAGCAGCTCAAGCAGATGAAGATCAAGTGTCGTATTTGTTCCGGCGAGCATTTCACCACAAAGTGTCCCTTCAAGAACACCATGGCTCCCGAGGGCGAGGCTGGTGCCGGTCTTGCAGACCTCGACGGTGATGTCGGTGCTGCCACCCTTCAGAATCTGGCTGCAGGCGGCCCTGCGCCAGGCGCTTCCGGCCCCGGTGGCTCTTCCTACGTGCCCCCACATCTCCGCAAGGGCGGTGCTGCTACTGGCGAGAGAATGGGCGGCAAGTTCGAGAGAGACGACCTGGCTACTCTGCGTGTCACCAACGTGAGTCTCTATCCTCTGACTCTACTCTTCGTACAACCATCTAACATGTTCAATCCCAGGTTTCCGAATTCGCCGAAGAAGACGAGCTTCGCGCACTGTTCGAGCGCTTCGGTCGCGTCACCCGTGTCTTCCTCGCAAAGGACAGAGAAACAGGCAAGGCCAAGGGCTTCGCTTTCGTCAGTTTCGTCGACCGATCAGACGCCGCCGTTGCATGCGAGAAGATGGACGGTTTCGGTTACGGACATCTTATCCTGCGCGTCGAGTTCGCCAAGAAGGCCACTTAAAGGACTGGACCACGGTTGGAGAAGACGGACGGGCAGACAGAAGAGAGCCAAAAACAAAAGTCAACAATGTGTTTGTACAATTGCACGACCTTTTTCACTTTTTCCAGAACACACTTTTTTGGCGCTTTATGGGACATGATGGTTTCTTAGATTTACGTATGCTGTTTTCGTTGCTTTTCTTCTCTTTGCGATTGCATACCGGAAAGAGAATGGGGCAAAAGGGAAGGAGTGTTGGAGACGTTGGGAGAAATGATGAGAAATACACCTTGTTATATACCCCCTTGATTCTCTGACTTGAGCTGTCTTGTGTGATTCCATCATTGCTGCCTGTATGAGACAACAGCAGCCACTCTTTGCCCATGACCATTCCAGAGCTTGTGGCAAGGAACGATGGTAGGCTGTTTCTCCTGCATCCAAGTCTCTGGTAAGATTTGTGTGGTGTACACAGTGCAGACCTGTGACAACGGCAACGTAACTTTGCTCAGATCGTCAACATTGTCGACCGCAATCCAGCCAGCCAAGTCAACTTCTTCGAGGCCAGACTCGATGTTCAGAGTATGTCTTGTACATCCATGCTCTCGAGTTTCTGTGTTTCTTCAATTAGCAAAACAGCCAGCACAAAGAAGGGCCAAATATCGCTTACCTTTAGTCTCTACAGCACCATCCAATGCCCTGATAGCAACACTTGCCCATTCGATCGGAGCATCTCTAGGCAAACTCTCCACCTCGGCCACAAAACATGGCGGCACAAATGCATTCACAATATCCTTGCGACGAGTAGCTGTCACAGCGTTTCCTGCATTGCCGAATTGACGTTGATCCCACACATCAAAGTGTTCATCTTCTTCGTCTTCTGCTTCTTCTGTGACAGGTGGCAGGTGAGCTAATTTCCAACTCTGCAATGCCGCGTTCACTCGAGTTTGCGTAGATGTAGGAGAGTTTGCAGCGATAAATGCAACAGCACCCAGGAAATGTGAAGCTTGCATGATTTGAGCGATGCGCCACAGATGTTGAAGTGCAAGAACAGCTTGGGAGGCAAAGTGTGCTTCAGGTGTTAGATCTCCTTGTGCTGGGAAGTCCATGGTAGGTGGGTCGAGAGGGATCTGTCCAGCGATATGGATGAGTTGAGGTAAGGAGGAGGCAGGAGATGGTGTGATGATGGCTTGAGAGTAAGGGCCGATATTAGCTGGGGCCCAGTAGGAGCGAGATTGCACGTGGAGACCTTGCTTCTGTGCTACTATGCTATCGTGCAGGACTACGACTGATAGAGAGACGTGAGTGTTCATCGGGAGGGTGCTGCCACAAGCGATAGTGACTCTGGCCGGTGGGTTTGGTGTGGTGAATTGGGACCCATATGCCACGTTTACTGCACCGAACTCAGACATGCTTCGTAGTAGAATGGTGGTGAAAGCGATCAAGGAGGGTTTGACCTTGTAGTCGGTTATCAAGCGCGTCATGATGTTGGTCATCTGCTCTCCTGCTGAGTTTCCTTCTGCCATTGCGTTTGAGATGATTGTGCAAGTATCTGTAGTCTGAGTTGTCCATCCAGAGGTCAGGTCGAGGGCTTCTGTTGTCTTTGCTGCCTCATCAGGTGTTTCTGGAGTCTCTTCGGTCTTGTCTTCCATACGCGTTGCCAGAGTTGCAAACTTATCGTCCAATGTCGTTGGTCGACGCAATTGCTCATATAAGAAATCCGAGGACGGCTCCTTGGGCACCAAACGTGCAGTCTTGATCTTCACAGACGCAGCTCCTGCTTCACCAACTGCAATCGTCTTATCATCATCCTCGACCTGAATTGAGTTCTTCCACAGCGGCCATGGTCCATCAATGGCGAGCGTCTCGAATTCTCCTCCTTCACCAAGCGCAGCACCATCACCAATGATGCCGAATCTCTCCATCGCCCGCACAAGTCTAGTCTTTGTGCGGTGATTGGCCACATTCTCCCACAAGAAGCCCTCGTCCAGTCCTCCGGAGGCGACCTTGATGATACGAGCATCCTGTCCAGCAGCAACCATATCATCCAACAGTGAAGTCTCAGTATACGGCGGCAAGAACGGATACTGCCATAGATAAGACAAAGGCACCAGACCCAATCTGATAGCCACCGATTCCACTCTTGTGCGCTGGTAATCCGAAAGAATGGCTCCAGTACTAACGGCATTGACCTCAGGGTGTGCAGCCATGACTTTACGCAACAAAGGTACCAGACTTTCTGTCTCGTCTTGTTGGCTTTGCAGAGTGGTTGCGGGAGAAGCATAGCTCTTATTGCTATCCACAACTCCGCCTGAGATTTCCTGTCTGTAGAGTGGAAGACCCAGTGCCTGTTCGTAGAGCGGGATAACGCTGTGGCCTATGGTTTGATACATGTAACTGTCGATATCCTCGGAGCGCTCGCCATTTTGGGCGGCTGGATGCAGGTTTGCGAGAGCGACGACTTCGTGTCCGTTTGCATGGCAGTGGAGTATAGAGAAGAAGGAATCTTTTCCTCCAGATATCAGAGCGACAACCTTGAGTCCGGGCATGTTCTGGTTCTAAGTGCTGGAGAGAAAATTGCTTGACATCAATGTCTGAAGGAAACTTTTGTTGATCGGGAAAATTGTCACGACAAAAATTGATTAGCCTGGTGAAGTCGTATTTCACGATTGAGCAGACAAGAGAGCTTTACAGAGGACACAATTGATGTTGTAGAAGTCGAGTATCACGTAGCAATGGTTGTTGCCAAGCGGGATGCTTGCGCTTCTTGCAGACTGAAGTTCCTGCGCCAGAAAACCTCCCCGCCAGACGCAATTCTGATATCTGAACTTTCGTCTGGCAGTCAGACATGTAGAGAACAGTTTTTCACAAGCCTTCTGCGCATCACTGCGCAAGTGAAACCAGTACCAGCTCCATTTCACAAAAGTCACAAATTCACGAAGAAGATATGTCCAGCCATCAGCACACCAACAGAGCCAATTTAATAGTAGGCAGTCCGTCGGAAGTGGCTGATAGGACCGGGTATGCAATATTTTTGATCTGTGTCCACGGGTTGACGCCAGCCTCTCATATATCGTAACTAAAAAGTTTGAAAGACCAGCAACAGGGGAAACTGTATAATACCCGGACGCCGCACAAATCAAAAAAGAGAGGGTCGAAGGGAATGCGCCGCTTATATATGAGAATTTCCTGACAAGAGACGCTGGGGCCATATCTCTTGGCTCTACAAGTCCAAGAGTTTTGGCATGCGCTTTGACGACTGCGTCCCTGCTGTGTCTTTTTTCAGGCTGCGAGAGATTTTCCCTCTCTTTTTCTTCTTCCTATGGCCGTTGATGAACGATGCTCAGGCATCATTATTATAATAGGAAGAGAATGATCCACGCTGTGGACTTGATCTCAACATGACACATATCTGAGGCCAGTCACAAAAAAGCACGTTTTTTGCTTGATTTGAGAAAGAGAGTGCATGAATTCTCGGAGCGCACATCTTTCAACATTATGGATTGATATGCAAACTTCATCACGGAAGTCATACGCGCTCTTTATCTGCTCTATCTAGACTCGTTGGTGCAGAGGAAGACGGATATAGTTTGCAATGTTCAGATGTAAATCGTGGGCGTATATGCTCTGAGATCCAAGATATCCTGCCATCAATACCAGAGAACCAATTCATATTAGAACAAGACTTGGACAGAAGTACAGGTTAACAGCACGTATTACATGCTGTCCTCCTTCCATCTGCTTCTGACTTTAGCAAAGTCATCCTTTTCCTTCTTGCCTCCCTTGTTCTCAAGACCCATACCACGTTCCACCCACATCTGCGAACCCATCTCAGACAGACGTGACAATGCACGGGCAAATGCGAAGGCTTCCTCATCGCCAGAGAAGAAGTTGCTCTTCTTGAGCATGTTCATGTTCATGCCCAGATCATCCATCATCTGCCGCATTACGTCGTCGACGTCTGATCCTTCGTTCAGTGCGGCCTCTGCGTTACTGTCGCCCTTGGCTGCTGCTTGTTTCATTGCTGCGTCGACTTCCTCGCGAGAGAGGAACAGCTCGGTCAATGGTACGGCAGTCGTGAGGACAAGTTTGGCATGTGACTCGTAAACGGCATCAATAAAAGTGATGAAGCGGCGGGCTCGATCGCGACTGCGATGATCCATTTGCGGTACATTGCTCACGATGAAAGCGTCGTAATTGCGCATCAACTCGATGTAGTCAGCAGCGCCAGTGGCACGGCCAATTAGTTCGTCGAAATCAAAGTGTGCAGCCTTTCCACTCGCCTGAGGTACCTGAATAGGTCGTCCCCAAACATAGTGTTCGGCTGGGTGTGGAGGGTCCTTTTCGAAATCACCCAGATACTTGAACCAATGAGTGATATGGGTACTCGCAGCCTTGTTGAGCGGGAAATGGTATACACCTGACGGAGGTCGGGGAATCTTGCGGTAGTCCGTAGGCGAATCGAGGTTTATAACGCGCAGTTGACGCTGAAGAAGGTTGATGCAGGGGATGAAGGACTCGCGTTGAACACCGTTCTTGTAAAGCTCGGTGGGATGGCGGTTACTGGTAGTCACGATAACGGTGCCGTGGTGCATCAGAGATTCGACGAGTCTTCGCAAGATCATGGCGTCGGCCACATCGGTACACTGAAATTCGTCAAAGCAGAGTACAATGCTACGTTTGGCAATGTGAGCTGCCACAAAAGGAATGGCATCGATATCCTGGCCGTGTTGCATCTTGACTTTGTGCAGATCGCGGTGTACCTCCTGCATGAAGTTGTGGAAGTGGATGCGCGTAGCCCTCTGGATGCTCTCAGGTAGTGTGTCATAGAAAAGGTCCATCATCATGGTCTTTCCGCTGCCGACGTCGCCGTACATGTACAAGCCTTTGGGCAAGTCACTAGAGATGTCCAAGTTGGACAGCGTCTTCTGGCCGCCGCCAAAGATTGACGAGAGGAAACCTTGCTTCTTGGGCTGCAGGGATTCTATCGATGGCTCCTGAACTGTCGGTGGACTATAGTTTGCCAGCATGTCGTGCAGATCTTGTAGCGATTCGATGATAGCTTAAATAGATTAGTCTAGCTTCCCTTCGTTTTATGACGAACTTCAGGACAACTTACTACGCTGATGCTGGTCGTCTCTAAGGACACCAGATTTGACACGGCGATTGTATTCGGCCACCGGGCCATATGCACCTTGAAGACGAGGGCTGTTACTGACTGAAGTCGGCTGTATCCAGGGTACCCTCATTTCACCTACTCTTTCTGTAATCGGCCATGGAGACGGTTGGGTTTGAAGTTGCGTAGTTGCGTCTTTTGATCTGGTGCGTTCCCCATTGGCCTCTAATCCGGCGGTCGCTCCAAGATCCCATGCATCGTTGCGATTGCGTCTGGAAGGTGACTCGGTTGACATTGTGTGCTTCGGCCATCCACGAATGAGAAGGACGCGTTCCAGCGTTGCGAGCAACTCTGGCCAGACCTCTCAGGCCGTTGGCGCATACTTGCCCACTCATGGTGCTCTACCAATAGCGGGGTCCGAGATGGCGGTTCCCAAGCTGCGTCGTGATGAGGTTGATGCGTGATTGTCTTATCTCCTGTCCATATAGAGCTGTCGTCAGGCAAGAATATCAAGACGTCCAGGGCGTATGTCAAGTCGGTTCAGAACTCGGAAGTACCTAACTACGGGACACTCGGCCGTGGTCGCAAACACACCAGTGACGCCGCCGGTCATGATTGCCGCATCGCCGAAATGCGGGCACCTCGGCTTTCTTTCGGCCAGCCCTTTATTATATGTATCAGGCACATTGAAGTTGGGAATGGCGTTCATGTTGGTGCAGTGCCACTGGGGCTGATCGTCTGTCTAATGGAGCTTTTTACTGTACAGCAATATCGTAAATCGTCGTTGATGGTGGGTATTTTGAAATAATAGCATGCCTTTCCTCTCACATTCTCACCCTCATCCTTTTCCAATCCAACCAGACCAGACGAAGAAATCGAACAGCTTTCCCGCCTTGGTCGTATCAATTCTACAGATCTCCTTGACATTCTTACGTTTCAGACACCCATTGGATCGAAGCGCCTCCTTGAGCACGGCATCTTTCATGACCAAGTAGGCCTTGGGCTGAACACGCACCACCCTGCATATTTCTTGCTCGTTCTCGGTCAGGAGATGTGCATCTTGGCTATTGTTACCGTGCAAATCCATCCTCGAAACACCTGTTATGGCCTGTAGCGGGAACCTTGGCGGAGGATTGGTAGTGCTTGCATTTGGTGACGTTGATTCTGGTGGGGTTTGTAAACCGGTAGTGTTTGGTTTTGGTGGCAGCTCTGGTCCGATCAAGGCTGACGCTGCCGATGGTGGCTCTTGAGCGCTAGGCTTATGAAGCCTACCAGGCATAGAAAAGCGGTCTGCTGTTGCCGCAGCTCGGGCCTGTCGTGCTGCCTTCTCAACTTCGTACTTTTCTCCAGATTTTAGATCGCTGATCTGCATGCGGCGCCAGTCTTGTAGCTGCTTGATAGCCTGTCGTATGCTGTGTTCGTATTCAATTCCTGTCGTAAAGGCTTCAAAGTCGGAATGGTTCATCATGCGTGCGAATGGCTTCATCTTGTTGCTCAAATCGCGCTCGTCTTTTGTCTTCTTCTTGTCAACTGCAGTATTCTTGCGGTACTCGAGCAAGTTGTGCTCGAAAAGGACCTTCTTTCTCTCCACACGAGCAGTGAGACGGTGGTTGTAAATATCCATGACGGTGATTTTGAGGTCCATCTCGGGTTCGAGTTCACCGGTAGCGGGGTTGATGCCATCGCCAGGCTCGAATTGCATGTGTTGTACTGCTTCCTCAGCTTCATTGAAGTATTCCGTCTCGAACTCGAGACGACCAGGCATGAAACCTTGGACTTCATGACATGAAGGTACACTAGAGGTAGGCTTCTGCTTGGAATCAATGATAGCTTGGTTTTTGGCGGCCTCTTTTCGGTCCTCTATCCTCCGTTTCTTGCGAGCCTGGAACTCATCTCTAGGGATCGAGTCGGAAAGGGTGGTATCCTTGGGACTGGCGCGTTCTGGTAGAGGGAATTTGGAGCTGTTTATGTATGTTTCGATGTAGTGATCGCGCACTTCGTCTTTGGTTCGATAGCCTCCGATGTGATCTGCAATGTCGGCCCAAGATCCCAAGCCGTATGTCTCAGCGCCCTCCAGCAACAGTAGCTCCTCGTCGGCACCCCAGTCCTCGACATATATAGGGATTGAATGTTGTTCTATGACTTGAAAAGAATGTGTGGCTGGGTCGTGCTTGCCGGAAAATTTGCCCTCACCGAAACAAGGGACACAGAGGTCGTAGTTGGAGCAATCATCGTCGGCACATCTGATGCGTACCTAGGCGGCCATGTCAGTACACAACGCACAGACCATGGGAGCGGACAGAGAGGTGCAGCAATACATACAGTGGCAGTGATGTCGGCTGAACAGATATCGCAGATGTACTTGATGCCGCCCTCGGTGGTTCTGACGGCTGTCTTTTTCTTGATGAGGCCCATGGTGGGTCATGCGAGGGCGCGAGCCCGAGATGTGGTGCGGAGTGGTGCGCGTCGGTAGTGATCGAGGTCAGGGCAAAGTGGTGTCAATACGGTCGCATAAGTCAGGCGATGATGGCGCGGCAGCAGATGAAGAGTATGGCGATGAGATGGTTCGAGTGCTGTTGATTGTTTAATGCCTCGACGCGCGATCGAGGGGAGGTGCAGTTGTATACGGCGTACGAAGCCCGTCAGCGCCGACGCCATCTCCATAAATGCCAAGCCACCCTCTATTGCTTCTAAACTTAACAACATCCACCAAAACAATTCAATATTTGCATCTCGTTCACTAATCGCAAGGTCAACTCTCAAAAAATTTGAGGAGAGAAATCCCGGTGACGCACTACCTGCTTTTCGCGCATCGATTTGTTGGTAGTGGCTTCTGGCCTTGGTCTTGGGTCTCGTTTCCTCTCCTTTTCGAGCGGCCCGTTATCCCCACTCTGTACTTCAGCCTTATCGACTGCCAGCAACCAACTCTATTCTCTACTACTGTCAAGACTCGACAAGCACTTCGACCGACCACCACTGCTGCTTGTCCTCTCGTCATGTCGTGGAAGCTCACAAAGAGTGCGTTATTGCCCTTGCTACTGTCTCCTCCTAACGACTCGCATCGCTGACCGCCCCAGAACTCAAGGAGACGCATCTGGCGCCCTTGGCCAACACTTTCAGCCGTTCGTCTTCCACCTCGACAATCACTCCCGATCCTGCTCCCAAGCCGCCAACCAGCCCTCTGGCCTCGTCCACTGCCGTCAATGATCCCAATGGCATCGGTATTGCATCCACCACCCTTTCTGCGAGATTGTCGCTGACACTCCACAGCCGCGTCCGAAGCCAACTCCTCGCCTCCTGCCCCACCTCTCAAGCCTGGTATCTTGATCCTCACCTTCCACGAAGGTCGCGGCTTCTCTCTGCCTGCCGGTGCCGAACAGATCTTCCAGCCTCGCCACGGCGCCTCTCTCTCCAGTGGTAGCGGCTTTTCCGTAGCTGGTGCACGCCCTGGCTCCGTCAGCAACTCAGCTTATGGCTCGTATGCTCCTGGACGTCCTCAATCATCACAGGGTGGCATCAACGCTGCTCCCTCGGTCCATGGCCGCTACTCTTCCAAGTACCTCCCTTACGCCCTCGTTGACTTCGACAAGCAGCAAGTCTTCGTAAACTCCGTTTCAGGCACACCAGAGAAGCCCGTCTGGGCAGGCGAGAACACACAATATAAGTTCGATGTGTCTCGTGCTTGCGAACTCAATCTGTCCATCTATATTAGAAATCCCAACGCTCCTCCCAATGCCGGTAGAAACGACGACATCTTCCTGGGAACATGCAGAATCAACCCCCGCTTCGAAGAAGTTCACCCCTATGAGGAAGACCCCAAGCTGGGCAGAAAAGACAGAGAAAAGGCCGCTTTCGCCCACGCAGAGAAGGCAAAGACTCAAGGCCAGGCTGGCACAGAGTGGGTTGACCTCCAGTATGGAACCGGATCAATCAGATGTGGCGTCAAGTTCGTCGAGAACAGACAAAGGTCGCTTAAAATTGAGGACTTCGAACTTCTCAAGGTTGTTGGCAAAGGCAGTTTCGGAAAGGTCATGCAAGTGCAGTATGTGTTTGCCCACAATCCTCCTGTCGCCAGCTCAAACTAACACTCCTATCCAGAAAGCGCGACACCCGCCGTATCTACGCTCTGAAGACAATCAGAAAGGCCCACATCATCTCACGCTCCGAAGTTGCCCACACTCTTGCCGAGCGTTCGGTGCTGGCTCAGATCAACAACCCTTTCATTGTTCCCATGAAGTTCTCCTTCCAGTCTCCCGAGAAGCTTTACATTGTGCTGGCCTTCGTCAATGGTGGCGAGCTTTTCCACCACCTACAAAAAGAGCAGCGCTTTGACATCAACCGATCTCGTTTCTACGCCGCCGAACTCTTGTGCGCACTTGAATGTCTACACGGATTCAACGTCATCTACAGAGATTTGAAGCCCGAGAATATCTTGCTCGACTACACTGGCCACATTGCTCTGTGTGACTTCGGTCTCTGCAAACTCGACATGAAGGATGAGGACAAGACAAACAGTATGTGTTTCTAGATTTTGGTTCCACCGGCTTCATACTGACCAAGCTTGTAGCATTCTGTGGTACGCCCGAGTATCTCGCACCCGAGCTGCTGCACGGCACTGGCTACACCAAGACGGTTGACTGGTGGACACTGGGTGTTCTCCTCTACGAGATGTTGACAGGATTGCCGCCATTCTACGACGAAAACACGAACGACATGTACCGCAAGATTCTGGCAGAGCCTCTACATTTCCCTGGTCCCGAGATTGTGCCCCCTGCAGCACGAGACCTGTTGCAGAAGCTGCTCGACAGAGACCCGACGAAGAGATTGGGTGTCAACGGCGCAGCAGAAATCAAGGCACATCCATTCTTCCACAGCATTGACTGGAGAAAGCTCTTGGACCGCAAGTACGAGCCTAGCTTCAAGCCCAACGTGGTGAGTATCTGTGACTGGGGTGCGACAATAAACAAGATATACTGACGTTACCTTAGCTCGATGACAGAGATACTGCCAACTTCGACCGCGAGTTCACATCAGAAGCACCTACAGATTCTTACGTTGAAGGACCAATGCTCTCATCAACGATGCAACAACAATTCGCAGGATGGTCATACAACCGGCCAGTTGAGGGCCTGGGCGATGCAGGAGGCAGTATCAAGGATCCATCCTTTATGACCAACTGATGGGACTTACAATAGAAGGGCCGGGCTGGTCGTGTACATTTGCTCGACGCAGCAGGACTGCAACAAAGAATGAGCAACCTGGCTAGGTAGACTTTGGACTGGACGATATGGGTTTCCTCGCGTAACAACAGTATCAAAAATAACAGTCTCACACACAAGGATTTGTCTATGCGTTTGAGTTTCACCGCAGGAGATGTGACGGAGAGAATGTCGGATTGATATCGTAATCGGGCCTGCCAGATTGTGCTTGGGCCGGAGAAGCAGCTTGGTCGGCGTTTGGTGGTGATTCTTGGCTCGTGCACGAACCGCCCTCGAGTGATGCCCCGCCTGAGTTCCGTCATAAGTTGTATTCACCCGGAGCTCGTCGGCCACTGCCAGCTCGTGTCCCCATCACGTCTTCAAATTGTGACCGAACCATCACTGCTCCTTTTTCGCTCTCATACACTTTTTTTCTCCCTCGATTTATCACTCCATCCTCGTACGTCCCTCTGTCAATTTCGACACTGCACACTCCCCTGACCTTCTGACTAACCTCGCTGCTCCCACGTGTAGTACACGCATCACCCCACCCCAACTTTTCCCAACAAACATCAAGATGCCTGGTTTCGCCCAAGCAAGCGATCTGTCGGCATGGAAGTCGCTCATGAAGCATCACCAAGAGCTTGGTCGCTCCATTGTTCTCAAGGATGCCTTCGCCGAGGACCCTAAGCGTTTCGAGAAGTTCTCGCGCACCTTCACCAACGAGGTTGACAAGTCCGAGACCATCTTCGATTTCTCAAAGAACTTCATCACCGATGAGACCCTCCAGCTTCTGTGCCAGCTTGCTCGCGAGGCAAAGGTTGAGGAGCTCCGTGATGACATGTTCAAGGGTGAGAAGATCAACTTCACCGAGAAGCGTGCCGTCTACCACGTCGCCCTCCGCAACACTGAGAACTGGCCCATGCAGGTCGATGGCAAGAGCGTCGTCGAGGAGGTCAACTCTGTTCTTGAGCACATGAAGGAGTTCTCTGAGGAGGTCCGCAGCGGCAAGTGGACCGGTTACACTGGCAAGGCCATCGACACCGTTGTCAACATCGGTATTGGTGGTTCTGACCTGTAAGCATCCCTCAGATTCCTCATCTTTAGCAATTTCTGGTACTGACTCTTTCCAGTGGCCCTGTCATGGTCTCTGAGGCCCTCAAGCCTTACGGCAAGCGCGACATGAAGCTTCACTTCGTCTCCAACATTGACGGTACCCACATGGCCGAGGCTCTCCGTGACTCTAACCCCGAGACTACCCTCTTCCTTGTCGCCTCCAAGACTTTCACCACTGCCGAGACCACCACCAACGCCAACACCGCCAAGAAGTGGTTCCTCGAGCACGCAAAGGATGAGTCCGCAATTGCCAAGCACTTCGTTGCTCTCTCGACCAACGAGGCCGAGGTCACCAAGTTCGGTATTGACAAGAAGAACATGTTCGGCTTCGCTGACTGGGTCGGTGGTCGTTACTCCGTCTGGAGCGCCATTGGTCTCTCCGTCTGCTTGTACATTGGCTACGACAACTTCCACGATTTCCTTGCTGGTGGTCACGCCATGGACAAGCACTTCAAGGAGACTCCTCTCGAGCAGAACATCCCCGTTCTCGGTGGTCTTTTGAGCGTCTGGTACTCCGACTTCTTCGGCGCTCAGACCCACCTTGTCTCTCCCTTCGACCAATACTTGCACCGTTTCCCTGCTTACCTCCAGCAGCTTTCTATGGAGTCTAACGGCAAGGCCATCACCCGCAGCGGTGACTATGTCAAGTACACCACTGGTGCCATCCTCTTCGGTGAGCCCGCCACCAACGCACAGCACTCTTTCTACCAGCTCCTCCACCAGGGTACCAAGCTCATCCCTACCGACTTCATCTTGGCCGCCGAGTCGCACAACCCCATCGAGAACAACAAGCACCAAAAGATGCTTGCATCCAACTACTTCGCCCAGGCTGAGGCACTCATGATCGGCAAGACCCCTGAGGAAGTTCGCGCAGAGGGTGCCGCCGACGAGCTTGTCCCCCACAAGACCTTCTTGGGCAACCGCCCCACCACCTCCATTTTGGCTCAAAAGATCACCCCCGCCACTCTGGGTGCTCTGATCGCCTACTACGAGCACATGACCTTCACCGAGGGTGCCATCTGGAACATCAACTCCTTCGACCAGTGGGGTGTCGAGCTCGGCAAGTCTTTGGCCAAGAAGATCCAGTCCGAGCTTGAGACCTCTGGCGAGGTTTCCGGCCACGACGCCAGCACATCTGGCCTCATCAACGCCTTCAAGAAGAAGGCTGGTATTAACTGAATACATGACAGTGACGCCAAAGATAAAGAGAAGAGCAGGCTTTGAGACATCATTTTTCGAAGGCATATAATCGAATGATGGCCAGCATGTGATATTTTTGAATTTTGTAATTACCCAAGATGACGAAACGCAATGAGAACCAAAAAGATATTATTCTTATTATCGCTGATACAAGTAATGTGATAGAATTGTGACAGAATCTTCGAGGACAAAGCCTGGTGATTGATCCAGCGACGAGAGTGCCAATCACGACTTCCCCAAGCCAACCTACCTGCCTTCCATCCCCAATTTCGGGACCAAACAAATTGCTATTGACTAAAGTTCTTCGATTTTAGTTGCCGTGTCCGACTTCGCGATCTATTGCAAGAGGAAAGCGCGACCAGACGCTCAGGCTAAAGACAGCTAGGACGGCTGCGATTCTTCCGCGGCTAAAATAACATGAACAACAGAGACATCTGAGAACCTCTTGCCAGATAACTTTGCTGCCTCGAATTGATGAGCGTAGTAGACTGTTAAAAAGCGGCGATGGTATAGTGTAGGAAATTGCGATTGAGAGGTTCCAAGCGATTGTTGTTACGCCACAATTGCAAGGAAGGAAAACGCATCTTCGCAACTCAGTACTTCCTTCCATAGCAGCAATTGTGAAGTTTTGTTTACTCAAAGCTCTTGAAGAATCTCTTGTCAACTGCATAATCTTTCATATCTTTCATCTTATAATCTTCGACTATCATTGACACAACTGCCTTCTTCAATCTTCTCTGGCCCAATGCTGCTATCATCTCAAGACCTCTTTCATCTAGTTGCATCTCCATCTCCTTTGTCAATCCAACCGCACAATTTGAGTGTCACCGCCAGCTCCTGATCTCATCATACCCATCGACCTCCATCCTCCATCCTCCATCACGTCGCACCTCGCTCGTCATCATCAACCCAACAACCGCAGAGTATCCACGCCGACGAGTCTATCAAAGGGCCAACCTGGGTATGCTACAGCATGTCTCCAACAGCATCGAGCAAGTCTGTTTGTAGCCACGTCACATGATGTCAGTGTCTGTATCTGAGGAGCCCTGCGCTGTACCCGCGGATCCAGTGAAGAATCAGACCTCCTGTACACATTGGCAATGACTGCAGCAGCTTTGTTTCAAGCTTTTGGAGCTCGCTGGCCACGCAAGAACCTCAGTCCCTTGATGAACTTTAGCCACGGAGAAATGTGGTTGGTAGGTTGAGGTATGATAGATGAGAGGGGACGTTTGATGTTGTGTTGTCTAGGATTTTACCCTGAAAACCAGCCTTGTATCGACTGACCATGAAGAGTACCAACGTGGCTTCTAAATCCAAGCACCACCAAAAGTCAACATCTTGCACGAGACGATCTTGTTGCAACGATTGCTAGGCTTGACCACAACGAAAAGAATCCTCACACCCTCCCTAGGCCTTTACGTGCGATATATCCAAGAAGTCTTTTGGTTTGATCTTCGGAGATCACTTAGATTCCTATCTTGCACAGGTAGGATACTTTGGAAGTATACCAAGAAGCCTTCGTGTATACAAACCATACAGCTAGTATGGGGGTATTGCTTGTATTTGTTGACAATAGAAGCATCAGTACACTTTAGCATGATGACATGACCGGAACTTTGGGTTATGTCGTTAGCTATAGGGCCTAGACATTAACTATTTCCCGAGGAGGCGAGATCGAGAGCGATTGGATCGAACATTCATCTGGCAAACCATCGATCTTGGTCCGCTCTTTTAAACAAACGTACCTAAGGATACGACTCGTTCGAAGCACCCTACAGGTCCATATTTGATTGTAGTACGATCTTCTTTAAGCGACGCAGGCAGGACAAAAACCTGGCCGGGTCATCGACTCGAACGTTTTACGAGGACTCTCAGTGAACAGAACAGCATGTTCTAAAAACATAATGCATTTCTGTGCTAATTTTAAAATTAACATAGGTGTATGCGATGAGATCAGAACATGCCTGCTCTAAGTAAACTACGAATATGATCCTTCTGATGCGTGAAGAAGATTCCTAGAATCATCATGCATCACCATAAGTAGTGCAGGGTGGCAAAGATCTAGGATGTCCTCGAAGACAAATCGATCGAGAATGATACCTAGACTACTAGAAATCTTTGATTGGTGACAGCAGTGTGTCTCGCATGCATTTAGCAGATCCGTTACATCAAATCTACCATCCTGTTCTAGTTTTTCGTCGGTCTAGCCACGTAGAGCATAAAACGACAATGCTAGCGGCGAGTAGCTCCAAAGTATAGATGCTATCAATGGCTCTAGACCATTATATGTCTGGCATGGTAGGATCTTCAAGTATCAAAACATCGAAATCGAATTTCCAGGATAGCATTTCTAAGTTCAGGGTATCTGGATGTATGTATTAAGTGACTTTCGATCTTTTTTTTGTGAATCGTGAAAATCAATCTGAGGATCTGGCAGCAACTGTTCCTCTTAATCTGGACCGCTGCTCATTCATAAAAGTAACCTGCTGATCATAGTAGCCTGGATTATCTCGCTACTAGTACCGGCATCACGACCAGATTTTTCACATCATCAAAGCGAGCAATTAGTGATGTTCGGACGTGAAAGACTGGGACTGCTACAAACGAGTGATGCAAAACTTATCGAAACCAAATCGATGTGTTGTAGCCATGGCAGACTAGTGATCCAGTCCCAGTGACCCGGTCCCGATGTTTGCGTCTGCAGCGTACACCCAGAAGTTGTGTAGCTGAAGGTCGCCACTGGTGGAAGCTCAGAGCACTTAGCCCTTGCTTTCGCTGTGACGATCAACACATCTAGAACACATGCTTGTTGCTGAACCATTTTCGTATGAATGGGACCCACTTGATGGGCATGCCAAACTATCAGAAGCATGGTTGCCGGGCAAATCATCGGCAACAAGTGCTTGGATGCAAGAGTCCAGAGCACTCTCAAAGGCTGTTTGTACATCGGTCTCTCGTCTATTGTCCCACATGGCAAGGTTACGATGAGATCACTCAACCTTACCCAAGATCTGAAGCACCAGCGGAATAATGCGTTGAGGGTAAGTGCCGTTTGTCTTGCATACATTTCTCATCGTCGAAACTTACCTGACTTGTTGTACAAAGGCTCTCATCAAAAGAGTGATAATATTGATGAAGCTCAAGCAATACGTGCGAGCAAGACCTTTGGCGTGTGTGTATCCACACACCTTGACTGACAGAAACGGCTGTGTAGATCGTAGTAGGGCTCATCCAAATTGTCATCAATCGCGAGACTACTGCATGCGCCAGGTCACGGGCCTGCAGTTCTGATGCATTGCAATGCTATTGGATGCCAGAGACCCTTCTCGGCACGGTCACTTACGCAACAGACTCATGGACTCAATAGGGGTGAAGGTCTCCGTTCGACCATTTGCTGAGTGGCTGGCGATCACTGCAGTACCCGGGCTGAGCACCGAACCATTGACAAGGAACGAAGATGCTGTCGGCTTCGCATGCCGTGAATGAGCTAAGATTCCGGGCGGATGCAGGATAGCTCCGATAGCCTTACTCTCCAAGCAAGCAGAAGTGCAATATCAATCATGTCGACACAGATGTGCTATCACCAATGTCTAGCCTGCGCGCAGGAGGCAAGTTGACCTCAAGCCATCCGAGATGCAGCGACGAAGACAGTTGCCGAGACAGGCATTAGAGGTACTCGGAAGGACTTATGATCGCAATGTGATGTGGACGTCTTCCCGGACGAATGCTTGCACGATCGATGGTGATTTTCTGGAAGAGGTTCAAAAAGCGAACCATTCCGCATTGGGACAGCTTGTAGGGCAGCGAGCAGAATCTGTGAGAGGCAACGGTCGACCCGGGACTTGTGGGACGACAGCCGAGTTTACGTGAGGCAGTCGAGACCGTTGAGCGTCATCCAGGAACCGGCAGTCGCCAGGGATAAGAAATCGCACAGCTTGATTCCTAAATGGGCTATTTGAAGTTGGGGCAGAGAAGTCAGACGGGTTGCGATGATTGCTAGGAAAGATCGAGAGGTCAAGTAGGGCTGCGAAGTTTAAACAATCTGGTCTGTGCTGTCCGGCAGCTGGTTAAGCTTTTGCCGCGACTGTCAACCCTGGCCTTGGGTCAGAAATCGAAGCATTTCAACCTTCCAACATGAGTCGATCGTGCTTCCATAGGCGCTTCCACACGGGTTGTACCTGGTCACTCTCGTCATAACCGTTTGTCTACCATAGGGCACAAGCTCCTGGCCGATAGAGCGGCAGCTCAGCGGGAGCGGAACGAGCGACATGTGCTTGTCTGTGATCGAGCTTGGTGATATCTATACAAATTTTAGTTGGCCTCGACCATGTGTCAAACAGTATAAGTATTCGTAGATATCTGCCCCAAGTACAGAATCTCTCATCACATATCATCAGCTTCTTCAGCTTCTACCCTCGTTTTCATTCTTTCGCTTCACCAAATCCGCAACAATGCGTGCCTCAGCTGCTATTGCTGCTGCTATCTTGGCTGGCTCTGCCACTGCTGCCCCTACCCCTAGCCTTTTGAGCAGCATTCTTGGTCTGCTCACCAACGACTTGAACTCGCTTCTCAACTCTCTTGGAATCAAGCTGCAGACCAATGCCAACATCCACGGTGCCACCGTTCCATTCGTCGACCAGTGTCCCTTCAGCATCAACACCTCGGTCAGCCTTTCCAACACCCGCTTCAGTCACGACATCACTTGGCCTCTGGGTGTCAACGGCGGCAACTATGTTGACTGGAAGACTTTTAAAGCCAACGGCGCTAACTTGGGCGGTTGGCTCGAGAAAGAGAAGACCCATGATCCTATCTGGTGGTCTTCGGTCGGTGGTGACAGTGCACCTGATGAGTGGACCCTCTGTGAGACCCTTGGTTCTCAGTGCGGTCCCATTCTTGAGGCTCGCTACCAGAGCTTCTTGAACACAACCACCATCGATCAGCTCGCCAGCGTCGGTGTCAACCTTTTGCGTATTCCCACCACCTACGCCGCTTGGGTTAAGGTCCCTGGCTCCCAGTTGTACTCTGGTAACCAGCAGAAGTGGCTCAAGGCCATCACCGACTATGCTGTCCTGAAGTACAACATGCACATCATCATCGGACTCCACTCCCTCCCCGGCGGTGTTAACAACCTTGATATCGGCGAGGCTCTCTTCCACGATGCCTGGTTCTACAATGCTACCAACCTTGACTACAGTTTCCAGGCTATTGACGGTGTCCTCAACTTCATCAAGAGCTCTGGCTACCAGAACGCTTTCACCATTGCTCCTATCAACGAGGCCTCCGATAACCTGGCTGGCTTTGGTAGCGCTGCTGGTCTTTCTACAAACGCCACTAACTGGATCAACACCTACGTCGATGGTGTCCTCAAGAAGATCGCTGCTGTTGACAAGCGTATTCCCCTCCAGCTCCAAGATTGCTTCAAGGGAGCTTCCTACTGGGCACCTTTCTACGATGCTGGCACCAACATCGTCTTCGATTCGCACGTCTACTACTTCGCTGCTGCCGGTACCTACGCCAACTACGTCAACCCTGCCGTTTGTGGTCAAGCCCAGTACATTGCAGAGGAGACCAAGTTCCCTGTATTCATCGGCGAATGGTCGTTGCAAGCCATGTACAACAACACTTTGAACGTTACTACTCGCAAGACTTTGTTTGACACTCAGCGTTATGCCTGGCAGAAGTATGTGGCTGGTGGTTCGTTCTGGACCGCTGTTTCCTACTCCACTGCAGCTGTTGACGGCGAGGGAACCCAGAGAGATTACTGGTCTTACATTGATCTCATCAACCAGGGTGTCATCACCAAGCAGACCAACGCTTCTTACTGTTAAGCGGTGATGGGACGAAGAAATGTGAGACCAAGGAGACCAGATGTTTGAGCAGCGGTATCAAGAGATAACAGAAGGATATTGTCGAAAAGGATAACAGTACAAGTTCCAAGGATAGATAGCGTTGAAATCTAGGGGTGTTTGAAGCATTCATTGTATATACCTTTTGAAGCCTGGGCAAAGCCCATTTTATATAACTCAGCCCTCAAAATTTTGGAAGCCGTAGAGACTTGATCCATTGAATCATGAAAAGCATGCGATCCTGAACAACCAGGATGTTATGTTCGATGTTTACGAACACAATGACGAGCAAATATATACTGTCTCGTATTCTTAGCTTGCACATACGGCCACAGTCAGCTGAAAACTGGGCATCCCGTCCGCTCTGCCATACATAAGCAGTTGAACGGCAGATTAGTACTACGGTGGGTGACCACGTGGGAATCCCTGCTGCTTTATGTTTTATATTCCAAGGTTCCTTTTTTGTTTTCGTTGGTTCATCTCATCCGCTCCAAAACGTGTGTCTTGATGCTCTCTCGAAGATTACGTAGTAAGCTTTTGTCACTCTTTGACGACCTGTAGGCGACAATAAATTCAATTTTAGAGCGTGAGCACCCACAAGTCATCAACTAAGGATGACAGACACACAACAGGAAGAAAGCAATAATGGACTTTGAGCGAACGTACTCAAAGTGTAATGATCACAAAAGACGAAAATTGGTTTGATAGAAAGAAATTCATGTCCAACGTGCACCCATAACTTCATCCCCTGGCCCACATCACTTTCGCTACAATTCGAAGATACGATTTGTCAAGTCTCATCGCAGGTCAAAATGTCACACCAGCATCAGATCTTCGAGCAAAGAATAGTTCAGGCTTTGCTGTGTTGAACAGGGCAGTCACAAATTCTCAAGAAGAGGACAGGTGCTCTCGCGCGACTTTTGGTCGGATATAACTCTCTAACATCCAGCGTAGATAGCTGTGGGAACACAGACGTTAGCACATGATTACAAAGCAATCGTAAGGTAATCAAAGTTCGACGCATGTTGGCCAAAACGACGAAGGAAACTCACCGTTGGCGTAAAGAGCGTAAGAGTCAGCGTTGAGGACTGCATCATAGCTCGAGAGACTGGTGGCAGCGCTGTAGCCATAACCGTTGTCCTCAGTACCGGGGCTGTAGACGCCAGGAGCGTGGGTCTCCTCGTGCAAAACGGTGGTGGCCTGGTCCTGAGCGTGGCACCGACCGCTCAGTCCAGGGAGATCGCTGAAAAAGAGGGGACAGTAGGCAATGTAGTTGTTCGATGGGAGGGTGTAAGCGAGCACACCAGATGAGCAACCGCCGTAAATATCAGTGCCTATCCAAACGAGGTGATCAGTCGAAAGACCCTTTCACGATTAAAGCGTGAGAATCAAAGACTTGTCACTTACAGTAAGTGCGAGTTCTGCCGCTGGAAGTTGAGCCACAATCGGCAGCGACGGCTCTCAAGCGTGCAGCAACAGTGCTGCGGACGCTCGACGAAGTCGTCTTGAAGTACTCCTGGAACTTGCTAGCGGAGCCGGAGGTGGCAGCAGAGGCAGCAGTGGTTGCCAATCTCTGGCAGTTGCTGAGAGCAGTGCGTACAGCGCTCAGACGAGAGCCACTGCAGTCGCTCTGAATGGTGGTGCGCTTCGAGAGCTTGCTGACAGCACTCTCAATCTTGGCTGTCTCAGCAGCGTCGACGTCAACAGAGAGCTTGTTGCTGGAGAAAGCAAGGGCACTTCCAGTCAAAGCAGTGGAGTTGAGCTGAGCGTAGGGGATAGCTCCAGCAGCAAGGACGTCGTACTTTCCGCTGGAGGAGAGCTCGTACAACTCGGCGAGTTCAACCTCAACCTCAATGGATTGACCAGCCATGATAGGCTTGAAGACATCCTCGCTGAGCTGAGTGTAAGCAAGGCGTTGCATGATACCGGTGAAAGGAGCCTTGGTTTCTGAGTCATGTCATCAGTCTTTGCGTTATCTGGTCGATCACGCTGAAGGACGACTTACCGGCTGTGGAAACATGGAACTTGTCAACTGGGGCCTCAGTATCGAGGAAAGTACCCTTGTAGAAGAGGTTGTAACTGGCATCGCCATTGTTGGTGACAACGGCCTTGACCTTGGAGTTTCCGAGAGAAGTAAGCTTGACATCAAGAGGGGTATCTCTAGCCTCGAGGCCGACTGCAGCGCAGTTGGCTGTAGCAGCCAATGCAAGGAGTTGGGATAGAGTGATCTTCATGGTTCAATGTAGGAGTCTGAACGAGTGCAATGAGAACGAAGGTGGAAGTGATGTTGTGATGAGACCTTTTGTGAGAGGAACACACACATATTTATATCTTTGCATGCTTGAACAAGAGATGTTGGCGAATATATCGACCTTCCTAAAGTTCACAGCCTAGTAACTACCATAGGCGACCTCCTTCGTACATGTTGTGATTGTGGTAGATTAGAAAAGTTCACATCATTGGCTACATGAGCATATCAAGAAACAACCGATACTGCTCGGACACGATATAGACATGTAGTCTAGTGGGCATGTAGTTCCAGAAACACCGATTAGCGGTGGGACCTGCATGGCCGCGTGAGGGGGAGGGGGGTTACTGCATAATGTTCGGGTCTCATCTGTAGATCTTTAGATAGTCCAGTGTAAGTATGTGTTTTGGAGACCTTGTCTTGCTAGTGAGTTGGTCATTACATCTGCTAGGTGGCTTGGCGGTCTATAGCATCGCTTCCAGGTCCAAACTTGTGTACAGCGATTGGCTGGCTCCCTTGGTCCTGGGATACAGGAGCATTAGCCTCGCTTGCCGCGTGCTTGAATGCACTTGAGTCAAAGCTTAAGCCAGAGGTTGCTTATTGCCATTCACATGGTTCAGGGCCAGAAGCCAGTTCCATACTGTTTCAGCCAATGTTCAGGGAATGCATACAATCAAATCTTCTGACTTGTCGAAGACTGCATCCTTGTACCAGCGACCAACGAGTCGGAACAGGGGTGTTGATTGTCTATGGCTTCCATATAGAAGTGCGCTGAGATCATTGCTCATCTTGGCGAACGGTGTCTTTGTCGGCACTTCAATAGACGTCCAGCTCAAAGGTATAGCTCGCAGCGCTATTCAGTGCAGTCAAAATTGGCGAGCTCTTGAGACCGAGGTTGTTTTCATCCCGAGGCCATTGCAGCCCAAATCTCCTAATCTCTATCGCTGTGCGAGAGGCTGGGTTCTGAAAAGCACCACTTAGAACGCAGTCGATCGGTCCTAGGCATGGAGTCGAGTTCGCGAGTTCGAAGTAGTTGCTTGGCCAAGAGTGCTGGACGTCCTTGGTAGACGCACGCTAAATCTTTTTGTCTATAGACCGCTTGGCAGTCTGGGCATACTTCGCTTCGTGTCTCGTGTTAAATACTATTGACGACGATCGAAACTCGACCTTCCAATTCGGATCTCTTATATTAGGCGAAGAGCGAGAGATGATGCATCTTCTTTATCGCCCCGGATCGAGGCGACCTTCCACTTCTGCTTGCCCGCGTCTCAACACCTTGGCGGCCAGAGGACAGCTCACATGATATAGGTTTCATCGACTGACAGCTTTTGCTTTGCCACATCTCTATGGCACTTCGAACAATCATTGTGTCTTTGCTTTGCTTCCTTGCCGTCGTCGCCGTCTACAACTCTGGCGTTCTGACCTCATCCAACATGTCTTCGTCCTCACATGAGGCAGGCTCGACTCGGGACTTGAAGGTTCTACTGTCGTCTGGCTCATCTCCATCTACTCTCAAAGTGACTGTCGAGAACAAGAGTCGATCACACACCTATTCATTATTCGCCTGGGACACACCTCTTGACGAACAAGCTCTGAACATTGGAGCTCTGACGCTTGAGGATGCCAGGACCGGAGAGGCCATACCAGGCCCCCAATTGAAGGTCAACAGGAAACTCCCTCCTCCTCGTGATGCAGTAGTGGAGGTTTCTCCTCAATCTGCTGTCAGCAGGGAGATCAATTTGTCTTTTCCATGGCTTCCGAAGGATGGCAAGGTCTATCGTGTCCAGGTACAGGGACAATGGAAGGCTGTGTGGGCGAAGCTAGCCGCTCAGGTCACGGATGAAGAACTCTCAAAAATGAGTGGTGACAGTCACCTGCTCGAAGAGAACATTCGTAGTGAGAGTACGGAGTTACGGCTTGGTGAAGCAAGCACATCCTGACGAACGAGTCGTGAGGAGTTATTTTTGCTGTGGACAACACTGAGGAACCCAGATGCTATCATATGCAGATGACAGAAAACCACAAGAAGTTACATATCCTATGTAACTTGGTCTCTATTCAAGGAATGTGTAGAAAGCTCGGATCTACAGCCACGTACAGCATCGTCTGGTGCGGGAAGAGAATGCGACCATGATTTGTCGGAGATGTAGATATCTACCATTCTAATCTATCGTCGCAGACAAGATCAACATCATACCGTTCATCCGCCTTCCACACTTTTGACCCGTCATTGGTCTCTGCTACGATGCTTCTTAGCTCTGAGATCATGCGTCCAGGACCGCTGGCATACACAGTCGTCCTACCACAAATTGTCTCTTCAATGAAGTCCTTGACGAGAACACTCAGGTCGGGATGTCTGTGGAGAGGCTGATCTCTTGGATCAGACGCTGGGATTGCGGTCTTCTGGATTGCGAATGAATCAGAGGGCGGACCACAACAAGGGTATGCCGCCGAAGTCGAAGCAGCAGATGACGAGTCGGGTGTCTGATCGGACGCAAATTTGACAATAGGTTCAGAGACTGACTTGAAGTCTTGTGTGTAATCGACTTTCTCGGAAATGTTAGTTTGGCCTTCGGCTTCTCGTGTAACGTATATACGGATGGTCAGGTCGATTGACTTGGCAAGCTGTCTGACGCGATCAAGTTCTGGCTGCACCCATGCGATATCTGCCTTCTGGCGAATTGCCCAGATAAGTGTGACTTTCCTCTTCACAGAGCGAGGTTGCTGTGCAAGGCCAAGGATGACGGGGAGTACGTATGTGATGCCTGTACCTCCAGCAATGCAGAGTATGTTAACATCCTGTGTGAGGTGCGTGGTAATCGCCTCGCCATAAGGCCCAGTCAAAATGACAGAGGTCAGAGGAGTCACTCCGCCAGCCTGCTGCAACTTCTTGGCCGCCAGCTGAGCAACCTTCTTCGTCTCGCCGCTCTTAGCACGGAAAATGTAAGAGTGCTGCACACCACAGTTCAGATCATCGTGGATGGGAAGGCTGAGGGGAGTGAAAGGATGTGATTGCCAAACACTGCTTTCTGGAAAGCAGAGGTAGAAGTGTTGGCCGATAGCCCATGCATCGTGCGGGTGTACAAAATCAAGACGAACGACGTCGCCATTGGGGTCAGAGAAGAGGGTAGTTGAAGCCTTAGCAGGACCGAAGGCCACCTCACCCCCTGGTAGAACGGTGTAGTGCAAAATGGCAGTACGTACAAGACGAGCGCCACGGTCGAGAAACCATACGATCAGCGCAGGAATAAGATAGCAAGACAATTTGTCCCAGTGGCCAATGCATGCACCGATGTATACCATAGCCAAGATGTAGTGAGACTTGCGGAAGAACTCGTAACCAGTCAGACGAATGGCCCAAGGTGTGCTAAGAGCGAAGAGAAGAAACAACAGGATCATAGCGATACAGCCCCAGATCATGTAGAGTTGTTTGATCCATGCATGACCGACTGTAGGCTGGGGTTGATAAAGTCTTGCCTCAATGACACACCACCCAATTGTGTGAAGAGACGACTGCACAACAATGATGTATCCCAGCCATCGGTGCAAGAAGTTGAAGCTCTGGTATGGCAGCCCGGTAAGAAGCGAGAGGATCGACTCGCGGCTCGAGAGAAGGATCGACAAGGGCGTCAAGGCATATGCGAGTATGCCAATCCGGTCTGCCCAAGGACCAAGACTGGTGCGAGTGCTGTAGACACCAGGCATCTTCTTCACAGGGGTAACCCATTTGCCATAGAGGATCCCCACGAATGACCAGACGGCGAGGTATCCCGTGAGTATTAGCAAGATAAGCACTTGCAATCGTGTAGTACGTCCGAAGATCGGTCGTGCGAAGTCGGGAAGGAGATAGCGGCGAGCGTGTGATGAAACAGCACGTTGAAGTCGTTCAATGCCACCTCGTGACGGAGATGCTCGCGTAGGTACGAGAACTTCTTCATCTGCACGCCGTGATGGGAACAAGCGACGACCCATTGTCCAAATGAACAAAATGCCAGTAACAGTCGCCCAGAAAATGCCAGAGTATAGCATACCCAAGTCGTGAGAATGATAGACGACATCAAGGTATTTGCAAGATCCAGGGTCGTTGGTGCATGGGACTACACGGCTAGCATAACCCCAGTGAGGTTCTAGCGAACTAGCATCTGTGAAGTTCTGGATGTGTGACATTGCTGCAGAACTCCGAAGAGACAGGGAAAAGTCGACAGAAGAGAAGAAGAAGTATACTCGGTGAACTACAATGACACAACGTGGATTGAGTTGACATTAAGTACCACAACGAACCACGTTTATTGTCCGATCATGGTTCAACGCCATGAACTCCCACCTGGTCGAAGCATGTAATAGCATGGTGCCAAGGGATAGAGTCAGCAGAGCCCAAAGGCATCTAGTCCGTCGTTGAGCACGAGATTGAGCAAGTATTCGGCTTGGCACGGAATACGATTGCAGCACTGAAACGCGAGCATGGTACGAACTTCTAGTAAATCACCATAACACGTCGAGACCAAGTACTGAACTGAACGAATGCAGCAGTCCAGACGAGGTGATGTTTGCCAAAGTGGAGTCTTGCCAAGGTTTCGGCTTGACGAAGAAGCCCCCTCGGTCCCTTCAGCCAATCATGTTGGTCGGTGGCTTGAATGCTCCTCTGATAGTGCATCGGAGTTGAGCAAGTTTGAGGTGGCTGCACGTTTGATTCCCGACTGCCATGGCCAAAACATGAGAAAGGCGTTGAGTGTTTGCCGAATTGAAATAGGCCTCGAGGGAAACACATGGCATCCAGCACTTACTAGTTATCTTCTGATTCTTCTGATATTGGCCATCGAAAATCAAGTCTTCCTTTACTGTTAATCTAAGAGAACCTCGAAGCATTACAGATGTCACATTCAATGTCTCACTCGATGTCTATGGGCGGTGGCAGTTCGTCAGCTTGCAAGATCTCAGTAAGATACACAACTTCGAACATACCTGACATATCGTCTAACAAAAGACAGATGCTCTGGAATTGGTACACGATAGATGCATGTTTTCTCGCATCTTCCTGGCACATCAAGACCCATGGAATGTTCGCTGCCTCGTGTATCGGAGTAGCACTCCTAGTGGTGTGTCTCGAATTTCTACGACGCCTCGGCAAAGAATATGATACCTACCTTCTGCGCCAGTTCCATCGAAGAGCCGCAAGCCTCCAATATCAACCTAAAGTGTCATTTGCGGCTCCAAAGTTCGATGATCAGCGTATGCCTGGTGGCTGTGGTCCAGACGCTTCCTGCGCTCCTCCTCTTCCCGAGCAGAGGTTCATCACTTTTCGTGCTACTCCTGCCCAGCAGATTGCAAGAGGTATCATTCATGCTGCGACTTTTGGCGTGGGATACATCATCATGTTGTTGGCCATGTACTTCAATGGCTACATCATCATCTCGATTATCCTGGGTGCGTTCTTGGGCAAAGTCGTATGTGATTGGATGGTTGTGAGACTACCGTTGGTCAGAGGAGAGCAGGCTTATGACGAGTCCCAAGACGAGGCACCTGTAAGCTCGGAACCCACTGTGTGTTGTGGTTAGTTTGGTTTTGGGTTGTGTCAGCGCAAGACTCGTGTTCAAGACAGTACAGGAATGAACTGCAAACCCCAAGTTATGACAAGTCTGCAATCTTTTTGTTCAGATTTTCTGGTCTTCTTCTGTTCAATAAAACAATGCCGCATCGTCTTGAGCTTACTGTGCCACCTCAGTCAACTTGACCCACAATTGAGGTCTGAACCACAGAGTGTGGACCTCAAGTCTCTTCTCCCAATTTTCGCTTCTTGCGTCCAGCTCCATATCGAAGTTGAACAATACCTTTGCGAATACCAAGCGAAGCTCTGCCCATGCCAGGTTCTTGCCCAAGCAGCTGATAGTTGTAATTAGTGTGACTGTTCTAAAGCGAACGAAAGTGGGAAATTGTACTCACTTTCTGGGTCCGAAGGAGAAAGGTTGCACAATTGCGAGGTTGTCGTCAGCATATTCTTCTGGTCGGCTGGGGAGCCAGCGTTCGGGGACAAATTGTGTCGGATTGGCGAAGTTGAGCTTAGAGCGGTTGGCGACATATTGGTTAACGGAGATTGATGCCTGGTGTATATGTCAGTGAGAAATCACAATCAAGCCCTTGATGAGAGATGACATACATTGCCCTTGCCTGAGAAATGTACACCAGCAACGTCTCCGCCACTCTCAGGCACCTTGCGCAAGAATCCTGCAGGTACGGGAGGATAGCAGCGGAAAATTTCCTGGATGCAGGCATTTAGATATTCAAGACGAACAACCGAGTCGACGGTGATCTCATCGTTGCTCTTGAAGTGGCTTCTGATCTCTTGCTTGAGTTTGTCCATAACGGTTGGGTTGTTGAGTAGAAGGTAGCTGCCGATGGATAGTGTAGTCGCGGTTGTCTCAGTACCGGCTGCCATGAACAAGACAAGGTTGCTTTGCACCTCACCGTCACGCAGACCCTCGCCTTTCTTGCCGCCATTCTGAATGGATGTTACAAAGTCTGGTCGTTGTGTCTCCGAAGCGAGTCTATCATCGGTCTTTTGCGCAATCCAATGGAAAAGTTCAGCACGCTTGACGAGTGCCGCTTTGTCAACGATCAAGGAGCCTAGCTTTTTGACGAAGGGGAAGTAGTACATGACATAAAAGTACTTTACGGCTTTGACACTTGACAGGATGTACGGGATCCAGACGTGTTGCTTGGAATTGGCGAGAGATCCAAAGGGATGACCGAAGCTCAAGTCTGTAATCACATCGAATGTGAAGCCATTGTACCAGTTGCAAAGGTCGATGTTGCCATTAGAGTCCCACCCTTCGCCGCCTGAAGCGTAATCTGGGTTACATTTCGAGATGTCACGGAATCTTGAAACCAGTAGATCAACATAGGATTGAAGCAAGCCTTCTTGTTCTCGGAGGGCCTTGTCGGAAAAGGCGTGACTGATAACACGGCGTTGACGACCGTGGTTCTCTGCTTCAGCGTTGATGAGGTGCGGGACGCCGAGTGGTGGTGCCGAATACCAGGCAGGGTCTTTCTCGAAAGATGCTGTTCCCCTCTGCTTACCAGTGCGGAAACCGTAAATCTCTTGCCATGGTTTTTCCTTGCCCGAGATGACAGAAACCTTGATCATGAGTTAGCTGTGTAAGCAGAGATATCTTGATAAGCACTTACCTCATTTGGAGTGTAGCGAACCATTGGACCATACTTCTCATGCAGCTCTTGCAGCCATGGCAAGACAGTGCCGTTCAAGTTCTGACGTATGTATGGAATGCGAGTGGCAGCGAGATACCAAGGACCAGGAATTTTGCTCAGAGGGCCGAAAAAGACAGAGTAGACCACACTGAGGAGGTGGTATACAAGGTACTGAAGGTTGTCAATCATAGTTTTCTTCAGCGAGCAAGATGACTGAGACTTACTAAGGCAGCAAAGCTGCTGGCAATCACCAGAGTATGGTTGGAAGACTTCGCAAGGGTATCCATGGCGTCCGTGTCAAAGGCCGATGTCCTTTGCGAGATTCGGACTGGCAGACCGTGTGAAGATGGAAGCGCTGAGCAAGAGGATCCAGCTGTGTTTTTATATTGATGGCCATAGAGCACCGCACTTTAGTGCCGCGTGCCGTCTGTCAAGAAACTAATGCTGGCAATTCACGCAGTACGTGGTATTGCGGGTCGCACGGGTGTCACCTTATCTCCTACATGGTCCACACTTGCAAGGAGTATCCGTGGAGATGGATCTGAGACCGCATGGTCGTGCGCTCGGTGCAGCGCTATAGCGATAGCAGACTGCGAGGTTACGCACGCAAGCTCATGAGGAGTCCTAGGCGAGTCGCTCTTGCCAATGGTAAACGGTCTTGACGTGAAGAGGTGGGGTGTTGGCTGCCGTGACAGGTCGTCTTGCAACTGGTGCGTCCTGCAACGCCAATGTTTCGTGTCCATGCTTAGACGTTCGTGCATGCCGTTCTTGCAGGAATATTAAACACGATCTGCAACTGTGCAAGCTCGCTCGGATGCTGAAAGCCCGAATGAATTGTTCACATCGCACTGCCTTCTGTTGCCCAGCTGTTCTTCCATATATTTCGGCTATAGAGCTGCTCTGGGACTGGTTAGAGGCTTCATCGTGGTGTCTGAAGAAGTGAACAAAGGAAGCCAAGGAAGTCTGCTGGGTAGAGGAATATGGAAGGCTAGTATGTTCGGCTCCGTCATTCTTCGGCTTCGCGGTAGTTTTTATGCTTCGCTTCCGTGTTGTGCAATGCACGCTGAAGTCAAGCGCAGTTGATACCAAGAGCCCCTTCAAATTACCAAGTTCATGCATCTCAAGACAGTCAACCGACCCGAATTGTCGACTCGGGCTCCATAACGGTGCCGAAATCTGACTCTTTCGGGCCCGAACGACTACACCTCAGGTCATGAGATGTTTGAGCCAAGCCTGGCCTGCTTCTCCTATACCCGCATGATGGCACGCGCATTCTGCAACGATGCTTGGTGCAGTGCTTGGTGCAAGACGTATGCCTGCTTCTGTGCCACATCAATGCCGTGATCCGATTGACATTGTGCAAGATCTTGGACGGACTCTCTCCATCACACGCGGCTACACTCGTAGTCTGGAACAAACTTGCCTGATCGGACCGAGTGTTCCTATCGGCGAGCTGTGCCCATAATTATTGCCGCCGGATCAATTGCTCTTTTCGAAGTGTGACATACGGTATACGCCCCCACACTGGCTCTCGCTGACCAAAACCCAAGGCTTTGGTATGAGTTGCTCACCAAGAACTCGTAATCGTATAGATGTCATGTTGCATAATGATATCTGAGATAGCTTGGAACAAGTGCCAGAAGCTCTTTAAATTGGATGCCTATATGAAGCATCTGCAATTGTTCTATTTAGCCGTACGAATACGACACGACTCACCGCCCCACAACACCCCATGCGAGATCTTCACTGCTGTGCATAACAAGGAGTGGCAGATATTGTAGCAAGATGTGCCGCGTTTCAGTAACACAGATGACACCAGCAAGTACGGCTTCAAGAGCTGCCGAGATAGCAGTCGTGCTGCTGCTCTATGCTTGGCTTGTTTCTCAAGCCTCAGTAACACAGATAACGTAGCAAGTGTAATCTCAAGCCTGTCGAAGTACTGGCTATGCTGCTCCTCCATTCTCAGTTCGTTCCTAAATTCTCATAGCCCACCATAATGGCAGGCATACTGCTCCTCAGACCACCATATTACCAACCATGCTGCTCGTTGCTCATTCTATTCCTCAACCCTCACTACTGACTGGCTCCGGTCTACTCCCAAACAAAATCTTGTACTTCACAATCTCCACAACTTCGACTGCGCCTTCTTCCTTGCCATCTGCCTTCCTCAACACCGCCAATGGTTTTGCCAATTTCTTGATCTCGCCCGTCATGCGTTGATGTTTTCCAATGTAAAAGTAGACTCTTTTCATCCAAGCTCCGCCATTGGGGTCAGAGATGCCTGGTGTGTAGTGGGGAAACACCAAACGACCGACCTCTGTGGCTGTTGATGGTAGATCTGAAGAAGGGTCTTCATCAGATGCAGTGTTGGTGGGAAAGTTGATTGTTCCTTGGAGTTCGAGAATCGCCAGGCCAGAGGGTGTGTGTAACAGTTGTGGGAGTGGGTTGTTGGGATCTGGAGTCGTTGTTGGTGATGCAGTGATGTTTTTTGATATGTGCACTGGCGTGACTGAAGGCCATGATTGTGTTGACATTGCTTTTGATCAAGTTATGGATGATGCTTTGGATGATTCTGTCGTCGGCTGTGAACTCCTTGAGTGACACTTTCGGTGTTCTGAAAGATTGTGATACGTGATTGGATTTGTCGTAAAGTTGATGTTTCGTGAATGTGGAGGGTCTTTCTGGAGGAAGACGCGTCGCAAACAAATCGCCTTTTCGGGACGATGAATTGGCTTCGCTTTCACAACTCAGATGAGGGGACAATCTCACATCAGGACATCGGATTCAAAATACACAGAACAATACAGTTCATTGCAGGACGAGACTGGAGTATATATCCTTTCCAATTTTTACAGCAAAATCCACCAAAAACGCCTAGTGCCATGCGTCGTCGTAACAGGAGGAGAGAAAATAAGAAAAGCAAAAAGCACCGTAATGTGCAATACAAGCGCTCCTTCTGAGCATGCCGTAGACAGGCAGTATATATCCTCACATGCCCTCTTCCATACTGACATGTCTCCACCAGGGTGAGGCGGTGTTATCCTGAGGACCATTTACCATCTCTTCGGCGTCTCCGACTTGTCTGCGTTCGCTGACTTCTCTAGTCGCGACACGCTTCAACTTCATAGCGCGAGATGCCATGGCCAGACTTATGTTCTGCATAGAGGGCTTCTTTGATGATGAGGCTCTCTGTGGCTGGCGCGTCAATCCTTGGGATGGGAAATCGGATGGCGAGCCTTCGTCAATCATCGGTCTGTCGATGATTGGCTGTAACCATTCATCCCTCATGACTGGTCGTTGTCACTGGAGTGGCTCTGAAGAGGAAGACAGGCGATTCAAGTGGAGGTAGACGTCAGTGCCGTAGCTGCGGATTGTGTTAGCGAAATGTCAAATGTTGCAGGAAAGCACTTGGCACTTACCCCTCCATGCTGATCAACTTCAAATCTCCGCCAAAGTACCGGGCGTATAATCTGGAGATGGGCAATCCGTACCCGAAACCTGCCATTGGCGCCTTGAAGTCGCTCTTGTTGAAATCAGGGTCAAGCGTAGGCGTTCGGTCGACAGTTGTGTACATGTAGGTCCAAACAAGAGGAATGGAGCTTCTTGGAATACCACCGCCCTCGTCTGAAATCTTGATGGTGATGTCTTCCTTTCCTTCGGCTACAACAACTTTTGTGACTGGAAACTCTTCCTTGTCCTGGCCATGAGTTTCGACGACAGCACGAAGAGAGTTCTTGAGAGTTTCGAAAAGCATGTGCGACAAATGGCCGGGCACATACATGAAGTTGAGGTCGGGGTTGCAGACGAGTTGAACCTTTGGCGCATCGAAGAGACCGTAATGATCCTCGCACACGAAGCGTGCGTTCTCGATGGCTTCTTGAGCCAGATCACGGACGTTTGTCTTTGTGCAGATGATGCCGACGTAATTAGGGTCCGAATGGGCTCTTTGATCAGTCAAGGCAATGTGTTGACCAATCAGCATACGGATGCCGATACGGGACATGTAGAAACGGTCGAGGAAAGCCTGAATATTGTGGTCTATTTGCATTCGTTGACGTTTGCGTTTGTATTCGAGAATGCCTTGTGCAACAGTTGTCACGACGCTATCGTGACGGCGTTTGATTTTCTCGAGCGTCTTGGAGAAGCGAGTGTTGAAGTCGTTCAGCTCGGGCGGCCAGTCGTTGGTGTCATCGCCGGCGCTATAGTAACGCTTGAGGGAATTCTTTCTCTCGCCAGTGTCCTTGGTCTTGTGGAGCTGCGAGCGGTACTGGCCCTGGTTGATACTCGGGTTCTTGGTAGCCTCGCTCAATATGCGCGAGTTCTTGCCATTCTGAGGTCTTAGGAGGCGTTCGCGGACTTCGGCCGAAAGCGTGGGCTTGGGTAGAGTGGTGATTTCTTCGAAGGATTGGGCGTACCAGTCTCGTACTCGAGCGATCGAGGGCATCTCGCCCAGTCCATCGGGCAGTTCTTGAAGTTCTTGGACACGATGTGCCAGGCGTATGGGCAGCTCTTCGGACACGAATTGGGAGGCCCGGAACAGAGTGCCTGGATGAGTGGTCAGTAGGGTGATGCAGAATGGTCGAGTCGTGTGATGTTGTCCTTACCGACTGATGGCTTTTCGCCAAACTGGACCATCTGGCGCAGACTCACGCCAGTAGCAGGGAAGTTGGCATAATGGCGGATCGTGTCCATGAGCTCGGTCGACTTTTTCCACGACATGGCTGCGCTTGTCGAGGCCTTGCGGCCAAAAGTCGTTCGTTGGTTGACAAGCTCGCGAGCTCAGGCTACGTGCTGGCAAAGGCTCAGCAAAGAAGGGTTCCGACGTCGAGGTCGCGTGTGGTATAGCAATTATGGAGGGAATCAAAGACGAGCCGTGAGTCAACGGTGCTCACGGCTTGTGTGTGTGTGTGCACCGGAAATCAATCGTCAGAGACCCCACAGACCGCAACCCCAGCTCCATCCCGCCGAACGCCATCCACCTCACCTTCACGTGCCGAGGCTGTCGCTCGGCCGATTCTTTTTCGTTTATTTCGACCTTCTCCTCACCACACGGAACATAATTCCAGACCGAGCTGTTGACCTGCGCTATATCCAGCTCTATCATGCCACAGCACACTTCTGCATTGCCAACTGCTGCGTCGCTCGGACACCATGGCCGAAACCGGACGCTCTTCACAAGCGCGGACCATGTCTTTCTGCATTCAGAGAGGCAGTCTTGCAGAACATTTGGCCTGCTTCTTGGATGATTGCCATCAAAGCAATGATACTCTTGCTGAACAATAGTATACCTTCTTCTTCTACTACGCACCGCTCTATGGTGCCAATTAACCCAAGCCAATAGACTCAACTCTTATGTAGATGCTCTAGAAAAGTACAAGGGCGCACTTCTAGCGCTATTGATACTCCTCATCCTGACCACTGCACATTCTATCCTTCCTCCTGCCTGATCTTGTTCCTCTGAAGGGGAAGATCCACGCTGACCTTTGAGCTCCCTACTACGAGCAATCGTCTTCAAGTCTGACATACTCTTCGCGCCTCTCAACGAGCGAGCACGACTAAGTAGAGACTTTCTCCGACTAGGTCTTGAATTTCGAGATTGCCCGTCGTTTTGCTCGCGCTCGGCTTCCTGCACCAGATTGCTTGTTTGGTCCTCAATGGGTGTGGGAGTTGAGTGTCTACGACGACGAAGCACTGTCAATCCATCATCGGTAGCCAGGGCTCGAGCTAGTAACCTCGAAGCCACTTGATGCACACGTCCACGAAAGTCAGACTGTCTTCGTCGCTTTTGGTCTCCGTAGAACGACGGGTCATCCTCTGTATCGGCGCATCCAGCCTCGTCCACTTGACACTCGCGTTGAGGAACATTGAGAATATCAAACTCAGTAGTAGTCTCGATGATGGTGAGATTGTTCAAGACGTTTGTGGCTTTCCTCTTGTCGGTTGAAGCCTTCACGCTGGGATTTTGATAGCGTACCGACGGCTTGACCAGGACTGGACGGTGCAGTAGCGGAGCGGAGTGAATTCGTTTCCTGTAGACACGAAAACAACAGAAATAAGCAAAAAGCAAACGCAGATGTTTCGAGAGCCATAGGCTTGTTCATTGGAAAGAGCAATAGATCTGCTTTTCTTTGTGCATTCCATAAGAGGAAATGAACAAAACGAAAAATGGCTAGAGACGCCTGAGTATAGGGTTGACAGAAGAGAAGACGAAACCAAAAACACACATGCCCAAATCCTGCAAATGACTCTTTTACTCGTCAAAGACATAAAGTGATATCATATTTGACACATGGAAAGGGAATAAAGTAAGGCATGGGGAAGTGAAGTAAGACAGGCAAAGAGACAAGGAGATGTTCATGGTCACCTTCGTCCAATACTGCCGTCTCTGCTCGACACCCTGGATCCCGTGCTCTGCCTTTTCATCAACCGACTGTCGCGATCATTGGGACTGTGCTTCTCACTTGGCAGTGCCGAAAGCACATCGCCAGCGGAGTCTTTAACACCTAGTCCCAAGTGTCGGCCAGTCTTCTGGTCAATCTTGAACTCAATGTACTGTTGGGCGGCTCGTGACAATGGTATAGGCGCAGGCTGCGTTGGGATCTCTGCTCCATTCTGGAGCAAGAGCTCGGCAACGGGAAAGGGTTTTCTAAGAGGGGTAGGAGTGGTTGGACGTGGAGGTGGTACTGACGGACTCAGACCCGGTGGTGTTGACAAAGTTGACGACCCGCTACGTTGCTGCACAAATGAGCTGGACGGAGACGCGGGATCTGCAGCCGCAAGGGCAAGGAACACTGCGTGTGTCCCACGCGAACGATCTGTAGCATTGGGGTTCGCGCGCAATGCAAGAGCATACAACACTTGCTGTATGTTGTTCTGTTTGATACTGACAAGTAGCGTATCGTCTGGACTCTTGAAATGCGCCATGGCATCGGTAGAGCTTTGAACGTACAATCTGTCGCTGTACTTGCCCGTGATGAAGTGTAGACGTTGCTCTCTGGTCACATTAGGACCTGGCTTGAGGAAAGCATCGAGCTTGGCCTCCCAAACCATGTTGCTAACACGGTTGCCGACAAGCATGAGCAGCTCAATGATGTCTGGTGTGAATGCAGAGGTATCAAGGGTCAAAGATCGCACTTTGGAAATGTGCGTACCCAAAGATCTGTGAATACCACTGCACTCGATACACAAGATTATGCCGAGGTTGATGGACACCCATTCGACCTTCTGGTCCGAGTTGCAATCAGCGCAATATTTGTTGCCAGCATCAGCTTCCCGTATCTGGTTCAAGAGTGCTGAGGGCGTTTCATTATCGGGCTTCATATATGTTGGCTTATCACCCGTTGTTGCGTGACGCGACACAATCTTGCTTGAAGAACTGATATACGATGAAGTCGCATTGGTCGATGCTCGTTGGGAGGAGAATGGTGTCGTCTTTCCAGTTAAGACGGCAGCAATGGTGTTGCGGGTAGAACTGACTTTTTCGGTGCTTGGCGTGCCAGTAGATGGTCTAGATTCAAAGGCGCTCTGAAGTGCATTGTTGATCGAGGCAATCCATGACTTCATGTCTTCTTCCGATGGAGCTTGGTAGACACGAGTATATTGTGGTGTGATGACCTCAAAACAGAAACGCCTGTCGGCGTTGCGTGCTTCTCTCACCGATGCGACTCGCAAGTCGATGGGATCCATGTGCAAATCGAGCTTGTCTTTCCAGTTGGCATATTCAGACAGCTTACCCTGATCAAGAACTATCCAAAATCTTTCTTTGTTAGTGAATGAATGACATGTGGTGCAGAGAATACTCACTTATGCCATCCAGCTTTGTTCATGATGGGATCCACATGACTGCCGGGCCGGCTCAAAGACCAAAGTAGTCCTTCTTTCTTGAACTGACCTGCACCTGCTACAGCAGAAGCAGAATTGTCTTTCTCCTCTAGGTCTCTAATACCTTTAAACTTGTTGCTCGTGTTTCTAACAGGCAATGCGCCGTTCGAGCTAGGGCTAGTAGAAGAGGTGATGCTAGACGGAAAACCATTGGATGCCGAAGGAGAAGTCGACATGATCGAATTTCGTGGTGCGGAAATGATGCTGCTCGCGCGATCGACATGAGTGGCATTGGAGCCATTGAAAACCGATGGCGGGCTCTCTATTTCTGGTGATTTGGCGTTGTTCGTCTCCAAGGCTCGTCTCTTTTCCTCGCGTTCCGTGCGTTGCAACTGGAACTCCATATCGGCTTGTGAAACCTCACGGGTCAAGGCTTCTAGTTGTGGCAGCATCTCTTCGACTTTTTTGGCCGTGGTAAGATATCCTCGAGCCTGTGCGGATGCGTATTTTGTGAGTTGAGAAAGTACTTCTTGCTCTTTCCGGCCACCATTGAGGTCGTGCATGAAAGAGGAGTAATCGAATCGCTTCAGCTCGAAGGTGCGTCGCTTGGCTTGGTATTTGGCATCGCTCTCGGCGCGCTTTTTCTCCTTGAGTGACTCGGAGCGCTGACCGAGGTACTTGCTAACATAGGCATAGTAGTCCTTACTCTCTTCGTCAAAGTCACGCCTCTTGGACTCTGCTTGTTTGATGTCGAGACTGTAGAGCTTGTTGATGGGCTCAATTATGAGTTTCTGGAGGTTTGCGTTATTTTGGCGCTCGTAAAGCAGGATTTCTCTAGCAATAGAATCGAAGTAGTGCTCGAGAGCGGGACGGACGGCATTTGCGTTCGAATTAGAAGCCTCTCTAAGCGCATCCATGAAAGCAGAGTGGGCGTCGTTACTGGCAGTTTGTGCGGCTTGTGCAGCTTCGGCAGCTCTCAAGACCTTCTTCATACGAGATCTCATTGTGCCAGTCTTTTGCTCCAGGGCTCGCATTGTCGCTCTGAACACAGGACCATCCTCGCTGGCACTAGCATCCTCGGCTGGGCGACCAACACAACTAATGTCAACCTTGGGCGGAGGCAGGGGCCCTCCATTTGTCATTGACGGAACAAGGCCAAGACCGTACTCTGGTATCGCATCGAACATGGGCGAGGAAGGCTCACGGAAATCGCGGTAGTCTTTGGGGTCGCCGGGGTCGGAATCACTGACAGCGCTGACTCTGGATTCGATAGATTGGGAGGATGGCACTCTAAGCCTGGGAGGGGACAAGGTGGGGGAATTTAACCAGCGCTGTGTATCTATAGAAGTGTCAGAATAAATACAGAAGAGTGAGGGAGACAAGTGCCTTACTAGTCACCCAGAACGAGAAGCTGGCTAGCGTCTCGAGACGATGAGCCCGCGAGTTATACTCGACAAACTGCCAGGGTCTATTAGCAACTCATTTTGAATAATAGCGGCAGGGACAGTCATACACTGCAGGTGTTGCGCCAGCCTCCGCCATAGTCTTCGGACTGTTTTGGAGGCCTCCACTTCCAGGACCACTGAAATTGTACCGATGGGACACCGCCTGTGCTGTAGTCACCCACCAGCTCGACATTAGGATTTTTGTGTATATTAGGATCAAAATGGAAGCCGCGTGTGACGAGCTGATCAATCTCTTTTGCTTTCGAGCCAATAACATAGGTCAAGCCGCACAGCTGAGTGTCTGAAGCGGGGACTCCAGTTGGAGCAATGACATGGTCGCCGATTGTGTTGGTTGGAGCGGAATTGGACTGACGCAGGACGCATGTGAAATTGAAAGTAAGCTCTTCATCGTTGGCCAGGCGCAAGAGGAAGGAGGGAGAGAGGATGGAAGGGGGTTCAGGATCCTGTGGACCGTCAGCAAGTGTCTTCAGAGCTTATGGACAGCGGGTCTAAGTACCTGGACGTAATCGACGGGAGTGTTGTCGCCAGTGTCGCGCTTTGCCTGGTAGCGCGTGGCAGGAAAGGAGTTTGGGGTGAGCGAGACGAGGGTGCGACCACGCGAGTTGGTAATGTTGACGTTTGCGATCGAGACTGGGAAGGGGAAAGAATGTTAGAAGCAGATGATGGCAGAAGAGGCAAGCTGGACACACATCTCGTCTGGTCTCTGAAATAGACGGGAGAAGCATCGTCAGGTCGGCTTCCTACGTTGCCCATGCTGCGAGCAGGGCGGGCGCGCCCCCAGCGCCTAGCGATAAGGTCAAAAGGTCGAGAATATTGTGTTCGGGATGAGCGATGTATATCGAGTGCGATGAGCGAACAATGCGAATGCGCGGGCGGTGGTTGCTATGTATATACGGTTGGGATGCAGATGAGATGTCGATATGATTGGCGAAGAATTACACTCGAGAGGGGCGCAGGCAGAGGCAGCACTTGTTGCGCGCAGACAACAAGACCAAGACGAAATTAAAGTAACGCTATGAGTATGCTGCAAAGGATGAGAGGATGCGAAATTGAAGTCGAGGGCGCTGTTGATTCAGGCGCAACCATGTGCTGGCTAAAGGTAACCAACCTACTCCACAGCCAAAGCACGGTATGCGGCCGTCATGCTTTGTCTGCAAACTCCTGAACCACCGTTGCCAAACTCTAAATTTGATGCCATCTATAGATTTCCGTCCTTCGTGACGCCGCCACGGCCTACCATCATGGCACCATGCCACCACTTCGTGCATCTTCTCTGAATCCCAAATGCTCAAACATTGACCGCTTTGCTTGAACCCTGTTGTTGGAGCAGATGCGCCATGGAGGCAGTGCTCGGTAATAAGTGCTTTGGCCATGTGCATCTTGAAAAATGTCTCTGCCTTCTGTGATGATCCCCCAAACATCTTGGTTGACCATGTTTTCATCATCCTTTTCTCTTGCTCCGGGCCCCGCTTCCAGCCAACTGTGTTTCAGCTTTTCGCTGATGCCTCGCGCCCGTACCGCACGTCCCTCGATCCTCGTGCCCCGGCCGCCCACTCTCTGTGCATCCTCCTCCTCGCCCACTTGCACGTCTTGACTCCTTGACCAACGCGCCGTCTGCCAGACGATTGCTAAAATGCACTCTTTAACGTGTATGGCCTCACCAAGACATCGCCAATGTAGATCGTCTTCTCCAATCACAAGCCGAGGTGCCTCGGCCAAGCATGGCGGGGACCTTTCCAACCGCCCTAAGAGTAGCACCTTCTGTGTAAACCACTTCTTCAATATTGACCTTCCTATCTCCTTTCTCATAGTTGTCAACCAACAGTGAACATTATGCCTCCCTTCTATGATGCCACCACCGTCACCTCGACAGGTACTCACACGTATACCGCAAACTTTCCAAAGGACTACTGCATTGGCTCAGGTATCACTTCTTCCTCGACTGACAATTGTTGTTCATCCCATGTTTCTTATAACACTATCGTCTAGTTCCTCATGGCGGATACATCACTTCATGCTTCATGCGCGTAGCCCAGCTACACTTTGCCACGACCTTGGCCAAGCAGAACCAACCACATATCATGTCCATGCATCTAGAATTCCTCAGACGGACTAGCATTGGACCTGCTCAATTCAACGTCAGAGATGTCAAATTAGGCAAAGGTACCTCTATCATCCATGTGACTCTATTCCAAGATGGTGGCGATCGCGAAGAAGTCGCTGCCTACATCACGAACAGCAACCTTGCCACAGAAGAAGGCACTTCCTTTCCTACAGGCTGGAAACTGGAACCTGCGGCTCCACCCGCTGACGTCTCCGCGCTGAAAGCCGGCACCGACGATGCTTGGAAAGAGCAGAAATCCATGCCCTTCGCCATCTTCCGCCGCGCCAGTCAACATGTCAACTTCTACTTCCCCAGACAAGGTCAACGTATGCGCAGTCTAGCGGATCAGTGGATGTGCTTCAGCAACGGCGAGCGATTTACAAATTCTAGCCTGGGCTATGTATCCGACATGTTTCCTCAAATTCTCGAGAGCTATCGTACAGGTAGCGACCCCTATGCCGTCGAACCTCTACGTGATCCCGAGGAGATCAACAAATTGGCCGCCCAGCAAAAGGGCTTCTCATCCGCCTGGTATCCGACTCTGCTATTGAATCTTGACGTCAAGAAACTCTTGCCTGAGGAGGGTGTCGAGTTTTTATTCCTCAGGGTTCGCGCAAAACAGATCAAGAATGGCAGATATGATCTGGAAGTCATCATCATGGACGATGCTGGAGATATCGTGGCCCTTAGCCACCACATTTGCATGATCATGTCCGCAGAGAGAAATTTGCAAGCAAGATCGAAGCCTGCAAACAAGCTCTAGTTGATGATAAGACGTATTCATGTTGGTGCACGGAAATATTCTCAAGTACATGTTGTGATGAATAGTCGTCATGTCACGGGCGTTTGAGCTACGTAACATTGCCGTCTTCGAATCAGTCGTATTCTGACTCAACGGCATCAACTGTACACCAAATCCGACATTTTATGGATCAACATAATCTTAAGAACCTTCTTCTTCAATGCGCGTCTTGATTGTTGGTTGCATTCCAGATTATGAGGTATCATCCTATTCGCGACAGGGTCGTACCATCGACGATATGCCGCAGAACTTCACCGTCTTGAACTTATAAGGTCAAGCAGCGGAAGTCGAACTTTTACTGCAAGCTAAGATCGTCCCAAGTTGGGACTCCCAACACGCTCAAAGATATTCTTCTTTCTAGCACATTCGAGACTGCCGCAAAGCTGGCTGCAACGTTGCAGATCGAATGAGAGTAGAAGGTTCGCTCGTCATCTGCACCGACGGGATCTGCTTGTAGCGAGCTTGGCAGCCAGCTGCTGCGTGCGCACAACCCTCATGTCGTGAGAATACGATTGAGAAGTCACCCTGAGCTAGCAAACTCGACCTGGGGTATCGGGTACTGCACTTGAGGATTCCGAATCAAGAGTGATCGGCCAAAAACCGACGTGTGCTCTCTCCTACGAATCCTATCAACCAACTTCAACGTATCTCATACGGCTCCACGGAGGCTTCTGTTCGAGCACATCGGCAATCCTGGATTTGCTCAAGCTTCATGGATTCTGCTTTGCCCAGACATTGATGCATGCATGTGGTCGGCAAGGGTTATCCTTCGAGGTTGGTACATATCCCACGCGGGCATCTTTAGGCGTTTGGCCCCGAGGACATATTTCTCCATCTTCGGCCGTGGCGGTCGTTCAATATGATTGGAGGAATTACTGACTCGATATCGATGCTGGAACTCTCCACAAAGTCATCATCAATGTTGTTGTAAGCTCTGAATGCTTTGGAAAAATTTGAGCGCTTAAAGCGGACATCTTGCACCTCCATGGTTGACAACACTTGGATATACGTGATCGTCAAGATGGCAAGCATCGCCGTGCTTCCTGGGGCATATCTTCATGCAGCTTGGCTCGTGCCCAAAGCAGCCACATCGACGCCACCAATGCGGAGTGAGAACGACTCAGCGACCCCCGAGTAATAGCACCAATTAACGTTTGATCGTCGCCCGCATTCGTCCACGATACCACCGTACTCCGCACATGTCACGAGCATTCCTCCATCGAAGAGTTTAGCCAGATATAGCCGACGGAGATATAACTTTCCGTCGAGGACAAAGATAGGTATAAACACTCATTCCCCAGAATACCATCCCCACAACCCCAGTTCACCCCCAGACCCGCTAGACCCGCCTCCACACGTTCTTATCCACCCAGCCAGATCCTCCATGGACTCGACGGTAGAGAAGGGCGCTGCCCAACACCTAGAGCACGCATCTGACACATCTGGAGACCTTCACCATGATTCGAAAGGTCTTGCCGTTGCTTTCGAGGAGGGCAAGGACGCTGGCCTGAGTGAAGCTCACCTCTGCAGCGACGAAGACAACAAACGCATTCTACGAAAGACTGATATATGGATGCTTTCGCTGCTCTGTATGGTCTACTTCCTCCAATCGGCTGATAAAGGGTAAGATAGACACACATGACAAACTATAAGGAGTAGCGACTGACTCAAGCAATAGTATTATCGGTCTTACAGCCGTCTATGGACTCAAGAAGGACGCACACCTCAAGGGCAACGACTACTCCAACATTGGCAACATTGGTTACTACGCACAGCTTGCTGTTCAGCCCATCGCTGCTTGGGTACTCGTCAAGCTGCGATACCGACAAGTTTTGCCCGTCATCATTACCTGCTGGGGTATCTCAGTCGCTGGTGGTCTCGCTGGTTCTCGCAACTATGCCGGTCTCCTAGCCTCACGCTTCTTCTTGGGTGCCTTTGAAGCTGCAGTCGTACCTCTGTTCTCAATGATCACTATCGCCTTCTACAGACGCTCAGAACAGCCTTTCCGTGTTGCTTGCTGGTACAGCTGCTACGGCCTGAGCACTCTCATTAGCGCCCCCATCGTCTATGGCTTTGGTCGCATCCACTCATCCACACTCTACCGCTACCAGGTGGTCTACCTCTTCTTTGGTCTCTTGACTATCTGTATCGGACTCATTACCTACTGGTGGGCACACGACAGCCCTGGAGAGGCCCGCTATCTGTCTCCTGAAGATCGCCTCAAGGCTGTTGACCGTCTTAAAGCCAATCAGCAAGGTATCGTCTCCCACAAGTTCAACTGGAAGCAAGTCATCGAAGCCTTCACCGAATTGAAGTACTGGCTCTTCATGGTAATGGTGATAAGTGTGAATGCAGGTGCTTCCGTGTCATCTGTCTTTGGCTCTATCATTCTTCAAAACCTCGCTGGTTTCACCCCTGATCAGGCGGTGCTGCTCAACATGCCATCTGGAGCACTCCAGTTCGTTTCGATTCTCGGCGCTTCTTATCTCGCATACCGCTTCAAGCGCAAGTCTCCATTCTTGCTCGGTCTTGTGTCTATCGTGATTGTAGGAGTTGCTTTGATGGTTGCACTACCAAAGACCAAGGCCAACAAGGGCGGTCTGCTTGCTGGATACTACCTCATTGCTTTCGTGTACGCCATCAACCCTCTCCTTATTTCCTGGATGGGTGGCAACTGTGCTGGACAGACCAAGAAAGCCATTTACTACACCTCGTTCAACGCTGGTAACGCCATTGGCAACATCATCACTCCCTACATCTTTGACTCCAAGTTCGCACCTCAATACGTAAGTTAGCCAACGTTAAAATCTTCGCAAAGGCATGAATGGCTAACAAAATATCCAGCACAATGCACTCAAGGGCATTCTGGTCATCTGGATCATCCTCTGGGCAGTTGTAGTAGCCCAGATCGTGAACATCACCTGGTGCCAGAAGAAGAAGGGTAACCAGCGCGAGGCAGCCGGTCTGCCCCGAACCTTCGAGGACTACTCCATGACTGACAAGTTCCACGAAGCTGGCGCAGAGGTTCACGGCGAGAACGGTCTGCAAGATATGACGGATAAGCAGAACCTTTACTTCTCTTATTTGCTGTAAAGAGGCTGGTAGTATAGGTCTGTTGTGCCTTGGGACATGTAATTATTGTTTGCCAGCCTCCGTTTAGATGAATGTTTATGATTTCAACGATTTACTACCATGTTCCGATTCAGACTATCGTTCCTTCCTTGAGTGACTCGCTCTGTTCGCATAGATCGTTCTTTCCCTTAGCCTGCAAGATTGGGACGCGCGTGCCCTGTGTCCATGTAACTCAAATGGCAGCCGAAACAGCAGTTTCCAGGCCGTGTTACTTTATTACTCCATGTATCTACATGGTGGAGGGGGTGCTGCTGATAAACAAAACTTTGTGTTTCACAAGGAGATCAGAAATGAATATTAGCTGCTGATACAGTCTAGTAAAAAATATGATGACTTTCAGAAGCAACGGAGTAAATATGGCTTCGTAGATTCAATGTCAACGGCACTAAGTATAGCACGGTTTCTAGAACTAGCGTAGACCAAATATTATACGCACTCTAGCATTCAGCCTCAGCATAAGCAATTCTCTGTCCAGCGATAGCACCCGAGAAGCCCGAATTCTGGCAGTAAGTACCCTTGACTGTAATAGCATAGTGGGTCTCGTCATCGACAACAGTAGTCGTTGTGCCGTTACAAGTAACACTGGCAGAAACCTGACTGACGCTTGCCTGGCTTCCAGAAGAGCTGCTTCCACTACCAGCTGCCGAAGGTGCCAGCACACCAGCAGAACAGGCCGCATAAGCATTACTCTCAATACGTGTTCCGTTGGCAGTAGTGAAAGTGACTGTGCTGATTTCTTCCGCAGAGGCGCTTGCTCCATCGTTGTCTGCTGCACAAGTGGTAGCTGCAGCGGCTTTTCTCTCATTTTGAACGGATTGTTCATTTGATGCGTCTGCTACTGTCGCGTTTGTTACAATAGTGACTTGACCTGCTGCATTGGCAATGGCGGTCGAGTTTGCATTGCCGGTCGAGGCAGTAGAGCTATCGCTCGTTGTATCTTGAGCAGCACCCGCAGCACTAGTTAGAAGGTAAGTTGTCTGTTCCTCCATGCCGAGAGTATGCTGCTCTTTACCTCGATGCATTACCACTTGCAAATGTGGTGGTGACAATTGTAGTTCCATTAGCAGATCCAGTAGCACTGCTCATAGAATTTCCATCGGGAACTTGATTGGAATTTGTAACAGTTGTGATTTGAGAAGACGTGGTATCGTTCTTATGAAAATTGCCAAAGAAGGAGACGAGAGTACCTTCTACAGCAGCTTTGGGAATGTTCCAGTTGAAGCCAGCGTAATTGATCTGAGAGAGCGGAGTCGAGCCATGTGGGACGTTGAGTTGGAAGGTCTTATCCAGAGGGACGCACTTGTCGGCAGTTGCTTTACTGGTTGCTGGCACAGCTAAGACCTGGGAAAGTGATGCAAGGGCGAGGATGGTAAGTGTGGATTTCATGTTTCCTGGTGTGGCACGTCAAAGAGAAGGACAACCTTTCGCTGCATGAGCTACCGGGTTATATAGCCACCTACTCTACCGCCCCGAAGAAGAACAGGGCAAGGCACATGTATTAATTCATTGTATTGATCGGAAGCACAAGGATCGTGCAAACACCGTGCTCTCTCCGTGGAGGGCTCTCGTCTGTTTCTTCCCATACTCCGAGAGGGTCGCTAGCTGGGGGTTTGCAGCAACGGCAACATAGCTACTCAGACTCAAGGATTACAGATGTCTTTCTACAAATAGATATCAACAAGTGAAAGGGTAAATAAGGGAAACATGCTTGCCATGCTTCTGCAACTCAGAGCAACCCACTGTCCAGTTGATGCTGTGTGGGCACAGCGGCGAGCTTTTCGCGTGTCGCGAGTATGTGTAATTCTCTTGCCGGTGATGATGCACCTAAGTGGAGACTAGAAAGCATCTATAGCGACTTAAGGTTTTCGTCCATTTGAGCCTCGGAGGTTTATATTCAATCGAGATGAATTATGATTGTACTCTATTCTGGTTGGGGCATCGTGTGTTCAGACTTCGAGGTTGGCTGTATTGCTCCATTGTTAAGTATTTCCTCTGGTAGAGTCCTGGCGAGAGTCATCATGTTTACCGAATCCGCGGTTACCGGAAGTCTGACGAGTGTCACTAGAGACTGTGCACTTCGCCCCATGATGATCTACAAGCGCCAGCAAACGGTAACGGGATGGCATTTAGAAAGCATCAATGCCGAAAGTGGGTTCCTGCTTTGGTTTTGACGCACATGCAACGGCCTAAGGTGACGAATTGCAGTAGATGAAGAGTTCCACTTGGAAGCCTGTAGGATGAAAGACGTGAGGTAGTGCCGATGATTAACCCAATTGCGGGCAAAATTAATGATTATTGTCTGGTTGGTAATTACATTCTGTCTGTATTCGATAAGTGTGAAGCTCGCTACAAGAGACAATGAAGCGGTATTCGACGATGTTTTTCATTTCTGTATCTGCCCGTTCCTGGCGCCTCCTTCTACGCTGAACTCCTGTTGTCCCTGACCTCACCCTCCATTGTAGTCGATTTCTCTTCGTCAATATGGATCTTGAACATCTTCGAAGCCATGCCATAGCTCTTTCCTACAGCTTCACTTCCATAGACCCTCATCTCCTTTTCGTAATCTGATGTAGCTCCTTCGTAGTATCCATTTTGCAGCAGTCTACCTAACAGAGCAGAGTCTCTAACTGCGGTATTCGCGCCAAGGCCTCCTGCTGGAGTCATGGAATGTGCTGCGTCACCTATTACAGTGACACGAGGCTGGTTCGGCCAAACTGGTACTCCTGACGGTGTCGAGATGGTGATCTTCCAGAAAGCGCCCTCAGCTGTATTGGACTCGGTGAAGAGAGGCTTTACTTTAGGGTGCCAGTCCTTTGTGAGTTCTCGAGCGATGTTGGACGCAGTCTCGCCAACGATTGTGTAGTCGTCGTTGGGAGCTTTGATGACACCAGGCTCACCAACCATAGTCCAACCAAATTGAGTCTCGGGATCATCCATGTCACCAGAGCGGACGTTTGTTATCACAGCGAATGTACCGTTGGGTCTGCTGTTGTCGACTATACGGAAGACGCCTTCGCCAAGTCCCTTGAAGGCCGTTGTAGGTGCTTGTCCATGAATGCCACGAGCCCCAGTATCGTAGACCTTCAATTTGCCGTTCGATAGTTGCCTGGCGACATATGAGTTGATACCCTCGCCTCCGATGAGCATAGAGCCTTCTTCTGATTTTGTGCCATCGCTAAAGATAGCTCGCACGCCGTCGTTCGTCAATTCATACCCCTTGACATGTTTGTTGAACTGAACAAATTCCTCGCAGCCTTCCATAAACAGATTTCGCATGTCTCCGCGCGCTATACCGACAACTTTGCCTTCTCTTGAATTCAGACTGTCAGGTTTACCACTGTCGCCACCACTACTGCTGTTACCAGCAGCTGCTGCAGGTGGTTGCTCGATAGGCTCACCAGTGCGAGCATCAATTAATCTCATTCCGCCTCCGCCAGTCTTACCACATCGATCGTAGAATTTCTGCCATGCCGCTGGATCCAACGCGGATTCAATGGCGTCGAGGCCTTCCGAGGAGAGCCGAAGTCTATATCCTTGGCCTCGAGAAGCGAGCGAAGCATCACGTTCGAAGACACGAAACGGTATCTTGTATCGCAAGAGTGAGCGAGCGAGTAATAGTGATGCCAGACCGGCACCAGAGATTAAGATCGGTTTTTGTGTCATGGTTGATGTGGATGTTGATGCTTGGGCGGATTGCGCAACGAGAAGTGGGAAAGATGAAGCACGTCATGCTGACTGACCCGCTTTCCTCTCACCTTCGAGTTCATCAACGCCTCAACACCTTACCTCTGCCTCCGCTTTATGCGCATTTTCGTAAGAACCGAGACTCAAGATTATATGGTAATGAAATTGAACTATCGAAATCAATGCGTCACGCACATCGTTTGAATCGAGACCGCCCTTTCGAGCTCTACCAGGCACTCTGGTAGACGAACAGGGAATAAAAGACAACACCAGACCACAAGGAACACGACCCCCACCAAAGGCCACCGGACATCTCGCAGGATTTGCTGGATAGTACTGGAAGGTATCATGTTGAGGCACAGCATAGCCAACGCCCTGGTCGAGTCTTTTTGACCACGATCATCACTAGCCCGAGACAACTTTCAGACATCTCATTACCTCCTTTGATCGATTTTCATAAATCTATCTCCGCTCGCGCAGATACGGTCTCGCTCGTCTAGAGTGACGTACGAGCTCGTGGCTGGCAGAGCTCAAGATGAGAGCAGCTATGACGGCCCAGGACATGATACCGAGGACTAGAGTCTGCAGGTCATATCCGAGCCATAATCCGGCAGAGATGCTTGTCAAGAGCGCAAGCAGTATGATCTGGTCTTGCCAAAAGTTCTCACGACATTGGTGGGCGTACGCCATCACTGCAATTGAGTATGCACATACGGCCAACGCAAATTCGGCCAAGTTCGGATTCAGCGCAGGTAGGCAAAGCTAGAGAACATGTCAGTCGTCGGCTTCCTAACAAGAACAGCATTACTTACCCTTTTACATAGCTCGGTGTCTGTGGCTGGCGGCCTGGATTTGGTGATAGCACTATTGTTTGCGTTGTTCCAGGAAGTCGAGACAGTTGCAGAAGCGGCGGCCAACATCAAGAATGTTGAAGCTTTAGAAGTTGCTCTAGCAGCTTCCCAGATCCTTGCGCTAGGCCGGGTATCTTCGTCTCTCATGCTAGCATTCGAGTCATGCCAGCTGTGCTTCTCGTAGCTAAGGAGCCGATCTGTCGTTTTGCTGCTTTGTTTTTCGGAAGCACTCATTTGACCAGGATTCAACGTTCGCAGCATACTGGGAATGAGCATGGTACGACCAGCGCCTTGGCTACCCATGCATAAGATACGGAGCTGATTGCGATGGAACGTTCTCCAATCCGCCAGCAGTGCTGCCAGTCTCTCACGGGGCCATTTGCGCTGCATACCACAGGCTGAGCGCTGCGTCAGTCGATCGCCAACAGATGTTTCATTCAAGAATAGTTGCAACCTACTTGCACTGTAGCTGATGGATCCCTCTACGACAGGTAAGATTGATCCTTCTGATTGCGAGTGCTCAAGCAGAGTATCGTTGGAAGATGATACTATGAGCATGGCTGTATCTTGCTCCTCTCTGCCTCTCACCACTGAAAGGAGCTCTGCACGCAGCGAGGTCAAGGACTGCATGGTTTGCCGGATGTTTTCTGTTAACTCAGCACTCGTGGAAGCGGGAATCTGTCTCGCCAATTCAATTGAATTGGAAATGATGCCTGAGATGATGTCCGTCATGTAAGAGTCGAGAATATGGTGCAGAGAATCTTTGTAAGGTCAGTAAAGTAATCTGTGGTTGTTGGCCGAAGGGGAATACCTAGGCGCGCAAACTCACTGGTATTTTGCGAACGCAGTAGACTAGAAGACTCCAAAAGAAAGCTTCAGAAGTCCCTCACGTATGGTGAGCATCATGAGTAATCGCGTGGGACCATTTTTCCCTGCTGACTGCATGTTCCCGGCTTTGAGGGGATCCAGCCCCTGGGTGCCTGAAAATCGCGAGGGACCAACCCACGTTCATTGGCCACACAGCGCCGATTTATTCTACAATTGCTCTAGTGCCAGGTACTCAGTCCTTGTATCGTAATTTCGGACCTGAGAAGCAACATGGTCTGATTTTGACAGCTTTGGAGTCGGCGGTGCAGTAAACTCGCTCTCGAGCTTCTGGTCGATCCGTTGTTTGAGATTCATTTCTACGTCAGACCATATCCTTCTCTCTGCTCATCCTCTGCTTTCTCTCAAGATCTACTTTATAACGACATTGCCACATACAGCAACTCTGATGGCTCTTTGGTGCGATGGAAGCCTCCTTGTCTATCATCCCAGACTCGTACCTATAAGCTTGTGCCACAGCCCAGGCCAAAGTCATGGGATACCGGCCTCTGGTAACAGACAAAGATTGAACCCTACGGAAATTCTGGACGAGTACGACGCCGACAGTGCCCTCGGTAGATGTAACACTTGGAATCACTATTCGAGATGTTTTTACGACGACTCCGATAGATCTCTCAAAATAATTACTACTGATGGCTCTTCCAGATTCTCCAACCACAAGGCCTCTTTTCCTGGATGGGATAGTGAACGAAATTCGATGTTCAGCATTCTCAACCGCTATGCTGTCGAAGTCCATACCTCAAACAACCACGAATCTGTAGCAAACCTCGTTGCAGCGGTGCAGGAACAGCTTCTTCTCGATGTACTGAAGACTCTGGTCGCTAAGGGTCATGGCAAGCTCTCTTGCGTCGACATCGCAGATGTACAGGAATTCGTTTATCGTCACACTTTCGAAGTCCTCAGATGGGAAAGTCAGGAGAGATGTGCCATCAGGCAAACACCATTTGATCTTGTCTTGCAAAAGATGATCCTGCTCGCAGAGATCGTCTCGACTATCGAGTCCCAGCTAGAGCAAAATCTCAGCGGTCGACCCAACTGTTCCAAGCACAACCCCATGCTTGACATGAGAAATCTGACCCCGAGCCTCATTCACCCTAGCTTCCCTCGTCACCAACCTGCAGGCCACCACGAACAGCCAGTCCTTCAGATCCCAGCTAGAGCTACTCCTAAAACGTGTGAGTAGAAGTCACCACAAACTTACCACACACCACTGATAACAAGTAGCTATACGAAGTCCGCCCAATTCGATAGCTCGCCAATTCAGATCGTACCTCAACTACTGCAGTGGCATGGTTTTCAGCGCTCTTCTTCCTGTAGTTCGTGCAGATGCAACCGCGTCTCCTGATGACACCTCAACTGCATCAACGAACTTGCGATCTCCTGATGTCATTTTCATGTGCAGCGTGATACTCGCTGTCGCGCTTGTAGTTTGGCTTGCATCACTGGAAAATGGGAAAACAGGCCCGGTTACATCGTACGCAGGCCCAGGTACATCGAACGCAGGCCCAAGTACATCGAACGCAGGCCCAGGTACATCGAACGCAGGCCCAGGTATAGTGAAAAGAGTCTTGGAAACATTGAGAAATTGCATGGAAAGACAATTCTTATACACTGCCACAATGGTCACTACCATAGGATCACTCGTTGTGGTTGTGCACTTGGACAGCAACGCACCCAGGTAGGTTTAACTCGGGTGTCAATCTTGGAAAGCGTTCCTTCTGACCAACCTAACACAGCCCGTTCTGGATCATCGCCGCGTACTTTGTTCTGTACGCGGCTTGGCTGTATCGCCTGTCGAGGTCGTATAGGCCAGCGACTCTTGAATCTTCTAGCATTCTGTCGGACCGGATGAACCCAGGCGATATTGAAAACCGACAGACTCCAGAGCAGACCGGAGACTCTGAAGTTCATGGAAGTTCAGAGCTGTTGGGCCCCTCGCGCAAGACGAGGTGCGATTCATCTTACTGGAATTTGCCCTTTGCTAATGCCTCTCAGACCCACCAGGGAGGAATTCGTCGGTACTTGCATCGTTGCTCTAGTAGCTTCTGCAATTCTGACGTTTTGCGCTACTTCGAAATCCTTCTTCGTGCCTTTTCTACTCATCCTGGCGCCTCTCAGCCTGTTCTTCGTTCGCTGTGGGTATCCAGTCTGGGAGAAAATCTGTCAGTTCATAGGAGCACTATGGACGATTTCTCTCAACACCTCTCGTTGAGGTGGCATCAAACCAAAGAAGTTTGGTATACTTAGGCCCGAGAGCGAGGAATCTCGTGGTTCTATGACATGTGAATGTCTAGTTTGGATCAGCGAGGAATGAGGTCGGCTGGGTATTGTGGGCCCTGAGCATCCTGTTTTCATTTCTTTATTTTCCATCAAGTACTCGCCCTGTTCGAGCTACATAGATGAGCCGCCATCAGATGGCTATATAAACATACAGTCCGAACATCTTTGCTGTGCTCTAGGGTTGTGCCACCAACTCGTTGGCCCCTGCCTCTGCTCCTCGAATGCAAGCCGAGCAGTTGACGGTGGGAATAAAACTCGTCGTTTGCTTCGTCTAGTCTCCTGTGAAAATGTCCCGCACACTTGTGCGTATTCAGATGTCCTCTGAGACTGTCTCTATGTTGACGACAAGGTTAGGCCATATCATGACCAATTGGGATATCGGGTGTGTGAACTGTGCAGACATATATGTAAATTAGTTGGATATGAATGCTATGGGGATCATGTCGTGACTCGTGAACAAGGTTGGGGATCGTCAATCATGATCGAGAGCATGATGCTCGATGGAACGTGCGATACATTCGGAGGATGGCGACGATCACGGTAGCGCTTGCTTGTTGCGGATGGCACATGATCAAAGATGGGAATTATTGGCGTGCCACGACTATCGCAATAAGACACCAGGGCAAGGACGCGAATGGCGGCGTCGTAAACATGGCGCTCATGGAGCAACGGACATCAATATGTTGTGTGCCACGAGAGCGAAAAACGTGGAAGCGACTTCGGAGAGTAGGTCCGCGTGGGAGTTGCAGGGCGTGACTCGAGTTTGAGTTTTCGACTAGAAGCCCCAGATTCCATGATGGACAGCCGAGGGCTTCGCAATCATTCGACGTTAGAAGAAAGGTACCAATAAACATTTCCCTTTTCGTATTCTCAAGCCCCTACCGCCCTCACACGATCGATGCCATAACACACCCGCAACTAGAGACAAGTCTCGCCTTATCCCATCAAGCAGCGACCAAGATGGCGTCAAAACCATTCAGGCAGCACAAGGCCAAGGAGAGGGCGCTTACGCTGCAAGAGCGCGAAATGCACAGGTGCGATACTCGTATATTCAGTCTGCGTCTTTCTTTACTCATGCCTCGGACACAGATTCTATCAACCTTGGTTGGACGCCCAGGGCACTTCCGCCAACGTCGCCTCGCATGTCCAGGACCTCGCTGATGTTGACGACTTTGCCATTAACACTCTTTCCGACAAGGGCTTCCGCCCGCTGGCTTCGCGCGACACCACCTTGACTGCCTTTGCCCAACTCGCCGCCCTCCGCCTCAATGTTCGTCGCGCTATGGTCAGTCTGATCGACTCGAAACACCAATACATTCTGGCCGAAGCCACCAAAACTCTTTCTTTGGTCGACGACACACGCCATGCTGAAGGCGACGCCCTGTGGCTCGGAACCACCTCATTAGCAAGGGAAGACGCTGTATGCCAATGTTCTTTTACCAGACAGTACACCGTCCAGGATGATGACGGTCACACCATCACCGCGACCGCCGCTGTCATGCCCGATTGTCGCTTGGACCCCGACTACAAGGACAAACCTTATGTCATTCAAGAACCTGGTGTGCGCTTCTATGCTGGCGTGCCGATTAAATCAAGATCTGGACACAATATTGGTGTCTATGCTGTTAGTCATGACGCCCCGAGGGAACCTCTGACTTACGATGAACTGCGTTTCATGCAAGATATCGCCGTCGCTGTCATGGATCATTTGGAATGGGCAAGGGATCGTGTAGATCGCTACAAGGGCGAACGCATAGTTCGTGGCATGGCCGACTTTATCGAAGGCGCTCCTTCTATGCGTGCCATGAAGAAAGAGTCGGACAAAGAAGAGGACCACTCTGCCATGGTCGTCAACAATCCCGACCCGACGCCACAAGTGGACATTGATCTCAAAGAGGACACCGTCAAGCGGCAATCACCAAAGAGAGCAGATAGCAGTAGATCTGTGAATCGACCATCACTCGAATCTAGATCCCAATCCTTTATTAGACGCCGCGAACCTAAGACCGACAGCTTGTCCAAACTGCTCGATCGCGCTTCTCGAATACTGCGGGAATCCACTCTCGCCGAAGGAGTTGTTTTCTTTGGGCCATCTGGGAATAACCCGTCGAAGCCTACTTTGAGGTCTGCAATGGCAGCCCGCGACAGAATGTCCGGCACCGATGACGAGTCTACGAGGCACCTCGCGGTTGACTCACCTGATGTCGAAAACTCAACAGACTCTGACGTTGCAACCTACCCTGTTCGCACTTCAAAGATCTTGGGCCTCTCTTTAGTTAACAAGAAAGACAGCTCTCTATTCCATGATACAGCGCTGGATGTCTTGACTCTTGAAAATTATTTCAAGCTTTATCCTAATGGGAAAAGCTTGCACTTCTCCGAGGCTGGTTCAGGTCTATCATCTGAGGACGACAGTGCTAGTGACGGCCTGTCTGCCAGCGACAGGTCGAGATCACATCCTAAATCTACCTCACAAAAAGTTATTGGCAAAAAGAAAAAGATTCGAATGAGCCATCAGCAACTCCTCGAGAATCTTCCAGGTGTTAAGAACGTCATCTTCTTGCCACTTTGGGATTATGTTGAAGAGAAGATGGTGGCAGGATGCTTTTTGTGGACCTCGAGTACTGGAAGGATGATGAATTTGGACGACGACTTGTCATATCTGCGAGCCTTCGGTAACACCATCATGTCCGAGGTTGCGCGCATGAACGCGCTAAAGGACGATCGAGCAAAAACAACATTTATTGCCTCCATGAGTCACGAGTTACGCTCTCCGCTACATGGTATTCTTGGGTCGGTCGAGTTCTTGCAAGAAACAGCTGCCGATGCCTACCAGTCTGGTTTGATCAACTCCATCTCGACTTGTGGCAAGACTCTGCTAGATACCCTCGATCATGTGCTCGACTATGCCAAGATCAACAAGCTTGGCCGCAATCGCATGAAGAAAGATGCTAGGTCAAATAGGCTCGCTTCCGCTACTGATTCACCTTCAGAAAGTCTTAGCATTTCGGCCGAGATCGATCTCGGACTGGTTGTGGAAGAAGTTGTTGAAGCTGTATGTGCTGGCCATGCGTTCAAGAAAATGCATACCGGAGAGCTCAAGTCGCATGACGGGCCTGTTGTCACCATGTCTCGCCACTCGTCTGCTAGCAAGGTTCCAGCGGCTGATGGTGGAAATATCCATGACGGTGAAGTTGCTGTGCTGCTTGACGTCAGTCCTCGGGCTAGCTGGGTTGTCCGTACGCAACCAGGAGCCTTGAGAAGAATCATCATGAACTTATTAGGTGAGTTTCTCAGCAGAGTATTGTGGCTGAGTTTGATGATTGACATTCGCTATAGGTAATGCTCTGAAGTACACTCCCAAGGGCTGGGTAGCAGTGTCTCTCCGAGCCCAGGAAAGCGCGCACCCACACAAAATGGACGTGGTTTTCCGAGTCGTCGATTCCGGTAAAGGAATGTCAGAAGACTTCCAGAAGAATCGTCTGTTCGTCCCTTTCAGTCAAGAGGACACTTTCCAGCCCGGAACTGGATTGGGCCTCAGTATTGTGAGACAGATTGTGGATTCGCTGGGAGGTACTATCGACATCAAGAGTGTGCAGAATGTTGGCACTGAAGTCGACGTTCGTCTGAGTCTTGCTATAGCAGAGCCGTCTGCTAGCAACAGCCCGAACAATGAAATAGCGTCAGTGGCCGCCAAAACCAAGGGTTTGAGACTGTGTCTCCTAGATCCCAATGGAGAGAAGGAGAGAGACCAGAACGACAATATCAGCCGGCTCGATACGACACTCTCAGAAGTTTGTTGGGGTTGGTTTGAGATGGAAGTGACCAGAGCAAGCAGTCTGCAGGACGCCGACGCGGACCTGTATATGTACACTGAGCCACCATCAGTCGAATACCTTCTGGAACATCACAGCGTAAATCAGAATCGCACTGGCGGAGGAAGAGGGAAAGAGGTTCCGCTCATCATAGTCTGCCTCAACGCATCAGAGGCTGTTGGGATTACCTCCAATCACATCAAGGTACGTCGACAGAACGCTACCACAGAAGATTACATACTGACCTTTGATGTAGGCATTATCAGATCTTGGCCGTATCGTCGAGATCATCTCGCAACCCTGTGGACCTCGCAAGCTGGCAAAGGTGCTGGGTCAATGTGTCAGACGTATGGAAGAAACATTCAACAGACCCATGGTACCTGATCGACAACCGAAACCAGAAGGCCTACCTCACCGATCAAGGTTGGAGGATGTGGGTGCGGCATCCATCCTCGGATTGCCAAGCGTGACTCTACCACGTCTCAACACTTATGAAGAAAAGACCGAGTCCGTTAAGGCGCGAGAGCTCATCCGTAACGCAGATGTGGAAATTCCGCCTAGTACGGCCGTCTCTTTTCCTACCATCAATCGAGAAGAAGGCAATGCCAGAGAAACACCGAGTCAAACCGAGTCAGGATCAATACCTCATGTGCTGCTCGTCGACGACAACCCGATCAACCTGCAGTTACTGGTCATGTTCATGAAGAAGCACAAGCTACCCTATCAAGAAGCTGTCAATGGACAAGAAGCTCTCGACAAATACATCGAATTCGGCAGCGGCGATCCCAACAAGCCCCGCTTCGACTTTGTGCTGATGGACATTTCCATGCCCATCATGAACGGCTTGGAATCCACACGACGGATCCGCGAATTCGAAGTCGAACAAGGCTTTGAAAAGAAAGCTACTATCATTGCACTTACGGGCCTTGCAAGTGCAGAGGCACAAGCTGATGCCGAGTCATCCGGTGTGGACATTTACATGGCTAAGCCTGTCAAGTTCCAGGCTTTGAGACCCTTGCTCGTGAGTAAGAAACCCGAGAAGAAGGCAGAAGAGCAGCAAGTATAATGAGCGCCCTCATGATCTGATCTGGCAGAAGGATGTTTTGTGGCGCTCTGCGTTGTTTGTGTCGCTGTTCACATCTGCTCCCATTTCTCTTTCTTTCTGTTTCGAAATCCTGTTTTGTGTTTCTTCTTGCGCTCTTAGCGTTTCACTTGCATATCACTCATACGTTTTGGATGACGAGGGCGTTTTGGTTCTTCGCTTAGATATACACACACAAGCATTGCGGCGGGTCTTGTTGTTTTGATTGAACTACACGCATTGAATTGGGCATTACACAATCTCAGCTTACTCATCTTCTCGTTCTCTGGAAATTCTTCGTTTGCACATTAATGTTTCACTGCTGGTTGCAAAAGACTTGATTACAAAATAAAGCAACCTTGCGAAGAGAAAACAAACGCTTTGCGCGCGCCACCCTGTGCCCACCGATGAAGAAAGCCAAAGGCGCTGTGGTAGTTGGAAGATTTTATGCACAAAAGAAAGCACAATAGTATCGTCAAGTCGTAGCCAATGGTGTAGACTCTTTTCATGGCGATGAGCCCATGTCTGGTGCTGGAGAGGAAGAATGGGCGGGCGCAGCAGCTGCTGTTGCAGGAGCAGGAGTGGTGGATACGACGTCTTCTGCTGCGTAAAGGTTCTGGTTCAGGATCTTGTTCATGGTGAACATGTGGACGCGATCTGTCTTGAAGACTGCACGCATGGCGTCGTCGCAGACAATCTGGCGCTTGTCGGATGGATCTTGGAGGTCGTTTGACTTGACGTATTCCCAGATCTTCTTGACGGTCTGAGGTCGTGATAACTGTGTCTCGCCGAGCAGAGCTGAGAGAGGTTCTGACAGGTTCATGAGTTTCTGTGTTGCGTAAGCTCTCCTGAACTTGACCAAAAAAAAAAGATTGGAAACTCACGTGGAAGCCACCGGTGCGCGGCTTGGACTCTCCATTGGTCTCGACGTCGCTACCGTCCTTGACTCTGGCAGCCGACTTCTTCTTCCTCTTCACGGGAGCAGCTTTTCTGGTTGCGCCGGCTCTGGTGGGTCTTGCTCTGCTGTTCTCCTCGCGTTGTAGACGGGCGGCGTAGGCAGCATCGTCTTCCTCGGCATGCTGCTTGCGAGACTTCTTCTTTGGTCTATCGTCTACTACATCGGACAGGTCTGATTCATCAGAGGGTTCTTTGCGCTTTTGAGGAGAGGATTCTGAGGGGGATGGAGATGCGCCATTGGTACCATTCGCGTCTTCTGAGGTCACTCTATCGAAGCATTTTTCGATCAGGACTTGGATTTCTTTCTGTGTAGTCGTGTTAGGTTGAGATGGTAAGAGGACAGGAGGACTAGGTCAACTAACCTTGTACTCGGTAACATCGAAGCCAACTTTCTCAGATAGAGCATTGCGGATCTTCTTTGCAGAGACAGTCTCGAGGTCACTTTGGCGCAAGATGTCGTAGATCAGGTCGGAGAAGCGTTTCTCGTCGTAGGACATGGTTGCGACAGATGACGTCGGTCGTGTTGGATGGGGATGGTGAAAGGGGACGAATTGGAATTGAGTTGAACCAGAAGTCTTGTCGATGAGTCGCCTGGCAGAGCTTATGTAGGGAAGGGCGAGTAGTAAGGAAAGGCAATTGCGAGATGTTTGTGGAGGATGTTTGAATTCTTTGTAGACGACGCGCATAGACGCGATGGAGCACTTTCGGTATATATGGAGAGGGAGCAACCACTGAACTAAGTAGGCTTGGCGTCAACGAGACCTACGGACTTGTACAGCTCACACAATGAAGTGGCTCAGTAGGAAGATGAGAGCTGGTCAGAGAAACACTAGTTGATAGATAGAAGTGTTTGGCATGTTGTTTGTTCAGATGCTTAGAAGCAGAGTCTAAGAAAGAGCGACTCTTGTGTCGGCTACCTACAAGCTTAAGGTACAGGAAGCCGCTGGGTGGTGGACGGTGCACGTGACTCCGCCCGCGCCTGCACTTTTTTGCACATCGAAATCGAATAGCGGCAGCCACGACCACCAATCCATACACAACCGCCAACATGGCTCCCAGCTTCGATAATCTCGACAACGACGAGAACTTCGACGATGTCGAAATCGACTACTCCGGTACGCCATCACCGACCGAAAAAGAGAAGGACCGCCGCGCGCGCTGGGGGAAATCATGAGGGGAGAAATTCGAGGTTGTGATGCTGACTGATGTCCTACAGATCTGCGCGAGCAGTTCGATGTGCGCATGGAGGAGGGTCTCGACTCTTTCGTAGTCGTCGATGGCCTCCCCAAGGTTCCCGAGGAGAGCAAGGCAAAGCTGATCAAGTTCATCCTCCGCAAGCTCACCACTGCTGGCAAGACCAGCGAGGACCTCGTCCTCATGCCCATCAGCGACGAGACCAACATGACCGAGGGCTACGCCTTTGTCGAGTACGAGTCGCCCGCACAGGCCCAGGCCGCCGTCAAGGCCTTGAACGGCACCCCTCTGGACAAGAAGCACACCATGGCTGTCAACAAGCTGACCGACATTGAGCGCTTTGGTCGCGAGGGCCGCATCGACGAGGACTACTCTCCCCCCGAGATTGAACCTTTCCAGGAGAAGGAGCACTTGCGCTGGTGGTTGGGTGACAACGACGGTCGTGACCAGTTCGTCATGTACCGTGGTGACAGTGTCGGCGTTTTCTGGAACGAGAGAGACGAGCAGCCCGAATCCATTGTTGACCGTGCTCACTGGACCGAATCCTTCGTGCAGTGGTCGCCCAAGGGAACCTACCTTACCTCGATGCACGCCCAGGGTGTTCAGCTGTGGGGAGGCAAGTCATGGAGCAGACAGAAGCGTTTTGCTCACCCCGGTGTCAACCTCGTCGACTTTTCTCCCGACGAGAAATACCTTACTACCTGGTCTCACCGCCCCATGCAGGTCGAAGAAGGCCACCCCGTCCTCTCGCTCGACGAGGACGGCAAGAACTACATCATCTGGGATCTCGAGACTGGTCTTCCTCTGCGTTCCTTCGTCACCCTCGACTCGGCCGGCCCTAATGTCGACGAGGCTGGAAACCCCATCAAGAAGAAGCTGCAATGGCCTGCCTTCAAGTGGTCCGCCGACTCCAAGTACGTTGCCCGTATGAACCCCGAACAAGGCATCTCCGTCTACGAGCTGCCCCGCATGAACCTCCTCGACAAGGTCTCAATCAAGATCGAGAAGATTCAGGACTTCGAATGGTGCCCCGCTACTCCCCAGCGTGAGGGTGTCAAGAACTACGAGCAGCTCTTCTGTTACTGGACCCCCGAGGTGGGTAGCAACCCCGCGAAGGTCGGTCTCATGAGCGTTCCCTCCAAGGAGGTTGTCCGTACTCGTAACCTGTTCAACGTTTCCGACGCAAAGCTGCACTGGCAAAGCGACGGTTCCTTCTTGTGTGTCAAGGTCGACCGTCACAGCAAGAGCAAGAAGTCAATGGCCACCAACCTCGAGATCTTCCGCGTCAAGGAGAAGGGTGTGCCCGTCGAGGTCGTTGACGCCATCAAGGACACCGTCATCAACTTTGCTTGGGAGCCCAAGGGTGACCGTTTCGTCCTGATCACTGCTGGTGAGGTGCCCGTCGGTGCCGCCGTACCCCCCAAGACTTCCGTCTCATTCTTCTGCCCGGAAAAGGCAAAGGGCAACCAGGTTGGTAACTTCAAGCTGATCCGCACTGTCGACAAGAAGAACAACAACGCTATTCACTGGTCTCCCAACGGTCGTTTCGTCGTTATCGCTACTGTCCTGTCACAACAGAGCTTCGATCTCGACTTCTACGACTTTGACTACGAGGGCGAGAAGGATGAGAAGGACAAGGACCTGACCGCCAACCTCGCTTTGATGAACACGGCTGAGCACTACGGTGTTACTGACATCGACTGGGACCCCTCAGGCCGCTTCGTCGCCACCAGCGCAAGTGTCTGGAAGCACCGCGTAAGTTTTTCACTCACATCTCATCATGATAACATTGCTGACAAACACAGATGGAAAACGGTTACCACCTTTACGACTTCCGTGGTCAACTTCTCCGTGAGGACCCCATCGACCAATTCAAGCAGTTTGCATGGCGCCCACGTCCCGAGCGTCTCCTGTCCAAGGAGGAGCAGAAGGGCGTTCGCAAGAACCTCCGCGAATGGAGCAAGCAGTTCGAGGAGGAGGATGTTGCCCGCAAGAACACTGCCAACCGTGCTGTTGTCGAGCAACGCCGTCGTCTCCTCGACGAGTGGCTCGCCTGGCGCGAACGCACCACCGCCGAGCTTCGCCAGGAGCGCGAGGAGGAAGGTCTTCCTTCCATCAGCCCCGAAGAGGCTGTTGCCAAGGACGAACCCTCCGAGGAGGGCGAGGGCAAGTACGTCGAGGAGATTCTCGAGGAGATCTTGGAAGAGACCGAGGAGATCATCGACTAAGTCACATAGACGGTCTGACGCGAAAATGCTTCTTTATTTCTGTCCTCTTTTTTGTCAAGCATTGTGTAAAAGCACACTGCGTGGAGCGGGAAATACAAAAATCTGGTGTTGTTTTGTTCATATTGCATCCCTTTTCTGCATTTCAACCTGCCTGATTTCCTTGTGATAACACAAATTGTCTCATGTCTAATCTGGTAAGTTTTTTCCCCCCGATTTGTAGGTCGCTCCTTCCTGAGTAAGAAGAACATCACGTTCCCAATTTGTCGATCGTTCCTTCCTTTCTGCTTCACAATGGTTCCTGCCTTTTCTGCTTTGCGGTCGCTCCTTCCTTTTTTGCTTCACAGTCGTTCTATCGTTTTTTGCTTGCATGATCGCACCTTCTTCTTCTATAATTGTTCCTTCCTCTTATGTAGTTCTATGTGATCGTTCCTTCCTTTCCGACCCCTTCACTCGCAGCTTCTAAAATCTTACTCTCCTTCTCACTTTCTCTCTGCCACAGCACACGAGACATCTATCATTGTCATCTTTGCCCTGCCAGCTTGTTCCGACCTTTGTCCTTGGGTAGGGGTTGGAATTTTGAGCATAAAGGCTTATTCCTCTTTCTCCGGGACATGACATGGCTGGACTCAACATCATAATAAGTATTCTACTCACGTTTTCAGGTAAGAAGTGTGAAGTATACCGACTCTTGGTTTGAAAGAAGAGAATCAAGCAATACATACATTGACTGCTCAAGAAATTTACGAACATGGAGGCACCCTGTCTCACGATACTCTGACTTTTCTCGGTTGTTTTTTTTCGTTCTCGGAATGAGGATAGGGACAAGAAGAAGAAAGGCAAACGACCATCATGGACTCCTAGTACGAAGATGTAGAAGTAAGTGCAAAGAGTGGGAGTTTCAAAGAATCAAGAACTGACAAATAGGGAAGGGACGATTGACAGAAAAGGCAGGGGGCAAGTATTGACGAACATGTAAAGAAAGAGCAGACATTGAACACGAAGGAAAGAGCGATTTAGGAAGATGGAAGGTGCGAATATAGAAGGAGCGAAGGATGGTCACAAAAATGGCAGGAGCAACAGGTGTATCGATTTAGTTATCTAACTCCTCCTGCAAGAATGACAGCAGACCACTTTCCCAATGATGTCTGTGATCCTCAATAGGCTCTCTGTCTGCTAGGTGGGTGATACAAATCTATCCAGTGTGATACCCGCCCATACTCCGTTACATCCTTTGTCCTGCCTGACAGTGCCTCTCATTATGTCTCTTTGTTTCCAGGTCCTGCCCATACCTGGGGTCTTCAGCCTGAACGCCTCCCGCCTAACCTTGCACTCGCATCCAACGCCATTGGCAAAGATCATGATTTTATCTTTTGCTGTGGTGGTTCTGTGGGGAAAGGATAACAAAGAACTCTAGAAGGACAAAGAGATACACGAATCAGACGACGGTGCAGCCATGACAAGCAGGCCGTGGCGTGAAAATGCAGGTAGTGGTCCATACAAACAACCGTGTCTTGTTGCATGATTGCTTGGAACCAACGGCAGATGAGGCGGGGTTGACCCGGTGTGATCCACCCTAGTGGGTGATAACGGGATCAAAATGCAAATTTATATTGCTCATGGGTGAAAGTCGTTCGTAAGGCGGTGTCGTAAACGTCGTTTCGAATGTCGATATCGTATATTTGCGTTGAAATGAGCGATTAGTCCATATAAAAATCGCCTTTAAGGATCCTCTCCTGGAACTGGTCGGGGACATTAACTGGCTTGGGGTTGTCTCTGACAGGAGTGTCCATGACGGCGATGCTCTTGGAGCGAGCGTGAGTCCAGCCTCCGGTAGGAGGAGAAGCAGACATGCCTGAGATGGAGCCCCTTTCGGCACGGGAACGCATGTTGTCGGCCCAGTTGAAACCCTCTGTGAAAGAAACAAGTCAGCACAATGATCAGGATACGATAGGTTAAAGCACTCCGGCGGCACCAGAAGAAGACACAAACCTCGACGACCCAGTGAGGAGGAGGTCGGGGCCAAAGTCTTCTTCTGCCCGTCTACGACTTCTTCTTCTGGTATAGTAACGGTGGCGGTGGGCCTACCTGCTGGCACCGATCCCGAACCACCCTTCATGTCCTTGAGAGCTCGTGCTCCGAAGCTGACTCGACGAGCAAAGGGGCCGCTGCTGGCAGGGGCGGCAGAAGAAGGTTCGTCGTCGATTGCTGACTCGTCGACTGTAGAGCTGGAAACACTCTCACCTCGCATTCTAGCCGACATGGGCGAGCTCTGATTGGGGGAAGTACCCATACCGAGGGTACTGATTGAGAGACGACGGCGGCTGGCTTCAGCGGCGGCTGTAGCAATGGGACCCTGGGCAGGAGGGCTGGTGCCGGAGGACTCGGACGGGCGGCTGCTGCGGTTAAACATGTCGCTGAATGCTTGACCGACAAAGGATGAGCGACGTCGTTGAGGATAGGTTGAGTTGGAGGGAGATTGATCGTTCTGGTCTGCCATTGTTGTGGTAGAGTGTAGGTAGTCAAGGAGCGGACGAAATGAGACGTTAGGTAATGTTAGGGATAAGGTTTGTAGATTAAGAAACCACGTGCTCTAGACGTGACTTCTTTGATGTCTAGAATGGCGTGATGATGTCAGCCTTCTCCGGCTTCGGCGCTCTCTCGGTCAAAGAAGATTCGACTGGCTGTTGGTTTGGGTGCTGCGTGATAGTGTCGTAGGAAGTTGGAGTTTAAGTAGAAGTAGAATTGGAGTAAGAAGGTAGGAAGAAAGAGATCGAAAGGGAGGATCAGGGGAGAAGGCAGAGGTAAACATATACCCTCGCACAATTCGTGGTGTGGCCCTTGCAAGGACCCTAGAAAGTCCCCCAGACTGCTCCCCGCCAATTAAGATATGCGGGGTAACCAAGCCACATTGCCCGCCCACGTCGCCCAATCACGGCTACCTTTGCCAATGACGATCTCGTAGCTCGCTCGCAACCGCTCGTCCAGATGCATCACGCATGTCCTTGGTCAAACTCAAACGACATCTACTCGAAACGCTTCGGTCCGATTCGTTTCCATCTCCAAAAGAACGATGTCCAAAGTCACCACATCACCACATCTCACGCCGCTATTGCGTTAGGATTACTGGCGGCCAGCACTCCGGAATACCCTATCTCCATGCAATGTCTGATCCATGCTTATCTAGGTGTTGTGTCACATGCCTCCTTGTGTACTTTTTGGTCCCGAACCTTTTGATCGCCAATAGCAGGGGGTTGATAGGCATGTTGTGATACGCCCGAGTACGAAAGATCGTCGCATCCGTCTCACGGCTTCTCACGGCGTTGGAGCTTAGCTCTGTCTTGTGTCATGGCACCACCACCGCCATTTGTTCCTTCAACCTGCCATGCATATCTCATGCATATGCTTAGTGCACAACTGCCAATTATCACGGCGCTCGACAACGATCATTTTTGCTGTTTGGAAGAGTGTGGTAAAATGTTATGATTATGCACAGTGCATGACTTTCGGTTCAATCGCAAAGAATTGGTCTCATGAGATTCAGATTATAGACCGTGTCTTCTGTATCGAACTTTTGTATCGCCTCTCCTCCATCTCAAGTGCAACTTGCAATCTCGCAGGCTCGTGGGGCAACTTTTGCGTCTTCACGACCTGGACAACGTAGGAAGCTACCGTTGAAAGTGCGAGAGGTGGTTCTCTCATCGCTTCGGCCACTTGCTGTAGCTCCAGACCTTCCACTTGCCACAGAGCGTATGCACGTACTGCAGACGGAGTTTTGTTCTTCTTTCCAAGCGTAGAATTGCTTGCCCACTCTGCAAGCCATCGTTCAGCAGCTTCATGCTTGACAGGTGCTGCTGTTCCCCTATCAAAGCTTTCGAGCTCATCCTGAGCAGTGTCGTCTTCCATATCGTCTGCACCTGCTTCGTCTTGAGCTTCATCTTCCTCATCGTTGAAGGGTTGCTCCTCTTCTACGCTAAGCATTGACAATTGAGTTTCAAGCCCTGTGGACCTTTTCGTGAAAGTTTTGCGCCCTGCTTGCTCGCCGTTACCAAGAATGATGGGCTGATGAAGTTCCCACGGCGCAGGTCTCGGCGGCATGGGGTTCATCAGGCTCCTCGCTTTGTCGAGCTCTCGAAAGAGCCTGAACCCTGCATAGGCATCTGACGCAGCGTAGTCGGTTTGCTCCAATGACAATTTCTTTGACCAGGCACTTGTTCGAACAACACCTTTGTGAAGAGGTAAGAACAGAATATCTTGTACCTGACCAGCCAAGTTGAACGGTTTTTTGTCAACTTTTGCTGGCTCGTTCTCAGAGAACTTCACAAGCTTGTAGAGATGGCTCACTTCAAAAATCCCCTGCCCTTCGACGCCCAGGCATCTGCGTAGGCGAGAAAAGTCCGCTGCAATGTTGACACCAGTTTTCAGGACCTCCGGAGACTCGAGAATAGCTTTCAGTGATGGAGGCATGAGATCTTCTGGACGCTCTCCAAAAAACAAAGCAACGTGGAAGAGCGCAATTCTATCGTCGCACGCGATCTGAATTAGCGAAACATTCTCTTTGATGCTGTTGTCACCAATTGTGCTGCCTGCTTCCCACTCAATGTCAAATCCGATGACTGGCTCTCCAAGGAACATCTTTGCATATCGTTCAGCCTGCTCGAATTTCCAACAGTAGTGTACGAGAGGCTTTTGGTTTTTTGGCGATTTGTATAGAGAGTATTTCCAGAATGCAGCTTGGCTGGTTTTCGATGCTATCAACGCATTGCGCAGATCTTGAGGCGGTATATGGTGCAACAATGGCGGAAGCGTGGTTGAACGACCAAGATCTTCTTGATCAAGGTAGTCAGCAGAGCTGGTACTCATCATTTGACTCCTGCGTCTTGTTTCCTTGAACGTGGGCTTTGGTGGTCTGAATAAACTTTTACTACGAGCTCTGGGATAGACCGTGGTAGCTTTGGGCGTAAGCCTTGGGATCTTGGTCGACTTGAACTCAGGACCGCGCGGCTTGGTTTGTGGTTCAGGTAAGCTTTCTGCCGATTCGCTGCTTGGCTCCTCACTTGTTGCGGTTTCTGCTTCACCTGCTGTGTTCGATTCAGGACTTTGAGCGGCTTCTTGTTGGGAGCTTTCGCTCTTTTCGAGGTCTGCTGTGCTTCCTGCACTAGTGTCCCTTGACGTCATTCCTGCACCCGATGCTGATTGTGGAATGTCGGTCGTTGTATCAGCTGCTGCTGCTTCAACTACAGGCGTTGCTTGGTCTTCAACCACACCCTCATCATGTCTTGTCTTTGCCAGAGCGGCCTTCCTCAAGTTTTCTCTGCGTCTCGTTCTGGCAGGTACCAAGAGACGTTTACCCAAAGCTTGGGAATGGCGAGCGTCATTGATATCATCAGATATGTGCCAGACTTGCTCGAGTTGTTTCATATAACGTCTAGACTCTTGCATGTTTTCTTTTCGATATTGGGCAAGGACTCCGCTGATTTCTGATTTATCGTCCTGCGTGAAGGCATTCTTCTTATGTTTGACGTACGCATATGCAAATGCAGCCCGTTCGTGAAGCACCGATGGTTCAACAATCCTATCAATCTCTCTGAGTGACAGGATCTGGTGACGTCTCCTAAGGCCCTGAGCTCTCAACTCTTTTGCAATCATGTTGGCTTTGGTTCTGGTATGACTCGCGCGTCTTGCGATGCGTATTGAGGTTTGCCAGAAGAGCTGTTGATATGCTGGCTGCTCCGAAATCCAATCGGCTTCGAGAGCCTCTAGTTGTAACGAAGAGAACACGCGAAGTGTTTGTAGAAGGCTTTTGCATGCCGAGAGAACCTTCAACTGTGTTCTGTAAAAGTTGATCGTTGGTCCCATTGCAGAGGTATCGCTTGTTTGCGCCATCGATGCTTTGAGTTTACGACTCCAGAATAGCATTCGCGCAACCACTGCCCCATTGATTTCGGCGATAGGACGATCCATCTCGTACAAATCAATTGCCGAAGCTCTCGATGCCGCGGTAAGCTCTGGAGACCCCAACTTTGGATCCATACCGAAACGAGTTGCACGAAGAATTCGTCGATAATCATGTTGTCGCGCTTTGATCACGTCAAACTTTTCTCGCAAATCTTCGAGTCGAGTGGTGTATTCTGAGTGTGCTCTACTAGCCTCAAGACCGGAATGCTGAAGATACCCCTTGACTTGATCAAAGATACTGTTGCGGTGCTGCAGACGCTGTTCAAGTTGATGGATCACTCTCCGTCGCAAGGTATCTCGCTCCCGGGGATCTTGAGTCGTCTTTTGAACCTGCTCACCAGCTTCCCAAATTCGGAACTGGTCTCCGCCCTTGCTCGTCACTTCAAAAGAACGTGTAGACTGCAGAGCTTTGTCCCAATAGGCGATCTCACGATTATACCATGCATCTTGACGTGGCAAAAGTTCTGTCCCATCCAAAATTGCGGCAGTCTTTGTGACACCAATATGGACCCAAGCTCGGAAAGTGTTGTAATCCTTGCGGAGCAGTTTTCGAGCGGCTTTTTCTTTTTTCTCTCGCTCGCGTAAACGTAAAGCGTTCTCGAAATGACGGTCGGCAGCTCGGCGCTGTTGCTGTTTGGCGGCGTCTTTCTCTTTTTCCAGCTCTTTCTTTACTTGGACTAGCTGACGAGAAAGCTCAACCCGTGCGACCTCTTGCTTTCTTACAGTCCCTTGAAGATCAATTCTGTCTTGTTCGAACTTCTTTGATGTTGCCTGCAATCTTTCCCGTGCTTGTAGCTCCAGACGTTGGGCGTCTTGGATGGTACGTACAGATGATTCCTGGAGCTTATCATGGGCCTGACGCAGTTCTTGGTAGTCTTTTCTGTGTTGAGCCAGAGTCGATTCCAGTTTAGAGTTTCTCTGTTCAAGACGTAGTACTTCGTCAAACACTGAGGCACGGCTTTCTATAGATCCGACCCTCTGCTCTTTGATCCTCGAATATGGCTCTTTTGGTTGGGCTACAGGTCTCTCAGCGCTTGTGATGCCTTCTGGTACAGCCACGTCATCTACTGCAGGAGCAGGACCAGGGTCTGAAACTGGGCGGACTGGATTTTGTGGAGAATTGGAAGGAGCGCTAGCTTGCGTCGTTCGCTCAAGAGGCGGGACAGAAGTATGCGAAGTGCTTTGCGACTCTTGATGGGGAGGCGGTGCAGCAGGGCCTTGATCAGACACAGGGTGGGCTTGGCTTGGAGGAGGAGATGGAGCAGCCGTGTTTGAGGCAGCGGTATCTTCTGGAGGCACAGAGGAGCTGGGTGGCGGCCTGACTACAATGGACGGCCTACGTATCTGTGGTTCGAAGATTGCATTGGGAGAGCTCGAAGGAGATATAGTCCTTCCACGCAGGTACGGATTGGAACTCAAGTTGTTGGTGTAGTCATTCTTGTTAGAAGAGGCAATTTCCCGGCCCCTATACACCAGCGGCTTAGCGACATTGGACTTCTGATCAGTCGGCTTGGATCGAAAGGGAGCGACGGGTCTGGGTTTGGATGAGGCATAGCGCTTCTGGGACGCAGGCTGAGAAGAAGAATAGATCGAGGCACTAGGCCGGCTGATGTGACGGCGCACACTAGAAGCAGCTAATGCTATCGGCAAGGTAGTACTACGGGTACTGTCGAGGGTTGAAGGCGAAAGTGAGACAGAGATGGTGCCTTCAGTGGCATGGCGGGCGGCGGGGCGCGTAAGAGCATGTCGAGACGAAGTGTAGAGTGAGGACTGGTGAGAAGATGCTACGGCCCGACCTGCGGATTGCATTTCACCTCCATGTCCAGACAGCCAAGTGCTGAAATAGATGAATGGCCGTACAGGTCGTCGTGTCGACTAGGTAAGCGCACTCGCCGCTCATGCTTTTGTCATGACCGAAGCTCGAAATATCGGCCACGATCGTCCGAGCGCTTGTCGAAAGCGTCACTCCCGGCGCGCCAATGCATGTGAACATCCACTGACCTGCTTTCGCAAAACATCCTGCCTGCAGAACAACCACATCACCAGAAATGGCTTCTCAATTACTCCCACTAGAGCTCATCGACAAGTGTGTCGGCTCCCGCATTTGGGTCATCATGAAGGGCGACAAGGGTGCGTTGGATATTGCCTGACCGTCTTTGCATCACTTATTGACTATGCCCGCGCAGAGTTCAGTGGCACATTACTCGGCTTTGACGACTTTGTCAGTACGTATTATCTCTTGTGCCTCTGAATGCTGCAATACTGATGTTTCTGCGCCCAGACATGGTCCTTGAGGATGTTACTGAATAGTACGCCAATCCACCAACTCGCTCCCTGCATCTTATCAAAATCTGACTCCTCTCTAGCGACTACACCGGCTCTTCAACCAAAATGTCCAAGATTTTGCTGAATGGAAACAACATCTGCATGGTAAGCATGCCTTGAAGATGCTTGTGTCTGGACTTATACGCTAACAATCTCACCCAGCTCATTCCTGGTGGCATGCCTGAGTAATGAACCTTACGACAACGTATAGCATATGCGTGAACACTTAGCGCCATTGCAAAAGCTGAATAGCAAATCCTGCTGTCTGTCTCGACACCATTTGATGAAAAGACTTGATGAAGCAGAAAAGCTGGCCACGATATTCGATTAGAGCGAATCGCCCGGTCCACGTCTGAACTTCAAGGATTCGCTATTTACGACATGGCGTACAACAGGTATATCGCTGACTTACAACCAAGGCTGAAGCAGCCGTTTGCTTTTATCATACAAGAAGCAGCGCAGACTACCTAATATACATGACTTCCTTCCATTTACATGTCCGAGTTCCTGTTATTCATCTTTCCGCGACATTTATTGCTTCTTCTTCTCCTTGTGCTCCTTCTGCAGAGCCTTCTTCTCATCATGCTTCTTGTCCATCTCTTCAATCTCGTCGGCCTCCTTCTTGTTGGCGTACCATTGGCCCGCCTGCAAAATTAGAACACCAACGAGCAACAGAGCCAAGATGGTGTCGCTGGCAGCCAAGACCTTGAGCGAATCCTCTCTTCCCAGGTAATCACCAGACTCATCGACCTGTCCCTCGGCAAGAGCAGGGTTGCCGTAGATACCTCCAGTGACGACGCGCATGCCCTTGACAATGTTGGCAATGTAGACAGTAACACCACACATGTATAGCACAAGACTGGCACCATCGAAGAGGAGGTTGGCTTCAGACGGTCTGTAGAGCTTGGTAATGAAGCCCAAGAGACCGGTGCCGATGACAATGTGGAGGATGCGCGAGATCAAAGGTGGGGACGCGTGGATGAACTTGAGGTGGTCCTCCAGCATTTGGTAGTAGGGTTCACGCGGGTCCACACCGGGAACGAGTGCCGGGGGTGTAGTCCAGAGGATGTTGTAGTCATATGGGAATGATGCGAAGAGGACTCCCAAGAAGAAGCATGTCGCTGTAACGTAGTGTCAGTCGCGATTGTCTAGCTAAAGATAGCTCTGTGCAGAGAGTGAGATGATCTTACGTCCAACGATCAGAAAAGTCGCAAAAGGCGACATCGTTGCAGGCATCTTGACTAGCTGCGCTCGCGATGTTCGTGTATGAGATGGGTGTGCGATTGGCAGAAGGTGGGATCAAGCAGGTAAGAATATGGAGGAGCTACCTATCTATCGCATCTCTGAAATCATCTCCAACTCGGTCGCAATCAATCCGTGCCAAGCCGCCCCGCGATAGGCCAAAGCCTAGACCTTGAGTTTTCATGTGATTTGACTAATTGATTGCTCTCCTCATCCTTACAACACAAGTCACAAAGGATTTCAGACAAGACTCGATCGATTGCAAAACGTTACTCATGATTGTGCCTTTGATCTGTATGGCTACTTTCATTACTTCTAGTGCATCAGATCTTGATGTAGATCGTCTTCATTTGTGTCCAAAGATCCAGAGATGCCTTGCTGAGATCAACTCCATCACCCGAAGCCTTCCATCCTGAAAAAGGCATATCGGGAGCAGTCGTCATTGGTGAAGTCGTGTTGACACCGACCATACCGCTCTCAAATCTTTTGGCGATTCTCATTGCTCTCGAGATGTCCTTGGTGTACAAGCTCGCGAACAATCCGTACTCACTATCATTGGCTCTCTTCATAACTTCATCCTCATCTTCGAACGTGTTGAAGCAGAGTACGGGGCCGAAAATCTCTTCCTTTGAGACGCGACTGTCGTGATCTGGGTTGCGAATGATTGTGGGCTCGATGAAGTAGCCCTTCTCCGTTTGTCTCTTGCCGCCGAGGACGATTTCTCCACCACTCTCCTTGGCGAGCTCAATGTATTTCAAGACGTTCTCGAACTGTGCCTTGTCGACCTGAGGCTGGTGCATGGCCTCTGGTGAGGAAGGGTCAACGCCTTCTGGTGAGTTCGCAGACATCTTCTTGATAGCTTGAATGAGCTTCTCTTGGAACACGTCTGCTATCGACGAGTGGACGTAGAGTCTGGAAGATGCAATGCAGACCTGTCCGGTCAAGGCAATGATGCTGATAGCTGCCGCAGGAATGGCTGCTTCCAGATTGGCGTCATCAAAGATGATGAGTGGAGATTTGCCGCCGAGCTCGAGTGATACTCGCTTGAGGTTCGACTTGGCTGCAGCTTCCTTGATGAGACGACCAGTTCTAGCAGATCCGGTGAAGCCAATCTTGCGGATCTTCATGTGGGATGCCATTGCTGCACCTGCCGGGTTGCCGTAGCCACTCAAGACGTTGAAGACACCAGGTGGGAATCCAGCTTCCTTGACCAGTCTGGCTAGCACAAGTGCGGTGAGAGGTGACTTCTCAGATGACTTGAGCACAAGCGTGTTACCTCCGATCAATGCTGGACCCATCTTGAAGATAGCCGCCAAGATGGGGACATTCCAGGGTACGATCGCACCACAGACACCATATGGCTGACGGATGACCATGTTGACATGACCGGGCATAGCCAAAGATGTAGCACCATTCAGATCCGATGCAAGGCCAGCGAACATCCTCAACCCCTTTGCTCCAACAGCGTTCTCCCCTGGTGGATATTGTCAGCTTTGCTCTTTATATTGATCCGAATTCATTGACGGGACTTACTGTATCGAGAAGCAAGCTGTCCAGTCTCTTTGGACTCCAACTCTGCAAGCTCAGGACCAGCAGCCTCCAACAGATCTGCCAACTTGTAGTAGTATTCTGCACGAGCGATCGCGCCCATTTCTTCCCAAGCCGGCAATGCAGCTTCGGCTGCATCAACAGCTTTGTCGACATCTTCTGGCAGTGCCTCGTAGACACTTGCTACCTTCTCTTCGCTGTATGGATTGAAGACATCGAACGTCTTGCCGCTAATGGACTCGACAAATTCATTGTTGATGAAGAGGCGTGTTTCGATCTTGCCGGAGGTCTTCGCTCCCTCATGGACGGGCATTGCTGTTGGAGACATGATTGCAAAATATGTATGAATGTGCCTCTTTGAATTGATGACATTAGTCGTCCTTTTATATCCCTTTTGCACCATGCACTTGTGTCTCCTTGAGCTCCATCTGGTACGTCGGTGGCATTTTGTACATGCAGATCTTACTCAGCGGTATGCTCTTACCCCACTCGTGAGACACGGTTGCTTGGATCCTTCGCAGAACGTGCATGTTTCTGATATTGGACGCCGACAGATGGATAGGCCTATCAAGGGAGTCAGGGTCTTACTCCACGCAAACTAAGCTTTCTTGGGCATGTTTGCCGCAAGGTGGTTCAGGAGATCTGCATCTTGCTCGGCGACCACTTTTGCTGATCCTTTCTCAATCTGACAACGTCGCTTATGATTGTCAGATGCCTAAATCCTTTTGACGCACTGCCTCAGTTAACTGTGGAATGTTCCTACCCACTAGATCCTCGACCTTGTATCTGCTGCTTCTGATCGACATGAAGGATGAAGTGCTGACGAAGCGGCAAGTTTCAGTTCTGCCGTCTTATTGAACTAGGTACGTACATGTCAATGCACGCTTGCGGAAGAACACTCATCATGGTCACCGGTCAGGCTTGGAATCCAGGATTACTGTATGTGCATGTCTAGCGCAAAGCATACTGATCCAGTCATGAAAAGCGCAAGGGTATCATATTAACATAGGCTAATATCATTGATATACTGCCTAGGTGATGTACTTCCCATTTTGACCAAGCTGTTTTAACGAGATGCATGTTTTCCCAATGTACACCGTGCTAATGCTTCTCATCCAATCCATGTTCCAATATTCCATGACCCGACTCCTATGCGGCAGCAGGGAGACCGTTTGCTGTTCCAGGCCAGGGAACAGCACCACCAGGTGAGTCGGGCAGACGTGCAGTCAGGACCTCAACACCGGTCTCTGTCACGAGCAGAGTGTGTTCGAATTGAGCAGAGCGCTTGCCATCAACAGTGACACTGGTCCAGTTGTCAGGCCATGTTCGGTCCTTGTGGGTTCCGAGACAGATCATGGGCTCAATGGTAAAGCACATGCCGGGCTTGGCCATGCCAATGGCCTTGTTCTTGGCGTAGTGAGGGACGTTGGGTGCGCAGTGGAACAAAGTGTTAATCCCGTGACCGCAGTAAGTCTTGACTGTACTACAACCTCTGTCCTCGGCATGCTTTGCGATGACAGGGCCGTACTCTCTGAAGAGGGTGTTGGGCTTTGCGATCTTGATGGCCTCATCGAGACACTCGCGGGCAGTCTCGACAACACGAACGGAATCAGGGTCGGCGAGGGCCTTGTCGCCAACATAGTAGGTTTCGTTAATATCGCCGTGGAATCCTCCGTGGTACAGAGTAACGTCGATGTTGATGATGTCTCCATCCTTGAGGACACGCTGATCGGGGATACCGTGGCAGATGGACTCGTTGACTGAAGTGCAGACAGACTTTGGGAAGTGGCAGTAGTTCAGAGGCGAGGGGTATGACTGAGACGGGTTAGCTCAGCGCGATGGGACCAGGATGTGAAGTGTCTTACGTCTCTTTCAATACAGGCATTGTGGACGACCTCGTCAATGTAGTCGGTAGTGACACCGGGCTTAGCGGCACGAGCAGCGATATCGAGGACCTCACGTGCTAGTCTGCAGACCTTGCGCATGCCTTCTTGCTGGGCCTTGTCGAGGATGGTGATCTTGTTGCGACCAACGAAGACCTGCTCGGAGCGCGGGATACCATCTTTGGCGTAGTCGGGGCGTGGGATGTGTTCGGGGACCTTGCGCTTGGGCGACAGAGGGTAGACGGGTCTGAGGTCGCCGGTGAAAGGGAAGGTAGGGAAGGGGTTGTGTGTGCCGGTTGCTGGGTCAGGTTCAGAAATGACACTCGGAGCAAATATGGAACGGAGAGGGTTACTCGTTGACTTGTGCTTCTTCTTGTGCTCGCTCTGGTGACTGTTAGTGGCCATGCCGGCGGGCTGTGGGATGCTGTCGACTTACATACCCAGTTGCGCTTGAAGCAGTCGTTGCTGCAGAAGAAGCTGGCCATGCCCTGCTTTTGGCAGGTGGGACATTGCAGCGAGCCTGCCTCGTTATTGCAGTCGGCGCCTTCGCACACGCGCTTGTCTTCGCTCGCCATCTTCTTTGTTGCGATGTGGTCCAGATGAGTCCTTGAAGTGAGAACCTGGGTCTGAGTGTGTTTTTGTGTTGTCCTCGAGTCGCGTCGGGTCAAGAAGTAGCGAGTGAATGGTATGCAGATCTGATGAAATGCCCCTCCACTTTTTTGCTGTTTGACAAACACGAGATGAGCGCCCTGCGACTCCGCTGACCGGCGCCGCCTTCCGCCCCGGCTGCCGGGCCGTGCGTCTTCGTGCCCTTTCGATGATGCTATGCATTTCAAAGCATCGCCCGTGACATTGTTCTATATCTGCTGCTGATTGCCTGCCTTTTTTCCCCTGCTATCAAAGATAACAATGTCAAAGCAAAAGACTGTCATTGTCGGTGCCGGTCCTGTCGGTGCTCTTGCAGCTCTTTACGCTGCTGGCCGTGGCCATGAGGTAGAGGTTTATGAACTACGAGGAGGTATGTCTCGATCTCTATATTGTCTCTTTCTCTACGCTCCAAACTCCGGTCTCGACCACTGGTTCTGAACTTGGAGTAACCACATATCATGAGAATTTTCTGACATGCCGCTCAGATCTTAGAGACCCAGCCACTGTTCCACTTAATTTTACCAAGTCGATCAACTTGGCTCTATCAGAGCGAGGCATTAATGGACTGAAGAAGGCAAACGTTCCTGGTCTGATTGACTCAGTACTGGAGGAGACTATTCCCATGCATGGCCGCATGATTCACGGTGCAAAACAAGGAGAAATCTACGAAGAATCCCAGAACTACGATATCTATGGAAGAGTACATAAACCTGAATTTCTTTGGTCGGTTCGATTCACTAACTGTGTCTGCAGGCTATTCGTGCGGTGGACAGAGCGGGCCTCAACAAGCGCCTTCTCGATGAATTGGACAAGATGCCCAACGTCAAGCTGCTGTTCAATCACAAGCTGGTAGGTGCTGATTTCAAGAAGAACAAGGCTTGGTTCGAGAGGCGCGACGAAGGTGTGCGACAAGACCACGCTCAGAACCCAACTCAAGGCAAAGAGGCTTCTCACGCCTCTACCGAAATCGAGGTGCCGTTTGACTTCATGATCGGTGCCGATGGCGCTCACTCTGCTGTCCGTTACCACTTGATGAAGTTCACACGCATGTCATACCAGCAAGAGTATATTGATACGCTCTGGTGTGAGTTCCACATGGAGCCATCAGCAACAAACGACTTCCAGATCTCGCCTAACCATCTACACATCTGGCCAGGCGGTGAATTCATGTTCATCGCTATCCCATCTCTGGACAAATCTTTCACCTCGACACTTTTCTTGCCCGCCAGTATTTTCGCCGAGCTAGACAAGAACCCTTCGTCCTTGGTAGACTTCTTCAACAAGAACTTCCCTGGTGTGGCAGGCAAGCTCATCCCCGAGGCCGAATTGCAGAAGCAATACAAGGAGAACCCGCATCTACCACTCATCAGCATCAAGTGTTCACCATACCACTTTGGCTCTTCTGCCGTCATCTTGGGCGATTCAGCACATGCCATGGTTCCTTTCTACGGTCAAGGCATGAACGCAGGTCTCGAAGACGTGCGCGTACTCTTCGAACATCTAGACGAAAACGGTCAAGACGCCACTGGTCGCGCCAAAGCACTTGCCGACTACTCTAGCAATCGCGCGCCCGACGCAGCAGCCATCAACGACCTCGCTCTCCGCAACTACCAAGAGATGCGCGCAGATGTGGTCTCACCACTCTATCGATTGCGCAAGTGGATCGAGGAGAAGATGACTGTCTACTTCCCCTCCGCCGGTTTCGCAACGCAATACTCTCGTGTCAGTTTCGGTAACATGCGCTACTCGGAAGTGGAGAGGCTGGCCCAGAAGCAAGGCAACATCCTGCTGGGTGGTATGGCAGGATTTGTCGCGCTCATGATTCCAGCAATGGGTTATGCCAGCTGGGCCATCTGGAGATGGAACCGCGCATCACACGCTTCTAGACTTTCTGTCAAAGGCATTGCAGGTCTGGGCGGTATCACCGAGAGAATCGGAAGAATCTTCACCTAGAAGAGGGCTATGTTGATGAATGTATGATGTGATGCTAAAAGACGAAAAAGCAGATTTGTATGATTTTGTATACTTGTACCTAGACACGTATAATTCAACTCCTCTCACGAGATATGCACAAGACTATTCTCAAATCTATCCAACATAATCTATTTACTCAACGCCTTCTCCTTAATCAACCACGCACTAGCAGCAGCGCCAGCCACAAGCCCAATCTCCAGTCCAAACGCAGCACGCGTACTCTGTGCATAGCACGCTCTAACAAGCGCCTTGACACCAGGCTCCAGGGTATTGATATACGCCAAACTTTCTCTGACACGCTCTGCAATCTCAGCGGCTGCATCACCGTTGCTGAGTACAGCTGCGAGACGGTCACGCAGGGCTTGGTTGGCAAGAGTGGCAGACATGGAAACGCCGAATACAGAGCCTAAGCTGCGGAAGAGGTAGGAGCAGGCGGTGGCGACTGCTTGATCGTCGCGAGAGGCGTTCGCAATGAGACCAATCAAAGTTGAAGTGACACCGATACCATTGCTGAAGCCGCAGATACACATGCCGGCAATTATTCCAAGAGTACTGTTGGCAACCAATCCCGAGAAGAGGAAGACAAAGGTCATTCCAATAACCAAGCAAGTATATGCAATGACAGTCAGGTAGTAAAACTTGCCTGTACGCTGCATATAGAAGCCGCCAAAAAGACTGCCACTAACACCTGCAATGATACCTGGAATCAAGCGGACACCAGCTTCAGTTGCAGTAAGGCCATCGACAGCCTGGAAGTACAGCGGAATGTAGAACAAAGCTGCAAGCCAACCAGAGAAAGAGAAAAAGTTGCAAAGATAGCATGCAAACAACGAACGGTTGAAGATAATGTGACCGGGTGCAAAAGGTTCTTTCGCAACTTTCATCTCAACCAGGACGAAGAGGATGAAAAGTGGAATACTGAGACTGATGGAAATGATGGTGATCTTGGCCTTCCATGAGACGTTGCTACCTCTATCGAGGGCAAGTAGGAGGGTGAAAACAGCACCAATAAGGATAGCGGCACCCAGGAAGTCGATACGGCGGAGTTTCTGCTTCCAGTCGGTTTGCTCTCTCTTGGGCAGCTTCAAGACCAGACCCACAACAACAAAGGCGAGAATGCACAGCGGCACTTGACCAAGGAAGGCCCAACGCCAGCCGATCGAATCTGCAAGAATACCGCCCAATGGGGCTCCAGTTCCGGCTCCGGTCGCGTAGATGATATTGACATAGCCCTGCCACTTGCCGCGCTCACGAAGAGGTACAGCATCAGACATGAGAATAGAAACAACAGTCGTCATACCGCCGCCACCAATGCCAGCAAAAGCTCTTGCAGCAATAAGCTGGTTCATATCTTGAGCCATACCACAGAACAAACAGCCCAGACCAAAAACAGCATATGCAAACAACAAGCAACTCTTTCTGCCAAAGATATCCGACATCTTTCCATACAGCGGTTGGAAACTCGTCAAAGTCAAAAAGTAGGCAGTCGCAATCCAAGAAACGTTGTTGAGTGCCTTGAGCTCACTACCAATCTTGCCGTAGCTGGACACAATGATGGTTTGGTCGGCCGCAGATAGAAGAACTCCAATTGTCAAAGCTGGAAATATAACTTTCATCTTCTTCCTCATCTCCGGTTGGCCCTCATACTGTTTCTGTCTTTCTTCTAGGCTGGTCTGTCGTTCTAGGTCTCCGCCATCCTCCTCTTCTCCGATGACTCCATTGGCAATGGCACTATCGGGAGCAATACCGTCGCTGGGATCGATGGGTTTCGGTGCTTGTTTCCCTAGCAATGGCGATGTCTCGCTCGGTTGCTCTGTACGAGCTTCATCTTCGGTCGTCATGTTGAGTGTATGAATAGTTCAGGCTCGCGGGTTCGAGATATCGGCCTTAGTGGAGATAAAGCTGGAGATGGAGAAAACTGTATGACGATCGCTGTCGCGTGCGGGCTTTGCATCGACGTACAGCACGAGAATGTGAAGAATATAACAGTCCTTCTTGGGAATCTTAAATGAAAGACAAGATAAAAGGAAGATACACCTGAACAGAAAGATTATCCAAGGGCTTGCTCACCGTACTTGTGTGTTGCGCCAATGGATCCCTCGGCCGCAAAGTGGACCCTTCGGCTATCGCTTCCGCCTATCAACTTCCTTTTTGGTATCTTTTCGGCCATGCTCGCCTGCCCGACCATAAGCTTAACACTCAACGACTAGGACTTGGTACAGCAACGTCTTACAGGGAGTTGAACAATATATCATGTAGGTATATACATTGTCGTCGTGTATAAGATTACAGTTGACCAAGCCGGCGCTGCTACACCTTGGCTGCTCAGCTTGCAAGAGGAATATCGTCAAGCTCCTTGCGCATGAAAAGGCGTGCCTGCTCCAAGCCTTCTTTAACGACTTCCGTCCTATTCACATATCCAATCCTAACATAGCCCTTGAACTCCTCGCCAAAACAGTCTCCAGGGAGGAACATGACACCAGTCTTCTCCTGCAACTGCTTGCAGAATTCTCTCGCGTCGATTGGCTGTCCGTCTCGACTGAACTTGATGAATGCAGTTGTGCCTGCCACTGGCTTGACCCAAGAACAGTATTCGTCATGCTTGATGACGAATCTTTCCAGCAATTCTAGATTGGTGCGTGCAAGAGCAATGTTTCTGCCTAGCAAGCTGTGTATACAGTTTTGATCGAGAGCAAATGCGGCGATCTGTTGATCCAAGACTCCGACACTGATGGTGGTGTAATCGCGAGCTTCGGCACACTTTTCAATGATATCTCGGTTTCGCGAGGCAATCCAGCCAGTCCTAATTCCAGCCAGAGAGTAGGCCTTTGAAAGCGAACCTGTAACGATAGTGTTCTCATAGCCCATCGATAAGATAGAAGGAGGGAACTCGTTCTCGGCAGGAGTGATGCCGTGGAAAAGAGGTCGGTATACCTCGTCTGAGAGGATGGTGATATTCTTCTCCATGGCCAAGTCAATAACATTCTGCAGCAGCGACTTTTTGAGCACGGCACCACTAGGGTTGTTCGGATTGCTAGAGAGGTTAGTAAGAAAGAAGAATACTATGGTCGGTCATTTCACTCACTTCAAGATGATCAACTTGGTGTTAGACTTGATCATAGCCTTTAGCTCCTCAAAGTCAGGTTCCCATTGCTTCTCTGGCGTAGCCTTCCAGAGCTCCACCTCGGCGCCCAAAGATGCAGGATAATCATACAACTGCTGATACGTAGGATAGTGGCAGATGACATGGTCACCAGGGCCGACCAGAGTATAAAGTACAAGAGCATTCGAGGCAATAGCACCAGGTTGGATCAAGATGTTCTCTTGAGGCAATGGGTTGCTTGTTCTAGAAGAATAGAGCCTGGCAAGGTTCGAACGCAACTTCTCGTTGCCTCGAATCTCTCCATAGTTGAGGATTGCGGACAGATCCACTATCTCGGCGCTTTTGTTCTCTGATAGCTCACGTAGTTCGTTGACTGACACAGAAGCAGCACATGTCTCGGCGATGTTGTACTTTGCAGTCGTTTCATATGCATCCATCCACTAATTGTGTTAGCTAAAGACATCCTTTGTACAGGTGAGTATGACCATCTCTCTGATGTACTCGATATACAGGGATCTGACACATACTGACCTGCTCAACTGCAAAAGGCTTGACATGGACCATGATGGGCAACCGGAAGTGAATTAGAGGATGAAGTTTGTAGGATCAACGATATGCTACAACAAAATGATGCCAATCAATGCACAAGAGATGCAAAAGATCCTTCAGAACTCTGACTTTGTTACAAAAGAAGTAGTCATCAATCCTAGGGCGTACTGAAATGCTTAAGGACAACATGTTAATGGCCGAGAGCGGGGACACTTCCTCCGAAACATCGGCAACTTTAGCCGAGCAAGACCGCCAAATCTTCGACATGTCGACATCTCGACGGCCATGCGAGTATCGTAAAGCGACTCGTCGCAGAGAACAACAACATTCGTACAGCAACATCCCTCAGTCATGTTCGCACAAACAACTCGCTCGCTGCTCCGCGCAGCCCCAGTCGTCCGCAGTCCTCTCTCCGTGTGCGCGCGCACCGCTTTCAGCACCTCCTCATCCAACTCGCTCATCTCGAGAATGTCGCAAATGTCGCTCGCCAGACCCGTCGCATCGCCTACAAAGAGCTTGGTTGCTTTCCAACAAACAAGAGGAATGAAGGTCCGAAGTTCCGTCAAGAAGCTATGCGATGGTTGCAAGGTACGGAACAGTCGCAGCAGATCATGCTGAGAGACAAAGATGCGAGACTAGTAGAAAGAGAATGATATACTGATACGGGCATTGCAGAGTGTACGCAGAAAGGGCGGAAAATACGTCTACATCATCTGCAGCAAGAACCCCAAGCACAAGCAGAGGTACGGCCCTTTGCACGATTCATACCGGCAACATCAGACTGACAGTCTTGCAGACAAGGTTGATAGGAGTCGAGGAAGAAGACTACACTGTACAATAACTGGCATACCCTTTTCTGCATACCTGGTGGTGGCGTTACAAATGGATTCTTTAGGGCTTTTACAACTTTACCTCCATCCATGAGCCATGCAATATCGTCACGTTGTGAAGAAATCTCAGGTGACTTGTTTCGGTCGCTGCGATACATACCAGCGATCAAAGTCTCTGACTCTGGTCACGTCTTATCTCTGTGACCGTAGCATTTATGATTCTCATTCGGCTGCCAGTTCATTCAGCCTTCAGATGCTCAAAACATAGAATACTGCATTGTTTAGCACGTTCGAAATTCGGCAGTGTTCATGATTGTACATCTTGGGTATCTCTTAGAAATTTCAATCCTCAGCAGACCGTCAATGCACTGATGGCGCCGTTATGCATCACCTCGAACATCAGGCCAGGGAACTTGTAGAGTTTCGTGTTTCGTAGCCATTGCTCGTCTCCGTTCTCGTCCTTCTTCTCACGCTCCCAGCCATCTTGACCATTGACGAACTCCATGTCATCTTCCAAGTCGAATTCGCCGTTGATGAGGATAGCAGATCCAGTCATACTGTCTGTGTCGCCGCCCCAACTGCGTACAATGACCATGCCCTCCGACATGTCTGAAGCAGGCCAAATATGAGAGAAGCTTTTCACTAGTGTCTGGTGGAAAGACGGGAACAGTGATTCGGACGTAATGAGTGTCTCACAAGAGGGTATATAATTGAGAGACCACCTGCTCCTACGATGACGATTGAAGGGATAGGAGCCTGGGATATTGCCGTGGAAGATTATTTGCGTGACTGTGAGGTGTCCATCAATCGCTGTCAAATTCGATTGAGGAGCCCCACTGGCCTCGTCTGCACCTTTGGGTAGGAAAGATATATCAGTTGGTGGGCCTAGTAAAATGTCGAACCCGTGCTCGAAGTAACAGTAGTATTGTTGCTCGCTAGCTTCGCTAGCTTCGGCACCATTTGTCTCTTCGTCTTCATCAAAATCGGTCTCATACGTGTCGGTATTGGTGGATGAGTAGCTAGAAGGATACGAGCCGTACGAATTGTTGGGCCTGCACGAAACGGCCGCTCTTGGTTTAGGATATGTTTGCTGTTCTTTCTCGTCGCTCAGGGAGGATCGTGGCATTACAGCATCTGGTGGACCCAGTTCTGTGATCAGATCTTGTGGCGTGGTCTGGCTCAAGATAATGGGGGTCTTTGATCCGGAACGTCGCAACAGCTCGACTCTTCCTGCCCCGTATACATTCACGTGTTCGACCTCGTCAGCAGGGCCTTCTTTTGGGCGTCCTAGCAGCGAGGAGCTCCGAGGATTAGTCGGAATGCGGGTAAAGAGATCCTTCCGGACTTCAGGCCAGAACCGGCCCTCGTAGATTGCCATGGCTGTTGCTGGCGATGCTGAGGCGGTAAGCATAGCTGCGTAGTCCTTGTCCGGGCTGTAGGACGAGACGGGAACAGGGAAGGTAATAGATAAGCCTGGCCATGAGAGGACATAGAGGCCCATATTGGAAGCGTCTTGCAGACGAATGTATTCGCCAGGATATGTAGGACCAAACAGCTGGTAGACCTTCTTATAGGTCAGATAGCTTTGGCCATTTGCTAGAGACTGTAGGGGAACAAGCTCTCCACCCTTGAAGGTGAAGAGCATACGAGTGAAGTCGGTGATCTCGATTAGACGTAGACGTTGGTCTGGGGCATCGAAGCGAAGTCTGAAGCCGTTCTTAGGAAGGCTGACGATGATAGTCGTCTTGAGAGGGGTATCGGAGGAAAAGGTGAGATCGATCTTGGGAAAGGTGCGCGTGTCGTTCTTGAGCTTGGTCAAAACATCAAACAAGGAAGCACCCAAGACTGCGCAACAAGGTCAGCTTGGAGATGGGGTATAGCGTGCAGGCAGCGGTGAAAGATACCCATGAAGCCCAGTGAGTGGGCGGCTCGGAAAGGAAGCGATGCAGGCTCTGCCATGGCTGGTATATGTAGCTGATACGATTTGTAGGGTAGGATAATGGGTCAGAGGTAGAGAGGATTGTCGGGCAGGTGTGGTATGTTGACGTCTTGTCGGCGCGTCATGTGCCAGTAGTCTTGGTCATTCGGGTGCAGCAGCGTTCCGTGGGCAGAAGTGCAGCGTCCAAGACCTTTCACGAGATGGTTCCCATGCGGCAGGCGCACGATGTCGAATAAGTCGGACAAGCTCCAAGCTAATCAGGATGATGCTCGTACAGGGCAGGAACAACAACCCTGATGGAGACGAGGGGCTCGCCGGGAGCATGTGATTGACACTGGCCGGAGTTTGCGGCGTTTGGACGACCCACACCTCACGCTAAGCATTCCACTGTTTATGGTTTTTGTTTGTAAACACTGGCACCGCGAACCCGTCACACCACTAACGACTCTGTCGATATATCTTAACCCTCTGCCATGTCGGCGCCCACCAGACCAGGGCTGGCCGTCAAGCGACCAACAATGCGTCCACCGACCTCTATGCGTCCGCCGCCCTCGCGCGCCCAAACCGCTACACCCAGTCTCAGCGGAAGACCCTCAGAAATGCCGACATCACCAGCACAATCTGTCCAGGGCGGAAAGAGAAAAGAACGCGATTTCGATCAGGACCAGGATCACGAAACAAACATCAATGTAGTTGTGCGCTGCAGAGGTCGCAATGACCGCGAGCTGCGCGAGAACAGCGGCGTCGTTGTCAAGACTGATGGTGTCAAGGGCAAGAACGTCGAACTCTCCATGGGTCCGAGTGCTCTCAGCAACAAGACATATCAGTTCGACAAGGTCTTTTCACCTGCTGCAGATCAGGCCATGCTTTTTGACGACGTTGTCGAACCTATCCTAGACGAGGTGAGAGAGTCCGTCCACATTTCATCATCTTTGCAAATTTCTGACTTCTCAGGTTCTCGGCGGTTTCAACTGTACCATTTTCGCATACGGCCAAACAGGCACTGGAAAGACATACACCATGTCCGGCGACATCACCGATATGCAACCTCTACCCGACGCCGCTGGTATCATCCCAAGAGTCCTGTATTCATTATTCAACAAGCTGGGCGAGGACACCGAAAGCTCCGTCAAATGTTCATTTATCGAGCTCTACAACGAGGAGTTACGCGACCTTCTGTCTTCCGAGGACAATGCAAAATTGAAGATTTACGACGATAATAGCAAGAAGGGTCAAACAACCACTTTGGTACAAGGCATGGAGGAGTCACATATCAAGTCAGCATCAAAAGGCCTCGAGCTACTTAGGAACGGCAGTCACAAGAGACAGGTTGCCGCCACAAAGTGCAACGATCTCAGTTCTCGCAGTCACACTGTTTTCACAATCACCGTCTATATGAAACGCGCCACCGAAACCGGAGAGGACTTTGTCAGCGCTGGAAAATTGAACTTGGTTGATCTGGCGGGTAGTGAGAATATTCAACGCAGTGGCGCTGAGAACAAGCGTGCTGCAGAAGCTGGTCTCATCAACAAGAGTTTGCTCACTCTAGGTCGCGTTATCAACGCACTGGTTGAGAAAAGCTCTCATATCCCATACAGAGAGTCCAAACTCACTCGTCTTCTGCAAGACTCTCTTGGAGGACGTACCAAAACTTGCATCATTGCCACACTTTCCCCTGCAAAGAGCAATTTGGAAGAAACGATATCTACTCTGGACTATGCTTTCCGCGCAAAGAACATCCGCAACAAACCCCAAATCAACCAGATGGTCACCAAGAAAACTCTGCTGAAAGAGTTCACCATGGAGATTGAGAAGTTGAAGAGCGAACTTATCGCGACCCGTCAGCGCAACGGTGTCTATCTCACTCAGGAAGCCTTCGAAGAAATCACCGTTGAGAGCGAGTCAAGACGTATCCTTTGTGATGAACAGAAAGACAAGATTGAGACGATGGAGACCAACTTGCGCAACAAGGTTCAGGAACTGTTCAGTCTGACCACTAACTTCAATGGACTGAAAAAAGAAAATGAGCAAGCAAAATTGATGCTTGACGGAACCAAGAGCCTGCTCGAGAAGACCGAAGTCGTGCTTACTCACACGAAGCGTAGTCTGACTGAGGAAACATTCATCAGGAAGGCTCACCAGAAGACTGAATCAAAACTCGCTGGTATTGGAGAAGATCTGCTTGCAACTCTGTCTTCCACTACGGCAGACATCTCCGGCCTTCACTCAAAGATTCAAAGAAAGGCGGACTTGCAGTCGCTCAATCGTGAGAACTGGACTTCATCAAAAAGCAGAGTCACAAATTCAACCAGCACGGTCGAGGAAAGAGTTGAGGCTCTCAGACAACGCCAGGAACAGCTTCTCACATCGATGTCCACGAGAATGCAGGGTTTCGTGGCGGACGAGCTGCAAGAGCTTCAACAGTCTCAGAGGTTCCTGCAAGAGAAGGCCGAAGCATTCCAGAGATCTGAGAAGGAAGTCAACATTCAGACCGCCAAAGCCAGAGACGACGTCAATGAAGTACTTGAGGAGATTAAGACCCTCCGTGAGGACGTGAAGCAGAATGTCGGAAATGGTTTGAACGACCTGTCCGCTGCTGCTCAACGTATCACTGCTGGCATCTCCACTGAGCTTGAGAACTTCCACACTCAGCTTCACGCATCATATGTTTCGCTAGGCCGAGAGTTCAAATCAATCTTCGATGATGTCGTCAAGCAATTGAGCGAGCAACAAGCTGAGTCTGAACGCTTGCGACAACAGATCCTGACCGCCAACTCAACATTTATGGAAGCTGGGAAAGAGTCTCGCCAAACGTTCGAAGAAGCTATGGAAGAGGAGCGTCGTCGTGCTGCTGCCGATCGTGAGAAGATGCTGTCACAAATCAGCTCTCTGATCCAATCTTCCGCTGAAGCTCAGGAGCGCAGGATCACCGAACATATTGCGCACGCATCTAAGCGCATTAAGACTTCGGAGGATGACTACAGTGTCGCGCGTGAAACCTACAACGAGAATTCTGATGCCTTAGCTGCAAAGTCGAAGTCTCTGGTCGATTCATGTGTACGCTCGCGCGAAAACGTCAAGGCACAGATCAAGGGAGACTGGAACGCAGCCAACGACCAGACCGAGAAAATTAAAGCTACTGCGGAAGCCGTCCATGGCGAGACAGTGCGTATTGTCGACACACAGATGTCGAACATGGACACCCAACTTATCTCCCTCGACGAGATTGTGTCTCGTATTCGTGCCCAGAACGACACTCATCACACCGCCCACACGGCATCCCTCGCTCAACTCTCGAGCGATGTACAGCTATCATATTCGAACATCGGAACACACATGGAGACATCTTACACGCGCACACAAGGACTCGATACCGATATGCAGAGTCGCACTGCAGATCTTGCATCTACCCTACCAGAGCTCAGCTCATCTGGTGAAATTGTTCAGACCTTACATACTCTGCGTGACGAGATGAATACTTCTGAGCTCACCGAATACGTTCCCACTGGTCAGACTCCGGCGAAGGTCGCCTACAGCTACCCTACTACCTTACCACGAACCGCCAACCACGAATCTTTGCTTGAGCGACTACGCAATGGTATCTCTTCCATCGAAGAGAGCCCGGTCAAAGAGTCACAAATTCGTAGCAGTCCCAAGAAGCGTGATGGTCAATCGCCTTCGAAGGGCATCATTTACACAGACAGCCCTGCAGATGACAATATCGATGCCTCGTCTGATGCGACAGTCAACAGCGATGCCGCCCGCAACCGCCCTCAAAGCTTGCCTGGACAGGGTGGACTACGAGAGATCGATGTCAACGTCAACGCAGCTTCGCTGCCCCTCTCTACCGAGCATCCTGAATCCAGAATTGGTGTGCTCAAGAGAGGCAACACCATGCCTCAACTGGATGCCAGTGCTAAAGTCGACAGCAAGTTGCCTATGAAGCGACCAACTCGTATGACGGCTGGCTTGGTTGCTGAAGGTAGAGAGAACCTTGGTGCCGCTGGTGGAGCAGGAACCAGACGATTGAGACCTCGTGGTAGTGACTGAGGCCCTGGTTGATTTCTTGTTCTTTATGTTGATGCACTCTTTCCACTGTACACATTTTTCGTATCGTCGTCTTTCTTGTTGGTCTTTGAGCTAGGATTGGAAAGGTTGGCGTTTACACATTAGTGGAGCATTCTGCGGTGTCTGGATCGATTTGTTCTTGCCTGTTGGTGGCATTGTCAATAAGAATCTCATTTGTTACGAGCAAAGAATTTCAAGCAATTGATTTCGTGAACAGTGATTGCCAACTTTGAATGAGACTTCAAGTTGTTGAAGTGTCTTGGGTTGTCACGAGGTGCGCTTTGGCAACATCACTCCCGAGCAAAGAACGATGCTGGACACGCCAGTGCACCAGATTTCGGCTTGATCAGACAAGACATGCAACTCATTGAGCTCTCACAGCGCGGCTAAAAGCATCGGCAGAAACCCAGAGCAGTCAGCATAGTCGGTTGAAAGTAATGTGTTCCAAGAACATCCCAAGTTTCTTGTGGTCTTGGATTGTGGTTGGCGAAAGGTTTGATACTGCACTATACTCATCCATTGAGCCTCTCTTGAGATGTTGAGTAGCAGACTCGCAATCGATTTGTACCTAGACAATCACCAATTCTCGAAATATAAGATTGCTTGATAGCTGCTTTCTAGACTGAACTGTGGTTGTAGTCTACAGATTGTGTGACAAAGTTTAGTGTATACCGAGCCTGGGCAATTTCTTGGATGCACTTGCGGTTGATCTCGTCCCCCGCGCATTCCCCCTTGGGGGTTACCTATTCTCCCTGCAAGACTTACTGTTGATCTAGTGCTTCATGTCGCCTCATGAGATCAGTCGTCGTTGCAATGGCTGTAGAAACATTTCGTGTTCAGCCCAGTGGCTTGGCTTCTATGCCATAAGCCCCAATGGATGATCTCTGATGTTGCAGCATGACTGCAGGATAAATAGATATAATGAGGACGGTTGACCATGTTCTGTCCTTGAACCTCTTTGCATCTTCTCCTAAGACACGGTTTCACTCCTTTCTCCAACCATGAAGCTCCCTAAAATCCACAATCCCCTCTTCATCGCCGTGGTCGCTACACTCGGTGGTATGCTCTTTGGCTTCGACATCTCATCCATGTCTGCCATCATTCTCACCGACCAATACAGAGATTTCTTTGACAATCCTAGCGGAGTCAGACAAGGAGCTATTGGATCCTCGCTTGCTGCTGGCTCCGTGTTTGGCTCAGCCATCGCTGGACCTTTTTCGGATTGGATTGGACGCCGAAATTCAATCTTTTATTCGTGCTTCTTCTGGATCGTCGGGACGGTGCTGCAGACTGCTACTAATGGGTTTGGTATGCTGGTCGCTGGTAGGGTGCTCAATGGTGAGTGGCACATTTTTGGAGACCGACCTACTGTCGTTTCTTCCAAGAGCATCGCTAAATGAACCCCGTCATCAAGGCATAACTGTCGGAATCACTAGCAGTCAGGTGCCTGTGTATCTCGCCGAGATTGCTCGCAAAGAAAAGCGTGGCTCGCTCATCATCATACAGCAATTGGCCATTGAGGTTGGAATCTTGATAATGTACTTCTTAGGTAAGATGGGCGTACCTACCGACTCTTTCAGCGACCGAAACACTGACCTCGGCAGGCTATGGCTGTACGTTCATTCCAGGCCCAGCTTCTTTCCGTACAGCTTGGAGTATGCAGTTCGTGCCTTGCTTCTTTCTCATGCTCGGTCTACCTTTCCTTCCTGAGTCACCGAGATGGCTCGCAAAGGTAGATCGATCGGAGGAAGCTATTCAGACACTGGCAGATATCCAGGCTGAGGGCAACGTGGACGACCCCACCGTCGTTGCCGAGTGGGAAGACATCACAACAACGCTGGCTGCCGAACGCTCTGCTCTTCCTGGTTGGCGCAAATTCGTCTACAACGGTATGTGGAAGAGAACAGTGGCCGGCTTCTGCGTTCAGATGTGGCAGCAGAATAGTGGTGCAAACGTGATGACTTATGTGAGTATTTATTCGTCGTGCCCAGGGTCTTGCTTCGGCTAACTCGTTCAGTACGTTGTGTACATCTTTGGAATGGCTGGTCTGTCAAACAACGTCAATCTGATCTCCAGCGGTGTTCAATATGCGATCTTCATTATCGGTACCGCCATCATGTTCTTCTACGTCGACAAGGTTGGCAGAAGACCACTGTTGATTTATGGCGCCATTGCTATGGGTGTATGCCATTTTGTTGTCGGCGGTGTACTCAGCACTGGCACCTATGTTCCAGATGGCGTAGATGGCAATCCAAACATCAAGATCCTGGTTGGAGGTTCAGCAGGAAATACGGTCATTGCCTTCTGCTATCTGCTCATTCTTATCTACAGTATGAGTTTAGCGCCAGTGTGTTGGATATACGCGGCAGAGGTGTGGTCATTGGAGACAAGAGCAACTGGCATGGGAATTGCGGCCATCGGCAACTGGGTAAGTGTGTGCTTAATGGTCAGTGAAAAGCCTTACTTACTGAGCCATAGCTTTTCAACTTCGCGTTGGGCATGTACATCCCTCCTGGTTTCCAGAACATCACCTGGAGAATGTTCATCATCTTTGGTGTCATGTGCTTCCTAGGAGCAGCACAGTTCTTCCTCACGTTTCCAGAGACAAATGGCAAGACGCTGGAAGAGGTTGAGCTTCTCTTCTCGGGCGAGATTAAACCGTGGAAAACGAAGTCTGGTCATTCAAAGTTGGACGAGATGATCAACGAAGCCAGAGACAATCACTTGACAATCTCTGCAAAGCACAAGCTTGGGCATGATGAGCATGTCGAGGTTGTTGGGGATGAGAAGGTCTGAAAGGTGATGTGGTATTTCTAATCGATAAGGTATCGGGCACTGCAGCTAGTGGATATTCCTTGGATGATTGGCGAGAAATGGTTGTACTTTTACATCGACCGTTGATTGTTCCTGGATTTGCAGGGTCCAAGCAAGGCAGGTGGACTGATTTCGAGGGGCATTGTTTAGTCTTCAGAAGATCGAGACGGAATCAACAATAGCCATGAGAAGAAGTTGTCCTTGTGTATCTTCCTTGAATAGAATGAATGATTGGTACCAAGAAAGTAATTATTAGCCGTGTTTCATGGTGAGGTTTGGTCGCGGAAGATTTGAGTTGAGATTGAAACGGGGAAGTTGCGGAGATTTGGGCAAGTCGCGCGGACGGCATGTGCATTCTGCAGGCATCCTGCAGCTGCCTTTCTTTTGCAACGCCTCAATCGTTCGACAAAATCGTGCGATTTTCGAGAGTTCCCTTGTAGCGCCAATCTGAGACTCGTTGCCAGACAACAATCGGCGCAACCGCAGCGACCTCGATTTACACCTTCTCTGCCCCTCCCCTGAACTAGACAAGGCCGCAAGTCCACTTCGATCCAACATGCCCAGCATTGGCAGCATTGTCTACTACGGCACCCACCTCGGGGAGCTGAGAAACATCATCCAATGGAAGCTATGGCACGACCCTGTCCATCAACGCGACGAGGCCAAGGAGAGCCCTGAGCTGAAGGAGTGCTTCAAGTACCTCAAGATGACCAGCCGCAGTTTCGCTGCTGTTATTCAGGAACTCCACCCCGAACTTCTTGTCCCCGTCTGTCTCTTCTACCTGATCCTGCGCGGCCTCGACACCATTGAGGATGACATGACCATTCCCTTCGACACCAAGGAGCCTCTGCTCCGCGACTTCCACAACATCCTCGAGCAAGACGGCTGGAACTTCACTGGCAACGGCCCCAACGAGAAAGATCGCGAGCTCTGCGTCCACTTCGACGTCGTTATCGCTGAGTACAAGAAGATCAAGTCTGAGTACAAGGTCATCATCAAAGACATCACCGATCGCATGGGCAACGGCATGGCCGATTATGCAAAGATGGCCGACGAAGGCGGTGCTCAAAAGGTCGAGACAATCAAGGACTACTACAAGTACTGCCACTACGTCGCCGGTCTGGTCGGCGAGGGTCTGACACGCCTGTTCGTCGAGGCCAAGTTGGCCAACCCGGCCCTTCTGGAGCGCGAGGACCTTCACGAATCAATGGGTCAATTCCTGCAGCAAACAAACATCATCCGTGACATTCGCGAGGACCACGAGGATAAGCGCTACTTCTGGCCCCGCGAGGTGTGGTCCAAGCACGTAGACCGCTTCGAGGACCTCTTCCTGCCCGAGAACAAGGACAAGGCACTGGCTTGTAGTTCTGAGATGGTTTTGCTGGCTCTGCGACGTGCTGATGACTGCCTCTTCTACCTCGCTGGACTCAAAGAGCAAAGTGTCTTCAACTTCTGCGCGATCCCACAGACCATGGCTATTGCGACGCTCGAGCTATGTTTCCAGAACCCCGATATTTTCGAGAAGAACGTCAAGATCACAAAGGGCTCTGCTTGCAGACTCATGGTCGACAGCACACAAAATCTGCAGGTTGCATACGGCGTGTTCAAACGCTTCGCTCGCACTATTCACAAGCGCAACAACCCACAAGATCCCAACTTCCTCGAGATCAGTCTTGCATGTGGAAAGGTATGTTTGTATTTCCCTTGAACCTTTTCACGAGTCGTGCATTGCCATGTTTTTTGACCAACATGATGGTTATAAGCACGGGCCAGTATGAGTACACAGCGCTGACGCAACAAACTCTGCAGATTGAGCAATTCATTGAATCCATCTTCCCTACACAGACTGCTGCCACCTATCGCCAGGGCGCTCCTGCCCCTGCTCCCGTGGACGCGAAAGGTAACTCCCTTACTCCTGAGGAGCAGGAGGCACAAAAGAAGCAGCAGGCTCAGGATAAGGAAGAGTTCTTCTATATCATGCTGGCCGTTGGAGGCACGCTGTTTGTCATTACTGCCATCATGGTATGCATACCACTCTCACCGCTAATCCTCCGTCGTGTGCTAACAACATGCAGTTCTTCACCGCTTGGATGATGGGCGCACGCTTTGACATTGCCTGGCAACAGCTTCGCAGCGGCAACATCTGGGCACCCAAGACCACAGATGAGGCCATACTTGCTCGTGATGCTTACGATGCTGCCAAGTCAACTGTTTCAGCAACTGTCAAGGCCGTCACATCAAGCGTCGTCTCGCATGGCGAGCTGTAATGACCCGCAGCCTATAGTCTGCTTTTGCTTTGCGATTTTCACGTACGACAGCCAACACAAACGAGCCAAGAACTAACCATGCAAACGATCAAAACCCCGTAATTACTTTTTGGACCACCGAGTGTACATTTGGGTCCGCTCACTTAAAGGTCTGGTTCTGTAGACATACTGACTACCCTTTTCTCATTTCGAGCCAGCTTTCTTCTTTACTTATGGATACCTCAAAATAGTTTCTTCTTCTTTCTCTCTTCGCCATTCTCCATCCTTCTCCTCCTCTTATCTTCCTTCTCAACTTAGCACTCATGTCAAATTGCAGCCTATGCCTTTTCAGTGGCGACAGACTGTGCCGAAGATGTGCTGATATTGATGCCTGCGCTGGCGAGTCCGAAAGGAGACTGTTCATATCACCTCAGTGTTTCTACTTCACTGTGGTCGGCTTTGGGCAGGAGTGCATACATATAGTCTTTGTAAAACAATCAAGCTGTATTCTGATACTCCCGTTGCATGAAGCTTTTGCGCTGATGTATGTGTGTGGTGATCGTATTTTGAACTCGTCCTTGCATGCATCATACTTGTTTGTAAGCAACCGCGACCCTCAGATCGTTTACAATGCTGACTTCTTCTGACGTTTCTTTCAATTTGTCAATGATCTTGGATGAGATTGACTAGTCCTGGCGTTGTCACTCGTGGCGTCGATAGACACTTTACATGGTCAGAGGCATGGAGCTATAATATTCTTCACTCAGTTCTTGCATCTACTTCAGACAGCTCAACATGACTTCACCCACCACTCGAGGTAGTCTCAATAAACTCTCTCCAAGGGTAAGAGCTATATAGCCCGTCAGACAGACCAAGGTGTACCTAGAAGCGTAGATGTCCCATGGTACCGAGATACCAGGGTTACACCACCAGCAACCCCGAGTAATGTTTTCTATGTTTAGTCGCGCAAACCAAGGAACAATACTTACTTGTCGTCTCTGTGACTCTTGAAGAGATCTTCCTAGCTTCATTCACTTCCGTTAGCTGAGTTGCAGACATTCATCGCCGGGTCATTGCTGCTTCACCGACGGGAGTGTATGTATAGTGAGGTCACGCGGCATAAGTCGGAAAGCGCTAAACGCGTCCCCCATTATTTACATCTAAACACAAGCTCGACATTTATTTCTTGGAACACCAAGAGCCATCTCAACCGGTACATCAGCACAACACCGCCTCAATGCCTCCCAAGAGAGTAGGCGGAAAGCCGGCACGCGCGCCATCGCCCGCGCCCGAGGTGCCCTCGACGATTACCACCCCTCGGGGTAAGACCTTTGACACGACTGCCGCAGCCGCGAGACCTAAGCGCGCCATCACGACCACCATGCCCCCGCCCGATCCAGCTAGTTCCAAGAAACCTAAGACCGCCAGCGCCGCATCAACCTCCGAGGTCACTCCCAAGAGACGTGGTCGTCTACCAAAGGCCTCGGCCAGTACTCCTAAGACCGCATCTGCCACTAGATCTAAAGCTCCTTCTGCGGCCACACCTAAGAGCTTTAGGGTTGGCGAACGTCAAAGTGCTAGACTGGCTTCGACTCCTGCCAGTGAGACAGAGTTGCCTCTATCGCGTCGTGTCACCAAATCGGCCGCTCCGGCTAAGCGTGGCAGACCATCAAAAAAGACCAAGCAACCTGCTCCTGACACCGAGTCTGCTCCTAATGCAGACGGCGACGCTGATGATGACTATGACGACCCAACCCATGACGCCAATATCACCGAGGCCACAACCATCATTCAAGCTGATCGCAGCTACTGGCTCATGAAAGCCGAGCCAGAGTCCCGCATTGAGAAGAACGCCAACGGTGACGATGTCGATGTCAAGTTTTCCATTGACGATCTTCGTTCCCGCACAGAGCCTGAACCATGGGAGGGCATTCGTAACGCGCAGGCCCAGAACAACATGAAGGCCATGAAGGTCGGAGATCTCGCTTTCTTCTACGAGTCGAATTGCAAGAAGCCCGGCATTGTTGGCATTATGGAGATTGTCAACGAAGCCAGTCCTGACCCTAACGCTTTTGACAAGAGCAGTGCCTACTATGATCCAAAATCTGATCCTGCAAAGCCGAAGTGGATGCTCGTCCATGTCGAGTTCCGTCGCAAGTTTAGCGAGAAATTCACTCTCAAAGACCTCCAGAAGTTCTCTCAGCCTGGAGGTGCTCTTGCTGGCATGGAGCTTTTTAAACAGTCACGCCTCTCAGTCACCAAAGTCACCAAGCCTCAATGGGACTTCATCATGAGCCAAGTTGACGAGGACGAGGATGACGACGAGATGGTGGACTTCAATGGTTCGATGATCGACGAAGGAACAGAGATCGACGGCAACACCACAGACTTGGGAAATGACTTCGCCGCAGCATTTGAAGCCCCCATCGATCTACACACTGCCGCCGATGGAGCCCCTGACGGCAAGTTGCCAAACTCGACTGTGAGCGCTCCTGGCTCTTCCGCTAGAAGCGTGTCTCGTGGTCGCAGAAGCAGACCCATGTCAGTCCCAGCTAGCAGATCTGCAGTCTAGCATGATGCTGCTCTGCCTGCCCAACACGAAACTGACGCACCATCCAACTAGGAGTAAGGTGCTCCTTTACCCCCTTGCTTTGCGTTTCTTGCGTTTTGCTTTTTTGCTTAACAGATACCCCTTCTTGTTTTCTGTTTTTTCTCTTTCATCCCCTTTTGGCTTTCAAAATGCAAGCGAGCAAGGCGTTACAGTTGCGCGTCGAGAAAGATATGCTTGCGTGAAGGTCGACAGGAGGTCGTCGAAGTCAATAAGCTTCCAGTACATAGTACAGCCAACATTGCATGGATTTGTCTCGTTGACATGAGACTCGAGAATCAATCACAGTCTTACCTTGATTGCCTAGTAACATGACTTGAAAAGCATTCGTGAGCATAAAACTTGCCTAGAGAGTCGACGAGTGTAGAGTGTTTGATGCACAGGGATGATCGAAGAACGTGGATCAATCTACTACATTTGGTCCGAGACAGAGATTGAAAGAGGACAAATTCCGACAAACAAAGATTGAAAACATGGATATCATTTGGAAGGTCTTTTGCGAAGAAAGTGCTTTTGTGCTTCTCTCATTTTTTGTTCGGACGACCTAAGAAGTTTTTGCAAATATCGAAAAGTGCCCATCATAGCTTTTTGGTTTCATTTCACCATAACCGCACCACCCGATATCTTGTTCAACATCAACACCACTTGACTAGCAAGAAAAGTGGCGAGACGTTTAGTAGCGCTTGCCCTGGCGGAGGACATCGGCGTACTCGTCGAGAGGAGAGCGGATGAGCTTGGTCTCCTTCCAGAGGTTGGGGGTAAGGAAACCGTAGGTGTTGGTGATGGCAACGAAGGTGGCCTTGAGGGTGTTCTCGAGGGTCTTGGTGGAACCGGACGAGGCGGAGTAGGCGTCCTGGACACCAGCAAGCTGCAACAGACGCTTGACGGCGGGGGAGGCAACGAGACCGGTACCGCGGGGAGCGGGAATAAGCTAAGGGAGAAAATGTTAGGAGAATGGCCAGAAGTCCGGGTGAGAATATTTGCTTACTCTGACGGTGACGGAACCGCACTTGCCGCTCTCCTTGACGGGGATGGAGTGAGGCTCACCAAGGTTGGAGCCCCAGTAACCACGACGGATGGGGACAACAGCGAGCTTGGCAATGATGATGGCGGCGCGGATGGCGGTAGCGACTTCCTTGGAGGTCTTGATACCGAGACCGACGTGGCCAGCAGAGTCACCAATGACAACGACGGCCTTGAAGCGGGTACGCTGACCGGCACGGGTCTGCTTCTGGACGGGCTTGATCTGTAAGGAGAAAAGTCTGTTAGGGGCCTGTTTTTCGTGCTCTTTCTTTCAATGCGCAGAGAGGAGTTGTAGGTGCTGCAGGCGTCGCTGCAGTTGTAGCTGTATGTGATTCGATCGCGAAACACGCAAACACTCCCCTCTGCGCATGTCGTGTGTGCGCACCTTCATGACCTCGTCCTTGAGGGTGGGGAGGAAGAAGTCGACAATCTGGTACTCCTTGATGGGGAGAGAGTGGAGGTAGATCTCCTCCATGGACTTGATCTTGCCGGCCTTGACGAGACGACCGAGCTTGGTGACGGGCTGCCACTCCTTCTCCTCGTTCTTGGGACCACGGCGACCACGGCCGCGACCACGACCACCACGGCCACGGTCACCACCACGGTCTCCTCCACGAGATGCGAATCCGCCACGGGTTGCTCCACGGTCAGCCATTGTGTTGATATGTGCTTGTTGTCGACGAAGAGAAGGTCGTTGGTCGTGGTTCGTAAAGAGGCCGCTCGCGAAGCGTCGAATTCGCTTTCAGCTTTTTCGTCCGTGGGCGCCAGCGCCACATTTGGCTAGTGCGCAGTTCGGCTAAACCCCGCATCTTGTCGCTCCATCTGCGCCTGCCATCTAATCCATCTCATCTCCGCATATCATTCAATCAATCATTTCACGAGTGTTGCTCAGAACGTTCTTCTCATTGCGTTTTAATCATTGCATTCGTGACTTGACGACTAACCACCGTAGCAACGCCGCCTTCCTTGACCATCCGAGCTTGGTCCTCCCAACCTTTGTGGCTCAAGATCCTTCTGGGAAAGCTTATCGCTATCCCATAACTCCTTCCAGTCCACCTCGAGAAATGTCCGGCCATCTTCGTGGCCTTGGTCTCGCGTCTCCGTCCTCAAAGCCCCACAAATGTCGCCGTCATAACTTACAGACGTCCGGGAAGTTGTTGTTCGACTTGTGCATCTGCACGCGTGTGTGCTTAAGAGATTCTGCCTGTCTTCCCTTCGAGTGCTACTCCCATGTCGACAGTGAACCAGACAACTGTCTTCCAAGTATGCGCAATCGCTGCTCGTAATGTGCGTCGGCGGCTTTGATTCAGCGCTCTGCCTGAAAAATCATGTCCACCTGGGTTGTATCACATGTGCGCCGAGACCATGCCAACCGGTTGTGGCAGCTCAGTTGATTGTGCTTCAGTCGATGCACATATAAGATGGCTGTTGACCTCCAACCAACTTAATAACTCTGAGGGTATTGACTTGCAGGCTGCATCAAAATTAGTATACTTGATCTTGACGCACGAGGGACGCGTCTACTTACCGGACTGTTGAGCATGTTCTGTCGTTCGTTTCGGCCCTTCTTAATATGTCGCTTGAGCGCACTGGAGTCCAGAGGCTTCAACAACTCGAAGCTGCACAATAGCTCGCCAGAGACAGACATAACGGCGCCCCAGTTGTCGAATTCTCCACAATACTGCATTCACCTGTTAGCTGATAATCAAAAGAGGGGAGTTGATGACAGGATTACTCACGTTCGGTGCCGAGAATACAGTAACCAAGACACGATCAGTGAAAAATTCGTAACCATCCTCTACCACCATGTGCGCTCTGCACACGAGGTCAAAGTCGTGCTTCGCAAGGAACTCCATGATGACCTTCTTGCCGAAACAGTAGCTGACACCTCGTTCATTGGCTTCCCAGTCATTTTCCATGTCGGCTGGATCACTCCACAGCAGATCGTTGAGCAGCCCATAATCTGGAACGTCAGTCGGTCTAGCAATGTTGCGAATGTCATCCATGTGCGAAAGACTGGGCGATAGACCTCCATGCACACAGAAGATTTTGTTGGCAACAACAGATGCAATGGGCAAGCAGTTGAAAGTGTCGACGAATGATTTCCACACCTTAATGTTACAACGACGCTTGCATTCGTCATAGAATCCATAGACACGAGTCACATTGGCGCACTCATGGTTGCCACGGAGGAGGAAGAAGTTCTCGGGGTAGCGTAGCTTGTAGCAGAGCAGCAAGAGAATGGTTTCCAGGCTTTGTTTGCCGCGGTCCACGTAGTCGCCTAGGAAGAGGTAGTTGGAGTTGGGAGGGAAACCACACATTTCAAACATGCGCAAGAGGTCGGTGTATTGTCCATGCACGTCACCAACAATCTTGACTGCGGGAGCGAGCTCCAGCAAAGCAGGTTGCGAGAGGAAGACCTCGCGAGCAGCCTGACAGATGGCGAAGATTTCGGCATTCTTCAGACACACGGTTTTTGTGACCTTTCCGGCGTATCCTGCATCGATCAAACGCTTGATCATGTCATCCAGATCCGACGTCTTGAGGGCACCAATGTCCATATCCTTGGAAGCCGAACCTTCTGATAAGGCAAGTGCTGCAGCGGCGGCGCTGGGTTTGTGATCGGCCTTCCTCATCAAGATGGACTCGGTGGGTTCGGTGAGGTTGTTGTGTTGCAGGGTACCAGTGGGAGGAGCGTCGGAGACGTGCTCGACCTCGCCAGTGCGCTGAGCCTTGGTGATGTCTGAATGGCCGTGGCCGATAGAGGATGATAGAGTGGGAGAGGGAGGAGCTTGGACTTCGTCTTGATCTTGGGCATCGTTGCTTGCTCCGCTGCTTCTGCGCGAGGTTTCGGAAAGAGAAGGAGCAGAAGGAGAGCGTCTATGATGTTTGGCACCAGGGATGGACTGTACAGCGGCAGCATCCAAACCTGGCTCTGACAGTCTCTTGGGTGAGGCCAGTGCGGAGGATGGGCCGCGCAAGTTGTCTGTGGATATCTTTGAGGGGATCTTTGAGCGAATGGAGCCGCGGAAAGAACGTGTCGAGCCCTGGGTGTCGGACTTGGAGAAGGAAGGATAGGAGCTGAGATCAGGGCCGCCGTCTTGCGAGCCCTTCTCGCCCTTGGAGGGTTGATTACCCATGAGTGCGGAGCGAGAGTCGGAACGGGGAATGCGGGTGTGTAACGAAAGAAGTGGTAATGGGACGGGCCTCTACACGATGTTGTCACGACCACGGGGACATGTGGAGTACGCTGGAGAGTCGCACGAGGTAGCGGGGTCTGACAAGTTGCACCAGCTCAGAAACGGCAAGACTGGTCTAGTCGGAGGGATGTAGCTTTGATTGGTGATGCGAAAGATGGAAATTGTGGGTTTGTGAGTTGGATAGGGAGGGTGGTTTCTGGTGCTTGTTGGCAATGACATACTCATCCATACCTTCCCGCCAAGACACGGACGAGCTGACGAGAGTGTGCCTGCCTTCCAGACCAGACTGTTTGTTCCACTCCGCAGCTTCGACCACCAGCCCTCAACGTCGGGTCTGATGAGAGACTTTCAAAATAACGCATGCCTTGTCATGTCTGGCTCCACTACCTGCTTCACATGGCACTGGATGGTTGCTGCGTGTCGCGTCTTTTCGACGGGGTTTGGCTCTTCACACAGTAATATTTTGAACTCCATCATTACCTTGGCCTGCATCCTTCGCCAATCCTTCACACCCCGCGCCCTAAATTCACATGCCCTTCCTTATCTCTCGCTGCCTCTTCCTTTGTCCTGCAAGTTTTCCCTTTGCTTTGACTTTTGGTTTCCATGCCCACATTCGTCAGCATGCGCCATTTTCCAACTTCGCCGTTTGCTTTCTGCCTGGCTGCTCACTTTCTGTTCTTGGCCTTAGTCTCATCCTTAGACACATCGCAATCGTACCTCAGTCATCATAATGTTCAGATTACCGACAAAACTCCGCTCCATCCTGCCTTTGACTCGTTTGTCGACCGTCTTATGCAAGAGTGGCATATTCCTGGTCTTGCCATTGCTGTAGTCCACGAAAACAAGACATGGTCCAAGGTAATACCATTTCTCAAATCTTGAAACAATCTTACTGCGCTTTATCTGTGGCTTTCCTTGATCATCTCTATAGCACCTTTTACGCATTTCTGCTTCCTCTATGCTTTGATGACTTCTATGTGCAATCTGGAAATTAGGTGTCGAATTCCTGAAACTGACACGCAAAGGGCTATGGCTATGCAACTCTGCCCAACGTGCCATTCACACCTCATACACTCTACCAGGTCGCTAGCACTACCAAATCTTTCACAGCTTCTCTCGCGGCTCTGTTGATCCAGGATCAAGATAATTTCAGCCACATTGAATGGGACACACCACTCCACTTTCTTGTTGGCAACGACTTTGTTCTCAAGGACGACTATCTTACGACTCATGTTTCTCTCCTCGATGCCTTATCCCACCGAACTGGTATGCCCAGACACGATGCTGTGTGGTACGACCAAGGCTTGGATACCAAGAGCCAGACTTATCTTATGCGTCATCTTGAGTTGAGTGCAAGCTTCAGAACGGTCTGGCAATACTGCAACCTGTTCTTCACTGCAGTCTCGCATGTCATTGAATCTGTGACCGGGAAATCGCAAGCAGATCTTCTGCGCGATTGGATCTTTGAGCCTCTTGGAATGAACGAATCATACTACTCTCGGGAAGATGTAGCCAGTTGTCAGGCATCGAATCCTCGTTGCATACTGGCTGACAGCTATGCGTGGAACAAAGAGACGTCTTCTTACACCAAATGGGCACTGAACCAATCTAATCCAGCGAATGGAGCTGCGGGCATCATCTCCAACGTCATTGATTACAGCAAGTGGGTCCGCACTTTAATGTACGAGTCTGGCCCGGTCTCTAAAGAAGGCCATGCTAAGCTGAAGTATCCCTCATCTATGCAAAGCGTCGAGACGGCGCCCTATTCAGGGCCCTTCTGGTATGGACTGGGACTTGATGCAGGTGTATATCGCAGCGAAAGGGTCTTTGGGCACACTGGTGGCATCAGTGGTTACGCATCAAGTTTCAAGTTCTTGCCCGACCGCAAATTTGGATTTGTGATGATTCAAAACTCAATGAGCACTGCTTTCGAGGCTATGGGATGGCGCTTGATTGACGAGTTTCTGGGTGGCCCTGAGGATGAGTTTTACGACATGAACAAGACGTGAGTGCATGCAGTACGCAGCACACACGTCCACTAGCTGACAGTGTATCAGGCAAAGTGACTTGACAAAGAAACGTGAAGAGAAGCTCAAGACTCTTCCTTCCAAGCTATACCCAGATGTACCATCGGAGCCTGTGCACCCACAACTTCCTTTGCGAAGTTATACAGGAACATACACAAATGCGGCTTACGGAAACTTCAGCATCGGTCTCGAGGCGCCCTCAGATATGCTGGATAAGACTGGAGTCGAAGAAGTGGACTCTCATGACCTGTTGCTCTACGCGAAGTCCAAAGGTGGCAACGTGTTGTTCACCTTCCGACACGTATCGGGAGAGCATTGGCTCTTGGAGATACGATACGTGATCTATGACTCGAAGACGGCGGATGACTACTTGAAGGCTAGATTCGAGGTTGGAGCAGACGGGGTCGTGCAGAGACTCGGAGTGATCATAGAAGCAGCGGTTCCTGGGGACAACGCATGGGCATGGTTTGACAGGGTTGATGGTTGTTGAGAGGGTGATATTATGGTCTTACTTCAGTGATGTAATTTCGGTCATGCATGCGGTTGTAGAGATATACAATATATTCAGATACCATAACTGAATCGATGAATGGACATATTTGCTTGATGCAATTCAGAATGTCTTTCACATGTCTCGCGATTGCATACGTCAGGTGCCAAGCCACCGATTCGCGGCCACAATTTAGGTACCAAGTAAACTTGATAGTCACAACAACTTTTGTTGCCAGCGACGCCCAACATATTGTTATACAATTCTGGCTTAGCAAACGATCTGTTTTCTACCGAACTCGGGCCACTAGACGGAGTAGCATACCGAGACTCGACTCCCGACATCAAGCTCAGAAACAACAACAAAGACTCGATCACCGGCCAAGATGGTCAAGGACACAGCATACTATGACGCGCTAGAAGTGTCCCCCACTGCCACCGACGTCGAGATCAAGAAGGCATACCGCAAACTCGCCATCCGCCTGCATCCCGACAAGAACCCCGGCGACGAGACGGCGAGCGCCAAGTTCCAGGAAGTGCGTCGCCTGTCCATATCTCGCAAAATCATGTCTTCTGACCGCTTGTCTGTTTAGATCGGCGAGGCTTATCAGGTACTCAGTGATGAGAAACTTCGCAAGCAATATGATGACTACGGCAAGGAGGGTGCTATGCCCAACACAGGCTTCGGTACGAGACTCGACATAAACTACAGACTACGACAAGAGTTGACGGCTTTACAGAGGACCCCTCCGAGATGTTCAACGAGATCTTTGGTGGTCACGCCTTTGCAGACTGGTAAGCAGAGTCAACGCCTATCACGCACCTCCGACTTCAAGCTGAGACCACAAACAGGATCGGCGAGATCTCCATGGTCCGCGATATGGAGAAGTCGATGGAAATTACCATGCGTCACGAGGAAGAAAATGCCGCCGCCGAAGCAGAGGCCGAAGCCGCTGCCGCTGCTGTCGACGAGAAGAAAGCAAGCATGGACAAGGCTACCCACGAGGCCGCTGCTCAGTCCCACGCTAGTGCAGCCGCCGATCTGAAGGATGGTATGGAAAAGATGAACCTCTCCGAAGAGGAACCAGCCCCGCCAGCCTACTCGCAAGAAAGACCAAAGGGAGTACCCACTCGTCTTGCCCTCACAGACCGCGCCGAAGAAGAGGCCCGTATGGAAGCCGCTGGTGTCAGCGAAGCAGAGAAGAGCCTACGTGCAAAGGAAAAGAAGAAGGGTGGCTTGACCAAGGAGCAAAAGGAGGAACTGGCTGCTTTTGAGGCCGAGCGAGAACGTGCACGCGAGGAGCGTATCGAGGACTTGTCCAAGAAGCTCATCAACCGCGTCAGTGTATGGACAGAGACCGACAAGGGCAAGGACGTCACCGCTTCATTCCGCAAGAAGATGGAGCAAGAAGTTGAGAACCTTAAGATGGAGTCATTCGGTCTGGAGATCCTACACGCCATCGGCCAAACCTATACACAAAAATCTGCCACTTTCATCAAGAGCCAGAAACCCATTATTGGTGGTGTCACCGGCTTCTTCTCACGCCTGAAGGACAAGGGTACGCTCGTCAAGGAGACCTGGGGTACAGTCAGCACCGCTATCAGCGCCCAGATGGAGATCGAAGAGATGGCTCGCGCAGAGGAACGTGGAGGTGAAGACTGGACCGATGAGAAGAAGGCCGACTTTGAGCGTCGCGTGACAGGCAAGATTCTAGCTGCCGCATGGCGAGGCTCCAAGTTCGAGATCCAAAGCGTGCTCCGCGACGTCTGCGACAAGGTCCTCTATGATAAAACCGTCAAGGTCGACAAGCGTATTGAGCGTGCCCACGCTTTGCTCGTTATTGGAGACGTCTTCTCCAAGGCCGCACGCAGTCCTGACGAAGAGGGCGATCATCTCGCCTTCGAGCAGCTCATGGCCGAGGCTGCCCAGAAGAAGGAGAAAAAGAAGAAGGATAAGGAACCTAAGGAGCCCAAAGAAACCAAGGCCTAAGAAGTCTTTGATGGGTCGTGGTCTTCGTGTAGTGTTTTGATCTTGTCCTCTGAATGTTCTTCTTTGTAAACCCTTGCTTGGGCTGACGACAGCGTGTGTTTATAAGCGTTGTTTCATTTCTTAATGTTCAGGATACACTGGCGTCTCGTAGGACATATACAATCAGGTTCCCATAGCTATGCACCTTCTTACTTGCCATCTAAATTGTACGCCGCCTGTAATTGGTTCACCAGACTCATGAGCTAACAATCCATACTGGAAGAATGCATCTTAGTATCCCTGATAGTATCACAACTGTCTTAGAAACCGCGACAATGGAATGAGGAGCGAGATGGTCATGTTTTGGCGTGTTTGAGCTGCTGCATTGAAGTCCAGCTCGTAACGAATTTCCTTCTTCAACTACAATGGTACAGGGTGATAGTCCACGCAAGCCGGGCTGTTGCTATGCTGAGAACTTACCTTTCGCTGCAAAGAAATAGGCTGTCGAAACAATAGAACTGCAACCAGATCTAAGACAACTTGTGGACATCATCGAGAGCACGACTTGCTGTAAGCGCAAATGACAGAAAGGGCAGGGTTGCCTTTCAGGGAAGACTGATTCTACAGCATTCAATTGAGGACCTGGCGCATGGGAAAAGAGACAGGTACCTCGCTGGTATACATGCTTCTCGAGCTTACTTCAGCTCCAATCTGAAAGTATGGCATCCACCAGCAAAAGATACACGAGCTCTCAGTCAGATGTGCAACTACTGTGCCTGTGCATATGCAATATCAAAGTCAAACCCAACTTGACAACGAGAGTCCTGAGCTCATGCCTCTGCTGACACCAGCTCGGCTTGTGAGACCGGCAGAAATAAGACCTTCGAGGCGCTTGCTGATACTGTGGAGCCCGCAGAACGTCTGCATGGCAGTTGTGACACAAGTTGAGCAGACGGTCCAGGCTGTCGTTTGGATGAGATGGGTACACGCACTGGAGGATGTAGAGTCTTCAAACTTTGTAGTATGTACATTGTGTACCTCGTCGTGAAGGTTGCTTCGGTACGTTGCGGTCCAGACTCCGCAGGTAAATTCAGCACCCTCAGCTTCAGGATGATACTGAGGACGTCAAACTCGGGCTGAAACTCGACGCCTCAAGCAGGTACTTTGCTTGGCTACAGATGCCAATCGGTCGTCCCGTCAGCTGGCTGACGAGATGCAAGCGCTTGGTGATGCGCATAAAGTTGCACGTCGTCCATGGTCGGCAGATAGATGAGAGCAGTCGCCCGGTTGGCGCCGATAACCTTGAGGAGAATATGCGTCCAGTCATGCAGTCACTCATCAAGCATGTACTTGCAGCTCATGCCACTGCATCCCAGCTACGTGGGAAAACTGGAGTTGGAGGATATCCATGTCATGGAGCAAGTGGGTCGACAAGAGGTGGTACGACCAATGCTTGAACGAGGTGCGCTGTTTGATTGTCTGCGAGTTCGCTTCGTCAGACAACTTCAGATATGGTACTCGACCGATGTACTGGTAATTCAGAAACGCATGTGACTTGCTTTTCGCATGCCATTCCAATTGCACCGCTTTGCTATGCTCTGTCGTAGCACACGGCGTTGCTGAGTAATTGTCATGCAGCCACGCAAATTGGTTGATGTCCGTCATCCATTGGACAAATGAATGCTTATCGTACAATTAATATAGCACATATCGCTCGATAGATGAGGTGTTTAATGAGAATGTCAGGCACGTGGTCCTGATCTTCGTTGCATGTGCGGTCTGCAAGTCCGAGATAAGTGGTGCGGCGCTGCTGACCTGTTCGGGTTGTCTGGAAACTGGACCAGGTTGGAAAAGGCAATGAATGTGAAGTCTAAGTGCGAACCACACCACACCGCGCTTGCCGCCGGCGTCATGAACTTGCTCGTCATCTCTGCGCTACTGCACTTTCCTGCATGAACTCGAGCGTTATATCAAATGGTCCACAGCATGCCGCGTTGCCGAGATACACACCTGTTTCGTGTGCTGGCAAGTGCAGAAATGGCGACAAGGATAATTGTAGTGTTCCTCCAACTTGCTCCGTCGTTGCCTAGTCAGGTTTATGGGTAGATCAAAAGGAGGCTCAAAGGAGCTGTCTCCACGAAAACGCAAGCCACGCAAGAGTGGGGGAGATTCACCAGCCCGCTGTTCCTCCGAGAGGTTATTCATAGCGTAGCCAATATTGTTACCCTAAGTAGAAGTTGCTGCCTCGTGTCTGAATCCTTCCGGGAATTGGTATGGTTTTAGATCGTCAAACATTTGAAATTCTTCCCACGTGTTGCACGGTATTGGAGCTCAACCCCGAAGGATTCCCTGGCCGACAGGATGGAAGGATTCGAACCAGTCAGTGCTTCGGTCTATCTATTGACGTGGACAGGAGAAGTCAAGCTGACCCCTTTTCGTGTCTATCACGTTGCGATAGCGGGCCATGGATTCACAATCTGTTGTGATACACGTATTGTAAAGTTCTGAACCCCGTGGAGGTACAGTCGATCATGGCGTAAAATCTCGATAAGAGACGGCATATCGACTTTACGCTTCCGTTCTGAAACCTTGAGGCTCTGCGATTCTGTCATGGCCAATCGTCGTATTCCGGTACTGCATGCATCATCGTTCATGGTTGTCCTTGGAATGAGAGAGAGATGATGTAGCTGCACCAAGTTATAGTATGCCTCGAGACGGTTCTGAATCGATCGAGGTTCGCAGCATAATTGTGGTTACAGTTCATGCCGTGCCTGACGATCTCAATTGCAGAGAACCTTCACATCGCGCACTCCGAACAATTGTGAAACTGAGTCATTCGCCCATTATCGGGGTGCAGCGAAGCGAGACCAAGTATTGGAGACAAGAGACATTCGCTTTCGTACTTGGCTTAAACATGCGTAAAGCAGTGGGGCACGCATAGGTAAATCGAAATTGCACGCTTACCGCGTGGAGAAAAAAGTCTACTACAATTGGAAATAGGTGATCACAGTAAGCATCGCATGGATTTGAGCCGCAAAAGGCAATCAGGTTTGAGTGGTTACAATGTCTTTTGATTGTAAGAATAGAACTAGAAGGCGCGATTCTGTCTGCTGCCATGGGGTATATTGATGCTAATAGTAGAAATTTCCGAAACACTCCATGCAATAAACTCCTTTACATTGGTGTCCAAGACCAATGACTCAAAGATGATAGCAAAGTCCGTAAAAGCGTGTCGAAGATATTGGTTCATCGATTAAAAGGCGTGATAATGGTGCACAAGATGGCCGGCCGGCCGGCGTGCTATGCTCATTTGATAGTAGCATGAAAGAGCCAAGACGTGTCGTCTTCTGGTTACATGCTCATGAGCAAGTGGGGATGTCAAAGAGGGCGGGCACAAGCATATGCCTGACGGACCGCTGATTTGCGCTGGCGGTGGGGGTGGAGCCATGCATGCTGCGGATCATGCTTCGAAATGAAGAGGTGGGGATCCAATGAGAGTGAATGATCGAATATGCCTAATCGCGAAACGCAATCAAGGTCGACGCAGGTGCAGTCTTGAAAGTGGGCAGCTGACAGGTGGATAGAGTGATATGCACGCCTGATGCGCAGGCAATATCTCCTCTTGAAACGTTGGTGTGTTGATGAGATTGTTTAGGCTTCACCCAAAGTGGCTGATGATTCACTTGGGAAGAGGAGGCAGAGGCCTGTTTGGGGGAGGGCCAGGGCAGGGAGGGAATTCGACCATGGCAGGCATTGTGAAGTTGGTTGTTTATTGGCAGGTTGTTGTTGTTGTAGAGTAAAGTGATTTGAGAGCCGAGTGCTGGAAGCTCGTGGTGTAGATGAAGCTTGTAGTGGATTTTGTGGATGTGTGTGGAATGAAGAGAGCGATCAGAGTGGGAGCAGGCAGACATCTATATATCTACTTAGAGTGATAGACGCCTCAAGTTATTGGCCATGATGCAACTTGAAGCGTAGGGTGGGTGACTAACGATCGTGCCCAAGGACCGATGGTCCGTGAGTCGAACAAGGACTGCCCGCACCGAAAAGGAGACACCGGGCTAGCTTCGTATCCGTTCGACAGCAAGGCTGACAAGACTACTCTAATCTTGGAACCACTTGGATTGTGACGTTTCTATTCGGATGATCAAGAGCCATCAATCAATTCATGTACATCATCCTTGTTTCATGTCACATCCTGCAGCCTTCGAATTCCATGTTTCCTGCTGTTTGTGTGCCGCACAAGAGCAGCGGTGAGGTGGCCGACTTGCCATTGTGCATAGTTGCTGCCCACGCCCGAGGTACTTGCTCCGTCGAAACTCGAAACCTACTATACGTGTCAGCAACGATGGCTTGACCAGGTGCCTGCTCAGCTAAGCAGTACGGCGGTTACCCTAAGCATGCAAGCGATCCAGCTCAAGGTTTGGTCAGTTTGAGACAAAAGCCAAAAGCACCGAACCGATCGCCAACGGCCGACCGTCGACGGACAGACATGTGTCTCAAGGTGAGAATGCGGTGCCGGACGTCGTGGCAAATTGCTACAAACGCTCATCAAACGATTCCAAGCCATGACTCGTCCGTCCACGTTGCTGACCTGACGTCGCACCAAGCCCAATCTCTTCAGCTAAAGCATTTTCAATCTAAACAGCGGTCTAAGCGAATGATTGTCCGACCGAAGGCTGTAGAATTTTCATAGAAGCAATTTTTTCTTCGATGATCTCGGTCCGCTCTATCTGGCCTGATCAGTCGAGAAGACTGTGTGTGTTGCACGCTCTTCTCTGGACACCCAATTGCCGGGAACAGCATGAGGTGGATGAATCGTAATCTCGATGCTCGCTGCCGGAACATCTCCATTGATCGGCCCCTTGGAATGAGAGTTGCTGGAGTTCCCGCACTTGCACACGTGGCTTACTCGCACACCTGTCAAAAAAATCGACGATTTTCAAGGGGAAAACCGAGCCCATCCCGTAGTCTCGTCATAGTTAACACATAATCGCATGGGGGTGCTTGAAATTGTCCGAGATATGACTGGATGATGGAAGATGGCAGCAGGTTTCCGAGTTCCTGGTACGTTTTCCAAGACACGGTTCCCCGGATCAACAGGGGTAGGTACACTTGCAGGCTGCACGATTTTTGCTTTTTTTTTATGCGATCTGACCACTTTCTTATTAGACCACATTCCATGATCTTTCTATTCGGTTTCTCTCGATTTCTGCAAAGCTACACAATGGTATATGATAGCTGACTTTGTACTCACATCGCTAATATCCGGTCGTCGCGTTCGTTCAGCTCATTGTCACTACCCGGCAGCCCCGAAACTCGGGTCGTACACCCGACTTGTACAATGGTAGACACGCAGCTCAGTCGCACAGCCTTGCTAGGCGATCATCGGGTCATACATACCGTTGCTATCACGATACGCAATCATAAAATAGAATACTCCAGAGCCGCAACATGGTGGACCGATGCATTTCTGCACCTGCGTTGACGCTATCATCTGTGCCATGATGCAGCACTGCATTCCTCATTCGAAGAAAGGAGCACAGCCTCGGTCTGTTGCGAAGCCGCGATTTTAGAACGATGCTGTGCGTGCCTCCTGGACCTCACCGCCAACGGCTGCAAGCTGCCTAGCCTCCGACAATTCGCTGAACCTTTTGCTGTTTTTTTCTTCTTTGCCTCCGAATCGCGGACCAGTGCCCTAGATTCACAGATCATGGAGGCATCAACTCTTCTCGCCTTGACTCGGTTTCGAGAACAAAAAATCTTTTCTAGTGTCTTCCACCTGGTGCATGTAAACTTTCGTGTTTCAAGTTCGCGCAGACTGTCGGTCATTTCCCCCAGAGAGACCCTGAGATGGCCCGTACCGCTTGACATCTGGTTACCCATGGCCTTTCATACCAATCCTGTTAAATTTGCACATGGCACGTGTAGGTTCACAGACCCTTTGGTGTTATCCCAATCCAAATCCCTGGACACACTCCAATTATTTCCGATTTGCTTGAGGAGCCAACTTGCTCAGCGTTTGTAATACCAAGGCACAGAGCTGACACATGATATGCTCGACTTGTCGGGAGACCTACACGCCTGAGGCTATCCTGTTTCCTTGGTTCATGCACAGCACGGTCCTACTGTACAGTTCCGTACTTCCCTCAGCTCCTAATTCAGATGTTCATGCAGCCGCGCCAGTCACCTGGTTGCTGGCTTCGAGTCTGTAGATTGCTTGTTCTGGCCGGAAGGCAGGACGTTCAGCGACTTTGCTTGATGCTCGCAAATTGAATGGAGACAACCTTGACTCAATTGATTTGATATTGCATGCAGATCTCTGCACCGTGCAGGGAGCATCAATTTGATCAGATTATGCCAATATCCGTTGCATGTGAATGCACAAAGCATCTGTTTGTCACGTTGTCGCAACGACACTTGTCGCGCGGCCATACTCCACACCATCACATCGCCCTCCGTTTTTCCAACTCGAGTAGTTCTAGCTGTGTTTGCTCAATCTCAGCTCGCTGCCCCGGAAGCATCCTCTGGAAGATCGGCTCACGCGCCAGAAGAAAATAGGTTGGCTGGTTAAATGTCGGTCAGGAAGCCTGGACCCTGGATGAGCTCGGCCTAGATGGAATATGGACCCTTGAAACACCTGGTGCACTTCTAGCACGACCTCTGACTTCGTGCGCATCAATTCGTATTGCGCTCGTATCATGACTGTTTCGGTGTGGCAGAGAATCACTCGACATAGAAGGAAATCGTACACCGTTTACACTCTCCACTGCAACTGCGTTTCGCATCACATTCCCGTACCCGGACAACTCTGCCCTTGACTCATAGCATTCCTTTTTGAAGATCTTGGTTCGAGTTGACCGGCTGTAGGGCACGTGACAGCTACCTTTCGACATTGAGGTCAAACTCCTCGGTCCTGGCCTGTTGACCTCCGGTCACAGAAGGACTTGCATCGCACCTTCTCGTCCGTGACCTCACCTTAGCATTTCCTTCCGCCAAGTGCCAAAGGCTGTCATGATCCGTCCGTTTGCGGTGCCACATAGCAACTTCGCAAGCTGTTGTGACGCATATTCTTCTCTCCAGCCACAGAAAACTATCGATGGAAAATCATCGTGACAAGCCTCTCTACGCATGTCGCTTCCGTTGAATGTTCTTCTCCATATCTACGATGCGCCAAACATCAGCATATTGAGAGACCATATTCTATAGTATGCTTCACTGCGACAGTTGAGCCTCTAGTACGTATAACAGGACCATCATGCAACGCTCTTTCAACGGTTATACTGGTTTTACTCCACCATGACCTGACAGCTGAGGACCCTGGGACAAGTGCAAAGGCGCAACGAGGCAAAGATCGCTCTTGCTCGGCCTTTACCAGCACTCACGTACAAGTACCTATTGCCTAACACGGATACCTTATTATTGCACGGGTGCAGCTTGGGCTGCCAAAGAGCAACCACCTTTGCTATCCTTGGTACATGTTCGATCAGTATATGGCATTCATAAACCCTCGAAACATTCTCTTATGTCACATCACGATTCGAACAACGAACTATTCTATGAGATGCATTTAGACTAGATTTGCGTGGTAGTCACCCAAGATCCTGGCTACCCACATCCGCGTTTACCAAACGTCGTACTGGAGTCGCGTCGGACCGTTCCTCATCACGCAATAGAGTATAGTTGCATATATGGAGATCTGGCCGCAACGTCCAACCACTGATCCCGACAAGCAGTCTCATGTCTCACCAAAAAATTTATGGCTCCGTTCCTCATGCACAAGTCGCGAACGCCAGTCACGAAAGCCCATCACGTGGGTCCTGCGAGCTCACCGTCTACGCGTGCAGCAGATTTGGCGATCAAACAAGCTCAACACTTAGGTCCTGCAACGATTGTGGTTGGTGGTGTCTCAGTTTGAAGAAGTGCGGAGAGCTTGCAACGGCCAGACTATCTGACGATGTGATCAGAAACACAACGGCAACGATCCACACTCTGGCACCATCACCCCGCTGTCAATGTTTCACGTCTCGTTAGAGTTTGGCCGTAGGAACAACGTCCAATGGACACATGTTCGGCCCCACAGACTGCATGTCTTAGTACCATGGCCTATAGTGGCCAGATCTTGCTACAACGCTCGTAGTGTATGGAGACATCTTGTAAGATCGACGCGAACTATCGTTTTATACGCTGATTAGTCGCAGGTCGTTCAACCACAGTCTTGGATTGTATGACGGATCAGCTTTGTTACCAAATGATATGAGACTATCCACGCTACCGCGTGACGGCAAAGAATGCGTTGAAGCTCTTTCAACACGTGACTGATGGCTAGTCGACCCATTACTTACGACCTGCGTAGGCTATCATCGATGCTCTGAGAGCAGCGTATGCCATGTCCAAGTCCTCACTTTGACCCGCGATCATAGCTCTGCCCATCCTCTCCATGAATATGGTTCCTTCATTCCTGCTCAGAAGGTCCATACCAAATTCAGCAACAGCGGCGTTGACCATGTTTTCATATTCCTCATCCAAGAAGTTGGAAACAGGGTTTGCTGAAGTGGTGGTAACCAGGATTGTCATGATCTTTGCGAATGATTGGCACAGGACAAGTCTCTTGTCTTCTCTGGTTGCCTGCTCTAGAGTCCTGATATGGCTGGCGATGTTCGGCATTGCGAGTGCGCGTACACCGTAGGTGTGACAGATTTGGCAGATCATCCATGTGTACTCGTCTCTGGTTGGTAGGGGACCAACAACGGTGCTGGCTGGCACGACTTCTTCCCCTTTATCATGGACTCCATCTTCCAGAACTTGCGCAGGCTCGATGGCCGGTATACCGGGAGATGTTGGAACAGTATTGCCCTCGGTAGCACGCGCAGTTGTCGTTGATGAATCATCATCGGAAGAGGCATTCTCTGAACCTTCATCGTCCAGAGCTTCAGACGACTGCAGTCTGACAGAGCGGCGTTGACGTTTCTGGAGAGATTCAGCTAGGATCATGATTACTGGACCAACTTTGACGTACCATGCTTTTCCTTGAGCTTGCCCTAGAACCAGGTTTGGCCGCAGTTTGAGGGCTACTGTCAGACTGCCTGTAGGTAGTGTATCAGTTTTTGTGTAGGTATGAGATCTGCTTATTCGGTTATATGCTTACACCGTGCGTAGGAACATGTCAGGAGAGATAGTGCCATCATCTCTCTGGAATCGGTATAGATCGAAGTAGTAGTTGCGACAGATGGAGATCATCTCTTGACCTTGTAGACGGAAGATATATCCAACAAGCTATACACCGGAGTCAACAACCACACAAGCGCTGTACATTGGGTGACTTACGAATCCTTCGGCGCTCTTCTTCGAACTGGACGCGTTGGATTTGATGGCGATCCATTCCATTTGCAAGACTTCGTCACCTTTTCTGCACAAAGCGTTTGGACAAGTCGCCTGCTTGAAGGCACGCTCTCCACGTTCTAGTTGCTGGACAACATGGTCACTGGCTTTGGTCGCGACGCCTGGAAATGCCTCCAGCCATTGAGCGCGCTGAATACTGTTCGGCTTCGCGCTCATAGCTTGCAAAAGATTGACCTCCGCCTGAGCAAGAACCTGGCGAAAAGTCATGCCGCCGTTGTAGCTGGTATCCAGGTTGTTGCGATAACCGATCCAGATCTTGTTTCTGTCGTCGGCGTGGAAGGTAGCATCGTTCGAGAAAGGCTCATTTTGGCAATCGCTGTGGAGTTCACCTTCTGGTGCGAAGCAGACGAATGGTGATTTCTTGCGTTGGCGGGGCATGCTGGCAGATGCCTGTTGATATGAATTGAGTTGAGAGTGCGGGAAGCAGGTGCAGGTGAAGATCAGGTTTGGTTGGATGACCACTGGCGCCTTCCACATTCATACGCGATGCCGAGCAAACGATGCGTGCATACGAGCAATTGATTGTCTCGGCTGTCGACTGAGACGATGTCAAGACGTGAACGCACAACCCAGGCAAGTGATCGATTGACACAATGACCGGGATCAACAGGCAAACTTCGGGCCAAGTGCCAATGAAGTTCTGTTCGCATATGAACGGCTACTTTTGTATACCCTTTTATAGTCCGACTGCTTTCATACTGATTTCCCACAGACGATCCTCTGCCACTTCATCGTATGCATAGAGAGCATATCCGCATCTGCCAATTCCTTCGTCCTCTGCAAGAGCAGGAGCTACGCCGACTTCAGCTAGGTAAAGTCCTCCATGATCCTCGAAGTAGGGACTCAATGCAGCCCATACTGTAGTAGCAGCACCCTGCCCTGCGTTGCACTCGATCTTCTTGAAGTACTCTGGGTCGCCGATACTGTGGAGGTCTTCGACCTTCTGATGACGCATAAGCTCAGTTGAGAGGATGACACCAGGATGAACCGAAACAGCACGAATACCCTGCAAACCATAGACTCTGTCGATATAGTTGGCCATGTAAATGTTTGCTGTCTTGCTTTGTCCATAGGCGGCATAAGGGTTATAGCTTCCTTCCTTAGCAAATTCCATATCATCAAAACGGACAGGACTGATAAGATGGCCACTGCTAGACAAGTTGATGACGCGAGATTTGCGCTCGGACGAAGCTGATGATAGTAGAACAGGTCTGAGTAGTCCAAATAGCAAGAAGTGGCCGAAGTGGTTGCTTCCCATGTGAGTCTCGAAGCCACTGCCAGTCTTTCCTTGAGGAGCGGCCATCACACCTAGTTCTTAATATTAGCTTAATGGCTTTCATTTTGACGAGAATCACATATGTTGAGGCCTGTCCGTCACCTTCATCCATATCCTGAGTTTGTTCTGAGAGATATGGAGCTGCAATTAGACACAAAGTATCTGGAATGAACATGCAAACTGTCAATGGAAGATGTCTGGCGCACTCCCACTAGGTGCGTGATCGACCACGTTCACAACTAGAGTCATAGCCTCTACCATGCGGGAAGGAGTCGGCATCAACTCACCAGCATTGTTGATCAGGATGTTGAGTCTATTACTTCTAGACTTGAAATCGGCAGCGGCTGATCGCACACTCTCAAGATCACCTAGATCCAGATTCAAGAACTCTATATCTTGTCCTTTGGGGGCGTCTGCTGTGATAGCCTTGATAGCAGCTTGACCTTTCTCAATATTGCGGAATGTCAAGTAAAGTTTTGCGCCAGTCAGGTACAATGCTCTTGCAGTCTCAATTCCCAGGCCAGCAGAGCACCCAGTGATGAGAATGACGGCATCCTTGAGCGTCCCCTCAGCCTTCAGATCATGCACAATCTCAAGGGCGGTAGGCCTTTCGTCGCCAATACCACTCAGGTTTGCATGTCTTGCGAGGTATGGTCGAAACAGATCTGTGGCTGGCGACATTTGATTTTGACAATGAAAAGGAGAACGCGATGTGGTTGCGTATTTCTTGGTTATATACCTGAGCATGTAGGAGGCGAGCCAAGCTGTACAATTGTTTCATGTACAGAGCTGACTCGCGGCAGTTTGTCAGGCTGGTGAGGGTTGACATATAATTGTTGACACAACATAAGATGGAGAGGGGATCATCTTGGGTTTTGCGTCCACGAACATCGATAACATGAATCAGGAGTGAGACGGGGTGATTCTCAGGGTAATCAAAAGGAAAAGAGTACAGCAGCAGAAAGCTTCAAAAAGTCGCAACGACGCAAAAAGATCAAGATGCCATACATACAGCAGCAGGGATTCCCACGTGGTCACCCACCGTAGTACTAATCTGCCGTTCAACTGCTTATGTATGGCAGAGCGGACGGGATGCCCAGTTTTCAGCTGACTGTGGCCGTATGTGCTCATGATGCAATTTCAATCAAATATATCGTCTAGGTCTCATCGCCAGGCTTCGTATCATGTCAGATCATATCTTGAACGCTTGTCTTTTGCCATTTGGCACACAGATGCTATTGTTGGTGAAGCGCAGAAAGCATTTCAGCAGTACGAATACGAAGGAGGAAAGTTCAAGGGGCTGAAAAAATCCTAGGATGGAGACCCCTCGAACGCGTGGCCGCGGCACATGTCATAGGTTCTCCGCAGATCTGGGTGCCTGTTTCACATGTTTCCAGGAGACAGCAGAGGATGCAGATTCGTATCTGACACCTCAAAATCTCATCATCCCCTTCTGGATGCAGCACTCCTTCCCTCTGGCGCGTTCGCTATGCGGGCACTGTCTCGTATACTCGTCGGCGGGTTGATTCTGACAACGCTGGTATGGCTCAGAAGCCAGTTCGTCAAACTCCATCAATCGATCCTCGAAATTGATAGGCTGTCTCAAGACGGAGGTCTTTGGAGCCATAGGCATCCGGAGAGCGTCAATGGATCGACTACAACGGAAGATCCTCTCAGAGCTGTTATGAATGCCATTTCCAACTCTTTCATTAACGGCACAATCGAGAAACTTGCGACACCAAAATCCGGTCTTCGAGACACGAGGAGCAAGGTCGTGGTTGTCGCCAAAACTGCGAAAGAGAAGACTCAATGGGTTTCAAGTATGCTGCCCAAGTAAGTTGAAGCTAGAGCCGCAGGCCTGCGCAAAACTGACCCCTTGCTCCAGTTGGGAACATGCGGTTTACGTGACCGACGATCGAAACGCGCCACTACATACAGCCAGAAACAAAGGAAGAGAAGCAAATGCTTACCTTACGTACATCATTGAACACTACGACAATCTTCCCGAGACCGTCGCCTTCATACACAGCCATCTCAGTTCCTGGCACAATGACCAGAACGCCGCGAAAGCATTACAGTTGCTCAACATAGATTTTGTACAGAGGAACGGATACGCAAACTTCAGGTGTCATACAACGCCTGGTTGTAACCCGGCAGAGATACAGCCGTTTCGCAACAAGAAAGAGCAGGCTGGTATAGACAAACACGAAGCAGCAACCGAGAGAGCCTTTGCTAAGGCCTGGACGGAATTGTTCAACTCGACCGCCGTTCCGGAACAAATTGGAGTGGCTTGCTGTGCCCAATTCGCCGTGTCTCGAGACCAAATCTTGCAACGGCCGCTCGCGCATTATATCTGGTTCCACAGCTGGCTGATGGACACATCTCTGGACGACGCGACTGCAGGCAGAGTGATGGAGTATGGACCACCTGATACACGTCCTGTTATTCAAGATGCTAACCTATTTATAATAGGTATACCTGGCATATCATCTTTGGTCAAGAGCCGGTCTATTGCCCAAAAGTCTATCAGTGCTTCCGAAACGTATATGATATCTGGGACATCCTGTCGTAGCAGCACTGCCGTGATCTGCGTGGTTGAGAGCGCGAAGGAATGCCGCTACTGTATAGATAATTAACGCTACGCGCCACACAGTCTCACAAAAGCGCTCTTCCTCGCTCCACAAGGACGTTCTACTATGCTCTGCCACATCGCGTAGCCGGGTAAATACTGCTCGTAGATGAATGCATCCAACCAATGACCCAGAGCTGAGGGGAGCCGGTCAATTCCAAGTATGCGTAGGATTGTTGTCATTGAAACGTAGAAGCCCGACTCTTGAAATCCGAGGTCGGTCCCACGGATGGTGGACCAAGCTCGCCCAGAAGTCTGGAAGAACGGAATTCCATTCGGCCAGCTTCCCTAAGTTCACTCGAACGAAGGTACGTGCCCTGCATAAAACATGCACAGCTTATACCACAGATGTTGCACTTGTGGTCAAACTTCTCGAAGTCTACGCGCCAAACAGCGTTCATTGATTTCCGATCGAAACCGTTTTGATGCAGCGTGACCTCTTGACGTATGCCAAATAGTTTGAGCCTCTTGAATCTAGCCAAAGTCAAGCGAGATCATAGGAGTAGCCGGCGTGCAGGGAGAGCGAAGGAAAGAAAGCTCCCCTCGTCCGTGCCTGCTCCCCGCACCAATGCTGCTTGGCCCATGAGCATTAGCCAGAGCCAAAGAATATATAGGTGGGGGTGTAGAATGAAATGAGCTCGCACAAAACCTCTGATTTCCCCTGTCCCTAGTCTCGTACGACTTTGTCTCTCTGATTTGGGCTTGCTATACATCTGTAGCAGCTTCAAACAATTCTTTCGCGCTTCAACGGACCTCAGCAGCTGCTTACCGCGGTTTCAATCAAGACGCCAACCCTAGAGCAGTCCATTGCCGGCTCAAGTCTCGGGAAAACCGTTTCAACTCGAGTGTCATTATAACCCCTCTGTGCTCGAGCATTTGCGACCACACTTTTTCGGTCCTCTCCCTCTCTTCTATTCTTACTCACGCCCCTCTACACAATGTCTGACGGAAGTGTCAAGCCGCCAACGGCTCCTGTCGTTCCTGAGGCACACGAGGTAGACACCTACCACGTGCCGAAAGCCTTCTTCGAGTGAGTTGCCAATTGGAGTTGCCTCGGCGTTTCGCGCTTCTAACAAATTCTTGCAGCAAGCACCCCGACAAGAAGCCTCATTTGGATGGCCTTGACCACTACAGAGAGCTCTGGAAGGAGTCAGTTGAGCAGCCAGACAAGTTCTGGGGTCGCATGGCCCGCGAGCTGCTCACGTGGGAGAGAGATTTTCAGACGGTCCACAGTGGTTCGCTCGCCAATGGCGACAACGCATGGTTTGTCGAGGGTCGCTTGAACGCATCCTACAACTGTGTCGACCGTCATGCCTTCAAGAACCCTGACAAGACAGCCATCATCTACGAGGCTGACGAGGTCAACGAGGGCCGCAATATCTCGTACGGCGAGCTTTTGCGCGAGGTCTGCAAGCTGGCCTACACTCTCAAGCAGATGGGTGTCAAGAAGGGCGACACTGTTGCTCTGTACATGCCCATGATTCCCGAGGCCGTCATTGCATTCCTTGCTTGCTCTCGCATCGGTGCTGTCCACTCCGTCGTTTTTGCTGGTTTCTCCTCCGACTCGCTCAAGGACCGTATCATCGACGCAGACTCCAAGGTCGTCATCACCACTGATGAGGGCAGACGTGGTGGTAAGCTCATTGGCACCAAGAAGATCGTCGATGATGCACTCAGCAAGTGCCCTGGCATCAAGCACTGTTTGGTGTACAAGCGCACTGGTGCAGACGTGCCCATGACTGAAGGCCGTGACTTGTGGTGGCACGAGGAGGTCGAGAAGTACCCCAACTACATCGCTCCCGAGCCCATGAACTCGGAAGACCCTCTTTTCCTTCTCTACACATCCGGCTCGACCGGCAAGCCTAAGGGTGTCATGCACACCACTGGTGGTTACCTTTTGGGTGCCGCTGCCACTGGCAAGTACGTCTTTGACATCCACGACAACGACATCTTCTTCTGCGGTGGTGACGTTGGCTGGATCACTGGCCACACATACGTTGTTTACGCACCTCTGCTGCTTGGTGTTGCAACAGTTGTTTTCGAGGGTACTCCTGCATACCCCGATTTCAGCAGATACTGGGATGTGGTTGCTCAGCACAAGGTCACACAATTCTATGTTGCACCTACTGCTCTGCGTCTCCTGAAGCGCGCTGGTGATCACTACGTCAAGCACGAGATGGAGCACCTCAGAGTTTTGGGCAGTGTCGGTGAGCCCATTGCCGCAGAGGTGTGGAAGTGGTACTTTGAGATTGTCGGAAAGGAGGAAGCTCACATTGTCGACGTAAGTTGCACTTGATGGGATCTTTGATCGAATGGTTCTAACAGTTCACAGACATACTGGCAAACAGAGACTGGCTCGCACGTTATTACTCCCCTTGGTGGTGTCACTCCCACAAAGCCCGGTAGCGCTTCCCTTCCCTTCTTCGGTATCGAGCCCGCAATCATCGACCCCGTCTCCGGCGAGGAGCTTCACGGCAACGACGTCGAGGGTGTTTTGGCCTTCAAGCAGGCATGGCCCAGTATGGCCCGTACTGTCTGGGGTGCACACAAGAGATATATGGACACATACCTGAATGTTTACAAGGGATACTACTTCACTGGTGACGGTGCTGCCCGCGACCACGAGGGCTACTACTGGATCCGCGGCCGTGTTGATGACGTTGTCAACGTTTCCGGTCACCGTCTTTCTACTGCCGAGATTGAGGCCGCTCTGATTGAGCACAATGCTGTCGCAGAAGCTGCTGTTGTCGGTGTGGCCGATGAGCTCACTGGCCAGGCAGTCGCAGCCTTTGTTTCCATCAAGGAAGGTAACGAGGCCAACGACGCTCTTCGCAAGGACCTTATCATGCAAGTAAGAAAGAGCATTGGTCCTTTCGCTGCACCCAAGGCCATTCACGTGGTTCCCGATCTTCCCAAGACTCGCTCTGGTAAGATCATGCGCCGTATCTTGCGCAAGATTCTCGCTGGTGAGGAAGACCAACTGGGCGACATCACCACTGTAAGTTTTCGAAACATGAACATCGCGCGACAACCAGGTACTGACCAATCATCTAGCTCTCGGATCCTTCAGTTGTTGACAAGATCATCGAGGTTGTACACGCCAGCAAGAAGTAATTGCATTGCGACGATTTTGTTACACAGCTTTGCGACCATTTTCTTTTGGATACCACTTTTTCACTTTTTTCTCACATCATGTCTACGGACCTTGTACGAGCCGCCGATGCGGGATGAATATTTACACCTCTTAACTACTTCCGAATCTTATTGAAACAAAGTCCTACTATTTCCATCATGCTGTCCACCTGGTCTCGGCTCATTGAGCATATAGCACCGAGTTCACGTGCTATGCCTCAGATGTGCCCATCTCTCTTAGGGCTACGGACCCTCTGAAGTGAGAGCAAACACTTAGAATCGATTGTCATGAGCTATATTCGTCGTCGCATCTATCCGCAACACAGAGTTCCTGTCGAAGGAAAACATGCTCTGTATATAGTATCAAATCGAGGTTCGGGTCGTCACGTAGAGAAGATCATGAAAGTGTGGGTGGAGAGAGAAGCCCTGAAAATCATGGAGTGCAATTTAACGTGTCTATATTTGACCACAAAGACAAGAAATTTAAGCGAAATGTCATTCTAGACCACTACCGTTTGCATGTCTATTCCTCTGCTGTTAGCGAGGCCAATACAAGAAAAAGACAAGAAAAAGGAAGTTGGAAGGGGGAAGGAACCTGAGCATTGATATTCAAATCGATGTTGGCAAACATGTCATGGACTAGAACCTCAAACAGAGACATGCTGCAGTGACGATCAGCCCAACCAAAACATCTTAGGCTCCTCGGACCTTTTACAGGTTTCAAGTCCTGCCGACACCATCTCGGACACTCATCTGCCCAAATGCGGGCTGCACAAAGACGGCAGTGAGCGGACAAGAAGATCTTCGCTCTTGTCAATAAGAAAATCTTTTGTCGAAGGGAAGATCTTCAGGCACATGCGTGGCGACCTACTGTAGTAGCCGTTGATTAGCTTGTTTGAAAATAGTCATGCCCGTCTGTTCCTGCCTGTTCGTCTCTTCGACATCTATCAATTGGATACACAATGTCTTGAACTCTATATGATATGGTGACATGATCAGTTGCGTGCTTTGTTGCTGTTTCTGGCGTACAGGCCGCCCGATACGACGGGCTGAAACTGTGCCTTGGTCAAATCAGGTCGATGCAGGTTGGAAAGCTGAAACGAAGGAAAGTGCAAGCTCCAGCTTCCCCCGGAAGGACTTCCGTTTCTGCTGCAGATCTTTGGCGATCATCGATCTTGCCCGTTCACAGTCGTAGCTCCTTCATCCAGTTGGCTCTGCAATTATATCCTGATGGGCTAAATCCATTCATCTCTGGCCACCTAGCCGTTCTTGTCCGATCTTCGTTACGGTAGACTGCATATATCCGACTGAAGCCATGATAGCCATCAGCTTAGCCCTACCGGATCCCCTTTCAGAAGCAAGCATCATGCAAGCAAGACAAAGATGCAATGCAATGACGGACTTCATCATACCATGTCTGCGGAAGCTCAGGCTCCCGTACGTACAGCCTTATATGAGAAAATCTCTGTGATAGCGGGTTACTGATGTCAGACAGCGAGGCCGGCCATTGTCACGTCTCAGATTTGGCCTTAAAGGACCCTAAAACAAATTAGCGTCATTGTTTCTGGTTTCTAGACGTCTCAGACGCAGCTGTCTTATACTATGGCGACGGCTCAAAGTAAGACTTACCTCGTGTCGTTCAGCTGGTCTTGTTCCCATTCTACGGTTCGTCACTCTTCCAAAGCCTCCTTTTTCCATCCACACCAAACTGACTTACACCTGTCAGATTTTGTCGGTAACTACTGCCTGTTCTGCAAGCTCTACCGAGTTGAAGACAACTAGAGTGATTCCAGCTCAAGGCACACTTCTAGCTCTATGCTTGAAACACTTGCAGTATTCGACAACCAGAAGCCCTTATCCAAAAGTCCATCCCCAAAAGAAAAGCCCTACACAATCGTTGACTCATGTATGTTTCCACCCATACATGAAATCTGCATATGTTGACCAGCAGCCAGTAGTCGTATCACCATCATGTCTGGCAACGGCCAGTATGCACTGTTTCCCAGATCGGACAGCCAGATCCCGCCAATCAGATACAAGCTCACACAAACTCCTGGCGAGAGAGCAAAACTTGTTCTGGTGAATGAAGCTGCGAGTCACGAGCCAAAGCCTCTCTACAAAGAGGTGTCTCGAGGTCGTGGTATTGTGAGAGGACATCGTCAGGAGAATTCGGATGTGCTGCCACTACGGAGTGTCGAAGATCTCCGTTCAACGCATGTCGCTCATGAGAAGCAAAGGTCGTTGTCTTCTAATCCAGGTAGACAGCGATCGATGGTTGCTCAGGAGATCTACAGCCGGCCTCGGGATGCTAAATCTGCCGAGACTCTACAACATGCCGTATTGCAACCACTGTCTTACGAAGCACCACGTAAGGTCTCAACAGGTGATCCCTTGGAGAAATTAGGAGCAAGAATTATGGCGAGGAAGAACTCGCGGGATGAAACTCCTGTCGTCATGAGGAAGAGTTCGCGAGACGAGAGTTATTCCTCAATGCGCAAAGGCTCGCGAGAGGAGATTACTGCACTATTAAGAAAAGGCTCGCGAGATGAGACTGCTACACCGAGGGTCAACCATAAAGCGGAAGAATCATCGGACTCAACGAGGAGTACACCACGACCACAACTTACTACTGTACCAGAGGCTCGCGATGAATCGATCATGCAACGAGGCCGTCCCATATCACGAAGAGACAGCCAGAGGAGAGACAATACCGATCCCTTTTCTGGAAATATGAGCCCGCGATCACACTCCGCAGCGCCAACTTACACACTACCCCAAACCTGTTACGCGCCTTCATACTCCTCTGTCCAACCGTCGCCTTCCAAATCTATACCTACACGTCCATCCCTCAAAACGTCTGCATCAACACCATCTGTCCCTCGGCTTCCTTCAATACAACCATCTTTATCAGCACCTAATACTGCTCGCCCGATGCTCTACCAATCTTCTTCATACCAAACCTCCTCAGCATCCACTCGTGCTCCTCTTCAGCCATCACCCTGGGAACCCACACATCCACGCAAAGACTCTCTAGACCCCATCGGCTTCCGCACAGACGGGCCCTTTCGAGTCGTCCGTGCCCTACGAGAAATCGACAAGTCCTGTCTCCGTCTCTTCGATGAATGCGAAGCACTCCAACAAGACCGGCGGACCCTCCACGCTGAGATGCTTTCTGTGGTAAATAACCAAAACTTCAATGCTGGACATCTTGCTATTATCCGACAACAGCAGCAAGATTTGGTTGACTTGGACACCAAAATAGACGCTTGCATGCACAACATCATGGAACGACAACGTCGAAAGACTAAACTCGTAGATGGGCTTCCAGAGATCCAAGAAATGGACAAGGCGGAAGAATTGAAAGAGAGGGTGGCTGCGAGAGAGGCAGAGGCTGCAGGCAGTGTGACTTCTACACCAGCTAGTAGATCGGCTTCTCCCTGGGGACCTCGAGAGAGTTCTTTGAAAACGACTGCCGTACAAGCAAATGGGTTGTTGTCGCCCCCTCCGACGTTGAAGGCGCAGCAAAGAGGTACGGTCACTTATTCGGCCATTATGGATTTTCTAGATGAGTTCGATTGAACGGTTTTTCATTCATTTAATGTTGTTGTAGATACCACATTTTCCTTGTTCTGTATTATTCTCATTCAACTTTTTTTTTTCTCTTCATGACATCTCAATATCCGCGTCAGAAACGGCTTTTTAGGAAGGAACGATGTATGAGGAAAGAACGATGCATAGAGATAACGTGGCTTCAATGAAACTACCGACAATAACGACAGGGGGAATAAATGAGAAATAGAGAGACCTCCAGAAAGAACCACTTCAACGCCAGCCTTAGGAACAGAGATCATTACAGTCGTCCAATCTTTTTTCACCATCTTCCAGACCAATCCAACAACTTCCGGACTCCACCAACAGCTACTCCAAACACACCAAGTCTTCGATGGAGCCCTTTTCCCGCCTGCATGCGTTGAGCTATCTAAGCGGCCTGCCCATCATAGCAGATCTTCAAGCTCGCAGGGAAGGGGAAGTAGCGGTCCCAATCCTCGAGCAGGTAACAGTGGTATTGCCATTCAGGCTTGAATTCGACATCAGGGGCAAGAGCTGAGAAGTCTTTGACGACTTTCTTGACACTGTCGACGGGGCCAGGCCAGACGGGTGCGGGACGAAGGTTGGGCAGTTTGCAGAGGGTTTTGAGGATGGCGCCCATGGCGACCAGCGTCATGGGTTGACCGAGACATTGGTGAGGTCCCTGGCCTAGATGGATGTACGACTCAATGGGGCGGTCCAACTTGATGGTTTCGGGGTCAGGGAAGATGACAGGGTCGCGAGATGCAGAGCGGAAGTTGAGAGTGACCGTGTCGCCAACGTTGAGCTTGACTCTACGGTCCATGTCTTCGACGATCATCTCCTTGGCGACGGTACGATAAACTCCAGTCTCGCTGTGCAGACGTGAGAATTCAAGGAAGTAGCGCATGATCGTCTCATCGTCCTCAGGGGTACCTCTGACGGCCAATTCGTGAAGGATTGGAAGATACTCGCGGCCGTCGCTGAAAAGCCAAGCAATGACTTGTCCGAAGAATTGACCCTGATTGGCGCACATGCTACCCGCGGTAGGAATGATCTGTGCCCATACGAGCTCTTTGACACCCATACCCGAAGTGTGCAATAAGCGCTCAATCATGTGCTTGCCATACTGGGTGAGGATCGAGCGATCCTTGCCATACCACCACTCACTAATGCGATCAATGGCACCAGACACCTGTGGCAGTGCCATGGCTTGAACTTGCATCTCCATGAGCTTTCCGACTTGTTGGATAGCATCGTGAGCGCCTTGTCGTAGTTCGAACGAGTGTTCCGGGTCGACATCGAAGAAAACACATGCAAAGACAGCTGCCATCACAAGATACATTTGTTTCTCTGTGAAGACGCCATGCGGGTGTTCTTCCGTCTTGAGTGGTAGATTGAAAACCTCTGAGCAAAAGTGCACATGTACGATGTTGGTCACATCACGGATGAGATCCACGTAGTTAGTGCCGGCAAGCTTATATGAGTGCTGCTGCAGCAGCATAGAGGTGTGCTCTTCGTAGAACTTGCGGACCTCAAGAAGCCATTTTTCGTGTCCTGTGGGCTCTGTGCGGGAGAATTTGCCGAGATACAGAGCCTGCTCCATCATATCACGAGAAGCTTCGTTGACCTTGTTGTCGCCCGCAAGCATGAAGCTCTTGGCTTCAGGACCCATAAGGAATTCGATCTTTGGTCCCCAGTACACTTTGAACGCCTCCTGATCATAAAGAATCTTCTTTGCGGCATCGTAAGAGAACAACATCTTGGTCGGAGGAAGGCGAGTTGGTCTGTCAAAATTGTACTTGTGGGCCTTGCCTAGACCAGTTAAGACCTTCTTCATCTCATCAGGTACAGTGAACGGGAAGTGAACATAGACCGAATCCGGGCGGAAGTGATTCGGGAAAGCCTTCATGAAAAGCTTGTACATGACACAACCGTGGTTGATCTTAAGATCAGAGCCTTGTTCGGCGAAACCCCAGTTTGTGAGCGCTGCGGGATGATGGGAGGTGGTATAGAACCTATCGCCACGAACCAGAACAGTAGCATCTGAAAGAATTGCGCGGGACGTTGTGTACGAGGGACAAAGTCCTGATCCAGGACGCATTGGAAGCTTTGCGTCTTCGACAACCAGCCCAGGATACAGCTCAACGTTATCGGGGTGATCATATAGGTGCTTGAGAGACTCAGAGATCTCCTTATCAGCAGTGATCTCTTCAAATGTTGAGTAAGGCTTCAGATGGAAGTGCTTCCTGAACTCGTTGAGAGTTGCAAGGTTCCAAGCTCTTGCTTGTCTAATACCCAGCACTTCGATCTGCTTCATTACCAGAGGTACCTGGCGGGGCCCAAAAGCATTGGCGCAATCCTCGATACTCTCAACCAGAATCTGAGCGAGTGTGTCGTCTGGTAGAGTCCCATCAGCATTCCTCTGAATGTCATGGAAGTTGCGCTCCGTAGGATCTTGGGCTTTGAGATCAGCCTCCATGTGACCTAGAGTCTTCAAAAACTCCATTTGAGGCACTTCGTCTGGCTTTCTTCCGGGAAAGAGCTTTGCAAACAGGTCTTGGGTCCACTTGTCATCTCTGTCTGACACTGCTGAATGCCAACGGTAAACCAGGTTGAATTCGGCACTGACTTGATTGCCACAGCCAAGGTCAGGCTGACCAGGGAATTCAGCGCGTGGGTTAAGAGACCAATCAGAGTCTGTTCTGTTGAGGTTCAAGATCGTTCTCACGTAGTCAATGAGAATGATGTTGATGTATAGACCACAAGTGATCAATCTGCCGGTTTGGAACAAATCATTGTCGTATTTGGTCCATTTATCCTTTGCTGCATCCTCAGCGGGCCGAGTAAACCTGCTGTTCTCGTTGATGAGAGCAAGTTGCTCCACGATGTAGTTGTGGAAACGATTGAACATGATCATGATCACGCCAACTCCAGGAGGGAAGGACAAAAGACGGGTCTCTGCAAACGAATCGGGCTTGATTTTGCCGTCTTTGAACGTTCTGATTGTGTCTTGTTCGCTCTGGTCGCTGCCATAAAGTGGAGACAAGTCAAGGTAGGACGAAGTGTCGGAGATCCGGAAATCCTTGTGGTTCGTTTTGAACAGATCATGAATGATGATTGATGCCAAGTAGAACAGCATGCTAGAAATTTTGTTGGGGTGCTCAGTAGCCTCCTTTCTAGCCATAAGGACATCGAATAGGACAGCTGGATCGGGTAGATTGCCTGGCTGAGTCGTCGCTGGCTTGACGGTGCGAGCATAAGATTCATGGGCAGCTCCCAGACGAGGATGAAGATAGCTGTTGTCGGAACCATCTGCACTGCGGTATTGGTATCTGTCACTCATAAAGACCTTCGGAGGATGTTCGAGGTCATTCCAAAGAGCAGTTACAAAGCTGTTTGTGAGTTTTTGGCCGACCACATCGTTTGGAAGTTGTTGAGCGGCCTGAGAGAAGTGATCAGCAGGTGCTCAGATTGCCTGATAGAGTGAGCATACTTTGATGAGGTATTCCATAAGGTATTGTTTGTCGTCGAGATCTTCTCCATTCTTGGTCTTGATGCTCATTTCTGCGACCTTTTCGGCAGTGTTGAATCCAAGATGAGAAACGTCTTTGACAATAGTCTTTAGAGTGGGCGCAATCGTCTCGTTCTTCTCTACTGGCAGTGCTGAACCATCGCCTGTGACGGTTGGAAGCGGAGCCCTCATTGCGGACAAAAGAGTGCCCATTGAACCAAGAGATTCGCGGATTTTGTCAGCCATGCCATCCAAGGCTGAGGGAGGCAATGGATCGGAGGTCTCTCCAAAATGATTCATCTCGACCTGATTCACCATTGGCTGCTTTTTGTTAGTGACATTGGTCTTGGACGGACTTTCAATGTACACGACGCTATGGTCTTGGTCCACATCAGGTCGAAAGCACGATGCACTGCTGAAGACTCGACGAAGACCCTTCATGTTGGAGGTTTCCAGCGAGGCAAAGAAAAAAAAAACGAACGACTGGACTGACTGTAAGAAAAAGAGCAGCTCACCTCGAGCATATAGGGCGACCGGCTTAAGAATATTCCGTGCTAGCAATCTAGGACGACGGTAGAAGAGGCTAAAGCCAGGGAATTGGAACTACCCCAGAGGGCTGGAAGTTTAACTCAGCTTCAGCTGAACGACCGTTAGGTGGATAGGACTTTTCTAGAATACGAAGAGAGTTTGATAACGAGGAATACAGGATGAAGGAAAAGTGGGACTATTGAGAGACGTTTGAACTGATGAAAAATCGGAATGCAGCGCTTGAGGATCCTGAGGGGACCTTTTGTAGAAGGAGCCATCTTTCACTAGATTGGGTGTGTGTTACCGTTTTAGGAACGAGGTCAAGCACGGCTGAGGATGACAGCTGAGAAAGTGCGGGCCGGAGCGACAGGGGCCCTTCGCAGCGATACGATACTTACAAGATAACAGAGGAACATAGTTTTCTCGCCAAAAACAGTATTGCAAGCGGGTCTTTTCGTGCGGCACAGTGATGGTTGTGGGGGCGCTGTTGGTGTGTTGGATGCCTCAGCACGGGCATGGTGGGCACTGAGAAGTGGACGATTTCGTATCTGAGTAATCAGGCAAGCAAAAGGCTGAGGCTGTACGGTTGTGTTTAATGGAAACGCAGCAGTACAAACTGTAGAGTATTGGTCGAGTACATATGCACAAGATTGGGGCTGCATGCATGCATATATACTGTATGCTCAGCCTGGATGCCTGGGGCCTGTTTCCACCCTGGACTCCGGACAGAGCGAAGCGGGCAGTGTAGCAGGATGCACGCTACAGAGTAGAAACACGTGTTGGTCTCTTGATGTGCACCAATTGACAGGGATGGAAGAGCTTCCGAATGTGCTTATTTGGCGGCACCGAATCAAGGAGCCGCTTTGGGGCTTTCGTGGCTCGAAAAAATGAGGAGCCGGGGAGCCTCGGCACGTGGAAGCGCGAAGGAATGCTGGAATGTTATCAAAGCTTCTCGAGTTCACGAAGCTAGCGTCAACATCGCAACGGTCGTCAGAATAATCATCGTCGAACGATTCGCTTTCCTCGTTTAGCTGTCCTCTTCCGACAAGCACACAACGTTGCATCAATCACACCACACCACCATCAACATGGCCTCGAAACCGGTGAACCTGGTTATCAAACCTAGAGGTGACAATTGACCCTATACGACAATACGGCCCAAGCTGACGACCAGGGGCTTAGGACGCACAATCAAGAAGCTTCCCACCGAAGCCACCACATACCTGCAGGGCAGTACTGCAGACCTCTACCAGCGCATTGCCGCCGAGTCTGGCATCTCAATCCACCGTCTCCGCCTGACCAAGGGCAGCGACGGCTCCCTCGTCCCCAATGCAAAGGACTTTACCGTTGAGCGCACTGGTCTGCGCAGCGACAGCGTCGTCTACGTGAAAGACCTTGGTCCACAGATCGCCTGGCGCACCGTCTTCATCATCGAGTACCTGGGCCCACTGCTCATCCACCCTCTCTTCTACTACCTGCGTCCGTACATCTACAAGAATGCTCCCGCTGAGCCATCATATCTGCAGTCCCTTTCCTGCATCATGCTAGCTCTACACTTTGCGAAGCGTGAGTTCGAGACCATCTTCGTGCACCGCTTCTCCAGTGCCACCATGCCCGCCCGCAACATCTTCAAGAACTCTGCTCATTACTGGGTGCTCGGTGGTGCCAACATTGCCTACTGGATCTACTCTCCCACTGCTCCCACTGCTGGCCCTTCGAGCCCCTTGATCACTTACCTCGCCATTGCTCTCTTCGTCATCGGCGAGCTGGGAAACCTCAACACTCACTATGTGCTGCGTAACCTGCGTAGCACTGGTGGCACTGAGCGTGGCATTCCCAAGGGTCTTGGCTTCGGCCTTGTGACATGCCCCAACTACATGTTTGAGGCAGTGGCATGGATCGGTCTCTGGCTGGCATCTTGGAGCTTGAGCACTGGTCTTTTCGTTGTTGTTGCCGTAGGCCAGATGGCTGTCTGGGCAAAGAAGAAGGAACGCAGATACCGCAAGGAGTTTGGCGACAGATACCAGAAGAAGAGGTTCTCCATGCTTCCCGGTCTGGTTTAAGCAATACCAGCAGATGGACAACCCTTGGCATGGTTACAGCTTGAAAGCATATAAGCATCATGATCCGAAAAAAGGAGCCAGAACAGTCGGCATTGTATAAATAGATATGAAACAAAGATTAGTATATTGAGCAAAGAAAAAAGAGAAGAAAGTTGAAAATCATATACACTGAAATGGCTCTTGGTTGACCTGGAACAAAGATAGAGGATGAACAGCGAAACGAAAGGAGTTCTTGACAAGAGGCATACTGCAACGACCAGCGTCCGCGAACAGCTTACTATCTCCTTGAAGCCCTCGCACCCTTGAAAATCAGACCACCAACAACACCAGCAGCGACAGCCAAACCGCCGACAATGGCGACACCCATCAAGCCCTCCTTAGCAACCTTATCATCAATCAACTGCCTCAAGCTCTGAGCTTGCAGATTATTGGGCTCCAAATCAACCAGCAACTCATTGTAACGGCGAGCCTCTGCATACGAGCCCAGTTTGTAGTTTCCGAGCGCGAGGTAGTAGAGACATTCGCGACGGCGGTCAGGCGACGAGCGGAAGATCTCGGTAAGCAGACGCACGCCTTCTTGTTGTTCGGGTCGTTGGGTGGATTTGATGAGGCCCCAGGCAAAGTTGAATTTTGTCTGCAGAGAGACGTATTCGCCTTCTTTTTCGTATTGTGAGCGGAGGACTTGGAGTTCGGCGGGTTTCAGAGGACTGAGGGATGTGGGTTAGTTTACTGGGAGAGGCTCGGGGGGAGAGAGGCGTACGACTCCGCATCTGCGGCATCTGTGACAAGGCGTCAGAATGATGAGATACAGAGACAGGATGATTCAGACTCACATGGAAGATGGTCACCCATGTTTGTGTGGTTTATGTCGAGCAAGAAAGATGAAGATGGAATGGCTGACTGCCGGGAAGTCGCATGTGAAGTCATCGGCCAGGGTCTCGGTCCTGCCCGCACGTCGAGGAAAGGGCGTTGCTCCGCCATCCAGAGTTTGTAAACACCCAACTTTGCAACATCATCGTCGACATCCATCATCAGAACATCTCAACCACACACGCCTACAAACACACTATCATCTCGCACACACGTCAAAATGGTTCTCTTCGACGAAGATCCCGTCACTGTACGCCTTCCTCTTTACCAATGACTTGCGACATTCTAACTAACAACCGCACAAGCTCATCCGCCAAACAACCCGCAACTTCCACACAGACAGCGATCTTCAATCCATCTCACGTATCCACTCCTCCCTCTCTACCCTCCGCAGCGCCCGCTCTCTACGTCTAAACGCCCAACACACCCAACTAGCCCAACTCTCACGAAAAGCCCAACACCTGCGCGCAACCCACGAATCCGAGGTTTCACGACATGATCCTGCCGCCCACGCCTCTGATATCCTAGCACTGGACACTGAAAAATTCAGAGTCGCCAAAGCTGCAAACGAGCTGGAGATTGAAGGCGAGAGATTGGGCTCTGAGGTTCACATGCTCAAGAAACAGTTGCAGAGGTTGGAGGAACAGGGTGATGAGGTTGAGAGTGCTGAGAACAAGGCTGAGGATGAGGTCGTGTAAGTCTTCTTTCCTCCTCGCCAATAAGATGTATTCAGAGAGACTAACGTCATAATCACAGATTGAAACTCGGTGTCTACCGCAGCTTGGGCATCGACGCAGAGCAAGACCACAACACTGGCGAGTTCTCCCGTGCCGTTATTAGAAATACCGCAAAGGGAAGCGTCAACGTGGTCAACCTGGATCCAAAGTTCGATCGCTTCTTCTATGCAAACCACTTCTGGAACAGCATGTAAAGAGGAGGATTCAACACATGCGATCTCCAAATTTTCATTTCTGGTGGTAGGGGCGTCTTTTGGTGGCTGCGGAATTGGTTTCAATTGGATTATGGTATATACCCTCAGCTATGCTCTGGTCATGGCTTTATGAACTTTTCTTCGTCTTTTCCTTCCTGAGAACTCATCAGACGAGACTCATACATGCAAAAAGAAGCACGGATTTAGAACATTGTTTTCATGGTTCAGTAACGACAGTATATGTGCATTGCTTCTCTGTTCAACTATGCGCGAAACTACCAACGATAGCCAAACGACGGAAACCACCCTACTTCTTCCACCATTCTACGAACTCAGATACAGATGGTTGAAACTCTACTTCTTACCACCCTTCTTCTTGTTCGGCACAACCTTGAAACTGCCATTGTTCAAGTCATCCTTGGGTTCCTGCTTAGGGACTGCAGCATTCTTCTTTGCAACCTCGCTCCAGCCTCCAGCTTGAGATGCTGCTGCTGCAGGACTAGCAGGCTTGGTGGTATCCACCAGGCCCTTGTCAGCGAGCTTGCGTCTGCGGATGAATTCCTCGGCAAAGTGACGTGAGTCGATGGTGTGGGAGACGCTGTGCACGGCTTCGGTGACGATCTCGAGCTCGGAGGGGAAGGAGAGGAGGTTGTTGACAAATTCGTCAGCTAGAGTAATCATCACGTTAGCTTGATTTCCTTTGTCGTATACAGTATATGGGGTTGATATCAACTTACCTGTCACGCTCTTGTTGAGATCGTGCTTGAGCTCATTGACAGCCCACTTCTTGAATTCGTCAATGGCATTGACGGCAGAAGGGCCAATAGTAGCTCTGGCCGGAACGGTCTTCTTGACAGCTGCTACAGTAGGAAGCACAGTGGAGCTGACTGCTCTGTTGGTGACAGGAGTGGGAGCAGGCAGAGGAGTCTTGACCTTGCCACTAGCACCGACAGTGGTCCAAGCACCTCCGATGCCAGGCACAGGGCTGGCAGGAGCAGGCGACGATGCCACCTTGCTGGCGAGATCAGCATATCTCTTGCCACCAGCAGATTGCTGAGCAGGAGTAACACCAATAGCTGCAGCAGCCTGTGTGGCTGCGGCGGCGGCTGCGAGACGCTTCTTGCGAGCTTCCTCCTCCTTCTGAATCTGTGCCATGCTCTTGGCAGTAGTAGGAGCGGCCACTGTCTTTGCGGCCTTGGCCCAGGGCGAAGGAGCAGTACCGGTAGCGGGTGATGCAGTAGCACTGCTCGCCCAGTTGGAAGTCAAGGGGAGGCCGGGTGCAGGTGCAGTGGTCAGCTGGACCTGGGCGAGCTCCTTCTCAAAGGCAACGCGGCGAGCTTCAGCAGCAAGTGCTTCGGCCTCAGCGGCCACCTTAGCCTCGGCTTCCTGGATTTCCTTGAGAGAAGGTCCTCTGGAAGACTCAGCAGGCTCCTTGGCCCAAGGAGCAACCGAAGCGCTGGGAGTCTCAGCTGATGGAGTCTGCGAGCGAGATCTTGACTCGGCGTGAAGTGCATCGGCGACATGAGATCTGTTGCGCTGAGCAGCGGGAGCAGGTAGAGGAGATTGCGAAGGTGCGGGAGGGAAGGGTTGGGGCAGAGAAGTATCGACCTTGGCCCATGGAGACGAAGCAGGGGCAGGGGATTGCTTGACAGACGCAGCCTTCTGCACTTGTTCTGTCAAAGAAGGCTCCTGCTTTGTTTGAACAGCAGCGGCGGCGGCGGCGGCAGCGGCAGCCTCCTCGTGCTGTGCAAGCGCTTGAGCCTCTTCCTCATATTGAGCATCGTACTCCGATTGAGTCTGTTCTGCAGATTGAGCTCGGCCCTGCTCTTGTTGGTTTTGTTGCTGCTCCGATGGAGGAGCAATAGGCTTGCCAATAACACCTTCCGAACCGACGCCGAATGGATCAGCTCTGGCATGCTCTTGCAAGTTTTGGAACTGCTCGAACTGCTCGTTTCTTGCAGGCTGATCGTGCTGGAATCGGTGTGCAGCATCATGTTGTGCCTGCTGCTGCTCGAGGCGAGAGCGATCATCAAGCATGGTATTAATGCGGCGTTGCTCCTCGGATTGAGAGAATGGCTGGCCGATGCCACCAAAGTTGCCCTGTGCTGGTCGTCCGAGGTTCAGTCTGTTGACCATGCCTGACATGTCCTCTTCTCTGATGTTGCCGAGCGCGTCTACACCAGCACCGATAGCACCAAGACCGCCAAGAGGCCCAGCAGTTCTGAACGAGTTGTCGAAGAAGCCAGGAACATGAGAGCTGCCGCTTGTGCCAGTACTACCGAAGGTATTTTGGAGAGGGGCAGGGGGGAATGGAGGTGCAGGCGAACTGAGACTGCCGAAGCTTTGCTGGCTGTGCAAGCTCTGCACGCTAGACTGATGGTGCAGCTGAGGGAATAGCAGCTGACCAGTTTGTGCCTGGAAGCGCTGTGCGAATTGTTGCTGGGCGAGATGTTCCTTCTGGCGAGCCATCAGGTACTGTTCCTCTTGTTTGCGGCGTTCCAGCGCGTTTTGCTGGTCAGCAGTCAAGGTGGTTCCAAAGCTGGGGAAGCTGTTGGCGAAGGGTGGCTGCGCTCCTCCTGAAGACAGAGGGTTGGTCCAGTTAGCCGGAGGCTGTGGAACAGTAGGGTTGCCATGAGGGATGCCGATTTGAGGGACCAGGAATGGCTCGCGAGAGTTGCCGATTCTGCGGATCAACTGGGCCAAGGGCTCATATTCGGGATCCTCATACTTCTTGACAAGCAACTCAGGGGAGAAGAAACCGGCCTTGTACCAGTCGTGCATCTCCAAGCCTGACCACGGACCTTGAGTGACTCCCTGGGGATCACGGTAGATCCACCTCATACGGTCGGGCATAACCATGGTCTTCTGCTGGGCTGGAGGTGGTTGGTTGGATGCGGAGCTGCTAACAGCCTGAGCCTGCATGGAGGCAGAGGGTTGAGCAGGGCGTTGGCCGATGGGCTCCTGGTTAGATGTCTCGGTGTTGCGGTCTTGATCACCGAAGGCACCAGAAACATCGGCAGTACGTCTGAAAGGACTAGACGTGTCGCGAGGCGGGTTCGCAAAGTCTCCAGACCCAGCATCATCTTCATCTTGTCGACCATGCTCAGGACGCTGGTCCTGTACGCTGGTCGGGAAGAGAGAGCCAAGTCGACTTCCACCACGGCTTTGACCAGACTGAGCGCCGAACGCTCCCAGACCGCTCAGAGCAGAAAGGCTGGGGGAACCCAAGTCGGCCGACGAGCCGAAGGGGTTGTCACCGAAATTGCCAGCCATAGCGGCCCTGTCCCTAATAGGTGTACCAATTGACGCTTGAGTGCCACCCCAAGCGGAAGCACCCCCGAGACCAGGAAGGGCGCCGAGACCAGAGAATCCACCGAAACCTCTGTTCGGGCCAACGCTAGATGTCTGGCTACGATCGCTTGGTGGAGCTGCTGGGACGCGACCTAGGTTTCCAAGCCCATGGAAACCTCCAGCGCCAGAAGGCATGGAATCATTCATGAGGCCACCCAAGTTTGGTAGATGGGCATTGTGGAGATCAGATGCGTCGTCATCGGCATCTTCAAGGTCAGCAGGCACGTGCTCGGGACTATGGTAAGGGTTGGTGTCAGAAGGACTCATCGCATCGTTGCCAGCGGGTTGTTGCTGCTGAGCTTGCTGCTGGCCCAACAGGGTACGGAAAGGATCCGACGTCATGCCAAAAGCACCATGGCCAAAGTCATCACGCGAGTCCTGACGGCTAGGCGTGCCGAAACCACGGCTGCGGGGAGGAGAAATATCCTGACCACCACCAAGAGCAGCACTGCCAGTGGCCTGCTGCTCGTGTTGCTCATCGTGAGGAATTGATTCCAAACCTCCAGGATTAGCTTGTGACGACTTGCCATCGTCGTTGTCCTTAGCCATGAGTCCCTTGAAACGGCTCTCAGCCCTGCCGCCAGCCAGTCCAGGACGTTTATCTGCAGTCGGGGTGCCCACAGTAGCGTTAGAGTTGATGGCAAAATTGCCAAAGGCTCCCATCGGCGAGAACCCAGCGCTCTGTGGGGTAGCAGACCATGGCGATGATCCACCACCGACTGCCGTGTTCAGAGGGCCGGTGACAGTACGTTTGAGGCCAGAGAACGGAGGACGAGCCGCATCGGTGACATCAACAGAAGGCTTCTCATCCGACGAGTCACCCGTATCCTTGAAGTCGGTCCTTCTCCTAGTCAAAGAAGGAGGGGGAGAGTTGGGACGGGAGTCAACACGCGAAGTCTTGACAATAGAAGGCGAGTTGAGCGCCGAACTCGAGGGGAACGGATAGGCCTCCTGCGTCTCACGGCGTCGAGGACCTGGTCTAGCACCGCCAGGCGAGCTAACACCAAACGCTCCAGGACTGTTGACATTCTGCGACACGGAAATCTTGCGGTTGGGTGGATTGACAGCATCCTTGGTCACGGTAGTGGGTGGTTTCAGGGGCGAGTTGACGGATGAAAAGTGCTGGCCAGACGATTTAGCAGCAAATCAGTAGGGAGCACCAAGATTCGACGTACCTCCTTCTCTTCATCGTTCATATCAACCAGACCCAGTGGCCCTGTGGAGCCATCCTTTTCCCAGCAGACTTCCGGCCCAGGAACATGGTCTTTGGCTTGTTCGTCCCTCCTGCCCCATCCGCCCAAGGAGACACCATTGGTCTGGTTTGGTTCCCATCCTGCGACAAACAAAGGAGAAAGAGAGTCATCTAGCGAGCCCTCTACGTTCTGCTTGTGGTAAAGATCGAGAAGTTGGTTCTTGGAATAGCGAGTGTCCGAGTGGGCAGGGCCATTGCGATGCGGGGGTACATAGACTGCAGGTTGTGCGCCAGTAGTCGATTCCCTAGCATTGGAGTTCATCATGGAAGTAGCGACAGAGGGACGGCGGAAGGTCTGGGTTGCGCCGTTCGTTCGACGAGCCCTAAAGATCACACCTGGTCAGTCGCTTGCACATGGGTGTGTTTGCGCCTCCCAAGCTTGGTGTCCAGCAAAGCTCGGAGGAGCCACGGTCGACGTACCATTCTCCGGCAGAATCGGTGCGCGGAGTCGTAGGTGTGTTGCCGCCCGCAGCGGCGGATGCGAATGTGCTTGGAGGCGCCATGTTTTTTGAAAAGGGCAAGCTCGGAGGTGAAGCTCGTGGATTGACGGTAGCGATAGAGGTGGCGACTTGACGTCTGCGGACTTGGACAAGATGCAGGTGGCGTGCTAGAAATCGAGCGTGCGAATGCGAGAGAAGTTGCGCTGTGAATCGTTGGTTGCGTGAACGATGTCAGAGAGAAGTCGATATTCGCAATACTAAACTGTCCCAAATGGCGTAGAAATCTTGGCGCTGGTGACCGCGCGCAAACCCACGCTTCGCTCGTAATCGCCTACTCTTAATTTATGACGGCGGAACTGTTTCGGTGCTGCATCTTCTTGTGTTTCATGCCGCTATATATGTCTCAGCTTGTCTATCTATTGGCTACTTGCTGAGTCTATGAATCACGCAGCTTGTCGAGCACAACATTGGTGAATAATTGTGGCATTTGTAGTGATCGCACTCGAAGCTTTTCGCTCCACTCGTTTCTAGCTTCAGCCGTCACATGAGCTGCGAGCAGAGCATGATCAACTTTACTGCATACTTCTAACGACCTCCAAACTCTTCTGCTTTGTCTGCAAAATGTGCTTTGAGCTCCTCGGCCATCTTGCCTTCCGTTTCTGCAATGATGGTGCCAACGAGTGAGTAGTTGTTCGCAAGGAAGCGGTCTCTCTTCTTCTGTTCAGCAAAGCTCTTACTGAGCTTCGTCAAGAAAGTTTCGAAATCATTGCGCAACCTTCCCAGACTGTTCTGAACTGGCTCGTCGTCGCCAGCCTCGCTGCTTAATGCCAGGATTCCTTGAGTGAAGTTTGCAAATCGTTGAGTGATCTGGTGAGGTGCAATTGACTGTAGAGCGGATGCCGAAGATGTCAGACTGAGAGCTGAACCTGCTGGACGCCCCGATAGCGAAGATGTAGCTTTACGTAGAGATTCGCAATGTGCATCCATGACCATCTGAAATCGTGGCCACAGAAGCATGTTGGTTCCATTTACGTAGCCTTCCATGGCGGGTACTTTCCTACGCTGCAGCTCGAAAGCAAAGTGCTGGTTCAATCGAACAGTGATCAATAGACCAAGTGCGTCCACAGTAGGGTCGATTAATTGCTTGGTCAAAGCTTGACCGAGAGCAAATGTTGGTTGGAATATCTCGGTAAACTTGCGGTTGACTTCGTGATATGACTGTTTTGAGAAGAATCCAGTCAAAAAAGAGTACTCTCCCGAAGCGTTGTCCATCAGCGCGAGATTGAAAGCTCTGAATGGCACTTCCAAGTAGTGCGCAGACTTGTCTTCTTCCGCGATGTGTGATGAGAGAGCTGATTTGAAGCTGCCTTTGAGCATGTCCATGCGCCGACCTAATGAGAATGCATCGTGCGGTGCGGCTTGTGTTCGCGAGCCAGAGACTGCAGTTGTGCGTTTCGTAGCATCGTCTTGTGCCAGGACTTCGTTCTTGTCGACAACGTGAATGTTCATCTTGTCCAGCGATGCTTTGTACCGTGAAAAGTTGTGCAAGTAGAACCAACGCATGGTATTGATGTAAGCACGGCCAATTTCTTGGCCCAACTGGGGTTGGTGGCGGTCCAGAAATTGAAAGGCATCTTTGTATCTCATGAAATTGTTCTGCTGCAAAAGTTGAGCATTGACTCCAGGAGCACGCAAGGCTTTGATTTGGGACACGACATAGTCACGAGTACGCTCAACAGCCTTGTTTTTGAGGTTGTCTATTAGTGGTTTGAGCTCTGCAGCACTTTTGGACCTAGGAGCTTTCGAGTCAATGATCTTAGAGCGTTTCTCCAGATCCTCCAGGGCTTTGATCCACGCATCGTCAACAGGTCCGTCAGATATCTTGCGCACGATGGATGGAGAGATGGTCAAGGCATCAACTTCTGGAGCAAGTAGCTTCTCAACCTGCTTACGAATCTCAAGCTTGGTGTTGAGAGCAGATGAACGATTTTGCAGGGTCTCGATCTCGGCAGAGACAGCGGCCAGATCGGCCTGGAAGCTGGTGAGGTAGTTCTCTACAGACTTGAGAACTTCGTCACAGGCGACGATAGACTTGTGCAAATCCTCAAACTTGCCTTTATCCTTCTCGACTAGACGAACCTAAGCTTCAGGTGGGAGACCAGGGTGAACGAGGACGTGCCAACATACATTCTTCGACAGAGGGTTGTTCGGAAGGTTGGTCCGAAAGCGGAGGAGCATCAGCAAAGTCTTGCAGACTCAGCTCGCCAAAATCAATGTTTGCGCTCTGGTGGGCAGGTGCATCCGAGAGCAGAGAGTCAGATGGGACAGGAGCTAAGATGTCGCGCAGTACGTCAAGTGGATGTGAGACATTGTCAACGGGAGAAGCATCAAGCTGGTTTCTTAGATTGGAGTGTGCAGGCGGATATCTTGCGCCAGCAGGCAGGCTATCGGTAGATCCATTGGTAAGGAGCGATAGAGAGGAAGAGCGGTTGGCGATGCCTGGTCTGTGGGGAAGGGGGCTCGGGGCAAGGTGACTGGGTCTTCGTTGCGGCGCCGGCGACGACGACGGCGAAGGGTGCTGAGAATAACGATTCAACCACATGCCATCTGCAGTTTGACGGGCAAACGAGTGAAAAGAGGTGGCTAGCCGCCGTCGTGGGAGTGTTGGGCGAGATGAGACAAAGTCGCAGCTTCCTGATGAACACAGTACAAGTAGATCAAGGTGTTGGGTCGAGATTGTAACCGCAACCCTACGGGCAAGCAAGCGCGTCCGTGCACCGCGCCTTCCTTTCCCCACTTCACTAATTTTCGACTTCATCCTTTTCTTCGTCTCTTTCGCCATCTCTATCACCACATCCACATCTCTCACCCCATCACCACCCTTTACCACCACCAATCCAACACCGTCAAAATGGCCGACAACGACGCCCAGGTACGTGAGCTCTGCCCGAAAGCTCTGCTGTCACGCGTGAATGCTCCTGCCCGACCCCGCGCGCGACAACAAAGCCTCAAGCCCAATCCCGTCTGCCGTTTGCCCAACTCAACATGCTGACCACCCTGTCCTATAGCACGAGAACCACACCTTCGAGTCCACCGATGCCGGTGCCTCCACCACCTACCCCATGCAGTGCTCTGCCCTGAGAAAGAACGGCCACGTCGTTATCAAGGGCCGTCCCTGCAAGATCGTCGACATGTCGACCTCCAAGACCGGCAAGCACGGTCACGCCAAGGTCCACTTGGTCGCCATTGACATCTTCACTGGCAAGAAGCTCGAGGATCTGTCTCCCTCCACCCACAACATGGACGTCCCCAACGTCTCTCGTCGCGAGTACCAGCTCGTGAGTTTCTACCCCAATGCCCGCTCGTGTCAAAGCTCACACTGACTCTTCTACTAGCTCGACATCACTGACGACGGTTTCCTCTCCCTCATGCTCGACGACGGCTCCACCAAGGACGACGTCAAGGTCCCCGACAACGAGGTTGGTGAGCGCATCAACAAGCTCTTCAACGACGAGCAGAAGGACACCAGTAAGTTATGCCGCTTCTACAAAAGCCTACTGTCAGTAGCTGACCACTTTTTCCAGACGTCATCATCCTTACTGCCATGGGTGAGGAGTGCGCCATTGAGGCCAAGGAGGCTCCCAAGTCCGGTTAAACGATTTGCACATCCAACACATCGAGACAGCGCTTTCCACGCGCTGCTTCGGAGCCAGATGAGCATTGCAACAGTTTCGCTCAGTATGGTGGAGGCATGGTAGTGCCTGCCTTCCGCTGCTGCTGCAAGCCTTTTGTTCGATCTCGACGGCATCTAGCCGCATGTTTTTTCTTTACGACCCTCTTCTTTCCCACGGGCGAGTTGACGTGCGCGTCTAGACAATAAAATGTCACGAAGCGATGGTTTTCAAAAAAATCTACTCAATGCAAATCAATTCCCGAACAATCAAAATGAATGTACATGTGATGCTTAACAGCTTAATATTTGCTTTTCATGACTCTGTAGAGCTGCAAATCTAGATCTCAAATAGCGAGCTGCCTCCATCAAGGTAATGCTTCTGCCGGAGCTTCTTCGTTGATACGATTATACGACTTGTCGAATGGTGGTAAGAGTCAGGTTGTCAGACAGGGTGTTACCATGGGCTAAAGACATGTACTTACAAAATATTTCCTCCGCACGCATTTGCCTGGTAGAGGTAGACCACCAGAAAGCTGATCCTTGTTGATGAATTGAATTGTCTTGATCCTTGAAGAGAAAGAACGTGTTCGAAGAAGGGAGGTTGTGATAAACACACGGTGCGTGGTCGCATGGTAGCCATCGTAAGAAAATCCGGCGCTTGACACAAACAAGCTTTGCCTTCACAGCTCTCACTCATTCACTTCGACTGTGGTGGCGCATACACTTGGCTCTTGCCTTATGATAGGATGATTGTTGAGAATTTGCGCAGTCAGTATCCACCTTGATAAATGGAGTTCGAGTGCGAGGCGGGCTGTGGTTCGTCGACATTCCAGATTCGAGACGATGGATTCACCTACTGTTCTGAAGGACATCGTCAACTATCAGTAAGCTTCCGAATTTTTTTCCTTCTCTGCAAAGACGATCTAGATGTGTCTGACTGTCTGTATAGCGAGGTACACAAGTAGTCGAGGACACGGAAGGTGTGCCATCATTCGGCAAAAAAGCACGCAGGGCAAGAGAGGTCGAAGAGAACGTCGATACTGGTGAGTGCTTTCGTGCCAACTTTTTCTCATCATGTTTACTAAAAATTTATAGCCCTGACTGGCAAAAAGGCCTTCGAACACTATTTACTATGTTTTCAGCTAGTCTTGTGGAAACAGGTGCATTGGCTGATCCATACCAAGCGCCTCCCAAACGAGCTCGAAGTAAGCCACGACTTGCATTTCTTGAGAGTACCGCCTATGCTGATTTTGATATAGACAGTGATACGCGACATTTGGGCCCTACGCCTGCAAAGCCTTCAATCACGCGTCAGCTACGAGTCAGAGAGTGAGGCCGAACACAGTTCTCAATTTTACAGTTCTCAGTCCGAAGCGGAAAGGACTGATGATACAGCACACACACGTCGGGCAAGAAAGAGCAAAAACGACGCTATTCCCAAGCTTGTCGATGCCTTGAGTATGTGTTATATCGGCTGCTTGCTGCTCAGACTGCCAGTCACTGTTGGCGACTTGTACTCATGGGCAGCTCGTGGTGATCTTATCTACTACAGAGCTGTCAAAGCCTTGTCTGAGTCGATGAAATTGCGTCTGCCATTCAACTATAACAAGATTCTGGATCCGCAAGACGTCTTGAGTTCAGGTGCAGTGCAACAGGCGGTTCTGGACAACATCACAGCTTTCGATCGTGCTTTCGGCATGGCTACACCACCGATCAATCACATCCTTGTCCTTTATCGATGGATCAGGAGTCTTGCTCTTCCTCTGGAGGCGTATTCGGCGACCTTACGTCTGGCCAAACTTCTCGAGATCACATTTGTCTACGACGTTCAGGCGGCACGGGCCTCAAGATATCGCGTCCTCCAATACGCCGAACCCCGACTGATGGGCGCACTTATCATCGCGACAAAGTTGTTGTTCCCTCTAGACGATTTCAAACGCTACCCAAAGAACCCAACCGAGCTTTCAGCATTAACTATGGACTGGTCAAACTGGAGCAAAGCACGAGCGGAGTACAATGATATGATCAAATCAGGAACACCGTTAGGCTATCAAGAAGCCATGCAAATTCAGGAAAAAGACATACTGGACATGTCTGATGATAAACTTGACGAATATATGGATTGGTACGGCTCGGTCTTTGCAGAAGAGACTGTACGTGAAAAGGGGAGAATAGGCAAAGAAGCCGAGTTTCGCAGAGCCTTGCTTCGCCTCTTTCCTGCCGATCGTCCTATTAGAAGTACATCCGATGCTATGGACTTAGATGGGGAGCAGGGGTCAGTCCCCGAAGACGAGCGACTGAGGATGGTTCAGAGCAGTCTGAGGCCCACTCGTGTCAAACCAAGCGCCAGATCAACCGAGCCTGAAGTAAGCCGTCCTGGCAATCGCTACATGCGATTCCGCAATGTCGGAGAACTCGATGGCTACGCGAGGGAGTTCTACGAAGAAGCTGCGAATCTGGTCGCACTGCCTCTGAGTTCATTGGTGAAGTGTGTCTTCATCTTAGAGAGGAGACTGGAGAAATGGGAGAGCAGTGAGAGGAAGAAATAGATCAAATCTATCACAAGCGCTTCTCAGATTATTTGTGCCATACTCGTGAATATATTGCAGGGCTTGCTCGGCTCGATCGTTGGAGTTGGGAGTGCTGATGCTTCGTTTTCGTTCGCAAGATGATACTCCACAGACGCCGCGCTCACACCATCAAGGAGGTATGAGGGTAAAGAGCTCACAAAAAAATTGCAAACATCGAAACAATTACCGGCTTCACTGTTCTTCGCGCTCAAATGAATGTCGAAGTGATGAGGAAGTGGAGAGGTCGCGCCTTCCTCGCTTGGCATCTGTGCTGACGGAAGAAGCCGCGCCCGCCCGCCCACCGAGCACACTTTGCGATTCTCAAATTCCTGAGTCCGCTTCTTGTCGCGAAAGTAGGTATTGTATTCAGCACACGAAGACCGTCACCAGTAAGTGCTATACAGAGTGTTTCTGTCGCATGCTGAATATCGCTAACATGAATTTGTGTTACAGTGCAGATGTAAGCCTCCCGAAACCCAGGCGCCGCGCCCGCGCACCGCAACGCATACAGGACTCCCACTGATGATAACCGCCACGCAGCTTCGTCAAGACCCTTACGGGCAAGACCATCACCCTTGAGGTCGAGTCCTCCGACACCATCGACAACGTCAAGTCCAAGATCCAGGACAAGGAGGGCATTCCCCCGGACCAGCAGCGCCTGATCTTCGCCGGAAAGCAGCTCGAGGATGGCCGCACCCTTTCCGACTACAACATCCAGAAGGAGTCGACTCTTCACCTTGTCCTCCGTCTCCGTGGTGGTATCATTGAGCCTTCGCTCAAGGCCCTCGCCTCCAAGTACAACTGCGAGAAGATGATCTGCCGCAAGTGCTACGTAAGTCGCCACGCTCCCTATCTTTGCTCCGGATCCACGCGACACACCTGGCAAGAGAAGGACACAACAAGAAGAAGCACAACGCACCGGTTGAAGAACAACTTGAAGATGATGAAGAATAATTCTGACATGAGGCTCCTCTTTACAGGCTCGTCTTCCCCCTCGTGCCACCAACTGCCGCAAGAAGAAGTGCGGTCACACCAACCAGCTCCGCCCCAAGAAGAAGCTGAAGTAAACTACTCGCCCCATCACTGCTGTCTTGGCTGTTGTGCTTCGCTACCTCAAGGGACTAGGCGTTTGGGGAGGAGGGATCTATCACGGCGTCTCAACCAGATGCCAGAATCGCGAGTAGTGGTAGCTCAGAAATGTCATCACTCTCCCGCGTTGATGTCCGAATGCAAGAAAGAAAAAAGTCATGCCCCCCATTCTTCGAGTTCGACTACTGTCCAAGTGACTTTTGCATCTGATGTCGGTTCTTCGAATCACTTTCCAAGTCTGGATTTGCCAGAACGACTACAACACGACTCTATCGTTTGACCAGACCAAGACACAAAACTCATCTTGAACTGATTTCAATGAAGGACTGATACGCAGTACTATTCACTTAACCCCAAAGCATGAACTACTCACGCGACTGCTTCGCCTAGCCAGCTGAAAGTTGTGTCTAAACCAGAATCAGGAGAGAGACAGGTCTTGATTATGATTGATTGATTATTGCTTTGCTGAATGTATGTCCTGATCTCGGTTTTCAGCTCGCCTGTGCTTTCCTAGCAACAATCGTTGGTTCATGTCAACAAGCACAAAGAGACAAATCGAATCTTGAGACATCTTTATCCATGTCTTTCATCTTGCAATCTGATCTCATCCCATCAAATTGACGACAATTCAGTCAAAAGTCTGTATGCAGGAAATATTTGAAGACATGAATTCTCGACTGCCATATGTAGAATGCTGGATTTGCATAATTTGTGTCAAGACAAGCGATTCGTGTATATTGGCGTGCGTGATGATGATCGAAACAGGTTATCGATCGATCAACGTCTTGCTGTCGTGGTGACTGGAATGCTCAATTTAGATATGCAGTTTGCTTCGCACAAGAATGCATAGCGATGAGAGACTGCGCCACTGATGACCATATGCTGACCAGATGTGCTGTAAAGAGACCAGAAACCATGGCACGATAAGTGGTTTTGTCGTCATTATTGGATGGACCGGTGCAGAAGTGGCTGGGTTATTAGGGTTTATGAATCTAGGTACATTGTGGTTAAATGTTTAACCATGCACAACGGTTAGTGCAGGCTTCATCTACAGACTATCCATGTACCATTCTGCACTGTGAGAAGCAGGTTATGGAATCCAGTTTTGCTTTGAATCAAGGCGAATTAATTTGCATGTATTTATCAAGAGAATAAAGCAAAGATCGGGGCAGAAAAGAAAGACATAAAGTACGTAGCTGCCGAGTATTGGTGGATCTTTGGGAAGCTTTGGCAATCGCGTTCGCGTCTCTGCGCGTTCCCATTCCCACCCAGCAAGGCCTTCCTCCTCCTCTGCACTTCTGACCACGACCACTCTCTTTTCAATTAACTGACCATCGCCCTCTCTTGATACCGAGTATTATTAATCTGCCATCAGATCGTTCATTCGACCCACCGCCCGCCGGCTTGTACTCGATATACGACTCTTCTGACACGCGTGAGCAGAGACCGGGCATCTCACGCGTGTGCAGAGCAGAACAGAGAGCTTAGTTTCCACCATGGACTCGATCTCTCATGAAAAGAAGGTGCTTCCTTCGACCGAGAAGCCTGAACCCGTCAGAAGGCCCTCGTTGCTCCCGGCATTCGAGCCATTGTCATCGTCGCCCGGTGGTCTCCCCCGGGCATTGAAACGCAAATTCCAAGAAGACGAAGACGACACGCGCAAGTTCTATCCCACTCCTGTCCCGACCTCTGCTACCGGTATCCTCTCGTCATCGCCAAATAGACGCGTTCCCGGCCTGCAACGTACCGCGTCCTATTCCTCGCTTTCCGAGAGGGCTCCTCTAGGCGCGGTACCGAGTGTCAAGCTACCCTCCAATGGCGATCCTCTGCTCATGGGACGTTCGAGTAACTCTTCCGACTATCAGCTGTCAGCCAATCGTCTGATTTCACGCGTCCATGTCAAAGCCACGTACAATGCACCAGAAGGTCCGCGTCTCTCTGGCGAGATGGTCGTCCAGTGTCTGGGATGGAATGGAGCAAAGGTCCACTACCAGGGATCTGTCGTCGAGTTGGCTAAGGGAGAGAGCTTTGTTTCGCAAAAGCCTGGCTCACAGGTTATGATTGATGTTCAAGAGACTCGTGTTTTGCTTGTATGGCCCCAGGAAGAGAAGCAGTGTCCTTGGGACCTCGAGTCATCCGTCAGCAGAGAAAACAGTGCCGTGCCTGAGAGGATCGCGTCAAGTCCTCCTCCTGTTCTGCCCAGACTCCGCTCGCCAGAGTCTCCCTCGCCCAACCAACACGATAGCGTTAACGACACTTTCTCCGAGACTTTCATCGCAGACCCCTTCGACCTTCCCAGCAGCCCAGCCCCTGTCCACGTTTACGAGGACAATGAGCCAGCTGAGGATGATGATCTGCCTGCCTCGTCGACTCCCGTGCCCGCTACCAGACTCTCGCCTGAACCTGTCGACCGCTCAACACCAACTCCTACCAAGGCTAGCGTGCAGCAGTCCATGTCAACCAACACCTCGGACGCACCTGAGGAAGTGCTTGAGAATGATGAGGAGAACGATCCTATTGTCCACTCGTTTGGCCCATATGGCGACAACCTTCTTACACGCTTCGAGTCCTTCAAGTCGACCTGTAAAGAGGAAGAACGTCCACGAGTCCCTCTAAAGATCAGCCTCAAGTCTGTCAACCAACTACGCGCTGACACCCAACCCACCCAGCCCACTCGCAACCTTTCGCCCGTCAAGAATCACATCATCAACCAGTTGGCCTTCACACGCATCCATTCCTTGCCTATCTCGGCCATTTACAACAACCTCCCAGCAGAAATGAAGGGCGGCCGCAGCTTTGGCGAGAAAGCTCTGTCCTCAGAAGAACTTAAGGATCTCATGGACAGAATCCCTTGTGTCGGCGAGATCGCTCGCTCGGGTAAGGACGCTGCAGGCAAAGCTTTGGAGGACGAATTCTACTACGTCCCCGAGATGGACACTGACGAGCACCGACGCGCTGCCGTGATGATCGCCAAACCTCCTCTTAGATCCACCCGTAAACAACACAAGGTACGTGTTACTGGTACATGCTATTGACTGCACACGTGCTGACTGTTGTTCCTAGCAATACTATTGGAAGAAGCCTCGTGTCTGAGCTTGTGTTTGTAATTAGTCTTTCTCTTGCCTCGAGTCTTGCTGCAACGCAATGCTCCCTTGCTGCAGCTCTGTCTTTTGCTTTTCACCGATACCAAACTCGCACTATGTAGAGCATTGCTTTGCTTGTGCTAGGCAACGCATGCACGTTGCCATGTCTTTGCTCTATTTCCTTTTTCTTCTACTGATGGTGTCTCCGATGGAACTGAAGGGATGGAAATGAGGGGCACTTTCTACCGATTGAAAAGAAGGAGGATTATGGGTGTTTCTGTTGTGTTTTTTTCCTAATCTTTGGTTCTTGCTTTTCTGGCGAAATAACATGTAGTGTAGAACTAGCGACTCCTGCGACTTGTTTCCCAGGAAATATCAAATCTGTCTATTCTCATTGCTGTTCACTTGTCATAACGTGTGATCAAGGATAGTAAGTAGAGTATGCTGTTTTTGTAGTAGAGCTTGTCAAGCAGACCTCAGACCTGGATATTGAGGCTCGCTGAGGGTGGGACCCTGATCTTCTGTTTCAATCATCATATAGACGACCACCATCTGGCTAGATGTTGCTATCAAGTGGATAGTTCACATCTTGAATGTTTAGTCTACTTGAGTATTGATATTTATGGCCTTAGCGAGCTGTGGCTTCCAACATTGTTGCGAGAAAGAAAATTGATCGTCTCAATCACGAAGATAGCACGAAGTCACACTGATAACATTACGCATCTTTGTACATGAGGATGTTTTCCTCGTAGAACACCATACTCTCCGCGAGCATGCGACGATTATATCCAATATTGACCATGACCAAAGAACATCGATTTACCATTAGGATACTGGAATACTTGCCATCAGACACTTCCTATATCGATGCCAACACATGAGCAGGGTTACCCCATTTGACTTGGCTATGTATCAGAGCCTGATGGATGAGATGTCATCCATTGTATCATTTTTTTGCTACATTCTGAATCTAGTAGGTGTGTGTCTTGTGATCCGCCGGCTTTCCAAGACCATTTCTAATCTTCTCCTCCCTGTCGACGACCTTCAAAGGTAGGCCAATGCCCACGCCAGTAAACACAAAGATGGCCCACTTCCATCTGAATGGGTTAATGGTGACACACTGGCCACGAGGTTAGTTTTTCTTCTACATTCAAAGAGTGTATGTAAGAAACCTACGAAGAAGAACCACCAAATCAGCTCGCTATAAGTAAAGAAGTCGAATGCGCCGGTAGGAGCACGGGCTTTGAGCCATCTGGTCATGTCGACCCAGAACTGCATCCAGTAGGTCGAAGGTCGAGTAAGTGGATCGAGGAGGAACATGAGCAGAATGCGGGTGTAGATGCCGATATGGAAGTTGCCAACGGTACCAATTGCACCGACATAGGTGCAGTTGTTGGCACAGATGGACTTGTGTTGCGGAGGGAAGGTCTGAAGGTACCTGTATCATCAAAGTCAGCCGATGTGTAATCAAGGTGAAGCTGAATCACGAAACGTACCAGTTAGGTGCAGAGTAAGGCTCAGCGAAACATTCTTGAGGCAAGAAGCTCAAGCTAGGACGCTTGTATCCTGTTGCCATGATGATGACTTCGCCTTGTTCAAGCGTCTCGTGGCCAGGGCCATTCTTGGGCACACCCTGTTGGCGGCGATTAAATCTGATACCGTTCTCTTCCACTTCTAGGATGTCACCTCGAAGCCATTCGGCATTGCCGGATCGAATCTGCTCCAAAACGTCATTGTTGACCATAGGTGTCTCCTCGAAGAGACCGGCCGAGCCAGGTGGAGGCGCGATGTCTGCCAAGTCACGATAGAAGAACTTTCTGAGAAGCCTCTCAGGGATCCATGAGAACATGGTCTCCTGGCCAAGGATGTTGAAGGCGAGTAGCATGTCGATAATTGGGTTGCGAGGGATGATCCACTTCTCAGATCTCGAGAGAATCTTTGCCTTCTTAGCCTTTTCTTTGGTGGTGAACTCCATAGCCTCAATGGCACTGGCACCTCCACCAATAATCAAGACGGTTTTACCCTTGACATCTTTACCGTCAAGTTCGCTGGAGTGGTATATCTGCCCTTTGAACTTTTCTTGCCCAGGTACATGAGGCGACTTGGGGTCACCACAGCTGCCAACCGCGGCGATGATGCCGTCGAACTTTTCGTCTGAATTGCCATTGACGATCCATCGACCTTTGTCGTCTTCCTTGACTGATTCGACTTTGTAATTGAATGAAGTCTTGTCTTGAAGATTGTATGTCTTCCAGACCTTTTCGATTTGATCAACAATATCTTTGCGGTTGGGATAGCCTTTGTTCCAGAAGACAGAAGGGAAGAAGCGGTACATAACCGAGTGGATTTGGAGTCCGGAGGTATTGTTTACCTTGTGCAAGTCAGCATGCTGTCGTCGAAAACAATAACAAAGCTTAAGCAAGTACCTTGGCCCAAATGCCACCCAAGTGCTCTCGAGGGCCTGCCTCGAATATGTGAACATCGAAGCCATGGCCGACACAGTGTGCTGCAGCAGAGACACCTGTAAGCCCAGCTCCAACAATAGCGACGCGAGGTCTGTGTAGTTTCTTCCCGGGAGGAGGTGGATCTGGTGAGATGATCTTGGCTAGGAGCATTTGATACATCTGGAACCAGAACATAACGAACTTGTTGATGGCACCTGCTGCCGTATCGAATGGGCCGGCCATGATTGATGGTACTGCTTGACTAAAGCAGCAAGAACGAGTCTTCTCAGGTAATTGAAGTGGAAGAGAAGAGCGATGGACGATTTGTTGAGGAAACACGAATGTCGACAATCACATGCAAATGATGTCACTTGATACACACGTGGAGCGTCCCTTGGTCCCTCGGTCCACTCTTTCTTTTCTCTCCGACCCTTCCGGTTTTCCCTGTTTGAAGAACGATTCGAAAATGGGAAGCTATCCCACGACTTTGAGATTGATGGTTCCACATGTTGACTGCGCATGTGTGGTCGTTTCGATCCAAAGCTACAGCTGTGGAAGGCACGAATCGCTTCTCCAGGCACATGTCTTCGAGACTCAAGCTTGGCAGCAGCTACCCATACAGTCAAGCTCTGAACAAGTCAAAGGTCAGCACCTTTTCCAGAAGCTGAAGAAGTGTTTGCACTTGACCTTCGCGCTGCAATACAATCTCGATCCATCCCAGCTGCTCCTTGCTTGACATAGTCAAGCTTCCAAGCTAATCTTCACACCAAATTCAGGCCAAGTCTGTGACACTGATTGTGACTCTAAGAAGCAGCATATATGCAGCAAATGGGCAGTGCATAGTACTTGTATCCTCCCTGCTCTAATATGCCTTGAATAGCAACCTCGTGGACGCTGTCGCTAAATGTTGCTGTCGAAGATTCGGAACTCAACCCCGCGCATGACAGCTCGCCTTTCTTTTGCACCTCCCAAGAGCCAGCACTCGTCTTCGATCACTGAGGATTGGCTGGTTGTTTTTGGACAATGGTCCTCAAGCCTTGAAGGATTGCATACGCCAGTACCAAACATGCATGGCAGTCCACGTCGACATTTTACAATATACTTCTCAGCCCCGAACGGCCCAATCTTATCCCAATCTTGTAGCTTCTTCCTTGCGCCGATTCAGCTGCTTCCTGCAAGGCTGCCACGCTTGACTACGGACAACGGTCCAGCCTCCAGGTTGATACGATCGTTTGAGATCCTCCTGCACAGTATATGCTTTTTTGTCAGCGCCAGTGAGAGTCAACAACAACTCACCTGCAAACACGTTGCAACCATGATCGGCCGGTCAGTCTGGCGAGAGGTATACTTCTCGCCAGAGGTATTTCTGTGACTTTACGGCAGACAGATTATGGTCGCGACTTGCATGAGCTGTTCATCTCGCGTCTGTAACATCACAGTAGACTTTCCGATACTTTCTGCTGCCAGTAAACCCAGGGAACTGAGCGCCTCGCCAGTCGCTACATCTTGATAGACATATGAAGCCATTGGTGACGCCGGAAGGAATAACCTTCGCGCGATCTTTGATTCGAGCACTGATCGCAACAATAAGTGAAACCTACTGTTTTTAGAATTACACCTTAAGGTGTGGTTGTAAAGGTGTGTGGACACCAGTACCACGGATCTCCTCCATACAGGCTCGTACCATGATACTCGGAGTGTCCATCCGCAGTTCATCTATATAAATTGGCTCTCGGCCATCTCTCTCAAGTGGACTATCTCATACACTCAGAACGGGTAGCTATCATTCGCATCATGATGTTCGAAAAACTCGAGCCTAGTGTCACAGCAAGACCTGCATCGATGACCTCTGGCTCTAACAATCTACAAGATGCTGAACAAGGACGCGATAAAACTCAGGCCTGGCACCCAAGTAAGCAGGTCAAGCTCATCGTAGCTGTCCAGGCTTTTGTTTGCTTTGCGGTAGCTTTGGACTCTACGATACTGACTACGACATTGCCGGTAAGTCGAGATTTCAGAAGAAACATAACTGAACATATGAGGCTGAGGCGAGTTGAAAGGCACTGTCGGAAGCGTTGCACACAAACACCACTCAGACCTTCTGGATTGCAACATCCTACCTCTTGACCTCGGCAATCTTCCAACCACCTATTGCAGCTCTGGCTGATGTCTTTGGTCGTCAAGCAATGTTCCTCCTCGCAATCTCACTCTTCACTATTGGCTCCATTATATGCTGTGCCTCGCATGGTATAGTCAGTATGCTCGTTGGGAGATCTATTCAGGGCATCGGTGGCGGCGGTATCCTATCAGTAAATCTGATCATACTCAGCGACATCATCCCTCTCCGACAAAGAGCTCAGTACCAAGGCTATTTGCAGCTCTGTTTCGCTTTCGGCTCCAACATTGCACCTGTCATTGGTGGACTGATTGTCCAGAAAACTACCTGGCGATGGTTGTTCTATATCAATCTTCCCTTCTGTGCAATCTCCTTGGTGACAGTACCATTCACCATACGATACACCAGACCGAAGATAACCACCAAGGAACAAATTCTCTCGATCGACTGGGTCGGAATTATGCTGAGCATTGCAAGCACAACTCTGTTCCTAGTGGGGATCAGCTGGGGCGGCACAGAATATCCCTGGTCCTCTGCTACCACACTATGTCCTCTACTCATCGGACTTGCAGGCGTTGTTCTCACCGTCATCTACGAAACAAAGTACGCCTCAATTCCGTTCCTTCGGATGTCCATATTCGAGAATCGCTCCGCCATTGCAGCGTATGCTTGCACTGTGCTCATGGCATTCAGCGTCTACGCCACTGCATACTACCTGGTTCTCTGGCTCCTCGCCATCAAAGAAATGTCGGCAGTCATGGCAGGAGTATGCGAATTGCCTCTTGGATTGACTATCGTACCCATCAGTGGCCTCACGGGCGTCGCAGTTACACGATTAGGCAATTATCAATGGGCTATCTGGCTTGGTTGGGTGCTCTCTTCACTAGGCATGGGTGTCATGGTCCAGCTCCATCCAGATACCACGACCGTGGCCTATGTCTTTATGTTCATCTGCACGGGCACAGGACTAGGACTATTGTTCAACTCTCTCAGCGCCGCGGTCCAAGCTATTTCTCCCACCAAGGACGTCGCATATGCATCCTCCATGTTTGCCTTTATGAGGAGTTTGGGCTTATGTCTCGGTGTCTCCATTGGCGGCACAATATTCCAAAACTTCTTGGAAAGACGCTTGCAGCACTATGGCCTGTCGCCAGAACTTGCAAAACAGGCCCAGGTGTATATCATAGCTCTTCGTTCTCAACCGGCGTCGCCAGAAAAGTCTTTGGCCAAGGAGATTATCAATTGGGCGTTCCAGATGCTGCTTGCAACTTTGACAGGTATCAGTGGACTTGGGCTGGTTATTAGTGCCTTGATTGGTAGATATTCTCTGGATAAAGAGTTGGATTCTGAACATGTCATTGCGTAGATGCCAGAGGAATGGTTTGGTCTGTGGAAAAAGTATCTGGAGTTTGTAATGGTGTTGGCAATTCGAATCACTAGCTAAATTTATATGCTATATGCTCCTTCTTTCTTTGTAGCTGAACTGTCTCAGAGAGTGCTTATAGTGTTGTGTTTCCAATAAATAAACTCAGAGATATGTTGAGCTCATTTGCCCTCACCCTTGAGTCGCATGATTTCGACTAGAAGCCTGTCACGTTCCGCCTCGAGGGCTTGCACATCTTTGCCTTCCAACTCTTGAACGACGCTAGCACTCAGCGAGTCCAGACTTTCCTTGTCGAGTTTAAAGGTATGCTCCCGCATGTCGTCAAGCCAGGTCTGCATAGCAGGACCCAAGTGTTCAACAAAATGCTTGAAACCATCAGCGCCACCGCCGCCACCCATAGCGTTTGACATAAAGGGACCCGTCAATGCATATCGAGGGCCCAAGCTGTTAGTGATGCAAGTATCTATACCATTGTTAGAATCTCATGTCCATCGCATCAAGCACCTCCTCGCAGTACTGACCAAGATCTTCTGCAGAAAGTATACCTCTGCTGACTAAAGAGTATGCTTCACTGCACAGAGCTGCCTGAAGACGATTGCTAGCAAATCCCGGGATTTCTTTCTTGATCACAACAGGTTCCTTGTTCAGAGACTTGTAGAACTCGACAGCAGTATCGACGCTCGCTTTGTCGGTCTTGGGATGAGGTACTACTTCAACGAGAGGCATCAAGTGTGGTGGATTGAATGGATGTCCGATGAGGATTCTGCCTGGATTATTCGTGCATTTTCCAATGAATTTGGAGCTTGGTAGTCCTGAGGATGAAGAAGCGATGACAACGTCGGAACGTGCAGCGGCATCAATCTCGGCCAACAGCTTTGTCTTGATTTCTAGTTTTTCTGGAGCATTCTAGTATTGGATATAAGCCCAAGTACAACTTCCAAAAGACCGAGCTATCACAGACTTACCTCTTGGATGAAGTCGACTTTGGAGTAATGGTCCTTGAGACTAGCTCCTACAAACTGACAATTGTCGAGCGAAGCACCTTGCGCAAGACCAATCTTTTTGAGGTCAGGCCATATCTTCTTGAGATAGCTGTCGAGCTTCTGCTTGGAGTCTGAGGCTGGGTCAGAAACAACAACGCGTAGACCTCTTGCCAGGAAGAGACCAGTCCAGGAAGCTCCAATGACTCCAGTTCCGACAATGCCAACAGTCTTGATCATAGACATGACTGACTATGGCGATTATTGTGTGCTAATATCTGGAAAGCTATTTCACAATCAAAAGGAATTGAGCTATCAATTGAGACGATGGGATGCTCTTGTTATAGCATAGACGAATGACGAAGTGCTGATCTCCGAAGCACCCGACGTTGACGACAGAGCTCTTGGTTAATCCACCTCGGATTATCAACCGAGGCTCGACGTCTCACCAACAGGAGCGGTCTCCATGTTTGATCTGTCATGGCAAGAAGTGCACACGAGGATGTTGGATCCTGAGGTGTACATCTACCTATCATTTCTATGACCATTGAGATTTGGAAGTGATTAATGTCTAGAAATTAGGCATATGTCATAGAAGCTTATGTTCTATAAGCGTATTAACAATGTTCGTTACAGCTTTGTCAGCAAGTCAAACCATGCTAAATATCCAAGCGAACAGTATCTTTCCAAGGTCTTCTTTTTCCTCCTGGGTAATCTGATTTTTGCGAAGGGGTTCGAGTTCCTCCGTTTCATACCTTGGATGTAACGTTGACTTTATAATGTTTTGTAAGCCTAAGGCTCCATTGTCGCATGCCTCGCGAACAGGAAGGAGCGAGATGTGACCGTTCTTTCTCACCCATCAGCTCAGCAATAGCGTGAAGGGTCTAATGTAACTCCGAAGCTCCTTCTACGAATTGGAACAACTCATGAAGCGGGGAAGTGCTTGCTCTATGCATGTAAGACCATGGAAGCCAGGTGTATATAAACCACCACATCTCGTGGATGCTATCTCTTTTCTCAACACATCATCAAACGCTTTCTCAATCTCACCAGCTCCCAAAACGTCTATCTCACACAAACTAAAAACACTTTCAAGAGAACACATCACTATGTCCAAGTTGATTACTGTGTTCGGAGCCACTGGCAACCAAGGTGGCTCTGTCATCAAGCACATCCTCGCTGATAGTCAGCTCTCCTCTGAATTCAAGATTCGTGGCATCACTCGCGATGTCAGCAAGCCCGCTGCCAAAGCACTCGCAGACAAGGGAGTTGAATTGGCAACTGTAAGTCATTCTCTGCTCTTACTCAACACACATGAGCTAACTCTGACCACAAGGCCGACATGAGCGACAAAGCCTCAGTCGCAAAAGCCATCAAAGGCTCTCATACAGTTTTTCTCGTAACCAACTACTGGGAATCTGCAAGCCCTGATGTTGAGCGCAGCCAAGGCATCAATGTCGCCGACGCAGCAAAGGAAGAAGGAGTCCAGCACCTCATCTTCTCCTCTCTGATCAACGTCACCGAAGCAACCGGAGGGAAGCTCAACCATGTACCTCACTTCGACTCGAAGAACGACATAGAAAAGCACATTCGCAGCACCGGTATCCCCTGTACCTTTGTACTGCCAGGCTACTTCATGTCCAACTTCAGCAGCCAATTCAACAAAGACGAAGACGGCGTCTACAACTGGGCCCTGCCAGTCAGCGAAAACGCCCAATTTCCTCTCTTCGACGTCTCAGAGGACACTGGCAAGTTCGTCAAGGCAGTTCTCAAGAATGCTGATAAGATGAATGGCAAGCAAGTTCTTGCTGCCACTGCTTACTACACTCCCAAGCAGATCGTTGCAGACTTTGAAGAGGCTTCTGGTCAAAAGGCTAGATATATTCAGATCTCGGGTGATCAGTTCAAGTCTTATGTGCCTGAATTCATGGCCGAGGAGATGCTTCAGAACCATATCTTGCTCGATACTACTGGCTACTATGCCGGAGCTAGCTTGGATGAGAGTCTGAATCTCCTCGAGGAGAAGCCTATTACCTGGAAGGAGTTTGTCAAGAAGAATGGTATCTGGTAAGCAAGCGCGGTGGAACAGAAGGAAGGGTGATGGTATGAAGATCGTTTAGCTAGCAAGGTTAGTAATTCATGAGTTGATGTTTCTCACGCGAGCTTCTAGCATCTGACATGTAATGAACCCTAGCAAATGCATCATTCTTTTTTCTATCTTCCTCTAGACGTTAATGGTTGGAAGAATATTCACAGCGCTATCCAATGCTCTAGTATGACAATGTTTTCTTGTGAAGGCACGTGTATGGGCGACTGCACGGCATCGATACTCGAGAGACAACATGATCAGAGATTTGTAAAATTTGTCGCGTAGAGTTAGGCTCTACGTAAGCTGTTCTAGAACAACGATAACTGAGCCCAACATACGTTGAGACTCAAGAGAAGATTCGGTAATACGCTTCGGAAAAAAATCAAAAGGGGTATTTATACATTAAACTGGGAAAGAAAAGGGCCAGTTTGTCGTGACTTTTGTGAACGAGGAAGTCCTCTGAGTGAAGCACTGCTCGAGGGTAGTCTATCTCCTGAGCTGCTCGCCAAGATACTCAAGCACCTTGGGGTTGATAATGCCTTGGTTTACAAGATGCTTGCTCAATCCCTTGACAACTTCCATCTGTTGTTCCGGGTTAAGGCCAGTAATGGCGGTCTCGATGACACTGCCAACGGAAGCCTTGTAGACAGCGATGAAACTAAACACAGTCAGTTTTATGTACAGACCAACGACACAAGCAATCTTCTTACCTCTGGTAGTACATGTAGGCAAAGAAACCCATGATAAATTGGCAATCCATACGGTCAGTCATACCACCGTGGCCAGGAATGGAGTCACCGAAGTCCTTGATGTTGAAAGTACGCTTCAGACCAGATGCGAAGAAGCCACCGAAAGGAGCAATGAGCGAAGCAAAGGTAGCAAAGATCATGATGTGGAACTGAACAGGGGCTACGGTGACCTTGGTAGGCAGGTGAGTCCAGTTGGGAGGGATGAAAGGAAGCTGGTAAGTGTGAGGTAGGAAGACGGGGTTGGGATCGCATTCAAGGCCAGTAAAAATGTTAGCCCCGAGGTTGTTGACGGGGCAGGTGAAGTAAGGGTAACGCATCAAGACATTGGAAAGACCGAATGCAAAGATGATGGTAAAAATCCAAGCACCGACGAAGCCTTCAACAGTCTTTTTGGGACTAATCTTGATGAGCTGAGTACGACCGAAAGTGATACCGCAGATGTAAGCGAAGATGTCGTTGGTAATGACCAGAGCAGCAGGGAGGAAGAACCAGATCATGCCTTCGAAAATGTTGTTCATAATAAAGTGAGCTTGAACAACAATCAAGTAGAGAGCCATGTGGGTCCAGGCGAATTGCTGGAACTGGAACTTGTAGTGGCCCTTTTCCAGAGAGACGACGAAGAAGACAAAGCCCATGACGTAGAGCATGAAGCTGATGAAGCGATGGTGGGTCGCAAAGGGCAGAAGGACCTTGTCGACCAAGATGATGTGCTTGAAGTAGTAGATGACGCTCTCGCCGTAGAGGAAGTACATGGTTGTTCCAAGGAAATACCAGTTGAGAGTCTTTGTGAAGCGCAGCTTACGAGCTCTGCTGGGAACGTTCGAGATGGCAATAACCTCCTTGAAGGAGATAATCTGGATGGCAGTGACGATGAAGATGATGTAGATGTGGCCGGAGAACATTGCGACGAAGAAGAAGATGATCATGACAAGGGTCCAAATGGTTCTGGTGATGAATGTCTGCTTCTTCTTTTCATATTCGCTTTGCGGCGTGGGATCCTGAGGCTTTTGGGCAACATGTCAGCATTCAAAGGAGCAAGAGCAGAACGGCATTGGCTCGCCTTGTCGTCGTCGGTCCAGGCACCGTCGTAGGACATGTTGCGGCTTACTTCAGGCTTGGTGAGTTGTTGGCTCCTGGTGGGGCTCGAGGTATCGTTTGCATCTTGGCTGTCGTTGGAGGACCTGCTTCTTGCCTTGTCGTGGTGTTGGAACTTGACGTCCTTCTTGGGTTTCGTCATGGCGGGCGGGTGGTTGCAATTTAGCTACTGAGACCTGTTGAACGGAAGCTTGCGGCAGTCGGAACGAGATTTCCAAGGAGGTGGATGCGTTGGTAGGGGTGAAATGAATTGACTGATGGAAGGATCTTGTCGCGTGCAGAAAACACGGCAAAAAGATGGCAATGGATGATCAGACAAGCATCTGCGAGAAGAGGAAGGATCCCTTGTTGTCGGAGAACAAAAAGGTTGGCAGGACCAGGCAGAGATGGCAGGCACGATGAAGTCAGTCGGCGGCCAGCCAAAGCCACGTCTCTTGGCGAGCATGTGAAGGCCCAAACATCATGCACGAAACAATCGCTCTCGACCAAACATGGCCGTTCATGGCAGTCGCTTCCATGGATGCTCTCGATCAAGACCTGGACTTTGATGACAGCAACCTCGATCAACTGCCCCAGTCCACCTTGCAGAACCTAGAGCAGAGCGCAATCTCGTCCACCCAGCGCGAAGTCGCCGCCCGCAAGCAATGGCATTACCAACAAACGACTAAGCCTCTTAGACTGACCCGTCCGAGTCTGCCACCTGTAACCGCGCCTGCTGTAAGCGCTGCCTCTCTCAATGCCCCAAAGTCCCCGGAGTCCGACTACGGTCTAGACGACAACGATGATGAAGAAGTTCTCGACCTGAATGCCGACACGACAGTTTATCAGCCTCAATTACACCAGAACTACGTCCAACCTGCAAATGACAATGCCAGCTACCTTAATACTGGCTCCCATGCGACCAATGATGCGCCACCGCGTTATGATCAGCTCAATCACGTTGCCCCCACCCTCCAGCCTGGCGAGACGACTGCCCTTGACGCCTACGTCAAAAAGGTGCGCATTGACTTTCGTCACGCAATTCCTATCGCTGACACACCTTTCGCAGCTCGAAGCCGAATTGAACGCCGTTCGCTTGTCCCTGCAAAACGCAAATGATGAAAACCAAAGAAGGGCTGGAGAGCTGTCTATAATCCGCGCAAGACAACTGAAACTTGACAAAGAACACGAAGATCAGTTGCAGGCCTTGAACAAGTCGCATGCTGATGATGCCGCGAGGCACAAGGCTGATTTGGATGCAAAGAAAAAAGAGATTGAAGCCTATGAAACAAGCAATCGTTTCCTAGAACATGATCTGGCTCAGGCACGGGACGAAAGGGCAAAGAGGCTCAAGCCTACCAAAACCAACACGGGCAAACTCACACGTCAGCCCTCTCAGTCTTTGCCTTACCGCGATGGCTTTGATGACAATGAGATTGTGACCTTATCTCCTTCGAAGCCAAAGGATAGATCCAAATCTTCCACTCCCAAGGTAGGTGAGAAGCGAAAGAGGAATTTTGCTGTCAGTCCTGCTCCTCATCTTCAACTGAATGCCCAACCATCTGTATCCTCCTCACCAGCTCTGAATGCCGCCGCATCAACACCAATATTCGAGGAGTTGATCCGACCACAAGATGATTCGCAATTTCAGGTAGGTCATGTGCAAATCCTGGCTTCAGCTCTCGAAGCTGACTTGTGCATAGATGATTCGTCGTCTTATGAACCATCGGCCATCCAATTCTCGAGAACGAGTATTAGAAACACTAAGTCGGCTCTCTTTTCCATCTTTGCCGGGACAATCCATATCTGGTCTGATCACCGAAGGCTTGTCTCAATTCATTGCCGTGGATGATGACGACAATTTTTCTGTCTATGCCTGCAATCTACTTTCGGACCTGTGGGAACGATGTTTGCATGACAAGATGTATACGCCAGTCTACTTAATTCTGGATCTGTACGAGTTAGTCTTAGCCATGTCTGCTGAGCCTCCAAAACTCTCGCTGATCGAGCGTTTCCTCCCACTCGCAACCAAAACCATTGATTTGGTTGCGCTGCCACGAGTGCGCCTTCATGCGGGCGCTCATGTAGATTCGCATCTTCTCGAGTGCATCAACGTAGATCAAATCCTCACTCTGATGCATGGTATGGCATTTGACGCCAGTCTCAAGGCGGAATTTTGTCAAGTATTTTGGAAGAAGATGGAGTTTGACTTCACTTTGATGATGCTCAACAAGAGTCAACCACTCCCGCAAATCATGCTAGTTCTCCAAATGTTAGGGAGTTCTGCTTTGCCGGAGTCGTTCAGTATCATTGCTGATGACCCAGAGAAGCAATCTACCTTGGAGGGCCATACCATCGATCGGCTTACAACACTACTTTTTGAGAGGCCCGAGGCGCCTCTGGGGGAGACACCATATGAGGACGACGAAGTTGCGGTCTTACAAATCGAGACAATACGGGTCTTGAACTCACTTGCCGTCACGAAGCATGGAAGTGAAGTGCTTGCTCGACACCGCACAGCGATTGGCCGGCTGGTCCGACTGTTGCATGTTTCAATCACCAAGCTCTACGATCTCCATCCTACAACTACTCATGTTTCCACCGAAACAAGCGAGTCACCTAGCTTCAGCACGATTCATGAACTCACCACGAGTTTGATCAATCTGACGGTGCGTCTGCTATATCATCTATTGATGAATTATAGCGACACGATCAACCTCCGGGAGAAGCTTATGGTAATACCTGGGGGACATCACAAGTTTTTGGTATCTTTGACAAGGCTTGCATTTTCGGAACAGTTGGTATACGAAGCTGGGCTTGACAATGAGGCACTCGACGCTGCACATGAAATTTTGGATGGAATTTTGAGTCCTGAAGAAGGTGAAGCGGTTGTACAAGCCATCGAGACGCCTAGAGGACCAAACGGGACGAGGATGTCTACTTGTAGCTGAGCGGTTCCAGCTCGGAATACCTTGGACCTACGATCAGAATTGGATAGAGACAAAAGCACAAATAATGACTTATGACAAGAGGGATGAATAGGCAGAAGTTAGAAATTGTGATAAAATAAATTGAAATGCACTGAAGCACGTGACTGAGGCCGCGGGGCCCTGACGTTTTTGGGAAAGTTGAGAGTCACAAGGAAAACCGACCACGCCGTCGCCGCATTATTCTATTCACACGCCAGTCCACTGGAAACACCGCAATCATGTCGCTCACAAATTGCCGTTTCTACGAAGAAAAGTACCCCGATGTCGACTCGCTCGTCATGGTCAACGTCCGCCAGGTCGCTGAGATGGGCGCATAGTGAGTCCGGCATGTTAGCCAGCGTGCTCACGGCGAATAACTGACGCCTGCGCTTCCAGTGTCAAGCTGCTCGAGTACGACAACATTGACGGCATGATCTTGCTCAGCGAGTTGTCCAGAAGACGTATCAGATCCATCCAAAAACTCATCCGCGTCGGAAGAAACGAGGTCGTCGTTGTGCTGAGAGTCGACAAGGAGAAGGGTTACATTGATTTGTCCAAGCGCAGAGTCTCGCCCGAGGATGTGCTCAAGTGCGAGGACCGCTACAACAAGGCCAAGATGGTCCACTCTATCATGCGCCACGTCGCCGAGAAGACTTCGACACCCATGGAGGACCTGTACAAGAGCATCGGCTGGCCATTGGACAAGAAGTACGGCTCGAGTCTTGACGCTTTCAGAATCTCCATTTCAAAGTACGCCACCACCGCCTCCTACACATGAACCAGAAACTTACACAACACAGCAAGTCAGTTTGGGACGAGGTCGAGTTCGCCAACAACGTCATCAAGGAGGAGCTCATTTCATACATTGGCAAGCGCTTGACACCCCAGCCCACAAAGGTCCGTGCCGATATCGAAGTTACTTGCTTCGGTTATGAGGGAATCGACGCCGTCAAGAACGCCCTGCGCCAGGCTGAGGCCCGCAACACCGAGGACACCCAGGTCAAGGTCAAGCTCGTCTCTCCCCCTCTTTACGTCCTCACCTCGCAAACTCTCGACAAGACCATCGGTATCACCGTCCTCGAAGAGGCCATCCAGGAGGTCACCAAGGCCATCACCGCAGCTGGCGGCACCTGCTCCGTCAAGATGGCCCCCAAGGCTGTCACCGAGAACGACGATGCTGAGCTCCAGGCCCTCATGGACAAGCGCGAGCGCGAGAACCAGGAAGTCAGCGGCGACGAGGACGAGAGCGAAGACGATGGCATTGTTGCTGTCGACGAGTAAACCCTTCCGCCAACCACCTATTGATCCTTTTTTTCGCACGCGACGCAGCCACCACCCCTTTTGCTTCCGGCGTCTGGAGTTTCGATTGTCACGCAAAAAGAAGAAGGAGCACAGCGCTGCATGCATATCGAGTCTTCAGGTTTTGGGTTAGACATGACGATAGAGTTGAGAAGCGTCGCAAGGGGAAAGAGAAGCGAAAGAAGAGGACACGCGCCGAGGCGGAAGGAGGCATCTTTTGCTGAACGCCCAGATCTATACATGACCGAGGGACTGACTGCCCATGAGACTCGTTGCGATATTAGCGTACGACCCCCCAAAAGAATGAAATTTTCCTTGCAAATTATTTTTTAGCGTTCCTTTGCAAGAGGCGGAAAGTGCATACTGCTGGTTGAACAACATCGAACACTCTACTCGATATGATCGGTGCTATTCGAGCGGTTAAGAAGAGCAGAAACGATCGCGATGCACTATGTTGACAACAACAGAGTTTCGAAAGATTCACTATGGATTTGACTTTACCTTGCCTTGCATCGACGACCCTGTTGATCACACACTCACTTCTCAGACTCCTGACAACTTTCATGTTACACAACTCCACTGCTGTCGAGTCTCAATCGAAGCTGTATCAGGAAACAACCAATTCAAGGGAAATGTTCGACATGTCTTGGAAAAGTTCAAGGCCTGTCTCATCCTGCCTCGACCGACGGAATGCCTCAACCTGTGGCGTACCAACATTCCGGAGCAAACTCGCTGATCCGGCCAGTTTGGAAGTCCTCTCTCGAGCCGCTGACCAACCTGCGGACGACGTGCACATTCGATGCTAACATGAACAGCCGAAAGAGAGAATGGTCAGTTGCTTTCTGGTCACGCTACTCACTCGACACTCGCGCTTTGATCTCCTCATTCAAAATCGCATTCAGACCTCGCCTGTGTTTTCATCGTGTGTCTTTCGACGAATGTTCAGTATCGATCAACGCTGCGTCGAGCGAGGAGTCGACCTATACAGGGATATCGTCCACATGACTCGGACTTTTTTTCAAGCCTTTGTCATGTTCCCTCAAACCGACTCAACTCTCATTCCCAGATACCTCGATGTGCCGTACCATAATTGCGATCTATCGAGCAGTCCCGTTGGTGTTGCTCAACCACCTCCAAGTTTTGCATGATTGTCTCCGTTCCGAACCCCTGAGCGCTCTTGGCAAGACTTGTATCACTCCCTGACCGCAAGCCTTCTGGCATCCTGGACACTAATTTCACACCTCCACCATGTTCGATCAGACACTCCCTCTTGGCCTTGTCTTCTCTCTGGGCAATGAGAAGACTGAGAATCGTTGTGTACAAACTCCCGTTCTTTGACCATGGTCCCAGCATGTGTTGGTTCTCCTTGATACCATTTTGGCTCTCTTTGTCGAGTGTCTGAACAGCTCCTTATGGCCTCTCATGTCTTTCAAGTATCTCCTTTGTTATGCTGCACTGGAATCCTGTCAGAAAGTATTCATAACGATCGTCGAAGGCCCATCTTCATCTCAGTCCCAGCAGAGAACTTCAGAGAAAGACGAACACCTCCCAAATCTGCGAACAACACTTCCACAACTACGCTTCTACAGCAAGTTCGGTGTCTCCGTTATCCAAACACCTTATCATTCGGCTGACATCTTCGATTAGCCAAACATGAACAGAAGAATGGCCCGCAATGGCCACCACTGTCCGCAAGATAATAGAGGCGGATGCAGATGGGTCAATCGACCTGCTCGTCGTTGCACTACACATACTTATTTGTGCCCGATACACGACTCGGTTTACCAGACATATCAATCTTGTCTGAGCTGTGAAGGTGAAAGAAGGGCTGCTGAAAGAAGAGCGAGGGCTGGCACCCCTGAGCCAGAGCCTAGAGGCACTCGCAACAACCAGCGCCGTAACAATGTGAGTAGAAGTCCTCGTAACGACCGCCAGAACAGAAGGCGTTAGGATAAGCAGCAGTAGCCCCAGTTGTCTTTCACGATTCACTTTGGGCGATTACACTGAACTCTATCCACCGTACAACAGATTGCTAAGGATAAAACATCTACAGTTCAGCGAACAGAGAGTGGTCATCTCTGCTCTGGCTTCATCTTCTGCCTGTTCTCAAACAACAGCAGACTTCACAGCTTCCAGAAACACAGGACCAATCACCGACGTATTCATGCAGAACTTCTTGTTCTTAACTCTACTTTTCATACTGTCTTCTTGGCCAGTAACCACCTGAGTCTGTATCGTTGTCCTTAAGTCATTTCTGCATCATTTTTGCATTTGTTGTCAGGGAAGGAGTCAAGGAGATGGTTATTGTTGTTTGTATCTTTTCTGGGAAGTCTCTTCGGTCTAGGTTTGCACCTTCTGAATTTTTTTTTTTTTGTTCGATTGGATTCTTTTTCCTTTGTCGTTCGTTATTTTCTCAAGAAGGAGTGATGGAGTCCGTGTTTGCTTATCAAGGCTTTGGATATTGATATGTGTTGGAATCTTGTTTGAAGGTCATCTCCTTCCTACGTAAGGGGTCGAAGGCATGGTAAATCGTTTTGTTTCGATCTCTAGCAATGGTCTTGAGCAAGAAAGCAAACCTCTATACCTAAAATAATTGTTCCCAAAAAATATGTATAGAGAATAACAACATTTGGAGGCATCAGACCTCATAGCATGGGTATCAGGCTTCCGCAATCTCATCGTCTATCGCTCCAATGTCGCGTGATTGCCTCCTTATAGAATCGTCCTGCTTTTCATATCCCACAGGATTGTAGATCATTTGCATCTTCCTGACATATCTCTTCATACTCTCGCACAGTCTGTCCAAAATGAACGCCGCTTCGCTCTGCTGCGCCATGAGCGGACTATGCTCGCCAATCCAGTCCCACTCGATCAGACCGTCTTGATCGGCTTCATATCTGCTGACTCCCTCTTCTCTGTCTCGTGTAGCCGTGAAGCGAATCAGTTGTGTAAATCGTACCCATTCTTCGTAAGTGTAGGAGCGTGGTGGGTCTTCCTTCAGGTCTTTGGATACGTGCTGGATGGCTTGGGCTAATCTCCTGGCCAGTTCGGCATCACTAGGGGCTTTGCTGCCTTGTTCTTTGGCTAGATTGTCGATGGTAGGTTCATCATCTGGATCACCAGTCTCGAATCCTCGTTGTAAGCGATGCTGGATGGCTCTGCGCTCCTTATATCGTTGTATCCATGGTGCTAATCGCGGTATGAGCGTGCGCCAGATTCCTTGTTTTGGTAAGATGGTAAAGTCGGCTAGACGGAAAGCGCCTTGGTTGAAGCCATTGACGATGGTGTCTGACATATCGGAGACTAGAAGTGTCATTGTTGGCACAGCGACAAGACTCCAGACCACAAAGAAGGGACGTCCGGCATTGGACTTTGGAGCGAGATCGCCATATCCGACAGTGAGAAGAGAAACCCAGCAAAGGTACAGAGATTGGAAGTAGGTTATGTCTTGCACGCGGCGCTCAGCGACCCAAAAGATCACCGCACCAATGCACCACAGAATCGAGAAGGCCGCGGTCGATATGAATAGACTAGACCATTTCTTCCATTTCTCGGTTTTCTGTTGTATGCGTCGCATAGCATTGAATCGATCTTTCTCCTCGCGAAGGAGCAACAGACGAGGCTTGCGTATTGGTCGAAGCACAGTCGCGGTGCGTTTCAGACCAAGAAAAGTCCCTTGATCTTGATACGAATCGTTGTCTCTTGGCGGTGTAGTGTTATCAGCAAACGCAATACTGCGGTTGACCGGATCGAAGGGTCTCGAAATTGTCGGTTTCAGTCCCAACGCTAGTTCTTCGCGCTCTTTAAGCTCGATCGAGCTTGTGAATGATCTTCCTATGGTTCGGGTGCGAGTCCTCTCAATGTGTTTTTGAACTATGTTGTCCTCTCCCAATTCTGTCGCAAAAGTTGTGAGACTGGTCACGATCAGACCGAGCATGATGATACCTCCGACCGCATAAGGCATGACTAGCCCTCGTCCGACATTGCTCGACGGGTACAAGTCTCCAAAGCCGATTGTCAACACAGTGACCTGACAGAAGTACAGTGCATTGACATAGGACCAGTTGAACAGACCCAGTCCGTACTTGGTCTCAACTAGCGAGAACACACCGGCGCCGCCGGCGAGCCACACGAAGAACAGCATAGTCTGCAAGATAAGCGTGCGCTGGGAATCGGTAAGATTGAATCTTTGTGGATAGTGTCCAAGGAAATATCCAAGCATGTTCACCATGAGTAGCATAGAGCATATCAAATAGAAAATTGCAGCTATGACGGCATACCAGAAACCTTGCGTGTAGCTCTGTTGGGGACGCTGAGGTGGTACATATTCATTCATAGATGCCTCGATGCCGATTAACTGTAGAAGTCAGCATGGATGACTTTGAAGGACGTCGCTTGCTGGTACTCACCACCCCGGTCGCTAGGTACCACAGGATGATGGTACATGGAAGCGCAATGATATATCTGATACGATTTGTGAAGTTGAATAGCAGGAAGATGTTTCCTGCGAATCCCAGTGCGAGCGAAAATATGTTAAGCTTATAACACCAGTGAGGGTCTGGAAAGGGGTGTCCATCCAGGTCTGAGAGCAGCTCGCTCTTTCCGTCCCACGGACAGGTCTCTGGATTTACACCATCAACCAGACACATTCTCCATGATGTGACAAGTGCTGCGATTGATAAGACATTTGCGAGAGGGCCTTCGAAGAAAAGCGGCGTTAGCAGGTTTTCGCAATCCAACCTAATGCGATATACAACATAGAATCTTGATGAAGATTCATGATCCGAATGTAGGTTTTTTTCAGGAAAGTAATTGAGACGAATCAAGATACAAAATGATGCGTGGCTGTTTTATACAACGTACCCATAGTCGCGGCGAGCAGCGGGATAGCAGTGCCAGCGAACCACCAATCCTGTTCTTGGTCATCGTCCCATGATCTTAGGGTAAATTTCCACCAATGTTTGCGATTTGGAGTCTTTTCGATGGACCTTCGTCTTTCTGAAGATTTGCGCCGTAGATCCTGGCTTTCTATGCCTCGCCCACGCCATGATGGTCTTCTTTCAGAAGGAGTGTGTTGGTCCTTTGAGACACCAGTACAATCCGAGGACCCTTCAAAAGCACTAGATTCGTGTTGCTCGCCCATGGTTGTACAGAATTACTGATGGACTCCTAGAACAACTGCCTGGCTATGGACATTTTCAAGGTAGTGAATGTGATGAGAGACTGGAGAAAGCCGTTGGAAGAATTCAAATATCGGCGTTGTTATGATCTTGGCCCCACGGCAATGTGCGGCAATGGAAGGATAGTGATCGCAAGGCTGACAACTGAAGATATGGAGATGGCGAGGAGGTCGGGTTATCATGTCACGATAAGTAACAAGAAGGAAATCTTGGAAGGGCTCGATCTTTGACGGCTGAGGTACAGTACCACATCCGGGAGTCGCGGTTCGCGGGTGGAATTCATGGAAGTTTAACGGTAAGCGTCATTAGCGTGTCGCAATCTCATCCCTGTCTTGCACCTGCTACAAGTCAAGGCGCAGCCGATGAAAGCGTGCATAACAGACAGACAACCAGAATCGCATGATATCGTGGTATCTCAAGACAAGCATTCTTGGTGTATAGTAAAGAAGATGCTTGTTGTGGCTTGATGTTGAGCGAAGGATTGTCCGACCTCGGCCTCGTATGAGCGGCGGGCCGATGGTGGTGTAAAGTGTGATCATAAGGGTCCAAGGCAAAAAAAATACAATATGATGTGACTGGGCCGTTCCCACCACTCGCTGCTTCCTCCCAACATCGCTCCCTCAGTTTATTGACCTGATCCGACATACATCCAAATTTCGCCATGTCGACCCAAGTGAAGCATCGTCGCGGCAGCGGTGTGGAGCCTAAGAATGCTCTGCAATCCGACTTTACCGAAACCTCGAGCATGGACTCGGACGAACGCTATCTGGTATGAGATTCATGGGATCTCGAATGGACGAAACAGATGAGTCAAATCAAAGCATCCTCCAAACGCGCATGATGGCCACAGGTGAGTTCAAGGCCAAGAGATCAATCGATTCTACGACGACAATTCAACAACAGAGTCACTGCACGCGGGCATCTGATCCACCTTTTGCCTCCTGCAGGCATTGGGATGGGTTCAGGTTGAGAAGAACCGAACGAACTTGATCGTCTTCATAGACGCGTAAGGAGATGCAGAGACTATCGAATCGCCCTTTCTTGATTCCCCTTTTCGTATTTCGGCGAACATTTGACCTAATACAGGGCAGAATGCGCTCGGTTATAAACAAGTGAGTGCATCTGCCAAAAAAAATATCAAGAACAAGACCTCTAACAACTAGCCAGACTTTGCACCGTCAATGGAAGTTCGCAGAGAGCTTTTCCGCCAGCTTTGGTAACACACTCCAGACGTCTTAGTAGCGACCTCATCTAACGATCATGCAGCTGCAATGTATGTTATTGGCGGCATCCGCTCAACATTCTATATCGGTGTTGAAGCTGGAGGTCCTGCAGCCTACTGGTAAGCTAATATCTAGAAGTCATCGCGATTCCTTTGGGGCTCGAATACTGATTTGTCTAGGTCCTCGTACCTCGTCACCATGGTCTTCACCATGATCACTGCTGCCGTTCTGGCAGAGATCTGCTCCGCTCTTCCCGCCGCTGGCTCGATCTACTTCTGGGCCGCAGAAGCTGGTGGTCCCAAATATGCTCGCCTGTTCGGCTTCATTGTCGCTTGGTGGTCGTGCACGGCATGGACAACTTTCGTGGCTTCTCTTGGTCAGAGTACTGCCAACTTCATCCTGTCGGAACTCCCGGTCTTCGGTGTCACCTCTCTCATTACCGACACTAGCGATATCAAGTTTCGCGCCGTGCAGTGGGCTGTCTCTGAAGGTATCCTGTTCCTGGCCATTGGCATGAATTACCTCAACCCCAAGACCTACAAATGGATCTTCAGAATTGCTTCTGCCATTATTGTCCTTGACTTTGTCTTGAACATCATCTGGTTCCCCATCGGAGTTTCTCAGACCTACGGATTTCAGTCGGCCAAGTTTGCTTTCACAGCTACAGACAACCTCACAGGTGCCCCGCCAGTCTGGAACTGGATGCTGTCTTACTACGTTACCGCAGGCATTCTTGTCGGATTCGAAGCCTCAGGACACATCTCTGAGGAGACTCAGAATGCGAACCTTGTTGCCGCCAAGGGTATCTTCACATCTGCCCTGGTCTCTGCCCTGATGGGCTTCCCTATGGTCATCTTGTTCTTGTTCTGTTGCCCAGACCTCAGCAAATTCAACTTCGACTATCCTCAGCCATTTGTCGGCATCTATGCGCAGGCCTTGGGCAGAGGCGGCCACCTTGTGATGAACATTGTCTGCATTCTTGGTCTTTTCTTCAACACAACCGTCAGCGGAGTCGCTTCATCCCGTCTGATCTGGGCTGTCGCACGTGATGGTGTCTTGCCATTTTCAGGTTGGATCTCTGCAGTCTCTGCAAACAAGGAGCCCAGAAACGCAGTCACGGTTATGTTGGTCGTCGCTGCACTGCTGCTTTGCTCTATCCTTCCCTCTGCTACCGCCTTCTCATCGCTGGTCTCTGCTGCTGGTGTTCCCACAATCACAGCATATGCTCTGATCTGCTTTGGCCGTACTTTCCTGACACCAGGAGAGTTCAAGAACGCACCCTGGTCGCTCGGTCGCTGGTCTCGTCCCATGAACTTCGTTGCTCTTATCTGGAACCTCTACCTGGCCGCAGTGTTGTTTTCTCCTCTCGAGTTCCCTGTTACTGGTGAAAACTTCAACTACTCGCCTGTGATCTTTGGTGCAATTACCATCTTTGCTCTTCTTTCATACTGGTTTATGCCCAAGGACAAGTGGTTGCCTGCAGCTCGCCTTGGTAAAGTCCATATGCTTGAGGAAGAGTTGAATGCAAACAGGACTGGACGCAGCTCTAGCGTCTCAGGTCCCTCGACCTAAGTTGGCCAGCTCGATACAATCGTGTGGAATTGGTGATAAAGTCACACGAGCAGTATCGATTCGGGGGAAGCCAGTCACGCTCAATGATGGTTCTGGCATGAACACATTCAACCAGTGTACAGTAATAGAGTGGAGGCAGGATTGTTGAAATAGAGACGGTTCGATAAGACAGGGTTGCTAGAAAATGGGAAAGGGTTGTAGAATAATCAAAAGTACAAGACACTCGTTTTGAATCAGTCGCTCTTGCTCGCTCCTGCCTGAGGCCTATGAACGAATGTAGAAAGTGGGGTCTGAAGCTCGCCGTATTGATTTGCCGAGCAGCGGGGTCAATGTTGCACTCAAGACGGTCAACTACTTGATTGCTTCTCTCTGTCTCTGGAACTGCAACTTTGTTTGGTATTGAGAGTTGTGTGGTTACCGATTCGCGTGATTGAGATCGCTTGTGTCACTGATTCCTGAAATACGACACCATGTATGCAGCCAAGCGCTCTATACATGCATCTCGGCTCCAATAGCTGACAGCAGCAGGGTATATACCGCATCCTTCGCCTTCTTTGAGGCTTTATATGAGGTAGATCCCATTGGATCTTGATATCTTGCATGAGATTGACCATTTGGATCTAGGCTGGCGTCACGCATTGTTTCGTCAATCTTGGCTCAGACCATCCCAGTATCATCGAAGCAATCGTCAAAGGACAGAATGAAAAGAATGGAAAGTTCCCACGTATCATCACGTGCCCTAATGAGGTGTGTAAACGACATCTTGATTGATCTCAACACCATGCTGATCTTTCGTAGATGGTGGCTCTCAGTCTGGCTGATGGATACGCAAGACTTACCAACAAGCCTCAATGCGTTATCGTTCATGTCGATGTAGGAACTCAAGGCCTCGGTGCTGCGGTCCATAACGCTTCTTGCGGAAGAGCACCTGTTCTCATCTTCGCCGGGCTATCTCCATACACAATCGAGGGCGAGTATCGCGGTTCGAGAACTGAATATATCCATTGGATCCAGGATGTCCCCGATCAGAAGCAGATCATCGCACAGTATTGTCGCTACACCGGAGAAATTAAGCGTGGAGCAAACGTCAAGCAGTTGGTCAACCGAGCCTTGGCCTTCGCTACAAGTGAGCCAAAAGGTCCTGTATATCTGGTTGGTGCTCGAGAGGCCATGGAAGAGGACATCGAACCGTACAAGCTCGACCAACGCTACTGGACAGCAGTCGAGCCAAGTGCTTTGACTCCAAAACAGGTCGAGAACGTTGCTCAACTCTTGGTCGAAGCCGAATCCCCCCTTGTCATCACTGGCTACAGCGGACGCAATCATAATGCTGTTGGAGCGCTCGTTGAGCTTGCCAATACCGTCAAGGGACTCAAGGTGCTAGACACTGGTGGTAGCGATATGTGCTTCCCGGCCGATCACCCAGCCTGGCTAGGTCTCAGATATGGTGTAGAGGAGAACATCAAGACCGCAGATGTGATTATAGTGCTGGATTGCGATGTCCCTTGGATCCCAACTCAGTGCAAGCCCAAAGACGACGCTAAGATCATTCACATTGATGTCGATCCTCTGAAGCAACAGATGCCAGTGTTCTACATCAATGCCTTGGCCAGATATCGAGCAGACTCAGAGACTGCTGTGACACAGATCACTGACCATCTCAAAGCCAAGTTCCAGAGTGAGATCACAAGCAGCAAGTTTGAAGAGAAGTGGACCAAACTTCAAGACTCGCACGACCAACGTTTGCAGGCGATCTCAGACCAAGCAAAGCCTGGCGAAGATGGCACGTATGGATGTTCATATCTGATCCACCAGCTGCGCAAGACGTGTCCTCAAGATACCATCTGGGCCATTGAGGCGGTGACGAACACTGCATTCGTTGCGGATCAGATTCAGGCTACTCTCCCTGGCTCTTGGATTAACTGCGGTGGTGGTGGACTTGGATGGTCGGGAGGCGGCGCTTTGGGAATCAAGCTTGCAACCGACTTTGAGAATGGCGGAAAGGGAAAGTTCGTGGTTCAGATTGTCGGCGATGGCACATACCTCTTCAGCGTGCCAGGATCGGTTTACTGGATCGCACAACGCTACAACATCCCCATTCTTACAGTCGTGCTCAACAACAAAGGTAAGATGTCCAAATACTGTAGCCCTGATGGATATTTGCTGATGCTGAGCAGGTTGGAACGCACCACGCAAGTCACTTCTTTTGGTCCATCCAGAAGGCGAAGGCAGCAAGGTTTCAAATGAAGAACTCAACATCTCTTTTGCGCCCACCCCTGACTACGCAGGCATCGCAAAGGCAGCTTCGGGTGGTAAGTGTTGGGCCGGCCATGCCGGCACTGTGGAACAACTGGCGAAACTGCTTCCAGAAGCAATCGAGGCAGTCAAGGGCGGTGTTTGCGCTGTACTAGATGCTCATCTTGACGGACCGCAAGGAAAGTACGGTGGCGACAAGGCTGCCCTGGTGGGATGAGGGGATTCGCAGTCATGACTGGGGGCATATATCTAGATGTCTTCATTGATAGCACATTGAGACGGCAACGTAATTACGAAATCATACACTATATGTAGCATATCAACATATCAAAACAGGGGTATCATGAAATCAAATCCAAGAAAACGTACTCGTCTTTCGTCTTCCTTCATCTGGCAGACCCAATACTTCTTCTTCCTCCATCTCGTCCACGATCCTTATCTCTCTTGCTATTCAACGGCGACCCAGCATTCTTGCTCGAACCAGAGACCACACGCGCAGTGCCTTTCGTCGCCGGACTCTTCGTACCAGACTTGTTGGGATCCCTCTCTTCGCTCACATCCATGGTACAGTCGAACTTCAGCGTTTCGTCTTTTAGCCCGGCCGCTCTGGCTTCGCAGTATATCCGGGTCTGGAGAACAGACTACAATTTCGCGCCTCTTCTCAGCAAATTGCTCTCTTACCAGGCACAAACCAGATCGTGGTAGGGCTTTACCTCGTGTCTTTGTCTGCTCAGCAACAGCAGCATTTCCTCATTTTCTAGTATGCGTGCGGCGCGATTGCGGATCTCGAGCTCTTCGTAGGGGAGGTCTTGGGCTTTTGGTGCGGTGGTTGCTGGAGGTGACTTTGCGCCGGAGGAGAGTCGTGGTTTTGCGGTTGCGATGGGGCGGTTGGTCGTGCTGGTCGACATAGCTCTATGATAATATGACTTTGTCTCGAGGAGTTTCTGAAGAAATAAAAGGCTAAGACGTGAATGCGATGTGGGCAAGAGAAACTGGAGAATTGGGGGCTCGCGTAGGCCTCTTTCTCGTGAGGTTGGCTTTGTTTGCTAGTCCGAGAATACCCTGCAATTGCTAGTGGTCTTTTCGGTAAGCTGCGTCTGATTATCAGATCCGTACCATGGTTGGGAAGGTTTCATATGCTGTTTGCTCGTGCAAGGTCGCGTGTGCATTGATGGTCCTCGTATCGGGACCGCGTTGACATCATTCTTGCTGTGGTAATGACCCTGCTCATACCATGAATTAATTTCCATCATTGCTACTGCTCTGCTTGGATTGATGATCTCTGTTCTTTGGGCATTTTAGGAGTATATTGTCCTCAATCAGAGGCTTTGGAGTACGTTTGAATGATGCAAGGTGATGCAAGGAGTAATTATTCACAAAAAAATAGAGATTGTGATGCTTATATCGTGGAAATGCATGAGAGCCAAATCATCTGCAAACCTCAACGATCATTTTGCGATCGAGTTATTGCACTGACGCAAGCAAAGACCAATTGCAATTACTTCTGCGTACCAGTCTTAGACGAAGAAACAGGCACCTTGACACCCTTTTTACCCACAGCACCACAAGCCCCCGAAGCACCACAATAAGTCTGGAAACCCGCCGCATTCTTTGAAACCGTCGTCGAAGCCAAGGTAGTGGTACATCCTGTACCATTAGGGTTCACACACTTCTTGCCGGTCTTGGTGTTGTACTGATGTTGGAGGTCAAGTTGGAAATCGGTCATGGTCTTGTAGTTGGAGACTTTGATGGAGAAAGAGTTGTCTTTGCAGGGTGTCCATGAGGTGGAAGGTTTCTTGGTCCAGTCCCATTGGATGGTGCAGGTGGTAGAAGCTTTGGTCTTGGAGTCGGTGATGGGGAAGCTGATGGTCGAGTAGGCAGGTGTCTGGATACCGCTAGGCATGTTGGAGTTTAGAGTGCCCAGAGTGAGGTATTGTGGTGTGGTTGCTGCGCTGGCCATTGAGACGGCACCGGCGCCGAGAAGGAGTGTGTTGATGAGATGCATATTAGATGGTCTTGCGATAAAAGATTGACGCTGGCGATAAGAAATGGAGGTATAAGATGATATTACAAGAAAGATCGTGACTGGAAGGAGAGATACTAGACTCAGGGATCGGGTGAGCATATCCATATATACATGTACCATTATTGACCATAGGGCGGATCATAAGAGGGCACTAGAAACTCTGGAAAAGAAGAATACCGTTAAGCCACGTTCGTTGTGTTCACATGTCTCACAACCTCTTTGCTGCAGACTCCTCTGCCAAAGACGACTGTGTCAATACGCCTTGTCGATAGCGTGGGTTCAAAAATGCCTTTGTCTGGAGAGAAACGGTGTGAATATAGACGTTGTTGGCTCCAGATGTGGCCATCGCGCCGTTGTCAACCGTGCTCTCTGCCGGCAGTTCACCAGCACTCACCAACATCTCTGCCCAGATACATATTAGACGAGGTTTTGGCTGCCAACCACATACGTCAGTCTGTGCGAAAGAGCATGCTCTCATGTCTGGACACTTGTGTGTAGCGTTTGTGTCTGAGGAAGTCACACTTTCATGGTGCCAAGCCCGCGCTTTTCGAAGTAGCTTTGAGAAAGTCTCAGCACAACTTGCGTTCGACCAGAAATATCAGCAATATGAAAATGGCCATGTAAGGATAATCCAGAGAGCTTGTAACCAGAAGGATTAATTCTATGATTGATACACCGATCGAGCGCGCGGTCCTAGCGCGATTCCTTCATCTCCAAGCGATATCTTTGTAACTCTTCCTTGTCATCGACGTCGTCTGCATGTGTGCATGCCTTCGTAATCATATATCCACATCACTTCCTATGTCTCGCAAACCACAAGTTCATCCTCAGGTCTTCCTAAAACTGGCATAAAACACTCTATGCGATCTTGGCTCTGGCGACAGAATCGTTGCTCAGACCTCCCATAACGACACCACCGACGGCTGTCAGGAATGCGTTGACCCAGACGCCAATCCACATGGCTTTGGTGTAGTGGGAGTCCAGCTTGTAGTGTTGGTACGCGCCAATCATGGTTGTGATGTGGTGGAAGATGGAGACGGCAATGAAAGCCTTCGAGTAGGTTCTGTTGATGCCGCCGCGGGCGTAGGCACGAGAGAGGACCATGAGCGAGGCAGCGAGAGAGATGAGACACCATCCGTCGGTGCGTACGTTGTACAGTTCGAGGTCTGTATGATCTCAGTCTTTGTCGTCCCAGATAAGGCTGCTGGAGCTGCGGCTCGACTTACCGGTAGTCTTCAGATGCGTTTCAACTGGAGGACGGAACCCTGGCGACGCGTTAGATGGTCAATTGAATACAGACTTGGAGGTGTGGAACACGTACAGCCAACGACCATCAAGGGGTCCCAGACGCGACAGAGGCCTCTTGTGCCATACCAGAGAGCGTTACCCCAGCAGTATCCGTGGAGGAGCTATTGCAAGCTCTGGTCAGCAGCTCATTCTTCTCACAATGATTCGCATAGCACTCCGTCCGACAGTCGAATCCATTGAGGGAAGCCCTGGGGTTGCTCACCACTTTGTCCGCTGTCAACGCCATCTCGTTCGTCTAAAGTATTGATGTTGTGAGATGTTCGAAGAATGATGAGAAGTTCCGTAAAGCTCGAGAATGCCAAATGCTTTGCTTATCGCTATCTTGCTGTTCAAGTCATGACGTTCAGCCTCATGCGCGACTGCATTCGTGGACATTTGGTGATCGCAGGAAACGTCATGCCCCAGCTACCCGGGAAGGAGCTCTCCCCGCATCGTCCTCGGGGCATTGTTTACCGGCCTTCAGGGCATCTGATTTTCAGGCACCTGGAACTCTGTTCGGAGCAACTCCGATTCGTACATTGCAACGCTCAATTGTTCGTCTCTTGTTGATGGTTGTAGCTACTTTTGGCTCCTATGAACTAGCAGCAATCAGTACTGGTAGCTCCGAAGAGTCATCATGGTTCTTCTGTTGACTCAAAAGGATAGAAATGATTAGAGTCAAAATCACAAAACTTCCAATTGCCATGAATCGCTAAAATGCATAACAGTATATGGTAGTACCCTCCAAATACTCGACCCAAACATCCTGCCCGAGAAATGCTTCAACATGCCTGCGCCTTAAATAGAGCAATGCAACCCCTTATATGCTGCTCCACTACCACGCCACGACCCATCAGCCACGACTTCAAACCTTGCTTTACAGCCCTTTTGCCTGACGGCTTGTATACCGCCGGATCGCAGCCATGGAAGCAGGTTCTTGCACTGACTAACATCAAAAAGTGAGAGATGAGGGCATCCGTCAACGACGCTCTCTACGCCTTGACCGGTTACTCGTACGCAGCCGCGTACAGACAAATATTCCAGCTCTAGAAGATGCAAACCGATACAACGGAGGCTTGAATCCGAGACGGCCGAGCCACAAAAGGCCAGATCGAGATGTGTGAGATGTGTCAAGCCCAGTGAAAGGACTTCGGTTGCTGTATCTGAAAGTGCACAGCAGAAAGACTATCAAGAAATGTGTCAGCGAATACTATATTCAACGTCTAATGCGCGGTCAAGACATACCAGGTCCAGCTCCTTGAGCCCTCGCGCAGCGTTTGCAATACCCACAATCGCCTGGTCGGTCAGATAAGTACAATCGGCCAGGACGAGCTTACGCAATCGTGAGAAGTTATATAGTCCCCAATGTTGGAAGCCTTGATCCGTGACCGAAGTACAACGTGTCAGATCAATGCTCTCAAGCCGGTTTGCTGCATGCGCAGCTATGTGCGCCATACTTCTGTCTTGAACGTGTTTGCAGTAGCTCAGTGTCAATCGCTTCAGTCCTGCAGCTCCCACCACAGTGCCTGGGGCGGGTTGGTCTGCCTGTGGAACCACCGCGCTGCTTGCATTGCGTTTAAGCGCTGGCCGACGAGATGAAGAAGGTACTGGTGGTAGCAGAGGTGCTGCTTGTCCAGGTGGTGGTTGTGGTACGATCCAGCCTACGATTCGTGCTAGGAGATTGTCGCCAACCTTTCTACAGTTGCTTAGATCAATATCCTCTAGGCGCTTCGCACGATTTACTAGATCCAGGATACTTTGTCCTGTTACGTCCCACACGCTACGCATTCTCCAGCTACGCACGCTTTCTCCACAACACTCGACTAGCGCGGCGAAGCCATCATCAGTTACATGGAAGCAATTGTTAATGTTGACATGACGCGCACGAGATCCTACGAAGGGACAGATGGCTTCTTTCAAGGCATAGTCCGTGACACGTCGGTTGTATCGTGACAGATCGAGGTCTTGCATGACATCCGGATTCGTGGTCAAAAGACGGGTCCAATGAGGCGAAACCAGTCTCAGGCGCATGAGGTCAGGCAGATCAAGGTATTGGAAGACCATAACAAGCACCGAATCTGGTAGAGGGCCTCTTCCTGACCGGCTAGATGGTCTGCCGAAAACACTGGGACGTCGGCTGATAGGACGCCGAGAGTCTGATGCAGGAGATACAGACGAGAACGATGACCTTGGTTTCAATGGAGACGATGGAAGAGCGCGGCCTACAGAAGGAGGTGAGGGTTGGCGATGGGCGGTATCGTGCATGACCGGCTCTGGAGACGGAGGCGCGAGAGAGCTTCTCCTTGATTTTGCACGCACGTTGTCTATATCGATGCTGAAGAAGGGATCGGGATCCAAGGGTTCAGCTGCGACAGGAGACATGTCTCGTACAAAGGCACTTCCAGGTTCAGTGTTACTGAAGGTGACAGTGGGTACGCTCTTCTTCCATTGATCTTCCGGTGGTAGAGCTGAGAGGGCGTCGATAGCCGAAGGAGCATCTGGCAGGACAATATCTGTATCTTCGACCTCTTTCAATCTCCGCTTAGCCTCTTGTTCGACCTGTTGGCGTAGGCTCGACGACCAGTTCTTCCAGAGCTCATCCAAGACTTGACCTGTGATGCGCAGACATTCAACGCTGTTGATAGATCTAACTGTCGCTGTTCTTTTTGGCGCCAGAGAGAGGCTAGTGACTTCGCCGAAGTACTGGCCAGGCTTAAGACGAGCTCGTACACGCTGCACAGGTAGTGGCTTCCCTGTTATCTCGTGGGTTTTATTGCCAGGCGTTTCAGTCACAACCTCGACTTCGCCGCGCACCAAGAAAAAGACATCCCGACCCTGTGATCCTTGAGTGATGATGTCTGTAAATGGACCAAAGCAACACGGCTGGGCGTTGACGCCCAGGAAATGTAGAATCTCAGCAGGTAGTTCGGCGAACAAAGGCAGCTCTTGCAGGATCTGGCGGACGGTCAGATTTGCGCTTCCCAAAACGCTGTTGGCGGCTGCCTCTGCAAGACTAGGGCTGGGAGATTTGCGTCGCTTGTTACTATCGTCCTGAGGGCCTACATCTTGCATGTCGACATCGCGCTCAATGAAGTCACGCGATCGCTTGCGCAAACCTGAGGTAGCAGGTAACGTGACGCGTTCCTTCTTTAGACGTTCGAGAATCGACAAGCGTTCGGTGGCCTCGTCGCGTATGGCTCGCTCGACAGCAGGAAAGGCTGGAAGGACTTTCTGCAGGTCTTCCTTGTTAAGCTTCAAGACCAGCGAGCGCAACTGAGCAATGATGGTGGCGGTACGCGGAATGTCCATCAGAATGCCAATTTCGCCAAAGAAGGCGCCGGGTTTGAGTTCTGCATATGTACTTTCTCCATCTCTTGACGTGACCCTTAGCGAACCGCGAACCAACCAGTACATGGCTTTGGCGTCATCGCCTTCTGTGAGGATGTATTCATGTGGCTGAAAGAGCTGTGGGCGCAGAAACTTTCCAATGGCGACAAGGAAGGAATCGGGAGCGGATGCGAACAGAGGAAAGGAGCGCAGGCGGTCGGTCAGCTCGAGTGGTAAGCCATGAATGGTGGAAGCTGTGAGCGGCGAAGAGCGAATGGGGCGACTAGGATTGGATTCGTGGTCGTATGCGCGGAGCAGAGAGAGAGGATCGTTTGGAGGCAGAGCAGACGGAGGCTGGTGCCGACGCATTGTTCAGGCCAGGCACTTGGACTCGGCGAGGAGGGGGTGGAGAGAGGGAAGCAGGAGACGAGCACGCGTGCTCAAGGTCGTACACAATGCACAGTATGTCGGTTGCTGAGTACTTGGAGGAAGTCGGGAGAGCTCGACGGTGCACGGGCACAGTCAGCGGGGATGATGGCGGTGTACGAGGAACAATTGCTGTTGCGTGTTGCGAATGGTCGTGGTGGAGCAGCGTTGAAACAAGCAAGTAGGTAAATGTTCACCTTAATCAATCGCCTGCGAGCTGAACAACCGTCGAACATCCAACACTATACACTGAGATTTCTGGATATTAAAGGGGCTATCCTGGCCTATGACGCGCAAATAGAACACACTTTAAGATCAGATGGGATTCTATTACGGTATGCTCTGCGGTAGTGCGAGCTTCGCTGCTCTTGAAACGCCAGCTCGTCACCGTCTTTCTAGAGCTTCCATGCTCACCGCCTTGGACATCTAGCGCGACGCACCTAGCGACCATCTCTTCGGTAGCGTCCCCCAGCTTCTTTGCGAGTCTCGAAACAGTGGCAGCATTTCTTTGGTCTCCGAAAACACTGATGTCCTTATTTATAAGCATCAAGGTCATTGAAGAAAAAGAACGGCGGCAGGAACGGAACGGTACGAGTTACTTCCCGTTTAGAGCGGACGAGGGCTGACCGGGTTCATGACATATTCCAGTGCGCGAGTCATTCTAAGATCGCCAGGGATCCACGCGCAGTTTCAAGTCTCGGACTCTCTTGACACGCAACCTCCCCAGCTCCTTTCTGCAGAGACGCTCGAGACACGAATCTCTGACAGCGAGGGCAGGACGGTCAATGAGCAAGGCTGTTGAGCAGAGCTGGAGTAAGGTCTGTGAGATGTGTATGCTTAACTTAAAGCCGCTCTAGATCCCTTGTCTCCACAAACTCGTATCGATGTTTGCAACGCATGCATTGGGAACTGAGGAAGAACCCAACGGTGAGTACTTTTCCCATCACGGTCTTGTTGACTATACCTTATGGCCTGGTTCAATGGCACGCAGTCACAATCGCTTCAGATGTTGGTGTACTGCGACAGTGCCATCCCTAGCTTTTGGACCTGGATGTCTGGGTAGAGCTGGGTGGCCTTTCCTCAGACAGACAGGAAACGCTCGAGGCGCATCCACCCCGCACTGGGTCGAAGCTTCGTTTGGGTCAGTGCTTTCTGTTGGATCGCGGCCTTCGGGCTTCGGTGGTCCATCTGTTGGCGGCGCTTGACGTGAATGCGCAAACCATCAACTTTTTGCAGCATGTCGGATAATTCGGGCCTCTCTCCAACGCTGTCGCACACGATATCTCTGCCCGGTCAGTCGCGTCTGCCAACTTCCATCCAGCCGTCATCGCTGCCTCCTGCGCTGCCTTCGGGCCACTCATCGTCCTCGATACCCTCGGCACCGGCTCCAACACCGCTACGGGATGCCCACGGCCGCGTCTTGAATCCGCGCTCATGTGTGACTTGCCGGAAGCGCAAGGTCAAATGCGACAAATTGCACCCCTGTTCCAATTGCGCTCGCGCTCACATCGAGTGTGTCTTTCCCACTCCTGGAAGAGCGCCTCGTAAACCACGCAAAGTTAGCGATTCAAGAGATGCCGAGCTGCTCGATAGGTTGCGCCGTCTCGAGGGCGTTGTCAAAGGCCTCGGTGTAGACATTGCCAATCCAGAGTCGTTCCCTGATGCCCCTCCGCCTGACCACGTAGAAGCCCGCCCTTCAGAGCAACCTGATGTGACTTGTCCAACCACCGCCAAATGCCCCGAACTCCCCGACTCCACACGATCCAACAAACACGGTAACGAAGATGAGCTATGGGCGTCAAAAAACAGATACGTAGACGGATCCCGTAGTGCCAATTTCGAAACCAGGTTTGGTCGTCTGGTCATCAATGAGGGTCGCTCTCGATACGTGAACAATTCTTTCTGGGCCAACCTCAGCAATGAGGTCGAGGATTTGAAGGGTATAATGAATCAGGACACCGATGATGAAGGCGACGAGTCATCGCCGATCCAGTCCCAGCCTGATCAGCACCATGGCTGGATCTTTAGTTTCAGTTCTCAAAATGTCGACCTTTTGTCTCTACATCCTATCGCTGGCCAGATTGAATCATACTGGAATGTCTACAAGGAGCGTGTAGACCCCCTGGTCAAAGTTCTCCACATACCTACCATCGAGCCCACCGTCTTGGCGTCTGCCTCTCATCTTGCCAATCTTTCCAAAAGCTTCGAGGCCCTGCTCTTTGCAATTTACTATGGTGCTACCACTAGTCTTTCCGAGAGCGATTGTCTCAGCAAGTTGGGAGAGGAGAAGGGCCTTCTCTTGTCACGCTACCGATTTGGCGTCGAGCAAGCTCTCGCAAGGGCAAACTTTCTTACCACAGAAGAGATGATGGTTGTTCAAGCAATCGTGATTTTCTTGATATGTTTGCGCAGGAACAACGATGCCCGCGTCATTTGGACATTGACTGGCCTCGTTGTCCGAATCGCGCAGACTCTTGGTGTGCATCGAGATGGTCTGCATTTCAACCTTCCACCATTCGAGATCGAGATGCGAAGGCGTCTGTGGTGGCAGATATGTATCCTAGATGTACGCGCTTCTGAGGATCATGGAAGTGACCCTACCATCAGTAAGTCCTTATTCCAACTTTGCCATTCCAGGCCTAGAGTGCTAAGTAAGTATTTTAGCCGAGCAAGCCTTTGACACGAAAATGCCCCTGAACATCAACGATGAAGACATATCCCCTGCTATGACCAAGCTGCCCGACGAACGTCAGGGCTGCACAGATATGTCGTTTTGTCTCATCCGCTTCGAGGTCGCGAACACTTTCCGCCGGCTCAACTACATCCCGCCTGGCGAACCTAAACGATGCGGCGAGTTCTTTGCTTCAGTCACACTCGAGGACAAGGAAAGATGGATTAATGAATGCCACAAGAGACTCGAAGAACGTTATCTACGACACGTGGATATGTCGGTTCCATTGTATTGGATTACTGCTACAGTCGCTCGGCTGATGATGAGCAAGATGTGGCTGATGATGTGAGTATCCTAGACCAAGTGCTTAACGACAAAACTGACAACACCAAAGCTATCACCCGTACCAAAGAAAAGATGGCGGCAAAAGCCTTTCCGAAGAGACCCGAGAGAAACTGTTCATCACCAGTCTCGAAAACATTGAATATTCACTACTCATGGAAACCGAGTCTCGCACAGAAAAGTGGAGCTGGCTCTTCAAGACATACATTCAATGGCACGCACTAGCATTCCTGCTTGGCGAGCTCTGCCATCGCACAAGTGGTGATCTGGTCGATCGAGCATGGTCTTCTGTTGAGAGGTGTATCCAGGCTAGTTGGTCCGTAACAGCCACCAAGGAAGAATCACGCAGCGGACATCTGTGGAAACCATTAATGAAGCTTCTCGCCAAGGCTCGAACGGCAAGATTGCAAGCGATTCGAAAGAATGAAGCTATCAAGCAAGCGACACCACCGGGAATGTCTCCGATCCTGCCTCAACCACGAATGGTCCGAGCACCGCTAAGTGCAGCGCAATTGTCTCGTTTTATGCGTCCTGCTGCATATGGTACACAGCCGATAGACTCGACCGAGCTGATGAACTCGCCGAAGAGTATAGAAGCCGTTGTGCTCAGCGACGATTCAATGGACGTCTCACTCCTCGCGCCAGAATCATCAAGAAGCATAGATCAAACCACCAACCTCGCCATGGACACATCTACAACCCAACCCCCTCCTCAACAAACCTATACCTCTTTCAACGGCCCGTCATATCCAGGACCATCCCCACACCAAACAACAACCCCTCCCAACTTCCACACCACAAACCAACAATCCCCGAACGGCAATTTCAATATGACCATGAACATGACCAACAGCAATAACGCAACTCCACCCGGCTTTTCCCCATTCGACACTACAGGAGAAATCGATTGGCAGAACTGGGATCAGCTTGTAAGACAATTTGGACTCGAGGATAATGCGGCAGTGCTGGATCCCACGGCTGGCCAACCCATGAATTGGTCTGGTAATTGGGGAAATGCGAATATCGGTAGTGGTAGCTGGTTCTAGACCATTCATGATGTTATGATTACTTTCGAGAGGTTGGACAGGCTGATCTCTTTCCCTTATTATTGATGATTCGTGCAATTCAAAGATTACGGCGAGATGACTTCTACTCTCTGTGCCATCAGGAAATGGATCGAGAACTGTCAACTCTGATTTGTGATTTTGTGCAGCAATTATATGAAACGAAACTCCAAGAAAACAGAGAAATTTGATCTTTGACCCCCCTATCCTAAAGCCCAAGCAAGACCCTGTGCTTGGTGCTTGTTTAGAAATAACGCCAGCCGCTACCATGTCATTCACCATGCCCCAAAACTGTCTGAACTGTCTGACATATACTACACCTCAGCAGTCTTGTATCCAGCCTCTTCCGCACTGGCTGGCTTGATGTCGTCGCCTTGTTGAGCAACAGCTGCGCCTTCCTGGGTTCCCACAACTCCAAGCTTGTCTCCCTTGTCCTCGGCCTCGCCCTGAGCGGCTGCTCTGACATCGCTCTCGACAGAAACACCCATGCTTGCAAACTTGGTCTCGACATCTGCAACTCTGCGCTTGAATTGTAAGCGGTCGAAGAAGAGGCGTTGACGTTGACGTTCAAGGTCTCTACGCTCGGTCTGGAGCAGGGTCTCCATCTCGTCGAATTGTTGCAACTTAAGCTCCAGTTTTTGCATGTGCAGGTTGACGGCTGAGGAAACTAGCGAGCTGATGTGGCGTTCGGTGTGCGAGGCCAAAGCTGAGGAACGAGCAGCTGTCAGGCTGAGAGCCAATGTGGCGGGTGAAGATGCAGCGTCCTTGGGCTCTTCCTTGAGGGGCTTAGGACTTGCGGATTTCTCGGCTGCGGGCTTGTCGTCAACCTCCATCGAGTTGTCGTCTTTTGAGGGCTCTGCTTGTTCGGCCGAAGTCTCCTTCTCCTTTTCTGATTCGACAGGTGCTGAATCCTTCTCGAGGTTGCTGCGAAGCTGCTTTCTCATCTGCTCCACTGTCTTGCCTGCTGCAACTGCGGCAACTGCAGGGTCAGCCAGACCAGCGAGGAAGCTCATGACGGACATGACTGGGTTGTCTGCCTGGGAGAAAGGAACACGGCCATTGCTCAGGAAAGCCAGGTTGTTTGAGGCACCATCGACTGTGTCTTCACCTTCGAGGTACTTATCCTCAATCTCAAGCTGCAGGAACTTGAGAACACACTCTTCTCTTGTGCGACTTCCAACATGGTTAGCGATCTGTTCCCAGTTCTCGTCAAACAGCTCCAGACCCTCCAACAACAGCAACAGTTCTGAGTCAGCCCATGGTGCCTCGCGATCAGCAATAGTTGTGTATTTCTCGTTCTCCAGCTTGGTGTAATCGGCGGGACCAGTCGAGTTTGGGTATCTACCCTCCATGAAACACGAAGGGCACAGGTCGAACTTGAGCATAGCGCCATTCTTTCCAGCGACTGATGCCGGAGAGGCTTTCGAGTTGTGGTAGCGCACGCGTGTGCAGTCTTTGCCGCACGAATGGCAGTGGTACTGCTTGCCAGGCTGCTTGAGTGATTCTTCGAGATCAGTGCCGTTCTCCTGCTTAGAGCTGACGTCCTTTCCAGTAGATTCGTAGATGTTTCGTCTGACTTCGAGGTTCAAGTCTGACTTGATAGCAGGGGTAGCGCTTGCTAGGCGGTCGGTGCCAGGGTTGGAGCGTCCAGCGGTGACTGTAGAGTTGGGAGCAGGTTGATGAGGCTGCAGACCACGAGGAGTGTCGGCGGTAATGCGGAAATGGCCAGTGAATGGTGGCGCAATGTTGGATGGTCGAGTATCGGGGTCAATCTAGAGGCAGTTAGCGTTCTTGATCATCAAGCAAAGTGCTTTGCGCAAGCGTACTTGGTAGTTGATCAAGCCCCACTGTTCAAGGAAGGCGTGAACACGCATGATTGCGCAGACGTCACCAGCCAAGTTGCGACGGCAGGCGGTGACAGTCAAGTATTCTTGGGGGTTCAGGCGGTATGTATTGATCATAAAGTCGCGGTAGTCCTTGTAGACGGCGGGAGTCTTTGAGCGGTTGCGCGAGTTGAAGAACTCAGGCAGAGCCTTACGTTCAAGGTTGTGTATTTGGTGCATGTCGAACCAGGCACTGTATGAGGGCAGAATGATGGCGTGGGTTTGTTCGATCAGATGTGAACGAGCAGATGCCTCGACTTGGGTCTTTGTCTGTTGCTGTGCATCCTGGGGTTGCGTTGCGTCCATAGTGTCTTCGGCGGCCTCTGGAGCATCCTTGGCGTCCTCGTTGGCATCGGCCATGTCCTCATCGTCGGCGGGTTGGACATCGTTCTCGGCAGGAGGGCCGTCGGGCGCATCCAGCGGGTTGTCTGAGGGTGACTTGGCATTTGTGTCGTCCATCATGGAAGTGTCTTCTGCGTCTGGGTAGGGTGGGTCAGTGATGGGCGCAAAAGTGTTGGTTGATAAGTGAGTCGTTGTACCTTGAGCTTCTTGCTGCTGCTCGCGCTGCTGCTCTTCGACCTGCTCGTTCTCGGCTTGGATCAATTCATCAGACACAGCTCCGGGCGCATTGGTAGTATCTTCGCTTGCAAGAGGATCCATGATGCGACAATGCGGGGCGGTGGGAACGCGTGGGTGATGAATTAATAGATGGAGTTATCACTTGGTATAGGAAGGGCCCGACGCGTCTGATCCTCCTCCGCGCTTGCGGCCACCGAACTCTCCGCAAACCATTAACAGCCGGACTTTAGCCGTAGTAGAGGCAAGAGCGAGTGCTCGAGCAATTGTCTACCATGAACATCCATGAACAGCTTTTGGTCGGCAAGGATTAACTAAACACGTGAAAGACTGTTGAATCTCTAAGACGTCGCATTCTGTGATTCTGGTTTAAAGTATAACAAATTCTTACTGCTGCCTTCCGCTATGACATACCTCGTATAGGTCAAGGATCAAGCATACAGTATTTAATAGAACAAAGTCTACTTGTATGGCCAATGCAATTCGGTCTACAAATGCATCTTTACATGATATTGTGGCTGAACTCGGATGTCACAGTCTATGTTTTACTCGGACTCTCGGAGTAGGTACATGTCCCTCGGCGATGGCTTCCCTGTGCCTGGAGAAGCTTCTTGGCCGACCTCGGCTTTCACGAGGGACCATCTTTGTATGCAAAGCGCGGGGAGTCTGTAGACTCGAGATTCCATCCTATCCACACATACCACAACCATGTTCTCAGCAGCACGACAGACTGCCTTACGGCAAGCCCGCTCATCATGCATCCGCCCTAGAGTCACCGCTCCTCTGTCGCGCGATGCCGCCCTCGCTCGCCTGCTCTCGACTCTGGCCGTCCTGGAACAAAGAGAGGGAAAGCTGAACATGTCATCGCTCGCCGCCGTGAGCGCCGCCATGAAGCTTGGTGGTTCCGTTACTGGTTTCGTCGCTGGATCCAACACCAAGGCTGTCGCCGAAGAGGCTGCAAAGGTCGAGGGTCTCGAGAAGGTCATCTACGTCGACAATGCCTCGTACGACAAGGTATGTGACCATGAATCGCCTCCACCACAAAATCGCTCACAGAGTCCTCTAGGGTCTCCCCGAGAACTACGCTCCCCTCCTCGTTGAGAACATCAAGAAGGGTGGCTTTTCCCATGTCCTTGCCGGCCACTCTGCATTCGGAAAGAACTTGATGCCTCGCGTCGCCGCCATGCTCGACGTCCAGCAGATCTCAGATATCACAGAAATCGAGTCGGAAGACACCTTCGTCCGTCCCATCTACGCCGGTAACGCTATCCTTACCGTTCAGACCGCCGACAGCCCCAAGGTTGTCACCGTCCGTGGTACTGCCTTCCCCTCAGGCGCCGCAGAGGGTGGTAGCGCCTCCGTCGAGGAGGGTGTCGACCCCAAGGTCGAGTGCCCTACCGAATGGATCAGCGAAGACCTCGCCACCTCGGACCGTCCTGACCTCGCCACTGCCGAGAAGGTCGTCTCTGGAGGCCGTGGTCTCAAGTCCAAGGAGGAGTTTGACCGCATCATGCCCCCGCTCGCTGATGCCCTCGGTGCCGCCATTGGTGCCTCTCGTGCTGCCGTCGACAGTGGTTTCGCAGACAACAGTTTGCAGGTCGGCCAGACTGGCAAGAACGTTGCTCCTCAGCTCTACCTCTGCGCTGGTATCAGTGGTGCCATTCAGCATCTCGCTGGTATGAAGGACAGCAAGGTCATCGCCGCCATCAACAAGGACGCCGATGCCCCCATCTTCCAGGTTGCCGATGTCGGTCTTGTTGGCGATCTCTTCGAGAAGGTCCCCGAGCTCACCGAGAAGCTCAAGCAATAGATCCAGTAGCCTCTCAAGAAAGAAGTATGATTTTCAGGCATCAAAGGAAGTTGGCTCTATAGGAATGTATGTATAAGTACCACATGCGGGGCGCAATTTGGAATGGATTTTTTTTCTTTCATAGACTGGATCATCATGCATAGCGAAAGACGAAAGCGATCCTAATGTTCCATTTGTACGCAACTGCCTCACCGTCCTGATCATTTATCGTTGCGCAGGCACTTAAGGACTTTGATTGTCACATGTGTGTTTATGAATCGTGCGTCCATTGCCTTCGATACCTGATGTAGCTTGTAGCTCTGATTGATAAGAGTCATGGAAGTCGCTCTTCCCCTTACTTTCTCTTTCCCTTGATCCTTCCTTCCTGAATACACTTCTTTCGCGTTCGAGCTTCCCTGGCATCCCTCTGCCGTCCTTTAGTATCTAATAATCCCTGCGCCTGTACGCCTTTTGCATTTTCCTTCATATCTCTCTCCTTCCGCCTTCGCAACCACGCTCAGAACAAACTCATCAAGTTCTGGAAAATCTCCTTGGCATCCTGCTTAACCACTTTACCTCCGGTAGCCAGGTTAGCCAGCTCAATCTTCTTCTTCTGCAACTCGACAATCTTTTCTTCAAAGCTGTTGGCCATGATGAAGCGTCTGATGACCACATCGCGCTTCTGGCCAAGACGGTGAACACGGTCGATGGCTTGCATCTCAACACCAGGGTTGAATTGGGGCTCCATCATGAAAACGTTGTTTGCGGCGGTGAAATTGAGACCTTGGCCGCCGGCTTTGATGGACACGAGGCAGACGGTGATGGAAGGGTCGGTCTTGAAACGGTCAAGGACGGCGGTGCGGGCGCTGACGGAGAGTTTGCCATCCAGACGCAGGAAGCCGATGTTGTTGTCTTTGAGAGCGATCTCGATCAAGTCCAGGTAAGCTGTCCAGCCTGAGAAGACGACACTGCGGATGGGTGCTTCGCCAAGTTCAACAAGTTCCTTTGACGTTTCGACGTGGCGCTGGAGGTCTTCGATCAGAGCCTTGACTTTGGTGTGAGGGCCACCGTACTCCACGCCCTTCTTGCTTCTGACTTGACCCTTCTTCTTTTGGCGGGCTGCGAGATCGTCATCGACGTCCTTTTGACTGATAGGGTGCATAACTGCTCTGACGTATTGCTCGCATTGAGGGCAGGTGGCGTAGTTGTCGCGAGTCTGTGTGGTCATGAGCTCGCCCCAGTATCTGTCGGCGCAAGCTGGGCAGACTAAGTGCAGACATGGAGTGAGATAGCCGATGATGTCTTCTTCAGCCTCATCTTCACTGTCGGATGTGTCGCTGTCATTATCAGCAGGAGGTTCAAGCTGGCCGATACCGTTCATGCAGCAGGAGCACACGTCCATGGTGCTCTCGCGCAAGAGATGGAAGGTGTCGTAAACTTGCTCCTTGGTCATAGTGGGCTTCTCAGCGTCCTCTTCTTCGCCCAGATCGATCGCAGTCTCATAAGAAGTACCCTGAAGCACCTTCATGTCATCCTCGCTGAGCAGCTCTCTTCCATGTGCACAAAGCAGTCTGAGTCTGGTAATGTTGACCAGAACGTGAGCGTAACTTCTGCCTCTCAGACGGTCGCTGCCGCGTGTCATGGCGCGCACCTTCCTGTTTGCGTCCTTGGCGAATGCATCATAAAGAGCCTGCTCCTCAGACGAGAAGGGAAGACGAACAATTTCCTCAACACGACCAGGCAAGTCGATTCTGTCCTTCGAACGTCTGAGCGTGATGCTGGACACAAGAAGGCGAAGGTTGTCAAGCACTTGAGGATCACCTGACTTGAAAGGAGCCATGAAATGCTTCTCGAAGATACCTTTGCTGGAGAACGGGTAGATCTTCAAGAATTTGACGAGAGCACCGAAGTCATCGAGTTTGTTTTGCACAGGAGTACCGGTCACCGCCCAACGGCGCTTGCTGACCAGAGCACAAGCAGCCTTGAAAGTAGCAGTGTCTTGGTTACGAATCATGTGTGCCTCGTCCAAGACAATTCGGAACCATGCGATTTCTGAAAGTGCGCTGTAGTTCTTGGACGAAGACGTGTACTCGCTGGCGGCAATGCTGTAAGATGTGACAACAATGTCGTACTTCGCGAGAACATCGAGGTCTTGCTCTCTCTTGTTGCCGTGGTACATGTAGTATTTGACCTTTGCCTTATCCAAGTGCTGGCCGATCTGCTCCTGCCAGTTTGAGATGACAGATTTGGGACAGAGAAGCAGAGTGCCACCAGAGCGGCGCACGACGTCCTCAGTGACTCGGTCACCATCGTCCATCTTGCCAGCACCAAAAGCTCTTGCATCTTTGAGAGTTGCACAAATCAAGGAGAGAATGCTGAGTGTCTTGCCCAAACCCATCTGATCAGCCAGAAGACCACCCAGTATAGGGCTGATTTTCTTCATCTCATCGCCGGTGATCACATTGTACCAAGCTGTAGTACCGTCCTTGCGAACTACGGACTTCCAGAGCGGATCCTCTTCAGGTGGTGTAGGTGTCTCATGCTTCGTCAAGAACCAGAGGGCTTGCTTCTGATGCTGCATAAGCTCTGTCTTCACAAGTGTTGAATCAGCTTCAGCTTCGGGGAGCTCCTCCGTCTTTCCGAGTTTGTCGAACATGGACAGAACGTCGCTCTTGATCTCCTCGGTAGTGCGAACTCGGTATCCAGTGGTTGACTGAGCTGCCACGGTGGCGGATGTAATGCTCTTTGGAACGACATTGTAGTTGGGAACGTGCGGGTTGAGGACTTCGGTGCCATGTGGAACGACGGTGGGCTTGTACAAGAAAACCTGACGCTGGCTAAGACGTCTTCCAATTCCTTTAGCAGCGTCGGCGGTGCTGTACAGAGTGATCGAAATGTCCAGAGATTTCGAAATAGACTGTCCAGGTTGTTCTTCAGGGTCCTTGGGGCGCTCTTTGAGAAGTGGTGCAAGGCGCAACTTGAGGTGAGCATTCTTGAGAAGAGGAGCAAGAGCCTCGACGGTGATGATGTCCAGCTTGCCGAACTCAACACCTTTGCCGTCAATCGCAAGGTATACCTTCTCCTGGCCCACTCTAGGTTGTAGCGACATCTTGGCCGGCGGCCAGTTCGTCGAGTACTTGCTCAGAGTTCTGTTTGCGGCAGGTACCTTGTGTGCCATGACCTTTGCGGTGATTGAGCCGAGACAGATCTCACGCTTGGGATCCAGCCCAGTCGTCTTCACTGACACCACCTCAATGTCGTCGTCTTCTGCAGTGAGATCGATGGCCGCGGGTGGACCTGCTTCGCGGGCGCCTTGGTCACGTTGCTCCTTAAGATACTGACCAATCACACCGCCCTTGCCGCCCTTGAAAGTTGCCTTGTGTTTCGTAGCATCGTTGTCGTCGTCGATCTTTTGTTTCTTCGCAGCTGGCATGGCCTCACGTTCTGTGAGATTGAACTGGCGCTCCATGAAGGAGCCAACACCAGTTGAGGGCTCATCTTGTGCTTCCTTGGCAAGATCGTCCTGGTCTCTCTTTTTGCCTTGAGTAGACGTTAGATCTTGGTGATTCATAGTGGACGGTAGATTTTGTTGATCCATAAGGGGTGGTATGAAGATGAAGTTCAAAGGAGATGAGTGTGCTTTGGTTGAAAGGGATAATGGCTGTAGGTACTAGATGAAATAGACGGTTGATGATGAGATGTCTCAAAGGTGGATGAAGTGGTGGAAGATAAGATTGGTAGAAGTTGGAGGAGGGGAATTTAATAGTCGACGAGGTAGGTGAAGATTCGGAATGTGAGTGAAGTCCACAAATCAGGACGAGTAGATGTGAATAGAAGCGGAAAATGATAAATAATAGGTAGCGTATGAGGCCGAGCGAGCCCGGTTTCCTTCACTTACAGGCTTCTGCTGCTGCTTTGCGAGCTGCCTTAGGATTGAGCAAGGCCGCTCTCTGTGCGGCATTCATCTGACAATACCCGAAGACCGAGTTGTTAACCGAATCTGAACATGCGACAACAACGATAAATTAGGATGAAGAGAATGACAGTTGATGAGGCGAGTGAACGGTTGTTCATCGAATTGGCAGGAGGTCTGGGGCACACCCGTCATCTTCGCCTTGTCGCAAGCCTGCTTGCTAGAAATATAAGACGTCAAGATCGAATTACTGTATACGAACAATTATCGAGCAAAAGTCTCGACCGGAAGCAAAATCCAGATCGTCTTCAACTCGTTCCTTGCTGGACTCGAAATTGGTTTGGAAACAATGGGCGACTCGATCTGTGAACTTGGAAGCCGAATCCTTTGATTTCTTTCACCATTGGTGCAGGTATCCGACAAACAATGCGCTTGATTTTTTATCAGTAGCCATGAAGTTATTTTTTTCTCGTCACTAATCGCTCGAAGCCTTCTAACCAAATGCCATCGTCACGATGGCCACTCAAACAACCAATCTCGTGCGTCACAAATGTATTGGGTCCGGGTTGCAGCTCTCTCAAGAAAGACGAGTTCGCAGAAAGCCTAAGCATTCTCACGGCATGTTTGTCATCAGTCGTTCGATTCATGTATCCTAAGTATACACGTAGTATCTTTACAGCGCCTTGCAATGCTGCGCACCCATGTTTTGAGTCTTTCCATGCCCGAGCCCACATCCGGAACGCCGAGTCCACATCCCACACTAGCACCAAGTAAATACAGGAGCCCTGCCCTTAACCATCTCAATCCTTTCAACGATGACCTTTCTCCTGTAGCCTTCTTGATCTTCTGCTGCAGCGAATCCGAGATCGCCATCCAGCTCGGCGTCGTCGACATCAATTTCGTCATTTCTCTTACCAATAGCGAATGAGAACCTTCTACGTTCTCCAAGGTTGTCGAACAGTCTTCTTGTCTCGTCGAGACTGAGTCTGGATTTGGTACGAGGTGCCACAGGGCGTTTGAACCTCGACTCTTTCGCATTGTCGAAGGTGAAGTTTTGTACACTAGAAGGTGATAGAGGAGCATTGCTCTCGTCGCTTCTTCGGATGTCACCACTGCTGTTCTGCCGCGAGACGTTGAAACGATTGTTGTTTGGCGGGTCGGGTCCAAGCAGATCGGTCTGCAACTTCAACGGAGGTGCCGAGGCGTAGGCAGAACCAATATCCATCTCTTCTTCCTCCCTAATACCAGGACCCTTAGCGATATCGTTCTGCTTGAGTCGAATGTCATTCGAGGGGCGTAGGGGGACAGCCACAGGGATCTCAACTAGGTCGTCCCACACACAAACGCGAGCACGTCTTGTTAGTTCCAAGGGTCCATGATCCGGTGTTTTGAGAGTTTCTACGACGTTCCACGCCTGGCCTTTCATGACAGCAATCTGACGAGCAAACATTTTTTCCTGGAAGTCGGCGTCTTGTTCAAAACACTTGCGCAAAGCAACCTGAGTCTCACTCCACCACTGCTTCGAAGTTAGTAGAGGGAGGAAATGTTGCTTTGTCTTCTCTGAGAATGGACGGCCGATCAAAGATACAGGTAAGAACAGCCAGCCGAATGGGAAACTTCTCCAGGCATCAGGATGCTTCCAAGGCCATGACAAACTATTGTCAATAGCTCCGATCGTCACAGTGGCAGAAGATCGTGAGTTGGTTTGACCGCCTGCAGTCATCGTCTCTTGTCTTCTATATGGGTCGGCTTGACCATTTGTTGGCTTGTTAGGTGGTTCGACCACAATCTCAGCTTCCTGGCTCTGCTGATCAATTCTGATCATCCAATTGTCCAGTCCACGATCAGTGTTGCGCATGATGTAGTCCAGAATGACAAGCTTTTCCAGTTGCTCACGGAATGACTGTTGCAGAGCTGGCGTCCAGAACACATTTCGCGAGCGTTGACGATCACTATACGGTGCTTGTGAACCTTCAACGTCCTCGTCCTCATCGTCAGAAGGGGCGCCCCTAGGTCGGCAATCTTCGCCCCATCTTCTCCTCTTCCTTTTTGGTGCAGCATCTGTTCGGAACCCTGAGTTGTGTTGGTCTGGCCACGGGTGCTCCTTTAGGAAGATGTTTGCATCCTTAAAGCCTTTCAGAAAAACCTGGAAACTGCCTTGTTTTTCAGGGAATGGCTTGCCTTTGCGGTAATGTGCTCGTCTGTCCCAGAAATCGTAGAAGAAAGCTTTGGAAGATAGAGTAACGACATCCGTGTAAGGTACCAGATGGGTTCGTAGACGGCTGTCTAGGACATAGGCGGCGGCTTCGGAGATATAGCTGAGATTGGGAATAAGACATGCTCGTCCGAAGAAGAATGGGAAGAGGTTTCTGTGAATCCATTTGGTCCATTTTGGATTCTTGGATGCGTATGGCTCTTCGTCCTTTGGCTTGAAGACACCAACAATCTTGCCGGAGGTGTTTCTCGCAAAGTAACTTCCAGAACTGCCCTGAGAAATGAGCTTGGGCTGCATGCCCATCTCAATGGCTACCCTAACGCTCTCAACAATGTCATCAAACTCGATCTTGGATATCCTGTCGCCGGTTGGCTCATCGAGATCCGAGGCTAATGTCTCGGCTGTGGCCGGTCTGATCCAATCCGGAGCCTGGAAGACAGAATGGTGTATCTCTAGGTGTTCCTCCTCTTGCGATTTGCCTTTGACCTTGCGGATCTTGAACTTCTGAGCGATCTCATCGGCCCACTTCTCCAGCCTGGCATTGATGGCCTTGATGTCGACACCAGAGTTTGTGCGTCGTCGCCGGCGGTTGTTCGAAGGCTGACCATCGGGAAAATCCATACGCTCGCGGCGCTTTGGTTGTATAGGTGCATAGGTGGTCCCATCGTCGACCGAGAGACGGGTCTGGCCTTGGTAGATGTCCTCATCCGAGATGTATGACTCGTCGTCCTCCTCTTCTGCCTGAGCGATTCTGGCATACCCAGACGTGGCTGGCCTAGATTTGCCCATTGTGATCTGTGTCGAGTACTGTCAAGATAGACAAGTGGCCAGTCTAGGACGGTCACCTGTGGTTCAGTCTGAACACAAATGTCGATGGAATGACGACTAGGGATGCCAAGCTTTGTCCCCAGGAACCAGATATTAATTACAGGGGTCGGCCCACCTTGGTCCACCATGGTAGGCGTCAACATTAGAAAAACCTTGGAACATTCGACTGTTGCATAGCCCATTTTCCAACTATATTACTCCTTGCTCGTAAGCCTGTGATGGGGTTTACGACAACGCGTGAGGTATAGGACCTGCTACCAAATAATGTATGCTCAGCTATGATCTAATCTTATCACGGTCTGACTTGTCAACAACGATAGCTGTGATAGAACAGTCGTCGTTGCTTGATAGCAGATTCTAACTCTCGCATATGATTGCACCGCCCCGGCTGGTCGAACCATGCTCGCTTGTATAAGCCTGGATCATTGAGAGTCTCTGGCAAATGAAGAACCCCTCAAGATCCCCCTAATCGACTCCCCCACAGCCAGGGTCCAAGCTCAATTGACACCTCGAACCAAAGCCCTCTCTGTCTTTGCTATACGACATGTCAATCACAATCAAGTGTCAACTGTCAAGTTTACCATGACGATCGATACCTACAATTGATCGGCGATCTCTTCCGCGAAGGATTGGCCTCATCTCAGTTTATGCGTGACGGGTCAGGGATAGACTTCGTATACTGGTTTACCGCCAATCTCCTGCCTCGACCGTTACGCAGCCGCCGAGGGCGAGCTGTACTTTGATTGCAACTGCGGCTCTTGTCAGGAGCGTTGTTTACTGTTGATCTGCCCTCGACTCCACAGATGACGCTGGAAGGAAGTTGCATTCGGCTGTGCATCTCGAGGAATGGGTTGACAAAAGCACGACCGACTGGGAGTCGAAATATGCGGAATGCTGAAACATACAGAATTTGACCAGACCGATATCTGTAGAGCCGTGGTTATCTCATACAGGACGGACTCGATGTTTACCAGGAACCATGATGCTGTCACAGCTATCTAGGTAAGATAGAAACGCAAGACGGTAAACACAACGCTTGCTAGAACCGCTTTGCGTTTTTGCTGTTGTTTTGGCAATTTACCTCGACGCCGAACATCAAGCCTCTACCGTTGTCATTACATGGTCGCCACCCCTGGGCAAGGCTTCAGGACGTATGTATACTTAGGCATACGCTTCACCAGCAACTAATTTAGCTACGACTTCTACCACGACACTCTTTTTGTTCGCCACTATACTAATCACCTCTTAATTCAGTCTTTCATTCCTTTAATACCTTCTGATTCACGCTCCTTTAACCGGTCTATACACTTCCGACCATCAACAAGACTTAATCGCCTCACGATATCTTAAAGACTTGACGACCTAACTGCCGCAACGATGCTTCACCGATCTGCCATGGACGCATACAGACCTGCCTCGATCGATACTTCGTACAGACCTCCTGTCATGGATCCTTACAGACCAAAATCTTCAATGGGTCTTCACTACCCAGTCACCCTCACACCTCCAATCTATGCCGACGATAGACCATTCTTTGCACAAATGGGACATGAGATTCCTCGACCATCTTCAGCGGCTCCCTTGTACACAGCACCACACTATTCTGTTCCTCCGAGATCATTTAGTGGTCCGATGCAACTTCCAGGAGTCTCAAGTTTGGGACCTTTTGGTGGAAACTCGATGTCAATGATGCCCAGGTAAGCAACATTTCTTCGCTCTCCGCGCGCCCAGGACTGTCACAACGTGACTGTAAAAATGCACAATACTTTCATGACGAACGTGATTGCCACGGAGAGAAGGTCAATCTAGGACATCTCAATGGCCAGACTCGATGCGCAGAAAGTACTTGTGCATTTTGATAGTTACGATTGAGTGTGTTTGGCGCATGGGATTGTTATTGTTTGGTTGGAGGCAGTAGTGGGGTAAGGTAGGAGCGAGGTCGGCTTGGCGCGTGGATAGCGTTATCAAGCGGAAAGAGGGACCGAGATAAGGCGGCCTAAGCTCCTGCCCTACCCTATCAGCGCATCGGCATTGACAAGCATGTCGCGATTGATACAGAACTAATTCTTCTCTTTTCGCAGAACTCCCAATGTTATGCACACGATGAACTACGCAACTTCGGCGCCTGCTGCCACTGCTGGTGGTCAGCAAAATGGACCTGTACGTGTTATTCCAGTGTTGGTCGCGACGGGTATTTTGCGCGTCGCGAAACCCTTCTTATCCTTATCGTCCAACTCAATATCGATAACCAATGCGCAACGACTGACCACTCCTCACAGCCTGTATGCCAGAACTGCGGCACAAGCACCACTCCGCTATGGCGTCGCGACGAGATGGGCTCTGTCTTGTGCAATGCTTGCGGCCTCTTCCTCAAGTTGCACGGTCGCCCTCGTCCCATCAGCCTCAAGACCGATGTCATCAAGAGCCGCAACCGCGTCAAGACGGCCACCGGCCCCAAGAAGAAGGTCAGTCACTTCTGCCTGTTTCACCATTCCTACGAGATACTAACATGAACCCAGCCCTCGCTTGAATCGCCCGGCTTCCACCATGATTCCAACACACCCATGGGTTCATACCCTCCTCACCGCCGTCACTCGGATCGCGTCTCATCCGGCGAACACCAACGCTCTCCCTCGCCTTCATCTCGCACAAACACTCCTGGCATGGTCTCGCACAACCCCAACATTGCTCCTCAACACGTCTTCGATAATGTTTCTCTGTCCGAGTCCTCCTTCCAGCCTTCTGGCCTGCCTACCTTCGCTCTTCGCCAGCCATCCCCTGCACCTTCGGTCAACGGCATGCATCCCGAACACGGCCACCAGTACCCTGAGAACAACAGTCTCAAGACCCGCGTGAGCGAGTTGGAAGTCATCAACGACCTGTTCCGCGGTAGAGTTGCTGAGCTTGAACAGAGCGAGCAAAACGCTCGTGCAAAGGAGGCTTCAGCTCGCGACGCTGCAGACCAGTACAAAGCCGACCTCGACGCTGCCTTGGTCCGCGAGGCCGCTCTCAAGAAGAGAGTCGAACTCCTCGAGGCCGAGGTCGAGTCCTACAAGTCACAAGCAGCCCCACCACCCAAGCGTCTCCGTCTGAGTGATGTTGTCCGCGATGACAGCTCGTCTACTGACTCAAAACCTGCTGCATCGTCTGAATCAACGACTGCCACTGCAGCCGCTTAGACGACTTCACGTATTTACAGTGAAAATTAATGCTTACGGCGGCGTTTGGTGTGCTTGATGTTCATGATGTCAAAGGAAAAGAAAGGCCATACCCCTGTTGCCACTTCCTGTTGCTGTTTTTTCCTTTATGCCACGATTGCATTTTCCTTTACGTTTACCCTTTCCTTGTCCCAATCATATATAGACAAGAGCCATGACTCTAGCCAGCAAAAAGACATACAATGACCCTCTAATCCAAAAAGAACCACTTTTCAAAACTCGCTCTTTCAGACCCCATCCGTGCCTCTCTGCCCTCGACCTTCTGCGATACGCACCTTTTGTTTGGTCCACTTTTGTTAGCCCGTTGTACTTCTCATTTTACCTCAATCCACCGTTTGATACTGCAATCTACCAGTGCCTTGCTTTTTGGTTCAAGATTACGACAAAACCCGTCTCTATCCACATCTTCAAGAATAGAAGCAACGACGTACAAACTATGTCATATCTTGTGTTCGAAAGATTGATTGCAAAAACGGAGATGATGATTGCAAAAACGGGTGGCAGGTGGCTGCGGAAGAAGAGTCATGCATGACCTAACACTCAAGACCGAAACAATGGGACGAGTTTGATTAGAAGAATAGCGAGTAGCACAAGAGAGAAGCAATGCACTAAGAGGACACAGAAACGAAATATTGTATCCAACTTCTTTTGTTTATTTTAATCCTTTTTGCCCTTGTCTTTCCTACACCTCTAGACCACCAATAGCTGGCAATAGCTGCTTATGGACAACACAACCCAAAAAGTGGCCAACCTAGCAGTATCATCCACAAAGTACATTTTTTCAACTTCTTTCCGCCTTTAGGTGGAATCTCACTGGGTGGTCCTTTGCCTTTGCTCTTGCTCTTGTCTTTACTTTTGCTCTTGCTCTTGCCCTTGCTTTTATCTTTGCCTTTGTCTTTGACTTTGTCTTTGCCTTTGCCAGGTGATTCCTCTTCAGGTGGTCCCTTGTTAGGTGCTCCTTTGTCAACAGGCTTATTAGGATTGATCTCCAGCTCAAGTTTCAACTCGTACTCTTTGAAGCCTTGAGTGACAACACTTTCTGCTGAAGGGCCACCGAGTCCAGAAATTTCTCTTGCGAAACACTGTTCTACACCGTGTCCATTCCAAGAGGCGACTCTGCCATGGGCTAGGAAGGATGTAGCGCGAGGGATGAAGGTCCAAGTTGCCAGGTCTATAGGTGTGCAAGTAGTGAGGTGGTTGAAGAGGGTGAGAGAAATCTCGGCGGCGATGGCCCAGGCACCGCTGCCGGCGATGGTGAGCATGCCGTCTTCAGCCAGGTCAATCCTGCTCGTCTCAGGTGTACCTGGTGGTGGGGCAGGAAGTTCAGTTGGCATAATGGTAGGTGCTACCGTTGGTGAGACAGGCATTGTCGTGCCAGGGATATTGGTGACGGGAGCAGGAGTTGGCCACGAGTCATGTCTTCCAAACCTTACATACTCCTCTAGGATTGGAGGGAACTCTGCAAGCCGGCTCATTGAATCATAAAGATCCTGTTCAGCACGGTATCGCCTGGCTTCATAAGCAGGCGGGTCTTCGTACACCGGAGGGCGACCATCAGGATCATATTGCGGAGGCGCGATTTCCCGATACAACCTCTCGGCCAATTCCTCAGGTAAATCAGGCTGTGCTCGGTATAACTCTTCGAGCAGCGGTTCGGTTTCGTCAGCGGTAACAGTGTCCAGCGTATGTCTCAGAAGCGTTCGCCTTTCCAAGAGTCGGCGTATGTATTGCTCGTATTCCTCTATCGTATCAAAGTATTCTGGTGTAAGGGGGTCAGGAGCTGGCTCGAATGCGACATCGAACCATGCCTGGAGGTGGAACTGGAACTCCCAGATAGTATATGTGACTTGGTTTGTTGCGGCAGGGTTTAGGTGGAAGCCGGCAGCAATCCTCTCGATTTGGGTGCGTATGTGGTCCCACAGATTGGTGTTGAAGCTTTCTATATCGGCTACTCCCTCGCGGAAGAGCACACCAAGATAGTGTTCTGCCTGGCGTAGTAGATTAGAGAATCGTGCAAGACGCAAGAAACTGATAGGTCGTCCGAACAGTTCCCGGGTGTCTCTGATGGACCGCTGAACCGCGTCCGAGCTGGCTTGATCTGGTCCGACGACCGATAGAATTGCTGCTGGCAGGGCGTCTGCGAGTGTGACTCGGCAGGCCTCGTCACACTCCCATCCGTGCCATCTGTCGCCAAACATTAAGGCAGTGCAATTGACAGTCGAGTTGTTGTATCTGCCAACATGGTCGGCAGTGGTACCATTGGCACAGGCCTAGCAACGAAGATATCGTCAGCATGGATTTTGAAGAAGAATGCAAACGCTCTCGAAAACCAAAGAACAAAACACAATATGAGACGTAGAAGCTCATCTCACCTCGGTCTCATCGTCCGGCTTAGTAGGGAATCTGCCCCATGTCGCGGCGGCAACCATCGCCATTCGATGTGCAAGCATAGCATTATTCGGACGGGAGTCGATAGTGCCATTCGCCGTGGACGTCTCTGTCACTATAGACTCCGTTTCAGAAACGACAGTCCAGCCATCGTCGTCTCCGTCAAGTTTAGTTGTGGTAGGAGCGTTCTTGATACGCCAGCTAGTCGAATAAGTCGTTTCGGCGCCAGGAGAATGTTCGACGTACTTTGTCGAGAGTGTTGTACCCAAATCTCCGTCCGACGCAGAAGACAGAGCAGCAATGCCCGCAAGGGCGATCACTCTCAAAAGCACCATCTGAGATGAGATGATGTGCGTTTCGTGATACTCGCGTGAAGCAGGACTGGAGAGGACGTCCTCACTTTAATATGGCTTTTCGCATCATACTATCCAGGAAAAATTCTCTCTACCTTCCTCCTTTTGAGCTCATGTAGTTAGTAATGTGATACGACCTCACATGCTGAAAAGCCAAATGGTGCTGACATGGCCGAGTCCTACGGTCATGGACTCGCAGATGGCATGATTCGAAGACAAAGGCGTTTCGGTGCATCCCTTTGGATAGACTGCGATGATGCGTGATGATGTCGCCCATATTGTTGAACTTCAATTGAGCTGAATTCGGAAGAGGCAGTTGGTCGCGTGAGGTGCTGGCTTGGAGGGGATGGTTTGAAGTGAACTCAGGGTCCAGAAGTCGTTGTTTCTGGGACGATTGTCGCAAGCAACATCTGGTTTGGGGGAAAGCAGGTCTCTCGCTCTTTCCGAATGTACAACAACCTTTGCAAAACTCCTACCACATCATACGAGATCAGATGGTTCCATGTCTCTGACCACTGTGTCAAAGCTCGGCAGGGTTACAAACGTTATATAATCACTTGAGCAAGTTGAAGCAGGTACAGCAAAATCGCCAGCAGCAGTATTTTCTCGCTCAAAATCTGAGTATGCGCATTTCATCAAAAGTATATGCCTCAACTCCGCATCCATTAAAACGCGCCAGATAAGGACGCGCTCATAACGCATCTGCTAGGTTAAAGGTAAAAAGAAAGCGAATAAGTGGTGTTGGAAGAAGAGTACTAAGTTCTGCAAAAAGCCAAAGGCAAAGACCACTGGGTCTGAATTTTGTAACCCGGCTGGGAAACAGGCGCTCCAAAAAAAGACTGGTGTATCATTCATTAGTTCTCGAAGATGGAGTCCGCGTGTTCAAGCAGCGCCTGCACTGCCATACGCTGGGCTTGCATGTCCGACATTTCGCGTTCGATGCTCAAGGGTCGCAAAATCGTGGGCGCAAAGACGACCGAGAGATTGAGCGGTGTCATCTACAATCTGTTAGCTCTGTTTCATCGCAAATTCTTGGTTCAAAAGCGCCTTACCAGATTCTCCGACTCCTGCTTGACTACACGGCACAGATGCTGCACCAAGTACTCCAGTACATCGTGGTGAGCTTGTGGCATAGCCTCCAGCGCAGCCTTGATGGCGGGGACCTGCTTCTCCTTCTCTGTGATCTGAGCTGCTTCGAGCAGAGGGTCATAGGCCTCATAAGTGATGAGGGGGTTAGGCAACTTGCGGAAGTATTGCTTCAACGCGCTAGTGACAGCATGAATATCAAGATCCGGGTCACTGATGTCGTAGGCGCCGTCTTTCTCGAAGCCTTGTTGGATGAGCTTAACCTGACCGCTTCCGCCAGATTTTCTGTAGATGCCTTCCATGTCCATTCCACGCTTCTCCACTTCCTCGACGCAATGCGTGACAATCGAGGGCAAGACACGTTTTTCATAGTCGCAACGCTCGCGCAAATCAGATCCGAATAGTACTGGAGACGTGTTAGCGCATTGTCGAGACGATAAAATGTTTGACATGGACTCACCAGAAGGATTTTCAGCAAGCAGGTTGGAGCTGCTACCGTTCTTACCATGGGCACCCTGAGCGCCTGGCTTGAGGCCGTTCTTCTGGTTAGACGAGAAGAAGCCAAAGCTCTTTGCATCACCAGCTCTGTTCAAAGGTTGATCACCCATGATTGCACCAGGGCCTGCCTGCATCTGCGAGTATGGCATACCGGTGATGTCGTAGCTACCGTCAGCCTTGATAGGAACTCCACGATCATTGTTGCCAGCGAATGCACCCTTGAGGCCTTTGGTGACGTTCTTGGCAAGACCAGATGAACCCTTCTTCCAGTTAAACTTCTTGGGTTGTCCTTTGCGGATGTTGACCACCTGCGGCGCCGTGAGGACAGTAGCTGGCTCTGCATCTGCTGCATGTGGCAAAAGGTCATGGAGACTGGTAGACTCTTGCAACGATGAGGAGTGCAGCGAAGACATGTCACCCCTGTTCGAGCCGTTGTAGATGCCCAGACCATTAGTAAGGGGTGATCGCTCGATACCACCGCTCTTCGAGTTTTGTGACTTGTACAGATCTTGAATACCGCTGACAAGTTGGTTGTTCAACTCAGCCAATTGGAGGTTCTTCGAAGACAGAGATTCGAACTCCTGTAAACCCTTGTCCTTGACTTGAATGAGGTTTGAGATGTCATCAGTAAGTTCGTTTCTCTTGTGCACAAGATCCTCAATTTGAGAGCCGAGACTGTCTTTCAACTTTTGCAGAGAGTGTGCAAAGTCCTGTAGGATCTCGGACTTGAGCTGACTGATGTCCAAAGGCTTGTTACTCTCTTTGGCTCTAGTCAAATGCTCAGTCATGATCTCGAGTTCGCGAACCACCATCTCGCGTTGAGTGTCAAGGAATGCCATGGTTGAGCGCTTCTCACGCAGTTCAGTGTTAGCATGCTTGATGTCGGCGGAGGTGTCCATTTTCTCCTCGAGACCGAGCTTATCAGCCTCAAGCTCTGCAATCTTTTGTTGAGCACGACGCAATTGAGATCTTAATGTTGCGACGTCCATCTGGCCCGGCGAAGAAATTGGGCTGGTAATGAGAATAGGGCTGCTGATGTCTGCCGAACTGATGGTTGGGGTCTTCTGGAGGGGTATCGATTTATCGCTGAAGCTTCTACCGTGCTTTACCGCGTTGGAGACACGACGAAGAACGCCGGTGTGCTCATTCTCCTTTCTCTTCTGCTCTTCACCTCTCAAGATGCGGGACATCTCTTCTTCCATTGAGAAGGCCTCTCCAGCACTATGCTTTGGAAGATGTGTACGCCAGGGTTTTGGTGAAGCTGCAGAGGTCTGATCATGTTGAAGAGCTCCGATAGATTCAGCGCGAGGGCGTTCAGTGGCAGGAGGGGCAGGCGGAATTCTGGGGGCTATAAAATCGTCATTGGCGACAGACTTGCTTGGAGCAGAAGGACGGTTGGCGGCTCTGGGAGGTGCAGCCGGTATACCTATGTCGGCTGTGTTGTGAGACTCGGTCTCGGAGCGAAGGTGTGTTGGTGCATCTACGAATTGAGCGGAGGTCGCGGACTGTTTGCGTTCGTGAGCAGCATCAGACTGTCTAAGAGCCGGCGTGGTTACAGGAGAGGTGATGCCTGATGCATTGGCTGGTGCTAGAGAATCGCCTCTAACGGGATGCTTTGCAGGGCCAGCGCTCGACGAAGCTTCACGGAGTTTAGGGTCATCGAAAGGATTGATGCTCGAGCTGGGTGTGTCCACGGAGGCTGGTGACAGGGACAGGTTCGAGTCGGTCGGAGTGTGTCTCGAATGATGCTGTGTGTCCAGAGACGTGGGAGAGTTCTTTCCAACGCGAGGGCTGTTGCGCGATACTCTGCGATCGCGAGGCACGTCCTGAAGTTTGAAAGGTTCTGGTACCAAGTTGGACGAAGCACTGTTTGTGTGAGGCAGACGAGGGCGTTGTTGATTGGTAAGGGATGAGGGTGAAGCAACGGCTGAGGTGGTGACCGGTGTGCTGCTACCCGAAGCATTGCGAAGACCCTGCTGACGGCTTCTGTCGGTGTGACCAGTACCAGGGCTTCGGACGCTCTCGCGCTCAGTCGACACCGATCTCGAGGACGACGGTCGATCTCTGTTGTTTCTGGAGAATGCACCTTGAGGGGAAAGGTTGTCGGACATCCTAGGCGTAGTCTCGGGATGCTGACGGCGTGGAAGAGGGGGAGGAGCAGGGTTGGGGTCGTAGGCCATAGGAAGGAATCCGTCGTCGGCATCAGACATTGAGGTCATGGTGTTGGATGACATTGTCGAAGCACGCTCTTGCTTGTATGTGCTAGCAGGCAGCGTAAGAGTGTCTTGGTCCGAGGGCGCACCCATGTGAGACAAGTGACGGCTGCTACCTCTCTTGCTATCATCTGACACAGACATGGGCGATGCGTCTCGCTGTCTCTCGTGACTGGCTTTTAGGTGGTCGCTGGAGTAGGAGCCTGAGGGCGAGGACTCTCGCAGAGCACTCTGGGAGACGGCGTTGGGTGGTAGTGCAGGCAGGCTCTTATCTAGCACAATAGGGTTGCTCCCTGCAGCAGCTATTTGTTTCGAAGCCTTTGCCTTCTTCCGTCGTCTTGCCATCAAGCTCTCGTGACAGCTCATGCAGAAAATGCCCTGGCTAGTACGCGCATATCGTAGGTTTTCAATCTTCCTCTTGCAGTTGCGGCACTTAAAGCAGGTTGCGCAGAAGGCTTGATCACCGGTCAGGATGGCGAGGTCTTCGATCTTGTTGCCGCAGGAGCTGCAGCTGTATGTGCAGTTGTTGCAAATGAGAGAGCCATCGCCCAGCAGCAGCAGGTTGGCATCCGAGTCGAGGAGGGTGGCGCAAGAGTGGCATCGGAAACAGCCAAGGTGCCATCGGTGGCCAGCTGTAGAGGTTCTGTCAGCAAGTGCACTACCCCTCGACGCTGTGTGTGACTTACCAAGCTCAAAGGCTCGCCCCTGTTCTAGAATCTGCGTAGCATGAGAGTCAGTCGAGCTGAAAATACATGGCAAAGGGTGCATTTGGATACCTCGCCGCAGCCTTTGCACAAAAACACCTCATCGTCCTCTGTGGGAGACTCGGGGTAGTTTGAGTTGGTATCGGCCTCCATGTTGGACGGGAGCGTGAGCGGCGATGACGCTGGAGCTGAGGTCCTGGTGTTGACGAAGGTGCGGCCGTCAATCGCTCGCTAGGTAGAGATGCGATGGGCCCACGGGCCTTCGAAGTCGTGGGTGACGATGCAGTTGGCAAGCGAACGGGTACAGCGAACGGGCAGCGGAGGTGTTTCGCAGCAGCAGGGCGGAGGTTTCAGCGAGTGGAGTGAATCGCTATGTCAGAAATCAGAGGCAACCGAGGGGTCTGGTGCAAGACCTCGTCCGGTGTCGATTGCTTGTCGTTACGTGCGCACGCATGCGATGGGTGCTGATAAAGCAGTCAGAGCAGTGCAGGTAGGTACAGTCAAGCGTGTTTGGACTTTGCAGGAGACACGGCGGACCTCAAACCCAGCCAAGCCGCGCTCGTCAGTTACGACGACGATACAACTTTATTTGGCTCCTTCGTTTAAACACTCCTACCAAAGCCAATTCATCTTCTATCAGGCAGCATACGATTTTGTCATTCATTCTGACTCTATAGGTACCCTTCGAAGCTCATTGACAATGCAATTCTTCACCCTGAACATTGACATCTGGCCATCGCATGCACACGTTCCTCAGGCCATGCTCCTGCTTTGAAACTGCGTAACGGCATGCTGCTGACGACACTTTTCATCTTTTTGACACCTTCTCGCTGATTCCATGTCATCCTCATCTGAATCTATCTCTAGATATTCTCCGTCTCCAAATGTATAGTCTTTCTTGAAACAAATGTCTACCACGACTTGCTCATTCTTAAGACTCTCTCCCTTGACCACTTCATCCTCTTGACTTAGATAGGTAGCACGGACCACGAGCATGTCCCACACGCGTTTTTCGGATCCAAACCCTCGAGGCTCGAGCAGCGTTACCCGTTCACCGCTCTCCCACGCCTGCAGCTTCCCGTCCTTTCCCCTACTCTGCGGGACACTCATTATTACCTGCATACTAATATCTACAAAGCTTATTAACACCACTTTGCTGCGTCCCTTTTCTATCCTAGACTCGCAGTCTCCTAATCTCATGGCAGCAACAGAGTCTGTCCATTTTCCTATTTGGTGGCGCAAACACATCGTGCGACACCGGTGCTCTTGATTCATGAATCCCTCCCCAGCCACCACGCCAAGTGTATATGAATCTCAGGGGCTCGTTTTCTCTTCGGCTTTAGCATCGTATCTAGGCTTTATTGCCGGCGAACCACCTCGGACCTCAACTCGGCTGCTTGCTGCCAAGAGTTCATCTTAACTAAGCATCTCAATCTTGCTCATCGTCTTTACCGTTGTTGCTATCATGTGTTCAGCTGGGGTCGTGTCAATCTCCGTGGACCCTGGTGTGGGGTTATACAACCTGGTGAGTTGAAGACCCAATGCTTGAAGACGGCAAAAGTCGCCAACCTTCTAATCGTCGAGCTGTTCGGAGTATGATTATTTCGGCATCTAGGCCATGTAGATCAAGTTCACTCGTTCTGGCAAGACACGACAAGTCGCAAGTCAAGACCCAAAATACAGACACCGAGAATGGTAAGAAGAGAGAAAAACGTTCTTCATGAAAACAAATACTGTAGAACCAATCGAAAACAAGACTGCTAGCTTCTATTCCGTCACACACCCACTTTCTTCATGCTTTCTCTAGAGCACGCTTATACAGGAGTAGCCTTACTCATGGCGAGCAATCTCTTGACTCCAACCATCCAGTGTGCACCCTCAGACTCCAACTTGGCCTTCATCATATCAGTCAAGATAGATCCAGCGCGATCAAAGTCTCTAGATTGCAGTGCTTGTGCAATCTCCGCCAACATGGCAACAGTGTCTGGCTTAACGAGAGTCTCGTTGTTGAGGTGATCGAAGAGGATATTGAGACGCTTCTCGACGTCGTTGACTTGCGCAGCGAATGAAGCTGGTGCGCGTGACTTCACACGTGCCATGTCTGCGGACATGATTTCGAAGACTGGCATTGCATTGCTAGGAATGTGAGAGCGGTCTCCAGGAGCTAGAGACAAATAGTTAGCATATGAACATATCTGTAGAGGGAAGGGTGAGACTCACGATATTTGGCGGCTGCAGGTGCAGATCGCTGAGATTGTGCAGTGGTGGGTCGAGAAGGCGGTTGCTGAGGGGCGGCTGATGGGGGAGGGGTAGCCTGAGGAGGAGTGGCTTGTGGAGGGGCGGCTTGAGGAGGTGCGGCGGCTCTGGGAGGACCTTGAGGAGGACCACGAGGCGGTCCTTGTGGTGGAGGTGGAATTGCTTGAGCAGCCGGAGGCTGCGACTGTGCGGGTGGTTGACCGTAAGGCGTTGCTGGTGCCCTTGGTGCATATGCCGAAGCTCCCGCAGGCGCGTATGGCGAGGGTGCTGCAGAGCCGTAGGGGTTGGGAGCAACGTTACGTGGTGGTGGCAGACCGCCGGCTACAGGGGTGGGTTGTGAGCCGGGAGCTGGTGCGTAACGGTTGCTAGGTGGACCAGTTGCTGTTGCGGCAGGAGGAGGGTTGTATGGTGAGGGGCCACGGCCAAGAGGAGGGGCCTGGGGTGGAGGAGGCAGCGTTGAAGCGGCAGGCTGCTGTACCGAAGCTGGGGTGTAGGCATTGGATGCAGCTGAGATGGGACGCTGAATCTGCGGAGGACCTGACAGTGGAGACATAACGCGAGGTGGCATCTGTCCTGCCTTTGGTGGTGGAGGCAAAGCAGCAGAGGGTTGCTGGCCATAAGCGCTACCAGGAGCGGGAGGTGGCGACATGACAGGAGCATTAGGGAAGGGAGAAGATACGGCAGCAATACCAGGAGTGTTTCTTCTTGCAGGCTGGGCCGGCTTGGAGAAGCCTTCTGGAAGGTCGTTCCACTGTTGTGTCTCGCCCTTCTTGGGTGGTGGAGGTACGGCACTAGGAGTCATACCACGAGGAGGAGCAACAGGAGCGGCGGGTGCTCCATAGGGCTGGCCATATCCCGAGGGTTGTGGAGGTTGGTATCCCTGAGGTGCGTATGGGTTTGAGACAGCAGCAGGCTGAGCAGCGCCTGGGGGAGCGTAAGGGTTTGCAACGCTAGGAGCAGGCGTTGACATGATACCTCCGCTGGGTGCATATGGGTTTGCGGCAGCAAGTGGCGCTGGTGTAGGAGCAGCGGAGTAGGCTGCCATTGGTGCAGCAGCACGAGCGGCGGCGGCGGGCTGTCTCTGAACTTGAGGGACTGCAGGCTTGGTCCTGTTGGCGAGCTTGACTCTTTGCTGAGCAACCTCTGCTGCAGGATACTTTGAAGGCAGCAAATCCAGGTACTTCTCAGCGACTTGCAACTGACCATGACTGGCCAGAATATCAGCGTACTCAGTGTACTTGGCATACAGGGGAGCAAGCTTCCAGTTTTCGCTGGCTTGGCGGTCGGAATCTTGGAAGCCAACAACCTGGCGGAAGACAGTAACCTTCTCGATGAAGTCTTGCAAAGATCTGGCGTGGACAGAGAAGCTGGTCTCGCCCTCGGCAGCTTCCAGTCCAACGCTCTCCTTCTCCTGCAGCTCCTGTGTCCAGATAGTAACAACCTTCTCAAGCTTGGAGCCAGCAAGGAAGCAGAATGATGCATCCCTCCTCAAAGTGCCCTTATCGGTAGCAGTTGACAGCGACTCTTCAAGACGGTCACCCAGAGCCTCGCACAAGTCTGAGAACTCAGTCTCGTCGGCAAAGGTGCATAGAGTTGCCATAACTTCCTTCCAGTTTGACAGATCGGCGTTGTGGACGACATCCCACAGGTTCTTGCCAACGATCGAGGCAAGAAGACGCAGGTACTTGGGCCCCTTGGCCTTTTGCTTCAAGTAGGCAGTCTGTACCTTGTCCATGCACTTTTGTCCACCGCAAATAGCAATCATGAAGGCATCTGACATGCGGCCATCCTTCAAGCAAACGTCAAGAGCAGACTCGAAGTTGCCCAGCATGAGAGCACGTGTGATGTTCTTGTCTGCGTCCGACTCTTCACCACTGAAGATGTGGAAAGGCTGGTTGGTCTTGGCCCCCTTGGTCGCTGCAAGATCGGCCAGGAAGTTATCGCCATCTTCTCCGTCAGCGTTGTCGTTACCGAAGAAGTTGCTGTCATCCTCTTCCTTGGGCTTTTCAACATCACCGTTGATGTTTAAGTCAGCAGTCTTCTGTGCGACCTCAGTCTCCTCAGCAAAGCCCAAGTACTCTCTCAGCTTCTTCCTCGACTTTCCAGCGTTCAACGTCTCAATGACTTGCCAGTCGGCCTTCTCTTCCTCGTTGGTTGCAGCAGCAATCTTTGATTCGCAAATGCTGGCCAGGTCGCCGCTCTTCAGAGATTCCTCGAACTTCTGCGATGCTTCCGTAACGGCCGAGTCAATAGCAAAGGTCTCGATGCTGACAGTCGATTTTCTCGAAGCAGAGTCGGTAGCCAGTCTGACAAGCTTTCCACCAAAACCGAAAGACACACCAGCGGGGCGTTCCATCCACTTGGGAGCCTTGGGCAAAGAGAAGGAGACTGGTTCGGGCTGAGTCTGGACTTGGTTGAAGAAATCGTCACTCTCAAGAGCCTGCTGAGCATTCGTCTTTTCATCGTTCTTTGTGTTTGTGTTCTGAATTGTCTGGACCGAGATCTTGCCATCGAACGAGGCAGTAGCGAGAAGACCAGGGTTATGAGGATTCCAGCGAGTCTGGAAGGTCCAGTTCTTGACAACAGGGAATTCACCGTATGATTCACCAGTGTGAGGGTTCCAGGCGATTGTACGGTTGTCCTTGCCGCCAGAAAGCAACAAGCTCGAGTCCTGCAGACACCACGACAGGGAAAGAACGCCGAGCTCGTGACCACGAAGAATGCGCTCAGGAGCACTAGAGTTACGCAAGTCCCACATGAGAATCACAGGCTCTTGGTCGTTAGGAACAGCTGTCATGAGCTTGGTCGCAACATCTGGATCCCAGGCAACAGCGCTCACTGGCTTGCGAGCATAGTTGTTCAAAGTCAAGTTCTCCTTCTTTTGCCTGACATCCCAGATGGTGACAAAGCCTCCACTTGAACCAGTAGCAAGAATGTGAGGGACTTTTGCGCCCTTGTTCCAGTCCAAACACTCATAATCGTCAGCTCTTGCAGCACCTCCACCCAACTTGAAGGGGTTGGCGATGTTGTTCAGGTCGTAAATGAACAGCTCTCCCTTGGCACCGGCAGTCGCGAGAAGGTCGTGCTTCGAGTGGTTGAATTGAACAGTCTTGATGGCTCCAGAGTGCTTAGTTGTTCTGGACATGAACGAGTCGGAAGGGCTGGAGCGGAGCTTCTCAGCGTCCCATAGATCGAGCGAGCCATTCTCAAGGGCACCGGCAATGATACCACGAGAGCGATCGGCAGTCGGTTGGCTCCATGCAATGTCGTAGAATCTATATCTGTGTCAGGAGCTATATCGTGTCCAATTGTGGGGTACGCACCTTGAGTCTGTAGAGATGCTGCCAACAGGAGACAAGTCGGAAGAAGCGTCAAGCTGGTCTAGTTGCAGATCCCACAGCTCTAGGTTAGTGTCGTTGGAGAAGTCATCATCAACAGCGCCGGCGCGTGTTCCAGTAGCGAGCAATGGCGGAGCTGAGCCGGGCGACCATGCGAAGGCCGCAGTGCGAGGAATCTCGCGCAATCGAACCATGGTCGAGTCTTTGTTGGCAGTACACTTAGTTCAGCCCAAGCATACAGCAAACAAATGGGAGTTGGGGTAGATATGGCGGAAAAGGGGTGGGTATGGGATAATTATTGACCAGCGTTACAAGGGCGCGAGCTTCGACTTGCCCTTCGTCACACCTCCAGCTGGCCTTCCCAAGTTCCGCCTTCCGTTCAGAAGCCAAAATCTGGGGCACATCGCAGCCTCGCCTTGGCATCAGAGATCCGTTCTAGCCTTTCTGTTGTATGTAATCATTCCGACACCGTCCAGGAATATACATCCAGACTCATCAGCACAACCCCCAACCATGTCTGACGCACCAAGACCGAAAGCGACTGTCTATGTCGGAGGTCTGACCTCTGCTGTCGACACCCATACTCTGCACAACGCTTTCATACCATTCGGCCCAATCGTCAATATTTCACTGCCAAAGCCAGAACTACCATCAAATCCCGAACCTCACCGTGGCTTCGGATATGTCGAATTTGAGAGTCCTCAAGATGCTCAAGAATCGATCGACAACATGGATCAAAGCGAACTTTTCGGCCGTGTCATCAAGGTCAACCTAGCCAAAGAGCAAAAAGCCGAAGGAGAAGGCTTGGGAAGCAAGACTGCTATTTGGGAGCAAGTACGTGTTATCAAATCATTGTGCTTCAGTAACATGTGCTGACGATCATTTAGGAGGGCTATCTCGCAAAGCACGCAGTTAGCGATGAGGATCGCATGGCTGCACAGGGAGACGAAAATGGTCACGACGGCCCAATGGATCCCATGCAAGGCCTGGAGGGTCTTGATGTTGCTGGCCCTCAGCAAGCCTAAAAGTCTTTTCTGATTCAATTTTCTTTCTTGTTAATTCATAGCGAGGCGTTTGGGTCATGCGACGGAGATCGGGCGACATATTTTGCACTTTTGCGCAGATGAGACAGAAGACTCGATATAGACCAGTTGTTCTAGATCCCTGGATGGTCCTTGCATCTGCCCTTATATCCTGGTTAGTCTGCGAGATTGGTTGCATCTGCATGGCCGAGATGGAAGCTATGCTGTCGCAATAACTACTCTTTTCAGTCGTGGCGACGATAGGTGTTGCGGAAATGCACTGGACGAACATGGCTATGGCTACCTTCTGGTCCACATCGCCGCCATTAGAGTTTAGATAGGCATGCAAACGCGATCTTATCAAATCTTTCAAATTTCATCGCATATCAAGTTTCCGTGCTAGTATTGACACTTGACATTCGCATAGAGCCAACGATTATCCGTGGACATCGAGAGCCAATGTGGTGCGGTTATACAGTGTTTCATCTGAATTTTGTATTTCATCGACATCGAATAGGCATTTATCTGCATAAGATCCAGATTCCCAGACTGCCAATTCAGCCAGCGAGAAGTGAGCAGAAGCGCATTTGCCTTTCGAAAATGCGAGTTTCAACTTTATGCCCTACCGATCGCTCTTGGCGTGGTATATGATCCTCGAACAAAACAAGTTGGTCCAATGATAGATTGTCGCGATCGGAGTGCCGGAGTTTGTGGAAAGAGTGGTATGTCGATCAAGCACCAATGCCAATATTTTACAGAAAAGGATCTCCAGCCAGAGGTTGTTTGACAGGTACTACAAGAAACTGGATACACGAGCCGAGGCACTAATACACCATGATATGAAGTTTTTCAAATATGCATTGCTTCTGTTGACAATCTAGTGGGAGGGCTTGGTGTCGGAGGGAGACGAAGCCTGGTTGTGGCCTCTGGATCTGTAGAGACGGAGGGTGCTGTCGGTAAAGAGCTTGCGGATGAGCGAGTAGGCGGCGAAGCCGACGGCAACGCTGTTAGGGTATTAGGCGATTGATTGAGGTGTTCGGTGGGTTGAAAAGGGACTTACGCAAGAACGACACCTGGGAACTGGTTAGCTCTGACTTGGGCAAACTAGACGAGATTGACATACCGATGGGGATCAACTCCGGGGGAATCTTCTTCAGGGTACGGATACGCTGAGAGATGGTGTGGGCTATAGAGTAGGTTGTGGTTAGGGTCGCGTCCTCGTGGTCGTAGAGTGGAGTTCATTGTTGCATACCAGAGTGCTCCTCCTTCTACAATTGGTCATTAGCAATGAATTGGGAATTGGCATGTGGATTGCGTATGTCAACATACGGGAATGGGCTCTCTGAACTTGGGGGTGTTCTTGAAGCCACGGGTCTGCTGGAAGATGCGGGCGGCGGGACGGGCCTTGACTGCCTGCAGAGCAGGAGCCTGGGCGCGCAAGGCGGAGGCAAAGACGCGACTCGAGATCATGCTGAATTGGGGTATGAACAAGAAGTGGGAGGAGTAGGTTCCAACACCGCGTGAGGTCAGCAGAGCTTCGTCGCAGCGGATGCAAACTGACGCTGGGGCCGAGCAGCCAATCAGACGTCGCCGAGGCACTGGACTTGAGGAAACCACGCCAAGACTGTCAGGTACGACCGGAGACGACAACGACTTCTGCTGTCCGCGACTGCCACAGCTCTCCTGCATACCATCTCCCCTCAATTCAACCTCTCAACGAATTACAACACCGCAAAAATGGCCGACGATGAGGACAGAGTCACCATGCCCTTCAAGTTCGTGACTGGTACGCATCCGCCCCGACGCCCTAATATCGAGTTGAATGCTGACTGACGTGATTGATTGCAGCGGGTACGTCCATTCCTATACCATGCGCCGCCGCCGCTCTCCCCTGTTCCACCCTCGACTCATGATGCGACACTCCTCTATCCTTCTACCGAGCATCCACACATTCCGCTCCATGCAATCAATTGACACGCCACCTAGGCTTCGATGCGCGCTTCCCCAACCAGAACCAGACCAAGCACTGCTGGCAGAACTACGTCGACTACCACAAGTGCATCCTCGCCAAGGGTGAGGACTTCAAGCCTTGCCGTCAGGTACAGCCCCTATCTCAGCCAACAACTACCTCGCAACTCTTGTTCTGACGCATACCCAGTTCTTCCTCGCCTACAGATCTCTCTGCCCCAGCTCGTGGGCCGCAAGATGGGACGACCAGCGTGGTGAGTATCCCGCCGACTTCACGTCAAGAACACAACCTCATTGCGTCGCACAGAGAACGGCACCTTCCCCGCCAACCTGGAAGAGTAAACGCTACCTTATGCGTAACGAATTCAACTAGCTTTGGCATTTTGGGCAGCAGATCCTCTTTTCTACTGTCGATAGCATCCATTATTGAGGACATAATCTCATTGCCCAATTCTCTTGCTGACCATCTCGAGCTACCGATAGCTCTGTGCCTTGTTACACGACAGCCTGTGCAAGCGTTACACAAAGCACTCTCGTAAGAGCTCCGATCTGGCCATAGTACAAAAACGCGAGCTTTGGGTTTGTACAATCTCCTACTATCCCTCATCTTCATCTACGCCTTCTTCATTCCGAAAAACACACCAAGGGCAGCTATCAGGACGGCGCACAAGTTAATTCACTATAACTAAAATGCGTATCAATTCTCTGCCCGAGAAAAACCCGGTCGTCTGTTGGCACTTCCGACGGACGACATGGATGTAGCTGTCCTTTTCCGCTTGCCTTGTACTCTTGAGCTCGTCTGCTATGCAGGGGCTCTATTTCTATGGGTGCAAGGTTTGAGATCTTGGAGCTGACATGTCTTCATTCTTTCTGACAACTACTTGATCTTTGAATTACCATAATTGAAACATTTCTTCTCTGATCTTTTACTGTTTGTCTTCTCACTGGTCATTCATTGTCCGTCTGTTCCTTTCGTGCATTTTTACAAAGCTTCCAAGAAAGTAGACGCTTTCCTGGAGTTGGTGCTGTTTGGTAGGTCTGAGGTCCCTCGATGAGGACAATCAGGGCTGAGCAGGGCCCTCGACCTTTGAGGGCTGCTGCTGCTGGCCAGGCACGGCAGTCTGGTTCTCCTGAGTAGGTTCACGAGAGTCAACTTGCTGTGCCATGGGTGGCTGAGAAGCAGACTGCTGACTACCAGAGACGACGCGCTGGGGTTGTTGACCGTTGTTCTGGCCTCCCATCTGCTGACCCAGCTGCTGCTGACCATGACGCAAGTCACGAGCTTGAACACCCTGTTGCTGGCCAAACTGAGCACCACCGTTCATTCGATTCTCCTGTGGCAACGAAGGAGCAGGAATCAGACCATAGCGCATCAAAGTATGCTCAACAACGCGGAAGAAAAACCCCTCCAACTCCAGCGGTGGCTGCATGAGTTGTTGACGCATCTGCTGTCCAATAGCACCATACATCTGTTCCTGGATTGTGGTCATCAGACGGGTGGTCTGCAAACTACGAATGTATTCGATTTCTTGCTGGTAGTGGTTGATGACGCTTTGTTCGGTCATGTTTGCATGGGTGAGCATGTGGGTGGTTAGGCCGCGAAGACGTTGGTGGTTAGGAGGGCCAGTGGCTGGGGCGATCAGGTGAGGGTGCGAGGTGTAAAAGTCTCTGATGACCGACTGCGACTGAGGGACTTGGCCTGGTAGGTGATTGAGCATCATGGGTTGGCTGGTAGCGGGATTGACACGACCGTAAGTCTGACCAGGCATAGGCGGATGGCAAGGCATCGGCGAAGGACCTAGGGTTCCATTGAAAGGACCGATGCTGGGAGTGGGGAATCTCGCATTGCCGACAGTAGGCTGTCCATTGTTGGTAACCTGCTGGAGGTGCTGGGGGTGGCTTGTAAGTCCTGAGCCGTTAGTGTTCAGGTGTGCACTGGAGGCTCTTGCGAGATTCTGCATGCGTTGCAAATACAGCTGTTGCTGCGGCGGCCTGAAACATGTTAGATCACGACCTATCAGACCTGTGGTCAAGAAAACTTACATGAGGGAAGGTCCAAGAGAAGGTCCAGTAGAGTTGTTCATAAGGACTGTAGGTGGAGGTCCCATGACGGTTGGCTGAGGCTTGGGTGATGATGGTCCAACTGGCTTGTACGAAGCGGCATGGCCCTCCAATGAACTCTTCTTGGGTTTGCCAGCAGCTTTAGCGCGAAGGCGAAGAGGTGCGGTTTTTGAACTGGCGCCCTCGGTATCGTTTGCGACAAAGGGGTCGGAAGGTGCTCTGGCAAGAGATCCAATCTTTGCCTTGCTCTTTCCTTTCTTGTTCTGGGCTTCTTGATATTCGCTTCCCGAAGACTCGTTCTGTTCAGACTCCTCATCCCCATCTTCATCTTCGTTTTCTTCAGTGTCGCTGTTCTCCATCTCTGCGTGTTTGCGCTTGATGGAAGTGTGGCTGAGTCATGTCAGTCGTTGATAGATTGATGTGCTTTGAATTTAGATACTCACACCTTGGGAGGCTGAGGGCTCACTGTGATAGACAGACCCTGTGCACGAGCGTGCACCTTTCTGATATGGTCGCGCAGGTGCCAAGGGTAATTGTATAGCACTTTGGCATCTTCTCCATCACAGTAACCACAGAAGATCTCGCATCTGCAGATGTGCAGAGTGCCTTCGGTAGGCCACTCGTGCTCGTGGGTTTCGTCTCTACAAGGCATGTTATAGACAGCTTGTTGTAGGCAGCTGGTTGTAGACAGAGTTGGTTTCCAGAGACAAGTAAAGGTGATCGTTGAATCTGAGGGTGGGAAAGTTCACACCAGATTCATATGTGAGAGATGCGGCTGCGCGCAGGTGAATATTCACAACATCGACCAGGCTGTTCCGGAACCTCTCAGAAGACTCTAAAACGAAATGAATCCTGCACAGGATGTGGTATGGAGTGATCGAGTCCAGACCAAAGTAGCTTTACTATGAGAGCAGCCTTACGATATAGCCTCAAGATTATTGTATGTTTCTGTGCAGAAGGCCTCATGATCGAGGTATCACCAGCAGCAGCACTACTGCCTACCTTTGTTCGTCGCATTTCACACTGACCCATGGCTAGGACTCGAACCAAGCGTGAAGGCGTGACGACGTGACGGTGGTAAAAACAAGCATGATCGGCAGCTGCTGTAGGCACAACTACCTATTCATCCACGACCTCATGAAATCTTAGATGAGCAGGCATGGCGAACAAAGGCACCGACATGCCACAAAGGCCACATCTTCCATCTTCCTCGTTCTCTTCTTCTATCCAGCCATTGTCGTCCATCTCGTGATTCGAGTGCAACAAGAAGCTAGACTCTTCTAGGCTTGACCGTTGGGCTGGTTCAGCTTGTGGCATCATTTGCTCTTCATCTTGTGAGTTCGTTTGCTCATCAGCATACGCCGTAAACTCCTTATGGACTGTCTCTTGACGCTTGAACATGCTGCCGATATCTCGACCATTGGCAGTCTTGCTCTCGCCGCCAGCTTCTGCCATGTTTGTTACGGCGAGATTGACCAGACTTAGATTCCATCCAGCTTTCTCTGGATGAAGTTTTCGGAACATGCCTATGAGTGTTTCGTGAACAAGTCTTTCGGCAAGTGCATCAATAGTTTCTGTCAGTGACAGGACATAATTGGGCAATGGCGCAGAGTGGGAGATACGCTTGAAACTTCGAGTGCGCGTACCGTCTGGGTTGAGAGGCATACGGGGTCTGGTAGACAAGCGGATAGTCTTGGGATGAGCGAGCCATTTGCCTGGTGACCTGACTTTCTGTTTTGTCGATTGTGCTGACTCCTTTTCGACCGCGATGTGCTCAAGTCCATGGTCAGCCACGTCCCCCTTATGGTTCTGTTCTTGCTCGAAGTCACCATCTCGTGGAGACTGGTTAGTTTCGTCATCGTCTGCAGCAACAAGATCTATGCGCATTCGTTCTATGAGGCTGAAACTTAGCTTCTTGAGCTGCTTCAATACCTCAGGCAAAGTATCGAGACGGATGTAGCTGTCTTCGATCGAGATTTGACTGGGCACAGCTTTCGCGAAGCTCACGTCTGTACCATCAATACCATGCAGGAGCGCCCATATCTTGTTTCCGATGCCATGAGGGGAGCCGGGACCGGCCAGTACCTTCTCCAGTGTCTCTGGGCCCATATCTCCAGCAAGGCGAACATCTCTTACGAAAACTCTCTCCTTGGTCTCTCCATATACAAGGCCTTTCTCAAAGTCTGGTTCATGTTGCAGGATATGCCGGCGTATCTTTTGTGCAAGCTTAGATCCGATACCAGGAATCTTTCCGATTTCATAGTCGTCGAGGAAAGATTCAACGTTGCTTACCTGTCCATTTCGGCAAACATATGGTGGTATGAGCGTCGTTTGGTCTCGAGGCTTGTGCATGTTGCCAACCAGCTTGGACAACAGCTTGGAGGTCGATATGCCAACAGTTGATGTGTAACCCTTCTTCCTCTCAAGCTCATGGCGGAGGTGGAATGCCAGGTGGGACCCAAGTTTCAGCCTCAGAGAGAGGATCTCATCATCTGTGGATGTACTATTCGGGTACCTGGGGCCCGCGTAACAGCTAGCGTCGAAAGCAAACCCTTGGGTAGGATCATCTTTCTGCAGGACAAAGAAGGACTGCGACAAATCATGCTGGTTCAATAACGAGATGTTGTACTCAATCATGTCAGTGACGTCGAGCCACACCTATAGAGAACAAGTCAGATTCAGCCACGATCCTCCAAGTCGAATGGGTCAACAAGATTGTTACCTCGTCGAAACCTAGTCTCTCTGCCCTGTCGCTCCATGAAAAGCTTCGAAGGAACTGGTATAGCATCTTACTTGCATCTCGAAAACGGCTGATGTCTTCACCAAGTACGATGATCACATCTGGACATATTTCTCTGGCCTCCTTGATGAGTTGTAGTTTGCGCAGACCCCTTCTGCGGGCTTCATAGTTACAAGTGACCTGTTCATTTCTAGGTCAGTTTGCTGTTGTGCGTTGATCAAGATCATGACACAAAGCTGTGTATTGGCAGATGTACAATGATTTGTTTTTGCTGTACAGCCAGTGGCTTGTCCTTCAGGGCTGGGTTCTCAGCTTCAAAGACCGAAGCATAAAAGCAGTCATCTTATTAGACAACAGTGTCAGCAAGCTGCTTGTTCTATTTGTTCTATGCGGGGCATGACATACAGTCGAAATGCAGTATCACCCTGTCATCTTTTCTGTGCGGGACCTGAGACTTGATAGACAGCATGGCACCATTTTCACATTTGCTCATGGCATTTGTCACATTGAACATGAAGCTTGTCAGATGCTTTCTGACTCTGCCTCCAAAAGCACTGTGCGGAGGCAGGAACTGTCCGTGCACCAGAGATTGGAGCCAAGAACTGCTCTTTCCCACTTTCCCCGATGAAAATCCCCGCTTCTATCCCATCTCGTTTGAACTAGACCGGGTCATCCGGGGCCAGCCTAGAACGGCCTGCTGAAGCAAGAGAAAGGGTGCAGTCGCCCGATGGCACGACCTGCTCCTCGATGCGACCAAAAGCGCCATAGCTGTGTATCTTGATTTACTTGCAGGGAACCATCGACCAGGTAAACCGAGCCAGCCAATTTACGAGGGCACGCAGCATGTCCATCTCTTTAAACTCTCGGGGCACATGCGCATTGCACTAAGCTGGCCTAAGTTTGGGGGGTGTTGCACGCCACGCCGTTCTCTTGCGCGGAATATTTGTATCCTGCTGATTCCCTACCTCTCATTGCCTTGTCTCAATCGCGTTCCCGTGTTCCGGTCTTGACCATCTACCCAACTACCTTCTCTCTAGCACATCACTCTTTTCACGCTGCCGTTCTCTTTGTCGCATCGGGATCCATGTGCTCGTCGCGCAATACTGGCTGTTGACGCATCAGTCATGGCTGAGTCGTCCAAGTAGGAATTCCCGCGGCCAATACTTTGTCGCGGGCTGCAGCTAAAACTCGTCAAAGAACAGAATACATCGCCATGCAGAACTTCAACGATGGGATCCACGCAGGGAAGAAGCCTACAGACAAGATGGATTGGTACGAATGGATCCGTTCACTAAAACATATTTGAAGTAGTTGCTGAGTTCTACGCAGTCAAATGTCGGCTTCTCTGCGCGAACGGCGTGGGTCGAGCTCAACGGGATCGGAAGGAGACGCACATCTCGTTCTAGACAGAGCTCGAGATGCACTTGACCAAGAGCATTCCATGACCCTATGGTCGGCCATCAAGATGTATCCAAAAGCCATAGGCTGGTCTATCCTGGCTTCAACGTGTTTAGTCATGGAAGGCTATGACTTGGCGGTCAGTCTAGATCTACTGTGCTCAAGTACAATGCTCATGCTTCCTAGGTCATCTTCAGTTTCTTTGCTTTTCCAGCCTTCTCCAAGAAATATGGTCACCTTACTGCGGACGGAAGTTATCAACTCACCGCAGCCTGGCAGACAGGTCTCACTAATGGCACTTGTATCGGCGAGATGATTGGTCTTGCCTTGACCGGTATCTTTGCAGATAAGTATGGCCAGCGCTGGACCATCATCGGCGCCTTGGCCCTTATAGTAAGTATCTGATGTCTTCTGGTCGAGGGTCAGCCCGCTGATCATGATTCAGACATGCTTTATATTTATTACTTTCTTTTCTCCTAATGTTCATATTCTTCTTGTTGGTCAGATTCTTTGTGGCATACCTTGGTAAGTGGTTGCAAGATTGAGTATTCGCTCGTGCTTTGCTAACTCAATTCCTAGGGGTGTGTTCCAGACCATTACTCCTTCATATGCTGCTGAGGTGGTCCCGATGGAGCTACGACCGTATCTTACCTGTTATGTAAATCTATGCTGGGTATGTATGCTCCTGCTTAAGATTGTGCAGTCATACTGACATAAGCTAGGTCATGGGCCAGATAATAGGCTCTGGAGTGCTTCGAGCGCTCATTAATCGAAACGACGAGTGGGGATACAGGATCCCATATGCTTTGCAGTGGGTCTGGCCCATTCCACTTGCTGTAGGCATGTTCCTCGCGCCCGAAAGTCCTTGGTGGCTGGTCCGACAAGGTCGTGTCGATGACGCGGAGAGATCAGTGAACCGCTTGATGAGCAGACAAGGCCAAAAGGCATACGACAGCCAGAAAGCAGTGGCAGGCATAATACACACCAATGAGATGGAGAAACAAGTCACGCTTGGAACGTCATATATGGACTGCTTCAAGGGCATCGAGCTCCGTCGCACTGAGATCTGTTGCATGGTCTGGATGATCCAGATTCTATGTGGTGGAGGCATCATGGCCTTCTCGTCATACTTTTTCGAACGCGCAGGACTGGATGTCTCTTATTCATTCGACCTTTCAATGGCACAATACGGACTGGGCGCTGTCGGAGTTTTCATCGCATGGGGTCTGATACCCTGGGTCGGACGACGAACATTATTCCTTGTGGGACAGATCTTCATGATGATCCTGTTGCTCATCATTGGATTCATTGGTGTAGGACCGAAGAGCCAGCCATCGTCATGGGCGACTGGGGCGTTGCTCCTGGTCTACGTCTTCGTCTACGACATTACAGTTGGCCCACTAACCTACGCATTTGTGGCAGAGATTCCTTCAACCAGATTACGGCAGAAGACGATGGTGCTAGCACGAAACGCGTACCTGATCGCGAACATTGTCAACAACGTACTCACACCGCACATGCTCAATCCTACAGCATGGAATTGGGGACCAAAAACAGGATTGTTCTGGGGTGGCATATGTTTTTTGACGATTATCTGGGCATACTATCGGCTGCCTGAACCTAAGGGGCGTACATGCGCAGAGCTGGATGATCTGTTCGAGCGCAAGATCCCAGCTCGGCAATTTGCTACCACAGTAGCGAATCCGTTCGATGATGGGCGGCGCAATGGTTCGGTGGTTAGTGCCTTGAGGAGGCAAGAGGAGCGAAAGGCGCAAGCGAATTGAGGCTTAGGCTTCGACATGGATTTAATGACACGTTATGATTAAGATGTAAGGCGTCTAGAGGACTTGAAGTTATATTCGATTGGCTGTCTCAGGCCACAAGTTTTGCATGGCTATAACAGACTTTCGCAAGCATGACCAGATTCGGTATGGTTTGCGTGTTGGAGTTGGACCCTGAAGGCACGAGGCGATGACGGATGGTTTGACAAGCGGGGTCCAGGTTAGCATGCAGCAATTATTTATCCCTGTTTGCTGCCCTCGAACATGGCTCTTTGACTATCCGACTCAAAGGTGGTTACAGTCATGGCCCCCAGTATTATACAAGCGATCGATGTGCGCACGCCAGCGGCGAGACGGCAGCTCGCAAAGACGACGATCGATCTGTACGTCAACTGAAGCCTACAGCTGAACAAATACTAACCATTGCTCCTTCCCAGATTCCGTAATCTGCTCTTTTTGTTGTTCATCGTTCGATACTCTCGAGTCGCTTTCATCCACCTCTACGGCTATGGACCTGCTGCTAGCGCAAAGATGGGCTATATCGCCATCCGCAAGTCACTCTACCGCATGTTCCTGAGGCTACCAGGTGTACGAGGCAAAGTGCAAGCCGAAATCAAACAATCCTTGGACGAACTAGAGAAGAAACTCGTGCCTTCTGGTCCTGGCATTACAAGATACACGGCACTTCCTGCTTCAGGATGGGGTCCTGATCAAGTGCGCGCCGAACTGGAGAAGTTGCATGAGATGAAACATACCCGCTGGGAGGATGGACGAGTGTCTGGCGCTGTATACCACGGCGGTAAAGAGCTCCAGGAGCTCCAGATGGAAGCCTTTGGCAAGTTTGGCGTTGCCAACCCCATTCACCCGGATGTCTTCCCTGGAGTTAGGAAGATGGAGGCAGAGGTGGTGGCAATGGTCTTGGGCATGTTCAATGCCCCCGCCGATGCCGCAGGAGTCACAACTAGCGGAGGCACAGAATCCATCATCATGGCTGTCCTCAGCGCCAGAGAAAAGGCTCGTATCGAGCGTGGTGTCACTAAGCCTGAGATCATCCTGCCCGAGACTGCACATACTGCCTTCCGCAAGGCAGCCGCCTACTTCAAGATCACCGTCCACTATGTACCTTGCCCAGCACCTACCTACAAGGCCTCCCTCGCCCACGTTTCGCGCCTTCTTAACAGCAATACTATTCTCCTTGTCGGCAGCGCCCCCAACTTCCCTCACGGCATCATCGATGACATCCCCGGACTCTCGCGCCTCGCACTCCGCAGAAACATCCCTCTCCACGTCGACTGCTGTCTTGGTTCCTTCCTGGTGCCCTTCCTCGAGCGCGCAGGCTACGCCACCGAACCCTTCGACTTCCGCGTCAAAGGCGTGACTTCCATTTCCTGCGACACACACAAATACGGCTTTGCTCCAAAGGGAAACAGCACTTTACTCTACCGCAACTCTTCACTGCGCAAGTACCAATACTTTATCAGTCCTGATTGGAGTGGAGGCGTGTATGCTTCTCCTTCCATGGCTGGGTCTCGTCCTGGCGCGCTGATTGCAGGCTGTTGGGCAAGTATGATGAGTGTAGGTGAACAAGGCTACATTTCCTCCTGCCACAGCATCGTTGGCGCAGCAAAGAAACTCGCAGAAGGGCTTCGCAGCCGCGATACTCTCCGCTCTGATCTCTATATTCTTGGCAAGCCTCTTGTCAGCGTTGTAGCGTTCTCCTCTGACACTCTGGACATCTACAATATTGCTGATGGCATGAGTGGCAAAGGCTGGCATTTGAATGCTCTTCAAGACCCTGCTGCCATTCATGTTGCAGTCACTCTGCCCATTGTACCTGTGGTCGAGGAATTGCTCAACGACTTGGAAGCTTGTGTGCAAGAGGAAAGAGAAAAGCAACGACAAGCTGCTATTGAAGGCAAGAGTAAACCTCTGAAGAAGGGAGATGCAGCTGCGTTGTATGGTGTCGCTGGTGCTTTGCCTGACAAGAGTGTGGTAGAGGATTTGGCAGCTGGATTTTTGGATTGTTTGTACAAGGCTTGATAGTTGAGTCAATCGGAGCGAGCGTGTTTTCAGCAAGTGATGGCATTTTGTCTTCAATCGACTGTGTTCAGTTGATCTTTTATCACTTTCACTTCCTGCGGTATGATCGAGGGATACCATGTCAAGCACCATATGAAGAGTAGATACTTAGGTCAGGGACCTGCAAGAAATGATGGACTCTCTCCCGTATGCTAGATCATGTTATGCATGCAACTATGAAACTGCACAATAGTATTAGAAACGAGGAAAGTGCCCGCTGAGATGCGGCAGCTTACTAGCTCTCCATGGCCGCGGTTCAATTCATTAATATAGCCTGAGTACGATGGAAGTTGCAGGCTCTGGGGGAACAAGAAGAGAAGTGGTAAAAGATTTCGTACGCTTTCATGATAAATACTAAACAAGAAAAAGAGCCTTTGATGCAATTTACGATGCCTCGTTGACGAACAGGCCAGCCATTCCCATTCCAGTTCCAATACACATGCTGGTAAGCAGAATCTTCTTCTTTTGTCTTCTGCACTCGCTGAGACCAGTGACAATCTGTCTGGCACCAGTGGCACCAAGAGGGTGTCCCAGAGCAATAGCACCACCACGAACGTTCATCTTGCTCCAGTCAATCTTGAGGGTATCACGGCAGTATACAGCCATGGAGGCAAAGGCCTCGTTGAGCTCAATAACGTCAATGTCGTCGAGGGTAAGCTGGTACTTGGAAAGCAACTTGGGGATGGCGATTGAAGGACCGATACCCATGATTCTGGGAGGAAGACCGGCGACAGTGGCACCAACGAACTTGGCAAGGATGGGTTGGCCGAGTTCGAGAGCCTTGGAACGCTTCATGAGGAGGACAGCGGCGGCACCGTCGGTGACTTGAGAGCTGTTACCACCAGTGCTGCGGTCACCGTAGTCGGGGAAGGCGGGGCGAATCTTGCCGAGGGATTCAGCGGTGGTGCCGTAGCGAGGACCCTCATCCTTGGTCAATGTGACGTCCTTGACCTCGCCGGTCTTGGGATCCTTGGACTTGACGGTGATGGGGACGATCTCGTCGTCGAACCAGCCGGCCTTCTGGGCAACCTCGGCACGGCGGTATGACTCTGCAGCGTACTTGTCCTGCTCTTGGCGCGAAATGTTGAAGTCCTTGCCAACGTTCTCTGAGGTCTGACCCATGGGCTGCATGCAGTCGGCCGAGTCCTGGTTGGCGCTGAGAATCTCATCGGCGAAGGGGCGCTCGAGGCGGTCGCCACCATCTGACATGGACTCAGCACCGATAGCGACACCGATCTCGATGGCACCGGTCATGATCTGGTTGGCGATGTCTTGAGTAGCCTTGAGACCGGAGCTGCAGAAGCGGTTGGTCGAGTATGCGGAGGAGGTGTTGGGGAAGCCGGCAGCGAGAGAGGCGGCGCGGACGTAGTAGGCGGCTTTGGCATCAGAGACGTTGCCCAAACAGATATCCTCTACCAGCTTGGGGTCGAGGTTTGATCTCTGTGTTGGAGTCAGCAGGTGTGGGGTGGGGTGAGGCGAATGGGAGGGAGGAGCTCACCTTGACGACCTGCTCGAGCAGCTTGAAGACGATGGCATCGAGATGGGTGTCCTTGAAACCTCCCTTCTTGGCCTTGGTCAAGGGAGTGCGGATGGCGAGAGTAATGACAACATCGTCGGGGTTCTTTTGTGTGCTGTCGTCGACTGTCAGTCTTGTTGTTCTCCACGGGGTATTTCTGGCGGGGCAAAGGCACTCACATGGAGTCGAGAGGGCTCTTGCCGGGGGTGATGTGGCGGAGCACTGAGCTGAGTCTTTCGGTGGCCATTTCTGCGTATGTGGATTCCAGTTGGTATACTGAGATTGAATGGTGTGCTCTGGGGCAAGTCGGTGGCAGACAAGGCACATGTAAATAGTTGGCGGCCTCCACCTCGGCAATCCGCTTTTGTGGAGAAGCCTCGGTGCTCGGCCTGGCTAGCCTCTTGACCACAGCCCTTCCCGAACTCTCACCTTTGTCATCTCCTTTCAGTATGCTCAAACATCTAGTAGCCGTAAAAATGCACAAACCTACAGTATCAAGCAAAAGGGCAGTGTCCACTGAGAGGCAATATTCAAGCCTGTCTCTCTGGCCACACGCGCCTCTGAATTGCAACTGTGCATTCTGATAGCGTAACATAACCCTTGTAATCGCCATGAAGGAAGGCTCAACTGCAGAATATCGTGACTCCCCAAAATGCTACCCTATTGTTTGCTTTCTGTCTCCACTGCCCCAACTTCAATACGTTGACAACCATCACTAACCATCAATCAACCATTGTCAATACTTGAAAGCCATTGTTCTTATAGCTTGCAACAAGACAGGATTCGCTGCTATGGCTGGTGAGTCACTCGATCTTGTCCAAAGATACTTACTACCCAAGACTATCGCTAAGCTCCAAAAAGCTATTCAACGCCCGGCCAATGCTATCGACGAGCACGCGCATCCTCGTTTTATTCTCACGCAGCAGAGTCTCGAAGCCTTGGTCACAATGTCACGCACCCCAGAAGCACGCGATATTCATTCCATCAGCTTTGCTGCGAGGCTCATCAACCCCACCTGTATACTTCCACTCCGGAATCAGCAGGATTGTCTCGATTTTCAAACACGTCTACGCCACCAAGAGATGTTTGTCATGTCAGGCCGTCCTCTGCCACTCATCGTCGAAGCCTTTTGCAATCTGGCCCGTCACGGAAATGCTATCAATTTGCTCGTTGACGACACTCTCGGTGGGGTGGGCTTTCATGCTCACTACGGTCCTTGGGGCACTGATCGAGGCACATTGTAGTACTCCATTGCCATCAAGGTCGTTAACCTACTTCTCACCGCCGTCAACAATTCGCGCTTTCCAATCGCCTCCCTGGACATCAGAGCCCTTGAGCAGGCATCATATCCCCTACATCCTTGTCCTCCACTTTCGCTTGCTGAAGAGATGATGCCCATGTCGTGGCCGTCGATCCTGTGCTGTGATCTTTGGCATCAAGCTCATCTCATATACTACCGAGCACCCGTCAAATTTCGCATCTTCAGACCAACTCAGAGAACCTGCAGCGAGATTTTCGTCTCGCCCGTGCTTGAAGATGACGGCTTGAGACTCGACGGCTTAAAACTTGAATTGCGCTCGGGCATCCAAGGGGCGTACACGGATTTCACAGAGCCTGAAAGCTTCCGACGATGGTGTACAATTATACAGTACACGTTCCCGTTTCATCGAGTCTCTTCTTTGCTTGTCGAGGACTGCGAAATCATCACATGGACAGCTCTCTTTGACTCTCTCCAATTCACGCGACAAGCAGCATCGCTCACGTTTCGCGGTGTCGAGCTCCACGTTGAAGGGCAAAACGACTACGGAACTTTGGTCGGTTTGCTGAAGTCCTTGAAAGAATGGCCGATGCTTAAACATCTGAAGTTCAAGAACATTAGCATCTTGTATTACGACACCAACCTTGTATGCCAGGAGACACCGCTTCAGCTTTACAACCATGAATGGAACACAGCGGCGGATGTTCAGCTGGGGCTTGACGATCTCATTCGCAAATTTGACAACAACGCGGATTCTTGAGCACTTCCCAAAGGTTATGTCGCGCTCTCTTTGCTGAAACACAGCTCTGGGAGGTGCTTCGATCTCTTGATTGCGCTTTCCTTTCACATTCTTTTCAGTTTGTGAATTCTTAGTCCAGACAGTCTCTTCTTATTATCTCCGGAATGTTCTTTACAATCGTTTGTTGTGTTATGGCCGTGATCTGGATTCTTACAGTGTGGTGATGGTATCTTTGGGCCTCATCTTTCGACTACATATAGATCATTCCGAAACCCATGAATCTTACCTCCCGGGATGCTAGAACCTTTTTTTCATGTCTAGTTGCGGTTGGTGTGACCCTGTTCTGGTGGAGAAATCTGGTTCATACGACTCGGTATATACATAATCTGTGTTTTGTTTTGTTTTGGGTATATATTGGCCAAAAATGAATGCAGCAAGTGTGTCTCTTATGTGTGTATAATACTTGTCGGATCTATGGGACAAGGAGCGATCTGCGGATTTCCAATTGCTGAATGCTGAATTCTTGATCCAGAAGCATTTGAAGACACCCGAAGTGGTCACAATGGTTGAGGCACACACGACGAGTGGGCGATGATATATGCCGGCAGACGCTACAAGGAAGGTATAGTGATACATTGGTGAAACATTAAGTACATAGTCTGCAATCCTGTCTGTTTTGCCTTGTCTACGCCATCTGTACATGTACAATGTCTGTTTACTCCAAGCCACCCAAAACATCTTACATGACTATGCATACAACAAAATCTTGACAAATAACGATTCGCATCTTAACATCCCAAATGCACTGCAAGCGCATCCTTCAGTCCTGTCAGACTCAATGGCTTGGCTAGGAAGTCATCTGCGCCTGCCTCTTTGAACTTCGCCCTGGATTCTGTGTTTACGACTGCTGTCAAAGCAATGATGAGGTGTTTTCGTTGTAGTTTTCCTTCTTGTTCGAGGGCGCGGATTTCTCGTGTGGCGGTTATGCCGTCTTTTTTCGGCATAGATTGGTCCTAATGAAAGAAAAGGTTAGCGAGGTGTACAAAAGGTGAACGTAAGACGGGCTGAAGGTGTTGCTTACCATAAAGATTATGTCAATCGCGGTGTCGTGGGTGAGGACTTGTGACACAGCTGCTTCTCCATCAGGAGCGATGATGACTTTGTGTTTGAGGGAAACCAGCATCTTTTGGAAGAGCTTAGCGTTGATAACGTTGTCTTCTACCAGCAACACGGTCTGTTGCTGTCCTTGCACTGGAGATCCTGATTTTTGCTGTTCTTCCTCTCCCGCGCTAAAAGAAGGAGCTCTCTGTTGATTTTGCTGTTCTTGGCGGGTTTCTTGTTCAGATGTTTCTGAGGGAGTGGGACGGCGCAGTGTGGAGGGATCAACATCTTGCATAACCTCTACCACTGGATCGAATCGCAAAGTGCGAGAGACTGTTGCACTGCGGCTGCGACGGTTTGCGGCGTCGACCCTTGTGGCAAAGGAGTGCCAAACTAGTGGGCGCGGTAAGAGTACAAAGTTCGGTGCAGCTACGATGCCTGGCAAGTCTGACAGAGACTTCTGCGTATCATAAGGTACCAAGATCAGCCAATCTTGCCGTTTCATGAGACGGCGGAATTGATCTTTGTTATTGAGAAGGAAAGGCATGTCTGCCCAGATGTACTTCCAGTCTTTGTCGGGAAGTTCGGACATGCTGGTTGCGACTATGACTTCATGGCCGAACATCTCCCAGGCTGCCTTTACACCTTGCAGGGACCTAGTTTCCGCATCGGAGAGGACCGCTACAAGTTTTCCATCTTGTTGTTCTGATGGCTGTGGAGGCAAAGATGATGGTTGCAAAGGTATAGTGACAGTGAATGTGCTTCCACTCTGGTTTGGTCCAACATCATGTGAATAGGCAAATTTCGATTCCACAGTGATGGTGCCGTTCATGGCTTGCAAAAGCTGCTTGATGATGCTGAGACCAAGACCAGTGCCTCGTTGGTTTCCTTTCTGCTCGCCTTGCTTGTATGGCTCGAACATCTGGGGTATGAAGTTGGGATCAAGACCAATACCAGTATCTCTTACTGATGCTATCAGCTTGTCGTCGCTGACTTCGATAGAAAGTATGATATAGCCTGATCTCGTGAACTTGCATGCGTTAGAGAGCAAGTTCATCAGAATACGATGGATGTAAGTCTCATCCACGAATACCGAGGCTGGGACATCTGGGGCGACCACGACACAGAGCTCAACATCTGCCTCATCGTCCTTGTTAGGAAGCAGAATGATTATTGACTCGCAGACCGTTCTGATATCCAGTGAGACAGGTTTGCAAACCGCTTTGGCGTCCTTTTCCAGCTTCGACCAGTCCAGCACATTATTTGTGATTAGAGACAACGTTTTGGTCGCTCTCTGGATGGCGGCTAAATGAGCTCGGCCTTCCTCTGTCAATGGTGTTTGCGAAAGTAGATCGCTGTAACCTTGCAGATGATGCAAGGGTGTTCTGATCTCGTGACTAGCAGCCGCAATGAACTCACTTCGTGCTAGAGCAGCTGCCTCTGCATTTTCCTTCTGAGCAATTGTTCGCCACAACTCTCGACGCGTCCAGATAATCTCGGCAAGCTTATTGCGAGACACGGTTGCAGAGTGTGCTAGCAGACCATTTGCAGCAATGCATGTTGTGAAGGCAATCAAGACCACCGCAGCTGCGATTTCTGGTGGATACCCTCTAAGCTCTGATGGGGGCGATGTGGACCAGAAGGTAGCGGCTGCCATCCCCGTCCAGTGCATACTACTCACGCCCGTCGTCGCCACGACTGAAAAGAGTAGTTGCTGAGATAGCATAGCTTCCATCTCAGCCATGCAGATGCAACCAACTGTGCAGACCAGCCAGGATATAAGGGCAGATGCAAGGACAATCCAGGGATCCAGAACGACTTTTCCATGAGGAACCTTTAGTCCGTAAATACCAGAATAATGCATACTGATTCTCGAGTTAGCAAGAGCTAGACTAACAAATGAATAAGAGCCAAACTGACCTAGTGATTGCGAGTGACCATAAGAATCCCTTGATTATATTTCTTGGAGTCATGCCATAGTACAAGATCTTAGCAGTAGCCACAAAGGCATTCATTGTGGTTGCAGGAGCTCGTCTGTACGCAAGCCCCATAGCACTGCTTAGGCCATGACTTGTACTTGATCCACTTGACGACTCGCGACGTGTAGTAGATCCTTCAGTAGAAGAGGGGTTGAAAGATCCAGAGCTAACTGTAGAAGCATCGTCTCGAAAACCAGTAGAGGTATCATCGCGGAGGCTCTGCGTTGTGACCATTCTGAGACTTTGTATGCTTCTCCCAGAAGCACTCCTGGTCAAGACAGGCCGAACGCTGTCGCGTGGCATCATTTTAGGAGACATGATGACACCTGGAGACGCCGGCAATAGACTTGAATCGAATGAGGCCCCGGGTCCGTCTTGCGATGATCTGAAAAAGTCGGTCCTTGGTCCACTCCAGCTCTGACTTTCTGGGTTTCGAGCTTGCGATGGGCGAGGTCCTGATAGTAGTGGCTGGTCAGGAGCGATTTCCTCATCCTGGTAGTCTTCAACAGCCTCCTCTTCCTCCTCTTCAGCCACTGGATGAAGCGAGAAAGAGTGGTTATTGTTGTTCCTATATTTGCTCATAGGGCTCAGGGTAGTGGTTTTCAGCCGTGTTTTCCTACTCCTGCGTTTTTTCCTTCCCCGGCCATGATGCCAACGTTCCCAGAGCAATTCACTGCCCAGAGCCAGAAACGTGAAGAAAACTGGAAGAAAGGCGCTCAACACTGTAAGCGAGGTGTTGATTCCCATCTTGACATCAAATTCGCAAGCCAGCATTGCGACCATGTGGAGGCACCAAACTGAACAGCCTCCGAACACAAAACTGCCAAAAAGCACCCACAGCAAGACACTGTGAAATCGCAACGACATTCTCGCATGACACATGAGCTGTGTCGAAGTAAAAGCACCCAGAAACGAAATGGCAATTGATGCCACGATCAGAAGGGGATTCCATTGCGGCTCCAGTTGGCGATACACCTCGCCCCCTTGAGCAGTCTGTGAACCCATGAGAATCTGAATGTCAAGTGATACAAGTCGTGCTATTAGCGATTGGCAACCACGAGCATGTTCGTTGCTTCCTGTCAGTCGAGTGCAGGGTTGAGGGTTTTGCGTGTCCTGTGGCAAGATCGTGAGGTTCCAGAGGTCCGAGGGTAGCAGCGGAAAGTGCAAGCTTCGCAGCCTTCACGATGCGCAGTTGCCACTGATACCACAGCGAAGCCGTTTCCAGCCCACAGCAAGAGTTGCAATTGTCAGAAATGTCAAGAAACAAAAATCCAGTGGTTTGTCTATCTGCTTCGTCGACGGTCGCTCGACCCCTCGAGAAAGAGCGCGCAGCTCCGAATTAGGTTTCATAGCTTACCAGCACGCACGCGGGTCATGGAAAACGGGCTAGAGCGGCTGTTGAGTGACATTATTTCCAGGGCTTCTGCAGTCTTCTACGATGCATCGTGCTGACACGCAGCATTCTACAGGAACTGTGCTCAGAGCGAGCATCGCCAATATTCGCTCGTGATCGCGGCGGTATGAAACAGTTGAGCCTCAAGATGTGTCGTTGCACTTTGCAGCAATGATCGACGCAAGCTTGGTGGGTTGAACCAAATTTCTCGTGTCGGTTCTCCAGATCGAGCAAGCTTCAGCTCTTGGTGGCGCTGATCACATCACGATTTGTTTAGCACGGATATGACCAGTACACATCCTAGGACAGGAAACAAGGCATTAGCACGCGACAAGACGACCTCATAGTGGAGATACCAGGCATCTCTTGCCTCGAATGTACAATACAGTTGTTTTTACATGCCGTTAGCGCTTGCACGCTGCTCGCCTTCGCCCTCTATGACTCAAAGATGCCTATATGTACACATATTGTTGTTACAAGAAAATAAACAGCACAAAGGACCGCTGCGCTATCCATGCGATCAAACCCACAAAAACTCCTGGAAAATAGCAGCTCCATCGTTTGCATGTCATTGCTCCGAAACTTGACCTTATTGCTCTCCTTATTGCGCACGAAGCAAACGTCCCTGAAGCTCGTCCACAATCCTAGGCATGCTATGTATAGCGTGTAATGTCTTGGGCGCCTTTTCTCGAATTTCAGGAATTGTTCCAACCTGTCTCCTCAACTCGCGCAAGCCAAGTCCTGCCTCATTGTGATCCTCCCCGAGGCCACGACTAGTCAGACCACGTACCTCCAACAGTGCATTGGCCAGGTGCACCATTGTGCGATACTGTGGAATGATTTGATCCTTGTTAATGTATCGCGCGTTGATGTAATCGAGTCCTTCTTTACGGGTTTGCTTCTTGAGAAAGACCGTATCTGGTTTGCGTATAGCTCCGTGTCGATAAGAGATCCAACCCGGCCAATCCTTCATCATGTACTTCTCGACCAATGTGTAGGCAAGCAATGCACGCGGAGGGCTAGTCTGGCAGAGTTGTACAATGAGCTCATTCCAGGTCTTGTTGGCAAACTGAAAGCCTTGCGCGAGCAATTTCATGATCATGGGAATTAGCTTCCTGGTTGATGACTGCGCAAATTGAGAGCGGATGTAATACTGCAGGGGCAGCGACAACACCTGGCGATAAGACGCGGGTACTCGAGCGGTCTCTGCATCGCGTGCAGTCCGAACAGTCTGACCTTTTTGAATAGACTGCACCAACTTTGCTGCTGGAATATGCGAAAGACGTGCCTCGTCCACCCTGGACTTAATGAGATCCCAGTATTTATCAACCTCAGCCCATTCTTGAGCTTGCGTGTGGACGAACATGAGGTTTGTAAGCAGAAGCACGATTGGTGCTTGACTATGGTCAGTGTCAATTTCTGCGAGCTTCTTTTGAAACATCTGGAACAAATGCTGAACAGCCTCGAATGACCTGCGCCGGCCATGGATAAAGATCAAGTAGCTTATATCCAAGGTTTCAAGTCCGCGTGGTTCGGGTTGCATGCCATGACGCAAGACCCGCACATCGTCTAACACCTTCTGGAAGTCTTCGATTACATCCTTTAGCGGTGACAAGTGACCGTCCTCGTTCGTCTGATCTCTTGTGATGCTATGTTGGTAGAGTGCCTTTGCCTTTGTCGCAACAGCTCGACTGCTAGCCGTCTCTCGCACGCGTGCCTCCTTCATTTCTGTTTCGACTTTGATTGCTTCAGAGTAGAGCTCCTGACCTAGATAGCCATTCGTGAGAATAGCATAGTGGAAAGCCAGAGGTCGTATGCCGTGCGCAGGCATGACCGATTTCAAAATCTTATGTGCTGATGGTGATTGACGGAACAGGCAGAGGACTAGCATTAGAGCTCCATACGATCTCTCGTCAAGGGGCACATTCTCCTCCTGCATGCGACGATAAATTGCCATAGTGGCTTTCAAGTCGCGTTTCCACGCAAAGGCAGTGAGCACAGTGTTGAAACAGAGAGTTAGAGAGCCATCCACCCTACCTTTCTGTACAGCTTGCACAGTCTGATCCAAAGCCTTCAGAGCGCCGTCCATCTCAGAAGTGCGAGCCAGCGCAACAATCATGCTATTCAGCATTTTGGTGGTAGGTCTCGTCGCACCATTAGATCTTGCAAAATTGAGCAGATCAATAACGCTATCGATGTCTCCATGTTTGGCATATGCATTGAGCAGTGAGGTGTAAGTGTCTCCGTTGGGCCGTAGTCCAGAGTCCAATATCTCACGGAAGATTTTCATGGCTTGTGGCAAATCGTCGACCCGTGTGAACGCATGTAGAACAATATTCCAGCATTTGAGATTTGGTGAGACGCCATATTCGCTTTGCATGTTGTGTAACTGTTGAATGGCGAGTGAAGGCTTGCGATTGACTGCATGCACAGTGAGAAGAGGCCGAAGATATGAGGCATCCAGATCGCCCTTTGCATGAAAAGACTTGTAAAGATCTGCATGTTCCTTGACGGCTTCGACTAAACCGCGTTGAGCGAAGGTGTCCATGATGATTACAAGAGCTTCGTCGCTGGGCCGCTGATGGTGTTTATTCCAATCGTCTAAAATGCTGTCTTTTCCAATGAAATTTTCACCAGGACCTTTTCCGGCGAAGGCAAGGTTGTGAGCGCGCCAGAACTTCGTGACTCCTATGAGCAGCGGCTTGGTGGGTGCAAAGAAACCAGACTGGCGATATAACAAGTAAGTAGCAGTAACAATAGCACTGCATTCATGATTCGTGGCACATCCCTCCAAGTTCAAAAGCGTGAAGAGGATGTTTTCATACAGTTCAGCCGAGGCCAGGTCGTATTCATGCGTCTTTTCGATGAGAATCCTTACATATCCACGAACGAGATTAGAAGCAAAATCATGCCTGACGAAGACAGGTTCCCTTGCTTGAGACAAAATGTATCGATGCAACAAAAGGCCATAAAGACGGTGCAAGTCTGGCGTAAAGTCGTCCTTGTTTCCGTCCTTACGGAGATGATGCAACTCTGTCAAACTCTTCCGCAGCTTCGTAAGAGTTCTGTCGAAGAGAGGAGTATGGCCTCTTTGGCAGACCGTGGCATTGTATGTTTCCCACTCTTTCAAAATAGTTACAGCCAAAGGCCAGTCTGCCTGGCGGACGGCAAGGGCCATAAGATGATCCGAAGCAATGGGACCTGCTGTTGGAAGTACAGAGGCTTCTTTGTGTAGGGCAACGGCATCAAGCTGCCTACCAAGTCTCAAGTTTGAGCGAATTGCGTTTCCATAGACGGCGGGTGACTTGAGTGTGCCAGGCAGGTCGGAAAAGAGGTCAACAGCGTGTTGGGCGGCGACTTTGTCGTCAATATTGGAGAACCAATCAATGGCACGACAAAGGAGGTCGGAAGAGGGATCAGAGATTTGTGACAGGAGATTCCAAGCACGTTCGATGTCTAGAAGTAGGAAAGATTTGTCAGGGCTAGAGGATTCCAGCAAGGCGAGAAGCTCTTGATGAGCACGAGAAGGGGAAGTCGAGGAGGGAGGAGAGTCTTTCGAAGCGGTGAAGGAGGAGTAACCTCTTAGCACGCCGGGGCGAGTGTTTTTGCGAGACAGTCTTTCCCATTGAGACAGGCGGGTCATGAAAGCCTGGGTGGGAGCGGGATAGAGGAAGTCGAGGAAGAGAGCAGCATCGTGGGAGTCGGACGAGGCGGAAGGAGACGAGGCGGGCTTGGGATAGAGGCAGAGGTGATCGACATCAGGAGCGTTGGTTGACCAAAAGGACGAGTGGAGCAGTCGGCGACTTTTGGGGAACAGACTCTTCTGGCGCAAAGAGAAGCGAACTCCAGTGTCGAGACATGCCGACGTGCGCTCTAGCATGCCACGATGTTTGTATATGTGGCACAAGCACAGGCGACGGCGCTACCACAAGCAGCCGAGAGAAATATGGTTCATGCCAGGACCCGGAGGAAGCGAGAGGGTTGCTGCTGCTGCTGTGGCGTGACGATGCGAGAAGATTGTAGATGGACGAGGTTGAGACGGTAGGACGGCGGCTCAGAGCGAAGAGGGAGGATCGAGGGCGAGCGAGGATGAGAGAAGGGGAAAGCACGCGGTGTAGGGAAAGCGGCGGAGGAAGGCGATTTCTTGTCAGTGTCGGGCTCTTGGTGATGTCGACGAAAAGTCTCCCGCCAACAGCTCTACACAAAGATCGCCAAGCCCGCCCTGATTGCTGAACCTCCTCCGCAGCCTGCCAATTCGTCCCGAGCACCCCCACCAATTGGACACGACAGCTCGACGCCAGAATATTTCGACCAGACGGGCACACGACACGCCAGCATGGATATCACCGCCTTCACCGTCGGTAACCGCGATGCTGCCCTGCTCATCGCCGACTACAACGCATACCGCAAGCAACTCTCGCGACAATTGCTCGCTCTGCGCAAGCGTTTGGGCCGCTCCACCAACAAGGGCCAGAAATACTCGAACAAGTCCACTGTCACCGCCCAAGATGTCGCCCAGAACCCCCAGTACGCCCAACTGCCTCTACACGCCATGTACTGCCCAGCTAACCCCTACAAAGAACTGCCCGTCTCTTGCTCCTCAGTTGCGAACGCGCCTGGGCCCATGCCATGCACATCAAGTCCATCCACTCCGAGGACAATCGGGGAAACGGCATCACTGGAACTACTCGTTCCCACATCATCTCACGCTTCCACAAGGCCGCCCGTCTCGCTCAAAACCTGACCGACATCTTGAAAGACCCAGAAGCCTCAAAAACAACCACCCAGGACCTGCTCGAAGCTGAAGCCTACCGAGCCTCCCTCTCCGGCGCCGAACACTTCGAGAAGCAGTCAGAGGGTCGCGTCAACACCGAGAACCCTGCAAGATGGGATCTGTGTTTGCGCGAGTATTCTACTGCCCGTGTCATCTATGCCACCATGCTCGCTCAAGGAAACAAGGACCTCTTCCGCGAAATCCTTGCCAGCGCTGTCGATCCTGCCATTCGTTATGCCGCTTACCAGGCTCGTCTTCCACGTTCGATTCCTGTCTCTACTGTTGCTCTGCGTTACTTCCCCAAAGACAATTCTACTCTCGTCGACCTGTTACAACAACTTGATCCTAATGCTCTCAGTGAGACCACTACCGAAACCAGTACGTCAGAGAAACCTATGGCCTTGCAAACTGAAGTTACTAATGATTCACTCTAGCTCCCCAAAACTTGGGCACAACCAACATCCCCAACACCATCAACTGGCGATCTATGACTGCCAACATTGTAGACGCTTCAATCGGCCAAGCTCTTGCTGCTGTCGCATCTGCCGAACCCGAACTAAGCTCATACCTGAAGTCGAATCCATCTGCTCCAACTAGAGACCGTGCTGGTGCCTACGATGATGTCCTTATTGCTAGCCAGGATGCCGCAGATGCCACTAGAAGAGCCATCGAGGAGTTGGAGAAAGAGAAGGTAGACGAGGGCGACAACAGAATGCAAGATTTGCGCGTCACCAGTCTTGCTGTCAACTACGCCCTTGTCAGCTGGCGTGTTGGTAGAAACCGTGTTCTGATTGGATCTGAAGATGGCAGACTGTTTGAGGAAAAGAAGGCCAAGTCCAGCAAACGCGCTCGTGATCAACACAAGTCAGAGCCCAGAGGAAGTCAGCTTGCTCGTCTGCGCGAAAGAGTGGTGCTCTACGACTCGACCATTCAAAGCATTGACTCGATCAAGGAGCTAAGAGGTGCGATGAGAGACGAAAGCTTTGTGCGCGAAGTGGATGGTAAACGTGCCTACTTCCAGGCTCTGAGATGCCTCAACATTGCCATTTCACATGCTCTCTTGTCTGAACATGTGAACGCTCTTGCTCTGCTGGCGCGCGCACTGGAGCTCGCACAGCAATGCTCGAGCTCATTACCATCGACTTCATCCGACTCTCACTCTGCGCCTACTCTCGACATCCACAAGTCTCAAGCCGATGCGCTTCAAAATCAACTTCAGCAACTCGTGTACAGACACCAAGCACTGGTGGATCTGCACAAGTTCCATGACAATGCATCCATCGCCGCAGCCAAGCACATGTCGACTGCTGCCCCTCTTGTCCAGCGTCTTAGCGACTTCCCCACACCGGGCGTCAATGTCAACCTCAAGAATCTGGTCACATATCCTCCCAAGATTGAACCGATTCCTGTAAAACCGTTGTTCTTCGATGTGGCATGGAACTACATCGACTACCCGACAATGGGCAAGCAAGTGGTCGAAGCAAAGGCAGCGGTAAACAACGTGATAGCCGAAGAGAAGCCCAAGGAAGAAAAGAAGAAGGGCTGGTTCGGATTTGGACGATGATCACTTTGAATGTTTCTTCACAAAAGCACGTAGATTAGTGTATATTTTGACGTCTAACGACGAGACAATGAGATGTGAAATTAATCTACTCGAAACTCGATGGTCGGCTTTGTCTTTGCGAATTTGGCGGCATGGGCGAGCGGGATAAGCTCGATTGTGGGCAGAAAAATGAAAGATGCGTCAGTCGGATTTAGGCTTTGCCTCTTGTTCGCATCGCTCTCTCAGTTTCGCACACCCACCTCGACGTGCGAGTTCTGATCCGTCGCCGTCACATGCTACCACCAGTCACACGACTTTACTGACCGTGCGACTGCCCATATTCTACCACTCCGCCGCCACACAACTTTTCGAGTCTCCCCACCGACACGACAAAATGGCGCCCAAGAAGAAGGGAAACAAGAAGGCCCAGCAGGACGACTGGGAGGCCGAGCTCGGCGAGACCATCGACCCCATAGCTCAGGCCGAGCAAGAGGCAAAGGCTCAGGAAGCTGCCAAGGATGCTGAGGAAGACGCTGCTCCCGCTGGTGGTTTGATGGCTGCCCTCAAGCGCAGACAGAACAAGAAGGGCAAGAAGGGCAAGCAACAGGACAACGACTGGGAAGCCGAGCTTGGTGAAGACCCTACCGCTGCAGATGGAACCTCTACTCCTCCCGTCGACCTCTCCGCCAAGGCTCCTGAGGAGGGCACCATGGACGACGAGGACCTTTACCCCGAACCCGCTAAGAAAGGAAAGGGTGGAAAGGGTGGCAAGCAGCAACCCGAGCCTGCAGAGGAAGACGATGATGACGAGCAGGACAACAGTGGTCGCGTCTTGACCAAGAAGGAGAAGGAAAAGCTCAAGAAGGAGCGCGAGAAGCAGAGAAAGAAGGAACAGGTGAGCTGCATTATGCTATGCTATGGACGCACAGAAGCTGATCTTTCTTCTTCTGAATAGGCCGCAGCCAAGAAGAAGGCAGGCGGTGCTGCACCTGCTGCACCCAAGCCCCAACCCATCAGAGATACTCCTTCGCCGAGCGCTGCCGAACCTGTCGCACCAGCTCCAGAGCCTGCTGCTGGTGGCAAGAAGAAGAAGCTTAACCCCGCTCTTGCTGCTCTGCAAAGACAACAGGCCGAGTTGAGGGCCAGAGAGGAAGAGGCTGCTCGCCTCGAAGCCGAGGAGCGTGCACGAGCTGAGGAAGAGGAGAAGCTGGCTGCTGAGGAAGCAAAGGCCAGAGAAGAGGCCAAGGCTCTCAAGAAGCAAAAGGAGAAGGAAAAGATCGAGCAGCTCAAGAAGGAGGGCAAGTACAAGACAAAGGCTCAAAAGGAAGCCGAGGCTCGCCAACAAGCTCGTCTCCAACAGATGCTTGAAAGTGGTGCCATTGTCGCTGGTATTTCCGGCGATGCGGACGACGCTAAGAAGGCACAGAAGGACAAGGATCGCAGAAAGAAGAACCCTCGCAAGGCTGCCGAAGAGCGTGCTGCTGCCGAGGCCGCAAAGGCTGAAGAGGAGGCTGCTCGCAAGAAGCTCGAGGAGTTGCGCATCGCTGAGGAACAAAAGAAGGCTGCCGAAGAGGCCGCCGAGAAGGCCAAGGCTGATGCTCTGGAGAAGAAGGCTGAAGACGCTGACGAGCTCGACGACTGGGAGGCCGAGGCTGAGAAGATGGAGAACGAGGGTGTCAAAGACAGCTGGGACGCCGAGTCAAGCGACGAGGAGGATGGAGCCTCCAAGACCGTCAAGCCTGTCGTCAATGGCAAGCCTGTCCAGGATGGTGCAGCCGGCAAGAAGGCCAACATCAAGGAAGAGTCCGAATCGGAATCTGATTCTGACTCTGATTCGGACTCGGACTCGTCTTCCGATGAAGAGAGTGCTAACGCCCGTGCCATTGCCCAGCGCAAGCGTGAGGCCGCTGAGAGACGTCAAAAGACTATTGCAGATGCTAGAGCTGCTGCTTCCAAGGACAACTTGCGCTCGCCCATTTGCTGTATTCTTGGTCACGTCGATACCGGAAAGACTAAGCTTCTGGACAAGATTCGTCAAACTAACGTTCAGGAGGGTGAAGCTGGTGGTATTACCCAGCAAATCGGTGCTACCTACTTCCCTGTCGAGGCTCTGGAGAAGAAGACTGCTGTCGTCAACGCTGATGGCGCTTTCAAGTTCAAGATTCCTGGTCTTTTGATCATTGATACTCCTGGTCACGAGTCTTTCACTAACCTCCGTTCCCGTGGTTCTTCGCTCTGTAACATTGCTATTCTGGTTGTCGATATTATGCACGGTCTTGAGCCTCAAACTCTCGAGTCCATGAGACTGCTCAGAGACCGCAAGACTCCTTTCATTGTCGCCCTCAACAAGATCGATCGTCTCTACGGCTGGAAGCAAATCGCCAACAACGGCTTCCGTGAGTCGCTTGCCATGCAGAACAAGGGCGTCCAGAACGAGTTCGCCGACAGACTCGAAAAGACCAAGATCGCCTTCGCCGAGCAAGGTTTCAACTCTGAGGTCTTCTACGAGAACAAGTCGATGGCCCGTAACGTCTCTCTCGTTCCCACTTCCGCTCACACTGGTGAGGGTATTCCCGACATGCTCAAGCTCATTACCCAGCTCACCCAGGAGAGAATGGCTGGCCAGCTCATGTACATCTCCGAAGTCGAGTGTACTGTTCTGGAAGTCAAGGTCATTGAGGGTCTCGGTACCACCATCGATGTTGTCCTTACCAACGGTCGTCTGAAGGAGGGTGATCGCATCGTGTTGTGTGGTACAGAAGGACCTATAGCCACCAACATCAGAGCTTTGCTCACACCTGCTGAGATGAAGGAGTTGCGTGTCAAGTCTGCATACGTTCACAACAAGGAGGTCAAGGCTGCATTGGGTGTCAAGATTACTGCCAACGGTCTTGAGAACGCCATCGCTGGTTCTCGCCTGCTCTTGGTCAAGGAGGATGACGATGAGGAGGAGCTCATGGACGATGTCATGTCCGATCTCGAGAACCTGCTCAGCAAGATCTCCACATCTGGACGTGGTGTCACTGTTCAGGCATCAACCCTTGGTTCGCTCGAGGCTCTGCTCGAGTTCTTGAAGCAGATGAAGATTCCTGTTGGTTCGATCTCGATCGGTAACGTTCACAGAAGAGATGTCATTACAGCATCAACCATGTTGGAGAAGCACAAACAATACGCCGTCATGCTCTGTTTCGATGTAAAGGTCGACAAGGAAGCCCAAGCCTACGCCGACGAGGTTGGTGTCAAGATCTTCACAGCAGACATCATTTACCATCTGTTCGATCAATTCACCAAGCACATGGCCGAGATTGCCGCACAAAAGAAGGAAGAGTCCAAGATGTTGGCCGTCTTCCCCTGCATCCTCAACCCCATCCAAGTCTTCAACAAGACCAATCCCATCGTCGTTGGTGTGGACGTCGCCGAGGGCGCTCTGCGCGTAAACACACCCATCGCAGCCATCAGAACCAACCCGGTCACCAACGCAAAGGAGATCATCCCCATGGGCCGCGTCACCTCGATCGAGCGCGAGCACAAGCAAATCCCCCTCTGCAAAAAGGGACAACCCGCCGTCGCCGTCAAGATCGAAGGCAACAACCAACCCACCTATGGCCGTCAACTCGAAGACAAGATGACTCTGTACTCACACATCAGCAGAGCTTCCATCGACACGCTCAAGGAGTTCTACCGTGATGAGGTTACCAAGGATGAGTGGAACCTCATTGCCAAGCACCTCAAGGGCTTGTTTGATGTTGTGTAGAGAAAAAGCACATGATGATGCACAAAAAGTTGATTACTAAATGGAATGGTGTTTCTATCTTTTGTGTAGCTTAGGCAATGAAGAATTTTTTTGCATGTTCATACTTCGATCCTCCGTTAATCCCAGACGAGACATCCTTAGCGTACCTAGGCCGTCTTATTTTCCTACCCTCCAAGCGTCCCAATCAATCTTGCCCCATATCAGATCCACAAGCCCATTCAATGTTAACCCTCCTTCAAGCAGTATCATAAACGGCACATCAACCTTCAACTCCCTCCAAGCCCAACTCCTCAATTCTGCAACAATCATACTGTCCATTCCAAATTCTGACAGAAGACGATTTGAGGAAGAGTTTAATTTCTCTACGCTCACCATGGTGAGTTTGGAGAAGTGGGCAAAAATGAGAGAGGTGAGGGTTTTGCGGATAGAGTCGTTGTCGTTGGTGGCTAACGCTGTGCGAAGAATGGAGGCTGTGGTTGTTGCCGAATGTGCAGAGGAAGTTTCATTCCCAGTCTTCGCAATGGCGACAGCGATATCTTCGAAACGAGGATCGCTAAGCCATGATGGTAGAGCGCCAGAGTCTGCTATCTTGCTTGGTTCCATACCCGTGACCATATGCGCGACACTCAAAGGATCATGTTCAGATAGAGGAGTGATGGTGCCTCGAGGTCTACACGCCATTTCCATCATCCTTAGGAAGTCGTCTTCCGGGATGCCATAGACATTTCTCTGCTTAAAGGCTTCTTTGACTTCCGGATGGGTTTCTACGTGTCCGATGCCGGTGATCATGCCGAGAGCAATTGAACATGCTTCTAGACCAAGACTCCAACGGTGTCGTGCCATAGAATCCAAGAAGGCATTTGCAGCAGCATAATTACTCTGAGTTGAGGCGCCTGCGACTCCAAGTGTCGAACTCGTCATTACGAAGAAGTCGAGCGGCTCATGCAGTAGTGCTTCGTGTAGATTTATCGTGCCTTGGACTTTAGGAGCTAATACTTTGTGCCAATCTTCTGCTGACATGTCCTCAAAAAGATTGCTCTGCGTCAATAGTTAGCATTTGCACTCAGGTTAGGCAACAAGACACTTACCGTGAGTGCCATTGCCAGTTGCATCACCCCTCTGATTGGTGTCTTTGCTTGTTTGATCGCATTTTCCACGTCTGAGCGAATGCTCACGTCGCCTCTCACAACAACTGAAATGGCTTCAAGCTTGATTAACTCGCCAACGAACTGTGCTGCTTCGGATTTGTCTGTCCCTGATCTCGAAAGGAAGATAAAGTGCCTTGCGCCACGAGAAAACATCCATCTGACAAGACTTTGGCCCAAGCCACCAAGACAACCCACAAGTAGGTATGAGTATTCGGAGCTGAACAAGACCGGTCGGTAGGGTTCATGGATTGGAACACTGTGTTGTTCATAGGTAAGAACAACATCAGTCATCGTTTTGCTATGAGCTATCGCAGCGACTGCAGCTGGAAGCTCCGAGATATCGAAAGTTGCGCTAGGGCTAAGTCTTGGGAGCGTACCGTCTCGCAACAGGTTCAGAACTGAACGAACAAGCTTGTGCATCTGCTCCGGCTGGGTTTCGAGCATATCGTATGCATTGGTAGAAGTGATTGAGACACCCTTCATGAAAACTGAAGGATCTAAGGAGCCGAGATTGGGCATTTCCGAGCTTTCCAGAATGTACGTGAGACGACCGTTTCTTGCAAGAGATCGCCATATCTCTGTCATGTCCGAATTGGTTGGACTGACCAACGCCACGCTCACTCCTTGGATGCTTGTCAAGGCTGACAGCTTTCTTGCGAATCCTGAGCTAGTTGTAAATTGCGCATTGATGTCTGGAAATCGTTGTTTGAATACTGCTATGTCTGTTTCTGAATCAAGCAATAACACGACTGTGGATCCATATGCTTGCGAGATACGTATTGCGGCCAGCGCCAGAATTTTCGATAGACCGTGGATCAATACAGTTTGTCCCTGAGCGAGATGACCAAGGGCGTGGAGAGCTGTGCAATAAGGCAGTAATGAAGTCACCATGTCTCCGCTGTCTTCTCCAGGATGCAGTAATTCGCATGCAGTCTCGCTTACAATGACAGAGCTGTCAAACCTGCTCGGAGAGCAACAGATGACACGGTCGCCTGCTTTGAATGCTCCAGCTTGAGGTCCAAGATGTTCTACTACCGCAACAACTACGTTGCTGAAGTGATCCGCAACCTCAGCACCTCTGAGTACTGAAGCCTCACGTTGGCCAAGAGCGTAGGCTATCGGCCTGAGCTTGACCTCGTTAGATGTGAGAACTGGTGCCACAGATTTTTCGGTGAAGAAGAAGCTCTCCATACGGCCCACTTGCTGGAAAGCCAATTCTAGATTATCTTTGATGTGACACAGCTGTGGATCAGGCTTGAGCTGACGCATGAAATCATGATTGGCATGTTCGTCAAGTATGTAACGACTTGCATATACGAGACTATCGCAAATGATGAATTGATCATCAAGACTGCGGTCATCGTCTTTGAAAAGGCGTGTCTCATGCTGGAGAATCAGTTTGGCCAAGACCATAACGTCAGTATCATCAGGGTCAATATCGATACTCGAAAGTCGAAGAGATGGTTGCGCTTTCGTGATGGACTTGATTGTGCCAGGGAACAACGAGTATTGAGGCTTCTTGCCTCCGAATAGCCCGCCTGGAGTGACCCACAGCATGGATGATGCTCGATTGAACAGTGTTTTTATCACATCCATCTCCTTGCTGGTCATGCTGATAAGGATTGGATCTTCGAGTTCAGCCAGCATCATGATTCGAGAGCCTTTGGGGATGTTGGCTTCTACTGCCGAAGTTGGGATGCTTTCGTAGTCAATATGGCAGTCGCTTGCATAGGTTTCGATCGCTTTCAGAAGAGAGCTACTACAACTCTTGTAAACAAGCCAGAGTTTGGGTGCTTGCACATTGCGAAGATCACCGATGTTTCGGGTAAGATTGAGGAGAGCATGATCATCTGCGATTGGTTGCCAGATGAGTCTCGTGAACGGTTCGCGAAATTGTTCGACTTTTTGGTTAGCGAAATCTCCTTCTAGGGACATCAAGGACACTGTCATCTGCGCAAGCAGGTGTCCGTCTAGAGTAGTAAGCTCTGACGATCCACGGACTGAACGCATGCCTTGGCAAGAACCGTGGCCAAACAGTAGGCCTTCGGTTGGCAGATGTTGCAAGTCAGGGTCTCGCCAGATCGTCAAATTTTCGATGGTAGTTGGCAGGTATGCCTTTGAGATGCCTTTGACATTGCCTTTGCAAGCTGCAATGACCGAGAGTTGTATGCAGCCGTCAAGAGTAGCAGGATGAATCTCGTAGCGAGACTCATCGGTCATAACTCCTTGGCTTGGTTGGAGATTTATCTGTGCGGTCGCAGCTTCCTTCGGACTCGCACTAGGTTGGATGTTTTTCAGTGGACGGAAGGCGGGGCCATAGTGCAATCCAATTCCAGAAAGCGCGGTGTACCACTTGTCATCGCTCTTTCCTATGTCTTCAGCACATGAGATGTTCTTAACGTTTCCATTTCGAATGCTTGGCACTTCATTCGATGGATGCAGAACTATCTTCCCAAAAGCGTGCTCAATCCATCTGTCGTCTGCGCTAATCGAACTCAAGCTGAATTCGAGCACTTTACGATCGACTTGCGAAGTGGAGCCATGGATGGTGTGTAGGTCAAACAAAGTCTCAGCTTCTCCATCTGGCGGAAGGACAAGAGGTGCTTTGATGTTTAGATGCTGAATCGTAATACCCTCAACCAGTGTCTTCAGAGATTCCCCAAATTGTGTCACGGCTTCGATTGCCATGGCACAATATCCAGCTGCTGGGAAGAGCACGTCGGTGCCAACGCGGTGATCAGAGAGCCATGGCACATCCTTGATGCTCAGCCTGTTACGCCATGTCGGATTGAATGCGGAAGAGGGCACAACAAGGGTGCCCAGCAGATCATGACGTGCATGTTCTCTGAATCGTACTTGTCGACTCAATCTATTCTCTGTCCACAAAAGGCCTTCCTCATAGCTCCATTGATAAGTTGGCAGCTCGGGCACAAAGCACCCTGGTCCATTGATAGCTGTCAGATCGACCGGATAACCAGTAGTCCAGAGCTCTCCGGCGAGTTTGAGGACGTTTTCAACGTTATCTTCACTGCGTACGATGCTAGGCAGATAACAGAGTTCTTCTGGCTTTATGCCTAGAGAAGACCTGATCTGTTTGATGGGCCCAGCGAGAGCACAATGCATTCCTACTTCTATCAAACAATTGACTGTAGGTTGGGCCTCAATCAAAGCTGACAAAGCCTGTGTGAAGTTGACTGGGTTCTCCAGATTCTGTCGCCAATAAGCTATACGAACATCGTCGGGGCTATCGAGTACCCGTCCATTTATGCATGAATACATAGGGATGTTTGATTTCTCCACTGCCGGCTTCGAAGCCGTGAGGGAAGCCTTGAATGAGTCCTCATAATATTGACCTGCTTCTTTGACAAGATGCGAATGGTATGCGTTCTGTGAAGTATTCAGGATACGTGCGAAGATCCCTGCCTCGCAAAGACTTGTGTGGACTGTAGCAATCGCAGCTGCTTCACCACTAAGAGTCACACTTTGTGGAGAGTTTTGACAGGCAATGACGACACCAGGCTGATCATGGATATAAGACAAAACCTCTCCTGGACCAAGTCCAACAGCCATCATCGCTCCTGGCTTGCCATACTTATTGACCGCGATACCACGATAGTAAGCAACCGAAATGGCTTCGGGCGGCGTGAGCAATCCTGCCGCAAATGCTGCTGCCACTTCGCCAGAACTGTGTCCCACCACAGCCTTGGCTGAAATGCCCCAAGACTGAAGTAGAACTGTCAGAGCAATTTGCAGCGCTGTACTCAAAGGTTGAGCAAGGGCTGTCTCGTGCATACGACTAGCTCCGACGGGCTTGGACAGTTCTTCAACTAGTCGCCACTCGGGCGGCATGGGAAGTGCATCTAATGCACGTTGAAGAGTCGACATGGTTTCGCGTACGATTGGATACTGTTGTACCAATCCATAGCCCATGCCCGGCCACTGTGCACCCTGCCCGGTGAAGACAAATGCTATGACCAATGGTTCGGTAACCATTATGGAAGGATGTTGTATCTTTTCTAGTACAAGCTTTGATTTAACGTCTGGCTCGGTGACAGTCGTAAACGCTGTACAACGATGTCTTGACCTCTTTCGAGCTAGTGTATAGGCGATGTCTGCTGCAGAGTACTTGTCGGCTACAGCTGCCAGTGCATCAGTATTCCTGTCAAGGGCGTGCGGATCATGAGCTGTTAAAGCGAATAAATATCTCTTTGGAGTTCGTCTGATCTGGAAAGTGGAGATTCCTGTCGTCTCACAAACGGTCGATTCGCCATGAAATCCATTCGAAATATTTTGCGAGACCTCACGACTGTCTCGGGACCCAAGAAGTATGCGAGGAGATTCAACAATGCAGTGCGCATTTGAACCTCCGTAACCGAAAGAGTTGATGCTCACGCGTTTGCACATCTTCTCTGACCACCGCGTTGTGGCTCTGGCAACTTCAAGACGTCCATTCTTAAAATCGATAGCTGGGTTGAGCCTTTCCACTCCGACCGTTGCTGGTATGAGATCGTTCTCGATGCTCAATACTGCTTTAATGATGCTTGCAAGACCACTTGCGCCTTCGGTATGACCTATGTTGGTCTTTATGGAACCGAGGAGAAGAGGATTATCAGGCGTTCTACCAGGAGCGAAAACGTCCCCAGCTGCTAGTACTTCGATTGGATCGCCTACCGGAGTTCCAGTGCCGTGACACTCGAACCAACCTGTATCCTCGTACCTCAAGTTTGCTTTGGCATAGGCCTCTCGAATGACGGCTTCTTGATCCTTTGAGCTGGGGTGATTTATGCCCTGGCTTTTTCCGCTACTGTTCACAGCAGTGGCTCGAATTACGGCACGGATTGGATCATTGTTCGCTATGGCTGCTGAAAGTGTTTTGATGTAGATCGCGCATACACCTTCACCTCGTCCAAAACCATCGGCACGCTCATCAAAAGTGTGGCATATTGATGTTGGAGACAGGACTCCAAGCCTTACACTGGCGATGTGCTGCCCAATATCATTTATGATGCTCGAGCCCGCTACGACTGCGGCATGCGATTCTGTCGAGATAAGACTCTGACAGGCAAGGTGAAGAGCGTATAGCGAAGATGAACATGCTGTATCAACCGTCATGCTTGGTCCTTTGAGATCAAAAACGTAGTTGATCCTGTTGCTCAAGATAGTCATGTCACTACCGGTCATCTCGTAAGGTACTCCATATTCAAGGTCTCTGGAGGCCATAGATCGCATGTCGTTGGTGAAACAACCGACAAAGCAAGATGTCTTCGAGCCCGAAAGTTCCTCGAGAGTAGCACCGGCATTTTCAAAGCTCTCATATACGACTTCGAGTAGCTTGCGTTGTTGCGGGTCCATTGCAGAGGCTTCAAGTGGTGAGATTCCAAAAAAGGAAGGATCGAATTGGCGCAGCTGTTCATCGTGGCTCAGGAAGTATCCTCCACGAGTATGTATACTGCCTGGTCGACTGCTGCTGGGGTGGTACCATGCACTCAAATCAAACCGATTCTTGGGAAATTCTGACCATGCAGATCTTCCGTCTCTCAGTAGATTCTCCCAAAGTTTGGAGGGGGAGTAGGATTCTCCAGGAAAGCGACAGCCTTTGCTCCGCGTTACTCGCTGAGTTCAGTACAGAATTTTGGTGATCTTACCCATTCCAATGATCGCAATGGGCTCGTAGCTACCTGTCGGAGGCTGATCGAAGACGGTTCCATTCTTCATGTGGTTCGCAAATCAGATGGACAACGTGGTCACTTTCGTGGTGAAAGACAAGCAGTGAGGGCGTCGGGCCTCGTGTCTAAAAACATACCGGGCACCTTCGTGGACCTGTGCGCAGGAGTCAAGTTCTAAAGTTCTCGCTTATGTATGCTGACACAGCGAAGTCTGGTCATCGCAGTTCATAAAAGCATCCTTTTGTTTTCGAAGGATCAAGGCTGCAGTGTTAGCAGCAAGGTCCGTCGCAGCAGGTGTTGGTCTGTGCACAGATTCTCGAGAGCGGCGCCTATTGTTATCACCTGCAATATCGTACTTCTGTGATCTGAGGTTGCATACTCTGCCTTCGACTATTGTTGACCATCTACAAGAAACCAAGTTGCAGATTATCGAAATACCCGGCTGGTGACTTCCTGCAATGAACATTCGGCCTGCCTCGTTGCGGCTTGACTTCAACCAATGCTGGCAGCATCCTTCTGCCTCGGTTTACTAGTTTGTTGTCAGGACAAACACCTGCCAAAATCATTGAGATTCTGTCTCTGCCTCAATTGGTCTTGTGGCAAGTTTCGACATCGCTCTTTGCCTCAGTTCATGTCGCAAGATCTTTCCGCTGTGACTTCTTGGGATTGAGTCCACGAACTCCACTCCACCACCCAGCGCCTTGAAGCTGGCTAGTCGATCTTGAACAAATCTCATGACCTCCAGGTCGTCTACGCTGACAGGTTCTTCCTTGTTGATCACCACGTATGCGCGAGGAAGCTCGTCTACAGGGTCTGTGCCAGACCGGCTGACACCAATCACGGCAGCGTCAATAATCGATGGATGCATCAAGAGGACGTCTTCAATCTCGTTGGGCGAGACTTGCCACCCACGCACTTTGATGAGTTCCTAGAGTTGGTCAGCTACCATAAAGACTTGTAGATTCCGCAAAACATCAACCTTGATCCGGCCTACAATATAGACCTTATCGTTTTTTACGTATCCAAAGTCGCCAGTCTTGAGCCAGCCGCTACGAAGAGTCTCTACGGTACCGGTTGGGCAGTCTGAGTATTCGTTCATCATTGAGGGTCCACGGATCTCAAGTTCACCCTGGACGCCTGCGTCAACAACTTCGAAGCCTTGCTTGTCGATGACTCTGGAGGGCTGTCAGTGGCTGTATAATATACCGCGCGATGCGACATGCCTTGCTTCCGTGTTCGGTAGCAGCTTGCCAACGCTACCGTCATCTTTCTCACACCATTCAGAGGAAGTTATGCGCCCAAATTCTGTCATGCCCCAGACTTGAGAGATCACCGCGTCTCCATGCAAGAGCTCATACATGGCTTTGCTCAATCTTGGAGACAACGAAGATCCAGCACACCATATTCGTCTCAGACGTTTCAGCATGTTTGGCGGTATTCGCTGTCTGACGATGCTTGCCAGCATGGCAGGTACGACAGCAGTCTCCGTGACTTTGGAACGGTTCAACGCTTGTATGAAGCCTTCGGCATTGAATCTACGCATGACATAGGTAGGTTTGTCATAGTGAAAAGCAGATATTTGTACGAATGAGGCACCGAAAGAGTGAAACAACGGCAAGGAAATAAGTCTTGAAATCTCGTATGGCCTCTTCTCTGAAGATCGCATGGCAACTCCTGCGGCAACCAGAGCATAATGCGAGGTAGCTGCTGCCTTCGGCAGGCCTGTTGTACCACTGGTTAGTTGCAGTACAGCGATTGTCGATTTGGCTGCCATTTCATTGCTAATCCGAATCCAGTCATGCTCGCCATGTTGAAGCAAACTTTTCCAGCATTTGAAGCTATCCTGAGTGCATGTCTGAGGCTCGGTATCGAGGACGAGTATTTTTGAGGTAGGTATACAAGTTCCGACCGCAGGCAATACAATCTCCACAAGACTAGCTTCTACGAGGAGAAATCTAGGTTTTGTGATTGACAACAAATGCCTGATCTCGAGACTTTTGTAAGCAGGGTTAGATCCAACAAATGTACCACCTGCACCGATGATACCGAAATAGAGTAGTGGATAAAGAATCTAGCAGGAGCTCAGTGGTAATCCCAAGTCGCATGTTGGCGAACTGACAGAATTGAATGCATGCACGCAGACAGTATCTCCTGCTTCTAAGCCAGCCATTCTGAAACCAGCAATAAGTTTTCGTATCAACGAAACTGCTTGTCGAGTGTTCAATCTGTTTCCGTGATTGGCAGCGTCAATCAGAATCTGTACGACATAAGCTCGTTGTTTCTTCGATCGAACAGAACAACAGCGTACATCTATCTCAGGATCCACGCCATTGTTCTCGAAAATCCAGGAAAGCAAGTCCACAGGTGGCACCTCACGGTATTCGCTGGGTCGATATACCATGATCAACGCTCCCCGAGTGCTAGGAAAGAGAGAAGAGTATGCAGTAATCATGCAAGGCGATATGTTTTTGAGGCATTGCTAACTGCCAAGTACGCCACAAGCGCCACTAGAGACGTGGTATGCAACCAGCGTTATGGTGATCCTGCAGAGCAGATGGCTAGACGCGAGATGCAGTATAGCGATATTTGAGGGAACAGGTTATGACTAGCCACTTGCTTCAGACAACGACGAATAATTCCCGAGGTCTCCGTGAGCTGACATCAAACTACTCATCACTCGAAACCGGTAGCCAAAACTTGTGCCTTAACCATACCTGTGGATGTCGATGAAACAAATACTCTCGATCCATAACATAATTCTGGCCGTGTGAAGCAACAAGTCAACGAGCATTGTGCAAGGTGCAACATTTGCATGTGATTAGTTCTTCACATTGTTGATGGCAGTCCAATAGCCAGTGTTCGTGGCTTTAATCAAACAACAAGGCCATACTCTTCGTGTTCGGAATCGAAGGGAATGGCCGCCTTGAGCTTACCTGCGACGTCTTTCTCAAACTCCTTGTTGACACTCGAAGCGGCGCGGGAATATCAAGGCGTCAACATCAAACCCGGCATACGAGAGCTATTCTTGCCATATTCGCGACACGCGATAACGTGGCGAGAAACGCTCGAGACAGTCGTCGTAAGCACACTTGCCAACGTAAGTCAAACACGAGCTTTAGGCAGCACAGAACGGCCAGGAAGACTCCTGAACGTTGTGGTCAAGCACTGTGTTCTCGCTCCGCAACAGCTGGCATCTTACTATGCACCTTCCACGTCCGAGCGAGGTGTTGGTCGCACGACAAGAGATTTTGGCACAGCACATTCAACTTGCTGATGCTGTTTTTTCCTGTTCATGACAGCGAAATTGGACATCGTCCAAGTAATGATCTTGGTGTATGACGAAGGTTCGGGAGTCGAAGCAATTTGTTCTTGATTGATGACTGGGAAGGGCCGCAAGGATCACAGTTGACCAAGTTGTCAAGTGCCGGCAATGCGTCAGCTTAAGGCGAATCTGACAGCTGCTGCTGCTGCTGCTGCGGTTGTTGCTGCCCCATCGAATTTTGTTGAGGACCTCGTATTATTGATATATTGCTTTGTGCAGCCGCTGACGAGAGGACTTCGGCGTATGCGGTGTTGGTCGACGATGATCGCGTGCCCGCGGCGTCAAAAACTCGAAGGATGCGATGGGGATGTGTAAAAGCTGCAGAGGGTTCCGTGCCCTCACGTGGAATGGTGCAACTCCACCCAGCGTGGCGTCATGGATGACGAATAAATGCGAAGATGGTAGCGAAAGCCGAAAGTGGCTTAAACACCAGCTATGGCCATTTTGCTTGGTGCCTGCTGATCCTCGATGACAGTGACAGCTTGGTACACTATGATCGTCTGTTTGTGTCTCGGAAAAAGTTAGCAGGTCAAGTAAACAAATGAAAAAAGTTTTGAGATTTGGGACAATTGGCAAGGAGTGCAAATGCATGAGATCTGATGTCTCAATGTGGATTTGATGTATCAAAGAAAAGTCGTGAAATCCTAAAAGATCCCAGATGGCATCTTTTGGTCGTCGAAGAAGCTACATGAGAAGGAAATTCGTTCTTGTCTTGATTGGCAGCTCGTACATGCCGACCAGCCAGTCAGACAGCCGTGACTTGTCGTAACATTTTGTCCATGTGGTAGCCCCAATCTTTTTTGTCTCCCAACGACCATCAGCGCCAAAACCGGTGTTCACCTTCGCAAAGGGAAGCACAGAAAAGAAAAGAAAAACCCAACCAGCCGATAGTCCTCGAAAGAACCCAGCGCGTGAAATGAAGAATAATCGCCAAACCGTGAGAGCATTGAAATGCATCTCACATCCACCAAAGAATGTTCATTCAGAAGATCAAAAAAAGAGGGCGAACACGTAGAACACGAGGCTTATGCTCAATGTCCTACATGATCGAAAGAAGAGGATTGTCGTAAAATCAGATCCAAATCAAACATCGTGGCATACAAGCACCCGAATGTCAACATCCAGGGTACTCGTTCAGGACATTGCTGCTCTAGTTGCCGTGAGGGTGGCGGCGGTGCTGGTGGCCATCGCGCTTGACAGGACGGCCCCAGTGGTGGCCATCCCAGTAGGTGGTGTAAGCAGTCTGGGTGACGGTCACAACAGCACCGTTGCTAGAGGTGGTGGCAGCCGAGGTAATGACAGAGGTCTGGAGAGTGGTGGCAGAAGCGCCGACGGTGCTGGGAGCGGCAACAGTGGTCGAGAAAGTGGAGTGGCTGGAGGTAGACTCGACTGCGACGGAAGAGGATGCAGACGAAGCAGCGCTGTCATTGTCGTCATCGCCAGAGCAGAGAGTGACAGTGATGGTAGCGTCAGAAGGGCAAGCCTGCATGCCGTAGGCATCGTCAGTGGCGTAGCGGTAAGCCTGCTGCTTGGGAGTGCAGGAAGCAGTGTTGGAAGTGATCTCCCAGTCTCCGTCCCAGGGGTTGCCGTTAACCTCGCTCAGGTCGTACCAGATAGTTCCATCGTTCTGGAAGGTGTACTCGTACTGGAGAATGTTGGTAAGGGAAGTGCTGTTGGAGAGCTTGATGGACCAGCCGTTGCCGTTGGAGAGCTCGGTCCACTGCTGGGTGTAGCTGTCGGAAGGAGACAGAGTCTTGTCGACCTCAGAGTAACCACCATCGGCAGAGGGAACGTTGGCCAGAGTAACATCGTAGCTGCACTTGTTGACAACAACAGCGCTTCCAACAGACTGGGCAGCAGCGGCGGCCACCAGGGCGGCAGTAGCGTAAACAGAGTTCTTCATTTTGATAACTGGGGTGTTTTCCTGTTGCTTTCAAGGACTGTCGAAAAGTCGAGATTCAGTTGAAACTTTGTTGGTAGAGACTGATGTGGCGAGCAGTGAAAGAGTGAACTGCACAGCAGCGTTGCTAACCAGAGCAATTGGTAAGTGATTGACAGCGGTGGTACAGAAAAGAGCGGGATTTGAGTAGGGACTCGCGGTCCTTATGTATGCTGCGTGTCCAGCCAGAGGCTACACGCCCGACAGAAGGTTGAAAAATACTGAGCCGTCCCATGTGGAGCATGGAGGTTGGACTCACCATGTGCTTTTTCACGCGCGAAACCCCATCGAGGCATAGTGGCCGAAGGACTGATCAATCACAGCAGCCAGCGAGGTGACCGAGACAGACCTTGTCCTGGTGGGGGGTGCGGAAAGTTGATGCTACGGACCACTCGGTCCAGGTACCCGGTCTTCCTGGCGCTGTCATTCGTGCGCCGTTTCAGGCACACCCGGGACTTGTTCCTTAACCATTCGCTGGTTCAGCGGCTGATGAACGGTGCCATGCTGCAAAGCCTCGATCTTAGTCCCAAAAGCCTTGCGTGCGAGTTACGTGGGGCTTTCTGGCTTGGATGGCTGGCTTGGTCAGCTCAACACGAGTTGTTCATGCACCAATTTATGCGCCCAGGAAGCATTGGCGTTCCTATGTGATCATTAAAGGAAGACGAGCGCTGCAACATCTCATGAAGAGACCCAAATCTCAACGCGGCAGAGAACACAAGCATATGCAAGACACTTAGGGCAAAAAGAAAGCTTACAGAAAATCCAAAATCCAGACGCTAAAGCGGAAGCAGAAATCGAACCAAAAGTCTCTTGTTTTCGCGGACGCTGATTGGGTTGAAGCTCTGGAAGAATTTTTTTCACAGCTCTAGATTTTTGTGCCATCGCACCGAGTTCTGTGTCCATCTCCCGGCGCGTTGGATGTGGCCCACTGGCGTTCAATAGCGCTTGCGATTTTCGTGGGTGAAGGCACTGACTGGTTTGCGACGTGGAGACTCTGTCGCCGAAAAGACCGAGCACACTCAAGTCTGACTCTCGTGGGCCGACGGCCATGGGTCCACTCAACCACCTTGACCTTGGCGCTTGCGATCGAGGTGTGGTTCCGTATCGTCCGCGGACTGCCTGCAGACACGGCAGAAGCGAGGGAATGTTACTCCGCTTGTGAAAGCAAGCATCCTCAGAGAGGAAAAGACTCTGAGTTGAGAACTTTACAGGTCCGACAGCGCGAACTCGTCACACTTGCATACGCAGTATCGTATTCTGAGTTGCTTGTCGTTTTCTCGGCTTTCCTGTGACTCGTGGCATCGCAGACTTGTCATCACGGAAGCATGCAGAACGACGTCTGCCGTGAGAATGCAATACGACTGCCATCGTGGGGCACGTCGTTACTGCTAGACACCCACGAGGCGCAGTCGACGGACGAGTGCGGTTGGCTATTGGCGTGAAGGTAGAATGGTGAAGTGGAGAGGTTGTTACAAATTCCAATTGGCTTCATGCCTCAACCATCGAATGGCTTCGAGACTGGCAATGCATTGAGACTGAAAATATACAGGCAATAGAGACGATAAACCAGTCTTGTGCAATGTCTCAGGCACAATTGACCAGAGCGTTCCAGTGTAACAAGACCTTTCCTTACCCGGTCAACGATTGTATGCAAGTCAGGAAGGTGCAATCACTGCTGCACATTGCCGAATCTGACAAGTCCCATCAAAGCGGGGCTTCCAGCCTCTTGACAAGAATTTCAATCTCTTCAAGCAGAAGTCTATCTGGCAACAACTCAGAGCATCTTCTCATTATCCATCCACCCACTTAACGTTTGTCTCGCATCGGGCGCTTCCAGGCTGGAAGTTCCAGCCTCGGTTAACATACCCCACCACACCTTCTGCGCATTTTGCAAGTCGCAAGTTCACTCTGTTCAAGGGTGTGAAGGCAGACAACGTGGCATGCAGATGGGAATAATTCGGTCGGTACCTGGTCCAGGGACAAGTACGATCAGTCGGTACCTTTGCAGGGCACGACCCGAGGCGACCCTCAACGTGATGCTGTCAAAATGTCCCCACGCCCTTGTAGCCTTGCTACGACTCCTGCAGTGTACTCTTCCTGAGTACCAGGGTAATTCTGATAATCGTCAAAATCGCACAGAAGACTGTTGAGGGTCGAGTCAGCCTACTGTGTTGACCACAATCGAAGAAGGTGCCAACAACCAGCCACATATGCAAAGACGGGATCTTATCGAAGTTCATCGTGTATGAATCTTGGTCAAGAGGAACAGTCGTCAGCCTTCTGCGTCTGTATCGCTGAACTGCCCAGCCATGGCGAAAAGAAGAACCCTCAACCTTCCAGCCTCCAACCTTCCCGGTGACATGCGTGCTTGTAACCAGCGAGGCGCGTCAGTACCCGGGATGTCAACGGCTCCCCTGTCTGTTGCAGCATGTCGTCTGAGAAGCCTTCGAACATGCAGATACTTGGGCTGATCTCGAAACATGTCCCAGAGCATGGCGTGCTTCCGAAACACAACGGTAATGTGCTACACAGGGACATGTTCCGTCTCTAGGCGCGGTTGTCAGTGTTCGGAGTCCGACGAAAATGATCGACGAGGACATTCATGCATGCACCGTGACCCTGTACAAACACAGAGGAAGAAGGGATCAACATAAAGATGCTTTACAACAGCGGTATCTACAAGGGGACCCTGTTCTCCAATGCTGTCCTATGTTTGCCAATGAGATCGCCTTTACCATGCCATTCTGGCAAGGATACTTTTGGGATACTTTCTCACCAGAAGTTTCCTTGTCTCGTCGAACAGCAGGAGGCCCATTCCGAAAGCAAATGGCAGGAACCAGTACTCGACTGGTACTATTGCAGTGCCAAGAACGCTGTGGAACTTGGGCACATACAGGAAGAAAATGGCAATGATCATCGCGAAGATGATGGCAGGTAAGAGATACGGGTTCTTCCAAGGCGCATGATTGAGGAGTGACAGTCGACGGGTACGCACACTCATCAAGTTGAACCATTGCCTTGAAGCGAGTTAGCTTGCTGCTTCATGAAGAATGCGATGCTCACTTACATTACAACCAAATTCACGAAGTAGATCGACGAGGCGATGTTGAGGATATTGGTGTAGGTATCCTCATCCATGCCATCGGGTGTCTTACCGAATCCGAACCACAGATCTGAGAAGAACAACCCTTTACGCTGAGCGAACCAATAGCTCACTGTGAACGAGAGGGCTGTCTCAAACAGACCAATAAAGCCATACGAATGCAATATCAGCTTCCAATCCACCAGTCTGTCTTTCTTGGATCGAGGAGGACGGTTGAGCACGTCAGCTTCAGGAGCTTCGTATGCAAGAGCAACACCAGCGGCGCAATCTGTAAAGCAGCAGATAATAATCATGAGGAAGGATGAGAGAATCTGTGGCAGACCAAAGACGACATTCGTCAAAACTGGCCAGAACTCAGAGAAAGAGCCTGCAGGCAGCAGGTAGGAAATCGTCTTGCGGAGGTTGTCGTAAGCCACACGACCGTACTTGACAGCCTCTACGATGGCCGCGAATGAGTCTAGGAGAACAAGGTCGGCTGCTTCGATGGCAATGGTTGAACCAGAGCCCATGGCGATACCAACATCCGCAGCTTTGAGCGACGGCGCATCGTTGACACCATCACCAGTCATGGCTGTGATCAAGCCTCTCTGCTGCAAATTTTTGACGATAACAAGTTTGTCTTCGGGGATACAGCGAGCAAATACCGCTTCTTGATACTGGCAAAGTCGGTCCCATTGCTCTTCTTCAAGGCTTCGTATCTCTGATCCACTGAGTACGATCGATTTCGATGCATTACTGAAAGTAGCATATCCTTCCTTTGATACGTTAGATTCGTGCAAGCTGCTGTCATAGTCCAGAGCATGAATATCATCGGCCTCCTGGCTGATGATACCACACTCAGAAGCGATGGCTTTGGCAGTGAGCTTGAAGTCTCCAGTGACCATGAAGATGCGAATACCGGCACCCTTCAAAGTTTTGACCACTTCGGTCATTTCTGGCCTGGGAGGATCAACAATGGCGACAAGACCAACAAGAGTCATACCAGAGGCAACATTCGCCATGATGTATTCCTCGTAGTACTGCGGTTGCTCTTGTGGGTTGAGCTTCACTTGACTCAATGGTTTCTGAGCAAGCAGGAGTACACGCTTGCCCTGAGATGACCACCTGTTCTTGATGGTCTCTATCACTGATCGGCCTTCATTACCAAGCTCTTGTATATCGCCATTTTGGTCCATGTACGTGGAGCACTTGCCAATGAGCACGTCCGGAGCTCCTTTGATGGTTAAAAGAGTACCTTGCTGAGGATCACTTTCGTTCTGGCAGACGTTGACCATGAACTTGTTCTTCGAATTGAAGTCGATGCGGTAGATCGTACGCCACAGACTGCGGAGTCTTACTGTGGGCATGATATTCTCAGCGAACATAAGCACTGCTCTGTCCGTGGCGTCTCCGTGAACCTTGCGTTCGGCAACTGGCTTGTCTCTAGTACTGGCATCGAACTCGCCGGCATTACAGACACCGCTTAGCATGGCCAATCGAGCTATAGCCGGGGATTGATCAACCATGCTAGCAGCCTTGGATGCTGGGTGAGGATGGTAGCCGATGCAAAAATCGGTGACAGTCATCTCGTTCTTGGTGATTGTTCCAGTCTTGTCTGAACAAATAACATTGACAGCTCCAAGTGTTTCAACTGTCTTCAGCGACTTTGCGAGGATCTTGTTCTTCTTCATGATGCCGGCTGTGATTGTCAAACTGGCGGTGACAGCGATTGGCAGACCTTCTGGAATGAATGCGACCGCGATCGATACACAATCAACGATCAAAGTAGGAACGTTGATCCAGTCAGGATGATCTTTGCGAAGCCAGGTAGCCCAGACGATGATGACGAGGATGATCATGGAAACCATCAGTGCAGTGATGATACCGACAAAAATGTAGATTTCCTTCTGGAGCGGGGTGAGACCTTGTTTGGCGTGACTGGTAAGTCTTGCGGTCTGGAACAGTCAGCATCATGGTCAATCTGGACTTCGAAGCAACCATACCTTTCCAAAAACTGTATGGTCACCCGTGTTTATGATGACACCGTACAACGTGCCGGTGGTACAGTTTGTTCCAGCAAGACCAATATTTGCGGTTTCCAAGAAGTTTGTATCTGTGGACTTGACAGTCGCAACCAGAGGCTTGACCTCACCAGTCAAGATGGAGCGATCCAAGCGAGCATCTGAAGAGACGTCAAAGAATCTCACGTCTGCAGGAACCTTGTTGCCCATGGAGATCTTGATGACATCGCCAGGAACAAGTTTTGTACCCTCTACACTTGACCAGTTACCTTCTCTGAGGACCATTGCTTGGTCAGGCAGCATGGTATTGATCGAAGCCATGACACGACCACTTGAGAAGTCCTGCCAGAAGCTGAATGCTGCCTGGATGAGCCATACAAGTACCAAGACAATGGCGAGCGCCAGGTTGGCAAGTGCAGGAGGGTCACCAAGAGGCTTCCATGCAATAAACACCATGATGGCTGCGACGAACAAAATGGAGCCGAAGCCTCCGAACAGGTAGGTTACCGTTTTCATGAACCAGTTGGATGGTGGTGCAGTAAGCTTGTTGAGGCCGACCTCTCTTAACAATACCATGGCTTGGTCTGTACCCAAACCACTAGTAGGTGAACTTGAGAAGCGCTGGAACACTTCTTCGATCGGTATGGTGTGGAGATCATAGGTGCTAAAATCTGTCCAGGCCACTCAGTATTCTTGTCAACGACAAGGATATGATATAGCTCTTACCATCCTGTGCTCCTTTCGGCACGCCTTTTACCGGCGCATCGTTTCTCGCCTTACTTTGCTCGACATCGAAGGACCTTTACCGATCGTCAGCGTTTGATTACTACTGAATGGAGCAGACTACTTACATTGTCCTGAATGCCGGCGGTAAGACCAGCGATGGATCAACGGCTCTTTGACGCGATATCGAACGGATCGACATCGAGTCCGTAGACATGCGACGCGATACTCGTGCCCCGGTTCGCGGACGAGCTTCCACATCGACATCGTCGGCATAGGTGATATGAGGAACCTTTTGCTCAGACACGTCGACCTCTTTATCATTAGACGACATGGCTGCGAAGTCTCCTCTGAGCTATCTGCGAAAATCGCAAACAAAAGCGAATTTAAGTGGTAGACTCAAAGGTCCTAGAGAAGCAAAGAGGAGAGTGAATGAAGAGGTAGCTGACAGGACAATGGAATGAAAAGGATATATAACTCTTCCACTGTGCGGCCCCTTCGGAGGCTCTTTTCTCTGTTATCAAAGGATCCCAACAGGCGAACCACCAAGAAGAGGGAGTAATCCTTCGTCTAAGCCATCTTTGGCTGCAATCACGAATGTATGTGTCTTGAGCATCCATCAATCTTTCATCCACCTACCATGTTTGGAGATTGCCCGACCGCTTCGGTGAAAAGTGTACGAGAGCATGTGGTGCGCGAATTATTTTCTCTGCTGTTGCAGGAAGAGGGGAGTGCGCGGGATGCTGCTGCTGCGCGAATTATCATCCACCGTTTTGACTCCGTCGTTGCAAAGAACTTGCAGCATGTGCAAGTGGCCTTCTTGGTTATTACCCGGTGGTCAAACTCCGTGGTGGCTATGCAATGAGGAGAAAAGGACCAAAAATCTCGCAGAACGCCCTGCGAACCACTGAATTGAAGCGGCGGGGAATCACACTTGTTTACATGCATGCTGCTCCAAAAAGTGCTTTGCTGTATCGCTTTGCAATAGCTCGAGCATCAGATTTTCTGTTCGTATCGTTGCGATGACAGCTAGATGCTTCAAGACTTCCAACACGGCTGGAAGAAAGAGTAATTGACAAAAAGATGAGAAACCAACCAAGCAGTTGCGTGAAGCCAGTCAGACGTCGAGAGTTCTTTCCTCACCAAACAGCTCTCCCCCACAACAAACCCGCTGATCGCTGACCGCTTGCAGAATACAGAAACCGCACGCGCGCGATTTTCTCTCTCGTGTGCTTCTCACGAAATTCAGAAAGGGACGCTGCAGCTCTGAAATCAGGTTCAGTCACAACTGCTGTGTTGAGATGCAAAGAGGTGTTGACATTTTGTTTGATACAAGCAAGTGAGAAACCAGGGTTATACCAGCAACTTCTAGTTTCACGTTGACTACATGGTTTTCAGAGTGCTATAGAGATGCATGATGTTTTTTGATAAGAGACGTTGTCCAGAGAAAGTCAACACGGTGATAGATCTGGGTGGACATCATTGCATCTCGATATACCATCAAAATGCACGATAATATCAAGATTACAGCTCTTGTCCAGAGAAACAGCCTCAGTACCATGACTCCCAACTGCAGGTTCTCATTCTAGTACACTATAAAAGTGCGCAATACTATTTCCAAAACACTCATATGTCCAAAGAAAGCCCCAGAATGTATGGATCTTATTGGCTGTGCTTTGTTTGGGTATACTATAAAAATGTACAATGATATCCAAATTATCGCTTTGTCCAGAGAGAGCGACAAACAATGCAGCTCTCAAATATAAGCACTTTGTTTGAGTATACTGTGAAAATGCATAATAATGTTGGGATAACGATATAAGTCCAAAGAAAGCCAACAGCAAACTGACATCTCCCTGGATACTGCTTGATTTTGATAAACATGCTGCATTTTTATAGTACTACAAGAAGCAGACAATGGCAAGAACTAGTAAAGTGAAACAGGCCTACAAACACATGGGAAGTGAAAAGAAGAGTGAAGTTATCCATTTATTCATTGGCTACGAAACAGTGAAGGGGTATCAAGAACGAAAAGAGTGAAGTGTAACCAAAACAAAACCTATCTACCTGCTCTGGTCTGTGAACGGGTCACAGGACCGCTCACTGCAGTAGTCGAGCTACGCAGACCAGTGCGAGTGCCACGGCGAACGACGGTCGACATGACGGTGCGCTTTGCGACGACAGTCTTCTTCTTAGTGACGCCACCCTTCTTGTTCTTCACTGTGTGCTTGCGCACAGCGACGCGCCGACGCTTTGGTGGGGCAGTTGTCGAGGGCTCGTCGAGCTGTTCGTCGACGATGTCGGTCTTGAGCGGCATGACACGACCGTGGGCCTTGCCCGAGTAGTACACACACGAGCGCTTATGACGACGATTGTCGTGCGCCAGGATCGTCTTGTAGTTCGCCAAGCATTGGTAGCAGAACTCGTACTGGCATTGAGCACAGGTCATGTGGTCACAGCCGCCGTCTTTTTCGATGCGGACTTTGCACTTTGGGCATGGCATTGTGACGGCTGCGATGAGGGCTTCTGCTTGCTCGTTGTCGAAGTCGCGGAGGTTTTGGCGAGCCTGGCGCTCGTTCTGGCGCGCCTGGATCTCTGCAGAGACAGGAACAGTTTCAGGGGCAGCGGGAACAGTGGTGTCGCATCTTCCGGTCATGCGATGTGGCTCCCAGTCACCAAGGCAGAGGAAACAGAATTCATGTGCGCATCTTGTGCCTATAGTGGTAAATATCAGCCTCTGTATAGATGTTCGTAGGAAGGAAAACCTACAAAGCATGTGAGGGCATCCTCCGTTTCTCTCGATTCTAGCGCCGCAACCTCCAGGGCAAACTTTTGATGTCCGGCGGACAAAGACTTCGGTTTGGATGATTTCTTCATCGTGGCGGGCCTGGTACTGGTCGCAGGTTTCTCCCTCGTGCCAAGGGATCTCGCAAGCCATACAGTGCTTGTGGTTGCAGACTTTGCAGCAGAAGATGGGCATGTCTTCGCCTCCTATGTGAATTTGACCACTCTTGCACTTGGCCGACATCTGTAGACGCGTTCAGTAAGCAGTGCTCTCTTGAGATATGAAATACAAAGTGTAGCGGGATCAATCTGGCAGGGTTCGAGTTACTTACACAGTAGTAGAAGTCTACGTCCTCTTCAACGAATGCTTTGAGTAGGTTCTTGTCATACTTCATGAGTGTGGTCTTAGAGACGATGATCTTGACATCTGCATATCGCAGAGGCTCCTGACATTCGACACATCTGGCGCGGGCATTTCCTGCATTGACTTGCTGGATGAGATATCTGTTGAAGCAGGTGCGGCAAGTGTTTGCGCCATGCTGGTGGCGGCTGTCGTGGCTGATATCAGGAAAAGAACTCAAAGGCTGGTCCTTGAAGCAAACCACACAACTGCGCACGTGGTCGGAGGTAACGTCTGTCATGGTCTCAGGAGGAAGTTGGTGTTGGATTGTCTCAGTTCCGATAGCATGTGCTTCAGCATGTGCAAAGAGCATGTGCTGATGTTCAGCGTCCATGATGATGATAGTGATCAAAGAATGTTAGCGAGACGCTGGATATGCTGAACTGTGGTGGTGATAATCAACGCGAGTGCGACAATCCATTATACGCGACCCGCCTTGGCAAGATACCAGCGACATGGAAGTGACGAGGTGCGACAGCCGGCAATTAAGCGAGGAAAGTCCGACCGCGTGCAAGACGCGTGTGCCTGTCCTGGTAGCCATAGCAAACATGTAGTTGCTGAATTCATGTCGCTCATGTTCCAACAATCTGAAAGAATGATGACTTTGGTCCTGCATATACCGCACTGCAACGGTGTCCATCTGGGATGATGACCTCTCGCCAGTCTTTAATATAGCCCGAAGCCTTCTCTCCAAGGCCCAGTTGACCGTTGCGGTTGTCGCCAGCGGCATAAATACGTCCGTCCTGGGTCAGCAGCACGACATGGCCATCACCCACAGCAATATCCAGGAAGTCCAGAGGCTCCCCATCCTGCTCAATCTCAATCAGAGCAGCTCCAGTCGAATCCAGTCCATCCAGACATGACAACGAGTGCTCAGTACCAGGTGTCCCTCTGCCAAAGAGATATACTGCACCATCTTCCGACAATGCTGCTGTCATCCACCCATCGGACGCAATCTTCTTGATTTGGATGCCAGCAAGAGACTCAACGAGACCTGGACTTTTAGCTTCTGTCTCGGCGACGCTGCGACCTAGCGAGCTATGTCTTGCGTCTCCCCATGTATAGACACTGCCATCCTGCGTCAGACATACGAAGCCGGTAACATTGGCCACCAACTGAGCTACACGTCCTGGTACGGTATGACTGAAGCTGGGCCCGTGAAGATCGTTGACTTCATCGTCAAACCATTGCCGAAACTTGTCGAAGGATTTGAATTCCAGAATGCTGTTTCTAGGTGAACTGGCTGATGAGAGGACCACAGCGACGTGGCCGTTGCCCGCTACAGCCAAGTATGCAACACCTGGCGCTTCCTCATCAGAAAGCGCGTCTGCTGTCGCTGTGTGCGCTTCAATTTGGTTCTCTTCGGTAAACGCGACACCTCCTTTGCGATTGAGCACACCAAGAAGACCATTGTGATCTCCGAATCCGGCGGTCAGATCAGGCAATGGTGCTTCTTGAACGATCTTTGTACTGCCAAGTCTCATGATTTGACCGTTCTCCTTACCCTTGCCATGCTGGTAGAATGTTGTCTCGCTCCAACCAGCGAAAAGAAGTCTGGTGTTGGCCGCATGCTCGAAGGTGACGAGTTCCTTGGGCTCAGCTATGTCTTGGTCCGTCTCAGAAGAGATCTGGCCGAAGGCATTGAAGCCACAGGCAAAGAAAACAGAGGAAGCCATTGATCGAGGCCTTGATGTCCTATAGAGAGGATGATCTGCGGTTGACTTGTAGCTGATCGCTCATACAGGATTCTTACAGAAATTCGTTGCGAGATAGACTGCTGGCATTGATTCAACTCTACAATAGCGCAAGCGGCGCCTTCATGTGTTAGCTGGATCAAGCTTAATCACGAGACGAAGCAGCAAACATGTCAAGAGCTGGTGCTACAGTTGCCAAGGGGTGGACGAATTGAAGATGTGCTTCTCAGACAAACGCTCGGTCCAATTTCAGCAACCTCGGTTAATTTCATCAAGGTCATCATGAGCTCTTTGCTCCGTAATACAGAAAGTGGAGAACGTCAACGTAGACGAAACAGGTGGCAGAGTCTGGTGCTAGTATCACAAATCAATCATAGAAGCAATTCAAAACTTATTTCCTTTCCGACAAATAATTCAACTTCCTACCCCAACATACATTGAACGCACCACACAAAATGACTATTACACCAGTCACGACCAAGATCGTGCAAGTACCTCATCTTGGAGGTATCGATGCGAGTACCTATATGCCAGCACCCTACGACCCCTCCAAGCCAACCCTCGTACTCTGCAATTCTTTCGGCACAAGCGCAGACCTCTACAGACATCAATACCAAAATGCAGAACTCAACAAACTGGTCAACTTGCTGGCGATTGAATTGCTGGGTCATGGCCAGACCAGAGCAAAGAAGACTGAGAACTTCACTTATTGGGATAGTGCAATCATGAATTTGCAAGTGCTGGATAAGTTGGAGATCAAGGGTAAGGTGTTCGTGTTAGGAACTAGTCAAGGTGGTTGGCAGACTGTGAGGATGACACTGTTGGCGCCTCACAGGGTAAGTGATGAGCTTGTCTCGTATGGCAGACAGAAATTAATGGCGAAACTAAACAGGTCGCGGGTATTATCCCTCTCGGCACCTCAATGGACACTGAAAATGAACGAACAGTAAAACTCGGCTGCTGGGATGCAAGACAGAACCTCACTCCCACAATCGAAGGCTGGACAACCAACGAAGCTACACCATCCTTTGTACCCCCAGAAGAATTCTGCCATTTCATGAATGCTACTGGGTTCGGCAAGGATATCCCAACGGAAGATGGTGAATTCTGGGTCAAGGCCATTCAGAAGAACTGGGGCGGTGATGATGGTCGCAGACGTGCTAGAATGTGTGGGATCAATCTGCGAGACAGAGATGGTCTGCATGGAAGACTCTTCGATGTGCGAGTTCCAGTGCTGTGGCTGCATGGAGACCAGGATGTGGTGTACAGTGTGGCCAATGCTCAGGAGGAGATTAAACTCTTCGTCAACAGTCCTGATGCGACGCTACAGGTCATCGAGGGTGGACCACATTACCTGAATTACACTAGAGCTAAGGAGGTGGACGCTGCAGTTGTGGATTTCTTGAGTAAGCATATCAAGCAGGCCAAATTATAGATGGAGTGTCAATGGAAAGAGATAATTGTATTACTTGGACCTGAACCGTGGTCGACCTCGAATGAACGGCATGCCAAACCATTGAGAAAATTAATGCCTGCCGCTAAAACTCCATGTGCGCCGAGACAAAGGTGACTTAAGAAACTAGAAACAAGAACGTAAAGGGGGTATCGTGTTGGCACACGGTCGTCTATCTGAACTTGCTGATGATAACAGCAAGAATCAGGAGGACCAGAACTGTGATGATGGCGATGGTGATTATCTTATTCGTAGCCATTCTGAGAAGAGTCAGCCAAATGTTGTCGGACAGGTGTTGTTGGTTGGAGAAGGAGAGTCAGCATTACCTACGAGCCATCTGCTTCAATGTCTTGTTGCTTCTGTCGGTGTAGCCCTCACCCTCAAGGAGCACATCTCTAGAGTGCTCAATGACCTCTCGTTGTCTGGCCAAGTCGGCAAGAGTATTGCGACCAATGTCTTCAGTTTCGAGAGCGATGCGCTGACTTTCGCGAAGGCGGCCACTCGAGCGGTCAAGTCTGTCGGTGCCTGACAGAAGTTGTTGTCTTTGCTCGAGTTGGTCGTCGCTGGTGGGGTTGTCGGTATAGCGTCTTCCAAAGAGAGCAGACTTGTCGCTGGACAAGCCCTTGAGTTTCTGTTTGGCCATATCGATGTCGTGTGTGTAGTTACGGAAGCGTTGGTTTGTCTTGGTCTTCTGGTTTGCTGGCAGGTTCTCCTTTTCCAATCGCATCGAGTCCAGCTGAAGTGACGGTCAGAAAGAGATGGACTAATTCAGATCAGAAAGCGACTCACAATCTCGGTGGCCTCTTCCAGAGAGCGCTGAGCGCGGCCGATGGCAGCCTTACGCTCTTCGCCGCTCAGTTCGGGCAGCTGGTCGAGTTTCTGGTTCAGGTCGGCCTGTACAAGCTTGAGTTCGGCTTCATAGTTGCTGAAGAGCTCGGAGCCGGCTTCGCTGTCCATTGGGTTGGCCATGATGTCTAGGATGCCGTCTACTTGTTGTAGACTGTGGTGGATACGGAGCGTGCGGTGTTCGTGTGTGTGGGTGGTCGGTCACTACTTGAGTGGTTCAGATCGTAGATTCTCGGCGACAAAGTGTAGATAACTATGGCTCGTTTCAGTCTTGACGTGCTTGTACGACTGCTCTTTCATGTGCAACAGGCATACAAGTCGGGGAAGGGACGATGATGTTGTCCGCGGTTGCAATGCACCAAGCTCGGACCACCTTCCTCGGCGACTCAGCCTGTCCATTTTGGGCCCTCGTTCTTTCATTCTCCTGGATGTCATCTCAAGATGTTTGCGCATCTCAGAGAACACAGTATAGAGATTGACAGAGTATCCTCGACGACCATGATATCCTACAGGTCATGCACTGAGTAGGATTCCAGTGTTTGAGGACTCCATGGTCTCCATCGAAGATGCATCCTCGGCGGCCAGTGCTTCCTCGATGACGCTTAACTTTCAACGCCTCACGTTCGACCTTGATCGAAACGCGTTACCCGTGTTCAATTCGACTGGCTCAGCCAAATCTTCCATTTTGTCCACCTTGTACTGCTTTCGACAGTGAGCTTGACCTTTCAGTCCTCATTAGGTCGCTCGTATTGTTTTTCGCATCGCTGGTCAGATGGTTCAAACAGAGAAGAAACGTGTAGCCATTGTTGGCAGTGGGTGTGCCGGTCTGGGTGCTGCGTGGGCTTTGCAAAATACTGACCATGAGGTTCACATCTTTGAGAAGTCCGATCGCCTAGGAGGTCATACGAATACGCAGACATTCACCCATGGCAAACACTCTACACCTGTTGATACTGGCTTCATCGTTATGAACTCTGCTACATATCGTTCGTCATAGCTACCATCCTTTGATCCTTTTCCATATCGCGTTGCTGACCAAGACCAGCAAATTTGATCAGGTTTCTGAACCACGTCAAAGTTGATATTGTTCCTACCTTGATGACATTCAGTGTTTCTCGCAATCATGGTGAATTTGAATGGTCTGGTTCTGGCGAAGGCATTTTCGCTCAAAGAGAGAACATCTTCAAGCCTAGAATGTGGCGTATGATCTTCGACATCATTCGCTTCAACCAATTTGCTCTAGATTTGCTCACCGAGGATGACTCTTCGCGCACTGATCAAACAATTGGCGATTACTTGAACGAACAAGGCTACTCACAAGCGTTCAAGGACGACTACCTCATCCCAATGACTGCCGCAGTGTGGAGCACCTCTCCAGACAAGACTAGTCTAGAATTCCCTGTACTGACCCTTGTCCGCTTTATGTGGAACCATCATCTGCTATCAACCATTGCAGCACGACCTACTTGGCTAACGATCAAGGGAGGGTCTCAAAAGTACATTGATGCCATTGTGCGCAGCTCCGACAAGAAGAGGTTCCACTTCCACACCTCGACTCCGATCACTGGTGTGACAAGGATGAACCAGAATGGCAAGCCTGTGGTCGAGGTCAGCTACAAGAATCCACTGAGCGGCACGCAAGAGTCGTCTACTTTCGACCACGTCATCATGGCTTGCCACGGAGACGATATCCTCCCTCTTCTCTCTGCAAAATCGAGAGTGCCGCCATCAGAAAAGGAGGAAGAAATTTTAGGCGCGTTCCAAACTTCTGAGAACGTCGCATATCTACATTCCGACCTTTCGTTGATGCCATTGAGGAGACAAGTCTTCACAGCATGGAATTATTTAACGACTTCCGCACCATCCAAGCTTGAACACCCAGCTGGTGTAAGCTTGACATATTGGATGAATTTGTTGCAGCATTTGCCAGAGTCAAAATTCGGTCCTGTACTTGTTACCATGAACCCTCCTCACGAGCCTGCGCCAGAGCACACTCAGGGGAAGTTCATCTACCGTCATCCTCTGTACACACCTGCAGCTGTCAAGTCGCAGAACAGACTGAACGAGATTCAAAATACGTCAGGCATCAGTTATTGTGGAGCCTGGACAAAATATGGTTTTCACGAGGACGGCTTCAGCAGCGGCCTCAAGGTCGCAATCGATCATCTTGGAGCGACTCTGCCATTTGAGTTTAAGGACTCGACTTTCTCCCGAGGCAAAGCACCTCAATTGAACTCGACTGACCACGCAGTGCGTGCTGCAATCATTTGGATCATGAGATTTGCTCACCTAGTGCATTTCTTCTTGTCCCTGCCACCGGTGGCATTTGTGCTATCGATCTACCTGGGTCTTCTCGACAGGATCTTGGGTATCAAGATCAAGGTCGAGTAGATCGATAATGATGTGTTTACCAATCGGAAGGCGCAGTTGATAGATATGTTTCATGAGAATATTAGAAAGTGTAAAGCCGCCATAATCTTAACCAGTTTTCTTTGCCAAGCCGTCATGCCTGCCCATATAATCTATATTTACTGTTCAATATGAACTAGAATCACACAGTGCTTGCAAAAGAGTTCACTGAGGACGGTTGCAGAGTCAGACTTGAACGCGGAGGTCCGAGCTTTGACACGCTTTCACAGATTCCTCCTTGATTGAATCTCCAAGACCACTTCCATTAAACATCCGACGACCGACTTCGATATTCGATCTCATTTGAATTCAAACCAACAATAATTCTCTCGCCGCCGGGCTAATTAAATCAGTCTCACAAATCAACATGGCGCCAGCTGCGCCAGGACCCATGTATGGCAAGGACGAAAAGGCGCTTTGCTTCCACCACGAACTGCTCTATGAAGCAAAGGTGCTCGACTCGCGACACACCGACCAAAATGACAAGAAATCTCCTTACGAGTACAAGGTCCATTACAAGGGTTGGAAGAACACGTAAGTCTGTGTCTTCTGCAAACATTCATCATGACTCTGCACAGCAAAATGTCCCCTGTTGTGGCCCTATCGGCCTCCAAATCCCACAACTTCACCTTCATCTCGGTGTATTCCATGTTTATTCCATTGCGCGATTCGTCTGAATGGGTTTTCGCATACTCATCACGATTTTATCGTTCGATGCTTTCTTTTTCATCAAAACATGTTTTGTTCGGTGCGTTTGCCATCATGAAATGTGCTAATTTTCTTACAGGTGGGATGACTGGGTGCCTCAAGATCGCTTGCGCAAGTACAATGATGAGAACCTCGAGCTCTCCAAGAACTTGAGGCAGGAAATGAACGCACAACGCAGAGCTGCAGCAAAACCGATGACTGCGACCGTGACCAGAAAGCGTGATCTCAACACTGGTTCTGCTAGAGGCAGCGAGGAAAGGACAGCTCCTACAGCGCCAACCCGTGGAACCAAACGCGGTAGAGAGTATGAAGGAATCGACAAGGTCAGTACATTCTGAGATGCGTTCGTGTATCAGTGCGAGATCTGTGTGGTCGCGTGGTGTGGAGGCTTGCCCCTCGCCAGATTATCCCGAATTCTTCTGCAACGCAACACAATCATCTTCGAGACAACAACACACTGGCCAGCACTCGTTCGATCCTAGCTGGCTTGATATATGTCGTTAGAAGATCACCTCCGGAATGATTGCTGACCACGATAGCAGGAGGACGAATTTCTTCGTCGACCTTCGATCAAGATCTTCATGCCTGACAGCCTCAAGGCTATCCTTGTTGATGATTGGGAGAAGGTGACCAGAGAAAATAGACTGGTTCCGCTTCCTTCTAGAACTCCAGTAGCACAATTCCTCGCAGACTATGCGGCATCGGAGAGTGCCAAGCGCAGAGAGGGTAGCGCCGAAGCAGACATCCTTGAGGAGGTGATCGCTGGTGTCAAGGAGTACTTCAACAAGAGTATCGGCCGCATCCTGCTATACCGCTTCGAGCGTCCTCAGTGGTCCGACATCCACGCTCAGCTTAACAAGGGCACTGGAGACTTGACAGGCAAACTCCCCACTGACATTTACGGAGTAGAGCATCTATGCCGTCTGTTTGGTATGTGCTTTTCGTCGCTTGTCTATCGCTGAGCTAATGATCTCAGTCTCGATGCCGGATTTGATTGCCCATACCAACATGGACTCTCAAGCTGTGAGCCGTCTTCGCGAAGAGCTGCACAAGATGACCCAATGGCTCAGCAAGAACGCCGGCAGTTATCTGTCTCAGGAGTATGAGCAACCTACTCAAGACTACATCGACCGTGTCAAGTAGAGCTAGGCAACGGATGAACCAAAAGGGCATTTGCATTAAAGCGACGGCGTGAAATCGGGAAACTCTTGGGAATACCTCTTTGGTACACACTAAACGGCGTCTGGTCGAGTCTGAAGATTGCGGCACTGGGCGTTATGGCTATTCATACAATTCCATTTCTTATTTCCTCAAAACCCAATCCGGAGCTGGTGTCTTGCAGGCGATTAGGGCTTTTCGATCGTTTTCTAGGTTGCTTCTTTGCAGCGGTGTCTCACGGATGCCGTTTGGTCTTTCGAAATGAGAACCAAGATCAGGGCAAAGTAACCCTGTCCCTGACTGTTGCACTACCTTTATAGGAACTACAACAGATAGTGGCTTGCTTGGACAATCGATGTTATCTCTTTGGCAAAGCGACTCGCGCGCGGCGCAAGACGAGTCAATCCAGGCATGTGACTTTGGATAAGTACACGCGCTATGAATTATATCTTGCTCCAGCCGTGCTTACGCAAGTCTGACAGTTCGCAACGGTTCGCACGAGCGAGCCGAACCCCCGCGTTGGAGGTGATGGGGAGGCTCACCGCTGCGAGGGTGACCACACACATGCCTTCGTCTCGAGCGGAGAATCTCACGCTCTTTTGGAGAGATGGAGGAGATTGCTGCTCTCCTTCAAATATTACTATTGCTTTAGAGTTCGTATTATTGTCACCTTGTGGAAGATACCATTCCTTCAGACCCTGTTCGCGCATCCTCTTGGCCGCGGACCTGCCGCTTGTCCTTGCCCTCTTTTCGAATCTCTGATCCTCCAACCACAACGCCCACGATCTTCATCAGAAGACAATCAACGGACTGGCTGCATTGCAGATCAATGACATGGTCTATGCATCGTGGGAGGCTGAATTTTTTTTTTACTGATTCTAGGGAATCTGGCCACCATGGCAGCCACGTTTACATGATAACGGCTTGGTCGGAACAGAAGAGACAACCTCATCATGTCCAAGGACAAGCCAAATGAGCTTGGCAAAAGCCATCGATGTTCTTATCGTGGATCCGGTGGCGAGATGCTCTCTGTACTCGGTCCCCGTTCGGCGGGTGGACATCTTCGCTGAGGGCTCCGACTACGCGTGACGCTAGAGTCCTTCTCGAATTAGGACTTAGGTAGGGAATAAGCTCTGCAGCAGGGCTCGGCCACTTGATAATCCTTCGACTTCCCACCACTTGCAGTCGCATAATCTCAGGTCTCACTCTTTTTCTGACATCTCGTTTTCCTTGTTCGAGCGGTTGTTATCGACCACTCCTTCTTTGGACTCTGGCATTGTCGTCGCCCCGGTATGACCAAGGAGCAACGGGCAGGGACTACACTTTCGCCTCAGGAATATCCCTGAAGCCCACCTCCCTCACGTCATCCCTCACATCCAACCGACATCCCATCATGGTACCTCTCAAGGCAGAGACGTGGATCTGGTGGACTTTCGTGGTGTTATGTGTAATTTGTCGAATGTGATTTAAGCCCTTGCGACCCTTTACCTTATTGAATATGATTCTGACTGCCCAAATCAGGATCTCGAGGTACCTGAGCCTCGGCACGATCAGGCGTTTCCAAGCAGATGACTACATCACCGCGTTTGCCATATGCTTCTACACTACATTGATCGTCACCATTAACATCGTCGCCAAATCCGATTCCAACCTTCTGCCGCCAGGTTTCGATGTCAACAGCCTGACTCCCCAACAGATCCATGACCGTTCTTATGGCTCCAAACTGGTGCTTGTCGTGGAACAATGTCAGATCATGACCGTCTGGTGTGAAAAGTTATGTATGCTGTTGCTATACCGTCGCCTTACCGTTGGAGTATGGGAAATACGCGCAATCAAGGCACTCTTCTTCTATGTATGCATCAGCTGGGTCATCATGGAAATCCTCTACTTTGGAGTTTGGTGCAGGCCTTTCCACATGTACTGGGCTGTACCCTCGACCACGCAATGCACAGCTGCAACAAATCATCTCATCACCAATGCCGTCTTCAACATCAGCTCGGACACTATGATCCTGGCTGTCGCTCTCCCTATGTTCATCAAGACACGATTGCCTCTCCGGAAGAAGATCGCCATCGTTGGAATCTTCTCGCTAGGAACCTTTGTCATTATCTGCGCAATTCTGAACAAGGTGTACAGTTTCAACCAGCCATTTGGCCTAGAATGTGAGTAAAGCACATACACATGTTCCTTGTTGCACCGGTTCCAGGACGATAGTCAACCCTCTGGCTTCAAACATGACTACTATTCTCTGGTAACAAAAGAGCTAACTCTCATTCCAGGGACATACTGGTACGTCCGGGAGTCAAGCACAGCACTGTTGACAGCAAATGCCGCCTTCGTCTGGGCCTTGCTCCGCAGAGTATTCAAACTCCGTTCGCTGGGCTCTTTCTCAGGCAAAAACACGTACACGCCCTATAATGGCTACGCACCCACATACACAACAACTCATACTCGTGTGGAAACACTACATCGCAAGAAAACACCACGCCACGATGAGATTGACTTAGATCTACTTATGCCCGACCCAGACGAGTTTGAAGGCATTCATCGACACACGGAGATCCATGTATCTGAGGACACGATGAGTCTCAAACGGGAGAACAACTCAATGACAGACGGAAGAGGAACTTGGGCAGAGGCTTGGGCGATCAGACCGCCGGCAGAGCCAAAGCCGGGAAGTAGCAGTAGTCGAGAGGGTGGCAGCGATTGCGGACGCAGTGCGACTGATTCAACGACGGAGATTGTACCCTCGTCGCCGCCGCCAAAGAAACCGTCCAGGGCGTTGCTAAGGCACAGTCAGCACGACTCGCCTGTCTGAAGATACGCCTTTTACTTGATTCCCTCTTTTCGATACTTATATAGCGTGCAGCGTTTAATTGCCGTCAGGTCGGCCCGCCAGTTCCTACCATATACCACCAGTTTCGTTTGTATAGAACCCTCAACATTTGTATATAACACAGCCAAAAAGTCTTTTCACCCAACCAGTATTCTAGCTCTTCAGAGCTCTGTATTCTTACACTCGATTGTCGCATCAACTTGCTTTAGGGCCGAAAGTCTCGTTATTCAGAGACCCTAAGGGATTCGGACGAGTAGCGATTCTGAAACAGGCAGCCAAGAAGTCCGCTCTTTCCTTTTGGCAAGTATACAATCAGTTCCTGCATTCTGGACTCCGGCGCCGGAGGAAGAGCACATGGCTTGGTTATGATGCGAAACCTCAACGGTGATGCCTCGTGGACGAAAGTTTATTGATCCTTCCAAAGGTAAACGGGCATGACACTGTAGATAAAGCGAGCTTCGTGCGTAAAGGGCTATACATGCCTTTCTCTGAGACAGAAACGAAGATCTCTGCGGTGTTATTGTTTGGCAGCTTCGTATTCTCAACTTAAAGCAATGAGGAAGCTTCTTTGAGTGTTTCGAACAAGGTCCATGGTTTGGGTAGGGAAAACGTATTGAATGAGGCTCTGTATCTGTTTGACCGTGTGTGCCCGCCCACCGAGCATGTCCGTTTTTTCGAGGCTACATTTGAAGACTGTGTTACTTCCAAATACCGAGATAGACATCACTTTACCGGCATCCAGTGTTCCACGAGTCGAAGCATAGTGATCAAGAGTCATGTCCCGATCTTGCCCTCTCCTCCACCCCACGATGCAACTCTCCACTGTTCGCATTCGAGGATATACGAAAATACGGGAACGTTATCGACAATGACTCGACTAGGTGCATATACTCGCTTCACCCGGCCTACAGAGCCATGGTCTTGGTATTCTAAACCAAACGCGGATGAATATCTCGGTCCGGAGGATTCATGGCTTTGATCGTCACTATCAACTCAAACTATCTAAGAGAAGTGGTCGGTGTAATTGTCCGACGACCCAAAAAAATAAAATGGCTTGTCGAGACGAGAGTTGAATTTCAGATGTGATGAGAACTTTTAAGAACTCACTAGAGTCTGTAGGGATTCCTTGGCTGATACTCATTTATGCGCTCAACTAAAGTCAAACATAGTACAGAGAACTTATAGATGAGAAGATCATTTCAGCAATACGAGGGCTAAGCCCCTGTAGAGTCCCTGGGGTTTGATCGGCGCAGACGCCCTCTCATCATTCTCCACACTCTCGTCGATTCTTCCGACATGATCAATCATACCAGCCGTGCCGACGGAGAGCTCGATACTATCTGCTGAAGGAGGCTCGAATGACCACCTCTTTCCTCAGATTCACGATGTTAGATTGCCTGATCAGTGCCAAGTCGAGATTCTTTGTTGTCCCATCTTCAAACAAAGGAAAGTACAAAGCATGCAGAGCTCATGCCTTGCTGGAAACTGCCTTATGGACAAAGACAACTTGCAAAGAATATCATCGCATCTAATGCTTTTTCTTTCATCGATCCCACACTGTTGTTTCCAACATCCAAAGCATATATTTCCATCCCACCCTTTGGACCCGACATCCTTACACATACACCATATACCATTTTCCAACCTCAAAATGTACACCAAAGCAATTTTGCCCGCACTTTTCCTGGCTGGCCAGGTAGTAGCTCTTCCCGCTACTACAATTACGCTCCACAGCACTATAACCAGCACCATAATCGTGCCTGCTGTTACTGACGCTGCTGGCTCTAACCCTTCCAACGCTGCTACTCCAGCTGTCTTCTCACCTTCAGCTGAGAACCCCTTTCTGACTACTCTTTCTAGTTTCAGCGATGCTTCGCCTTTTGGTGCAGCTCAGGTTATCGTCACGGTTACTGAGACCCAAGGCCTACCTTACCCGGTGCTCATCACTGTGACTGATTATCATTGTCCTCATCGAACTGCTGAAGTTGAATCGAGCACTTCTGCCTCTTCAGAAAGGACCTCGGCAACTGTCTCGAGTACTGCTGCTCCTGCATCTTCGAGTGCGATGCCGTCTTCTGAGCCAAAGTCCTCCCCTGCTCCTGCAACCACTACAAAGGCTTGTGTTTTTCCTGTTCCAGGAAAGTGTGACGACTAAGCTTTCGCAGTACACCAGTTTTGATATTTGATTCTGTACGAATAGAAAGCTAAGCATTTTTTTTTTTGAATCTCCTGTTGTGCATCTGACTATAATCTGTGAACAACAAAACCTCGTGACTTCTCTCCTTCAAACACTAAAGTAGACCTTCCCCTAAGCAAGAATCAAACCTGAGAAGATCAATTCTCATGTCCCTCTTCAACAGTATCAGAGAAGGTGAAGCCCTCAAAGTTCGGCGGTAGGCATCCTCCAGCAATATCACAAGTTTCTGCAAACTTCCTGATCTCCCTCACATCATTATCGGTCAAGTCAACATTGACAGCTCCGCAGTTGTCTTCCAGATACTTGATCTTTTTGGTTCCAGGAATGACAAAGATGTCTTCACCTTGCTTGAGCAACCATGCAATGGCAAGTTGGGCACTTGTACAGCCTTTACTCTCAGCCAGTTGTCTCCATTGCTTGGCAATCTCAACGTTCTTCTCTTTATTGCCCTCTTGAAATCTAGGCATGAAAGCCGGTCTCATGTCTTTTGGATCCAGTGGTGTGTTGTCAGCAAACGTAGAGGTAAGGATACCACGACCAAGCGGCATTGCCGCAACGACAGCAATACCCAAAGATCGACAAGTCTCCAAAAGCTTTGTGCCTTTTTCATTTTCTATGTCGAGTTCGAAGGCAGAGTATCCAACTTGCACAGCCGAAACTTTTGCGATCTTGGAGGCACGAAGCAGAGTCTTTGATGATACGGACGAGAGACCGATGTACTTAATCTTGTCTTGGTCTTGTAGTTCTTTGAGTCCTCTCATCGTATCTTCGATGGGTGTTTTTGGATTCGGATGATGAAGGTAGTAGAGATCGATATACTCTACACCAAGCAGCCTCAGACTCTCTTCACAGGCTTTCTTCGCATACTCGCCGGTACTATCCAATTGAGGGAATTTTCCTTTGACGAAGCCAAATTTCGTGGCGAGGAAGATGTCGGATCGTTTTCCGGTGCGCTTGAACCACTTTCCTACCGTCTCTTCGTTGTCGTTGTAGAGACTGTACGTTTTGGCAATTAGTGACCAAGTTCATCTGGGTAGACATTGTTGAACAGCACGTACTCAGAGGAGTCCCAATGTCTGGCTCCTAGCTCGTAAGCCCTATCTAGCATGGCGAACTTGTCTTCTTCGCTCGAGACGCTGCCGTAGACGGGCTGAGAAAGACCCATCATGCCATATCCCAAAGCAGGCACTTCGGGACCATCTGCACCGAGTTTGCGAAGCGGGATCGATGAAGCCATGAATTGAAGGTGAGATTTGATGCCAAAGATACTTCGTCAGCAGATGGAGGAAGTTAGCGATGCTGAAGCTAGTTAACAAATGAGACGTGGAAGTCTGTAGCTTTATGTCCTCTCATCTGCACGAGTATTGACATGTTCGGTGACCGGTCACAACCCATGAATTGGGGACTATTTGCAATATCATTGGTTCGGTAGCAAGAAGTTCTTTTCCACGGTGCAGCAAGGTAGCTCCTGACATGCTGTTTGCTCAATGAAATTGCTGTGCTCAAGTGGGGTCAATCCTTCCTTCCAAAAGCAGGACGCGGTCTCCAAAACAAGCCACCGCTTCTTGATCGTGCAACCACAATTGAGAAGTCGCACTCCACTGCCATCTCTTCCATTCTTCCCACAAACTCTCCAATCGGTCGCTGGTCAATGGACTTTGTTGAAAAGTATCTTTGCGCAAGTCTGAGGTAGATCTCCATCATGAGTCCACCAACAATTGCAGAAATCATCAAAGATTCCGAAGTCCAACCTGAACTCGTGCAGCGCATTGCTGTTCGCGAGTCCCAGCCACCTCTAGAAGTCCACCCCTACAACCCATCATGGCCCAAGATCTTTCTCGAGATAAAACAGCGCATCATCCGTGCCCTCGGCGAAACAGCCGTCGCGGTCCATCACACAGGCTCTACAAGTATACCAGGCCTACCAGCAAAAAACATCATCGACATTGATCTAGTAGTCCGCGATAGCACTGACGAAGCCGAGTACGTGCAAAAACTCGAATCGGCAGGGTTCAAGTTTTTACTGAGGGAGCCACATTGGCATGAACATCGTTTCTTCTATACTTACCAACCTTACGCCGTCAATCTGCACGTCTGGAGTCCGGATTGTCCTGAGGTGCTTCGTCATCAGATCTTTAGGCAAAGATTGCTTGACTGTCCTGAGGATATGGCATTATACCTCAAAGCTAAAGAGCTCGCGGCTTTTCAGATTCGAGAACATGGTGGGGACATGGCACAGTATAATTTGTTAAAGGAGGATACAATTCGCCAAATATTGAGGAATGCGTTCAAGGATTTGGGCTATATCGCATGAAGCATAAACCAGGGGGCAACTCTAGGCGGAAGAACGGAGCTAAAAGCTGTGGACACAGAACCAAGCAGGTGCGGATGATTAGATACATGTTTTGGATTAGGGATATAGGCGAACAATGAAACCGATCAATCAAAGGTATAAACGCCATCTTCTGCTATGCGCATGCTTTCTTTCCTGGAGTCCTGTTCGTAAAAGTACACTCCCATAAGCAAAACCAGAACTCTTTCTACTCCTCTAACAATGAATTGGGCGTGACGGAAGCGTAGGGTGTATCTCAATTGAACAGAAAAGGCTCAAATCAGTAAATTTTCGAGGGGGCTAGAAGGTGATGAAATAAAATGCCCCCATTGCGTGCAATCAGATGCTGCGGAAGAAGGGTCATCAAATCATCATCTCTTCGATGCCATGTTAGTCATGGTCAACCCGTGAGGCAATGGCTTGCCTTGGGCAGGGCTCGGGCTCTGGACTCTGCTAGGTGCGGCTGAAGGTGCCGCAGAACGGTTGTGTGCCATGTGAGCTCTGACAAGGTGACCGGCTGCAAGTGCTGCGCAGAGAGACAGTTCGCCAGCAAGGACACCGGCAGCGACAATACGTGCGAGCTGACGGGCGTTGTCACCGGGGCTTGTGGGGTGAGCACCACGCACGCCAAGCAGATCAAGCATGGCCGCCTGCGGCTCGAGAACCGTACCACCACCAATTGTGCCAACCTCAATACAAGGCATTGAAACTGAGATTTGAAGGTTGCCATGGAGACTGTAGAAATGTTAGCATATGGTTTACGAACGAAGGAAGTAACAAAAAAACTCACTTCTTCATGACAGTGATACAGTTGCTGCTCTCAACGTTCTGAGCGGGATCTTGTCCAGTAGCGAGGAAGATTGCAGTGACAATGTTGGCAGCGTGGGCGTTAAAACCACCGATGCTACCTGCCATGGCACTACCAATCAAGTTCTTGGAGACGTTGAGCTCAACAAGAGCATCAACATCACTCTTGAGAACGGAACGAACGACATCGCCGGGAATGATAGCCTCGGCGACAACACTCTTGCCACGTCCATCGATCCAGTTGATTGCGGCAGGCTTCTTGTCCGTGCAGTAGTTGCCTGAAACTGAGATAACAGCCATGTCTTCGAAGCCGCTCTCCTTCATGACACTGAGTGCCTGTTCGACACCCTTTGAAATCATGTTCATACCCATAGCGTCACCAGTAGTCGTCTTGAATCGAATGTAAAGGTAAGTGCCTGCAAGAGCGGCCTTAAGGTGTTGCAGTCTGGCGAATCTGGATGTCGAGTTGAAAGCGTCCTTCATGATCTTCTCACCAGCTTCGGAATCCAGCCAAACCTTTGCTTCGGCAGCACGGGCAAGAGTCTCGAAACCAACACAGGGTCCACGAGTCATACCATCACCAGTAAGAACGGTAACGGCACCACCGCCAGCGTTGATCGCCTTTGCACCTCTGCTGGTACTTGCGACAAGCACACCTTCAGTTGTAGCCATAGGAAGATAGTAGCTGCGACCGTCAATGTCGATGGGACCGGCGACACCAAGAGGGAGAGGCATGTAACCAACGACGTTCTCGCAACAAGCGCCAAAGACACGGTCGTAGTCGTAGCTGAGGTAAGGAAGCTTGGAACGTTCCAGAGCGGCAGTGACGTGCTTGGTAGCAGGAGTACGAGAAATGAGAGAGCGACGAATCTTCACGGCACGAGTCTTGTCACCCAGAGTCTTTTCGAGGGCGTAACCAGGAATCTTGCCACGGAGAGAAAGTTCAGTGAGTTCCTCATCGTTCAACTCAGAGGTTCTCTTTTCAGCAAGCAGAAGCTCACACTCTTCCTTGGAGCGCTTTGAAATTGTGCCATTGGCGGCGTGTCCGTTTTCGAGTCCTGCAGCATCGATTTTCATCTTAGGATCGTACTCGGCGAGGGGAGGCAAGGGGGCGGCCTTGGGTGCAGCCTCGCCAGCGGTCGTTTCGGTATGCCCAGGCTCTTTGATACTCCAACGAGCGGCGTTGAACAAGTAGCCGTTCAGAACCAAGCTCATGGCGAGAGCAATGATGATCCACTTGCTCAGCACAGGGTCTTCGAAGCTCTTGAGCACACCTTCAACAACTCTTCCGCCCATACTGGAGAAAATGCCGTCGGCGTAAGGGCCATCGAAAAGTGACCATTCGGGTCTGTCGGAGGAGTAGTGGACGGAGGGATACTGAAGCTCGTACTTGATAGGAGACAAAACGGTGACGGCGGTTGATTGGTTGCGGATCTTGGCCTGAGCCAAAATGTGGTCGAGGGCGTTTCCGGCAACCTTGAAAGGATCGAGAGAGCTAGAAAGCGAGGGAGAGTTGTTGGCGGCGCCAGTGCGGAAGGGAATGGTACAGAAGTTGAGGACGTTGATGATGATGAATCCAGAGACCATGAGAACCTTGAACCTGGGGATGCTGCTATCGCGAATCTTGCGGCCGAAAATCGAAGTCTCGCCATTTCCAGCATCAGGCTTCAAGCCGTCGTTGCTGGAAGCGACGCTCTCGGCGACAGTGCGGCTAACGCCATCTTCTTCGAGAGCCTTGCGCAAAGCGACATGGCGCTTGATGCGGTTGACTTCGAGCTTGATTGTGAGAACAGCCGTGTAGAAGGTGAAGAGCAGAATGCAGTCGAAGAATAGAACCCATGCAGCCAAGAAACAGAACTGGCGGAGACCTCCCTGAATACCCGACATAGCACCGGCGATAAGCAGAGTGATCTCGACCATGTAGTCGCGGACGATGCCCCAGCCGCGTTCGTGGACAGCAGTTTGCACAGCGTTTTGAATGGTCAAGGGTGCTTGGTCGCCATTCTCACGCCTGGGAGGGTTGAGAGCAGCCGAGAGCACAGCCTGTGTCAAGATAATGGGCTTCTCGAAACCAACAGTAACAACCAAGAAAGGCAGACCTTCCGAGAGCAGAACAACGTTGACAGGAACACCCAACTTCATGGTAACGACAAGGCCGAAAAGAAGAGCAAACGCCGACGAGAAGAGGACACTGGTTGCCAGCCAAGCATTAGAGCCCATGCGACGCATCGAGACGAACAGCGAGGCAAAAGTCAAATGCATTGAGAGGTATCCGAGAGCCATGATGATGATATCGAGAGTTTCGGCATTGCGAATCAAGTCGGTAAAGGCGGTCCACGAGTTGCGGACCCATTCGCGAAGAGAGAAACGACGCGCCGAACCTCTTGCAGCTCTCATGATCCATCTCTTTTGCTCGTCGTCATCTTCAGCGGTCTCTTGAGCCGAGATCTCCTTGATTGAGGCCAAAAAGGCGGGAGTCTCGTCCGAAGGAAGCGAGAAGGCGAGAGTCGAGTCTTGGGACAGAGACAGGCGGCTGTTGGATGAAGGAAGCTGCTCTGCTTTGCTGTGATTGGGGATCACAACTGAGGGAGCATCGGCGTAAGAGTCTGCGAAGGCCAAAGTGACCAAGGAGAGGTGCTATCCAAAAGTTAGTAGGCTTCAGGGGCGAGCGAGTGCTTGGACATACCTCTGCTTGTGCCTGATTGGATACAACGTCCGACTGCCACTCCCAGGCAGTCTCGGGACCGACGCTCAGAGTACGGCTGCCTTGGGAGAGAGCAGAGAAGTCGACTTGGTTGTTGTCGGACTTTGTAGAAGGCTCAAATAGACCAGTCTCGAGGAGGCCAATGTAGGTGGTGCTGGCAATCAAGGCGCAAAAGACGATGGAGTGGATGGGATGAGTGCAAGTTCTGCGGGTGACGCTCTGCAACAGAGGAGTAACATGTTTGCTGTAGGGACCTGGTTTGGCTGGGTCCTGGGGGCTGTAGAAGCCTCTCCAGCGGGCCGGGATCAATGAAGCACCCAGCATTGTTGTTGTCGTTGGTGGTTGAATGTCCGAGAAGGAGTGAGTCGATGGTTGAGCAATCGATCACAAGCGCATCCCCTCGCAGACTACAAAGCAATTGACGTGCTGCGGAAGACGACAAGAACAATAGGGATGGAGGCTAGCAGATCCCAAGTCGCATTCATCCAAAAGTTGAGGATCTGCTTAATCAAAGGCGGTCAGGCGCACGGTGCTCGACCAACTTTCAAGCGGGACGCTGTTGCCGTTTGGAAACACACGCGACAAGCTTCAAGAGATTACGGGAGTGAATCGACTATGACTTTTGAAATGTCACTTATACCCTGCCGCGTTCCTCGTACGATCTTGCCCATCCCTCTCGCATCTCGTCAGTCAATCTGAACACTACCATGTCATCCTGCCGCGATGCAAGGTGCCGCGTCCAGTAGACGCACCATATCGCTTCTCAATTCCTCCGTTCCAAGCATCCCCAGATTTTCCATTAACCTATTCATAAACCCCTGAGTGACAAAAAAGCATAACTCGCAAATCCGCCGAGGACCCAAGCACCTCTCGACCCTCCCTCAAATCACTCATTTCCCTCAACCAAAATTCTAAAAGGACGCCTCTGTAGTTCTGAATCCCCATCCAATTGCTGTCCGTCCCCTTTGTCTTTCCAAGACATTTTGACTCGCACAACCACATGTTTCTTCTCGAGACAGCACGTTGTGAGCGTCGGACTTTTTTTCGTGTTTCAGACGCGCTTGCGCCCTGGAACCTGGAAGTTTGTGGCTGCAAGATGACGCCTCGACAGTCGATCTTCCATGCGTAAATCGTACCACCTTGGCAGGTGCTCCAGCAGTACCAGCCTCCTTTGGAAAGTCGACGTGCCGCTCGTACCATTGTGGCACTCTTCGGCCCGCTTGTGGCTCGAATCAGATAAGATGGATAAGATGGTCTACAGAACACAATCTTGCGTGCTTGGTCTATTGTTAAATACCACATGGCAACAAAGTCAATTGGTCCGAACGGAAACTGATGTGGATTCTTTCCAAAGAGTGTATGAAGTATAACTACAGGCTTGCATGACCTAACCCAATGCCCTATGCCGCCTACGAGAAACTGGTCCTAATGGGATCCAATCCAGCCGCCGTCGCTTAACCTGGCAGAATCAAGGAAAGAAAACATTACTCAATACCCTTGTGCATCGTCCATGATCCCCAACGCCTGTGATATGCTCGAGTTCTGCAGAATCTGTCTCGACTGTGTGCATATGATCCTCTAGCTGTAGTCGTATTCGTCTTCGTCATCGCTATGTTCGCTCTTTACTCCCTTGAGCATTGAGAACCACCCAGTACTAGTCTGTTGCTTCTGAGGCGGGACGGGTTCTTTGAGAAGTACTGGCTTGTTGCCTGACATTGACAGCGGTGCAATCTCTTCAACCTCAATGTCTTCGCCGTCGATAGAGGAGTCATCGTCGTCGCCTTCGTGGTGAGAATCGCAGACACCAACGATCTTGATAAACTCGACCACAGATGTGGTCAAATTACTGGCTGCTGCATCGACAAGCGATACAGGCGCCAGTCCTTTGGCCGCCGCGTGATTGCGAGCCACGGTAACAAGGTTGTTTGCATCGCGGGAAACACGAATCTTGAGTGTCTCGGGTGTTGGGCTCACAGTGCTCTGTGAGAGATGGGTCGTCGAGGAGTGGGGAGAACCAAGGTTCGAAAAGGAGCCTTCAACACCAGATGTCATGTTTCGCACGCTTTGAACAACGTCCTTGGCCTTCTCGAGAGCCAATTGCGGAGCAGATGTTGTATCGCGGGCTGCTTGCAGTAGTTCATCGATTGAGATCTGGAAGTTGGTCACATCCATATCTTTCACCAATCCGTTTGGCTTCAGATGCTCGTGCTTAGATGCTAGTGCCCCAGGGGCCATGTGCTGTATCGAGAGGCCGGTGGAAGATGCCTTGAGCGTCCTTAGCTGTGTTCTTGTCTTGGCATATCGGATCTTCCATTGCTCGTTCTCTTCTTCCAGAGTTGCAATGCGAGCCTGCAGTTGCTCTTCCCTCTCCAGGGCCGTCTCAGTCTGCTCTGATAAGAGACGCATTTCCTGCAGGTGTTGTTCGGCACTATGGCGCACCTCGTCTGTGACCTTTCTTTGCTGCACAAGCTCTTGCTCTAACTCTTGGTAACGTTGCTGCCAATCGTTGTGCTCAGATGATTTCGACGAGGATTCGTTGGCTCGAAGCATATCATTCTCTTTCTTGATTTCGTCGATTTCGAGATGCAGGTCAGAAACCGCTTGTTCCGTGCGAGCACGCAGGTCAGATTCGGACTGATCGCGATCCACTTTCGAGTGCTCCAATTCAGCGTGCAATGTGTCCAGCGTCTTCTGAGAGTCTGCTATCTTCGTATCCAGCTCTTGCCGTTGTTGCGACCACTCATCTTTATCCTTGCTGTGGTCTTGTTTGTGCGTTTCGATCTCTGCATCCTTATCGTGTAGTTTTGATTCCAAGTCTGCGATCTTGGCCTCGAGCTCTGACACTTGAAGTTCGAATGCTTTCATTGTTTCAGCATCTTTCTCGCTGGTGCCGGACACTTGTCCCAAGCCGTATGTGTCGTCCTCGTCTTCGTCGGTCTCGTCGTCTTCCACCATAGTGCTTTTGTTGGGAACCATGGTGTTACTTTGGAACGTTTGGGGAAGCGGTCTTCCAAAACTGCTGTTTGGACTGATGGGGCCACTACGAGAGTCGGTACGAGGTGGAGGCATGCTTTCGTCGGAGGGCGAGTATGGCGAGTAGGGACCATTACTCGGGGGTCCAGGCCTCATTCCCGGTGGAGGAGGTCCGCGCATACCATTTTGTTGACCTGAAGGACGGCGCATGGCGTATGGAGGTCCTTGTCGGCTGCTGCCTCTGCTCGCTACGCTGCCTGTGGGACTGGCAGGTCGGTCCCCGTCCATACCCGCAAGGCCTGGCATTCGGCTTCCGAGTTCGAAGAAGACATCAGTTGCGAGCTGTCGAAATCGCTCGGGAGGCAGAGTCGACAATTTCTGGCGTGCTTGGTTTCGCTTGGGGTGGAAAACGTTTCTGGGAGGGAGAGATGGAGGCACAATGCCTCCTGGTCGTCGGCGATCATCTTCGCGTCTTTGCAGCTCGTCGAAGACGTCGGTGCTCAGCTCATTGAACTGTGTAGGTGACAAACGAAGCAACTTGTCCCTCGCTCTTGTGGGACGAGTGTTCCCCTGCTCATCTCTCAGGTAGGGTGCAAGGTAAACCTTCAAGACCGAATAATGGTGGGCCAATGCGGCTTCCTGGTTGTTGGACTTGACAGACTGTCTGAATTCGCTGTTGGCTGGCGAGTAGACACCAGGGCCGCTGAGTGAGCTTGACGAGGAAAGGTGGCTGTTGGTTGCGCTGGGCGAGCGCTGTGAGCGAGCGCGACTCGAGAGACTGTTGTCGGTCGAGCCTTGTGACAGTGGAGGTGAATTCTGAATAGGGACGGCAGTCCTGCTGGCGGCGGCAGCATATGGATCATTAGCTAGAGGGGGGCCTTGGTGGCCGCGACCAGACAGAGTGTCGTCGCGACTGCGATTCGGCGCGTGCATCATGATGTTGCTGGAGTCGATGTTGGTGGAGTGGATACGAGATTCTAGGATGGCATGGACGTCGTATAATTGTAGATTGTTTCTATTTTCCAATCATGCGCTTTGACTCGGTCATGGAATTGAAAGGAGTATTGTTGTCGATAGATGCTACCAATTGACCAGAAAGGAAAGAGGAAAGAAGAGAAAACAGGCAACCGTAGGACAGGCAGGGCAAGACGGCAGATGAAAGAGAGTGTGGACAGTGGAATTGCTCACGCGCGAGTCGAGTCGAGCGAGCCTCCCCCTGATACCATAAAGTTAGACAATTAACGCCGTTGGATCTCTGCTGCGTGATTCGCTGCCCTGAGCGCCAGGGTCGAAGCGTGGCTCCAGCGTGACCCTGTGCCAGAGATTCCTGGAACTGGAAGCTTTGAGAACTTCCATCTTCCATGGTCCCTCAAATGATCAAGACTGCAGAATCTCCGTGCCGCGCGTACCAACAATACGCTTGCATACGACTGTGAGATGACCTGACTGCAATGCAAGGTCTATCGTACATCAAGTGATATGTGCTTTAACACTGGTCCAAGTCATGACTCGTCGCGTGTAATTGATCATTTCTAGAAAAACGCGTCCTGGATGGACGTTTCGCGCACAGGGGTTGTTCGCAGCGACGCCACGGCCGACCTACATAGCCGACGGCTCGGCTGTCCAATTGCTATCTATTATCTAACTGTAGTGGACAGGTGCCCTTTACTATGCTCGGGACATCTCTCCTTTTCCGCCTGGATCTGATCCTCTATAGGGTGAGGCTCAGAGAACCTTTGTGTCCTCGACTAATCCTGCGGTACAAGCGCTCTCTGTTTACATCCGAGACATGCCGTCCGGACAGGAAACGCTGCCATACTGGCAGGTCAACGTCCCGCCGGAACACAGATCTGATGTGTGTCCAGAGTTCCTGAGAGATGCCAACGAGAAAGATCAGAAAATTTTAGCCACTCCAGATTCTGAGTTTCGTCGTTTGTCGTGGCCAGAGGTTCAGGATCTCATACGCACAAACCGCATTGATCTCTTCCAGCGAGTGCCCAGCGACCTTCGCCGCTACAAGGCCTATACTGCGAAGCTCAAGGACCAATATGGTTCAGTCATGAACTTCGTCATGGCCGAGAGATTGAAATGGCAAGATCTCGTACCCCAAGGCGAGCCTTTCAGCAATACAGGTAAGATTGTTACGAACCGGTCTATACTCTGTTCAAATGTTGACATCGGCGCTAGACGATATCAAAATCTTGTTGAATGACTGGCCTTACGGGATTGACACAAGAATTGTGCACCTTGTGGTATGGGTCAAGTTTCAATTGGAAGAAGACGCCGTCAGCGGTGACTTGACCGATGCCGCCAGAGAAAAACTTGATGGATATGTCAACAAGACGTTTCGAACTCAGGTCGGCGCTGAGAACTGCATTTGGTTCAAGAATTGGGCGAGCTTGAAGTCTATCCATGCAGTGGAGCATTTCCATGTTATGCTATTCTCCCCTGACAAGCAATTCGTGGACGACATCACGAACGGCGATGTAGCATTGTCAGACAAGATTAGAACCGACGTTTGAGGCTGTATGCGGAAGCATGTCAGAGATAACAACGACCTACCCTACCATTCTTCTCGTATCCGTCGGCACGGAGTTTGGTTCCGGGATGTTGTAAGTCGGGCAACCCTGGTCTACAACAATCATTATCTCCAAAGCGAATTCTTTCACCAACACATCATTTCCTGTAGTAAAGATCCAACTCTTAAACGATCATGGATCACTTCAATGCTATGAGTGGCGTTTCTGCGATGCATTCCACGATCCTGACATACTGTTGCCAATCACACGAATGTCTACACAAGTTGGTAGACAGCTGCTTGCGTCCTATCTGTCACACTGGACAACTCCTTCGCAACTCAAGCCGGTATGTTTCCAGAACCGCTTCAGATTCAGTCACAAATATTCCTCGAAGTCGATTACATTCTTGAGTTCTACGCAGATTTCTATGTTCTTCTTTAACAGCCACCGTTCTTGACCATGCGCTTGAAGCACTGCTCGTACGCATCATGAACCTCAGGAATCTCTACTCCATACTCTCGAAGCTTGTTGACCAACTTATCAGTATCAAGCTTGCAGTTCGAGCGTCCTGCCTTGATGACCTTGCTCTGCTCTTCCAACGAGAAGTTCTTCCATGTGAAGCTGGGACGGACAATCTTCTGGAAAAGTCCAAGTACCTCGTTGTGCGAGATGGCGCCAGGGTTAGTGAAGTTGTAAACGCCAGTCTCATTGTTTTCGGCGAGGACGATGGCGGCGGGAAGCAGATCGTGCAGAATGGTGTTGCTGTTCGGTACGTCGACGACGCGTTCGTACTTTGTGATCTTGGTGACAAAGTTGCGAGGGTGTAGGTCGTCGGATACTGGCATACGAAGGCGCAGGCATAGGACGTTCTCGTAGTTCATCATGATCTGGAGAAGTTGTCAGCTAACACATCTTAGCATCTGGATTCAAGATATGCTCACCTCCTCAACCTTCGACTTGGTAGCCGAGTAGAAAGATCCAGAAAAGTTGGCAGGGTCAGTCTCCTTGAAGCCTGGTCCGCCAATGGGATGGGCCTCATCGTAAGCGTAGATGCATCCCGTAGCAAAGACGCTGATGTGGATGCCACGCTGCTCACAAGCATCGGCCAAGTTCAAAGTGCCGATAACGTTGCTACGGATAGTAGCAGCCTTGTTGTCCTCGCACCAGTCAACGTTGGGACGACCTGTGCAGCCTGCACAGTTCAGAACATGTGTAGGCTTGACATTTTCAAGCTCGGCAATTACTGCTTCTCTGTCCTCCATACGAACAGTGGTGGTGTAGACAGTCTTGCCCTGATCCTTGAGCAGCGACTCGAGATGACCAGCAACCCATCCCTTGCCACCCCAAATCAGGAAAACATTCTGGGTAGTTGAAGAAATCATGTTGATAGTGTTATGTAAGTTCAGTTAAAGAGAAGATGCTGAAAATAGTAGTGTAGGAAGAAGAGAATAAACTGGAAGATGTGAGGTAATGGAAAGATTGGACACAAGGCAAGGAAGAAGCACGTAATGTAGAAGAGCGAGGGAAAAAGGTAAGGGGCAGCAGAAATGGAATGTACAACGATCAAGGCGGCTAGGCTCTCCCAGCAGTCGCAACATCTTTGACACAGAAGCGCAACTATCGAGCGCTGCATGAGACTAGGAGTCCGCGTAAGGAGGATTCATCAGCGAAACGTTGAGACCGTCGATGGAGCTTGCAAAGTAGTTGATCCTCAGCAATTGGTGTAGATAACTATTGACCCAAAGCAGATACACAGCTCCTGCGTTAAGCATCAGCCTCAGACACAAAAGCGTGGGGGTGGTGTAAGGATTGTACCAAAGTTTAACCGTTGCAGCTGAGAGCAGCTGCACCCAGCTGAGTGAGTGCGGGGCACTCTGGACCGTTTTTTCGGACATTCACTGGTACGTATCTATCTCATGCCATCAAACAGCCTGCATCCTGCACGTTTAAGAGTCCGAAGCTGCGAACACGCAGGCACAGGGCCACAGGGGCTCGAATCGATACTGTGGTCAACGGATATCACTGACCGAGATTCTCTCTGCCGAGGGCATCTGAGGACGGCGCCATGTTGACGAACTCGTGGACGCGCATGGCCTTCTGGATTTCGTCGGGCCATGGACGATAATCGATCATGAGTTGAGCGCGATCAAAATCTCGAGTCATTCTGTGCTCAGATAGCCGTCCGGCCGAGAACATTGTGTTGACACGCACTGAAGGACAACCTTGAGACGACCAAAAGAATCATTGTTACACGGCAAGAAAACATTAATTGTATTATTCATCCTTCTCCTCTGATTTGGGCTCGTCGCATTTCTCTCTGGTCAACTTCATCGGTGTCATGGCCATCTTCAACTCTGGACAATGCCGGTAAATCGCCATGCGTGTATCATGGTTGTCCCAAACTTCCACCATGCTCTTTGCCATGTCTCCAACATGGATGCCGAAGGATTTCTTATGATAAATATGGTCGATGACAAACTGCGATGCTTCCGTTGCATTTGGAATAACTGCATCCGGGATGGTGGTCATACGGTAGCTCAAGAATTGATCTTCTGCGATTGTATCGTTATCTCGCTGTTGGAAGGCGAGGATACGGCGAACGGTAGAAACGCGACGGAGTGAAAATCCGCCACTGCCTGGATAAGCCTGTGAGTCTTTATCGTTTCTGGAGTGTTGTTAGCCATAGTCACTATAAGCAGTGGCGAGAGACTGATTACTTTGGTCCACTGATCCAGTCATAACCCAACCAGTCGTCAAGACTTCGCAGTGCATTTGCACAGATAATTGAGTCGCGACTGAAGACAAAAAGGTATTCCACGCTCTTAGGGAGCATCTCGTCGTAGAACTTGGGGTTTGCAAGCAAGCGGTGGCTACCCTCTACAGAGTGGTAGTCTGATCTAATTGTCTGGAATCGAAGCCTTCCTGATGCCTCTTTCTCTTGAATAGCTCGGCTGCTGTTGACCACGGCAATACTTTGTGTTGATCCAAGGAACAAGAAGGGCCAGTCGTGCGGGACATTGACCATCATTTGCAGGACCAGAGGGGCAAGAGTTGTCAGCGGTCGTGAGTCGATCATGAGAGCCAGTTTTGTCTTGTTATAATGTGCCCATGGTGCATCCGCATCATCCCAGTCAAGCTGCATCGTAGGCAACTTTGCGAATTGGTTTGAGACTGCATCTGACAGCGACTTCTTTGAAGGTCCAAGGAATGCAATGATCCAGCTACGCAAGAGGTCAGCTTGGTTGATCGCGCAGTTTCTGATCCTCTTACACGACTATCAGAGACGACACAAGCTTGATGAACCCGACACTTCGTACATCATGGATACTGGACAGCCAGACCATACTGTGCGGATGTTTTTGATAATCTGTGAGCGACCAAAATAGTGGTCAACAATGGTGCACGTAGGGATCTGATGGTAATAATTTTGGTCTCGATCATGCTTTCCTGATTCAAAGGTGCAGCACGGACGATCACCCCTGTGTGGTTGCTTCTCAGCTCGCGTCAGCAGCCGTTGGAGGATCGCCGTTACTTTTAAACACACCTTCGGCACCGTTGTGAGACTGCACCTTGATCTCTTTCAATAACTCAGCTGGAAAGTATCGGGAGTGTACGTATGTACTCAGGTCGATCTGGCCAACGTTCAGGAAATACGTTGGCCTCGAGTCTCCGTAATCATGGTCAGGCTTGGACCCCCTTGCCGTGCAGCCCCATGCAAGAGAGACCAGAATCTATGCTCTCTCCCGCTTCGCTCTTGCATCTTGCATCACATTCTCAATTTTGGTTGACATAATGTCCACGTTTGGAGGAGGAACACTCGAGAAGCTCTCGCGAGTTTCAATGGCACCTCTCGCTAGGATGGACAGAAAAAACAGGATACTTGCCTACGCATATGCTGGCTTCTTCGCTATCTTCCTGTAAGTCATCATCTAGTGGTCCTACGTCGCTTGTACTAATGGAGTCAGGTTGATTGTTGCAATGGTTAATCTAGGACACCAGTTCCTCCCAGCAGCGCCTGCCATTAGGCTGAAGTATAAGGAAGCCTCGCCATACGACCCACGAAAGGTAGCACTCCTTATTGAGAATCGACCATCGCCGCAACTCATTCCACTGCTGCTGCATTTTACCGCAGTCATTCCAAACGATTGGCGGGTCAGGTTCATGGGTTCGAAAGAATCAATGGCTTCGGTCAACAGCTCGTTGGCCGTCCAGGATCAAGTGAACATCGGAAAGATGGATCTTACCTACATTCCTAGCAACATGAGTGTTGCCGGGACAGAACAAATCAGTACATTCTTGACCAACCTCTGGGTCTACGAAACTCTTTTGGCGCCCGCGGAGTGGCTGCTCGTTTTCCAAACAGACAGCATGCTCTGTGCAAATTCGGAACAAAGTCTGAACGACTGGCTCGACTACGACTATGTTGGTGCTCCCTGGAGCCTGAAAGACAAAGGTGGTGGTAATGGTGGACTCTCGCTTCGCAAAGTCAGCAGTATCATCGAAGTTTTGAAGCATCAGGTACGCTTGCCAAACAGTGAGCCTGAAGACGTTTGGCTCTGCAACCGCCTGAATCAGCGAGTGGGGGCAAAGGTTGCCAATGGTACCATGGAGAACAAGTTTTCGGGAGAGATGATCTCCTCGTATAGTCCTATGGGATATCATCTTGGAGGTTCCGGCAAAGTCTTGCACGGTGGTAGCTGGGGTACACCGGAGAAGAGAGAACGCATCTACTCATGGTGTCCAGAAGTCAAGATGATCTTGAGTATGGATGGCAAACATTGGTTGCCCGGTGATTGCAAAGCAAACTGGAAGAGAACAGAGGAGGAGGAAGAGTTCGAACTTATTCCATTCTGAGAAGATCTTGAATAACAGTCTGAATGCATTTCGAATTTGATTTCTAGCCTTTGATCATTTTCAGATCTTCGTCATGATCTAATCGTCATGTACCAATCATCTATTGAGAACTGACACCATGTGCAATAAAGCTTTGTGGCTATGGAATGTTCGACAATGCAGGATCACAATTGCTTTCTGGTTGTCTCCTAACTATTTTGAATCATGTGGCTTATATCATTTTCGCGGTCTACTCTCGGGTGGCTTTGGACCTCTATTTGAAGAGGGTTGTAGCGACAGAATACAACACAATGCCTCCTACTGCGATGACAACGCCAAAAAGACTTTTGTCGTCAGCACCATGTCCACTCGTAATCCAACCCAATGCGACAATCGATAATGTCTTTGAATGGCCAACCACAGTGCTAGCAACAGGCCCAGCTCCATCAATGATGACAAATTGCGACAGGTTAATTGCAGAGGCACAGAGTCCGCTCTACCATAACGAGGTTAGTAGTTTCTCCAAGAGAAGTAGCCCATCATGAACTTACGAAGAGGATCAAAATCCATCGACTAATTGGCACTTCAGACCAGACCGGAAACGTGTCAATGAATGGAATAAAGTAAAGCAGTGTTACAGCACCACAGAGACTCTGGTTATGTAAGAGCTGGTGACTGGTCAGTTCCAGTTTCTTGTGGAAAAATCCAATCCAAACAGTATAGACTGAGCTGGCAACCACGCCGGTCATCGCGAACACGACGCCTAGGAAGCTAGTACTCTGGGTGCTAGCTCCAGGCTTGACATCGTAGTAAGAAACGATACCGACGCCCACACAGACAGGAATCAAAGTATATGCTGCCTGTCTTGAAATTGTTTTGCCATAGAAGGTGGAATTGAGAATGGCCGTGATGGGTGTGAGGAGGATACGACTAGTCTGGTAGAACATAACGGATGAGAATGCGAGGGAGAGATTGGGTAGAACCACGTTGAAGCACATAGCTGCGCCTAATGGTAGAATCTCTTTGACAGTAGTCTTACGTCGCTCGAAGTAGCCGAACCGGGGACTGGACACCACGTGCAAAGTCGCAAAAGTGACAAAGAAGTGGAAGCATGCGAACGAAAGTTGTGCTCCTCTAAGGGAGGGGTCAGAGAAAATGCGTTTGTTGGTGAAGACCTACACATCTTCAGTCAGCGTTGATGTCTGCACATTTCAATTCACTACGCCTACAATGCCAATCGTTGCAAGGACGTTGATAGCTATCCACATCATGAGACTGCTGGACGGTCTCTTCGGTTTCTCGTGTTTCTGTTCTTCAAGGTCGATGTCCAATTTCGCTTCGTGGTTTTCGAGCAATGATACAGCATCCCCATTGTCTGAGTGGTCGCTTGACGCTGCGCGTTCGTAATCGTGGTTGCCCATTTCTGTGACGGCTACCTTGAGATCGCTATCCTTCATTATTTTTTTTGGTGCAAGAACGGGAGTGTTGATGGAATGGAGGATATCGCAGATCCCATCCCTTCTTTCACGTGTTCCGATTATAATCGCTCACATTGTACATTGATTAGGAACGATCCACTTTTCCGGGTTCAATACAAGGTGACAAGTTGAGGTTCAGCCTCACCGTTCCCAAAATCGACCGCTGGACCCCTGCGTTAAAGTTATGTACCCCCACGCTCATGGCGTTCGCCTGACGCCGTTGACAGAGTTTCCCCATCGCACCCCTAACCTTAACCACTTGTAGATCCGGTCTAACGACACAGCTCACTTCAGCTCATCCTTGTCAAGCCACGATCTTTTGAGCGTCGTCCACACCCACACACGCACATCATGTTCGGCTATCTTCAGAGCATATCTGAGCTTCATGCCAATGTAGTAACATTACCATGGTAGATTGAATCTTCTTGATCGCCCCGCGAACACCTTTTGAGCTAATGCTAGTACAGACTCGCAGGTTCCAAAAGTTATTCGGACTATGTCCTGGTAGACCAAGCCATTTACCCAAATAGGTGCTTAGAGGGATAGCTGTCGCCATCAGATGTCGCGAAAGCCCCTGCAGAAGGAAGAGGACGAAACGTCGTAAGATCCTCTGGAATCGAAACAGTGGGTGTCATTCCTTACTTCCACAATCGATTGCTTCTTCAAAACGTTTTCAAATCAGTGGACATCAGCTTTCGGTGTGTACGACTGTTTTCGACCGGGGTCGATCCTTGGAGCAAGGACGTAAGCCTGCACAGATTGTCGAAGCCAAACGGTGGTATCGGTACCAAGAGTCCTGTTCACTGCTTAGGCTTCACCTTCAGGTGCTGACACAGCTCAGTCGGATATGCCGCATTTACCGTTCGCTCTAAGTCCTTGATGGTTAGCTGGCTTGATTGGTCTCGACTTGTTCTCAGGAGTTTACTCTTGTCCTCCAGAAGGATTGCACTGGCGAAACACGGCTTTGCAGGACCTAGAGATAAGTCGTTGCCTCTATATAACTTGCTGCCGAATTGTTCACCACTTCTTCACACGTCCTCACTCAGACGCTCTCTACAAATTTCTTGTTCTCTTTTCATCCCGATTTTTCTACAATGCCATACGTCAAGACACCACAGAACGAGAGTTTCCCTCCTTGGACATGGTCTGAAGCGCCTCTTCTCACAGGCTCTTCACGCCATGAGCCCAACCCCGAGATCCGTAACATCATGATCACTGGCGGAGCTGGATTCATCGCTTCGTGGGTAGTTCGCCATCTCACAACTACATATGGTGGCCACTATAACATCGTCTCCTTCGACAAGCTTGATTATTGCGCGTCTCTGAACAACACAAATCAGCTGAACCACCTCGAGAACTTCTCTTTTTACCATGGAGATATCATGAAGGTAGATGAAGTGTTGGGCTGTCTCCGAAAGCACAAGATCGATACTGTCATGCACTTTGCAGCACAATCTCACGTCGATCTCTCCTTCGGAAACTCTTATGACTTCACATACGCAAACGTCTACGGCACTCATGTGTTGCTAGAATGCATGAAGACGTATGGTATCAAGAAGTTCATCCATGTATCTACGGACGAGGTCTATGGTGAAGTCAAAGACGGAGCCGACGACCTTCTCGAAGATGCCATCCTTGCCCCTACCAACCCATATGCCGCATCCAAGGCCGCAGCAGAGATGATGGTACACGCTTACTACAAGAGCTTCAAGCTTCCCGTCATCATTGTCCGCAGTAACAATGTCTATGGTCCTCATCAATTCCCTGAGAAGGTCATTCCGAAATTCTCGTTGATGCTTCAGCGTGGATTGAAGCTCCCTCTCCACGGTAGCGGCGACAACACTCGGCGCTACCTGTATGCAGGTGATGCAGCAGACGCCTTCGATACCATCCTACATAAGGGCGAGATCGGTCACATCTACAACGTCGACTCGCACGACGAGGTCTCTACCGTCGACCTCTGTTCCCACCTGCTCCGCTTGTTCAACCTTCCCTACGCCACGACCGAAGACCTTTACAAGCATGTCGTTCACACTCAAGATCGCCCCTTCAACGACCATCGTTATGCCGTCAATGGAGACAAGCTGCGTCAACTGGGTTGGGAGCAGAAGACTCGCTTCAATGAAGGTCTTCGCGCTACCGTGCAGTGGTATCAGAGATTTGGCTCAACCTGGTGGGGAAACATCGAGAGCAGATTACAACCCTTCCCTGAACCTATTGCACCCAAAGTTCAGGTAGACAAGAAAAGAGCAGACTCACACGTGGTGGTCGCAGAAGTCGCTGCGGATGTTGAGTTGTAATATGATCTAGCTACACACATCGGGTTGGTCTGAAAAGGGTTGGCGTATTGGAGTATGGATATCAAGGTCGTTCGCTAGGGATCATGATAAATCATCTTAGATTGATGTTTTCGCATATTCATAAATCGAGTTATCCGCACACAGCATGGATTAAGAACTCGACATAAAGTTTACCCCACCTGAAGGATCGATATACCGATAATATGTTGATATACTTGCCGACCGGCCATAACCCCGCCCTCGTGTTGATCATCACTTGTGTATATAGTCAGGTGATAATGATCCAACCACATACTTGAGTGTTTTGCTGGTATTTGAACAAACAACATTTACGCCCAAGACTAAAACACCATGCCATTACAAACCCATATTCATATCTCCAGCGAGCAGGGGTTGTCCAGCATCACCACTCTGATCGTGGGCAGCAAGAGTGCTGCCCTCATCGATCCTCCCTTCTTGATTCCCGATGCCAAATCCGTTGTTCAATGGATAGAGAACACAACATCTCTGCCACTAAAAGCAGTGTTCGTGACTCACCACCATCCCGACCACTTCTTCTCCGCCAATCCCATATTGGAAGCCTTTCAGGAAGCGAAATTCCTGACCGCACCATATGTCCGCGCGGGCATTGATCGCGAGTATGACGAAAAAGTCAAGTACTGGCCTTCGGTGATGGGAAAGGAGATGGTGCCCGAGAAGCCAAGAAAGCCCGACGTGTTTGAGCATAGCTTTTTTGTGCTTGATGGAGATGAACAATCGCCCATCTGTCTGCTTGGACCGGTACAAGGTGACTCAATTGATCAGACATTATTCTGGTTGCCAACCGAGAAGACTGTCGTTTGCGGCGATGTGATATATGCTCGGAGCACCCACGTCTGGTAAGGTTTCGAGCAGTGTTCTTTTCGATGTCCACGGTAAAAAATTGTTCTGACGATTGAAAAGGGCTGCCGAGATAGAAACACCACAGATCCTGCACGCTTGGCAGAAGTCGCTTGACCTCATAGCATCTCTAAATGCTACCAAAATTATCCCTGGGCATTTGGAGAAAGGTTGGGAGATGGATGGTCAAGCTGATCTTGAACACACTCGCAAGTATCTCCAGCTCTTCGACGACCTTATCCAGAATTCTTCTCAGAAGCACAAGGTTGACGAGTTATACCAAAAGTTCAAGGAAGCCTTCCCAGAAGCTGACAAGAATCTTGATTTCTTCCTTGGTCAATTAAGCAATGCATTCGGCGAGGGCGGCCAGAAGTGGGAAGAGAACAGACATCACATGGTCGACCAGCGTACAAAAGAGCAGCTTGAAGGTTTCATCATATGATGTCGTAAAGTGGTGTCGGAACGCTTTCCAGCGGTGTATGTATCACATTGCGCTGGCGTTCTGCCACTGGCCATCCCAGCCATACCAAGGCCAACCTTGAGGAAGGGTCGAGTATGGCGGTAACGTGTATTGCTCACGACACTTACCTTCTTCGTCGCACTGCAAGTCGCATAGTCCATATACTTTGCAATAACAGTCCTCTGCTCTCGGACAAAAGACAGCCTCTTTCCCAAATATGACTTTATGCTCACGTCAGTATAGTGTATGACTTTGCAGGCGGAAAGGAGTGTTTGCATACTATGCCACGAGTACTCCATGATCCTACCAGATAGACCATCTTCGAGCCCCGTTTCGAGCAGCCAACGTTGATATCTCTCATAGTCTTCTCTTGGTCGCTTCAGTATAGTCTCTCTTGTCACTGCGAACTGCGCACAACAGCTTGCCCCAATGATCTCGGGAACGAGTACATCTGGAAAGAGCTCTCTGAACGCAGCAGCATAGACTTGGTCGGCAGAAGTCTCGCTCGTGATCTCGTCAACAGGGTGATCTAGTGGGCGTATCTCTTTCGGACATCCTAATGTCCAAACGCAGCGAAGGTTTACGTACCCTTGCTCGAGAATAGAAGGAAGCTGGAGACGCGACAATGTGCGTGCTCCGTCATACAATGGGTCGTCATTGTGCCATTGGTATCGTTCAGCGTGTAAGAAAATAACAATGTCGGGCAAAGACGAGTAGTTGTTGATGATGAAAGTCAAATAGGTCATGCCCTCTCTACCTTTGTTCCGAGGTACTGACAAAGCAGCGCTGGGTTGGTCAGCGACGAAAATGTCATGGTTCCAAGCAGGAAAGAGCGTTGGTAGCCATGTGGTGTTGTCGCGGCTTTGCGAGGCAACCACGGTCTTGATGCTTAGTTTCGTTGTAGCTGGATAATCCTGATTCAAATATTCCCCGTTATTAATCGTTATGCCGGCCGGCAAATATACCTGACGAAGGCGGAAGAGGTAGTAAGTTGATACAAGAAGACAAATGCTAGCAGCTCCAAGCAAACGATAGCGAGACTTCATCGCAGGAGTGAGAGCATGACAACATCGAACTGTTGAATCAAGTAGATGACAGCATCTCGGCTCAAAACAAGAATAAGAAAAATATTGTGAACAAGCTGTGATTATGAGGCACGGCGCATCATGTCAAGACAAGCAACCGCGCCCCAGTGACACTGAACGTGTCAGCCGTGTCACTTGAGCAAAAATTGCGACTGGCCAAACCTGGCGGCTATGCATGAGATCTCCAGCCGTGCCAGGCCCCAGGTTGCTACCTCCGATCTTGTGGTTCCTGGTAAGCATGAATTACCAGGAAATTGAAGTCTTGATGAACGCTTGATGATTTGGAGTCCGCTGAGCACAAGGAGGACTTCTCATCCCGTCTTATCAGAGCTTGTTGGCATTCTTCACAATGCCAGTGAAAATCTATCATCGCAATTACATCCGTAGATTGATCATGGTTCAGCGACACTCCGTCATCATTCCTATGAGTAAGTGCTGCAGTGAATGCACCATCTACTTCCGCGACAAAACGGAGGTCGTCCACCTGAATCTAAGAGGTAGACTGGCTCTTTATTGTTCACAAAGATCGTTACACGTGAACATGTTGGCGAGGTTGGGGAGGCTGGTGACTCGCGTGACGTAGACAACCCGGCAGCTTCCCTTACACACGATTTAGTGACTTATCCTGGATGACATCGCTCTGAGATCCACATGGCTAGCCATATAGCGTGGTGAATGTTCATTGATGCTGTGGCAAAGAAAGTGAAGAAAGTGCGAGTGAACGGTACCTCGGTCGCAAGCCGAAGCGGGGACCAGAAATAAACTGAACCCGAGGTCTGGTCAGACAGAGACTAAAGATCACCACGCATCATACTCTGATAGTTAGGTGAAATACTGATTCACATGTGAATTGCAGCCTTGTCTTTATTCACTTTCCTATTTGAGCGGTAGATTTACAAGCATGCAATCCTGAGTGAGAGACTTCGGACATGCTTGCTTAACCTAATCACTCACTCTTGAGAGCAAACAACATTTACAAAAATAGTAACGAAAGCCTTATCATCAACATATAATTCGACTGAGTCTTAGCTTAGAGGGTCGACATCGATCATCTTTGCAAAATGTCCGTCTTGCAGTTCAACCTCAATGGCTTCAAGCCAGGCGATCCTCACGATCTCTACCGCGCACATGAACAAGGCAACAACACAATCCAAAACAACATCCCGGAAGAAGTCGATGTCCTGATCGTTGGCTCCGGGCCAGCAGGGCTCGCGGTTGCAGCCCAGCTCTCACTCTTCCCAAACATCACCACACGACTTGTGGAGCAAAAGGCCGAACGACTGACCTTGGGTCAAGCCGATGGCCTTCAAGTCCGTAGCATCGAAATGTTTGAGGCCTACGGTTTCAGCGAGAGGGTACTCAAGGAAGCCTATTACATCAACGAAACCACATTCTGGAAGCCTGATGAGAAGAACCCCGAGCACATCATCAGAAGTGGCAGGATCAACGACATTGAAGACGGCCTTACAGAGTTCCCGCATGTCATTCTCAATCAAGCAAGGGTGCATGACTTCTTTCTTGATGTCATGCTTAGATCGCCGACAAGATTGCAACCAAGTTATTCACGCAAGCTCAAACAACTCGCCTTGCTGCCAGCAAAGGACAACTCCTCTCAAGATACATCTACTGTGCAAGTGCAGCTCGAAAGAACAGATCCTGAACACGAAGGAGAAGTCGAAAACGTGCGTGCCAGATATGTGGTAGGCTGCGACGGAGCTCGTAGTGCCGCACGTCAAGCCCTTGGTCTCAAACTCGAAGGCGACTCTGCAAACCAAGCATGGGGTGTCATGGACGTGCTCGCTGTATCCGACTTTCCAGACTGGAGAACCAAGACTGCTATCCACTCAGCAACCCAAGGCAGCATCGTGATCATCCCCAGAGAAGGAGGTTATCTTGTACGCCTTTACATCGAACTCAACAAACTTTCCGCCAACGAGCGTGTCTCGAGCAAAAAGTTCTCAGCAGAAAAGCTCATCGAAACCGCAAAGCGCATCTTCCACCCCTATACATTAGACGTCAAGGAAGTGGTCTGGCACTCCGTCTATGAGATCGGTCAACGACTCTGCAGCAGATTTGACAACCTAACTGCACAACAAGCCGAGACCGAGTACCCAAACATCTTCATCGCTGGCGACGCATGCCACACCCACAGTCCCAAAGCCGGTCAAGGCATGAATGTGAGCATGCAAGATGGCTTCAATCTAGCATGGAAGCTAGCCTCTGTGCTCAATGGCACAGCAACACCGTCCATCCTCCACACCTACTCAACCGAACGTCAAAAAGTGGCTACAGACTTGATAAACTTCGACCGCGAGATTGCGTCTATGTTCAGTGCTCGACCAAAGAAAGACGCCAACGACAAAGAAGGAATCGATCCTGCTGAATTCCAGGCTTTCTTCGTGAAACAAGGCATATACATGGCAGGCCTGGGAACAGCATATGCTCCTTCCCTCATCACCGCCAACCCCATCCATCAAGACTTGGCAAAAGGCTTTCCGATTGGTGAGCGTTTACATTCAGCACCCGTGATCCGTCTTGCAGACGCAAAGCCCATCCAACTAGGTCATATCGTCAAAGCAGATGGTAGATGGAGAGTCTTTGTGTTTGCTTCTGCCGAAGACCCTGCATCTGCAACTTCGTCGTTCCAAGTTGCTTGCAAAGCTATTGCAGAGATAGTGAGCAAGTTTACATCAGTGGGGGCTGATGTTGACTCCCTCATCGATGTTCGGGGCATCGTACAGCAGGGACATGCTTCGTTGAACATTAATGACATGCCCGCCATCGTGTGGCCGCAGAAAGGAAAATATGGGCTGCGAGACTACGAGAAGATATTCTGTGCAGAGGCTGTCGTGGGGTGCAAAGATATCTTCACAGCTCGAGATATCGATCGTCAGAAAGGTTGCGTTCTTGTCGTGAGACCTGATCAATACGTCGCCAACATTCTACCTCTACATGACCACGGTGGGCTTGAAAACTTCTTCGGAGGGTTTATGCGAGCAAGGGCTTGAGAAAAGTGAGAAAGGTAATGATCTCGAGCGAGTTGGAAACGTGTATTATAGTTTCAAGCCAATATTGATGTAGAGAAACTCATCTACCTCTTTTGTCTCTTTGCGCTACGTCCCTCTTCCTCTTCTTGTGCAGGCTTGTATTTCTCCAACTGAGCAGGGATGAACTCCTTGGCCTCCTTCAACAGCTTCTTTTCCCCAAGACGGACGAACACGGCCATTCTGTGACGTCCTTCGAGATCAGGGTTCTTGAGCAACTGCTCGTCTTGTTCCACAGTAGTGCCGTATTGTGCCAGTCTTGCTGGCATGACGGCGTCCATGATCTCGTAGTATGCGAATCTGAGCTGCTTGCGCTGTGCTTTGTTGGGTCCGCGGTTCACATCAATGCCCATGGCTGGACCGATGACTTGACAAACTTGCTCCTCAAGCTCTTCGGGAAAGCCGACAAATTTCGCTGTGTGAGTATTGATGCCAGTATCGTCAGGCTCGCCAGAGTCACGTTCGAGCACAAAGCCCTCCTCCATCTCATCCTCGTCCAAAGTTCCCTTCTTGCCAGTATATCTCTTGTCAATAGTGCTGGCAATAATGTCCCACGACACTTCGACTACATCGTATCTCGAGTGCTTGGCCGAAGTGTAGCCATAGCGACGCAGGAGGTCGCAGTTCGGTAGTGGACCATAGTAGTTGAGAACCTCCTCGCCAGCCTTGATTTCTCTCAGCGAGGTCATTGTCAGAGAATCCTCGCCGTGGTTGAGATGCGCGTTAAATTCTGCATCGGCGTTGAGCATGTCAGCCATGGGCACCATGCCCATTGCTTGGGTGCCCTCCAAGTCCTGAACCCAACCTTCTTGCTCGTCATCTTCCTCATCCTCGTTGTTCTCCAAATCGAAGGCATAGGCCATGATGATACTGCCCATGCGGTGTGCAAGTTCGACTATCTGCTCGTCAGAAAGCTTCTGCGCACCACTAGCGTAGAAGATATCCTCGTGAGCCTTGACAACAGGCAAGACCTTCGTCTTAAACATCTCATCAGCAGACTCCTTGCCGACCTTGTCCTTGACTGCACTGCCTTGCAATTCATTGAGTTCACTCTGACTCCAGAACATCAAGGTATCGAATGTATGAGGCAGAACTTCAAAGTAAGTCTTCCAGGCAGAGTTCTCGCCTTGCAAATACTCGTACACCATGACCATGATAAGGTCCAGCCAAGGATCAGGCATGTTCAAGTTCTCCTCATCGTCATCACCATCGGCCATACCATCATCACCATCAGCATCGAGGTTCTTCAAGCCAGTAAATATTCTTGGCAGCTTCTTTGATAGATCTGAGTTCTCGACACTGATGACGCTCTTTCTGGGGATTGTGAAAAGGTCTGTTTCGGCAGGAATGTCGGAGGTGGCGACGATGCCGCGTCCTGCTCCTCGATCTCTCAGATCAGTCAATCGGAGACGAGAGTCGAATGTGGCTCCGGGTTGAGAATTGAACCAGTTCAAGAAAACATCGGATTGTGCTTGGAAGTCGCCCATGGTTGTGGAAGTTTTGCACACCCTTGGCGCAGTGATAGATTAGTTGACAGATCTGAGAATATGTTGTCTGGTGTGTACTCGGGGATTTCGAATTAGATTGTGCGCCGTATAGCAAGAATGTTGGTCAATATGTAAAGTTGTGAAGATGGTGGATCGAAGGTCGAGGCGCAAATTGTTTTTACAGGCAAACAATGCTCCACGAACAAACGCCGCAAAGTCCGAGTGAATCTGGCAGGCACGAGCGACCAACAGTTGCAGCATCTGTCTATCATTTGAAGTAGAATCACGTTGTTCATGGAGAATTTCGAATTGTTCTGATCAATAGATAGCATTTTTGTTCCACTTTTGCCTATACAAACGCCAGATGACTGATCACAGTACAAAGACCTTCGCCCAAGAAGAAAGAAAAAAGACAACCAATATAGCCACACCAAAACACCTTGCTCATGCACAAAACTAGTTCTTGGCCGCCTTCTCGATCTTTCTTCTCTTGCCTCTCAGCTTCTCGGCCTCGGCATCCTTCTTTGCATTCGAGTACTGCATCTTCTCGAAGATCTTGCGCTTGCGACGACTCATCATCATCTTTTGGCGGTCTGTCTCTTCTTGTGCCTCCTTGCGTTTGCGTGAGATGGCCTTCTGTGCCTTCTCAGCCTCCTTCTTGCGCAGAGCCTTGGCGGGTGTAGCGCCAGCATCAGCAGTCAAGGAACGGCCCTCTGCCTCAGCGGCAAGCTCACGCTGGTGACGAGTGGCCTCATCCTCAGACTCGTCTTCCTCTTCGTCCTCGCTGAGACCATCGAATTCCTCTTCCTTTGCGGCCTCCTCTTCCTCATCCTCGTCGTCATCTGACTCGGCGAGCTCGACGTCCATACCTTCGCCACTGACAACCTCCTTGCCGCCTTGTTGCAGAAGTTTTGACTCCAGGTCGCGAGCCTCGCCATCTCCACGAACACCATCCACTTCTTCACCATCTGAGCCAGCATCCTCGTCGGCCATCTCTTCGTCTGACTCTGCCTCGGCAGCCAAAGCCTCGCCCTCGTTTTCCTGCTCTGCCAAAGACTTGGTAGGGTCGTACTCGCCCTGCTTGGGCTTGACCCAGGGTGAAAGATGGGGAGGCAAAGTAGCACCAGGGGCGTAAAGGTCGGTTCTCAACAGCTTGCCTGCGTTGATGCAGTCCCAGACCCACTGGGGCTGAATGTAAACACGTCCAGGGACACGCTCGCCAGGTCTCAAACGCTTCGAAGCGTTGGCAGCAGCGGTCTCATCGTCCTCGACAGGCATGGCAGGAAGAGGGAGGTTGGGTCTGTCAACAATCTGGTGAGTAATGCGACGGTCGGCCTCGTCGGAAGTGTAGGCGCCCTCGCCCAGAACAGTGTCCCATGCTACACGCTTGCAACCAAAGGCACGGAGAATGAATTCCAGAGGGTGACGGGGAGTTTCGCGCGAGAGGTAGATGGTGAAAGGCTCGAAAAGGTTGGCGGCAGTCGAGGCGGAAACGGTAGGCTGGTGCAGGACATCCGACTCGGGGTCGATAGGTGCAGGGAAAGCATCGAGTTCTCCGTCTTGTCTCTCCTCCTCTTCTTGATCCTTGGGGTTTGATGAGGGGTTCTCCTGGGCGGTGGCGTATGAGCTGGTGGGTTCTTCGCCGGATGGCAGTTCCAGAAGCTTGTCGGCCTCAGCTTGAGCAGTGGCCGAAACTTGCTTGGGTGCAGCAGCGGGCTGCTCGACCTTGTTGTCCAGAGCACCAGCAACGTTGCGACCCTCGATGGCGAAGGCAGCCAACTCAGCACCATGCTCGTCGGCCTTGGCGTCAAACTTGGGAGGGTATACCAAGCCGAGGCTGGTGTAAAGTCTGTAGTTGACGAAACCAAGGAGAGTTGTGTAGAACTGAACGAAGGTGCCCATGATACGAAAATCGACATCGCCAGTGACGCGCTGGACGAACTTGTAGGGAACGAGCCACAGAATGTCCTGACCCTGGATGGTGGCCTGGTAGTAGATACCCTTGATGGAAAGGAAACTCTTGCGCAGACTGTTGCTGCGGATCAGGTAGTGCTCGAACTCGTGAGTGAGACGCTGGCAGAGCTGGATGGTCTTGGGAGGAACGGTCTCGGTGGAGGGGAGGTTGGCAAAAAGGAAAAGCATGGAGAGACAGTCGTCAAGATCGCGAAGAGCATCGATAAAAGTAGGGTAGCGCTCCTTGATGATGTGGTCGAGGGTCATCTTAGGAGTGAGAGTCTTCTCCATGCGGTTTGCGTCGGAGATTTCATTGCGTCCCAGAGCACGACCAATCTTCTTGGCCAGAGCCTTGTGGTCGCGGAACTTGTTGAGGAGAGGCTCATGGAGGAGGTATTGAATATCGCGAGTGTAGTAGAAGGTGGTGGCCTGGGTAGAGTGCGAGTTCTTTGCTGCCTTCTTCTTGTTACGGGGCTCGCGAGGGTAGATTCCTGTGGAATGACTTAGACAATGCTAGACGGTAAGGGTTTGGCGATAGCGTACCCTTGAAGATACACAGGCGACGGAAGTCAGGTAGTGAAATCTGCAGTTTGCGCACAGCCTGGGTACGGGTGATGTAGTTTTTGGCCGCGCCCTTCTGGCCTGCGAGGAAGTCAGTGTGTGCATCTCAAATGATAGAGACAAGAATTTGGCGCACCCTTCTTCTGAATTTTGGCCATGGTTGATGCGACAAGAAATACACAAATGGATGGTCAAACTGGCTGAGGCGCGAGAACCAAAATTTCCCGTGATGGAACTTTCGAAGCAGCCGCGCTCACCGCCTTCGGTCCACCTTCCTCTTTTGCAGGTCGAATCGATTGCGGAGAAAGCAGCGGCTTCCCCGAGAGCCTCGACCGTGTTAACCCATCACAGTCAATTGCTTGCTCGGCCATGTCCATGTCGACCTACGACCATGCCCTCTTTGGTTCGGCAGCGGCTGTCCGTCTGCTGCTGACCTGGGCTTTTCCTGGTCTGCCCGACCTCCTCAGTGGACGTGTCGAGTTGTCCACGCCTGTGACGGGCTTCAAGAGATGTATGCACCAACCAACACAAAAACATCCAGGAGCTGAATTGACCATGCTGTTACAGTTCAAGAAGGTCTGTTCCTATACAACCATGGTCTATCGCCTTACGACGGTGGTGTCTTCCACCAGGCCCCTCTACTCCTGCCGCTCTTCTCGCTCCTCCCTGATCCCACACGCTACCCTCTGGTTACCGTCTTGCTATACACAATAGTCGATCTGGCCAGCGCATACGCTCTCATGCAAATCTTTGCTTCAGGCCAATCCTACGCCACTCGCTTCTTCACATCGTCGCGCGAATCCAAGAGATGGTCATCTTCTGCTGTTGCTGCTGCATACCTCTTCAACCCCTTTATCATCTTGACCTGCTTGGCTCGCTCCACCAATGCCTTTGGAAACCTCTTCGTCCTCGTCGCTACAGCCAAGGCCTGCCGTGGCGCCTTTCTGACCTCGTCCTTGGCCCTGGCTATCGCCTCATACATGTCCTTGAACCCTCTACTGCTACTTCCACCCATCACCATCCTGTGCTATGACTCGTGGGTCCTGCGTCGCAAGAACACCAACCAGGCTGCAGCCGCTCCGACTTTGCTCGCATTTGCTGTACGATATACCATTGTATTGGTCGCCGCCATTGCCATTTTATTCGCTTTATCATATGCACTGATCGGCGACTGGTCCTTCATCTCATCCGTCTACGCCTCACGTCTTTTGCTACCTGACTTGACTCCCAATGTCGGCCTGTGGTGGTACTTCTTCATCGAAATCTTCGACTCGTTCCGCAACTTCTTCTTGGGCGTCTTCTGGTTGCACATGGCTTCATATTCGCCTGCTCTCACAATCCGTCTTCGCGATCAACCACTAGCCGCCATCGTGCTTCTGTGCGGCATTTTTGCAATTTTCCAGCCATACGCCAATGTTGGTGATGCTGGTTTCTGGCTTTCCATGCTCTCCATGTATGGACATGTTCATGAACGTGAGTATCATATGCAGTCCCCATCGCTACATCTCCTACGATCAACTAACAACAAAACCCTAGTTTCACGATATGCATTCCCTGCCATCAGCGCACTTATATACACAACTTTGCTCGGCCCCGCCTTCTACTATCTCTGGGTGTATGCCGGTAGCGGTAACGCAAACTTCTTCTATGCCATCACTCTGGTCTGGAGTCTGGCTTTGTCCGTGATTCTGGCAGACATCCTCCACGCCATTATCAGAGATGAGTGGGAGAAAGAGCGCCCTGAAATGAAAGGCAAAGAAGCTAAACAAATATGAGGCTACGAACTCTCCTTCTCCTGAACAGTTCAGATAAAAAGTTGAATCAATCATTTTACAGAAACTTGATCCACCCGTACCTCTGCTCATCTGCTGACTTGTCAAAACTCCCTCATCCTACCTTGCTTCCCGCAATTTGACAGCCCACCAGAGTCCAACCTTTATATACGGTGTTCTTCCGGTGCCTTTCTAAGCAAAAAAAAAAAAAAAAAAA